CCGGCATGGTGTTGAGCTGCTTGACAGGCAGCCAGGAAGCAGGGTAGACCAACCAGATACTGTCTTGGAAACATCGAATGCTTCGTTGAATTGGCCATCCCCACCCACCAACCTGGCCAAGCCACCAATTCTCTTCTATCCGTATGTCGCAGACTTGTTCATTTGGCCCCAAAGAAAAAAAGTTCATTGCCCGATATTAGGGAAATCAAATGCGTGTGCACGACGGTGGCCAAGGGCAAGTCCCCACCCGCCTTTCGGACATGTTTCGTACGACCCCACGGCCGAATGTAGCCTCCGTTCTCGAGTCAGACGCGCGACGATCCCTTATCCTCCACTAGGTCCTCCACTTCTCGAGCAGCTTCCATCCATCAATCCACTCTCTCCAAAACTATTTGACCACCCGCGTCTTTCGCAAGCCATTTTCCTTCTAGCCGCCGTTTCAGCTATTAGCTATGCGAAGCTTGAGGCCGAAGAGGGGAGACGTTTCCTAGGCGCGATGAGCACGCGTTCTCCATGTAGTCCATTCCCTTCCTGAGCACTCCCCTTCCACATGGCAAGCAGCAGCGTACGAGTGCTCGGGCAGGCTGCGGTCTTCGGTCTCCCACCAGGATGGGCAAACCACGAAAACTTGCAAAGATGGGTTTATGCTCTCGATTGAGCAAGATCATCCACTTGGTTCCTTCTTCAAACAAACACGGATGAGGTAAACAGACACTGTGCGGGATGGAAGTGACGACCGTCGAGCTGCCAAGTTTTCTCCTTTGAGAGGGAAGGTCCTGACAAGTTGACTGGCTCATCCCGATCCTGCCTAGAGAAGATCAGCATCGGGGCAGCGTCCCAAACGGCAGCACACCAGACCATCGAGGTCTCATCCTCTGAGAGAAAAGAACCCTTCGGGAAGGGATCTGCAAGGCGCAAAGGGTCTGGATCTGACTTCTCCCGGTTTCCCTCGATCACCAATTGGAAAAGGCGTTGCCGTCTTTCCCTCGTCGTCGCGGGTGCCTCGCCATTCGTCCGTACCAAAAATCTATTTTGTTCTTGATAGATCAACGTCACTTCCACGGGGGTTCCTCCCCCAACCGCATCCGCCACACACCCATGGATGCATGAGCCTCGCTCGTCAACCCTTCGTCTTCTTTTTCGCGTTCCTTTGCTTCTCAGCAGGCGGCTCCGGTTTTGGGGGCCTCTAGGTTTCAACTTGTTAGCAGGGGGCCCAGTCCCATCACAAAACCCCCAGCCAGGTATTAGAATGATACCAAAACCATCTCGTCGTTCGTTGATCGCTATAAGATTGCAAACCGCCCGCCCTATCTAGTACCTAGTGCGAAATTTTCCAGGCTGCCCCCATTATTTATCCCACCTCGGTGACGGAAGGGCCTTGGCAGGTTGCCGTGTCGAGGAATAAGCCAAGGCCGGGTGGTACATTGCGTTTGAACAGTGCCTCTTGATTGGGGGATGTTTGTAAGGAGGGCCGCGGTTAGCGATCCTTCTCTCAGCCTGTGGGGATTCGCTCGAGCATACATGCCCTGGCAAGCCTGGTTCCCCGTGCAATTACCGGACCTGTAGCAGTGCACGACCCTACAAGTATGTGGTCGAGGTGAATCGAAACTGGATGGCTTTGAAAAGGCTTCCTCCCTCAGCCCTTGTCTCCTTGCCTGCCTCCAGTGCCTGTGATGGGGTGCCGGTGAATGTCACCGATGACGGCGCTGACTCCTTATCATGGGGAGGGAAGCGCAAGCTGTGGCACGCAATCTTGCAATTCTCAACGACGGCTGTCTCCAAAGGCCCCTGGCTCCACCCGCCGATCTACAGTGTAGAGGTACTGTGGCCGTTGCCAGGATCAGAACTGACCTGACTCCGTCATAGCAGCTATGAGGGCCCGCCTCTTTCTCGCCCTCCCGGGGCCGTGAGATGACGATCTCGAGAAAGGGGGCCGGTTTCCCCTTCTCCATGTTCGGCCCAGGCTGTGTCGTGTCCGCCTCCCTCATCTCGACAACCCCCTCCCTCCCTCCGCGATCCGGTTTTTCTTCTTCCCATGTCCGGGGTAGCTTCATACTAGGCGGATCATGATGGCGGTGTAGGGTGGCCGCAGGAAGGAAGTGTTTGACAGCAGGAAAGCCGCTCCTTTGATGAGCGGCCAGCTACCCTCCCACCCTCTGCAAGATCCCGAGCACCTGTTTTTCCCAGTATGCGTCACAGCGTGCCCTGAGGGGCTGGTCGTGAGGCCTTGGATAGGGTCTGACTTCATACCATTGCCGATCTGCTTCAAGTTGCCGTGGATGAGCGCTAAGGGTACGGAGAGTTGTCGTAAGCCTCCGCCGAAGATGTATCGTGAAATATAGTGCAATGTACTAGTCATTGCCTCACAAGGGAGCATAGGAAATAGGCCCGTATATGCTTTTCTTTTTTTTTCCTCTCTCATCACCCTGCAACGGCAAGTTGCTGACCGCTGATCGGCAAGGGCTTCTTGCCAATACTCACCCTCCCTTTTCCATTTTCCCTTTGTCCCTCACCTTTTCTTTTTCAATTTCTCTCTCCTTTGGGGGTGGGCCATGCGTGCTTAAAGTCTGTTCTTATTGGCCTTGTCTCCTCCTCGCCAGCAGGCATCCGGCGCCAGTCACGCATGAAGGGTCGTGATGAAGGCTCTCGTGAGAATCTCGCATTCTTGTTACTCAGCGTCAATAGTGCGATGCGCTCTGCCGGCTGCTTGCCTCCGGATCCTGCTGGGGACATCGCGCACGTGGCTTTTCTTGGGGCCGAGCTCCCTTTGTGCCCCCGTCAGTGGAAGGGAGGGGCATTCGATATAGGTGGACTGAGGTAGTGTTTGGAAGAGGGCCTTTGAGATGGATAGCAAGCAACTGCGAGTAGTGACTCAGGGAACAGTTTGATAGTTTGTCGCAGACCAGGGGCGGGCGTTGATCCAATATCAAGAATCGCCGAGCAGCTCCAGAGGTGATATTGCGAGTTTACGAGCCTCGCTGTAACTTAAGCGACAGGTTGGATCGTCATGCGATCATCTTGCATTCCTGAAGCGAACGGTTTGTAACCAGAGCACGACCTCGACTTTGCAGCAAACACACAAAAGATTTTCAAATACTAACGAGCTTCTACAGGCTTCGCCGAGGACTTCCTAGCGTCCAACGGCGTGTCTTGTCACCCGGATGGATTGCCGTCGTGAACCGCCGCAAACGGCGTCTCGGCCACGTGTCTCTGCGTCTTTAACACTTCCCCACCTTGAAAGGAGAGAGGAGGGCCGTTGGGGGCCTTTTGAGTCTCATTCACGGCGGCTCAACATATCGAGCAGGGTGGGGTATCAACCCGGCCGCATACGTCTAGATGAACTCTTTATGGGTATCAATATCCTCCTCTTTTTTTTTTGGTTATAGCCCTCAAAGACGAAAGATTACTTCTTCTTCCGTTTGATGGTATCCGCTTCTTGCTCTGAAATGCGGCGTGGAGGCGCCCGTAGTTTTCGGGTGTCTGCAGACAATAGCTTCCATGAAGGGGCAGACGCCGCCATCGTCCTCCTCCCTCCCCTTTTCCCCGGCTTGGCGGGAGCCGTCAGTCGAGGGGCGCGAGGTGCGGTCTCCGCGGTGTACATAATATATGGGAGGAAGCAGCAGAAGGAAGAAGACAAATTTAAGCTTCCAGTACCGATATCCGGGGCCACGAAAACTCAAGATGCACGCTGGGTGGGCGCAGGAAAATAGCTTCCGCTTTTCTTTCTTGTTCTTTTGTTTTTTTCTGCCACCCTTGTCAAGCTGGCCCGATAGCAGCGGCGAGAGAGGGGAGGATCTAATCTCCACGCGGAAGAGGCTGGTACGACATAGTTCAAAGGGGGTCGTGGGAGGATCGAAGAGCTCTTCTAAATATCGCAACTAAATGGTAATCTACCCTTGTCCCTTAGCTCCGCTCTCCTCTCTCCCTTGCCGTTGGATACGGGCTTCGGTTCATTCATCGTGTTCTCCCCTGAGTCTAGGGACGCTTCGTCTGTTGTATTGCTCCTTCCCCATCGGCCCCTCGACCTATATGGCATGGTTCTGGAGTAGCACGACGGGCGTGCGGGCGTACCGCAGAAAGGTGTTGTGGCTTACGGTGGCCATGGATGTCCATCGACATCTATGGATCCTTCGGCCAGCCAACTCTACTTCAGGCAAACAAGGGAGACTTCACGGTAGCGGACCACTTGGATGGGAAAGAGCCATGGTCAACTATCCTTTTACATGAGGGTATCCCATACTTTTCTTCTTTCCCTGTATGTACACGCCGTCTTCCCTGTTCTTGGCTTCGGACGTAGGGAGTAGTGTATCGGCGCTCAAGAGGACCTTCGGCGGGCGTCGTCGACCGTTGGGTTGCGCCCAGCGCCCTTGTACGCCCTTTCCCGCCGCTTCGAGGAAAAGGGGGACGGGCGTCTTGTTCTTCGTGATCAAAGGAGGGCCTGTCTTCTCGGTTCGGGCCGTCTTTTGTTCCCTGTTTTCTCTTTTATTTCATTATGTTCTAGATGCCTGTTACTAGGCCTTTACTACCATTCATCCCATTGTAACTCATCACTCGACATCTAAGGAGAGGGCGTCTATATGCATGGCGAAAATAGTATATACTCTGATCACATTTTCATTGCCTTTGCTCTTTGAATAGTTCTGGTTCTCTCCTTCTTCTTCTGGTGGTGAATAAGCTTTTAGTGAATACTGTAAGTTTTGTCATCTCAACTTGGAAGTTGGAGGTGTTTGTGTTTGAGAAAGAACCATCCCGCATTGAAACTTTGAGGGAAGGTGGACACGGCCACGCTTCTACCTGCTTGATATCCATCTCATCTTGGGGGTGAAACCTTCGTTGGTCCCTTCTTTTTCCTCTCGTCACCATCATCCTCTTGCATTGATCTTCAGCTAAAGATCGTCGTTTGCCAGGGCTCAAATCGGTTAGCCATATAGCTCCTTTCACTCCCATCTCCTGTCCTCTTGCTGCTTAGTCTTGGCATCTTGACGCCAAAACCAACCTCAATGGGGTCCTCAATGGACCAGCCTCTTCAGCCTGCGGGCGGGAAGGAAAACGATACTTTGAACAGTAGCCTCGACGTGGATGATCCCCAGGTAAGTTGACACCACAAGTCTATCTTGGAGCCAAGGGGGCGGGTGGCTCATCGGCATTGCCCCTCGCTTATGTTCATTTTCCACATACAGGATCGGAAACTCCTGCGACGACTTGACTGGATTCTACTCCCTTGGGTACGCAGCTTCTCTCCCTTGCGTGCTTGCGTGGCGGGCTAGTCCCTTGCATGAGTCGCGTTTCTGATACCAAACGCAGCTTTGTTTTCTCTACCTGCTCGCCTTTCTCGACCGCACCAACATTGGAAACGCCAAAATTGCCGGCCTGTCTGACTCGCTGGGGATGAGCGGGCCGCAGTATAATCTGGCGTTGACCATCTTCTTTGTTTCGTATGCGGTGTTTGAACCGCTGACCAATGTGCTTCTCAAGTCGTGGAGGCCCTCGCGATTTATCCCTGTTATTGTGTAAGATACTCTTTTTTCATTTTTAAACCCCTGCTTTGTGGCTCGTACTGCATTTCCATTTCCTCCCTTGGGAGGAAAAGAAGAGTCTCGCTGCTGACCATGGGTATAGTATCTTCTGGGGCCTGTCCATGTTGGGGATGGGGTTCGTCACGAACTGGTCAGGCCTCATGGCGGCGCGATGGTTTCTAGGTCTTACCGAGGCGGGCTTATTTCCCGGAATCAACTACTACCTTTCGTGTTGGTACAAGAGATCGGAATTAGGCGTGCGGGCCGTAAGTGACGAGTTTTTGTTTTGGACAATCCACCTCACTCCGTTTTCCCTACATGTAGACTAACTGGTGGCCCTGGTCTTGGTGTAGGCTATCTTCTTCTCAGCCGCGGCGGCATCTGGATCCTTTGGTGGGCTCTTGGCGGCGGCGATTGAGAAGATGAATGGTCTAGGGGTCGACCAGGATGGGCGTGGATCTTCATCCTCGAAGGCATCTTGACAGTAGTGGCCGGGGTGGCGTCCTTTTGGCTCGTCCTCGATTTTCCACATGAGGCTAGGTTTCTCTCGGAAGAAGAGCGTGCCCGGGTGCTCCGACGACTTCAAGACGATGGCCAAAGGACGGCGGACACAGAACAGTACAAGTCGGCATACCTGTGGGCGGCGTTGCGGGATTGGAAGACGTGGCTGAGCATGGTGATTTACATGGGGTGCGACATGCCGCTCTATGCCTTTAGCTTGTTCCTGCCTAGCATCATCAAGTCACTAGGCTGGAACACGTCGGTCGTTCGAGCCCAGCTCCTTAGCGCGGCTCCATACGTCGCGGCGGCCGGGCTCACGGTCGGGGTGGGGTACATCGCGGATAGGACGAGAAAGAGAGGGCTATGCAACCTCGCAGCGTCGGCGCTCGGGATCGTGGGCTTCGCGATGCTGCTCGGCAGCGGGGACCCGGCGGTCAAGTATGCGGCTACCTTTTAGCGGCGCTGGGGATCTACCCGTGCATCAGCAACACCATCTCATGGGTATCGAACAATACGGAGGGGGTGTATAAGAGGGGATCGTGCTGGGGATGACGATTGGTTGGGGCAACCTGACGGGCGTGGTGAGCTCCAACATCTACTTTAGCGGGCCGAAATTCGTGGAGGGCCACGCGGTGGTGTTGGGGTTCCTGACCGTCTTCCTCTTTGGCGGGTCCGCGGTCATGTTGGCGGCCCTCGCGTTTGAGAAGAGGAAGCGGGCGTCGGGACAGAGGGATGGAATCTTGGAAGGGAAGAGCGAGGAGGAGATTGGTGAACTTGGGGATAAGCATCCGGGGTTTGTGTATACTCTTTGATCTCTAGGTTTGGGGGTGATGGTTTTTTCCTCCTTTCTTTTCTTGTTTTTATTTTCCACCGGTTCCTACGCTAAATTCTCTATAGAAGGGAGAGGCCATCTTGTTTTCGTTCTTAATATGATCTCCTTCTACAGCTCGTTTGCTCCCTCCATCTCCATGGTTGTCCCCCTTGTGAAGGATGGCTCTGACGTGAAGAAAAGTGTAGGGCGAAAATCAACTGCTGGGAAGCGCAAAAGGAAGGTGTTGTGTAACATGGACGAACGAAAAAGACACGATATTGCAAGCAAAGGCGAGAACTAAAGCGTGACCTCTGTTAAAGGGGAAGACGATAAGTTGCAAGAATGGGATGGGAGTCTGTCATCAGTCACATTGGCAGCCCTCCCCTCCGCCCTCCCCTCCCCCTCCGCCCAAGGAGGCCACGACAGACCGAGGGCTTTCACGCCCATGCAAGTAGCCGTTCACCTAGCATGGCGCGAGATAGCTCAGCCTTCCCGGCGCTAGATGTAAACGGGAGAGAGGAGCGAGAGGAGTTTTTGATATAGGGATCAGGAGGGGTTATTATTAAAGATTAAAAAGGTTGTGTATCCAAGGATGCTTGTGCGGTTTAAGAAAGTGGAGGAATCTAGCCTCCCTCCTTCTCGTCTTGCTCTAACTTTCTCTTTTTCTCTTGTAGTGGATTGTCATTCCTGAGTGTGCAGTGGTGTTTATCTTTGTGACACCTGGGCATCGCTTACCGCCTCGTATAGATGAAGGTTAGGCGAGGAAGGGAAGAAACATTTTGATGGGTGGGAAACAGAGCGAAGGATTCAAGGTAGAAGCGAGGAAGGAAGGGGAGAAACGCTAAACATGGCGGGTAGGGTGGTGGCCAAACTGAAAGCCAGCCAGCAAGGGATGGAGAGGGACTGGTTGGTTTGATTCTGCTTGACGCGGGAATGCGTCGCCAATTTCATCTTGGGGCGCCCATCTCGACCCTCGGCTTGATGCTTGCCTCTATCTCTAATGCCCGGATATGAAGGCGAGGAATGTGTTTGGGGGAAAAGGAGGGTTGGCCGCGTCTGAAAAGCCAAGGGCATAAGGGTTTTGGGTGTGAAAGCCTTTGCTGTCAGTATTGATTCGATTTGTTGCTCCCCCTCTCCACACCTCGAGGAGGAATGGCGAGGGATTGCGATGTGGTTGCACGGACAAATCACGAAGCGAACGCCTCTTTTTCGATATAAATCTCTCCCTGCAGGTAAGCGCACTCTGACTACGCTTCGCGTCCCCTTTGTTTCCCACCCTGCTCATCATCTGTTGGGTGCTCTATGTCCTCTTTCCGCCCTTTTCTCGCAAAGGCTTGGAAGGCGTTGTTCTGCTCGCAGAATGCATATACGGGGAGGGGGATCTCGTTTGTTGCTTCGCTTATTTTTTTGGGGCGCCGGAGAGGTGAAGAGTAGCGGGGTTTCTACATGTAGGATTTGAGTGGGTGAATTCGAAAGGAGGCAAGTAAAGAAAGATGAGGGCGCAAAGGGGAAATGTGATGAAAGAGACGCAGTTATCCGTGTCGAAGGCGAGTCGCTGGACTACGGTCCGGAAACGAGACTGGTCGTTTACTTTCCTACGCGCGACCATTCGGCGCCTTTTCGTTTATTTTTATTTTCTTTATCCTGGAGCTCTTCGTGGATCACTCTCTCGATGTCATCTCTGTCTGTGTTCGTGTCCGCATCCTTGTCTTGGTCCTTTTCTCTCTGGCAGCGGCGTCTTGTGCGTCGCTCACCGCCGACTTGCTGCAGGTATTTGATGGTTTAATATAATGATTTTCAATTTTGTTACTCTTGGTCTGTTCAATGCAGTCTCCGAGAGGGATCTTGGCAACTATGATGTTGGAAATGGGGGATACATATCTGCGTGTGAGAAAAAGAGAGATGAATCGATGATGCGCGCCGCCAGAGACCACAAGCCTTGTATGCACGACCATAGCCACGGAAAAGTACAGTAAGAATACTATGGCATGGCCTGTCATATTATTTGGCACGATTGGATATCAGCCTCCGTGCAATATGGACATGAAGCGTGGAGGAGGCTGAGACTCGAGAAAGGGAGGACAGGACAACGAGAACCGGGCGATGATTTTGACCATGTTCGCCTCTTCTGCTTGACTTAGACATTGTGGTACGTGGGAGTGTCGGCGCCGGGTTCACAAGGTAGATTTATTACTTCATCTCTTTCTTTTTATTATCATCCCCTTTCTGCTGATGATATCTTTTGTCTTTCCCTTTTGTAAGATAGAATACCGTTGAGAAGAATCTAAACCCTCCAGGTTCGGAAACAAACACACCGGGATCTCTTTGACCAAGAAGCCGTCGCGATGGAACGGGCTTCGGATGATACGTGGTAGCGTCGAAAGTGTTGGTGGTATAAACACTGGAATGGGGCGTTCCGGTGAACAACCATTGGACCTTGTTCTCCCTTTGGGGGGCACACATCCTGTCCCACGAGCCTCTCCAACTTCCCTTGTGGCCCCGGATAACCTTGTATCGACCGTCTGCCCACACCCTCTGGGAGAGAGGACCCCCGTCCCTCATCTTCTTGTTCCTCACCTTCTTCATCTCCCTTTCCTTTGTATGTCTGCCTCCCTCTGCAAGATCCTCGGTTGGTTTGGCTCGTTTGTGCGACGAGCCTACACCCGGTTTTGGTGTAAGTCAGCCTCGGCGGGGAAGGGGAGGGGGGGCATAGATGAGGTGTGCCCCTCCTGCCCCCGGTGACACCAGAGAACAAGAAAAGCAGAGAGACAAGAGGGATGGAGAGAGAAAGAGTGTGAGTGCTTGTATGAGTACACGCACGTGTCCGGATGTGTGAAAACGCCGTAGAAACGGAAGACGGAAAGATGGAAGAACGGGATTTCTCTGCAACGAGAAAGTAAGGGAAAGGCACCGGCTCGACGCAAATAGGATGCCGTAGCACTCTCACCTCTCTTTGCCCTTTTTCCCTCTTCACCACCACGTCCGACCCTGTGTGTCCCCCGCCCTCATCTCGAAAAGATACTATCGTGTGTTTCCCCGTCGAGTCTATCCATTGTGACTGATCTCTAAATTTACCCCGTTGGCCCACCACAACAGAGACGGGGCCCATTTGCGCAGAGTCATGCTGTGAACCCGTACCATAGCATTTCCCTCTTCTCTCTCTCTTTCCTTTCCCATTACTTGAGTTTGGGTGGTAAAACGGCCCGGCCTTTCTGGATGGCTGACCGTCCCCGTCCCGGGCCATTTCCTCCTCTTGGTGTTTCGCAGAGTGTCCTCGAGGACACCCTGCAACCTCGCAACTCTTTCTTTTTCTTTTTCTACGAGAACTTCAAAACAGGCCTGATTCATCATCACTGTTCGTCTCGAGCATACCTCGAGTCATTCTTTGGTAGAAAGAAGTCAGAATCCGAGGCTGCACGCCCCAACTTTCATTGTCCCCGGGCATAAACACGCCCAGTGACCGCCATCTGCTCACGATCCCAATCTCCCACCGCCGGGCCTCCGCGCTTCCCCTCCGCCACCCGCCATCCCTTCCTAGCTCATTCTCCCTCCTCGATACCGCCCCCCACCCCCATCCCTCGCAGCCCTAGCTGCCGTGTCCCATCCCTTGTCTAGCCGCAAGGACACCGCTCTTCCGAACGCAGGTCGCTTCCCTCCCCCTCTTCCCCCTTCCCTCCTTCCCCAGCTGCAGGTTCTTGTCTTTGGATGACGGACCACCCTCCCTCGCGTATCACTCGCGATACACCACAGCCGTCCAGCCTCTCAGCTTCCTGCCTCTCTCGGACGACATCATCACCCAATCTCCTCGTTTCCTCTTCTGCTTCCCCCGGGCCCCGGCCATCGTTTCGTTTCTCCATTCAAGTCTGCTTCCCCCCTTTTTGTGGCGCTCGGCTCATCTTGCACCCTTGTCGCGCTCCCTCGAACTCGAAACCCTACCATCTTGGAATCCCACCATTGACGCTCGCTCGGTAGTGGACGCCACCGCAACGGTTTCCTCTCTCTTTCTCTTGCTTCCTGCAAGACATTTCGACGGCGTCTGAATACCGGCCACCCTTTACCCCCAACCAACACACTCCACGTCAGAGAGTAGCAAGAAGGCCAAGACCAGTGACGAAACAAGAGCGGAACTAGGGAAAAGGCCAGCTGATCTATCTCCCCTCCCCCTTCCTTCACCTCCCCCCTTGTGCGCTCACTTCACTTTCACGCCACCCCCTTCCCTCCTCCTCATCTTCCACCTTCCCTGATTCCTTTTTTATCCTCCCTCATCCTTGCTCTCGCCGCCTCGCCAACGCCAACGCCAACGCCAACGCCCACACGCCGCCCCCGCTCCCCGCTCCCCCTTGCCTTTACCTTTGCCCTACCCACGTCTTCCAGCTTTGTGATTTGACCCACGGCCCAGAGTTCAGCTGCCTTCGCCTCCACACTCTCGGATCCACACCCAGAGACGCAGACGCAAAGCCAAGGGACAAGGAAAGAGAGCGCGTGACGCGCAGAAGCACCATTCCTGTCCCTTTTCCGTCCCCCTCCCCCACCCCCGCCTCCTCTCCCCTACCCGCCCTCCCCCGTGCCCTCTATATATCAAGGTCTAAAAGGATGGAGGCGAGCCATGTCATGAACGTGTACGACGACCGAGGGGGCAGCCCGTTATTCTACCCCGACCTGATGAACCTCAACGACACGCAAAAGGGCATCGTCGTCACCGTCGAGAGGGTCGGCGCCTCCCTCTCCCTCGTGGGCGTCGCCCTCATCTTCGCGACCTACTGGGCCTTCAAAGGCTGCGCACCGTGCCTAACCTCTTTATCCTCTTCGCCTCCATCGCCAACGCCGGCGCGAGCATCGCATGCCTCATCGGCTACGATGGCGTCCGGGCCGGGACGGATTCTGCGCTGTGCAAGACTCAGGCTTTTCTCCTTGAGATGTGAGTTTCTTCCTCCTCCTCCGCCGCTGCCCGCTGGTCTTGCTCTCTTGCTCCGCCCCCTTCTCTTCCCCGCCGTCTTCCCGGCGGAACTGAATGCCCGTCCGTCACTAACACAAGGTGGGGGTGAGAGGGGAAAGACGAGGAGGAGGCACAGAAAATCACAGAAAATTTATGACCTCCTGCTTCGAATTCCCCTTATCCCCAAAACGAAACGCAAACCTAACAGGCTCATGCAATCCGATCCGTGGTGGTCCTTTGCCATGGCCGTCAACGTCTACCTCGTCTTCTTTTATGGTGCTAACCCGGCCTCGTTTCGCAAGTACGTCTGGGTCTACTGCCTCATTTGCTTCGGCATCCCCTTTATCCCCGCCTTGGTTTGTCTCTTGTACAAGGAGGAACACCGCGGGCCGGTCTACGGCGATGCTACGGTATGCTGCCCGTTTCTGCTATCTCTGTCTCGTGTGCGGAATTCTCCACGGAGAGACGGAGTCTCTTAACCCGATGAAGAAAATCTAAACTCATCATATAAAAAACATCTATAGCTCTGGTGCTGGATAGGCAACGAATGGACCGAGCTCCGCATCTACACGTACTACCTGCCCATCTGGGTCTGCATCTTCTTCTCCACCCTCATCTACTTCGCCGTCGGATACCGCGTCTTCAAGCAGCGCAACCAGCTCCGCAACCTGACGTTTAGCGCCCACGATGCCGCCGACGCCAACGACGGGAAAGAGGCGTCGTCCGCCTCGGACGTGCGCGAATCAGCCGACAAGGTAGCTTTTTTTTTTTTCTATCTTTCTTCTTCACTTTCTACATCTCCAAATTCGCACCATAGGCGATAGAGAAATTCTGCTACTAACCCTCGTCTTCTCGTACCACCAGCACAAGCTCGCCGCCGCCAACGCCTACGGCACCGCCGTCACCGAAGTCAAAATCACCACCTCCGTCCCCGGCGCATGGACCCCCGCCCCCGTCCCTCCGCGCCGCCCGCGCCAGCCGGAGCACCGAAAACTTATACGCCCGCGCCCTCTACCCGGACCTGAACCACGACGTATACGGCATCTACGACGATGACGACGACAACAACAACGATGACGACCACTACCACCACCATCACCACCATCACCGACCCCGCCACGGCTCCCTCGACCGCCGCCGCCCCTAGGCCCATCCCCCTCTCCGCCTCATCCGCGCAGGCCCACGCCGCCGCCGTCGCCGCCGCACTCTCCGGCCCCCGCTTCGAAACAACCTGCACCGCCAACCACAGCCCCTCGCACCAAACCAACCCACCTCCACCTCCACCCGTCGCCCCCGCTACCACCACCACCACCACCACCACCGCCGCCGCCGCCTCCCCGACGAAGAAGCCCGCCGCGACACCCGCCTCTTCTCCGCCCTCGGCAAATTCCGCGCCCGCCTCCGCCACCTCGACCCCGTCAAGCTCGCCTACCTCCGCACCAGCTTCGTCTTCGCCATCTCCATCCTCATCACCTGGGCCCCCAGCTCCGTCAACCGCATCCACAACCTCATCCACCCTTTCGCCCCCAACTACGGCCTCAACGTCGCCAGCGCCGTCGTCTTGCCCCTCCAGGGCCTCTGGAACGCCATCATCTACTTTAGCACCAGCTGGCGCGCCTGCCGCGAGGAACTCGCCAGGCTCTGCGGCGCCTACGCCCATTCCCCTTGTCCTTGTCGTCGTCGGCCCCGCCCTATCACCACCATCATTCGTCCGCTTCCTCCTCCTCCCCTTCGTGCGCCGCTTCGCTCTTCGCCTGCTGGCCCTGGTGGCCCCGCCGATTGTTTTACCCTGACCCGCCGGACCACGTGGCCACAGACCCTGGTGAGCTCCATCGTACCCGGCGGCAGGGATATCCGGGATCGGGTCTGGGAAATGGCGAGAGATACGGCTGGGCGGAGGATAGGCGGCGCGGTGCGTTTTACGGTGGGTCACGGCACGGTTCGGAGAGAGCCGGGGATTTGCCGCCTCGAGTCCGGCCGTGGATACCATTGAGATGGGGTTGGGTCCGGTCCCGCAGATCGGTACGGTGCGAGCGCTGAGGGGTCTTTTAAAAACTCAAAAGGCTCATTTCATATGTCGTGGTTCTCTTCCTTGCTTCTTGTTATGCATGCGTTTATATAGTGCGCGGTCAAATACAAAGTGCCTTTTCAACACTGTCGTGAATGCTAGACTGACCGCATCGCCTTCATGTATCTCTTGATGTACGTCTCTCACGCCCGCTCTCGCTTTCCAAACGCCCAAGAGACTGGCATGCGTGACATCCGATCGCCACATATAAGCTGGCCTGCCTGTGCCCCAAGACTGCTTTGTCCAAGTCCATCAGAGTAAACGAGAAGGACATGTCAGCAGACAAACTACGGCATAAGCCAACAGCCTTCTGGTCGCTGCTGGAACTTATACCTACCCAAATGCGTGTCGTGTACACGAGAGCTCGATACCCTGACGATACGATAGCAACAGGGCTGGATTCCAAGAGAACAAAACGCTAGAAACATACCAAAATACCCGCATGACTCTGCTATCAAGTGAAAGAAACCAGAAAGAAAACTCCATGCAGTGCCATGGCCCCAGAAAAGAAAACTCCAGTCAACTCCATCAATCCATCCACTCAACGACAAGTCCCGCGGACGCAGTCCATCTCTCTTCCCCTGACGACGGACAAATTCCATGCCCATCTCACCCCATTGTATACACTACTCATATATGTAAACCCAAGGACAAAAAAGAAAAGAAACCAGCACTCCCTGACGCTTCGCTCTTCCACAATATCCAAAGCCTCGTCTCACCACACTCTCACACCACAGCCTCCACGGCCCCATCCACAACCCTCTTCCTCTTCGTCTCCACCTTGGGCTTCGGATGCCTCAACCGAACCCACTCCCCATTAAACGCGTTGATGATCCAGTCCGTCATGCCTACATACAACACGTCTTTCGTTAGCAAAACCCCCATTTCTTTGTCGTACAACATAAAAAGACAACGGCGGCTGGTGTACTTACGCTGATACAACGCGCGATTCGCCGAATGAAAGTAAATCCCATGATTACTGTCCGGAAACACATGCACATCGTAATTCTGCGCCCCCACCGTATCCAACTGATCCAGCAACTTGAGCGTATTCTGCACATGCACATTATCGTCCGCCGTGCCGTGCATCACCAAGAACCGCACCGGACCCTTCTTGCCCCCGTCATCTTCAGTGTTTCCCGTCCCCGTCCCCGCCAGCGCCTCGGCATCATGCACCGCCGTCTCCGCATACCCCTCCGGATTCTCCTGCGGCGTCCCCATATACCGCTCCGTATAAATCGAATCATACAACCGCCAATCCGTCACCGGCGCCACCGCCACCCCGTACGAAAACGTCTTTCCCGCATCCACCTCGAGCGTCTTGAGCGCGTTGAACCCCCAAACGACCACCCCCAAATCGCCAGCCGCGTCGCGTCCACGTACGGTTTCGCCGCCCAGTGTGCGCCCGCCGCCACCTGGTCCCGCGCCTCGTACCGGCCCAGGTGCCCGCGAATCAGCACCCGCGCCGCCCGCCCGATGAAGCCCGTGCCCCGCCCGTCCACCGTCACCACCACGTACCCCAGCGACGACGCCACAAACGTCTGGTACGTCACCGCGAACCGCTTGTGCACCTGCTGCGACCCCGGGCCCGAGTACTGGAAAAAGAGCACCGGGTACTTGCGCGCCGGGTCGAACCCCGGCGGCAGCCGCTCCACGTAGTTGAGCCGCACCCCGCCCTCCACCTCGATCGTGCCGTACCGCTGCTCCGGCAGGTCGTGCTCCCGCACCATGCGCTGCAGCTTCTCGTTCTTCTCCACCACGTGCTCGAACCCGGGGCCCGCGTTGCCGGGCGTCGACACCACCTTGTACCAGGGCACCTCGGGCCCCTGGTAGTGGAGCAAAGCGTAGCCCGCCCCGCTCGAGAAGGAGACGCCGTAGTAGGCCTCCTCGGTGACGTTGGTCATGGGTATGACCTCGCCGCCGCCCTCGAGCCCGACGCTGTACACGTGGCGCTGGATGGACGACTCCTGCGTCGACACAAAGTACACGAGGTTGTTGTCCAGGTCGACGGCCGAAGGCGCGTCCACCACCTCCCAATCATCCGCCGACGTCAGCATCCGGGGCTCCGGGTTATCCAAGGGCGTGAAATAGGCGAGGTGATCACCAAAACCGCTGATGACGGTATCGATGTAGCCCGCCTCGGGCCGCCCCTTGGCCGCGTCGGCCGGGATGTAGCGGGGATTCGACCGCTCGAACCAACCGCCGTCCAGCTCGGCCACGTTGACCGTCCTCACCTTTTTCCCCGAGCGGGCCTTGGGGTCGACGAGCACGACATGCATAATGTCGCTCACGCGGTTGCTCTCCTTGATAATCACCTTGTCCCCGGCCCACAAGACGTTGGTGATGAGGCGGTCGTGGTCGGCGAAGCGGCCCTTGACGGGCACGGCAAAGGCCTCGCCGGCCTCGACGTCGTAAAACTGCACGTCCACGACGGGGTTGGGCGAGCCCGCCTTGGGATACTTGAGCCACTCGGTCTTGGGGTAGAGCATGTCGTCGCCCGACACCTGGTTCGTCGGCGGGTCGATGAAGAACTCGACGGGGTACTCGGGCACCTCGGTCTCGTTGGCGCGGAAAAACGCGATAAACTTGCCGTCCTCGGACCACCACGTGCCCTGGTTGCTGCTAAACACTTCTTCCTCGAACACCCAGTCGGGGATCCCGTAAAAGACGTTGGGCCCGCCGTCGCGCGTGATCTGGCGCACTTTCTTGTTCGCCCGGGTGTCGAGGGTGCGCAGGTACAGGTTGTTGTCCTTGGTGAAGGCGATGGCGTCGCTCCGCGGGCTCCATACAGCGTAGTGCACCACCGCGTTCACGTCGAGCGGGTCGAGCGGCTCGAGGGCCTGCGTCGCCACGTCGAGGATCCAGTACTCGGCGGTGAAGGAGTGGCGCCACACGCTCTTGGACTTGGTCGCGAGCAGCACCTTGGTCAGGTCCCGGCTCGGCCACACTTTTTCCGGGTGGATGAACTGGTCGCCGTAGCGCAGGCCCGACGTCTTGATCAGCGTGCGGCTGCTAAACACGGCGGGATTCTCCCCGGCAGCGCGGGCCTTGCCGCCGGCGGCGGCATCTTGGTCCGTGGCGCGGACGTCCTCGACGACGAGGTAGTCCTTGCCCGAGGCGCCCTGCTGCAGCAGGAGCCCGTCTTCGTTATTCGGGCCGGGGACCCAGCTGATGGAGTGGCTGGCGGCCGACCACTCGTAGTTGAGGATATGGTCCAGGGTCACGGGGTTGCCCAACAGAGGCTTGGCGCCGCCGCCGCCGCCGACGTGGGCGCTTCCGGGCTCGACCACGCTGCCGCCGCCCACGGCCACCTTTCCGGCCTCCTTGCCGCCTCCGGAGAGGAAGAAGAAGAGGGCAACGACCCACAAGGCGGTGAGGAGGGCGGCGATCCCGCCAAGGATGCGGCACCAGCGCCTGTCCGCGCCGCGGTTCTGAATACCGGCGCCGGGGGCGAGGAACCGAGCCGTCTCGAGGTCGTTGTCGGGATCGTCATCCTGCGGGTCGTCCTTGAGCGGGTCGTCATCATCGTCGTCGTTGTAGTTGGTGCCCGCTTTTCGGTCGGGGTATTTAAGGGCCAACTTCTCGTTGACGTGCTGGCCGATTCGCTCAAACACGAGGCTCGTGGTGGAGACGGAGGAGAGGGAGTCCTCGGAGGACCTGGGGCGGTAGGGATCGTCGGGCTTCGAAGACGTCGGGGGAGACGAGTCCACGAGGGCCGCCATCGTTGTCGCCGCTACGTCCCGTCCAGAACGCACGGGGCGTTATCGAGTTAGGACGGGGAGAAGATTCGGTTTATCGGGCCGGCCGGGGGTTTTTGCGAGATTGCAAAAGATACGGAGCGAGGGTGACGGGCAAACTACGGTGGACTCGAGGCCATGAAGGGGGAGAGGCGTTGGATGCCGAGAATGGAGGAGGAAAACAAATGAGGAAGAAGTCGTAATAAACGGCGAGGTTGAACGAGTGGAGGAAAGACTAGACGAACAAAGGCTCCCCAAGCACGCGACACTATTATACAGACGGGAGAGAGTAAGCGGTGCAGTGTGTGGGGTGCACGGGGAGTTTTGAGCGGTTGCTGGAGGATGATGAAATGGTAAAAGGATAAGAAGATGTAATCGCTCCCTGAAAAGGCGCCTCCCGATGCAATCTTGTACCTTGGACTAGTCCGGCAGGGACGTGGCCTGAAGCGCCAGGGGCTATTGTGCTGCAGGTGAATGTACCTATACCTCGGTACAACGCGCTGCTTGCGCTGCTCACCCACAGGCCACGAGTCATCCACCTGCCGGCCCGGCCGTGGTAGAAACATGTCGCAGGCCACGCGTGGGGAACTTACCGGGGCTGACATTCAGGGACCGACAGACGACAGCAGCCGGTGGAACAATGAGGCCGGAGGACTAAAACAACCCCTTTGTCCTCCCCAGCTTGAGGGCTTATTAGTAGAGCGACATGTCGAATGCAGGCTTAGCCAGCGTTGGGATAAATATAGCTTCAGTGGATATCAATGAATAACCGAAATAATGTGATCTATTATTCTAACTCCAACCATACAAGCTTGATCCTGGTAATAGCAACAACAAAGACGGCAACGACAGTAGCAGTAGGGGAATCATAGCCTGAACAAAAGAAAAGAAATCCAAAAAACGACAAAAAAAAAATTAACCCTGCTTAAGTTGAGGCACCTCGGCCGCCGTATCATCAATCTTCTCCACCACGCACGCGGTGCCGTACGCACACACCTGCGCGAAACCACCCAGATCACCAGCGTCGAAGCGCAGGGCGATGACGGCATTGCCGCCGCGGGCCTTGGTCTCGGCGACGACGCGGCTAATGGCGTCGTTGCGGCAGCTGTACAGCATGGTGGTGAACCAGCGGAGCTCGCCGCCGGCGACGGACTTGAGGACCATGCCGAGGGAGGCGGCCCAGTTGCGGGAGCGCACGGTGAGGCCGTAGACGGCGCCGAGGACCTTGACGATGCGGTAGCCGGTGATGTCGAACATGGCTGCGTTGGACAAGATGTGTTAGATGGGGTTTCTATTGCGCTCCTGCTTGAAATCTCTTGGTTCTATGCTATCCCCTCTAGATAAAAGAAAGAAAGAAAAAAAAAGAAAAAAAGAACAACTTACTTGTGGTGATGACACCGTCCGTCTCGGTAAAGCAGTGGAGGTCCGACAGAGAAGGAGGGATGTCAGCCGGGCCGACGTGGACGGAGGGGTTGACCATTGTGGGTGGGTGGGGGAGGTGTAAGTGTTGGTTGATTTCGTGTCCTTGTGGGGAAACGAAGAGCGCCTCGAGTGCTTGATGGCAAATGTGTTCTTTATGATCAAGGTTGAGGTCGACGGTATGTCAGATTTAGTGGCAAAGACAGTGATGAAAGAGTAGATAGATCAAGGTATGAGTCTAGTGAAGCTGTGTGGTATGGATGAACGAGGTTGAAGATATCGAGAGAAAAAGATCAAGACAAAAAGCTAGACAACAGCATCGCTTTATATAGACGACCGACACCCTTGCCTCTCCTCGCATAGATCGGGTTTTTATAAAAACATCAAGTTTCCATGGTCTTATTTCGCTCATGCCTATTCCATCGACGCTGCTCCACGAAAACTCAATTGAGCAAGCATCTGATGTATTCTGACGGGCCATCGCGAAATTCTGAGGCCCCTGGCGGCCCTATTTCACCTATTCCACGCGACTCGACCACGCTCTTCCACCCAAAACGGGCTTCGCATTGTCGTATTTCGTATCAGTTTCCCAAGTGGGGAGCGGCACTGTGTTATTCTTAGCGCGCCAAGTACCGCCGTTTGGTCCGTTTGGTCCCCTTGGTTCCCCCGCCGCCAACTGTGGGTCCTTGATGCACACAAGGGAAACCCGTCGAGCTAATACTGTCCACATTGGCAAAAGCCACACTTGGATCTTCCATTCGCCTGGCTGGGCACTGTAGATCCCTCGATTCTCTTACTCTAGACGTCAGCTTAGGAGAATTGATCAATATTCCAAAGCTGCGTTGGAGCAATGAGGAAGGACAAAGACCTTGCACCCCGCATTCACCCGCCCCGCGTACACCGTACACCGTTGCCTCTAGAATTCTGCAGCCTCGAGCCAATCTAAGCCCTGGCCAAAGGAACATTGAAAGCGAATCACTCAACTTGGAGCCCAGAGCCCGTGAAACTGCACCTGCCACCTTCCGCTCCCACCCGCATGCCTCGATCAGCCCCGGAAACTCTCGGGAGCAGAATGACTGGCCTCATGTCCTGTTCTTTTCCCTCGAGTGGGAAGCAAGAAAGCTACCGTTTCCCTCTCTCTCTGAGGAGGGGCAAGGCAAAACAAAAGGATAGGCAGCATTGGGGGAAATGAATAGGCCTAGAACTAGCCACCAATGCACGTTAGGGTATTTGACACTTTCTAAATAGTCCAATCAAGTATTCCTTCGCAGATCGAGTATAGCGAATGATGCGCACAGCCCCTCTCTCCCTCTACCCTCCGGACATCGCGACTCGGTACCCGTGCCCGGAACCCGCTCAATTTCGGTGGCTTTCGGCGTCAGGCGTCAGGAAATGCTGATCGTCGCTGCGGTGGCCACTATGTCACTCCTATCGATTGATCAAGTCTCGGCAAGGAACGTTTGCGCAACCAAGGGGGTCTAGAGCGGGGGCGGTGTCTCTGGTCATGTCGCTCTTCCACTGCCCCGCCCCCACCTCGAAATCGAAATCGAATAATAAGCTCCGGCCTTCCTGTTCAAGTGGTGGGGACAGCGGTGGCGGGATGACAGGGCTTCTCAGCGGTGGAAGTGGCTGCTCGTTTATCTCGGGTTAAACTAGCGCGAGTCTTGTCGCACTCAATCTCGAATCCAGATATTCATTTAACTTCACCCTCTTCTCTCCTCAAGAGCCATTCACCTTTGTGTTTTTCTTCTTCTTTTGTCTTTTCCTTCTAACTAGGTTTTATGTGCAGTTTCTTTTCTTCTCTTTCACCACCCACCCCATCAGTATCTCCCGCCCACTGCATCATTTCCAAGAGAACCCCCGTGCTACCCCCGCTGCCTCGTTCGGCGTTCCCGTAATCACTCCCGGTGTCTGCACATTACTAATAATGCTGCCTGCCCTTCACGCCCCGCGTGCATCCACAATGCGAGATGCCGCCGCCCGACTTCACGGGCCCTGTGCCGCCGCCTCGTCCTTGGACAACGACCACTTGGCTCAAATCAAGATGGAGATACACTGTTTGCTCGTGGTGCAAGAATTGCTTGAGTCTGTGTAATGAAGAGAACCCGACTGCCCCTTGAAGTCGAGCAGCATCGTTTGTAATATAATGCAATGAACACACATATATATGCGCCCATAAATGACCATTCTTTAGACATGGAGCCCCCTCGTTCATCTTATGTTTTTCAATATTCAAGAGATATCCATGGATCTGTATATGTAATCTTAACATCGAAGCAGTGTCCCAGTCCTCACTCTTCAACTGCCGACACTTTCAGGCCCAGTCGTCGGAGAACGCCAGAGAGCCCTTCAAAGAAGCTAGCCTCAATCCCCGCTATAACTGTCATTAATAATCCCCCACCTCCTAAAAAGACTCTTCCTCGGCGTGCGGCTCGGAGCCGGCGACGTGCCTCGAGCGACCGACACATCAACCTCCGCGTGTGTCGAGCGTCAGCCCGGCCTTCCTCACCACGTTTAGCGCATCACGGCGAAATCTCTCTTTCCACGTCTCCCCGTGAGTCCAAGACTGGCATACACTTTCACTGGTCCCTACAAACATCCGCAGCATCGCAACTCTCCAGCGGGTATTAACCGCTCCCCTCATTCACGTCCAAAGGAAGACAGCCCAAGTAATAGACACAAGAAACCAAAAGTCCCACCAGAAAAGATGCCTCCCCACGCATACACCCCCTCCCAAATCACCACCTACCTCACCCACATCGCCTACCCTTCTCCTTCCCCTTCCCCTTCCTCTTCCCCCGGCCCGTCCCCCTCCCCGCGCCCACCCTCCCCAACCTCGAGCGCCTCGTCCGCCACCACCTCGCCGCCGTGCCCTTCGAATCCCTCTCCCTGCACTACTCCCCGCGCCGCACCCTCTCCGTCGACCCCGAGGACCTCTTTCGCAAAATCGTCCGTCCTCCCCGCGCCGCCCTCGACAGCCCAAACGACGAAGACGACAACGCGGCCGCGGCCGCCGCCGGCGTCCATCCCGACGGCGACCGCCGCGGCGGCTACTGCATGGAAGTCAACACCCTTCTCGCCTCCGTGCTCCGCGGCCTCGGCTACGACGTCTTGTCCGTGGGGGCCGCGTATCCTTTGCCACGCAGAGCAAGCCCGGCGAGGGCTTCGACGGCTGGTAAGTCTCTTTCTGCTTCCTACAAACCCATACCTTTCTCCACCATAGCAAGGATCTATAGAGCAAATCCAAAAACCTGCCTATTCAACCAACCCCAATCAACGACTTACACAACCCCAAAATCAACAGGAGCCACATGGCCAACATCATCACCATCAATTCAACCCACTACCTCGTCGACGTCGGCTTCGGCCTCAACACCCCCTCTTCCCCATCCCCTTCCCCCTCCACCCCCTCACCCCCATCCGCCGCTCAGCCTCCTCCTCCCCCGCTCCCCGTCCCCGCCCCACCTCCACCCTCCTCAACCGCCGCCTCGTCCAAGAACCCCTCCTCCCCACCTCCCACCCGCTCTCCCCCGTCTGGATCTACTACCACCGCACCTACGCGCCTCCCTCCGATACCGACGCCGATGCGGACACCGATCTATCCCCGACCACCGCTTCATCCCCGGCTACGCCCTCACCCCCACCGAATTCCACCACGCCGACTTCGCCATCATGAACCTCTCCACCTCCACCGCCTCCAACTCCTTCTTCGTCCGCACCCTCCTCTGCGTCCGCACCATCCTCTCCAACGACCCCCTCCTCCCTCCTTCTCCTCCTTCTCCCGACCACCCCGATCATCCCAGCCAAGACGCCGCCCTCCCCACCGAACCGGTCCTCGCCGGCCAGCTCGTCCTCATGGCCGACGAGCTCAAGCTGCGCCGCGTCCGCCCCGGTCGTCCCGACGAATTCGCCGAGTACGTCGTCCTCGAGCGTTTTCCCACCGAGGATGCCCGCGTCGCCGCCCTGCGCAAGTGGTTCGGCATCAACCTGTCCCCGAGGAGAGGGCCGCCATCGCGGGCCACTTGACCGAGATCAAAGCCTCGACCGAGCCTGAGGCGTGAGTGCAAGGAGGCCCTTTTGGTTTACGTCCATGTTAGTGAGCCCGTAGTATATCGAAAGCAACGCGGCCGAAAAGGGTGGGAAAGAAGGAGACAGGCTGAGAGAGGATGTAGAGTCACGTAGCAGGTATCGTTTAGAAATCCAAACGTAGCTTAGCAGGTGATCAAACAAGGCGAATCCCAAGTTAGCTTACATGTAGACATAGCCTCATGATCAGCCTCATGATCTATATCACACCCCAACATTCCCCTCCATCAACTCGATGGCCCTACCTACCAATGGTGATGATAGAACATAGGATCCTAATGAGGAGCAAAAGCGCTTTACACGAATTTTGTTTTATCTGATTATCCATCTAAAAGAGAAGAAAGGAAACAGAAAGAAAAAGAAGACTCTCCTGAAACCTAGTCCCTCCGCCCTACGCTTTCACATTTATAGATTGGAAAAAAAGGAAGAAAAAAAAGGAGGCGTAAAAAGGCGGGCGGAAAAAGGGAGAGGACGAAGCAACAGAAGAAAGGAGAAGAAAAAAGACGACACTAGTCCCAAATGATATGCTCCTATAACAAAGACGTGGATCCAGGAGTCCTGAGCCCCGGAAGCTATAAAAAAGTCATGATAGTCCGACCCAATCCGACCCTACCCACCTCGCGCACAGCAAAGTCCGTATATCAACCGTTTGTCCGCCGTCCCTTGACTTGTTCCCCTCGTTCGACCTAGCGTTTTGGCCCTCCCTGTTTTCTTCACTCCATAAAAGCGCGATCCCGCCCGCCTGCCTGTACCCTCCTGCCATGATATAATCCGGGGTATCGAAGAAGCAAACGACCAGGTATAAACCATCCTTTGTCCGCAGCCGTCTATCTCCTTCTCGAAAGTGCAGCCATTCCCTTTCCCTCCTGCGGGTCACGGGAATGGCCCGCATAGTTCACAAAGTATAACAAAAATCCGGGTGTTGTGGGACATCCCGTGGATTGGTAACCAGTCTCTCTGGAAACCTAAAGAATTCGCAAGCCAACAAGAGCCTTGCCGAGCCTTCGCAGGGGATGGGCCCCGCCCCTCTCCCTAATCTATTCATCAACGTTTCCCAGCGAGTCAGCCATCCGCACATTAGCCGCTCAGGGAGAGGGGCTGTCGCTATACACCGCGCGCCGTGGAGCCTCCCGTCCTTCTCTTAGCCCAACGAGAGAAAGCCACCCCTCCTGCCCTCTCAATGCGTGTGTACGGGGAAAAAGATGTCCATATTCCAGAACACCTACCTTGACACGCATGGATGGACAGCTTCGCCACCCCGCTCAACCGATAGGGTAGGCTCCGCCTTGCAAGGCTCTCCGACTCCTGCGCGTTGCATCAGTCTCTCATGAGCGCCAAATTAGCCAAGGCGCAGCTTTTCTACTCCGTTGCGTCACCAGTCTGCCTCTGCGACACGATTTCTCGAGCGTAAAACTCCACAAGCATGGTAGCGTACGCCTCCAGATCTTCCACTGGAACAAAAAGTTGGAAGTCGTTCAGGAGAAGGAACTGAAGTTCAAGATGGTTCAGCTCCGCTAAAGGCAAACCACCAACCTATAAAAATTGTAAGCAACTATACAAGGGCAGGCGTAGCAGGGCGATGGGTATACATACCTTGGCATAGCGAGAGTTGGTGTAAAAGACATCGGAAAAGAATTTGCTGGCGCAGGTTACGCCGGCAATGATGAGTCGGTGGATGTTGAAGCTGTCCACGACAAAATACGTCGCGGGGCCTGTAGTGTGCTCCACCGTGTGGGGGTTCGAGATAATCTTTGGGACGCTGTGGCCACGATCGTCCATCGACTCGTCATCGTCATCGTCGTCGTCATCCGCGAGGTCGGAGTCAGACTCGACGCTATCGCTGCTGTCGTCTTGCATCGCGGTATCGCTCGCTCGGCTCTCGGAATGGCTGCGGGACCCCGCGTGGCTCGGGCGCAGTGACGCGCGTCTCTTGGCCTCTTCATTCTTGATCACCATGTCATTTACCCGCTCCGTCATCCTATCAAAGTAGACGAGGAGACTAAGGAATACGTCGTACGTCGTGGGACAGTATCGGTGTATTCTAGAGAGGTAGCTAAGGATGGTGATGGCGGGAACGTTCTTCCCATGGAAGGCAAGGACAGACGTGCTCAGGGGCTCATCTGAGAGCCGTTCCCCGACTCGCTATTCTGACTCGCCTGCTGCTGGTGCGTTACATTTCGTTGAATGGCGTCGTGCTGTAGGTCGTTGGTCGAGGTTATCTTGGTTAAAAGGGCCGCCACCATCTCGATAATGTCACTGATAGGCATGCCACTAATGTCGTATTTGAGGTGTTGCGGCGCGGTTTCGTCCGAGCTCGGTAGGATATCGGCGCGCGCGAGGCTCTGAACGTGGCTCAAGTCGCGTACGTGTATGGTCTGGAGGGGGAAGCATCTCTAAAAGAGCCCTGGCTCCCGTCTTGGAGGTAGTCGTCATCGATCGCCATGTCCCTGTATGCGGCGTTAACGGCGAAGCCGCTATCCGACGAAGGGGAGGGTTGCTGCCGGCGTAGAGATGATGGCCCCGGGAGAACGGCGGCGGCAGTACTACCGATGGGAGCTTCGCGAATCACAGACGTCGTGTGGGAAGCGGGCTGTACATTCTGCGACGGCGGCTGACTGGGGATAGAATCGGTGCTAGGAGAGGACGAAGACGGCGGCGAGGGGATGCGGGACGCCCGCCAGCGGCGAATCGAGGGGTTCGGCCGGAGGCTTATTGGGCGCTTGCGGGTCGGCAGCAGGATAGGATTGTAAGCTAGAGGAAAGGTGTGCTGAACGGTAGCGCGGACTGGGAGAGGATCGGCGTTCGTTCGAGCAGCTGGGGAGGAAATGTGAGGAGTCGCGGGCGGGTTGGTGTTGAAGCGTTGTGGTGGCGATCATTGTAGGGAAATGCGATGATCCGGGAGTATAGTCACCGATCACAGAGGCCATAGCATGGTAATGCAGGTGGGCCTCAAAAGAAAATTAGGATTATCAGGTAGGTACGTCGGAAATAAGGGCTCTGCGATGGAGGAAAAATAAAAGCGTTAGAACCTTGATCAAAGAAAAAGTGAGACGTCATCGATCTTTTCATCATAGAGCATGGCTGGCCCAGGGATGCCCGATAAGGTCGGCGAAGGGCAGCGCAAGGTAAAAGGGAAAAAGGAAAGAAAAAAATAATAAGAGGGGTGGGAAAGGTGAGGGCGAGGGAAAAGCAAAACAGAGAACAAAAGTGGTTGAACGAGTCTAGAAAACCGCGTTATGCCCAGGACAGTGGGGGTGGGACAGGCAGATGGAATTCTCGGCCCGCAGCATCACGCTTCTCGAAACAAGGCGAGCAGATTGGACAACACTCGCCCAACTCGCATCACGGGCCAGACAGCATGGGAAAGATTCAGAATGAGGGCCAATGGTACACACTCGATGACGCCCGACGTTGCCAACCGCGCCAAACCCAAGGGTGGGCTCACAGAAGACGGCAACAACAAGGGCGACAGCAACACCAAGAGAAGCACGCTTGTTGGGCGCGGGCGAATGCAAGGGAAAGTGGCGCGGTATCGAAGGCCAAGGGGAGGAGGAATGGAAGGAGGGGGAATCTCACTGTCTATGTCATAACGTGCAATACACCAAAACCCATGCTCAAGCGAAGAGAGATGCCAACAATCGGACGCGGGTGCGCGGATAGCACTAGGAGCAATAAAAACGTGGATAACCGAGCGGGCACGGAATGGAGAATGAAAAATAAAAGGCGACGATGTTGTGGCAAGCTATCGTAGGAGGGTCGTGGTCGTCCAAGTCATCGATGGCAGGAACTGCCAAAATAAGAAATCAAAGGTTCTGCCAGCAAAGGAGATCGCAAAATGCCTGGAGATTATCGAAAATGTGGCGCAATAAGGAGAGGGAGGGGTGAGTGCCAACGGTTTCAAGAGAGCAAAACGGGGTGTTTTTTTTTCTTCCTCTCGAAGGGGTGGCTGTTTTTGCGGTTCCAATCCGGATAGTGCGAAGAAAATATAGTGGTAGTAGGAAGAGATCGCGAAGGGTCAAAGTACTTCGGCGTCACAGGCACGCAGGGTGTCGAGTCAGGCGGAGGGGCGCGGTAACCAGTAGGGAGTCTGAGGGGGGCGTTCTCAGCTTCGGGAATCGTCTAGGGGATTAGGGAAGAGAGGATGACGATAGGCGGCGAAGACGATGCGTTTCGCCCACTCGTAGGTTGGGAGATCGTAGGGTGGGAGGGAGAAAAACCGCATGGGAGACGGAGCCCCTTTGAAGTGTCTAGGTGGCAATTATTAGTCGAGGGAGGGGGAGAGAAAAAGTTAGTGGGAGGTGGGGAAAGGGATTGGCTGGACGGATTGTCCCAGGATGCTACTTTCGGGGAGCGAGGCGCCAAAAGAAAAACCCGAGGCAGGATGACATAATAAGCAAAGGGAAGGCGGGAGGAAGGGGGGAATAAGGGGACAAGGTGGAGTGTGCGATAGAGTGGGAGGGAGCAAGACCCGGGAGACAAGACCCGGGCCACGAATTGCGGCCGGGAGGAGAATGGAAGGAGGGAGGGGGATGGATTGCGCACAGGGAAGGAACCACAAGGGGTTGCGAAGGTTTAGACAAACATGGCTGGCCAGAGTGGATGTGGATGCGGCGGGCATGGGCGGGCGTGGGACAGAGAGGAGGAAGGGGGCAGAAGGCGCAATCGGAAACACAGTGGTTGACGGGCCCCAACTTGGAAATCGCTGCGCACTCACTCACGTCTTGGAGGGCTTATCTTTCGCGTCCTTGGCAGCCGAGGACAGGGGAAGACAAGGGTCGGTTACGCACCGCACGCTGGACAATGTTCGATTTGATCTTCGGCAAAAGGATTAGGCACGAAGGAACAGAAAATAAGAACAATGGCGAAAGAAGGGGAAGAAGAAGAAGGGAAACGAGGAGGGAATCGGAGGAGGGTTTCGGAGCCTGGTGTGGATGCCTTTTGATCCGATTCGAGTGATCTGGGTTTGTATAAATTAGAGCCGCTGCGTGTCTTGTAACAACCTGAGCTCCTTGATACTGTGTGCCCGGGGGAGGGGACTTGGTTGGCGCTGGCGCAAACGGGAAGGCAAGGATGGGCGGTGACGTTTTTGCTAATCCGGATTCTTCCACCGAGCTGGGCCGCAGGTATTATTATATGTCGCCCCCTCCTTTTCTTTTGGGTTCTTTCCCCAGCAGCGATTTGGCCTTGATCACAGATTGGTTGCACGTTTGTCTCGTAATAATCGGGGAGCCTCTCTCTCACTCTTCTCGCCCCATGCGCGTCGCAAGGTCCAAGGTCGAGAAGCGAACGAAGCGAGGAGGGAAAGACGCAAGATTGACCCAGGAAAAAAGAAACAAGGAGCGAGAAGGAGGGGCAGAAAAACAGGCTATGCGGAGCTAGTCTTTACCTTTTCGCTTTTAGGTTGGCCTCGCTTTACGACAGCACCAACAAGATATTAAATAGTAGCGGCGGACATCGACCTTGGAAAGACCCGACCCTATTGGAAATGGCTAGAGAAAGGGGAAGAAAAGAAGAGAGAGAGAGCGAGACAAAAGAAAAAGGAGGGCCCTGCTCTCTTTTCCGGCATTCTATTCCTCAGGCTGGTCGCATGTGCCAGCGAGGAGAAACGCTACACGACCATGCTCCAGTTGCTATAAGTGGCGCGCCGGTCCCAGCCCCGATCGAACGAGTTCCAGTATCCCGAGCACGTGTTGGGCCAGCGCCCAGGGGGCCCATGATGACGACTTGGCTGAAAGGTCTCTTCGCCCTCTCGCTTCCGGCCTTGGGGAGTACTTTGCCGCCATTTGCTTTGTTTGAATGGCCCCGACGAATAAGAAAGGCGTCAGACATGTCGTGAGGAGAACAACAGAACCAGAAGGTTGAAATGTTGAATTTTGTATCTCCACGCGGATGCACACATTGACTAATTAACCCTGTACACCGCCCCTAGTGAGGCCGAAGAAGGTGTTGGCGCGAGGCGTGGCCCGAGACCATTCTCGAGACTGGTCTAGGAAGCTCAGGAGACAGTTTGAAGTTGCGTGAGGACATTATTCACTCTCAATGAACACGTTGGAAGTCTTCAATGTTATTCGCCAGCAAGCTCGAGTGGTTGTCTTTTCCAGCATTCACGTTCGGCATGGACGCAATCTTTAAATGTCAAGATGAAATAATGGTTAGAGACACCGCAATATTGTATACATGTCATAACAGTACTTTCAGGTTAAAAATGGTGGAGAAAAGTAAAAGGTTGAAAATAAAACGACGAACGCTTGCTTGGTTTTCTCTTCCAACACGCACTCCTCTGGAGAAGGTTGGCCGATCGGCAGCAGAGTCTCCCTGGTTGCACAAATTCACGACTGGTTTCAATGTCCTGATCACAGCCCACAAGCTTCAAATTTGGCCTCTCAAGGCCGAGAAATATACGGATCTATCCAGTACCAGATCGGTCTCACCCAACTCAAATCCTCAACGCCATTGATTTCGAAGACGAGCCATCACCAACAGCCGAGGTATCGCGGCTGCAAACTAAACTTGGCGGGGCCCTCGAGCTCAATCAAAGCTACGAGATCATCTTATCTCCATCTCCCGCACATGCGTATCGCGACTCTGTGTGTGCTTGTGTGCGTGTGTGCGGGCGTGCGTGTGTGTGTATGTATGTATGTGTTTATGTGTGTGTGTGAGGGAGTGTGCGTGTGCGTGTGTGTGTGTCTATCTAATATGTGTTATGCATGGTATATGTACGTGGAGATGTGCGTGCGTATGTGGGTAAGCGAAAAGGGACAAAAAGGGGTTGAGCAGGTAATAATGAGAGAACCAGAAGAGCAGTGTTTGTACTAGCTGAGGGACATGCGCACGCATCTATTAGACCTCCCTCCTCCTGCGTGAGATAGGAAAGAGAAGCAAAAAAGCGAGCGAAAAGTAAGAGACGGCAGCGTGCATTGTTTGAGACCTCGACAAGAGGGGTGCCGTGGCGCAGCAGTGGATAATGGATGACAACTGATAGGCGTACACGCAGGACGTGATTGATGGCTGAGATCACGATATCGCCAGCGATACCTCGAAAACCTCTTATCCCCAATACATCCCTCACCAGTGAGTGTAGCCTTCTTGCCTTCGCAATACTTGACTAGGTAGTAATTCAAATCCTGTGCTTTCTTTCTTGAAAATATAAGCACACAATACCTCGGTACTCTGAGCTTACATACGGACTGATGCAATCTGCTTGACCTCTTTTATTCATTTACCCCTATTTGAACGTTCCGTTGTGCGCTCCCAAGAGGCAGAGGGGGTTACATCAGTCTGGAGTGCACACCTCGTTTGTGCCTTGAGAGCATCGGCCTCCCATCAATTGACCCCCGAGTCTTGCAGAAATCTTTCCCGGGCCGGCAATTGATCGTCCGGGCGAAGCTTTCCACCATGTCCTTCAATCGTTACAGTGGTTGGATCCAGAGGGGCCACTAAAGAGCAGACCAGGGAAGATGACACGCATTGTTGTTCATTGCGTCTCTTCCCTCACCTCATTGATCAACCCAAAGCAAGAAAATAAAAACATCCTGACGCATTCCTGAACGAACATCTGTATTGGCCCGAACAAGGAAAGGAGGGTTGGTTGCCCGCCTATTCCGACCGCCGATTCAGGCACGATCCATCCCCCTTGCCCCTCCAAGCACCGCCACCGGTCGTCTGGCCTCTTGCCGGAGACTTGGCACCTTGTTCCTGTTGTGACCTTGGCGAGTGGACGGCAAACGCTAGGACATCAATTGATGGTCACAGAAAGCGAGGCCTCTTCTCTGGAACGGGGTAAAATTATGGTTTGAAGAGGAGGAGAGGAAAGAACATGGAACCAGATAAAAATAAATCAAAGACTAAAAAAGGCTTGATTGTTTGCTCGAGGTGCGCCAGGGCTTGCCCCTCCGAAGCTTGTCGCAAGTGTCTCCAACATGGTCAATCGTGGTCTGGAACAAGTGAATGCCTGAAAATAGCCTCTCATTTGAGTTGTGCACTTCTAATCCCGAGGCGCACTAATAAATGAACCATTGGATTGATCCACTGATTTGTTTAAAAATCATCATGCTTCGCCTGCGTGCTGCCCTGCAGGCTGCAGCCTCGAGTCGGTGGCGCGCCACGCCAAAAGAAACGAGGGACGAGGCCTAGCGAATCTAGTTTGCGCCATTGTTCGAGAAGCGATGGGATTCGTCATTCTTCGTCTCCACATACATGGATGGAGAGGGTCCTGAGGAGACGCCAGTCAGACTAAACGTGGCCTGCGTGAAAATATGGTGTAATAACGTTGGCTTATCTTCTGTCGCCATGATGTGATATCGGCGCCCCCGCCCCACCATGCGGAGCGATCGCCGTTGATCTTGGCCGGCCAACCCCGTTTGCCCGTCAACCCATTCCCTCAGTAATACACTCTCTTGACTCTTCACCTTTCCTCAACCTCACCAAAAGAGCAACGGCCCTCAGGGTATCAGTGTCGCGTGTCATCGCGATGACATCTGCTTCATGGGGTAGATCGGCTGCAGGACTAGGGGATTTGAAGCGAGCTCCCCTTCACTTCCCTCCTTCTCCCAAGGCACTCTCCGGGGATAAAACGGCATCTTTAGTGGCGGTAATGATGAGCGATCATACTACCACAGATGTGTATATGGGTCGAGAGGTTGATCGCTCTGAGGTGTATCCACAACCCCATCTCAACTCCCTCATCTAGCATCGTGCCCTCCTTTGCCAGCGGCTACGGCTAAGTCATTTCCTCTTTTCATCGTACCTCATTCTCTTTCATGCATCATCGTAGCCACCAAGAGTCGCGAGAGGTCGGAAACCTGGACTTCGTTTCCCTAGGAGGGTCTGATCTATGACGTAGCCTGAAAGGCACCAGTATATCAAAGTCCCTCCATTCTATGCCCTGCTCAAGACTTCACTTTTCTATGCCACTGTGTGTGCGTGTGTGGGGAACGCCATTTCTAAAGCCCCGGGCTAGTCGGGGTCAACCGCCGGCTGCGGCATGACCGAACGTTCACACGGCCACGGACCCGCCCGCCGATGATTCCCCGGCTAGTAATCGGACGGTAGACCGAGTAGAAACGTAGTACGAGGTCACAGTATCGCGTCTATCATGATGATGTAGGTGACTGGCGGCATTCCAAGTAATTCTTCCCCAATCATTGCAAGCTACGGCCCCCTGGACCAGACATGCGATCGAGCAGTATCCATTCTGTTCCTGAGGCCATTAGATTACTTCTCGTGCCGAGACCGGTTCCATCTTGAGTCCGTTTGGGGTTACACGATTTTCGCAATGATGGGGCTACACTCGTTGAGTTATTTTTGGCACAGGCACCTTTTGGCCCTCCCCGGTGTGTGCTCCCCGAGCCCCCTTTCTCTCTCCGTTTGTTATTTCCTTCTCTCTAAAATAGCGCACTCATCGTGCCGCGTTTTCAGCTTCCCCTTGTCAGTAGGCTTCTCACCTGGTTTCCCTCAAGGGTTTCTTCCTTCAGCAGTAGTAAAGGAAGAGGTCACTTGAGAGAGTAGAGCAAGCCAAGGTGCCCGCGCTTTCTTTCATCATGCTCCGTTGAACTATTGCAATTTCTTTTCTTTTTCGCTCTTTTGGGAGGTTCTGTGTTCCTCCTGATCACACCACACCTACACTACCGCGATGCCCGTCCGGTTTGTTCCACCTGTGAGAGGTTGACCGGTTTGATCTATGCATCCATCGTTCTGCGCGGATGATATCTCCTCTTGCGACTTGAAGGATTTAGTGCTCCCAACTTGACAGCTTCGCTACCTACTCGCTTCGGATGTATACCGGCATAAGCAGGGATTGGGCCGTTTCCCTCCTTGCTTTGCAGTCGATTGAATCATCTTAAACCGGATCCTCCTTCGTGAAGTTGCGACCAACGGAAAGGTATGGCTTATGTCACCAGCCTCTTTACGAGAAGTACGCAACATTCCGTACTCCCCTTTCTCTTCGAGAGGGGACAATAGTCTAAACGGCCTAGAAACTGCTAGATGTGTTGGCGTGGCTCTCTCCCCGCTTATCTCGTCACATCTTGCGAGCTGTGGGGAGTATAGTCCATGGTAGCGAGAAATTGAGATGCATCGAGAAGAAAACCAGCCTCTTCCCCCTTTTTCTCCTTTTTCAATTTTTTTCCCTTCAAGTTTTTTTCACGTTCTCCTGAGGGGTTCCGTGGGTAAAGGGTGGGCGGTTGAAGTGGCTTGCCGCTCGACTGAAAGTTGAGCGCGCCGAGGCAGGTCAGGTTTGGAACCGAGGTCTTCGATCATACTTCGTACATAATGGGACCCCAAACGCAGGTTCTTGGAAACGGAGAAGACTGCATGTTTCGTCAGCCACACGGGATGTGTAAGATCTGATTCACCGAAGAAGGAAAGAGGCTTTTAAACAAGCGAGATTTCAGGAAAACTTAAAAAGTTGGAAGGCCACGTCAGTATTGTCGCGGAAGATGCAATCATATCGATGTGGACGACGCAAACAGGTTCCGTGCAAATGGGGGCCGCTGATATCACGAGGCGATATATATTCAGGCGGGAATGGAGCGAGCCTTTGATCATCTCCTGCCTATTGAGGGAGGGAGAATGGCCGGCCCAGGATGAGAGTTGATGAGCGTCAAGATAGAGGATGGGCCACAGACGCAGGCGCGCAATTTTAACGACGCGATGTGCTGAGCTTGCAAGCACCTAGCCAGCCGCCGGCTACAGTGCCCCGATATTATCAAGGCGGGCTGTCTGGTTCTTATGCATTCGCTTGGGGCTGTCTCCGCATCGGCATACACCATCTTTGGGCGCGGATCGGAGAACTATCTGGAAGAATTCTAGTTCCGTTCACCGCAGCCGTCAGGTCGGGCCAATTTTACACTCCATTTGTCAGGAGTGATTGGCCTTGCACACAATAAGTCCATGGGGACCTAGACTTATCTAAAGGATTGAATTTGTTGCAAGGGGGCCACCTCCAGCAGAGAAGCCCTGACCCTGATTTCACGACTGCATCATCCAGCCCATCTGGTTGGGATGCTGACGGACTGGCTGCCCAGGGATAGCCTGCCGGTAATAACCCAGTCTGGCGGATCGGATCCTTGGGACGCAGCTACTTGTAGTATGTCCGACGCAAGCCCCGCTAGCAGCATGGGTTTGGGTTGACTACCTCTCTAGCGGTTGAAGGCCGAGAAGAGACAAGCGTAAAAACGTGCGGGTATTGAACTAACTAAAAGCTGGTGTGAATCAGCACAGATGTGCGAAGTAGTCAGCAATGGCTCGGGGGCCGGGGGTTGCGACGACCTCCCCGATTTTGGCAAAGAAGGGCATCTATAGTAGAAGAACAGGAACGGGCTATTGCGGTATTAGGGTGCACTATAAGAAAAAGAAGCCCTTCGCCCGGGGTGGATATGACATGCCAAGAAACAAGTGTGGTTGACGTGGGGCGGAAGCTCCAATGCAACTCCTGATAGCTCTCCCGCAAGCCTCAGGGCACACGGACTCGACGACGCGACATCCGGCCTCGTCCGTCAGGCGGTTTGCAAAGCACCAGCGTATGGGAGCGCCGAAAAGCCCTGGCACTCCCCTCTTTTAATTGCTCAATATGGGATGAGCCGAGCACTTGTCGCGATTTGCTCCTGCTCCTGTCAAGATCTCGAACGCCAAACAGGCATTGTTTAGCGCAGTTTGTGCACGAGGCAAGAAAACTCGATAAGCGGGGAGGGGGTTGACTTGGGGTATCATTATCAAGCCTGAACGAAGGGACCCATAGACCGATGAGGTGAGGATGGAGCACTTGAGGCGAGAAGACAACACAACGATGCTGACATGGGATTTGAATGGATCCATGGATCTCTCTCAATTGAAGAGTCGACACGAGTGATTTGCGTGTACCTTGCAGACAAGCGCGTGGCGCTAGTCTCGTCGAAAAGAGGAAAATAATGGAAGAGAAAATAAAAGGTATGGCCAAAAAGGAGCCGCACTTTGCATGTAGAGCCACAGCCAGAGCCACAGCCAGAGCCAGAGCCAGAGCCAGAGCCAGAACTAGAGGCGGCCCTTGGAATAGCGGGCGATTTCAAAGTCTTGGCCCAAAGGTCCCTTCCCTCGCAGTCCCGTCTTAGACGACCCTGAGAAAAGCGGCCCTGCATCCACTCAAGCAAACAGCACGACCATCCTCCACCTCCGCCTCCACCTCCACTACGCGGGACCCCTCCCCTGCTCCTTCTCAAAAAGAAACTGCAAGTCTTCCCTTGAGACCAAAGTTCTCCCTCTCCTTCCCTTTGGACTTTCCTTTTGTGTCTGCCCTTTCGTCATTGCTTCAGTCGCTGTCAGTCTCTACGAATCGACCTCAAGGCTGCCTTTGTCTTTGGCTGATCGTCTCCTCATTCGTTCCTTTGTTTCGCCACGCTCCGACTTTAGTTTCCCTACGCTTGGGGTTTTTCCTCTTACCTTTTCTTTTTGTCTTTCCCAAAACTCTCTTTCCCCTCCAATCCTATAATCCGGCGATTGGGTTTCGACATCCCTTCGCTCCCACAGGCCTCTCCCCTCAGCACACCGGCGGGCGCTTCCACGCCCAAGTGAAGCGCCATGGGACTTCTAGGCTCCAACAAGGACCGGCTCTACGTTGCAGTCTTCTATTCAAAAGGCGAAGATGTGTAGGTAACCCCCAACTTTTTTGCCCCTTCTCCCTCTTGCTGCGGCAATGTCCTGCAAGTCATGCGGGCCGTGTTATCCGTTTGAGGGCTGGGGGCCGGGGGTAGCAGTGTTCGCCTTGGGATGGGGGCCGCGAAACCCCGGATTTTCCCAGGTGACGCAGGCCTCACCCCACGCGATATGCGCGGACGGACACGACAGCCCTGTTGCTTGGTCCCGAATCATCATTTTCGCCTCGCCTTTGCTGGCGCTGGTTTCCTGAAACAGACGCTAACGCCGAGCGCTTCGCGGTGACCAGCTTCCGTTGGGCACTTCTAGTTTCCCCAAGTCCGAAGACGATTCGTCCAAGGGTGGCACCCGGCACCACATTTCGAACAAGCTCCTCCTGCGCGGCGGCGCCTGCGCGCAACCTGGGAATATGAGAAGCTATCCGTCACAGGCTCGTCCAGCGCAACCCCATACGTCAGGGTGCTCGTAGGCAAGGTCAAGAAGTCGCAAGCGCAGTTTGAGGCATCGGTCGAGAAGGCCGAGATCGTACAGGACGTAAGTACATACAATTATCCATGTCAGTTAGCGCGCCTCTGCTATTGCAGTAGAGGTGGGGGATCCGGGTATGGCTAATGGCATGCTGCACAGAACCCCGAATGGACGGATCGCTCATGGGTGAAGGCTGCTCTAGCGCAGCTCGCCAAGGATGGTGTACTAGGTAAGCATTCCGCTCGACATGCGCAGGCGGCGCGTTGCACGAGAGCGTCTCCCGCTCCTGCGCGTGAAGTACCGCCTCCCGTGCCCCCTCAGTGGAGCTAACATCCTGTGCCGACTCAGGAGACGTCCGTGACTGGGCAAAGATTGAGAAAGAGAGCTTGGCATTCGCCGAAAAGAAGAAATCCGAGGGCCGCCTCGATGCCTGGAATGGCAAGGCGCCGACTTACGACTTGACGCAGAAACGCGAGACGGTGAAATAAAGTTAGGAAATGAGCATTGTCTCTGGAATGATATCCCAATGCAGAAAGAAAGAGGTGCTCGCGGACAAGACACATAAGAGGTGGTGAGGTGGCGAAGACCTGGGGGAAGCGCATGCATAAAAGGGTCGGGAAGGACGGGGTCTTTTATGGTCAAGTTCAGCGTGGTTTAACGTTACACATATATATACATCCATACATTGTTGTCTTTTTCTATGGGTACTTGCTAGATTCGATTTATACCAGTTTCCGCTTCTCCAGAACTTGAAGGACTTTGCAGGACCGGGAAAATCCGACATTTCTATTTGCTGAACACGCGCATTGGGCGGCGGAGGTGCGAAGATCTGAGAGGTTGTCGCCGCCTTGACGCTTCGTTATGACGAAAGCATGCTTCAAATCGTTTGGGTACTAATCCCTGGCGCTTCTATTCTTGGCCGTCCCAGGGGCATGGGACGCGAGTGCCGACCAACCGTTGGGCCAAGGTAAATCACAATAGGGCTAGGTGGTTTGGGACCCCAAAGGCGATAGGTCAAAAGCCTCTCTCCCTCTCTCTCTCTCCCTATTCACACATTACAGACGTGGAAAATTTCGAATTTTCGTCTATTCCCCGGACAAGTCTCTCCACATGGAGGGCCCCTCCCCCTTGGTCCAATCTGGTCATCTATCTGAAGCACGAGGGCGCCACGACGGTTTGGCCCCACGGGCTCTTTTCTCGCCCTCCCTCCCGTCAGCGTTTTGTTTATTCCGAGGGTTTCGGGTTTGTTAAAGAGGTGGGTGGAAGGGAGAGTGGGATATTGGGGGTTGCTGGCTGGGTTGTGGGAAGACGAGATCTTTTCTCCTGTTGGTTGGGCGGGGAGTGGAAGTACGGGCCATGTCTTTCCCTGCCTCGGAGGGGAACGGACCTGGTTTTCATGGTCTTTTCGTCCGATGCGATATTATCATTGTACTTGAAATCACATGTCGTCGAGTCCCCGTCTCTTGGCCCTTCTAACGGGGGTTTGGTTATACTATATTTATGTATCCCTCTCCATCAAACGTTTCTGCTTGGCAGGCCCCTTTGCAATGAGAGTGACTGTCAAGCCTTTAGAGATAAGAAAAAACACAGCGGAGAGAGAGAGAGAGAGAGAGAGAGCGAGAGAGAGCGAGAGCGAGAGAAAACGTATGCCTCTCAGCCAGTCCCGTCGGGGATGATCCGCCTCAGCGTTTACGTTGGGCCATGTCCATGTATCATATAGCAGGAGAAGAGAGAAAGCAAAGAAGAATAGATAAAGCTTTAACTTCTGGTAATGGGTTACACACGAGCATCGGTTCTTTTGCTCGTAAAAAGAGATAAAACAACACTCCATGATTCCGATGTGAGGGCCTCTTCATCTTGACTCAGCCGTCTAATTCGTTTAAAAAAACAAGGCATTTTCCAGCCCTTTGTCCTTAGATTATGTGAGAAAAGAGCTCTCCTTCTTTTTCCGGGAAAAAAAAGAAAAGCACAAGGACAGGGTGTCTCCGAGAGTAGCCCCCTCGTCATCGAGTCTCTCGTCTCTCGCCCTCTACACCTCACTCCATTCCACCGTCTATTGCTGCCTCACCTGGTACCCCGTATCCGGAAGGTACAGATGCCTGTCCGCGCCCTTTGCCGTCAACACCACCATGCGGATGACACCGCCCGAGCTGCCATCCCACTTGATGGCCTCGGCGAGAGCGCCCTTGACGAAGTTGACGGCGTCCTTCTCCTCCATGCCCTCTTTCCAGTGCGCGTCGCAGTAACCGTAGATGTACGTCGAACCCGAACCGCCGATGGCGTATGATTGCTTGTGTAGGGATCCGCCGAGGGGAATCGAGTATACCTGGCCGCCGTGCCTTTCGTCCCAGCCGGCAATGATGAGGCCAGCACTACACATTGTGTCAGGCACCGTTAGCAAAGAAACGAGATAGAGAAAAAGCAATGCCCATTGGAAAATTCAACAGAGGTTGTGGGTCGAGTCAAGGGGGTGGGTTCAACGAACGAGAGGTTATCCTTGTTGGAGTAGCAGATCTCCTGGAACAGCGACGCGGCCGTCTGAGTGGTGGGGGTCTGGTTGTTTACGGTGGCGTAGAGGCCGAGGTAGTACTGGACAATGTCGGCGACAGCCTGGGTGTCGGCAGCGGAGCCGGACCGACAGCACCAGATGGTGTCGTGGACTCGGGTGAGCTTGTCAGTTACTCGGTTGGCGATGTAAGCGCCGGTCGTCGTTCGGGAGTCGGCTCCTATTCAGCGTTTTCTTTTGTGAGCCAAAGATATCCAAAAGAAAGGGCGGAGGGGAGCGCTTGAGGAGAAAGAGTTGGATAACGAACCTAGGATGACGCCGTCCTTGAATGTGACAGCCATACTACATGTCGAGGGTCAGAGGGAGTTTAACGGTGGCGAGAGAAATTTTTGCGATACATACATGGAAGTTCCGAGGCTGCCAAAACAATTGTTAGTACATCCGATCTGCTGCTTGCGACTTGGCAATGGGATCAAGGGCGCTGGGAGCTTTGAAACTTACTTGACCTCACCCTTCTTTAACCTATCCATATCGATGTGGATGCCATCTAGCCCGCCGAGTTAGTAAACAATTCCCGCTGGCTGTAAATGGCAAAACGGCCACTGGCATATTTCGGTATTCGTACCTTCGTTGAGGTTGCCGGTCTTGGAGAAGTCCATGATGTTAAGAGTCGGTGTATATGCTCTCGGCGGTAGGGTGATGTAGCGCAGTCTTGACGTCAAGACTAGCGGATGTCGGTTATCGGAAAACGCAAGGGTGAAAGTAAAGTCCAACTCTCGATCGTGCGATGGATGCAGTTGCAAGTTCAGCGTCGACGTTCGAGGGCGAGGGGGGGGTGTATTCGCTGGGGATTGTCAAGGCTGAGATCAAGCTTCGTTGGAGCTCCTTCGTTTTGGGTGGCAGGCAGCTCTGGGCAACGCGTTGCTAGCGAATACATCACCGCCTTGCTTAGTCATCGACGTATTTCACGTGATAGGCTGTTTCTCAACTTGAAGCATGGCGAGTAGACCGATTGAAGCGCCCGACAAGAATTGAGTATTTAGGATGCGATGCCCGACTTTGTCAAATAGATCAGGTATGGAACCGAGGCATAAGGCCTAAATCCATATACTCACGATGAATCTTTTCCAAAGTGGTGTTTGGAGTGTGGAAATATGGTGTTGGGTGTTTTCTGTACATATCGGCGTTGTCGGCTTCACCATCTCTGGTCCCTAGCGAATTGAGCAGGAACCCATCGACTCATGAGGGCGAGTCACCTATTTGTGTCGATACGACATGGAGAACAAAGTTTTTTTCCAATTTATTCCTGATGGTTTTACATGCCCGTGACTCCCGGTTCGCTTTGTGAATATATAATAAAAAAATAACAAAAAGAAAAACCAAAGGAAAGAGGTGGGACTAAAGTTGATTACGGTCCCAAACACCTCCTAGTTTCCATATCCTCCTCGACACAAAAAGATGCGCAAAATCCCTACTGCAACTCTGCTCTACTCTCATCCTCATCCGTGTCAGCGTCCTTCTTCTCCCCCTCGCTGCCGCTCTCGCCGTCGCCCTCGCCGCCTTCCTTGGCATGACCCTCCTCGCCGCACCCGCAGTCGTAAAAGTCGCCAATCTTGGTGCAGTCAAACTCGGGTTTGTGCAGCCTCTCGTTGACTTGGTTGTGCATGAAGCAGGCCCATCCGGCGGCGGCGTTCCTCGAACTCGTCTGCGGGGGTAGGCGGCGAGAAGCTTGCGGAAGTGGGCGGCGCAGTCGCCGCAGGGGTATAACCTCGCAAAGAGGTGGATGTAGGTCTTGAGGGCGAGGCTGTCGTCGGGTGTGGGCTTCTCGGGGAAGCGAGCCATCATGGTGTGGAATAGTTTCCAGGAAGCGCGACCAAGCTCAGCTCTGTCAGGGGAGAAGGTCAAGGGTTAGCATCTTTGCAAGGCAAGGAATCAAGAGACAAGGCCAAGAGAAGAAGAAAAAGGGAGGGGGACCAGCGTACTTGAGAGTGGCATTTTCCAATTTGGGGGCAATGGACTCGCCGCTCAAGATTCCCTTGGGGATGCCATTCACGTCGATGGTCGCCTCCTCATCCGTTACTTTTTGCTTTTCGGGAGCATGGCCGTGGGTCGCGGCAGAGACATCGACGGGAACGGCCGGGGTAGAAAGAGCGCGGTCGGGGGAACCGGAGAAGAGGTAAAAGAGCGTGAGGCAGGCAAAGAAGCCCAGGACCAGCATGAGCGTGAAATGCTGACGGCGGGCCATGGCGTCGATGTGAGGAGGCGGATATGGAGGAAGTTGAGTTGAATCAACGGACGTCAAAAAACGTCAAGGCGACAAGGCGACAAGGAAGGTACTGGGGGTGTGGGGCAATCAAACCATGCAGGCCAAAAGTAAAGATGAAACAGGCACGACAACGAGACAGGAGCACGCACTGGAGAAAAGGAAAAACACGGAAAGCAAACTAAAGAATAAGAACGAAAAATAAAATACGAGCGACCTCCCGATCCAACAAGAGACCAAACCCCCTTTAAAAACCATGTGCGAGCCAGAAGATTGCGACGGCCAATGGCCAAAGCCAGAACGGTAGTGTGTCCAAAAAGGAGCAGGCCTCGATCTGGACAGTCGATCATCAGCAAAGGTGTCTTTTGACTTAATTACGTGGGGCGATTCTTTGACGAATCGTTCGAGCTCATCGACCAATGGGACGCAGCCGGTTCGAGCCGTCTCTTGCAACCAACATCCATCCAAACGACGACATGTACGATTTGGAGCGCGGGGCGACGAGTTCAGGACACCATTCTTGGCGAGTCCGAGTCTGAGGGGTTGGAATCTAGGAGATAGGCGTCACTCCCATAGAGATTAAAATTTTGCTGCAACCCGGCAGAGGAGTCACCACCGAAGTGTCTATCACTGCCAACCGGTGGCAGGGTCCCTTCGAACCATTCAGTCCCGTGGGGCTCACACATCTGGTCCGGCGCCAAATGTTGATATTCGTAACTCAACAATGGCTCGGGGTGAATCTGCTCCGAGGGGACCGACGTCCGCAGAGTGGAGGCGGTTTGGGCCTCCGTGTCCAGCCACCCGCTCCGCTCCGAGGTACAGTCCGACGTTGAGCCGGGGTGTGGATACGTTGCCGGGACCCCGAAATTCTCGCCGGGCAACCCAAACCTAGGATTCTGGGGCTGCGGCCAACCCGGACCCCCTTCGCTCGTGGGGTGTTGCTCCTGTGACAGGGTTTGCACCTGCAGCGTCGGCTCGGCGTGCCAAGTCGGCAGCCCAGCCGGCATAATAGCTTGGTCCTGGTGTACTCCCTGCTGCCAATAGTATCCCGAAGCTGTAATTTGATGCTGAAGCACGCTCTGATCGTGAGCCGCAGGCTGTGAGTCTTGGGGGTGTGTCAGCAAATCGGACAACATATCCACGTCCTCCTGTGCCGAAGCTGTAACTAGATGCTGAGGCACACCCGGATCGTGCGCCGCAGGCTGTAAGTCTTGGGGGCGTGCCAGCAAATTGGGCAACATATCCACGTCCTCCTGTGCCGAAGCTGTAACTAGATGCTGAGGCACACCCGGATCGTGCGCCGCAGGCTGTAAGTCTTGGGGGCGTGCCAGCAAATTGGGCAACATATCCACGTCCTCCTGTGCCGAAGCTGTAACTAGATGCTGAGGCACACCTGATCGCGCGCCGCACGCTGTAAGGCTTGGCGGCGAGCTTGGAGGCGTGACAACAACTCGGGCAACTTATCCACGTCCACGTCTTGTTCTCCGCTGCCCATCAAAACCGCCCTGAGCCGGTTGATGAGATCCTTGCGAATGGCGGCTATCTTTGCTTGCTGACCCCAGCCCCAAGATGGTCCCGAATTATCGGTTTCAGGTATCTCTTTATCTTGCATTCGACCCATTCGATTGACTCGGGGCTAGGCACCTTCACGTAATCTTGCGAAAGCCCCGGATCCCCGGTGGCTGGTATTAGCTTTCATCTCGCGTCATTATATTTCCGTATAACTTACAGGGATCAACTTCGCTAGCTCCCTCCTTCGGCTTGTGGATGAGGCAGTAAATTTCGAGCCACTTTGCCACCTTGTCCCCCGTTTGTTCAATCCCATTAAGCATTTCCCACGTGATGTGCTTTTATGCGCCCTTACAAGATGCTGTCTACATCGGTGAGGAAAATTAGACGCTCCTTCTCACAAAAAGAGACGGGGGAGGGGAGAGGGAGAAGGGGATAAAGGGAGGCAGGGGGTTGCGTACCTGATCCGCGATACGTCGTACCGATCCGTCGGGGTAACAAGACAAATATCCTCGAGGAATTCGGCTGAATGTCTTATGCTAAACGGACAGGCCAGGTTACGCTTTTGATTTGCTTCACCTCCTCCGTCAACCAGCATGGCACCGCCAGGTTCATCTTGGTCATCGTCGTCTTCATCGTCGTCGTCGTCGTCGTCGTCTTCATCGTCGTCGTCGTCTTCATCGTCGTCGTCGTCTTCATCGTCGTCGTCGTCTTCATCGTTGTCGTCGTCTTCGTCGTCGCCGTCGCCGTCATCCCCTCCATGGGGCTCGCTTTGTTGACTGCGGTGCGCCGCGTTGCTCGCCGGGCGGGTAGGCCTCTGATGTACACGCGTGTCATGGTATTGACCACCGTTACCGCGGCCTGCCGGTCTCGAACGGATGCCCTGACTAGCGGAAAAGTCGACGTCCGACAACTGAGGGTGGCCCGAGGCTGCTGAGAGCCCATCCGAGGGTGCATCTTTTACGCGGCCAAGCTTGACCGCCGGCGACTCTGCCTCCCTCACCCGCCGAGGGTGTAGGAAACAAGCCCTAATAGACAAGGCCTTGGTCGCCAAGTTCACCAGGAGATCCCAGGCGAGGGATGTCCGTAAGACGGACACGACGGCGGAGACGATGTACTGGCAGAGGAGGAGATTCCCAAGTTGAATCAGAAAACCGGAGGCCGCCCCCTCGCTCCGCTCCAAGATGTTTAGCGTGCCATCTTGGCGCACCGAAGGAGCGGCATAGGCGGCTTGCGTGTCGATATCGCCTTGAGCCGCAGTCTCGCCCAGGTGTTCATCGCACAGCGTGGGAGTCGAGGAAGTCGAGGAAGTGGTTTGGCCGTGATGGGCAGCCGAGGCGGTTGGGTCACGAGGCCCAAAGGGTCCCGGTTCAGGGATTCCAACCTGGGACCCATATGGACATGGGGGCCCCACAGGTCGGGAACAGTTCGAGTCACGGTATCAGACGGATGCTTGGGGGCCGAGATCCCGGCCCCCAAGACTCGCCCTCCGCAGTTTTGTCCGCTAGAATGCCTCCATCGATGGGGGCGGTTCGAGACTTTGCCATGACCCGATGCGGAGGTTCGTTGGTCCGGGCCTTGGCCTTGGAGAAGGAGTGTAAGGTCTCTGGAATCAAAGTAGAGAAGGCGCCATGGCCAACGGAGACGGTTTGCCGTCGTAAGGTCTCCATCGTGTTTCTAACTTCCGACTCACATCCCCGCGTAGAAGTGGATGACTTAGGCGGCACAAAGAACAAGAAAGAATAAAGGGGACAAAGCGGGATGAATCAACTCTATATGTAATGATCGTAAGAGAATGGAAGGCAAAGACTGAGCGGAGAGGAGACTAGCCATGCTTGAACTGACGACCCGAGTCTACGCCGCGCATTGGCTGCACCGGCGCGTAGTGCGTGGCAGCGACGACAGTTAGGCTCGGAAAAGTTTCGCCTAGCGCCTCCAGATGCCAGGCCCGTCGTAGGATTCAAGTTTGTTATCCTCCCGCGCCTGTTCAATTGTCATTCTTGGAAGATGGCGCACCCAGTGGTATTGCGATTCGTGTCCTGCCCACCTTTATTCAACTTTTACATCCGACACAAGAATGCCTCGACCACTTAGATTGGGCAAAGATCATGGAATAATACATCTCCCAGTCCTATGAACACAAGTTGACCACACGCCTGACTTGGTTCTCCGGATACACACCCGGGTAGCACGTCCGCACCCCCGGATGTGGAGAGCATAGGCCACTCAAACCTGTAGTGGTCTTCGTGCTGCGGACGGCTGGACAGTGCCTAGGGCCGCCGCGCAAAAGTGTCGTCTTGCCTCCTTTTCCACACATACAAGACTGCCCACTGGTTCAACCCTTTTATTCTTGGAATCACTTCTCTTCTTGAGGGAAAAGGAAAGAGGGGAAAACTTGAAAGGGGCGGAGCGGCCTCTGCCCCAAGCTGCAGAGTGGCCAGCGAGAAAGAAACCGGAGCCAAGGTTGATCGGCCTCGCTGTGTCTAAAACCACCACCAGCCAGTCGGTATGCTCCGGCGGCGAGCACCTTGTTGACCTCGCCGTTTCCACGTCGGTCAAGAAGCAGAAGTCTCCTTGGTCCCAAAGCTTTTTTTTTTTCTTCTTCTTTTCTAAGGTTTCTGTTTCTGCCACCATTTCATTTCAACACCAAGGCGCGGTCCACATTGGTGTGCAGGATTTCTCGTCTGCGATTAATGGCCCAAGGCGCAGAAGATGGAGATGCCACTGCGCCAAGCACTAGAACTACTCAACGAATGTGCAACCACCCGGAGTGAGCCAAGGTGAGCAGGCGGTGCTCATTCATTAGGTGCCCATTTCTAGCCCCTTTGCCAACGAGGGCTACACATTACCTACACGGCTACACGGAAACCAGGCAAACCATGATTAGCTCTATTCTAGTATGGGCCTAACTCTCCGGATGTGACGATCTCAAAGAAGCGGAGAGCTCCGGCCGCCAAAGTGGAAGATTTCCGCCAAAGTTGCGAGTAGGAGAGGGGCAAGGAAGGGCGTCAATGTTCCGCGGCGTAACTTCACCATTTGACGATTGTAATTTTCCAGCCCACCTACATACCCAAGGGTGCAAATTTAGAGCCCCCACAAGTCAGGCGGTTGCGCACAAGGGCAGCCAGAATTCGAATCCGAGAGTAAATGTAAATGTAATAATCGTCAGTGGCCGCCTATTGGCAGTGGTTCGCCCCTCCGGCTCGGCGGTGCTGTCAGGGCGTCCCCGGGATGATTGGTAGTTCGTCAAGTGAGTTTTTATGTCTGCATGTGCTCGCAAGTCTCTCTACCTCAGTACCCTCTCAAAAGTAAGGAGGATGGGCGGGGAGGAAGGAAATAGGGGAAAAGAAGCAATAAACCAGGACACATGGACGTACATCTCCTAGAAGGATTTTGGTGTAGTCTCCCGTCAAGCCTTGATCTTCACATTCACTGACTGCGTCTTGGCATTTTTAGTCAGCCTCGTTTGCGTGGGGGCTCGGCAAGACTAGGCAAGATGTCGAGATTCCCTTGAGGGCGGAAAGCGCTCGAGTGGGCAGGAATCGCATCATCGGTCTAAATCGCCGCCGTGTCTGACATGCGCACACGTGCGTTCAACTGGGAGCTTTTTCGGGTCGCTCGAGCCCATGTTTCCCGCTGGCGAAATGACGGGGCCGGCGAGATTCGGCGCGGGCGAGGCAAAGAAATGCGCCATTGTTTGGGTGTAGGGGTGAAGCTATCACGGAAGACCATGGACAATTTTCAAATGTCGAGCATGGGTGTAATTTCCATTCGGCATTTCTCGCGCAGAGAATTCGTTGCGAACGGCGATGTAGCTACAGGATAGTATCAAGAGCCCCTAGCCTGGGCTATGTGAGGAAAGAGGGTAATGGCATATCAGGTATCCATAGCGAGAGACCTAAGATGGATCGTTGTAGGTGGGAAGGTCAGTCAAAGTCTTCACCACACTAACTTTGTCCTCTGTAGGCTGGGTATGGGAAGCTTCCTTTCAATTCTTCTTTTTTTCCACTTTCAATCTAGCTCCTCTTCCCATTGTGTTGTCTCGTCCCAAGGTCAATTTTGGGCGTGCGGTATGGAGGGTGCTCTTCGAAATACTTGTACAAGTAGAACAATTAAGCTGTTGTCGCCTCAGTCAGAGCTCCAGTGCTAGAGCTCTAGTGCCAGAGCTCCAGTGCCAGAGCTCCATCAAATGCATGATGATGCATCCGTTGTGGCCTAACTGGATAAGGATGGTCTAGACCATCCGCGCACGCCTTCCCGGATTGGGGGTGCATGTTCGGTTCGATGGGTCCTGGCTCCGGCGCTCAACATCATTGATTGATGATAGCCGGGCACGGGGGATGTTCAAATATCAACATGTTTGCACTGCCATCGGGAGCGAGGACAGGCCAAAAACAAAAACCATGCAGGTCCGTGCATGTGCACGCACCCAAGCAAGTTGTCGCACAACTCCTTCCATCTGGATCCTTCTTTTGTTATGTTTCCTTGAGAGCATTGAACCATTCATTTGATAGGCTGCGCGGCTGTGCACGAATAGAAATGAGAGGGTGGCATTCCACCTAGGCGTTGAGCTGAAGTTGCAAAGTTGTCAGGGTGGCGAGGGTGAATGGTGTGTCTCTATTGTTCGCATCGGACATGGTTGTCTGCTGCCATCGTCAGGACCAAGTTGGATTTTTCGGCGTTGACCAAGTTGATGCCTACGGGACCCAACCCCCATTACTTTACTTTGTGTTGCACTGCCTTAGCCAACGCGATGGAAATAACAAGTCAATCGAGAAGGGAGAAGACAGGTGGGGGAGGGGGAAATGGATATGTTCCAATGTTTCGGTTATGTCGCGCACTCTAGCTTCTTGCTTTCGGCACCGAGGTTTTTGTTTTTCATGGTTACATGTATTTAATAGATTGAATAAAAGCTTGAACGAAACCACAGACTAATAAAAAGGAGTATCCATCCACTTGTCAGATGCAATGTTCTCTCCCCGTTCCTCTCTCTCGTCACTCCCTCGGTACGATTCGCAATCTCAGATCTTGTGACCCTACATCTCCGCGTCCCAATGCCCAGAATCTCTATCTTCTCTCTCAATCCCTTTTATAGCATCTCCCGTTTCTCGCATCGGCCGGCTGGGCCATTTTTGCTAAGGTCGTCCTCTCTGTTGTTTGCTGTGTGGTGTGTGTGTGGGGTGGTGGTGGTGGCGGTGGTGGCGGTGGTGGAGCTTGGGCCAGGCCAGCCCAAGCTTTGGAACTAGAAGACTAGAACAGTTGAGGGCAGTGTTACAATTGATGCGAGGTGAGAGTATGCGTGGACAAGTGGACAGTGCTGATTGTCTCAAGAAGTTCCATTCGAGACTTGGGGACATTGTTCCGCGGGGGTGATAGGGTTCATAGAGTTAAAGGGAAAAAAAAGAAAGAAAGAAAGGAAAAGAGGAAGAAGAGGAAAAGAGGAAAAAAAAAAAAAAAAAAAAGGCCTCCTCTCCCTTTCTCTTCAACGGATTCGCCTGTCCATACTTCAAGGTTGTCGCTATGGTCCTCCGGCCGGCGACCCAACATCGATCTTCAAATCCCGTGGCGCGTGCCAGTCAATACAGACAAGACGGGAGCGGAGTGACACTACTTGAAAGACCCGGTTTCATCGGACAAGACGTCTAATACGTCGCGATCGAACTCGGCCGGCCCAGGGACTCTGATGATGCCCACCGCATCAGTTCGCATAACATCCGCATAGGACTGTGCTGACAGATTGGTAGCAGAAGGCACGCCCGAATATATTCCCGAAGGCGGCCCCGGATTTACTTCGTGGTTGACGTCGTCTCCCAGAGGGAGTCGGCTGGAGGTCGAAATGGTGGTTGTGGGACTGGCTGCGACGGAAGCGGAAGGGGCTGACGACTGTTCTTCATTCCGTGGCTCAGTGGATTGGGTGGATCCGAGATGGCAGGAGCCGCCCAAAGGCAGATTAGCTGGGTCGGCGTTTTCTGGAAGCGACGGGCTGGGGTGCGGGAACCCGTGCTCCACCACGGTATGTTCCATCGGAGGGAGGTGCGACACCCGAGGTGCCACGGAGCTATCGGGAGAATCGGGTCCTGACATGTCGACGAGGTTTTCTTGGTCTATTCGGGTCGTGGTGACTTGGTCAAGAGGCATGTGTGTAGCCAGCGATTTCCAGACGGGTAATGAGATTGTGTGTTGCGTTGCTAGCTGACACCTTGACCAAGTGAAATGTTCTCACTGTCCAAGGGAAATAGGACACAGCACTAACACTTCTCCCAAGGGAATTCTGGGAAGGGCAATATGTGGAGGAAAATGAATAAAGAGGAGAGAAATGGAGATGAATAAAAGAAGAAAATTGGGGAGGGGAGAAGGCATTCATCGGTGAATCCATATAGGTCTAAGGATTTACACGAAGGAAGGGCGTCAAACGGACGACCACGCGCACACCGACCACCACACAGTGGTTTTGTTCATATCCACCCCCACCCTCCCCCAGCGCCTCGCGAGGAGAGCAAGTTTTTAGTAGGGAAAGGTGTCAATGAAAACTAATATTGAAGTTTTTGCCCTGCCGTGCAACTTGGCCTGGACCTGATGTCTGCGTCCCATCTCTGCTCGAGGGAGGCTCCACACTTCGTCTCACCAATCGGGGCGCAAAGCGATAGCGTCGATGGGGAAGAAGGCATTATCCGACCTGTACTTTTTCAAGTTCTTTTATGATTGACGTGGCTCAGATCACTGCGTAGGTCCCCTATAGATGCAGGATCTCGAAAGATTTTAGGTGACAAAGACAAGAAAGCCGCATCGTTCAAACCGACCCGCCCGCCTCCCGCACAATGGAGGTAAACTTGGCAACATTGAATGATCCGCTTGTGCAAGTAGAGAGTACTCGCGCCACCCCCTCCGTAGCAGTAGCCGTGGGGGTACTTGATTCCCAAGGGGGAATTAAACACAGTTATAAAATCCTTTTTTTCTTGATACCCTATACCTCCCTGTTGACATCTCCTATCTTGTCAAGAAGTTATAAAGGTATAGGGGAGTCGAAGCCTGTTTTCTGGTAATATACGAGCGTCTGTTTCAGGGTAGTTTTTATATTAGATGAACCATTACATTGTACATGTAGCGTCTCCAGTACTACCGTGAGTGAGGACATGCGTGGACTGGACGACGGTTTCAGGTCCGGTGTGCTCAAATGTTGACATGGACGAGGCAAAGGCGGGAATGAGGCACAAGGCGGCTGGTTGATTGTGGATGGAAAGGATGGAGAGGCATGTCACCGCAGATGCAATCATTGGATGACACGGAGTGGATTAAATGAAGCGGGACACACCTTTCACGAAACCTACCTGAGGCATCAGCCGCATCAGCATAACTGAAGGCTACATGTATAAACCCCTAACAACAGCTTCTATAATATTTAGCATCTCACTAGTCTAGTTATCATTGATCAGTTATTCATATACCCCTAGCCTTCTATCAGTACCTCTACTAGCATAATTCTATTATAAACCCAAATATCCTTAATAGCCGTTGTAGGTGTAGCCCGTTGGGCTTATACCTGAGCGATTACTTGTCTCGTCCACCCTCACCTAAAACCTCAACGCTTGCCCCCCCCCGCATCTTTCGCCTTACAATCTTAGACTTAGAACCCGTGGTCAAGAAAGCCTTTCAACTCCCTGACTACTACAAAATCCGATTCTTTTTTCTCTCTTTCTTTTGTTGCGATCAGCTGTGCTATCATTTCCCCGCCCATGTGCGATTGCGCGAATTCCATCATCCTATCAGCGAAAGGAGAATGAAAATGGGGTTTCCGGGCACGGCTCCATTGTGCAAAGGAGCCACACCGGCACTATCCCAGATGTTCGATCAATACTCGTTCCCCGAGGCAATTCCTCGAGGCGATAAACACCATTGAATCGGCGACCTTCATTCGCTTACCGTCCTATTGGAACATGTTTAAAAATAGGTCATCATAGTCTATTTCGTCGTCACCAATCTCCAAGTTATGCGTTGGAGCCTCATCCTGCCCTCCCACGCCGAGCACAGATTCTGATGTCTCTGCTGTGGCCTCGAGAGCCGGGGATGGCCCGAGAATATCATCCGTGCTCTCAGACGGAGTTGCGGGGCTTACGGTATCCAAGGGCTCGACGTCGTTGACCCCGACTTCATCGTCTTGTCGGATAATCGCCTGGACGATTTCAAGGATGCGGCGGATGGTGGTTTCTCTCGGGTCGAACAAGGCCAGGATATCGCCCAGTCTCCCGGGTAATTGATCCAGCATCCTTGCGCTAATCTTTGGGCCTCGGACGGTTCCGGATCATAATCTGGCAGGTCGGGTCAGCCCCACTTCCCCACATAGCTTTTCTCAGATAAAAAAAAAGAAAAAAGATCCCTGCCGAATGATACTCACAAGGTGAAGGAATGTTGGACGTCTCGCCAAAGAGAATCCGGTACATGGCCCGCCATCTCATGGCGCAAGTCCCGTCCTGCCGCCCAGACCGTCTGCGCAATCGGGCCCACTGATCAGGTGTGTACCCGTGGCAAGAACCGGGTTCGAGGCTCTGGGGCTCGCAGGCGGGGGTCTGGCGGGCATGGACGCCGAGCTGGTCGACATTGTCAAACTCTCCCTGACACCGTTGACACGTGGGCCGCCCCTTGTGCGTCCTTCTAATATGGTCCCTATATTCCCGAAATAAGAATGATTAGTCATGTTCTCGACGACGTCTCTCGTCTCCCTAGTCACGTACTTAAATCGGCGGTAGTTATCCCATCCGCCATTCCGTCCGCATCTTTTAAATCGGATCGGATCCCGTTGATAATAGGGGCACACGAGCTTCTTTAAGCCCCCTTGAGGGCTCCTGTCGTCCGGAGGAAAACCTCTGCGTTCGTCGCCGCCGTCGCCGCCTTCCTCGTCCTCGCCAAAGCTTCGTCTTCTTTTCCCGCCGCCATTCTTACTCGCGCCCGCCCCTTTCGCGCTATGGGGTTTGCCGCGCCCGGGTGATGTTGCGCGGGAGACCGACCACCCGATCCGGAATTGGAGGTCAAACCGGCATCGTTGTAGGATACGAGGGGGCGGACGGCATTCCCGCGAATAAAAATTCCACTGATTCTCCGCAACTCGGAGGTCGGTGGTGGTCATCGTCCCCGTCCGTGCCGGACGCGTGCGGTGCCCAGGGTGGCGAAAGCTCGGTCTGCCTCGGGCGCTGTGGGCCTCCGACGGAATTGTGGTTGCCAAGTGGGGTAACGGGGCGGGCCTTGAGATGGGTGCGGTCCGAAGGATTGCGGAAGGGTGCGGGGCCGGGAAAGTCGCACAGTGTCAATTCCGACAGCGATGGATGATCCTTTGGGCTGGCCACGTGGACGCAGGCGTGATAGACGGCTAGAAGGAAAACGAGGGTGAAAATAAGGTACATGTCCACGCGATGTGTAAAGCGGTATTCGGCCATTTCAAAAGCCAGCTTGCTATATTCAAAAGACGCACATTCTTGGCTACGGTTCCACGAAGGCGGCAATGCCATGGGCACACTCGCATTGAGGATGAACAATGCTTGCGTATCGTCGTCTGTAGGTGTTGGCGCGCTGCATAGTTGGGGATACATACTCTCCTTTGTTCAAGCGAATGGGGAGAAGAGAAGAAGAATATGATTTAAAAATAAACAAAAAGGGAAGAAAGAACCACCACCGGCGTCTTTGTACTCTCTTTATCGGATCTTTTCAAATCGGCGTGTTGTTGGAGGGAGGGGCAGGGTAAGAGCGGGTCTTGGAAGGGGGATATCGCGCTGGAAGGGATAGGCGACGAAAAAGGTAGGGAAGATTGGAAAGGTGAAGAATAGGAAAAGAAGAGAGAAAAGCTTTAGCTAATAGCAAGTGATGGGCATATATTGGGGGCGTATAGTAGGCCGTGAGCCAACAACAAAAGGAGAAGAAAAGAGAGAGAGGAGGCCGGCTTTTATCTATTGCTGCAAGTGAAGTATGGCGAAAATCCCAGCTTTCCCGCTGTGGAGGGGTTCGCGTGGCATGGTCAGTACTCGATACAGAAAAAGCATTTGCGCAAAATGAGAGGCCTCAAGCTTTGTTCCCAGAACAGCCACCCAATGGCATGGATCTCGTACCTCGGTACACAGTGTTCAATTCCAATATGAGCACGATTGCCGGCCAGGTCCTGCATTGCCTAGAGAATGGGCCCTGTTGCAAGATAACGCACCGTGGCGCTCACGTAAACTTGTCCCTGTGCCTGAGCACCTTCCCAGCCAAGCCAAGCCAGCTTCGTATCCGTCCTTCCACTACAGAAATCAATGAAAGCTGTTGAGCTTTTTCTCCAAAGTGGGCAGGCACCTTGGTAATAGCCTCAAGAGTTGTCTTCGTTATCCTAAGGACAACTTCATCTTCTCTGCGCACCTTGGCACCAACAGAAAAGCGAAACAAGATTAAAAAAACAAGATATATGGTCCTGCCGTCGTCTTGCGTACCGCAGCTCCCAAAACCTTTAGCCACAGTTCCTCATATGGAAGCTCTCGCTCGATCGCTCGAAGTCGGGGCCGAGGAACGTGGGCGGGGAACGTTCCCAGTCACAGATCGATCTCGCAGGCCCCGTGCATGCAGACCCCATCTCCGAGTCGCGGATTAGGAACGGCCACAGCTGTGCGAAAAAGGGGGTGGAGTTTTGCAAACCCATCGCGCGCGCTGGACGGTAACATGGGGGAACGGCAGACTCCGTCTGCGCACAATCAGCGCGCAAGGTAGCCCGGTCGCCTCAGAAGAACGAATTGTCCAGATACCTAATCCCTACCATTTGCGCACCAGACGATCGGGGATCGAACTCGTGCCAGTTGGGGAAAACAAAAAAGAAAAGAAGAAAGAAAAAAGGAAAGGATGAAAGAAAAGTATATAAATAATCAAGTGAGTCTTGTCTCCAATCTCTTGCTTTGGCATGTCCCATCAGTCCATCAGTCCATCAGTGCAAGCCCTCGCAGTCAAACTTGGCAAACAAAACCACTTACAACGGACTATCCTCTCCATCTTTGGCCTAAGTCCAAGCCTTGAGCGAACTGCACGTGCAGCTAAGCAACTTCAAGTTTGAACTGCTCTCAACATTGCATCATCATGGAAGGATATCTCACACAGAGGCCTGCTCCATTACAGGCCCGTCAAGAAGATACCCGGGATGAGTAAGTATCGTAAATCTTTCCGGTGTCTTGGTGGACGTTTCTTTTCTTTTTTTTTTTTTGCTTTTTTTTACTTCACTTTTACTTCATTTCCATTTCCATTTCCATTTCCATTTCCATTTTCTTTTTACATGGATGGATCAATCGATGCCAACCATAATCATATTTGTCAGCCCTCGTTCTGTCCGCAACCACCTTGACCTTACCGAGATCAACCTGTTTCCATAATTCCATTCAAACTAACTAGTTTTTATGGCCTTAGTCCCGCATGCTCAGACTCGGAGCGCATTCAACGTGCAAACGCCTTCCTTTTGGCAGACGTCCCCATCTCCGAGAGACTCATCGCCTCGACTTACAGTGAAGGGCCTCACAAGGGTACGGGGCAGCGTGAGAGAGCCCTGGCTGAGATGATGGAGGGGCTCGTCAAGGTAGCCAGACCAGCGCGGGAAAAGACGCGTTCAAGACAAACCCCCAAAAATACCGAGAAGCCACACATCTAGATGTAACTCCGGAGGGGTGGATCTTTCCTTCGGTATCGATTGATTGGATGCCCCGTATGAGGGCGTGGCTGGCCCGCATGGTACATCTACGTCATGGGGATATGGGAGAGGGGTTTGGAGGTGGAGGAAGCTCAAGGCTTGGTTGATGGCAGGGGTGGGGTTTGCTTTTCGTAACAGTTCTAGGCTTGCAAATTGTGCTACAACCATCTTAAGACTGTCGCCAAGGTAGAGCTTTCTAGATCCTGTAAGCCGTACTATTCCCCCTGGCCCCAAGTCAAGAGCGTTCGGTTTGATTCTTGAGAAGGGGCACGGGCGGATGACGACTTCTTATGTCGGAGATCAATCATTTCCATCATGACGCTACTGCATAGAACTCGACCGGACGGGGGGCACACGAAGTGGGCTCGAGGCCAAGCTTGCTTCACCAATTGAAGGCTAAAGGAACCACGCCTGTACAGCATAGGGCTGGAACGTTTTACGTCGAGACCTGGCCGGCTCTAGGAACATTGAAGCAAGCCCCAGTTCGCCAATCGAGAGGGAACAGGCTGGCCTGGTATCATCTTCAGCTAATTGGCTTAGACCTGGTGGGTTGATCGTCCCTCACCAATGAGCACTTGAGCTTTCATGCCTCACCAGGCGCATTTTGGTGGCAGAAGGGTGACCCCTCAGGCCCTGAGCCAGAATTGTTGAACAGACGACGCCACAATTGATTGATCCACAGTTCGAGGTACCTCAGCAATCAATGATACATAGTAGCTCTTGTTGAGTCCCGTGATAGTTCATGGTTGGCAAGGTTGGCTGGGAAGGGCGACCCAACCAACCTTGCCAACCAAGCATTTGAACGCTCGTATATTTGGCTCAAGCACCTAGGCCCGCGAGCTCATCGGTACATTATCAATGTAGGCGGACTGAATCACGAGCGTTGGACCAGCACGGACGGAGCGAGTCGCCGTGGAAAACAAAGCCCGCTTTCTTTTGTTCTCTCCCCGCCCGCAAGGCTCCCCAACCGTTTTCGATTTTCGTCCTTGTTTGACCCTTGAGGCTTTCCCTTTGCCTTCTTCTTCTAAAGTGTAGACTTTCTTCAAGCTTCTCCTCTCTCTAGACGTCATCGCTTATATATATTCTTTAAAGAGCGGCGAAAAACCATGTGAGACCCATTCCTCCCCTCCATTTATCTTTTCTATCTTTTTTTTTCTTTTCTTTTCTTTTCTTTTTTTTTCTTTTTTTCTTCTTTTTTCTTTTTATTTGGGGGCTTTGCCCGCTACCCGCTATCGTCGTCAGCCAGCTTAGCAGTCAAGAGCAATGATGCAATGATGCAGAGGAGGGACCGAATCTTTGGAGCAACAGGTTGGAGCTTGACCTGGAGCTGGAAGCTGGACCTGGGGTCGGTCTCACGCCAATGTAGCTCAGGGGTCCTGTCCCACAGAGAGCGCTCAAGCCTTGGGTTCCAGCGCCGCCATTCGGCTGAAAAACAAATGCTGCTGCCTGATAGTCCGGACGAGACAAGTTGGCGGAATATTCTTGAACAGGCGATTCGAGTTGGGGAAAAGCAAAAAAAACCCCGAAATGGCTGGCCCATTCACACCCCCAGCTTCCCTAGCGAGCACACCACTTGCTCCGGAAAATGGCACTCATGGGCTTGCCGGCACCCCCTGCCCGCCATGCCAAAGCAAAATAAGCAACCATGACAGCCCTGGGATAAACAGGGTTCAGCTCAAACAGCAGCTAAATTAGAAGCGCGCCTAGAGAACTAGAGAATCGGACTGCAGCGATTCGTAGTGTTCCGTTCATATAAGAGAGCACTGAGGTGGGAGATAGATTTTCCTGTCAACACGATAAACATAGCAAACTAGTAGAATGAATACTTCATCCACGCCGTGGAATGGTTACTTTGAACGAGTCTCATCGACCGACGATAAAGTTCAGTCCTGTTATGTTTTTGTTTTTAGGGGTTCCTTTGTTTTCCTAGGAGAAAAGGCAAGGAGCAAGGAAACAAAGAGAGAGAGGGAAGAAGGTACAAACACCCCCTTTCCCCCTTAGTGCAATGCCATTCCCGTTCGTATTCGTACAGCGTGGCGACGCTAACAGCGTCGAGCTCGAGAACCAGTTTCGGTAGAGTTGGTAGCTCATTCCATCCATCGGTATCAAGGTTCATCTCTAACAGATAGAACGACGTGATGGGATCAAGCCCATGAAGAGTCTGAACCCCCGCTCGTCCATCTACCCAGTGCCGCTCTCCTCCGGGGTTTTAACAAGGATAACACGCCAATCCATCCAATGGCCGTAAAGGCCGCTCGAAAATTCCAGCCGCCCCATGCAGTTAATGTTGACCTGACTTGTGTCTCAGCCACCTCCTCGTGGGCGTGGCTTTTAAAAGTAAGTATACCGAGGTATGCAAGAGAAAGCTTTTGCTTTTGGCAAGTAGCAGGCCGTCCTTGACGTCGGTACACTCAACCAACGTCTGGTTCTGCAAGATCTATCCAGGATGGGAGCAAATAGCCCCTTCCCTGGGCACAGCACTAATAATCCGACGGCCGAAATTTTCAAAGCAAGGTGAGAGGTGGTTATAGTATACATGTACATCCGGTATACATCCATCTCAAGTCCTAAGCGTTCCGAGCCGCCGCCACAGAGCGACTCGAATATCTCCCCTAGTTTGCCTACATGTCTTTATTCGGTACACATCTGTCATGTAACCTAGCCGATGCAGGGTAGCTAATCCACATTCACAGCTACATATAGCGAGAGTGAGATGTTGATATGAAGAAAAGTAATTTTCATTAAAACGCAGATGGGGGAAAAAGGAGAGATTAGAAAAAAGAAAAGAAGACAAGCCCGTTATGGTCATACGAAGATTCCCCCATTTCCATCACATTCGTAAGAAGGGTCGGGCCACACGAGCATGAGATTGCCCCCATCCATTGTGCAATTCTTTTTCTTTTTGGTACAACCCATCCTTATCCTCATGAAAATCCACACGTTTTTGGAAAAGCAAATCAAGGCAATCGAAAGAAAAATCAAAAGGGTTCAAAAATCAAAAATCAAAAACACTCTGCTTCCATGCTGCCGTGTTCCCTCAGAGCGAGGGTTTCCCACCATCGCAATCGTCACTGCTCATCGAAACCGGTTCCGTGGCATGGCAGACGGCCGACGGCGTCACCTCACGCTGCTGAGGGTAATAATACAGGGGATGGGGAATGCCAACGCTGCTGCGCCCCATACTGGCCTAGTCCCCTAAAACCCGAACCCAGTAAGCTGCGGCGCGAAGCCGTTCGTCTGCTGGTACGGCATCGGGGACGGCGAGGGCTGGCCCATGGCACCGCCGGGGCCAGCGGTGATCATGAGACGACCTGTGCCGAGAATGGGAGCCGAGTCATCCGCCGTCTCCTGCTCCTTCTCCTTGGCCTTGCGGGCCTCGTTGTCCGCCTTTAGGGTCGCAAGCTCCTTGGTCTGCTGGCTCAACATGTTGATCATGTAGGGCATCGTGAAATCGTTGAGGCCGTGGCGCCACGAGAGCTCCAGGATAAGGTCAGGTCGAAGAAGATCGTAGCAGGCATAGAGCATGCCGACGTAGCATTCGCGGCTGCCAATATCGACAAACTAGAGCAAAGAGGAAAAAAAAGTGTTAGTAAATAAGGCAGAGAAAGAGAGAGGTGGGGGAATGGAAAAACGTCGTCTCTCGAGGGTGTAAAACGACTTACGTAGCGGATGAGCTCCTCGACGACGTCGGTCTTGCCCGAAATAGCCGCGGTCTCAATGGCATCCTTGAAGAGCTTGTCTTGCTTCGACAGAGCAATCGACTTCTCCCATCGCTTGTTCTTGCGGTAGATGCTGGCTGCGATTTGTCGGAAGAAGATGAGGTCGTGCTTCTCCAGCCGGGAGGCCAGGGCCACAGCGTCGTAATTGTCGTAATTCTCGACCGAGTCCCGGAGCGTCTTGTAGTCCTCCTCTTCGATCAAGAGGTCGTTGATGGCATCGTTGACCGTGCGCTTGTTCTGCGCCTGCACGTTGAGCAAGAACGGCTTGATCAGGGGCAAATCGTCGAGCTTCTGGAACATCTTGACCACACGGTTGACGTCGATGCGGGCCGTGAGGGACTGGAGGAGATCCGTCAGGAGCGAAGGGTGCAGCTCGAGGTAGAACTGAATCGCCCGGTAGTAGATTTCCAGGTTGGCCACCTTGACCACCATCTCCTTGAATTGCTGGTGCTCCCACGAGTTCTGCGAGTGCTCAATGACCGCCAGAGCCGCATTGTCAAATTCGTCGTAGTGGTAGTAGCAGAACACGAGCTCAGGCCAGAGCTGCGCGTCCTCGCACGCCTTGATCAGCTTGGGCATGTTGACACGCGCCCAGAAGAGCTTGAGGTGCTCCATGAGCTTCTCCGGGTGGTACTTGGACAGCGCGATGCCCAGCTCCGTAAACATTCCCATGTGCGCGCGCTCGAGGCCGAGGCCCTGCTCGAGCAGGTTGATGAGCTCATCAAAGTAGCCATTGTTCTCGTACTGCTTCACGAGCGTCTGGAGCTGCTCCGCGTCGACAATCAGGTTCAGACCGCAAATCTGCGCTAGACGGAACTCCTTCTTGTTCACACACGCCTCATGCACCTCCTTCCACACCTTGATGTTGTTGGCCTTGCGCGCACACTCCACCGCCGCCTGGTAGTCGCCCAGGTGCACCAGCGTCGTGGCAAGCTTGGCCCAGTTGGAGATGCTGGAGAAGAAGATCTTGGCCGCCTGGAAGAAGCCCTCGGCGTACGCCTTGTCACCCGATTCCTCAATGTTGGCCACGTTGGTACCTCGGAGGAAGTCCTCGAGCTCGGTGAGCTGGTCGAGGCGCGCGTAGCAGAAGGCAAGAGCCGTGTCGATCGCAGGTTCACGCAGCGTCTTGCGCGCCATGCGGAGGAACTTGATGAGGTCCTCGTCCTTGCCAGCGTGCACGGCAATCTCAATGACCTCCTCGTAGTTCTTGGGGTCCTCGGCCTTGATGTACGACTCGATGGCGTCGCTCACGCGCAGGCCGTCAAGCTGCGCCTTTGCGACGGTGCTCCAAACCTCCGACAGGTCCACCTCCTCGGCAAAGGCCTGTGCACGGTCAATGCTAACAACGTTGTCGACGAGGACACGGACGGCGCCCGAGTTGTCGCCCGTCTTCTTGAAGATCTCAAACGCCTCCTCGTATAGGCCAACGTCGATACAGGCCGACGCAATGTCGGGTGCGCTGAAGCCGTCAAGACGGTGGATGTAGTCCATTACACGGTTCTTGTCGGCCTTGGCGGCGGTGAAGAGGAGCAGGTTCTGGAGGTTCTGGTTGTCGCTGAAGGGCGAGGGCTCGAGCACAATCTTCTCCAAGAGCTCGATAAGCTCCACGGGGAGATCAGCCGCGAGGAAGGCCGCGACAGCCTCCGACACCTTGCCAGGATCGGTCGACTCGGGGACGGCAGTCGAAATGACCTGGTCAACGACGGAGCGTCGGTGAATGTTGTTCTCGCTCAAGACGAACATCCAGAGCTCGCGATCGGCGCGGTCCAAAAGGTAACGGGCCTGGGCGCGGTACATGTTGTTCTCGTTGGTCACATTGACGAGCTCAAGGTCGTTTTGGCCCTTGGAGTAGGCAATGTACGCCAGGTTGGGGTCGCGCTTCTCGCAGTACTTGCCAACGACAAGGGAGTCATATTGGTCGTTCTCCTTGAGGAACTTCTCGGGGTTGTTGTTGGAGTCGATGTAGATCTTGGCGAGCGCATTGTACACAGCCTGCTGCTGGTTGCCCGCGGCAAGAGTAGCCTCGAGGAACGGCAAGAGAATCTTGAGACGGTTGCGGGTCTCGACCTCGGAGACAAGCTCGTCAATGGGCACCGACGCGGGGTTGACGGTGGCGAGGAGCTTCTTGATGATGTCCTCCTCGCAATCCACGTCAAGGAGGCCGCCAATGACGGCGGGGGTCCGGGCGGGGTTAACGCGCTGGACGTATGACTCGATGGCGTGGAACTGCTTGTTCTGGTAGAGGAAGAGTACAAGGTCGTGCACAAAGTTGAAGCGGTCGCAGACAATGATGAGGGGAGCTGCTCGGGAAGCTTGGCCTCCTTGAGGAAGTTCTTGACCTTTTCGGGGTTGTAGTGGTTGCTGTCTCGGCAGATGCGCTCCACTTCGTTGAACTGTCCCAGTTTGGTGGCAGCCTCAATGTACTTGAAGTGCACGTCGGCATCCTCAGAGAGGTTGACGACGCTGCCCAAGTAGTAGAAGAGACCCTCGGCCGTCTTGTACTTCTCAAACAGGTCAATCAGCCGAACGGGGCCGAGGAGGTCCGAGTACTTGGTGGCAATCTGGACGACGGACTGCAGATTCTGGCGGATGTTGTGCTTCATCATGGCATCAAGACAATCAAGCGACTGCTCGACTGAGAGGCGACCGAAGAAACCGACAAGCCAGTCGAGGTTGAAATTGGGAAGCCCGGCGATACCAACAACAACACGCTTGACGGCGGCGGGATCCTCGTAGAGTTCCAACGCTTTCTGGGCGAGGCCGGCCTGCTCGCAGAGAGTGGCGACGCGCGACTTGTCAAAGTGAGAAAACATGTCGTTGCCAAGAATGGCATCGGCAACCTGGGGCGCGTTCAGGAGGTTCATTTCGAGCAAGCGGGTTTGGAGATGGCCCTGCTCGGGCTTGTTCTCCTTGAGGGCATCAAGCAAGAAAGCGGTGGCCTGCTGAATCATGCCCTGGCTCTGGAAGATGTCGACGACGCGCTCAATGTCAACGAGGGAGCCACCTTCGTGGTTGGCCAGCGAAGTCGCGAACTCGGCACCCTTTTCGGGGTTGACGCGGACAATGTGCTGGAGAAGCTGCACAAAGTCGGGCTGGTATCCAGACTGGGCGGAGTAGGGGAGGATCTTATCGAATTGCCCCGTCTCGGCGAAGCCAGCCACAACCTTTGGGGGACGTTGGCCTTGAGGTAGACGATGAGGGCCATGTTAATGTCGTGGGGGCGGATCAGGTCACCAAGCTGCTCCGAGTAGTCGAGCTTGTCTTCCTTTAGCCACTTCTCCAACAAGTTCTTGCGGTTCTGGGCAAGAACGGGCTGGGCAAGTTCGAGGGTTTCGTGCTTGTTGAGCCCGCCCTTGTCGAGCAAAAGGCCAAAGTACTGAAGGATAAACGTCATCTGTCCGGGTTGGGCAGGGATACGCTTAAACTTCTCGATGGTCTGGGACGTCCGGAGGAAGCCACGAGGCGAGTTGGCGGCGATCTTAGCAGCCTCCATGTACTGGCCAGCGTTGAAGAGCTGCTCAAACTGGCGTCCGTACAAATCATCAGCACCAGGCAGGCCGCCGCGCGAAGCGAGCTTCACGGCCATCTCCGAGTTGGCGGGGTTCTGGAGGAGGTAAGGGATCATGTTGTTCTCATCAATCGTCACGAACAGAACCTGTCCCTTGCGGTTGATACCAACGATACCGGAGCTCAGGCTGTCGGGACAAGTGGTGAAGATGGTTTCGCTCGAGATTCGGTTCATGAAGATGCAAGTACCGGTCTCCAGGTCATAGAGGTGGATGAAACCGTATTTGGTGACGAGATAGATGATGCCGTACTTTTGAGAGACCTGCAGAGCGACAGGGAAATCGTTGGTGGCCTCGGCGGGGAAATAGACATCGACAGCCTTCTTCGGGAAGACGGGGTTGCCCTCGGGATGATCAACTTCGACGACGTGGAGCTTCGCGGCACCAGTCTCGGTGCGGACGGCGAAAGCAAAAACCTTGGTGTCCTGGGCCGCGCCTTCAAGTCTGAGGGTACCAAATGAGGCGGCGTGTCCTTCTATGGCCTGGCTGATACCACGGTCCTTGGAGTACAGCTGCATGTCACCGCGAACGCGCCCCTGCTTTTGGGATATACCGACGGTAACTGTCCACTTGCCGTCGAGGCTGGAGCGGTAGTTGATGATTTGACAGCCCTAGAAAAGAAGGCGGGTTAGTTGCGGGGGCCAACAGACGCAGGAGGGATCCACCAAAGTGTGCGTGGCTCTAGCCGCAATCAAGGAGAGCACTAGATCGGCAGGCCGAGGTAGGGGAGGCAAGTATCCGTGAGCAACATACGCTTAGGCACGCGTGGCGCGCAAAGACCTTGACAGGGGCCGCCTGGGTGGCATCCGTGATGTCCCAGTGGTATACGCTCGAGTCGGTAACCAGACCAAGTGTCTTCTCGTCGATCCACTTCCAGTACTCGACATCCTCGTTCATGGTGGTGGCCTTGAGTTTCGCCTTCGCGCCAAGATCGAAGACCTGCAGGGTCCTAGACTGGGCCTTGAGGGCAATAATCTGCTTATTCCAGTGCATGATGGCACTATCCGCCTTGATAGGACGTCTCGTGACATTGTTGCCGTTCTTCAAGTCAATGATGACGACTTCGGGCTGGGGTCCTTTCTTTTCTTGAACGCATACGAAGGAGTCTGACTCGAGTGTCTATGAGGGAAAATCAAACAAAGGGTTAGCTCAAAAGCTCGCAACAGATAAGAGGCGGAGCTTCGGAAAGCACAAAATTCGATGCCAAACGATGCGTGCCTGAAGGAAAGAGATGGGTCTGATGCGAGATAGTGCTAAAGGATCTGGTTGGGAGGGGGCCAAGAAGCTTCTTCGGCCATAGGGGCAAGATGACGTACGCAGGAGTTGAAGCCGATGGAGGCAGCATCGATACCGACGCTTGTGAGCTGTACCAGCTCCGTGAAGTTGATGGGGAGAGACTGCGCCATGATGAAGCAAGGCTAGTGCTCTCAATTGAATGTTGGGGTGTGCAGTTGATGGTGCGCAAGCTCCTGATGACGATTCGGTCGGGGGAGGAGCCAAGCCGATCAGGAGATGATGGGCGGGTGGGGGAGCTAACGAGAGTCGAAAAAGGTGCAAAGACGACAGTTGACGAACGTCTCCCAACGCGTTCCTAGGGGCGACGTCTTGGTTGGAGATGCGTTCTTCGTTGGGGCGAAAGCTGGAGAAACCGCCCGGGTCCCATGCGGCAAAACAAGGAAGGACAGGCAACCGGTTGGGTATCGCAAGAAGAATGGATAAAAAAGGGGTTTTGCGAGGGAGTGGTAGAAGAGAAAGGAGGAAATTACAGGATGCGGAAGATTAAGCGGACCAGCTCGAAATGGCTGAAATGGGAGAGAACAAAGATCTTCGCAATCGTTGGAGAGGTAGGTTTGATGGAGGATGTTTGATGGGAGAGTTTGGGAAGGTTTTCGGGAAGGGATGGGATCGATGGACTGGACTCCGGAGGTGTGTTACTTTTTTGGTTTACCTGTTCACTCGCGAACCTCTCAGCCTGGGAAGCCAGGGGGAAGCACAAAGAACAACGGGAGCAGGACAGCGGTACATGCGCGAGGTACCCGGACACTTTCGGAAAGCCAATATGCAGTGGGAGGGCCAGCAGGGTACCCACAGCATGCCCTAGGGAAAGTACACTTGTCCCCAAGGACCTACCCAATACATGCTCCTACCCTCTTTGGCCAACCCGTTTCTTGGTCGCGACGGAGGTTCTACAGGGGCGCTCCAGGTCCAGGTACGTACCCTTCGCTTTGCTTCCTTGCTCCAGGCACCTCTGCTTCTGATTTGTGGTTGCTCGAGATGAGATGAGGCCAAACCTCCCTTGAGCGAAGCAATGATTGGCTGGATTAGGTGTCGGAGCTTGCTTTCCCATCGTTTAGCCGACCTTCAAGCACGTGACTAGATGTGTCATCATGCATTGCTGCAGTGTGCAGGCGTCTGGCCCGTGGGACATGACAATTGGGACCTGCATCGAGCTCTCTGTCCAGTTGGCCGGACAGTGACAGGTCAAGCTGCGTTGGAGGCTCGAACCCCACGTCACGACAAATCACGAGCAGAGGCAAAGCCATGGCGTGGACGATTGATTGGAAGAAGGAAAGGCTGAATATGATCCAGGGATATCCCTAGAAGCTATCTTCCCCACCGTCTCCCCAACATTGTTTGTTTCTCCTATTGTTTGTTGAGTTTGCAAGCAGCTTCACATATCGGCAACGTATAACATTCATCAGCTATCCAAGCCTGGGACAGAATGCGAGCTTCAAGCAAGAGCCATCCTATGAACAGTTATGCGGTCCGCATCCTCAGCACCAATATCCATCAATAATAGTCGTTTAGAGCCAAGCAAGGGGGTCAATGAGTATATCCTCATAACAAAAATAAGGAAACCCATCTGTCTCAGCTTGGGCTCAGTGCACTTACTTCGGGCCTGGTGCTCTTTGGATCGAGGTTGCAGACACACGCGCATGCCGTACATACTTGTTCCACCTGGAGTCGTGCATCAACATTACTCTATTTGCTTTTTTCTTCTTTTCTTCATATAGCGGCGCCGAATTCATGCAGGGCTCTCGCATGTTTCGTTGTGTATTCTCTTCTTTTCTTCACGCCATTGTTTGTTTATTTAATAAAGAAAAAAATGAAAGAAAAACAGGTTTAGTTTTCGTCACCTATCCTCACTCATCACTATTTGCTACCCTTTTCTCAACTTGATTGGCCCCGTTGCATCCCATATCGCTTTTACCTATGCGTGAATAGCGTGAATGAAACTGGGAAGCGCTCGAGGAGACGAAATGCTTTAAACTCTCTACTAGTGGCCCAAGACGTCTTAAGAAACCCGTACCTGACGATCCCGTCCGCTCTCAGGGGTACACTGCTCAAGACAATCACTCGATCTCAGTAGATACATACACTTTAAAACGTTGGAAAAGAGGTGTTCTATAAAAGAAAGAAAAAAGACGTCACAATGGTCGTCATATCCTTATTCATACGGAGTGGAAGAGGAAGAGGAAGAGAAAAATAGTAGTAGACATGCCAAGAACGCCTTCATAAATAAACATGGAGCATTTTTCCCTTTGAGACATTGGGAGGCCAATGCTCGCAAACTTTATCCGTCATCACATCACTGAGCAACTATTAGTTGACGTCGCACCCCGGCCAAGCGTTCCACTATACTCCTACATCATAAGTGCGTGCGTGCGTGCTGCCCGCTTTCGCTGCCCACTGCCCGCTCTAGATCCAGCTGTTGGGGCTTGCGCGGACATGCGCGAAGTGATCATCGAATCCGGACAGGGTCTTGTACCCGATCCTAGCCGCTTCGATATATTCCTTGGCTAGATCCTCCTCTCCCAAAGCGGCATAAGCGTCCGAAGCAAACTTGAGCGCCTTGACGACCTCAAACGTCGTGATGCCGCGCTTGCCACCCTGTACGACCTGACCTCCTCGCCGCTCTCCTCTGTGGTGACGGTAGGAATATGGCCAAAGGCGCGCAGAGCCTGGTGGGCCCACCGAACCGTCTTCTTGTGGTTCTTGCGCGTGTAGTAGGCCTGCAGAAGCCACATGCTGGGCCACACCAGCGGCAGCTTAGGCACGTCGGCGTAGATGTCCGCCTCGAACGAGGACTCGAGCTGGCGGCCAAGCTTTCAATGGGGCGGATGGAGGCGTCGGGCTGGAACTGTGTCGGCTTCTTCTTGCGCAGCAAGAGTTCGAGTTCGGCCAGGGTCTTGGTGCGCTTTTCCTGGTTCTCGGCCGAAGACTTGGCCTCGGTCGCGCACAGCTCGCACTCGCAGTTGAAGCCCCAGTTGCGGAACTGCTGCTGACGCAGCGGGTAGATGGCGCGAGGCGCCACGTAGATGTGGGTGATCTCGGCGCCGGCGGGGATGTCCATGGTGGCAGTAGAGATGAGGAAATCGCCGATGAAGGAGCGGTTTGTGTTGGGGACACACGAGTGGTTGGCGTAGGCGGCAGTAGCCCACAGGCCCCTGGACATGCCGTCGCGGCGGGCGGACCACCGACGCTGCCACATGGCATCACTAATTCGCGGGCCGCTGAAGCAGTTCTTGCGTCGAATCGACTCGAGAAGGAACACGTCAACGACGGGCACGCCGTCGACTATGTCACTCTCGTGTTCGGAGCGCTTGTAGGAGCCGGCGTGGAGGTCAAGAACCTTGGCGTGAAGAGAGGGGTTATCATGGCAAGTGCGCACGAGATTGGCGAAGAGGGCGGCCGAGTTGTGGTCAAGGTTAAACTCGTTGGGCACGCACACGGCCTTTTCGCAGAAGACGGTTTCGCCAGCCTTGATATCCCTGGTAGCAAAGAGACCACGGCCGTGAACGGCTGATTCGCCGACGCGGACGTTCTTGAGGAAGGAAGCGTGATCCAGATAGATGTTCTTCATGGTGATGGACCGGGCCATGTTTTGAAGTTGAAGACGCCCTCGGTCTCCTCCTTGATCCTCTCCAAACAGTTCTCGAGCTCCTGCTGAACAGCGGGGTTATCCGGCTTGGTCTTGAGCGCAAGCTCGTAAAATTCCTTGCAACGGGCAAAATCGCGAAGGGCGTATGCGGCGCGGCCGGCGGTGAAGTGCAGCTTCCAGTCCGTCTCCTTGCCAGTCATGGCTTCCTTTGCGTCAGAGATGGAGCTATCGTAGTGCTTCATGATGAGGTTGGCGCCGGCACGCTTGGCGTAGAGGTCGGTTCGGAACGCGGCGTCATTAGTGTCATCCGTCTCGAGGGCCCTCGTGTAGCTGCTTCCTGTTAGCTTGGTCATCCTTCTCCGACTTTCGCCAACACACATGGGGGCTGCAACTCACCAAAGGACAGAAATGGGGTAGCTCTTAGTCAAGAACGCCTTGTCACCGGCAGACTTCCAGTCGGCGGCGGTGTCAGTCTCGCCCTCACCGAGCTGGAACTTTTCGGGAATGATGGCGTCATCGAACTTGAGGTAGATGATATCGGAGGGGTGGTCAACGCAGATCATGTAGTCATCCTGGCCGTTGTACTTGTAGTAGGGCTCTTTGACGGCAACTACTGACCCCTCGGGGATGATTGATAATATGGAGCGTTCGCTCTGGTTGTAGATACCCATCTTGTCGGCGTCGCCGTGCTCATCCTCGACGATGACGACGGTACCAGCGCCCTGATAGGGCGGGGTAACAGTCCTGAGAATGAGGATCTTGCCTTCATGGTGCGTTTCGACCAGGAGCTCACTCAAGCGCATCTGTATTACGGCAATGGTTAGTGGAACGCCTGACAAGACCAGGGGTTTAACCTCGTGCCTCCCCACCATCCTATTCCGTGCGCCTCCCCGTAGCCCATCACCTCGTCGGCATGGTCAACGCACGTGCCTCGACGAGAGAGGGCCGGGCGAGGAGGGAAAAGAGCGGGAAAATGAAAAACAAAAAAGGACAAGATCAGGGACAAAAGCTTACCTTTTCTAGCTCGGCGACGGGCTTGTAAGAGGCCGGGTAGGCGAGGGCCAAGATGGGCTTCTTCACCAAGTTGGTGGCCTTTGGCTTGCCCACCTGCTTCTGAACATGGCTGTTGTGCGTCTCGACGAGGATGTCACGGGGCGCCTTCCGCGGCGGGGCCTTGCCGCTCAGGGCCTGGGCCTTTTCAAGAACTCCACGGGCACATTCGGGTCGATATCGAGAAGGAGATCCTCGGACGAGACTTGCAGACGCAGGTCATCGTCGCGGGGCGTTTCTGCGGGCTGGTCGTTGGCCATGGCAATAGCTGGCGTTTGGGAGCTGGCTCAGTTTGGTGTTTGCTCAAGATTGAGGCTACGGTGGCAGTTGCGGCTTAGAGGAGCGAGATTTGGCGAGAGGGAAAGCGTGGGGGAGAAGGTCAGCTCTCCCACAAAAAAGCAAGGGTGCACAAAGGGGGTTGAAGCTTCGGTGTAGCTCCACAAGCGAAGAAGGTAGAGGAAGGGGGGCGGGAGGGGAAGAGAAGGAGAAGCAGAGAAGAAGAAGCAAGCCCAATTGGCATAAATCAAGGACGGTGTGCGGGTGTGACGAGTATTAAAAGCAAACGCTGGCGTGACGAAGTATTTAAGGAACCTGCAGAAATGGGAATTGGGGCACGAGAGGCGCGGGGAAGGTGGGAAGGGGGCAATTCAGCAACCGGGAGATCAGGAGAAGTCGTCCTTGGGGACAGCTTGGAGCTTTTGTTGGAGCTTCGACTAGTTCCCTTTAATGCTTATTTAAACGGGTACGTCCCTTTCTGGGGTACAAAGTAGATTGGCCGATCGTGAGAGGTGGCATTTTGGCCCTGCTGAGACGCCGTGCCGGATATATTAAAGCCCGTGGTCCTAACGGAGACGGGTAACGGTAGGGGATGTGGGGATCCATTGGATCAATTGATCAATTGATAGCTGGCCACATGCGCATGGACAGCAGATTGACTTGAGAGCCCCTAGTGGGGAAGGGGGCTTGTGCCCAGAGCAAAGGAGAGAAGAGACGAGAGCAAGCCAATATCATATAATCCCACATTGATGCGTATTGGAATATTGAGCTCGGTTAGAACGGGCACTGGAGGAAACTAGTGGCCCAAGTGACCCAGATCTCCAGAGGAGGCAGGGGCGTTGTGCGCATGGCCGCAGTCGATCATTGGTGAGAAGTGCAAAGCAGACATGTCAATTGATGGGAACTTGCTGCGGAGCTCCTGTCTGGTGCTTGCTATGGATCCTCTCTCATCAACGGAGGCCAGCTCAACTGGTGTACTATTTATTATTGGCAGAGGCGCACCCGGAAACGGATGAGCAATGGCGAGTGGCTTGCTTGAGAAAGCCATTGATAGATGTGAAATTTGACCTCACTGATCAGAGTCTCAACGCTAGGGTCTACGTGGAGCTGTCCAACATCCTTGCCTGCCTCCCCTTTATGGCTGGCCCCGAAGGTAAGCAGCAGGCAAAGAACAAAGACAAGGCAAATATAATTAGGAACTCGGGAGATCTCTGTACGCTGGGAGGAGCCGACGTTACGTGCAGACAGACGACCCCAGAAGATGATCCACGTAACTCACCATCCCGTCTCGAATACAGTCGAGTAGCGAAGAAAAAGAAGAATGAATTCGGCTGCCGCGTCCACCGCCAGCTCGGCCGACCCATCGCAAGGGATCTGATCAAAGACATGCAAGGGCCCTCCATCGGACCCAAAGCTACGGCCGCTGCGGCGCCTACTCGGATCTAAATTCGCCGTGAGCGGAAATTGAGCACACTTGGTCCCTTTGGGTGAACGCTGGGTGGATGGATAGATCCATCCACAGATCCATTGGATGAAGTCGGCTACACTTGGCATGCGGTTGTTCCTCTTGTTTTTCAGTTTTCCCTTCTAGCCAAGCCTCATATCTGGCTTCAAGGAAATAGGAATCGGTCCATCGGCGAAGAGGGCTCACGCTCCGACAACACAAGCTGCATCGCGCAAGTTCATCCAAGGCCCAAGGCCCAAGGACTTGCGAGGGCAAGCCCACCAAACAGACAATAATCAAATCTAAACAAACATCACTCGAAACATCATGTGCGTTCAATCATTGCGCTCCTTCCCACCAGCCAGAGGCTGGGAAGCACCGCACCCAAGATTGTGCGCTGGGATTTGGTCTCCTTTTCCCTTCTCAGAATCAATGGTCTTGGATGCTGCCGAACCGAAATCCGACGCACCTCGCACCGATGAAGTAGAGAATACCGAAAGTTATTTTTGCGTTGTTCAATATTTGAATGAAGAAGAAGAGAAAAAGAAAAATTTCCTCCTTCGGGCTGGGCAGAAAATTATTTAGGGGATTCCAGATGGTGGGCCCGCCCGCCGACGCTTCATGGATCACGTGATGCAGGTACAGTGGTGACCCGTGACTCTGGCACGGAGGACAGGGCTCCACATTGTTTGGGGGTTCAAGTTGGCCAGTGAACTCTGGAGATTACACGTGGCGGCAGCCGGGCCCGGACTGATGGCAGCGAACTTGCGTCTGTCTTCATTTCCAAGCTGAGCTCAAGAGTGCTAGCAAGCCTTTCGTGGTGAGAGGAAACTGTCAAGTAATAGCAGTTTGACTAGCTCTGCTCTGCCTGTGAAATCCATGAACCGTCAGTCGAGTAGTCCGGCGTAAGGAATTGGCCTTCATACCCATGGCGGTTATCCGTTTACGAATTACCATGCCATGTAACAAGATTGCAGATGCTGGTCCTCGCCATCTATCGACAAACAAACGATATATACTGATGCGACCTCCACAAGCACTCTACTACATACCCGCCTAGCACAACTTGGCTACCGGGCCGAAAACTGCCAGGCCACGAGGTTCATCTTTCCCTAACGCAATGCTGCGATCATCATCAAACTCCACAGGTCTCAAAAGTTAATAGTTCGTATGGGATTGGGGCCCGGTGCATGTGTCTCTTCCCCCCTCATTTATATTGCCTGGCCTCCCGTACCTGCTTTAAAGAGCTTCCCGCTTGTCACGCGGGACTGTATCCCGCGGGTCGAGGAGCCGGCCGATAGACTTTCTCGCCCACAATTCTCTTGCCCCCGGTTTCGCAGGGTTTGGCCCCGTCATCTCCCAAACGGCCCTCATTTCCGAATGAGCCCATGGGATCTCACACGGCATAGAGCTAGGCTGGGCTTGCCCTCCTTTCGAGAACGGGTCCTGGTTTTTGTATTTTTGATGCGGAAAAACTTTTGGAAGCTGGGACGGAGATGTTGCGTTTCTCGCCTGAAACTGCTTCCCCGTTCACAGTGTACAATAAACCTCTCCAAATGGCCTTCCGACTGACTGTAAAACGGATGTTTGAGGCTTCCGTTATCAATACAGGCGACGTTTATTAATCCTGGCTTCTTGAGGTGATGGGATGAAAGGTTGGCTGGTACCTCGGTACAAAGTACCTGCCTATTATTCGCCCTTCATTCTGGAACAACGACCTGTTCTGCTTGGCATGTTTCCGCCTTAGGCATTCTTCATGCCTTGACACATGACGGCAACTCCCGGCTAGCATCATCAGCGTCCCTCCCGAGCCGAGCCCATCCCACTTTCCAGTTTCCCCGCGCGAGAGAAGGCCCCTACAACGCACCATCGTCGCCACATGCACGTCTCATTATGGCCCTCGCAGTTCCCAGAATAGCGGCAATGCCGCGCCTGCTCCAACCGCTGCGAGCGCCGCCGCTGCAGCCTTACCGCTTCGCCGCCTTCCGGTCCGGTGGCCGTGTGCATTGTGCCGCGCCGGCGGCGCTCCTCGCGAACCGGCGGGCCTTTCACGCGACGGCGCCGAGGTCGCAAAAGGGCCAGCACTTTGACACCCTCATCTTTGTCCAGAGGCTCAAGGAGGAGGGCTTCACCGAGGAGCAGGCGGCCGCGCTCATGAAAATTCTCAACGACGTCATGGAAGAGAGGTAAAAAGACAAGCCACACATCCATTTTTTTTAAATAAAACCCTGCGTCTTCCCTTTTGCTAACCTGCGTTTTCTCAATCTCGTACTATAGCATGCAAACCCTCTCCCGCACCATGGTCCCCGCGAGGACGCCGCCCGCGCGACCTACACCCAAAAGTAGACTTTGCCAAGCTACGCTCCGAGCTCCTGTCCGCCGACTCCACCGAGAATAACACCACGCGCGCCACCTACGATCGCCTCAACAACGACCTCACCAAGCTCAACTCCCGCCTCCGTGACGAAATCAACCGCACGCTCGCGAGCGTCCGCCTTGACCTGAATCTCGAAAGGGCCGCATCCGCGAGGAGGCCCTCGGCCAGGAGCTCACGATGAAGGAGACCGAGGCTCGCGTGGACCAGGAGGTCGCCCTGCTCCGGGAGAAGCTGGAGCAGGTCAAGTTCCAGTCCCTCCAGTGGCTCATTGGTGTGTGCACTGGTTTCTCTGCCCTCATGCTTGGTGCGTGGCGGTTGTTCATGTAGATTGGGTTGGTGCTGGGTTGGGAAAAGCGATAGACGGTGCGGGCAAACGTGCGCATGAGGCCGGGAGTTCATATCATTCTAGTATTATAGACTTGGGCAGGGCTGTTTCTCTTTCCTTTCTTTCCTTCTTTCCCACCTCGCCTCTTTTTCTTTTGTCTATTGGTTGTAGCGATATCTGGAACATGGCATAGAATTGCGACAGACGGCGCGGAAAACAGGGCGCGTTTGGGTTATTTTCTCATTATCTCCTTTGTCCTCATTGACACCCAAAGTCCCGATCAATCCAAATGATAGTTTCTTGCGTGAGATATCTATTGTCAGCTCATGCTCAATAAAGATTTGGTGCCTTCGCTCTTGTTCTTGAAGAATGGCTGTGTGTAGCTGATACCAGCTGCTGTCGGCTGCACAACCATGTCCCGGAATTAGGGATTCGGGATTAAGAACGAGTCCGACGACAGATCAGGATTTCCCTTCTAAACCCGGACCCAAGTCCGATTGACATCCCTTTCCCCCTCGAAAGAATCACTCGCGCCTTTCCGTCTCAGCCCAGAGGTATATGCGCCCTCTTTCAAAAAGACTTGTCATCCTTTTCCTCTTCCTTGGTTAACAAGGGAAACGGAGATTCTTTCATCATCAAATCCGGCTCGTGTGTGCTGTCCCCAGCCCCTGCTCATCTTCTGAAAAGAAGAACAACCCTCACCCCCAAACAGGTGACGGACGCTATGAAATCCGAAGGCTTCGCCAAGGTGATATCGCCGCCACCCGCCTCAAACCCGATACAGACGGCAGTGCAATCCGCGCACACCTATCCCCACAGTCAACCACAGCCGCGGGCACATCTCCAGCAAATGGACATGGACGAGGCCGGTCCCACCAATCCCGGGCGGGCAACCCCGTCCTTGCCTGAGACAAGCCCTTCCTCGGCGCCGGGGATACCCCACGTCCGGCGCCGTATGGTCACGCTTGCACTAATTGCGTCAAGACCAAGTGTCGGTGCATCATGCGAGGACCGGGTATGAGTTGCGAAAGGTTAGTAGAACGGATATTGTGTAGCGTAACCTCGTACACCCCCTCCTCCTTCTCCCCTCCCTCCCACACTTTATTGGGAAGACTATTGCCCATCTCCCATCCGGGTCCTTTTCCTCCTGCCACCCCACGTGTACACGCCCCGCCCCGCCCTCCTCCCCCTCCATCCCCCATCCCTCCCTATATATGTTTTGATTTTAGGCGAACCATGCCCTCGGTGCCACCTGCTAAACAGTCTCCCGTCTTAGATGTCACCGTCTGAGCAAGCCATGTCTTCCCGCCACTTACACGCGCAAGCGTGGCAGCAAGCGCCAAACGCGAACAGCACAGCTCGAGGAGAAGCTCGAGGATCTCGTCAGCCTCCTCAAGTCCCAGCAGGACAAGCCCGCCACCTCGCCGTGCCACACGCACGCCCACTCCCACGGTAGCCCATCGTCTGTCGAGGGCGCGGCGCCCCCGCGCATGCCCACTCGCATCCTCACCCTCACCCTCACCCTCACTCTCACACCCACGCCCACGCTCACTCCCACTCCCACTCCCACGCTCACACTCACGCAGCGGATGCCGTACGCGCGGGTCTGCCCTTTCATGCTCGAGTCTACGGGCCGCCAACGGCCTCATGTCGCCGGCCGCGACGCACTCCACGTCGACCTCGGTGGCGTGCAACTCGCCGCCGAGCTGTCAGCAACCTCGGCCGGAAGACTTGTCCAACGAGGAGCTGGAGACGTGTCTCGAGATGTTCAAGAGGATCCACCTCTCGTACATGCCCTTCGTTTCCATCCCGGAGAACGCGACGGCCAAGGAACTCAAGGACAAGCGGCCCTTCTTCTTCATGTGCATCTTGGCCTGCACGCACAAGGTCACGCTCACGCGGTTCGCCATTTGCGATAGGATCCGGGAGGTGCTCGGCCAAAAGATTCTCGTTTCCAACGAGCGCAGCATCGACCTCTTGCTCGGGCTCATCACCATCCTGGCCTGGTCCATCTACCAGGCGCGGGGTAAGCCCTTTAACTGGATGTTTTGCCACATCGCCATGGCCATGGCCGGCGACCTTGGACTGGACAGGCCGATCCAGCTGGAGAAGGGCGATGCCAAGTTTAGCTTCACGGGGCGGTGCCACGGTGGCCTCGTCTCGAGGAACCTGAACCATGAAGAGCGCCGTGCTGTGCTCGCCTGCTTCATCATCTGCTCAACGTAAGTTGTCCCCTTTGAGCCCTGGCTAGAATCCGCCCCATGCCCACCCCGCCCCTCTATTCTCACCCTTAACTCTCTCTCACACCTTGACCCTTTTTAACGACGAGTGCTAATCTCTCCGCCTTTTCTCCCCGCTAGAATCGGCGGCTTCTTGCAGAGGCCAAACCCTATGCATTGGTCGCCCCTACTCCAGCAATGTTTAGATGTCCTTCATGCGGCACAAGACACGCCACGCGACCAACTCCTAATCGCACAGGTTCAGATGCAGCGGCTGCTCGACGACATTGCGCAGACGCCATGGCGCAGCTCCGAGACGTCGCACGACATGAACATTGAGATATCACCAGCCTTTTACATCAAGATCTTCCTCAATCGTCTGCAGGATATCATGCTCAGTGTATCTGATCCGGAAATCGCCCAAAGCCGTAAGCTTCTTCCTTTCCTCTGTTTTTTTTTCTCCCCCTCAATTAATTCTGTTTCGTTTGCTCTCCCTTCCACTATTGGCGCGATGTCCGGAAAAAACGAATTGTTTTGAGCATAGATGCGTGAAACTAACTCTCCGCCTCTCGCGCACCCTCTTCATTAGGCATTCTCCGCATCACACGACAAGCTGTCGAAATTGCCATTCGCGAGCTCATCCTTCACGCCAGCCCATCCGCCGTGGTGAATGGGGGCAATCCGGACGTGACGCGCATCGACCTCTTGTACAACTGCCTGCACGCCGTCAAGGGCTGGTTCGACGAGTTCTTCAGCTTCCCGGTTGCCGACTATGCGGGCATCACCTTTAACATCTTTTCTGGGTTGGCCATCGGCTTCCAGACCCTGTACCGTCTGAGCGTCCTCGAGACACCGGGATGGGATCGCGCCGCCGTTCGCTCGACGGCGAGTTTGCTCGACCTCCTCGACCGCTGCGCGGATAACATCGCGCAGGTGACTGTGGTCGTGGGAATTGACACCACTGGCGTTGAGGACGGCGACGTTTTCAGCCGCGCCGCTCGGCTCGTCAGGAACCAGCGCGCCAACTGCGCTCAGGCCCTGGAGCAAGTTGGCGCCGCCGCCGCCCATGCGGAGGGGCGGCAGCCTCGGCAGCCAACGTCAACATGGCCGAGTTCCAGCAGCTCCTCGACTCCCACCCGGATTCGTGGCTCGTTGACATGTTTGCCGGTCCCTGGGACGGCATCTGAACCCAAAAGGAAAAACCCCCACGAAGGAAAAAGGAAAAAAAAACAGGTACAGAAGTAAGCAAGAAATCAAAAGGTACACAAAAGTGGCTCATGCGAAGCGAAGCCCTATTCAGTAGCCTCCTCAGACCCTGCAGGGATAAAGAAAGGAGGGGCCTCAAAAACGATGACCCGAAAGCACAAGCTAGGACCAAAGAACCAACAGAGGATTGAGTGACTTGCACTCGAATGAATGGCAGCGCCTGGGCCCGACTATCCCGGCCTGTTTAGTCAACGATGAAACACTAGAGGCAGCGCTCCGAAGAAACAAAAAACTGGCAAAAGCCCTTGTGATGTCGAATCTGCTAAGGCGAACCGCTCCCGACCAGGGGGTCGGAATGGCTCTTCGTCATTTCCGGTCCCGACGAGTTGGGTCCGCCCCCTCGATCGGTCGGTACCTTGAGGGCGGTGAATTGTCAAGAAGCGACGCAGCTCCATCCATCCATCTCTCCTGCGAGGCGACTCCCATCAGCAGGGGTTGGCAGCCAAATTGCTGAGTACAGTGCATGTACTTCGCTCTTCGCGAATCCCGCCGCAACCCCCGCACACCTTTGCGACTTGTTTGTGAACTGGGACGCACAATTGAGTCGAGGACATTACGGTGACAAGAGATTGTGGTGGCTTTTTCCCCTCCCGCTCCGAGCGAGGTGCATCTCATTTTTTTGTTTTCACCCCTTCCCTTCCCTGCACCAGCGCTCTGGAGTCGCCCGCCCCCAGCGCCGTTGGTCTCTCTTCCGACGTGTTAGCTCTGGGCTTTGGCTCGAGACTTGCCATCCCGGCCAGCGCGGCTGGGAAAGGGGAGAGGGAGTGTAGGGGGGGGAGGGGGTCGGGAATCTTCGTGTTGGCTCTCTTTCCCGCCCGCAGCTCACCTTCAGCCATTACCGTGGCTACTTGTCATTCGCCCTTTCTATCACGTCGCTTGAGGAGGATTCTTTCCTCGACCCTTCTTCCCTGGTCCCCCTCGAAGGTGCGAGTATCAACCGCTCCCGCCCCGCCACCACCAGATCTTGCCGCTTCCCCCTCTCTTTGTGAGCTCCCAAACCAGTTCTCACCCCCCGGCCAATCCCTCTCCTGCTCCCACATCCCTCTCCTCCTCCCGCATCCCTCTGCTCCCACATCCCTCTCCTCCTCCCGCATCCCTCTCCTCCGACATCCCTCTCCTGCTCCGACATCCCTCTCCTGCTCCGACATCCCTCTCCTCCTCCCGCATCCCTCTCCCTGTCCGCCACCACTTGGTGTGCTACATCGCATAGAAGCGCACCAGGCTGAAGTGACGACACCCCTCCCTGGCCTCTTGTCCCTGGCCTTGCTCTTGTCGAGCCCCGTTGCTAGTCCGACCTTCTAGAACGGATGGCATCACAATCAACGGTTCCCGTTCCCAAGGTCGCGGGTCGACGTGGCTAGTGCGGATTCTCCTCGGTCTTACTTCTTAGTCGAGCTCCGTTTCATCGCCCCTGTTCTTCTCATTTTGATTTTCGGTTTCTCAAGTTGCTGGTTGCGGTACATCAATTAATCCGCTGAAGCCCCTTGGACGACAAGTATCTCTCCCTTGCGTTGAGTCGTGACCAAGGCGTCGGGTACGGCTTAGCCTCCGCCCTCTGCCGACTGCTGCACCCGTCCCTTTGTGTCGGGCCACCCAGTCCGTCGGGACCCCTAAGCAAAAAATGGGCAAAGGACTGCGGCAGGCGGCCTAGAACACTCACGGGTGGGGGTTGCCTGCCTCGATGGCCCGCGAAACAAAAACGTTTTTGGGGAATTGGTGGATGGCGAACTTATTTCCCTTTCCCAGTTAGTCGTCACGCCTCATCATCAGAGATGTACATCCTCTCACAGCCCGTCCGTCTCTCCGGGGGTATAAAGGCCTTTCAAACCACCCGCCAACCGATCCAGCACAATTGTGTGCGAGACACGACCAAAGCCTTCGTCTCTGTTCGGCACAAGACTATCCCCCACTTCAAGATAAAAAGAAAACGAGGGCCCAGGCTTCGCACCCTTGAATTGCTCCCCGTCTTCTTCTTTTTCTTAACCACCTTCCCCATCATCCCACCGCTCCACTTTGACTGCTCCATTCAAGGTCCAACCCTGTTCCACCCAAGGTCCCCCATAATGCCTTCTGCTATAGCAGCCTCGCCGCCCGCCACCGGCCAAACACCGCGCCTAGCTCCTAGTGCCGGCCCCAACGTGCAAAGAATCCACCTCGTCGACGAGTGGACCTGGTCTGAGCCCAACCCTCTGCAGCTTGCGCCAAACGGTCAAGCCCTCCCCGGGATGCTAGCAATCCCCGCTCTCACTGCGAAGTCAAATTGCTCTCTGTCCCCACCATAGTAGCACTGTGCAACGCAAGGAAGGCCGCCGACCCTCCCTATATTCGACTTCCGCTCGCTCAGAGTGGCCCATCAGGCGGCGTACCCTCGTCCGCCGGCGCCGAGTTTGGCAGTGATAGCGGTCGGCTCTCAACCGTGGCTTCCCTCACACCTGACAACGCGCCACCACCCCCAGACAAGGGGCTCCGGTCTTACCATGATCCATCCTACCTTACGGGTATCGGCTCCGCCTTCGCCTCTGAAATGGGCGAGATATCGGCTCCTCGGTCGTTCCATCGTGGATCTGCATGATCTACTTTATTAGTTGGTCAGAGCAGACATCTCAACACACCATCATGGTGCGGTTCGCTGGGGTGATATGGAGGGTTTGCCTTTACTCTTTCTTACCTTTTCTATATTTTCTTTTTTTTTTTTGGCGGAGAGAGGGGTGTTCGGTTTAGGTTTCTTGGTCTTGACGAGTATTGGAAAGAGGGAACGTGGGTAAAAAGGGACGGATTATGGTACAAAGTGACGGATCATGGCCAGGGAGCAACTGTTTATTCAAGGGAGACTTTCGTCCCCCATGTAGCTATAGCAATGTTTGTATTAATATAAAATGAATAGACTGGAAATGGAACAAGGATATAAACAAACCTTCATCCGAGAACCCCACGTTTCTCGACATCCGCGACAATCTTTGCCGTGATTTCTCTGGCGAGCAGAGACTGGTGAGCACAATATTCGACCGACAAAATTTCAACGATTGCGCGATGGGATTGAAGCGGGTGCCATCAAAATGCCCCCTTCCCCAGTCGGTGTCGTGGGGCATCCCCGCATGCAGGCATATCGGCGTGGTTTGCGCTGCGAAAGAAGAAAAACGTCCAAGGGGAACCCCTTTTCCTTGGTTCCTCTTCTCTGCACACCCAGATCAACAGGTTGGATGAGGAAGAGCAAGGCCCAGCGGTAGATGCGCGATCGTATTTGCGCGTTGGGGCCCTTCTCCGAGTCCTCGTTGGGCTTGGGTTTGGTTCCCGGCGAGTCGTGCCCTTGAAGGCACCGCCACTTTGGCATGTTCCTGTCCTGGCGCCGTCCTTGGTTTCGTTTTGTTATCTGCTGCACACACAACACACCTACACCCAACACACTCACACAAGCACACACACAACCATAGCTATAGGCACGTATCCGTGTACGCCCGTATCAGTGCCACTCCTATGCATGGAAACACACGAACGTCCACAGACACACACACACACACACACTCTCTCTCTCTTTCTCTCCCACCCATACATACACATCGTGGCGCATCACACATGTGCACGAATACACCCGCACACACTGAAGGCCCCTTTGGAATACAAGATACAGCATTCTTCCGAGCGTCCCCTTCCCAAACCCCCAACCCTCCCCTTTCACGAAGCACGATTTCTAGGTGCGGTCTTTAATCCCATGTGCTCCCTTGCTGTCGTGCCCTTTCCGCCAGACTTAAGCGTGGCTATGGAGACCGCCCAAAACATAAAAAACCAAAAACAGAAGCGTGGTATGCCAAGAAAATGGGGCTGGGTCTGACGGTTCTTACTTTGTTGCAAACGCCGTGCTTCCATGAACTTCACCTGGGGACCGGGACCAGCAGATGCCCGCTCTCTTTTTTTTCCTCGCCCGCTGTCACTTCGTCAAAATGCAGAGAGGAATGAATAAGGAAAAAGAGAAAAACCAAAATCACCCTCCTTCATCTGCCTCCTCATAAAAATGGGAAAAGGAATGTTATCCGTCACATATCTATTTTCCGCTTTCCGTGCAAACGGCGTCAGAGTTCACCCAGGGCCATCTCTCGCCAAGAAAAACGAGGCGTTGGTCGTACGGGGGCTATTCCTATCAGGCCTCGACCTCTTTGCCGGATGTAAACCTCCCGGCAAAGCCAAGGGGGAGATGGGGAGAGAAGGCTTCGAAAGAACGGGGAATGGGGAAAGAGGCTAGAAGCCTCAAGCTGGCTTGACTGGGGTTGTACAGCTCCAGCATCAGCTTTTGACGCCCGTGGATATCCCTGACCGCCGTCCATATAGCCCTGCACGTAACCACTATCGGCGTGGAGAGGCACCCATCTCGCCCGATTGGATGGGCCCACATGCTATATGACCTACATGGACCCAATCCTGGTTGATAGACGACAAGTCGGTGTAATCGGCAATCGTATCCATCAACCACAACAGCTCACTCGGGCACTCACAAAAGAATGGAGGCGAATGACCTCCCTAGAGAATATCTCGTACGTCGACCTGCAGACCCAAATAGTCCTAGGTGCTAACCCTTGCGTAGAAGGGGCGAGGATTGTCAACGTACCTATCATTGTCGCACTATCGCATCGTGTCCATCGCTCCTCTTGTATACGTGTTAGGCATTCATCCGAATATCACGTAGATGTGCTGCAGGAGAAGCAGGAATGATGCAAAAGTAATCCACTGCCTCACCGCCTCCCTCTATCCTCTTTTTTCGGATGTCTATGGGAGGTAACTGATAATCTACTCGCTAGAAGTCCCACTTCTTTACCCTCGAATTCTCGTGGCAGAATCGACCATGATACGATGCCAAAGAGTTTCCGGCCCGGCCCGCTAGATCTGGAGACATCAAGGCCTGTAGTATATGGACATTGCCAACCACCGGCATTTCTGTCACCTCTTAAGTGGAGTGGAGTCGAACACCAGAAGTTAGACTGTACACCGTGATCTGCTATCTTTGACACTCAAAAGACCCGTTGTCGGCCAAGCTGCGGAACCTTCCTGAAAGGTAACTTAGATGGCACCCCTCTCACGATCCTCATATATTCGTGACAAAGGACCGACGGGCAGAAGCGAAGGAGGCCAAAAGAGACACCTACCACACAGGACTTCCTTTCTTCGTTGACGGCCATCAAGTTATCAAGAACCCCGGGCGTCGCCAGATGCAAGGGCCTCTGAACTACCGCCCCACCGTGCTTTGGATAGTGGGATTACCCCCAAGCCACCCCGAGTTTGAAAAGTAGATGCATGTTCGGGTATCTGCAGGCATCCGGTAGCCGGTCAGGACTGACAGTTAGCGAGATTGACTGGCGGCCAGGAAGCGAAGACTGATAAACCGAGGGAAGTGCATAAATCTACGCTCTTGACTTGAAAAGGAGGATGGCTCGAGTCGCACGGAGGGTGCTTCATGGGAGACCGAGACAGAGGAAGAAGAAACTCGCGTACCACGAGGGCGTTTGCAAGTGAAGCAAGAGCGTTCTAGGGGTGGGGTGTGTGCGTGTATGAGCAACAACGTCGTCCGTGATAGCACATTCTAGCCGAGCACCAAACCATCTCATGATAATATCACGCGCAAGGGGAATAGGGTGAGGTGGGAAGAAGTAAAAAACAGAAGTGTGTCTGTCTGTGTAGGTGTGTGTGTGCACCACTGATGAAGTTAGGGAGCCCGCATTAGCTCAAACGTGAGGTCGAGGCAAAGCGAGAGCAACCTTCGCCACCGAGGGTGGGCATTGACCTCGGTGAGATGAGGCGTTTTTCCAAGGGCATCACTATGCATCACGAAGCTTTAGCCAGTTCAAACAACCCCGAGGGCCCACGCAGTCACGATGTTCTTTCCCGCCCAGTTCGGTAGGCTCAAGTTCGTTCCTACTTGGGTGCTGCTTTCACAAAACTTTGATGGCATTCTCGAGGTGAAAAGTAGGATAGAAGCCCCTTTGCCGTAAAGAAATGACGATGGCGATGCGATCTTTGCTCTAGTAACGCTGGAAAAGAAAGGTGCGAGAGACGTTGCGGTGGCATTGCTGGCCCGATGGCGCGAAGTAGATGGGTGCCATCTATGATCCTGGGCGATCGAGAGTTGCGAGTGCGTCGGGCTTGGTTTCGCCAAAGCCTCCCTTCCAAGGCGACGCACGACAAGGTCGTGAAACGATGACAAGAAAGGGCGTATCCTTGAACAACCCACCGAACGTAATCATCCCCTGTCGACTCGCACATTCATGGATGTGCACCGGTGAACGCAGACCCCCGGTAACGCTGCAAAGAGAGTCGACGCTTGCAAACACGATACCGTGACTACGTCAAGGAGCGTTCGATAGACCATCTGACCTCCTCCAACTTGAGGCGGGGAAGGCCGACTCGAAGGTGAACTCTCTGTTCGTCTCGATGAGGGCGAAGCCTGTTGGCTGCGCGTGAGCCCACGAGTATTAAACAGGCAGGGCCCTAGGGACCAAAAGGCGCCTTTCGGGAGAACGAGACCGTCGTGAAAAGTCGCCGCCTGCTTCATCTTCCCTTTATGTTCAACGCGATAAGCAACATCTCGCTTCTCAATAGCTTTAATGACTATGCCGAGCAAGTCACCGTTGACGCAGCAGGATAACGCCTCTAGTAAAAGTATAGAATGTTGAAAAGTCTACTGGGATCAGAAGCGATGCGTGTGCTAACCAAAAGGTCAACATCTAGATGAAGCCATCCATGGCGCATCCTGGGGCGAGCGAGACCAACACATTCAAGTTGGCGTACGTTCCTCGCTACAGCCCGGATTGCAGCTCCACTCCTCGGGACAACAGGGTACAGACTCAGACTCTACGGATGCCTCGTCACAGCCATTGTATAGATGGCTTGGGGAGCCTTCGACGGACGGTCCCTATAACCACATTGCCGAAAGACGCTGGGGAAATAACCATGTTGCTCGGGCTGAGACCGGACCCGCGAATGCTTCAAACCGGTCAGCAGGGCTCGCCGAGGGCAGAAGAACTCGCCAAAACAACCGCTGAGGATACGAAGCGGAGTATCCCGCGAAGAGGATCGCGGCTCAAAGAAGCAACTCGACGTGGATCTCAACATCGGGCCCAACATGGGAGGCGAGTTGCCGCATCAGGCCTATTGGCTTCCTTGCGAGTTTCTTTATGAGGTGCAGACCGTCTGAAGGACCCTGGTTTCCTGAACCCTTTATCCTCTTCTTATCCCTTATCTCATGGCCCGCCATTTGGTGGATGATGCATACCAATGTTAGTCTGGTTGAACTATCTAGGTGTAGGGCACGAGATTGTATCCTCGCGGCATCCAATGCTGGTGCCTATCTCGATTCTGATAGCATCTCTAGATGGCCCTTTTATACGATGAACATAATGAATTAGTTTGCAGCTCTCCATAACCGTCGTATTCACTTGTGTGCGCAAGGGCTGGTTTCTCCTCCCAGCATAATACGAGCAAAGTCACCTCGTTGGGAGTACATGGCGCGGTTCGTTCACCATTGTGTTTTAAATCTCAAAATAAAAGAGAGATAGAGAGAGAGAGAGGAGAGGGGGAAAGGCCTGGTGTTGTGTTAGACTTTCAGGAGCGAGAGTGAGCTTGAAGCGTGTCTTCCTTGAAGCATGTCTTCCTTGAAGCATGTCTTCCATGCAGATAATAAAGAAAAACAGGTAGAAGCAGGACGCTCGTTTCGCGTGCAAGTATGATGATACGCGTGGTCGATCTCTAGTATATGCGTCGAGCAACGAGAAGGTGAGACAGAGCGGCAACCCCCTTAAGATTCACCTGACTTAGCCACCAGCCCTGTGTCTTGAAGGTCTCTTTTGTAATATGATATGGAGACGATTTCATCAGACATGGGCAGGTCTCTTCGTGTTTTTCAGTTTTCGTTGCGGGCAGACTCGAAACCCTAAACCAGGTTTGTCGATTCGTCGATCCTACACAATGCCATAATAATAGACATGCCCCCAGTCGGTGGTATGCACCAAGGGTTCTTGGCTTGGCTTGCGGGGGGAACGAACACGGGTTACGACCAAATGGGCGGCCAGTCCCAGAAGCGGCTCATCCGTCCCTTGCCATCAAGCCTGGCCTGGCCGCCTTGGCAAAAGGGAAGATGTGATGCTTGTGCAAAAATGCCGGCTCTTCACAACGGCCATCAAGGGCTGTCAAATTTGAAAAAGACCCCTCGATTTCGGGAATTTCGGGAGACAAACAAAAAGACTAGTGGGCGTTTTTGGTAGCCATGCAAGCCATGTTCTACCTTACTTGGAGGAATCCGCGTTTCTGCTGTCATTTCCATTGACGAGGCTGCGACAGCGGCAAAGGACTGACAGTGTGAGTGCCGGCCGAGAAACACGCGACGGGCGCGATTGTTCGTCGTGGGTGAAATGGGTGGATGCCCAAGTGAATCCATTTGTCTCGTGTTGGCTCTTCGCCCTGACGAAAACCGACCCCCTTTCCATGGATTCGTGTGTGGATGGAATGGATGGATCAATAGATTCTTGATTGATTCATCTATTATGTACTTCGTACCTCGCACATTCGCCCAGGGCCAACCTGCTCGTTGGGCTCTCGGCTCAGCACGCGAGCTATCTACACTTTGCACGATCGATCCTTCTGGTTAAATACATGTTGGGCTTCCTGCTCGAGTTCAATGCTCCTGCCGCGGATAAAAGCGAGGCCCTCCCCACCGTCGCCACAGTTTCAGGGGATCTCGCGGCAGGGACGAACGAGAGCCCTGAGTTTAGATTAGCTGCCGGCCATGTCGCTCCAACTATACACATTGAAGATTGTCGCTTGATGACGACTTTATGCTTGAGAGAAGGAGATGAATAAGGCCCTGTGCTTCACGATGGAAGTGGTCGTATTAAGACTGAGGTACCGATAGAGGTACTGACTTTTGTTCTGTCCCCGCCAAAATGTGGGGCAACTCCAAAACCGTTTTCTTCTTCTTTTTTGTATTTTTATTTTTTATTTTTTAAGGTGCACCCACTTGGCTAGTACAAGCATATAATAGATTGGATGAATTGTTGGGGGACCCAGTTTGAATGTATACACACTAAATCAAGAGATAGCACTGACTGCCAACTGCGAACCAAAATAAAGCGATTCTCCTGAGCATAAACAAGAAAATTTATTAACACTCGATTATTGATTGTCGCACGCTGGCGAGCGTCGAGTCAGGACACAGGACACCCCTATGCCCCTCACTCACAGGGGCTGCCATGTTGGAACCGAAGATCAACGGAGACATGGAGGACATACTAAAAGCGTCTGGAGAATTCTCTCAACCCTGTCGACTGCAGGACTACACTATGAATACACAATTTGTCCGACACGAAGCCCTTGATCCCTGGTGCAAGGAATCCGGGAGCGTCGTCTAACCTGGCACTGTGGCTTGATGCCACATCGTATTCTACCCACGGGTGCCGGCTTGATCAAATTGGCATCTGGCTCATTGAGAGGTTGCCCTGTCAGTTCCTCTTAGGGAGCCAAGCGGCGGCAGCCTCGGATATCAACCACAATCGAGAGCTGTGCAATCGTGCCAAAAGATAATGAGCACTTCAAAGATACTTTGAAGGCAAGAGTGGGTCATCCTGGCCTCGAACGGATCTTGCTCTATCGTAGTGGGGTGCTGGAGCCTATGCTTGTAATGAGTGTGTGGGTCACGTAATTTTTGGGCCCGGAGCTCCTCGTTGGACGGGTCTTGTTCAAAGGGATCGTCAGGTCGAAGAATTACAGAAGTACCTGATAGGTACCTGTCTGGAAGGTACATCGGTCAATCACGGACTGGCGCGTGCCTGGCTTGCCTGGGCAAAAGTGAAGTGAAGCTGGACATCGCCCACAGCTCTTGGCTTCAATCATTGATCTCCTTTGCAGTGGCTTGAGGGCTTCCGTCAGCATGCAGGATGCAGGGTGTCATTGATAGCTTCGAGCGGAAAGGGGAAAAAACGGGATGTGCACTCTTGGGTTTCCGGATTGCTGTGTCGCATTCACAACGCTCCGGCTTATGGTCGGTGAAGGACAGGGTGCTCACGATTAATTCTAATGTTTTTTTTTTTTTCTTCTTTGGCCCATCACGCAGGTGTCATCAATCAGTCCAATTCTGCTGTTGTAATCTTGGCCACATCGGCTCTTCACCGCGCATGTGGTGAATCGTGAATTTCGCCTGTTCTTGAGCTGGTTTTTTATGCCCATTCGTTCCTGCTTTCCATGCTTGGCTGCGTCCGAGGCGTGGTTACCCCCGCCCGACACTCCGCACTTTACCTTAGTGATCCTCTTGTGCAGGACAAAATCAAGAAATTTGGCGCTCGGAGAACAAGGAATGAGAGGCCAAGAGACTGTGAGGGAGAGTCCAAAAGGGTTATAGATTGAAAGATTTAGAGTAGAAGACGGAGACGAGTCGAGGGGAATGATGCGATCTCGTTCACCCTCGAAAGAGAGAGAGAGCGGAAAAAAGAAGGAAAAAGGAAAAAGGAAGAAAAAAAGCGTGAAGAAAGAGAGTATGCAAGGGCTTGGAAACAATACGACAAGACATTCTCTGGCAATTCGTGCTCGGAAAAAGGAAAGAAGGAAGCCAAACGATGGCTTGGCTGTATCCGGGAGGGCTTGCTTCATACTAATCTCATTTCCAGCCCAGCCAAGAGGGGCTTGAAAGGCTGTACGAGTCCTGATCCAAGACACCGGATCAATCAGATTCCAATGAAGTTGTCGTTCGATGACCATCAAGACACGACAGAGGCCGTCGTTGTTTGGCCAAGGACACGAGAACTTGGCACTTGCCGGGCCAGCGCCCGCCCCTTCCCAATGTTCACTTGGCTGGCCCATCCTTCCTCCTTCCCCCACCAACAGCAGCATTGGATCCCGGCAAGCCCGGCCCTCCCTCAGCCAAACAGGGCTCCAATGCTCCCCACGGCAGTCACATTGACCAGCTCCTGCTGCACGATGCTTTGTTCTTAATCATCGGTTCCGTGGTGGGCAGGGATAGGGATAGCAACAGGACAGGCATGTGCGTGTGCTTGTGCTCGTGCTTGTGCTTGTGCTTGTCCTGGCCTGCAGGTACTTCGGAACCTTGTTGTCCAGGACCTGCTCACTGAAGTGGAGGTAGAGCCCACACGGCCAAGGAATTTAGCAAGCTTTTCTGATTATTTTTTTCCCTCTCTCTGTTCCTCCGCTTCCTTCCCTTCTGGGCGTTGTCTCTTGGACAGGAATGAACCAAACCGAATTTGGCTGACGCGGGTGAAGTTAATACGAGCGATGAGAAACATTCTCTCATAACAGCATCTGGCTCAGAAAGACCACACCTACTATTAGAGCCTGTTTCTCTTTTCTCCCTCACCCTTCACCCACTACTAGTCAACCTTTCCCCATTTCTCTCCTCTCCTCCCCCTCCCTCCACTTCCTCTATTTACCTCTGCCTACTGGTGATAGCGAAAGACCAAACCCAAACAAACCGAATCACCGGAGGCGTCAATTTTCCCGCTTTCCACATTTGAGCCAACGCCGTAACCAAACGAGCGACACCATCAATCGATTTCTTGCGCCGGCGAAAGCAGTATTTACTCTTTCGGACTTCTTAGGTTGGGCTTGGTGTTACAAGCTTGGATATCGTGTGGTGCGGGTTCGACGTTGGTCCGAAAGCAAAACGCCCAATCGAATGGCCAACCCAGAAACAGCCTGAACAACGTGGTTAAAGAAAAGAAAAAGAAAAAGAAAATCGACAGTCGATAAAGCGAAGCGAACACCACAATCAAGCCGCTGCTCGGAAAGCACCAAGGCTTAGACCCGAACAAATTCCCCAACTTCCCGGCCCTTGTTGGCTGACGACCTCGTTTTTTTCCCGTTCCTTCCAACCCGTGGACCCTTTTCGATCCTTTTCTTTTTCTTCCCTTTTCTTTTATTTGAGCGACCGTCGCTTCGTCGTCCCTCTTTTACCGAATTTCTCTACTACTTCGTCGACTCAACCAAAATCGAACCAAGCGTCTCTCCGCCGTGTTTAAGATGAGTAAGTTTTGTTATCGGACGGGCCTGCGCTTTGCAGCGCTCATGTATCCCTCCCCGCATGCCATGCGCGTGGAAGTATGTGCGTCTAACGTGTAATTTCTTTTTTCTCTTTTGTGTGGAACAGGTTCGTTCGTGACGGAAATCGTCCCCTTTAGCCAGTTTCCCGCCTGCGCGCAAAACTGCGGCTCCCTCTTCGATGCCCAGGGAGGTTGTGTCCACCCTATCCTTCCCGCCGCCGACGAGGCCACCGCGAACGCCTGCTTCTGTAGCAACGCCGCCGTAGCAAACTTCAAGACGGGCATCCACAACGTCTGCGACAACATCTGCAAAGCGTCTGGCGAAGACCAAACCGCTACCCTCGTCACGATACAAAATTGGTTCGCCGATCTCTGCGACACCGAGAAATTTAGCGCATCGAACCAGGGCGCCTCGTCGACGTCAAGCACATCCGGCACCGACGCCGATACCGGTTCCAGCTCGGGAGGTACCCGTGTCCAGCAGGGCACAGGTGGCACATGGTACGCGAGAAAATTCCGGCCCTATGATTGATTCTAACCTTGGCTTGTTTGTGTCTGCTGTGCGCCGTTTGTCTAACCTCGGGTCCTGATTAGGCTACAAAACCATCTCCGCTGGGTCATTATGGCGGTCGTCATCGTTGTTGCCATCATCGTCATCTGGATTGGCGCTTGCATCTGGCGCCGGTGCTACCTCAAGAAGAAGGAACGGCAGATGGGCCTTGGGAAGCACCCAGCTCACGCTTCCTGGGGTCCCGGTGCCGCGCCTGCCGATCATCATAGCGTTACAGCTCCGGGCATGTTCCTGCCTCCTAACCACGGGTCGACGTCGGGGTCCAACATCGCGATGGAGAAGAGCTACGCCAGCCCGACGCCGCCGCCGCCGAACGGCCCGCTACAGAACCAACCAAAAAGTGGGTGTCGAGGGAGAACGTATGACGAGCAACTCGGTCGCCCCTGGATTATCTTGAGCGGACGGTCGAATGGCCGTTGGGAACAACGAAACGAATACTTTGATACTTGTGCGAAACAGTGACCTCTTGGGAACGAACTGGGAAACGGGGATTAATGGCGAAATTAGGATTTTGGTGACTTTTATTGTCTATATCACGGCGTTGCTTTTTTTTTTCTTCTCTTCTCTTCTCTTTATATCTTTTTCCCTTGAGCTTCTCTTCCTATGGTTATCGCTATCTGGATGATGGGGAGGTGATACACAACCTGGTCTCGGACATGGGACATTGAAGGCATCTCTGGCTATTTTTCTTTCTTTCTTATTTTTCATCGGACATGGGATGGATTACCACTTGGGGTCCCTGGTTTCTTCTTCTTTTGACCATCATGACGGAAATAGAGTTGGCGCTTACCGGCTATCCTTTTTTCTTTTCCCATTTATTGCCTTGGTTTCCTCCCGCTCGCATTTGACCATGTCTTTGTTCCTTTTTCGTCGTCGAGGCGTTAGCCTCTCCGCCCGAACCCGCTCGAAAGTGGAGCCCGCGATGGGGAGGTTGGGGGATTCTCCCGCCCTCCATCCACGAGACGAGTCCCGAACCTTTGGCGTGGGATGCGCGATGGGGTGGAAGGATACGTCATTCTTTTGGACACGCGCGATTCTAATTCTTCATTCTCCCAAAGGAATTGTCTCCGCTCCGAGAGAACTTTATGAATGCTCAAATGGCAGTAGGTAAAAGCTCCTCGAGGCTTCCCCGAAAAGAAAAACGGTACGGCCAAGAGGCATAGTGAGAGAGAGAGGCAAAAGATGTACTACTACCTGAAGCAAGTCCTTTTACTCTGTGCCCCCTTTGCCACAATACCGTTGTTAGGTTTTGCTTTGTCCTCTCTACGGTCATGGACATCATCGCATGCGAATTTAGTGAGAAAAAGTGCAGGTAGAAAGAAAACAAAAACACCCAGATTCGCCAAGTTCATTAAGAATTACCTAGGTACGGCCCATTGTACTCGCCCTCCCTAGGAAAAAAAAAAAAAAAAAAAGGAACACACTACTTGCCAACCCTGACCCGACTCCTTGGCGGAGAAACATCTTTTTTTTTTTTTCGCTCAAGGAAAGATGGACTCTCCCTTGGCCAGCTTTTCCTGCACTTCTTCAGCATCCATGTAGAGGTCGATAAGGCAGCCCGCAGACCATGCCTGCGTGGGACACTGTTTTCGGAGTAAAACCACCGAGTTAGCAAAAGAAAAAAAGAAAGAGGAAAAAAAAAAAAAAAGTGCTGCTGGCTGGTAGTTTCCGAATCCCAACTTACCGAATCGTGGCACTCCTCGCCATTCTTCTGCGTCAACTCCGCCAAGCCCGCCCACGCCGTCTCCCGAATCATCTTCTTGCACCCCTCCAACCTCCGCGTAACCTGCTGGAACACCTCGACCCGTCCCTCGCGATCCTTTCGCCGCGCCAGGTCAAACTTCAACAGGGCGCGCAGGAAGAAGCCCGTGGGCCACAGCCACTCCGGCCCCTGGTGGTAGTTGCGGCCCTTGGACGTGGCAAAGTCGTCGCTGTCCTCGCTGTTGTTGTAGTAGGGTCGGTAGTTGAGGTCCCTGGGGTCGAGGGTCGCCATGCCCGTCGGCCCCCGCAGGACGGTGTCCGCGACGCTGAGAGCGTGCAGGGCCCGCGCGGGCGTGAAGAGCTCGGGCGCGACCGCCATGGCGATGGGGAAGTTGGGCCGTAGCTGGTAGTCTTCGTAGGGCTTGCCCGAGCGGTACAGGTCCTTGTAAATCCCCTTCGGTTGACCACCTGGGCGTCCACGTCAAAGTCCTTGTCCTCGTCCGCCGACTTGGGGACAAAGTAGCAGCGCTCAAAGTTGGCCTTGAGCAGGTCCGCCCACTCTTGGAACGAAATGTCCGAGCCGTCCGCCTTCTTGACCCCCGAGTACTTGTAGTCGCCCTTCTTGTGGAGGCGGGCAAGCCATGCAAGTGTGCTGTAGAGGAGACCCGTGATTTCCACAGCGGCTCCATCGCGCGGCGTGCCAGGCACGCCCTTGGACCGAGCCCTCTCGCTTTCGCCCATCTTATCCATCCACGTGCCGCAGTTGTATTGGCTACCACCAAATACAATACCGTTCTCCCAGTCCACCTTGACCTCGATATCGAAGCCCTTGTCGCTCATCTGCCGATCGAGTTCTGGTCCGGCATTGTGCTCTCGGAAGCTGATGCCCTCTGCGTGTCTCTGGAGGGCTTCCTGGACAATGTCTTCGATCGTGGATGTCTTGGAGTACGCTCGCTCATCGTCACACGGGAACCACGTGTCGTCGTACGGCAGGAAACGCCTCTTGACCTCGTGCTTTAGCAGTTCCACGCCATTAGGCGCCGTCTTGGTATAGTCCTGCACATTTTGCAGGAAGAACCAGACGGCGTCGCGAGCATTGTACCGAGGGTTCTTGCCGCTGCCCAAAAGATTGGGGATCAGTCCATGTTTTAGAACACTGGCAAAGGCGTAAATGTGATCCCGCGCCTCATCGAAGCGACCAGTCCCGAGGAATAAGCCGCGCAGGGATATGAAAACGTCGCGTCCCCAGCACCGAGCCCAATCCGTAGCGAAATGCGGAAGACCGGCGGCCAGCGAAGGCGCGAGCTTGTTAGGATACAAAGAGGCGGATTTTGTCCACCCCGTCTGCTGCACGCTAACCAAGGCCAGGCTGTGCAAGAACCACTGGCCCTCCTGGATGCCTGGGTCCATAAGCGACAAAGCCCGGTCGCACGCGGCGGCGTAGGCCGTCTTCACAATGAGCCCAAAGTAACGAGGGACCAGGAAACTGGGAATCTGCCTGACGGCGTCGAACCGCTCCTTGAGCCACTGCGCGGGCTGGGAAAGACGCTCGTGGCCCTCCTTCTCACTCATCTTTTCGAGGCGGCCCACAATGTAGTCCAGAGCCCATAGGCCATTTCGCAGGTTCTCGCAAAGCGGGTGGCCAAGATCGTTGCTGCGAATCACATTCTTCAACACGCTCCACCAACCCTGCAGACCCGCGTAGACGAGCTTTCCGTGCCGCGGAATCTCATAGACTCCATTTGCGCCGTCGCTCGCATCACGTTCCTCGGCCTCGGAGCGGTAGAGCACAAAATTGAGGTCGACCAAATCAAGCTCGGAAAAGGCCTCTTTGGCACCGTTGGTGACGTAGGAGTCCAGCCCAGCAGAGTGCTCGGCAGCGGGCACCCACGTCTCGAAGAGCGCAATACTGCCGGGAGGGAACTTGTCTCGCACGGTAATGATGGTGTCGTCACCCTTGACCTCCATCCTGACGCCGGGAACGTCAACCACGCGGCTAGGAAGGCCACAGAGGTATTTTTGTCTTCGTTGAACTTCTTCACCGCTTCATCGCTCGTGTCTACCTCGAGCATCCAGCTTCCCAGATGCCGAGCTCGCGTGCCGGGCAAGTGCACGGGGCTCACCGCGCCGTTCCCGTTGCCATAGCCAGGGAATGCGGTATGGGCGATGAGGAAATAGCCCTTTCGCGAGTCTGGTTGGACTCGGTGGACCGTAATATACTGGTCCTCGTGGTGGATGTGAGCCTCGTGATAGCCGTCCTTGCCCATGACCGTATGGATCTGGTTAATAATCTTCTTGACCCGGCCGATACCGTCTTCTTTTCCGACCTTTGTCGGCTTGTACAAGCGCTTTTCGGCGACAAGGTCGATTCGGCGGGGGTAAATCTCGTCGTAACCCATGACGCTGCCAGTGGCGCAAGAACACATGCCCACGAGGGCGGCGTTGGGCAAAGTATCGCGCGCGTCTCTCTTTGCGCGGGGACTTCGTTGTCGTGGGTGCAGTCGTTAAACAGGGCGGCTACGACGGTTTCCTTGATGACGCGAACAACCTCTTTGGAGGAGCCGTCTGCGTTTTCGTCCGTCGTGGCCGTCTTTTCTCCGCTTAGGCCGCTCGGCTGGGGCTTGTTGATGGCCGTCACGGCATCGTCGGTCTCGAAGCTTCCTATGGGCCGGCCAGCGTAGCGATGGACGAGACGGCTCAATTCGCCAGTTCCCCAGCACTGCATAGCCTCGCGAATCAGGCAGTCCAGACCCAATCTCCGCACAAAGACGTAGTCGGTGTCCTCGGAGCCGGTGAAGAGCTCGGCAACGACGTAGAGATTGGGGCGCACAGATCGGGCGCGATCCAACATGTGCTCGGCGACGGTGATGGGGGTAGAATGACAGTTATCGATGCGGAAACCGTGAAAGTACTTGGCGAGCATCTTTGCGTACGACGCCATATGATCCCACAGCCAGGGGTTGTCCTCGTGACGTTTTCCATAGCGCAACTTGACGCAGTCGCCCCACGAAAAGACTTCTCGCTTGAGGTACGCGCGCGAGTCGGGCCCGGCATTGTCGACGAGAGCGTTGGCATCCCAAAGCCAACCGTTGTTGACCAGGGTCAGGTCCTTCTCGGTCAAGCCCTTGGCCTTGGTCTCGTCGTTCTCGGGTAGACGGGTAAAGTACGACTCGGAGATGGGGCTTTCGGCGGTGATGGGGCCTAGACGAGGCCCGTGTTCTTCGAGGCGATCCCACTTGAGGCGATTGTAGAGGTGGTGGAGCATGTCATCGACGTCTTTGTCGTATTCTCGATAAAATTTCATGTTGATCTCGTCGAGGATGGGGAGGAGCCTTTCCTTGGCAGCGGCTTTCTGCGGGCCGTGTTCGGCGTCGTACTTGCCCAAGATGCCGGCAAGGATACCGGCGCCGAATTTCGGATCGACGCTCCGATGAAAGCGACCGCCCAGATGCTCGGTGCCACGCAGGGCGTGCTTTGTCAGTAGATCGGCTTGGTCCTTCAACGTTAGGTTCTTGAGGTTGTCAATGTCGCCTCGGAGCTCATCGTCCGACGGAAACGACCACTCGCCCTTTGCCCACGATTCCACGGCAGCCGTGGCGTCCCGGTCTACATCTGTAGCGTAGTACTCCCACAGCTTGATTGTGGCGACGCCCTTGTTCTTGATAGCATCCATGACCTTCAAAAGATCATCTTCGCTTTGAATATCGTGGGGTACGTCGAGATCCTTGATCGTGCCACTGAGCTCTTTGATCTTGAGGTCGAGTTCGTTGGCGGCAAGCAGCCAGGGGGCAGTATTGAGGTTGTAGCCGGCCTCGGGGTGCTCGCGTAGCCAGGCGGTCTCGGGGAAGTATGGTTGAGCACGATATCGGTCAAGGAGAGGATGCCATGCTCCTTTTCCAGAGTCTTGATCATGGCCACCGCATCCTGTTCGCCATTAGGGAAGGCCTCGGGGTCCCAGCCTAGCTGGTCTTTGAGACTGTACGGCGAATTTGAATCTCCACGGGTTTGGAGGGGGAAATGGATCATGTTATAGCCCCTATCGCCAATTGAGCGAATGTGCGGCTCCCAATCATTAGGGTACTTCCCCATAGACTTGCTTAGAACGGTGAAGATGGACAGAGCTTGGAGGGGAAGGCGGCGACCCTCAAGGGAGAGCTGGGGGCAACCACGACATAGTACAGATCCGACTTCTTCACGTTGGAATCAGGCCTCGCTTCGCCTGACTCGATCGAGTCGGAAATGGAAGGGAGCTCGCAATATGTGATGTAGTATGTGTAGGCGCCGGATTGGTAAATGGGAATCGATACCTCAATGGTGCGGTTGAAGTGCGGGTCGAGCCTTTGGGAGGTGTAGGCACATTTTTAGCATTGAGAATCTCCGCCGAGATTCCTCTTGGGAGCAAGCAAGGAAAGCCAGAAAAAGAAGAAGAAACGGGGAGGCTCACTTGAATTCTCGAAATTCATCCCTCTTGTAGGGCTTATCTTTCTCGGGAATGTTGACCCAGAGGCTGCCATGGCGGCAGATGGGCGAGGTGCCCTCGATGGAGAAGCGAAGAACTAGGCCTTCCGAGGTTTTCGGTTCTATGTAAACATAATGACGAGGTACTGCGGGCGATCCATCATCGTTGAGGTGGAGGAGGTAGACCTCGTTGGAGGCCACCGTACGAGGACCCATGATGGGCGGGTAAACGAATGGCGTTATCGGTGGTCTGCAATGACGGGTTAGGCGATTGCGTCGTTATCTTATGACGCAGAGCTACCTGACTGAGACTTTGACAATGTGTCCCGCTCGCGGAGGAGAAAAGAATAAAAAACATACAGCACGAGAACAACGAAGAGATGGAAGCACAGATCCGGAGAAAAATGAAGAGGCTAGAAGAGTTGGTTGTTTTGTAAAAAGCTCGACAGGCAAGCGCAAGATGTGCGATTAGCTTCCCAAGCTGTGCTACGGAGCTTGTCAGGTCAGCGAGATTGGCGGTTTTGGTGGCGGGGTATTATCGCGGTTGGTGGGGAGAAATGTGGTGAGTGGCGGACTGAGAGCTACGGATGTAGCTAGCTCTTGACGGTGGCAGGACTGGAGCTCGCGGCAGGGGGCAGGAGTGAGGACGGACGCAACGCTGAGAACAAGAACGGAGACCACAAACCAAAAGGCAAGGGAATGGTAGGAAAATGAAGGTGGAAGATGAGGAAGCTGGGGAAGAGGAAGAAGGGAAAGAAGAGGAGAAGATGTAAAAGGAGAGGAGAAGTTGTGCAGAGTAGGGAAGAAGTGACTGATGGGGGCAAAGCAAAGCTGGCAAGGTGGGGATGGGAGCACGAAGAGACACCTCAGAGATCACACACTTCCAATCCCTGTGCTTCAAATGTTCTCTATGTGCTGCAGCACGACCCCGTCAATTCATTCATTCCATTTCGGTATGCACCATGTCTATCAATTCATGTGCAAGGACCTGAAGCGGGAGCTTAGCTTGGTTGAGTGCGGCGGGATGCGGACCAGCAAAGACTGGCAAGACTGCGGAGCTTGACTCTTGCTTGATCTTGCACCTAGCGCCGTCTTGCCCTTCGCTCCTTGTCTCTTTTTCCCTTTCCCTTTCCCTTTCTTTCTCTTCTTGATTGTCTTCTTGATTGTCTTCTCCCTTTTCAATACCCTCTTCCCCGAATTGATCCTTTTTCCGCGCGTAATGCCCTGTGCTATCGCTGGGCGTCTGGGCGGTCAAGAATAAAGAATACGGCTCGAGATTTTCCACGCCAAAGACCTTTGAAGCTTCCATGTTCCGACAGGGATCAGAGCACTTGGTCAATGTAGCATGATGCTATGGTTATGACATCGATTACCCAGCTTCCCAGGTACCGCCAGCGCCAGCCAGCGCCAGCGCCAGGCAAGCGGGGCCCAATTGGAGCTAGCACGAGCAGTGAAACTGGGTCCGGTACGAGCTGCATGTGAGAGAAACGGCAGCTTCTCTTTGTGCAGCCTTCAATGGGGAGCTCAACTCTTGCCTTGCTGCAAACCTGACCAACCAAAGTACCGGCCTCAGAAAACCCAATTTTGGGAAATGCGAATTAAGTAGAGTCAGACCAAGCCGGCCCAATTCATCCGGCGCGAGCTGTCGGTGCATCTCGTCCCTGGTCTCCGGCAACGTGAGGAGACTGGCCAAGTGCAGTGGGAATCTCTGCTCTGCAACTTTTTGCCCGCTTGAGATGCTAAAATCCTCGCTAAGCCGATAAAATATCCCTAGATCCCATGGATGCATTTACAGTTTCTGCTCTTGTTGGTTCGCTCTTTGATTCCTGGGATTGCCATTCTTGGATTGATCGGTTTTTCTCTTTTCTTTTAGCTAGTATACTTCGTATATTTTATCGAAAGCCGTCTCAAATCCTCTCTAGGCCTTCCTGATCATCACTTTTCTCGCCCAGAGCGGAATGGAACTGGAACGCTTCCGTGCCTGGCCTGAGCTTTTGAACGCCTTGATCACCGACACTAGACCAAGTCCACTTTGCTCCGAGCTTATGAGGACAAAGGGGCGGCAAGGCAATGTGATAGACCAATTGTGACTCGATGGGAAACACTGCACGTCATCGGTCATCGGTCATCGGTGATGAAGAGCCACCGCAGCCCAGCACCGAAGCCTTTTGACGAACAGGGGCATCAATCCCCGCCCCCACTCGTTCCACCATCGAGTAAATCCTTATTGTTGGGGCGGTAGTAATAATCATAGCAATGATAAGAATAAGAATATGAACGGTCAAATTTGGAAGAAAAACCAAGGTTTTGCTTTGCGCCCACCCACGATACCATCCACTGCCATGCAATATGCAATACCTACTGTGTTTGCGACTCGCCCTCGCGTGGCCAGGCCAGGCCAGATACCCACTCCGGAACTCAATTGGGGAGGCGGGCATCAATTGATCCAGCTAGTTTAGTTAGCATCCGCCACTAATAGATGTTTGGCGCAAGCAGAAAGAAGCACTTTGAGAAGGAAAAAGGGGCCAATGACCTGATCGACAGGACAATAGGAACAACGCAACGTGGGCATAGGCAGACTCACGGTGACAATCCGCACATATCTTACATATGGACAAGTCGATAGTCACCCTCAGCATCAATCTCCTTCCAAGACGCCGCTGGAAACCAGCCATTACCAAGTCTAATAAACAGGCAACAAGCCCTTTCCACCCCCTCACCCTGCTGGCAACCCCTCCATCCTCCTCACCGCCGCTGTGGTCCCTGACCAAGTCTACGCAATGCTGGGGAGGTTTCTCCCGGGAGCGGCACGGGCTGGCCTGGCAAAGCTGGTCGAAATTTCCAGGCTTTTGGGGCACAGCAGGGGGAAGGCTTTGGCTCCATCCCGTTCTTGTCTCACCGACAGATGATGGTTCTCATTGGTAGCCAGTAAATAGCGCTGGCCAGCCCAGAATCAATCCAACCAACCCTGCTGGCAGTGCACTGCGGCGCCCCTCCCCCTTCGCTCTCCTCCGAGACTGAAAAAAGCCCGCTCGCACATGGCCCCAAGCTACGTCATTGGATTCCATCCCGCTCCCACCACTTCTTTCTCGGCGCACGGAGGCAGCCGAACGGGAGAGAGCAGGATCAGGTCCCATGCCTTGAATGCATGTCCATTGATCCTATATCATTTTTCTTTCTTTTTTCCTTCATAATTATGCCCCCTTGTCCTTTATTTCGGCACGCCTAGATCCCAAGACCTTGGTTACTGACGTCGCCTCGCATGCCACGCCGAGATAATCTATTGGTCCTCGTTCTTCACAGTTCCTGTGCCTTGATCCGATTTCTAGTCCCTTCCGGCTTGTCCGTCGCGGGTGGCACTGTCGGGCCCTGAGTCGTCGATACCGAGATAGTTTGGAGAGGGAAAAAGAAGAAGAAAAAAAGAGTTGAGTGAGGCAGCATGCGCGGACAACGAGATCTAAGTCGCGGCAGTACATGTATGTACCTGGATAGTTGACAAAATATTAGAAGAACAAAAGAAAAAGGACACCAGATACCAGAGCTTTCCATTGCTTGACAGTCCTTGATATCGTCAACTAGCTAACCCGTGTCTGAAGAGCTTGCCATGGATTTCATCTGATCCATTTGACCTTGGCGAAAGCGCGAGTGCACACGCCGCCCCCAATCAATGGATCTATTACATCCAATTCAAGTTAATTAAGCCTCCAGAGCTCGTTCCCTCAGGTGGCACCGACCCACAGCTCCGCCCAGCCATGTCGGTAACAGCGTCGATCGTTCACGCTGCCGAGGGTGTCCCCTGCCATAGCCTTTCTCCGCCTATGCCGGAAATAGAATGAGCAAGGCCTGTAACATTTGCTACGGCGCTTCGTCCCGTCGCCGCTTGCACGAATGAGTATGATGTGGAGCAGCTTTTCCGGATGGAAGACAACAAAAGGAGCGGGCTAACTAGTGAGAAAGGGGAGAACAGAAAGAGAGGTCTATCAATGCATACCTCGGTACTATATGTGGTAGTAGCAGCTATTATAACCTCTGACTTGATGTCTCTTATCAAGAAGGGCAATGTCCTGCTACAGCGTAGACACAACTCGCTTCAAATTCCCGCAAGGGATGTAGAAGACCCATTGACTGCTTATAAGAGACCTCGGTGCCTCGAGAGGGTCGAATATACATGTCGTCACGATTTGGGCCACTTACAGAGCTACTAATACTCTTGTACTTTGATGCGGAAACCTCTATTTATATTGTGCTTTCAACCCACGGCGCCCTCATACTAGGCATCCTTACACCGTATCATGTGGATAACAAAGCCGGTAATCTCCACGCCGTCTCATCTGCTTGTAGTCGTTACCTCGGTGTCTATAGATTCCTCCTCTCTAATCGTACCTCTTGCACACACAATCGTGGATGCCTCTAATCTACCGTACCCCTCTATTTCTCATGGTATCTCCCTCACAATTAGGATAATAAGCACGCCTGTGTGAGACCGCACAAAATCATATCGCGGGGACCCAGAATACAGAAAGACGCAAACCAAGGGAAAATGAAAAGTAAAAACGAAAAGAATGGGAATCAAAAAAGGAGAAGAGAGAAAGAAGCGCGAGATGGGTGAACATAGGGATCTACCCGATGCCCTCTCTTACTTCTTTCTCCTTGCTCTAGCTGCTCTCTAGCTCTAGGGCGAGACAAGGCTGGGAATGTCGTCAACGGTGCAGCGGCCCTCGAGGATGTCTATGAAAACATTGTGTTAGCGGTTTGCAAACGGTAGAAAAGAGCATGATTGTGGTTTAAGTGACTTACTGCAAACGGTAGTAAAGAGAGGGTACTGGCTCTCAAGGCCCTTGGCCTTGAGGAAGCTGTTTACCTCATGGGCGGTGCTAGTACCCTGAAGCATCTGGCCGTTGAGCTCTGTTCGCTCAATCTCCTGAACCGTGACACCACGCTCGACAGCGAGCCTAGCGCACTTAAAGTTACGGCCACTGCTGCAACTGGTAACGAGATCAGCCACACCCGCACTCTCTTCGGTGAATGTCTCGGCATGGATGGTTGCGCCAAAGAACTCCTTGCCAAATCGAATCATCTCGAGGAGGCCAACGCGGATAATCTCCGACTTGGCATTGTCACCCCAGCCGCGGCCGACGACGAAACCGGCGGCGAGCGCGACAATGTTCTTGAGGGCACCGCCGAGGAGACACCAGCGACATCGGAAACCATGCGGACGTGGAAGTAGGGTCGGTGGAAGAGATGCTTAAATGTCTCGTGGTCGAGGGGCGGGTACTCGGGGGGCACGGGTGTAAGCCGAACCTTGGAGGTACGGCCTCGAGCGTCCTTGTGTTCCAGGGAGAGGCCATTTGCGCCATTCGAGCCGTTGGAGCCGGTGGGGCTAGCTCCGTTGCCGGCAGGCGAGCCGGACCTAGGCGTCGGGGCAGTCGAGGCAGGGCGGGACTGATCCATGGGGGAGGATCGTAGGCAATGGTGGTTCCACACCATTTCTCAGCCGCGATCTCACTAGCAATGTTGGCACCGCTCAGCGCGCCACAGTAGATGCCCAGACCTTCTCCGATCCACTCCGAAAACAGAGCGATGCCCTCGTCCGACACGTTAACGCCCTTGATACAGCTGATGCCGCGGGCAAAGGGAAGAATCTTGCCGTTGAGAGTCTTGCAGGCATTGCCGATAAACTGGTGAGGGAGGTTGAAGACGAGGATGCTGGAGCCGGCGGCGGCATCGGCCAGAGAGGGGTTGGCGATGAGGTTGTCAGGGAGGCGGATGTTGGGGAGGTACTTGACATTCTCATGGTACTTGTTGATAACCGACGAGAGCTTCTGAGGCTTGTCGCCAACGGCGGGGTCGTAATGCTTCGAGTCTTCGCCAATGACTACTTCTTCTTCGTGTACCCACATGTGCACCTCAGTCTCGAAGAGGTGGGGGTGGGCCTTTGCATTTTCGGCGACAATCTTGGAAATGGTTGAGCCCCTGTGTGGCGAACGAATGGACGTCAGCGAATTCGCGTTTGAGTTATGAAAGGAAGAGCAATATGGTATGCAGACAGAGAGGAAGAGGAGAAGAAGCCAAGAGGGGGATAGGAAATGCATCCAAGAGAGACAGACGGAAATGCAACGTGGGCAATGCGAGAGAGCAAAAGGGTAAGCTTACCAGTTACCAGATCCTACCACAGTCACCTTGTGCTTCTTCTCATAGCGCACCGTGGGCATCAAGTGGTCTCCCGCCATGGTGAAAGGTTGTTGCGTGCTTGAAAACGTACGAGTGAGAGGAACGATGAAGGATCGCGCAATGATTCTGGGGCGAGAGGCGCGAAAGGAAATGAGCATGGAGAGGGAAAGGGGAGAGAGCAGGAGGGAGTAGAAGCGGCGAAAAGTGGAGGAAGGGGACCGGTGAAAGATATACGAAAAAGAAGGCCCTGGAGTCGGCCCTGAGAAATCCTGTCACGAGTAGCGCGCGGGGATGACAATAGTACAGATACTTGTTCGTTCGCTGCTGCTGGCGCTGCCTTGCGTACGGGTCGGAGTTTCCCTTTGGTGCTTCAATGGTTCGTTCTTTCCAGTTTGGCCAGCTTGTTCTGCTTCGTCGTGGGGCGGGCAGATGGGCATTTTCTCACAGGCCGAAAAGGAAGCTACGATTCGGGACCATTTGCACCCTCGGTTGGCTTCGGACCAACACTAAACCTGATTAGGAAGTCGAACCCGCAAAGACCGCTGGAGAGCCGAGCTGATCTGTGGCTCAATGTTGCGGCAGGCGACACCTAGGAGGATGCTGCCCAGGAACGGATTTTACACTCTTTTGAAGGATGCGGGGAGAGGGAGGTGTTGTCGATCTCTTGAACAAAAACTCGCTAGCTACTCTGGGGAATAGTTTTGGAATCAGTCTCGCCCAACACGCGAGAAAGGTAAAATAGTCTGGGGATGCCCAAACTCTCTGGTCATGCATCGTTTGTGTGCTTTGCTTGGCCAGCTCGAAATTTCGACCCTTGACCGCCCTATTGAACCTACAATTATGGAGAAGCTGTCCGCGTTGGGCTAACGAACGGGTGTGCATCCTGTGGCGAGCCCCGTGTCAATCCCCGCCATCGCACTGGCCCTGGCCCGTTGAGCTAGGAATGACGCACAAGGGTTGTTGAGCCCCCTCTCCATTCGTCGACAGAAGCTGGACAGCGCACCTGCGACTGTTCCATTCTGGCGAATTCTCGTGGAAGCAGTGAGCCAGCCGTTCCCATGTATCCCCCTTCCCTTCGGCGCAGGTCCCCCTCTTGAGACGCAGAGAACTACTCATGTGATGCTTCTTCAGGGGTCCTCACCGAGGAAGGGTTGAGTTCCTCGCTTTCCGGATACGGTCTTCCGGAAGATACACGATGGATCAATTGTTGTTTTCCCCCTTCTTTTGCTCTGCTTCCTCCAATTCTTTTGCGTGCTGCTGACAAGGGCTCTCCGTCCGCCTCGGCCGGCCACGCCGACCTCCGAGGCTCCCTCCCGTCAGCATACCCAATATTCCCGTCACCCGCTACACCATTTCGCCATCCATTTTCACATTCTGGAATCCGCAGTCCCATTTTGGCACCCCTCCTATTATTGCTCCCCACAAGCCCACTTCCACGCCGAGGATGGCCCCTCTTAAAAAGAAGAAAAATGAAATCCGACGGAACAAGCGCAGTACCGAACCTCGAAGCGCCAGATGCTTTGATACTATTTTTGGGAGAGTAACCGTCCAGGGGATAGTCGCCGTCCGGGGAAATATCAAATTTTCTCCTAAGCTTGCCACTATTGGGACACCAACTGGGACCTCGCTGTTTTCACATGTCAGAAAGCCCTCTTCGCTTAGTACAAGGCCTCTCCCTTCTCCCTGCACGAAGACGTAGGCGAGCTTATTAGAACTGAGCTCCTATAACGCGGCTCGTGGCGTTCCCTAAACTCGAGTTTAAATAATAAAGAGAAAAATAGTACATGAAAGCGCAAGGAAAGTAGGCCCAAGCTTGGTGGTCTAGAAGCTCATCACCGTGGAGACAATGAAATAATGAAACAATCACGATGGAGAAAACCTGCTGAGGTTTCTCCCAAGACACACGATCTCCCTCAACTATCGAAAGAGTCAAGGAAACTAAAGAAATAAGCGCAAGACTTTTAATGCCATTAGAAGAGTACCTAAAAACCTAAAATGGGCCACACGCGGGAGAATCCAAAGACAAAAGACAGCAAGGTGAAGAAGGGAGGAAATGCTTCAGACAAAAGCGACGAAGTGCGTTTCCACAACCAGTAATAGTACAGAATTAGTTTTTGATTCCAATGATTTTTCTTCACATCGACCCAGAACAGACAGAGAAAGAAAACAGAAAGAGAGAGAGAGAGAAAGAAAAGAATAGAGGATGGAAAACGATCAAGCCACCCGCTCATCCCCCGCAGGCAAGCGTATCTGCCCTCCCCGCGCACCCAACCTCCACCACGCCACCTTCTTCTCACCCTTCTTCTCCATCGTCCTCTCCCCATCGCCAAACAGCGGCTTGAGGATCCAATCGTAGCTCACCCAGATGCAGCTAAACGTGCCCGTCATGCACCCCGCGTACCACGTCGGCACCTTGCCCTTGTCGTCGGCAATCAAGGAGCCCAGCCCAAACGTGGTCATCAGCAGCGGGCCCCACATCAGGCCCATGACCGCCTTGCCCACCTTTTGGCGCCAGGTCGTCGTGGTGAAGGGCCGCAGCGCCGCCAGGTACGCCTGGTACTCGTCTGGCAGCTCGTGCTCCGCCGCTCCCGTGCGGAGTAGGTTGAGGTACCGCTCGCTCGGCTGCGCGTAGTCCGGGTCGGGCCTCTGGCGCCCGCGCCGGATAAACCTCCACCACCAGCCCTTGTTCCCGCCGTCGTCGTCGTCGTTGTCGTCATCACCGCCGCCGCTGTTATCCTCAGAGTCGCTGTATTGCGTTCGCTTGGCCCCTTGCCGTCGCCGGGCTTCTGCGGTAGGTCGGGAAGGATGGGCATGCACAGAGTGTGCGCGAGGAAAGGCTTGGGTATTATGCCCCGGGGTTCTCGGGCACCTGGATCCGCGGCGGAATCGCCAGGCACGGCACCACAATCTCCTGGTAACCCGAGCCGCCTCCCTCTGTCGCGATGATCTTGGCGTAGTCCTCCTTGGTGACTTCGTACACCACGCCGACGAGTCCCTTCTCCCACCTGGGCGGCGCGTCTTCGGGGTCGTCGACCGGTGGCGGGATGACTGGCGCTGGGTTTCTCGGGTCCGGGAGCGCGGGTTCTTTGGGAATCTCGCGCACCGCTGTATTAGCGAAGCAGGGTTCCATGTACGGTAAGCCCGGGATGCTGAACGTCAGGCGTAGTGACGGGCAGGTCACATTGAGTTGGCTGAGAGGGCTTATTTTGCGCCGACCCAGAAAAGTTTCCGCGCAGAGGTTCGAGCCAAATGCAAGATAAAGAATCGTATCGGGCCCACCCGCAGCAGTGCCGTCGGCTGGGCTTTGTTCGAGGCGTAACGTCGAGGTACGGGGTATTTTTGATGGAGAAGGAGTACCGGTCATGTCCGGGACTGGCAAGAGAACATGCTCCGCCTCGGCTTTGGCCTCAGACGCCATGATGTGCACGCGTGGAAGATAAAGAAGGGAAACCCCTAAAATAAAAGAAAAAGAAAAAAAGAGAGAATCGTGCGGTCGTGATGATCAACCAGAACCACAGGAGTCGCCGTGGGGAAGATGTTCAGTAATACGTTAAATATTTGAGCTGATTACAAAATAAAGTGGATTGCACTAGTCTATTTAAATATCGATTATCTTTGGCTTTGTTCCCCCGTGGCTCCGTGTCCCTCCAATTCTTGCTCTCCATCGGAGACAGTAATCGCCGAAACGCATAGTAATCGAGGGGTTTTCCGCCACTCCTTCCGCTGGGTCGAAAATTGGCTTCCCACCGTTAACCCATGTTCAAGCGATGGAACTCCGCCCAAGTGATTAGAAATCTGTCAGCCAACCGTAGGCAACCAACCCAACGCGCCCATGGAATCCGCCCCCTTCCTCTTGCACTCAGACTCGTATTTTCGGGCTTACATGTACTTGGGGAGGGTTACGTTTCGCCCGATGCCGGATCCTCTATTAGGCTCCTGCCAAGCTCAGCGTGCAACTCCTGGTGCATTGCGAGGGCGCGGGTGAGATTTGTCGTTCGTTGGCCAACCACATCGAGATCAGGTTTCATCTCGAGCCTGTCCCAGAATCCATCGCAACGAGCCGATACTTCCCCACAGGCTCTAGTAAATGCTCGCTGCCTCTCTTGACCTCTGCGGATCCGCTCTGCCATCTCTTGCCGGTGGAGGACCGCCACCTTGTCGATGAATGCTGTCGCACTAGACCGGTATTCCTCCACGAGGTTGTCCAACACATCCTCTTTTAACTGGATGAAGCGTATCGATTGCTAGTCACTTCTTTAGAGGATATCGACTAGCGGTACTATACTAAAATCTCACGTACCTGACTAAGAGAATGTAACAAGGCGTGAAGGCCTTGGCGACCGGGGGCTCCTCGCGATGACGGTTGCGTGGGCCCCTCATCCTCCTGACCCAAGTGTTTGTCTCTTAGTGTTTTCGCCTGGAGCTGGCCATCTTGGAGTTTAGGGTTTTCTTGCGGTCGGGAAAAGCACTGTCGCAGAATCGCCTCGGCTTGAGTGGGTGAAAGATGCCGTTGCCGTTGTGCCGGATGGCCTGGCGATTTTGGTGAAGGCACGCGGGTAAGTGTAGGGCCTCTGATTTCATCTGACGGCGGATGCTCATAAGACTTTGAGCCCGCCTCTTGTCCCCTTGGCATAAATGTGACTTGTTGGACATCCGCCATACCATTAATATGGGATACCCCAGTTCGTTGTTCGGTGATGATATTGCCCCGCCTTGTGCTTCCTCTGCACCCTGCCACAAATGTGGGCTGCAAATCCATGCTCGGGCTATTCGTTGGCGGTGATTCTGAATCGGAGCGCCCAACATCATCACCCAGAACTATAAGATCAACATCATCCAGCGCCTGATCGACTGAAACGAACTTCGTGGGCGGGGAGGCATCCGTCGGGTCTACAATAGAGGGACTACCAGTCTCACTAACACGGGTTCGAAAATTACCATGTGGCCGCGCTTGGTTCGAACCTGCTTTACCGCAATTAACGGGCGTGAATGCTCGCGATGTATGTCTGCCGTCATCTTCTAGAGCCAAACTGGGGTCGCTATCCACATCGGCCTTCCTCTTCGTACCTCTCGCATCGCGCGTGCCCAATTTCCGGGGTCGCCTGTCTCGTCGCCCTTTCTCAGCGCGCTTAGCAGTCGCTCGCACAACATCGGATGATGGGCAATCGTCGGCCTTTTGCTTATATGCGAGATGGAAACGGGTTGAAGGGGTTTTGGTTATCGCATTCAACTACTAGAGAATCACGCTCCATATTCTTATTTTCCTTAGCCTTTTCCCCATGTTGTGGCTGCCATCAACCTTCGCGATCGTTTCTTTGGCATTGGCTGGAGCTTTATCCTTATCCTTAGGCGGCACAGAAAAGCTATCCGGGTGGTTCTTGCCCGGACTGATGTCTTTGATGCCCGTCGAATGTGGTGATATTTCAGATGGACTATCTTCCACCTCAGGATAGCCGGGCCATTTGCTCCCAATCAGAGGGTCACCCCAATTCAGCCCACTCGCATCACTAAGGTCCGATACCATGCGTGCTAGGCGACCCCTCTTATTAGGGGATCGCGCTTCTAGCAAGATCTCGCCGTCTCCAGCCTCACCCCCGGTTGACGGAGCACCAGCGTCAATAGCCTGGCGTCGAGGCCGCCTGGTCGTCTGGTTCCCCTTTCCTTTGCCACCGGGTTCGACGACCACGATATTAGTTTCGTGGGCAGGCCGAGTCAAGAAAGGTGATAGGGAGCCACCACTAATATCACAACCAGTCGTCGCGGATGTGGTGGAAAATGGAGAAGGGGCTGGGGGTGGCACCTTTGCGGGGTGTGAAATGGTCCCAGTCAACTGCGATAGCTGGCTTTTCCCGGGCTTGAATTTGCTATTGATTGAGTCGAGCATCTTCTCAAACTCGTCTACAGAGCTATTTTGACTAGGTCCCTGCTGTTGCGTAGATGGAGACTCCGTCGGAACGGTTCCGAACCGACTGGGGCCGGGTGTCTTGAATGGGGTTCGGCTGTGGAGGCCTGTGCTCGGAGACGAGACTGATGCCATGTCAGCGTTACTATCGCCGTATCCCTTGATAAAGACGTCAAAGTCGATATCCATAATATCCATAGAATCTGAGAGTTCTCCAGGGCTTCGTGGTTTCTTCAAACCGTAGTTAGATACATGTGTGGAGGGAAAGTGGTTCATCCATGTAGTAGCTTACGAGCGAGTCTTGGTTGGGATGGTTTGGGCCCTTTACGCTAGCCCCCTCGCCGGGATCCATGACATGGCCCTTCTTCGATATTGGCTTCTTTCTAGGCATGACGGAGACACTACCTTCCGCAAAGATGAAGCTTGGAGAGGGCAGTCTAGGGTGGCTAGGAGACCGTGACAAAGTGCCGTTTCCTAATAGCTCCGGAGAACGTGCCTAAGAAAAGCCTCAGGCCGCTTTAGAAAACTAAGTATAAGGCGCAAGTCGTTCGTTCATACCTTCTGTCCGCTTCAACGACCCTCAGCAATAGGAAAGAAGGAGCGACCTGGCCTGGCTTACAGGGTCTCGCCTTCCGTAGGATTTACCACACCGATAGGGAACTGAACTTTGAGTTGCCAACATTCTCATTAGGGGCAATATGCTACAAGTGATCCCATATAGGTCTAGACTCATCGAGAGATTGATATAGGACTAATAACCATTCGACCTGAAATTGAAGGCCGCCTCAGTGCCGGAAGAAACAATGATGAAGTGGGCATGCGCCGTGAATATGCATGTAAACGAATATGATCGTATCCATATTCGACGCACGGTCGTGCACCAGGTGCCAAGGACAGGCCAGGCTAACCGCTGACCCACCAGAGCTCATACGGAGACCAGGTCTGCATTTTCAGCCTGACCTCTCAATTCCTGACATCAACCTCAAGCTTTGCACAGGGCTACCAACAACCAACACCCGCTCCGAATTGCCCAATCGAACCCACAACCATGAGTCTCCTCACACCGACGACGGCGTCGGTCGTCTTTCGCATCACCGCCCGCCCGGCCATGATCCGTCAGACGCTGAGCCGCAACTTACCGCTCTGCCAGGCCAAGGCTATCAGCACCCTCCGCCCCTTCGCCACGAACACCCCCATTGCCCAGAGGACCCCCGCCGCCGCAAAGGGGCCTCTAGAATTCTCTGCCAGAGCCGCTTCGCATCTTCGACTGCCCAGGCCGCGGTCGGTGCCGAGGCTCCCGCCCAGCTGGACTGGAACACCTTTTTCCAGCTGCGCAAGACCCGCCGCCGCATCCAGGTGCTCTTCAGCATCGCCGGTGCTGCGACCTGCGGTACCGCGGGATCTTGGATGCTGGCTACCGGTATCGCCGAGCCTCTGTTGAGCCTTATTCCCCTTGACCCCTTCATCACCATGGGCTTGATGGCCTTTTCTTCGGCGACGCTGGGTTGGCTGCTGGGTCCTAGTCTGGGAGCTGGTGTGTTCAACATGTGGCACAGGAGGATCAAGCCTCAGATGGCTTCGGTACGTTGTCACGCCTGCGCATTTCGAGCATAAAATTCCACGTAACTAGATGCTAATCTGTTGTATCCCTGGTTTTAGAAGGAAAAGGAGTTCTTTGCTCGCATCAAGAAGCACCGAGTCGATCCATCTACCTCTTCCGTCGGCAACCCAGGTGCGCGCCCCACGTCTCTCCCATATTCTCTTTCCCGCCTAATCATTCGATTTGTGGAACTGCTCAAGCTAACCTTTCTCAGTCCCCGACTTCTACGGCGAGAAGATTTCTAGCGTTTCCGGATACCGCCAATGGCTTAAGGACCAAAGGGCATACAACCGAAAGCGAACCCGATTTGTATAAAGGGTCAAGTCTCAAGGCTTTGATTGCCTACACCCATCCAGGATTTGCTATAGGTGGGCCAGGGCGCCGCTTTTAGCCAGCCTGTTTTTCTACTGTAAGACTACAATGATGGTATCTCGGGTCCCAAAGGAAGGGGAGGGAAATGAGGCAGACGATGTACAATTGCACACACTCCCCTTTGGCCTAGGAATAAGAAAACTCCAAAACAGTTTCCTTTTGTGTTTCTTAACCTCTTCATCTTTTTTTTTCATGGTTATTGCTTTCGGTAGATGTCCAAATCAAGGTCTTTCTTGCCGTTCTGCCCGTCGCCATCCGCATTGTGACAATGGCGGACTCAGCTCTACGTGAATGGGAGTGTCGGGTCAATGTCGGCCTTCCAAGCCCTCATCCCACCTTTGATGTCGCCAATGTACCGCTCCCCGCCCTTATCAAGACCGAGATCCTTTAGCCGGCGTGTGACGGCTTGCGAGTCCTCGCCCTGCCTACACACGACGAAGATGGGCGCGGAAGGAGCGAAATTGGCCGGCAGCCAAGTAGGCGGGGCTCCGCCTGTCGCGACCGCCGCCACGGACTCTCCAAATTTTCTGTAGGGCACATTAACAGCGTCGTCAAGGCTCGCGACAGCAAAGTGCTCCGCCTCCCTCACGTCCAAGAGTAGGTGGTTTGGGGGCTCCCCTCCAGGTATGGCGGGGCCGCGTGTCCTTTCGAGGTACTCTCTCGGGGACACGCGCTCTTCGGGCCTCAGTGCATCCGCAGGCCGGACGACGCCGCAAAACTGGACATAGTCCACCGCGCCCTCCGCGTACGACTCTTTGGTGAGCGTGGATTCCGCGCTGCAGGCGAAGCAAGTCTTCTTTCGACCAGCCATGCGCACGGAGCGGAACGGGGTGGCGACGTGTCCCGTAAACAAGAGCATGTGGTGCTGCGCCGGAACCGTCTCACCGGTTGCCGGCGCGACGGGGCTCTCGTGCCTCCCCGAAGCAAGGATCTTGATGGCCTCAAGGGCCTGCAGCACACCCATGACGCCCACCACGGGACCTAGGATGCCGCCCTCGCCGCAGCTGACGACGGTCTCGGGGGCGAGGGCTTGGGGAAGACGCACCGGTAGCATGGGCCGCCGTCGCGCTCGCCCTGGGGCCGGGCAGGGCAGTTCATGACCATGAGCTGGCCGTGAGTCTGCAGCGCGGAGGCAAAGACGAGGGGCTTTTGGTACAGCACGCAGGCGTCGGAGATGAGGTAGCGGGAGGTGGGGTGGTCGGTGCAGTCTAGGACGAGGTCGTACTGGGGCACGATGGAACCTGCGGTCGACGGGGTGAGGTGTTCTCGGTACGGGCGGTAGGTGATGGTGGGATTGAGGCTTGGATACGCGTTAGTCGGCGGCAGTGAATGGGGCGGGAAGAGACGGCACACCGAGAGCACTGGGGAACGCGCGGGGAAAACTTACCCTTGAAGACTGGCGATGGCGCTGTCTACTTTAAACATGCCAACCCTCTCCGTCGAATGCGCAATCTGACGGTGAAGGTTCGAAGCTTCAACCACATCGCCGTCGACGAGCCCGATAGTGCCTACGCCGGCCCCGGCGAGATACATTGCCGCAGGACATCCTAGGCCCCCGCGCCTACGATGAGCACCGAAGCCTTTTTAAGCGTAGCTGGCCTACATGAGCTCCCAAAGACGCACGTTAGTGGCTTGTGTTTTGATCTGGTCCGGGATGAAGCTCTAGGTACATGATGCAGCGAGATAGGTTGGTACGTAGTGATGGAAACCTGCGGAAAGAGTGGGACACTTGCCTTGAACACCGACCTGGGGTATGATGAGCTGGCGAGCGTATCGTTCGTAGTCTTCCGCTGCCAGCGGCCACTTCCACGATGCTGGCTCGCCTTGAGGCGGCGGGCTCTCCACCAACCCCGAACTCGAGGCACCATCGCTAGATGAAGATTCGGCCTTTTTTAATTCTTCTCTCAGGCGATCGAGTTCCTTTTCGGCTGCTTGGATCTCTTGCTTTAGCCTTGTGATGGCATCCATCTCAAGAGGTTGAGATTTCTGTAGACGCAGAGTCTTGAGGCTCAGAACAAATAGAGTATGATGACAATACTAGGGAAAAAAACACCAAATCTATTTGTACCTCTTCCTCCTGCGCTTGCATGAGCTATTGGTGCGCTGATGCTCGAGGTATCGCGGGGCAAAGTAGTCCCCCACAGTGAGCGTGGCACTGACGTTCTCGGTGAGCCCCGGTGAGTGCGGGGCACTCCGTCACTGGCCAATTTTTTCTTAGCCATTCAACTTGGAGCCTCATTCACATTCTGCCACCCTCACCGAACCTCACCCTCCCCCAAACCATTAACCTCTACAACACCCAGCCACTGGGAAAACGCACGAATCATGGTAAGTCCCGTCCACAGGAACGCTCCCTCAGGAACCAAGCACCTTCCGCATGGGTGGCGGTAGGCCGGAGATCTGAGAAAGAAGAAGGAAAAAAAGAAAAAGACACAAGTTCACTCGCTAACGCCTTCCACCTCCAAAGGCCAAAACCGCCCCCAAACCGCGACAGAAAAGCGATTCGCCCGCATCCGCGGCGACATCCCCTCCACCGCGCCCCGCAAAGTCTTCCGCCCGCCGCCGCCACCACCGACGACTTCATCCAGTCCAAGCGCGACCGCCGCACCATCAAGCACTCCTCCTTCGTCCACAAGATCCACAAGTCCACCCCGCGGGTGCCCGCGGCAGCACCGCGGCGAGCAAGAAGCGCCGGCGGCCCAGCAAGAAGCTCGTCGCCACCCTCGAGGAGCTCGTCGACGCCCTGCCCGAGGTCGAGGAGCTCGCCCCGGCACCGCCGGCAAGGTGCGGCACAAGAGCTTGAAGAGCCGGCCTGGCGCCCTCAAGAGAAAGGAAAGGATCGTCAAGGGCGAGATGGAGCGGTTCGGCGAGAGCATGGCGCGGCTCGTTGCCGGCGGCGGCGCCAAGACCGGGCTCGGGGACGGCGAGGATACGGCGCGCAAAACGGCCAACCCCGCGGGGAACCGGTGGGCGGCGCTGAGGGGATACATCTCGGCGACGGTGGAACAAAACCCCGCCTTTTCGGAGAAGAAGGAGGCATGAAGCGATTCGTGTAGGTGGCCAGTTGCGAGGGGAGATGGATTGGGACAGAGCGAAGATGGCCGCTCGCGGAGGCTAAATTTCTCTCTCTCACTTGAGGAAGTCACAAGGCTCACAAGTCTTGTCCTTGCTTCGACGCAAATACCGGGGTGTTGTTTTTCCCCTCCTTTCTTAATATGAAGAGAAAACGGGGAGTGCCGGGCGAGCTAGCGGCCCAAGGCACATAGCTGGAAATGGCGGTTACTATGGCCATGCCATATGATGATAATGAAATCCAAAACACAATTCAGTACAGATCCATGTGGCAAAAATAGGTTATATAAGGAATAGGGCAGGTAGCCTGAAGTTTGAACAATAGATTCTCCAGCCTTATCTTAAGTTGCTACCTTAGAATTTCGTACAAGAGGAAGACCCCATTAGGCCATATAAAGGAAAATCACGTATGAAGCGCATGGTTTATCCTTCAATACTTCAAGTTATACAAAAGCACTATGTGTCCGCATGCCAAAATCTTTCTGAGCTTCCAAGTTATGACCTTCGTCATGACAGAGGCTATCACAGGAGAGGTCAAGAATTAGTTCGTCCAGGATATATTCTAATCCAAATTCGACTCGGGTACAATTCAGAAACGTGGGTTTCTCCCATTATCTGACAATGTTGAAGCATGGGGAGGACCGAAAGATGCTCTTTTCTACGCCAATCGGCGGTGTTGGTGGTGGTACGCATGAAGACCTTGACGGGATGCTCGGTCCTTTGAGGATAGCAAAGTACCTCACACCCTCCCCGACGATTTTATGTTGCGGGAGCCTCTGCGCTGCAGGCCAAACCATAGTTCCCTCTAAACGATCCTTCTCAACCACCTTGAATTTTGTAGCAGGAAGAAAATCCCGCCACTCCTCCCACGCGGGAATTGCTTTAGCCGTAGCGTTGGGAAGGTCGAACTGTAGCTTCAAGTTGCTTCAATGGCAAGCTAGGTTGGTGATGTCGTGCACACCGGTATTCGTCTGAGCTCGTCAACCGGCAGCCGTGAGTGGCCTCAGCCCTCCCTGCCGGCCAAGTTGCCGTGAGTAGAAGCTCTCAGGTTCCCGCCACTCATTTACATAATATAGACGCAACTAGTATATGATGAATCAATGTTGCGAGTGGTGGCATCAGCCAGGAGCGGCTAATAATACACCATATACCTCGGTACAGGCCGATCGCAATCCATAGATCTGCCCGCCGGTCGTAAATCGAAGATAACAAACTCCTTAAGACTCGCTAGGCCAAACTGGTGCTCAACTCCAAATCATGTACAATAAGGAAACGAGAGAGAGAGAAAAGAAATACTAGGTAAGCCGATAACAACCGAGGTTGCTGTAACTTTTAGTCACCCCTGCTTTGCGCTTCTGGGCGGCGGACGTTGGAGGGAGTCTTCAGTCAAGGTAAGTCAAGCGAGATGCGCAGTCGCGGACCATGGCAAGTGACCCTTTCGCTGAACGCCGTAGATTTGTGGCTTGCTGCCCATTCTAGGAGGGAGAGGAGTAAAAGAAGGAAAAACAGGTCTGCACTTGCACTATTACATGGCCGTCGCGAAATAGTGGGTTCCTACCCTCGAGAGATCCACAGCGACAAGAGCTAGCAGGGAGGCAGGGGCGGCGCTTTGGCTGTTACTCGATCCTGGGGGAGGCGTTTTTGCCTTTGAGGTATATGGCGATGCGCTGCGTCTACGCGAGGAATGTGAGGATTTAATTAGCCACGTGCGACAACTAGGATTCACCATCCAAGAGGCAACCTTCATGCCACGGAAAGAGAGAAAAGGTCGGCAACGAGAGGAGGAAAGGGACAAGGCTCAACTCACGATCTCCTCCGCACACCCTCCTTCCGGAGGCTTTCTATTATCTTGAGCATCTCTTTACGACCACCATTAGAGTCGACCATCTTGTTGGCCATACTCATGGATATCTTTTCACGAGCATTGACGCTCAACAGGCGTTTGATTAGGAGATGGCGCATGAGAATGCAGACAAATACACCGCAATCACTACCGTTCTCCTGTTGCGGTGTATCTTCGAGGTGGTGAAATCGTAGGTTAATCCGCATAAGATTCTCAAGGGCCCGGGTAGCCGACTTGGCCTCTTCGCGGTTGGAGGCACCTAGGGAGTCGTAGTGGAAGGCCACGCGGTCAATTTTGCTTACTAGAAGCAAGGACCAGTGGGAGCCGCCTTCCGCCTGATTTACGTAGCGGTTGTCGTTAATGGGAAGGAAAATATGGGTGCAGCGGTTGAAATCAGGAAGGGCGCTTCGGATCGAGTTCACGTCAGGCTCCTTCATAAGGAGAAACGTCATGCTCGGCCGGAGCAGGATAATGTGAGCTTGGGGGTATCGAGGAAGGATCTCTCGTTCGAGCCATCTTTTAGAGGGGCAGATGGTCAGCTTCGCTCAATATCTTTCCAGGGGACACCGGCGTACAGGCCGGGGTCTCATGTAAGCCAGTCGCCGTAGTCAACGTGTATTTCGGCGATGGGGATGGTTGGGTTACGGGAGAAGCAATGCGGAGGAAACTAACTCTTCCCAAAAGCAATATTCTAGCATGAGGAAGGCACGTTAGTTTTTGAGTATTCCAATAAGGGACCAACACCGGAAAAAAGAACAGAAAAAGACAATTCACAGAACTAGATCAAGAAGAAACTGAACATACATTATCGGTCAGCCAGTCGTTCCTGAGAGCCCGAATATCTTCATATGTCACTAGAAGCGAGAGTTAGTTTGGTGATGAGACCGAGACCTGGCGAGGCGGGGTGATAACGCCAGTTTTAGTGGTGGGTCGGCCCTACAAAGGATATCGTGATCTGGCTAGTCAGCCTTTGGACTTCAGCGACTCGAGCAATTCTTCTGGCGGACGAGCTCGTCGCAAAGACGAATTGTGGGCGTGGTTCACTCACAGGAAAGATACGAATCGGAGGGAGACCTCTGCTCGGAGCACCAGGCGGAACTACGTCAGCGGACTGTCTTGCCCCACGGGAATATAGTGCGAGACTGGAAAGGGAACATTGACCAGTGCTGTAAGTAGCCTCCCCTTCGCGGGTGTGAGAAGGAAGTTACAGGGCAACTCACAGTGTCTCCTAACCGGCGCGCCATCTTGGAGCGAAAAGTCATGGTGATGAGAGAGGTGGGTGAGGAGGGGCGAGAGAGGTCGAAGATAATGATCGTCAGAGGGGGAGGGGCCGCGCACGGAGATCGAAGAAGGCGAGTAGGTGGAAAGTCTAACGAGAAGAAGGGGGAGAAAGAAGAAAAAGAAAAAAAAAGAGGGTTCTCTCAACAGTGCACTGTATCGGCACCCTTAATGGGTTAGAGATTGATGTGACTGATGTCGTCTACTCGTGCACCGGACCTAGTGTTTGGGGGAGAGGAACTGATTTGTGCGAAAGAGCCGCGGGAGTGGTGGGATTGGATTGATCGGTTCAGTTCAGGTACGTGCAACAGAAAGGAAAAAGAGTTTTTTTGCTTTCATAAAAAAGGGATTCGGCGCTGGGGTAATGCAGATTCGCCCTTCAATCAGCCATGAGTTGAGGGTGGTTTTTTTTCTTTTTCCCTGGCGTGGATTGGGCCCTGGCCGAACGGTGAACTTTTAGGTTGTCCTTGAAGTGGGACCGGGGCGGCTTTGATGATGTGGTGGTGCCTGCTTCAGGTTTGGGGGAGAGGGAGGCGGGGTGTTCCTATTCGTCTCTGGCGTCTTGGAAACTTCGTCACCTGGTCCTAGTCCGAACTCCGCGGGGCAAAGCGAGAGATCTTGCTCAAGTGACGTGGTCGAGGAGGGGCTTGTCAGCGCCAGCTTCTTTTTAAAAGTGTGAGCGGATGCCAATTGATGTGTAGTAAGGTGTGTGCGAGTGTGAGTGTGTGGTGTCACTGGCGAGACATTGTCTGGGGAGGGATCGAGTAAGATATTCATATATGGATTTTATTTTCCCCTCCATCTATTCTCATTTGAGGGAATGTGGTCATGTCATGGATGTATAATAAGAGAGGATAATATCGTCCAGCCATTGCTTTCGCATTAACTCTTGCTGCTGGCAAGAGGAGTAGGCGGGAGTATGCGGCCGGGCTTGGGGTTTCGGATTCTCCTCACGCCCGCACGCCCAGGACAAGCCACCACACTTGCTTCTCCATGTACTCAAACCGCCTCCCCTCGTCCTTCTCATCGAGTGGCCCAGCGGCCTATGTAACCTGGGGAAGACGAGGGTGTCCCCTTCCTCCGAAGTATTATCATCTTTGCCGAATATTTGCCATTTTCAGTCTCTCCTTCCACATCGATCTTCTTAATCGTGTGGGGTGGGCAATGGATGTCCATGAAGGGAAAGTTGCGCCCAGAGAGGCTTCGACGGATCAATTGTCGCTGAATTATGGTCTTGCGCGCACTCTCGAGCTCGTTTTGTCCATGTAGGATTTTGGGTCGTTGCAACCATAGAAGTCTTGACTGGCCAAAAATATCGCTTGCACTCCCACACCAGAAGCAGGAGGCCTACGGCGACAATCGTCGTGTCGCCGCAAAATGAACGGAGCCACCGTCGCCTGCGCCACTGCCGCCGCGTTTGCCCCCGCCCCCAAACCAAACTCCACATCCATATGCATCTCGGGTTGGGCTTTCGTCATGACGGCACCAAGGAATGACGCTGCCCTTGCAACACCCTTGGCATGACACGCCCCCTTAGATCGTGAAGCGAGGAACTAGACCCTTCGCAGCTTGCACCTAAATCACCCAGGCTACGGATATGCAAGTGAGACTTTTACGTAGGGCATGTAAGCGAACAGTCGGGAGCGGCGGAGCGATTGTGAGGGCTGCGCTTTGTACTCTTGAAAATCTTTCGTGTAACCGATCTATCATCCTTCTGGCATAAACGGAGAGGCTCTTTGCACTCGAGCTGTATTGGTGCGCGTCTGCCAGAGCCAAACCGAAGGTGTCGAGGAGGGTCTAGGTAGTATATACATCAAGTTATCACCAACTCCCACCTACACTATAGATACCGCGGGTCGTCGGCCGGAATACTGAAGCGCCACTCGTGGTTTTCATACGAAGACAAGGAGAGTGGTATGCACCACCCGACCGTTAACCCCTCCCAGCGGCAGCCTCCTGTACCGCGCGCTGCTGATCAGGTGGCAGAGGTGGGGGTCCCCTCTCAACCAGGGTAAAGGCACCGTTCTGGGGATCCATGACGCAACGGAAGTGTGTCCATTCCCTCGACGTCGGCCTCGACCGCACCTTGTTCTCCAGGTCCTCCTGCAACAGATAGATATCCTCGACGCCCGCGCCCGCACGTGCCGCTGCCGCCGCCGTCTTGTCGTTCCAAAAGTCAATCATGCACTGCATTCTCTCGGCGGATTCCTCCACCCACGACTCGTCGTTGGGAGTATCCTTCTTCGCCATGGCCGATAGCGCCTCCGCCGTAGCTGACGTTTCCGCCGGCTTGGGCAACGCCGACTCGTGCCGCGACACATCGTGGTTAGTCTGCACAACGAAGCCCGGGTCAGTGCGCACCGCGCCCGAGAGCAGGTCCTTCTCGATCATGCTGGCCTCTTGCCCGTCGCAGAGGCAAAGGTACGCCGGGCTGGTGCGCGTGGAGGCGAGCTCGGCGGCCACGGCAGAGGCGGACTGGTGCGAGGGGCGGGGGTTAAGGATAAGGTCGCGGAGGACGCTAGCAATGGAAGGGCGGTAGCCCAGAACGACCAAGAGTTGGTGCCAGCGAATACCGTAGCCGCGACTGTTGTGAGAAGGGCGGAAGTTGAGCGATATAGAGAGGCCCTCGCTGTAACAAGGAGGGGCTTAGCGGAGCTCCTTTAGAAGCGTAGGGATGAATTGGGTCATATGGAGAAAAACAAAAAGGGCCGAGTGCTTACCGAACACCAGTTAATACGCCAACAAAACCGGCGTACGTAACGGACCTCGCGACGACTTTGTGGGGTTGATCTGACGAAGAGTCTACAAACTCTAGGGTCACAAGAAGGGCCCTCAGCCTATCCATGGCCCAGTCCAAGGTACGAAAGTGCAACAGCCGCGAGCCTTGCCCGTCGGCGCCGCCCTGGACCCTCGCTGCACCAGAAGTGCAGCCGAGCATTGCATCCAGGAGTACGTTGAGGGCGACGAGCAAGTAGAGATCCATGCCCGAGATATTGGCGATACCCCGAATCTCCTCGGTCTGCACATCGTCGTACACGCGGCGCAGCAAAACCTTCATGCAGCCGATGATGCCGGAGCGGACGTACTGGTTCGGCACAAACCACTGGAGCAGCTCGAGGAAGACGGGCGTGGTCTGGCGGAGCTGCGGGGAGAAGTCGCGGGCCATCTCGGCGTAGCGTTGCGCGGGCGGCAGGGCGAGATCGATGCGGTAGGTCGGGATCGGGTCGGTCTCCTTGGGGTAAATTTGCGGCGGGATTAACGGCTCCTCCTCCGAGGCATCGGGCTTCCGGCGAGTAGCCATTGTGAAGAAAAGGCGCTGCGCCTGCTCCCGTACAACTGCTGCTGGGTGTTTTCCCGTTCTTCTTTTCCTAGGTTGCGGCCAGGAGAAGTGGAAATAGACTAGAGAAAATGATGCGGGAAAAGAAGAGAAAAAAGCCACCCTCTTCTCCGTAGTACACAGGGTGAGAGAGTTAAAACTGATCAAGGGAGGTGACGAGGGAACCCCAGGTGAGCGAGCGCATGCTGGGAGCTTTATTGGGATGTTCAGATCCAGCCTGGGCCCTAGTTACTTCCGCCTCATCCCAGCAACACCTTCTTTTCATTCCCTGCCATCTCGCCAACAGGACGTACGAGCTCCGAAAGCGCCAACAAGGCGACAGGGGGAGGGGCTGGTGTGGACCATTTCCCCCTTCGCTCCCTGTCCTGTGCGCTAATCTTATCAATCACATCAGTAGCGATGGACCCTAGAGATCCATCCATCATTGAAATGGATGGATCAATCGATCCCGCCAGGGGGCGGGTAGGAGTGGTGGCGGAGAGGCCTGGGAGTGACACCAAGCCTAGTGTTCTAATGGGTACAAGGCCCGGTCCGGTGGGCATTTATGCCTTGTACCACCTCACCTTCCTGCCCTTCAGGTTCCGAGGGTACCGAGGTATGTTCTCTTCAATACTCTTATTGCCAACCGTGGAGGTCGATTACCCAGGTATCTAGTATCAATGGCATATATTGTTACATATAATTAAGGATGAATTGATTATCGAGGTGTCAGCTTGCCTCGACCGTTGTTGAAGTCTAGATGTTGGAAAGGCACTCGGTCTATGCTCGCCATTGGGCCCTTGAGCAAGCAAGCAATGCATCTCTCGAAAAAGTAGTCAAAAAGTTACATGGGGTGGGGACCGCCGCATCAAAGAAGAACCCAAGACTCGCTTTTTCTGCAACCTCCGGGCCGCTTGCGCTTGCGTCGTGTGAGGGAAAGGCAGCTCAAAAGCTGGTGGGCTGGAGAGCTACAAAACCGCTCCGCGTGGCGCTACTCTCCCGGTTTCGGAGCTGAGGCCAGTGGACTTGCAAAGATGAAAGGGAAGAAGAAAAAGAGGGAATGAGGGAAGACTGCCTCATACAATGGATGTATCCACTGAATGAATAACTTCGGTTTTTTCTGTGGAAAATGAAGGGCCTCTTGCTTTTTGACTGAAGGAGCTCAGGCTAGAGCGCACTGGATTACAGCAGACACACAGCTAGCCAGCACAATCGAGGCACCCAGTTATACATTATAGATTGTGGTGGTGTTAGACCTAGAGGAAGGCCACTAGCTTGCCTATGGGATTTACTATAGTGTACACTAAATTGCAATGAACAGCCTCGATGCATCATAGGGCTTTACGCGCAGGAGCAACGGGCAATGTTTAGGGTTTGTTTAATATTGCTTACCCATGAGAATCCTTAAGTCCATGGCGTAAGTTGCTTGTGAATTCAGCTCGTGCTGAGGCTCGTGGTGGCAGACTTAATTACAGAATCCCGCATTGGCTGATAACGCCAAATCCCACCATGGACTAAGAACATAGGAAACTGGATTTCCATTTCAATAAAAAGATGACAAAGTATTTTTGATTTTAATATGCTATATTATCTACACATTACCTTTCATTTATCTTACTAGAAGTTAAATTAAAATAATATATATATATATATATATATAATTTAACATTATTAAAATTAGATATATATTTTTATATTATTGATATATTATACTATAGTTATATATATATATATAATCTAAACTAAAAAGTTATACTTAAAATATAAGATAGTAAAAATAAAATATAGAATTAAAAGCTATAAATATATTTTGATATTATAAGAAAATTAAATGAAATTAGAAATATTAAAAAATATTATATAATTAAATGCTTTATATTATAGAGATAGCGCTTTCCTTAATTCTGATTATGTCATCTATGGTTAGCAGTCCGCCACGATCTCAACTAAATGGTTCAAAGTAAAGAGTAGGTTGACCTTTCAACTTCTCGCCTTCATTGTGCAACTCCAACGACTCAGACGAAGCAGTTACCTAAAATCAAGCATTGCGAGTCTCTTGCTGGTCCGCTCGACTAATGTAAGTAAACCTAGCGTATTTTACCCTTTTCCGTGCCCTGGCATAGACCGTTCATAGATACTTTGTGTCGCTGACATGGCCCTCTACGCGACCAGAACGAAGAAACCCCCGCGACTACTCAACCTCTCGAACCGGTAGATAGAGGCGTTGGCAAAAATTATCCTCTCGCGTGAAACAACGGGCACACAGCGCAAACCGAGAGCAGGAAGTCGGAAGCACCAGGGGGTGGCCGGGATAACGAAAGACGGCCGACGTTGGCCCAGCACCTACAGAGATAGTGGCAGCACAGGTGAACCCACTTGGGCAACCCGCTGAGAGGAAGGGAGGAATGTGCCACCCAAGACCGAGGAGATCCCACAGTCGCATGCCATGGACAAGTGGGTTGTCAGAACGGCTCGCCCGCCCAAAAACCCGGCCGTAGAAGAGATCCTGCCTTCGTCGTCACCTCGATCCTCTTCCCCGGCGCAGCGCCCGCGTCGTGCGCCCGCCACCTACACCCTCGAAGTCATTCTCCGCTCCTACCGGCCCTTTTCTCCCCGCCCTTGCAGGAACCGACGCTCCTACCCCCGGACGACTCGACCGCGTACATAATAGACCAGGAGATGCAGGCGCGCCCGGGGGTTGCGTCGGACGGAAAGATGTTCCCGCTGTGTCGCGGGTACTGGATCGGGTGGCGGGACCTGGCAGGCGCGAGCATCTTCGTGCCGGCGGACCGTGTGCTGGATTACGTGTCTCCCTACACGCTTGAGCAGTTCGAATACGTCCAGTGGAAAGCGCTCCGCGAGGAGCGCCGAGCTGAAGAGGAAGAGGAGAGGTACCTGAATCTGAATGGGAACGGGCCCGCGCAGACGACGAAGGCGGCGGGCGTTCCCAAGGTCCTCGCGACAGGAGGAGGAAAAGGCGGCGCCAGGCGTCCCGGGCGTCCTCCGAAGCATGGGCCCGGACCGTCGAGAAAGGAGGCCGAGGCGATCCCCGTCGACGATGCGGCGATCGAAGAGGAGATTAGGAAACGGTCCAAAGACCAGCCGAGGGAGGTGGGGCCATCCCTCTCGACCCCGCAGAAACCGCGCATGCTCGCGCTGGCGGCTTCGGCTGCGGCGGCGAGCGGCGAAAGCGAGGACGCTGCTCTGTACAAGCAGTTGTATGGGGAGACGCCGTCCGAGGCCTCTTTATACGAGTCCGAGGACGAGCCCCGAGGAAGCGCCTTCGGAGCTCCTCGCCTATCAAGGGCTCACCTCCCCGGCGGCGTCCGGCCAGCCCTGATGAGCCACCTACGCCTACGCCGAAACCTACCCGTACTGCTGCGCCGCCTCCTCCTCGGCAACCGTCGCACATTACTTCCTTTACCCCTATAAGACAGGGTCCCGTCATGACTACTTCTCCTACCACAGCTACGACTAGCGCTACCCCTTCCGGCAGACATCGCGCCAGCGCCAAGGCCACCCCGTCCACCTCGCGCAAGCGCCGCGCCGATCAGCGAACGACTCCTCCATCCGCGCCCACCTCCAAGCCCCAACATTCACCCGCAAAGAGCACGCAGCCGGCTAGTACCGTTTACGCTGAACCCCCGCCAGAACCCTCCGACGTGCAGTACGAAGTAAAACGGATTGAAGGCGTCGAGGACTTTGTCGTCAACGGCCGCGTGGTGCCCTACTACCTCGTCCGCTGGGAGGGCGACTGGCCGCCTGAGCAGAACCCCACCTGGGAACCTGAGGAGAACCTGCCGCCCACGCTCGTGCGCAAATTCCTCAGCAAGAACAGTACTCCCCGCGCCCATGGCGGCGAGAGTCGGAACCGCACCCCGAACCGCAGCCGTAATCAGAAGCACGGTCGGCCCCCGCCTAGCGCCTGGCCCGAACGGAGGTACTCGAGCGTCACCGAAGTCTTTGAGGATCCCATCGACATCATCACTCCCGCTGTCGTCGCCCCCGTGGTGGGCGGAACTGGTCTTGCTGACTCGAGCGAGGAGGATTCGGCATCCGAGGACGAAGAGATGTTTCAAGTCACCGAGCGCCCTGCGGGAGGTTCTTCGTCGTCTACTCGCGAACCATCCGGTAGCCGCTCCGGGCCCTTTATACCCCGGTTCGGCATCTTTTGAGGGCCCCGGCCCTCCACTCATGCCGCTTTGTTACTACCCACTCCTGCTTTTTATAAGGTTTCACGGCGTCTATTTGGCCAGGTTGCTTTATTTTCCTTAGTTATCAGCCCGGTACCTTGGCATCCCTACCTTTATTTTTACATTGTTATCATAGCGCGGCGCGTAAATGGAAGTGGTCAACGTTATGCCCGATCTCTAGAATTGGGCCTGTATGCATGGGATAGGCTTCACGATAGATGATTGAAATGATTGGCGCATTTCTAGAGTGTAAGATGATAGTTACTATTATGATTAATGCTTCGGCGTCAAAGCCAGCTACTGAAATGACTCGCGCCAACTTTTCCGTGCCCGCTCCGAGGTTTTGCAAAAACTCAAGAAAAGGAAACCGTAGAGAGAAAGAAAAGCCCAAGATCCAAGATGCAATACCCGTAAAGCTCGTACCCATAAAAACAACCCCAGAAAAAGGCATTTGCTCGTCAAGTCATCAAGTCGATAGGCGCCCCTTCAGCGCCCTATTCCCTCCGGACCTTTAATCCGACTACATTATCTCCGCCGGTCAGCCATCCCCCTGATCCCCGGGATGCTGATGCTCGCACGCGCGCTCAAGCACCCGTCGTCTTCCCCTCTCCTCCCCGCCCCTTTCCAGCTCCACCCTCGCCCTCTTCTCATCCTCCGTCAAGTCGCTCTTCGCCTCCCCGATATCCATAAACGCAAACACCACGAGCGTGACGCCCGCCACGCCCACGCCGATCCAAAAGGCCACCTCGTAGCTACCCTTGAGGCCGCGGGTGGCGGATGTGGCGGCCACCGCGATCTCGGTGACGCCGAGGAAGAAGCACATGCCGATGTAGAGCGTGCAGTTGATGAGGGCGCCAGCGAGCCCCTGGTGGCGCAGCGGCAGCCTCGTCGTGATGAAGACGTTGCTGAGGGTGTACAGGATGTCGATGAAGGCCGTCTCTAGCACCATGGCGGGGAAGACGTGCGCCCAGTACGAGAAGGAGGGCGAGTCGCGCGAAGGCATCAGGGCGAAGAAAAGGCACGCACCCACGCTGCAGGCGGCCGACGCGACCAGGAGTACGCGGTTCGACACAAGGTGCAGCAGCAGGCCCGACGTCGCGGCGAAAATGGCGCCGGAGATGGCCCAGGGGTGTACCAGATGGCGGTCGTGAAGGGAGGCACCTCGAGGACGAGTTCGATGTAGAAGTTGGTGTAGAAGAGGAAGATGCCAAAAACTCCGTAGGCGAGGAATAGACAGAACAGCATGGCTTTCATGTACTTGGGCTGGAAGATCTCGCCCGGCAAAAGGGGTCCGCTGAGAGGTTACGCTCAACGTAGGCACCCGCCGCCAGGAAGAGCACGCCGAGCACCATCGTGACGATGATGTAAGGGGTGGACCAGCCCTTGGGCGCCCCCGAGCTCTGCGTGATGGCGAAAACGACGAGGATGAGGCCGGGGCAAATAGTGGCCGTGCCCCACCAATCCATGCGGGCTCCCATTTCGCGCGCCGCTTTCCAGTCCCGGGGATGGAGAACAGAGACACGGCGCTCGAGATGAAGCTCATGATGGAGCCGAGGTAGAAGAACCATCTCCAGGTTAGTTTCTCGCCAGAGACGCCACCGATGAGAAGGCCGAGGAAGAAACCTAGAGGCGCAACGGCGCCGTACACGCTAAAGACGAAATTCTTCCTCGGTCCCGGCCGATATACCTTGCCGAGGAGCATAATGCCGGTAGGGAGAAAAGCGGAGGCCCCGAGGCCCTGCATGGCGCGGAAAAAGATGAAGGAGATGTAATTGGGAGCGAAGCCGGCGACGAGGGACCACACAGAAAACCACAGCATGCCAGCGTTGAAAACGAGGTATCCTCCGTACATGTCGGCCATGCGGCCCAGCGGAAGGAGGGAGGCGCCCGCGGAGAGGGTCAGGACGCTGGAAACCCAAGTGTGGGAGGTGGACGGGATGTTAAGCTCCGTGGCCAGCGTGGGCAGGATGATGTGCGCGCCGCTGATGAAATATTCCTGCAGAAATCTGTTAGCCTGCTATCCCCGTCTCGCCTACAAGGCGGCGCATGCGTGAGGCAGATGCAACTTACCGCCATGATCATGGAAGCAATGATAGAGAAGCAAAACGCAACCTCGCTCACGGCAGAAGGAAGAATCGCCGGCCTCTGCCTTCCAAGCTTTGCCACGTCTATATCCAAGGCATCCGGATCCGAGGGAGCATCGCCATGGAGAGAGGTGGTAGGTGTCTCATCGCGTGAGATCTCCTGGACCGTAACTCGAGTTTCAGTAGGATGCTTTTTGTCCCCTCCTAGTCCGCCCAGGACTCGCTCTTTCAAAAGAGGGCGAGACCCATGTCAGTCAAGTTTATTCGAGCGCTGAAAAGTGGGCAACCCAGAGGCAAAATTTGGCGCCGAGTCTAGTCAAGAGCGGTGGGAAGACGGGCGTTTGCGCACAGGGAAAGGGGAGGGGAAGAGGACACGATAGTTGCACTGGATACGAAGCGCCTTCCCTTCCTTCGTAGGACTTCTCTCACGATGCGAAGGGCTTCATCCTCTCTTTATAGTTTGCAATTTCGGGTCAAGGCCCCGAACCCGACTCGACTAGCCTCCATTTCGTTTCAAAGGTAACGATGGGTCACGACGGACACGGAGCACCATGGCGACAAAGGAAAACGCCGTACCACATGCCCACGCTGGGGGCGGCAAGGAAGGGGAAAAGAAAAATTGGGCGAGATCGTGAGTCGAGCACGTTTCTCCTCCGCTCCACCAGCGGTGTGCACCATTGGCTCAGCTCTGTTAGTATTGGGCGCATCGCGCATGTCCGCCGCGCTCGTGCGAAATGGTTTCGGATCTAGGCTTGTATGTTGTATCCAGTGTGCCCAGATCAAAGGGACAACGTCCACTCCATGAGAGTCGAGGCCGCCATCTGTCACGGAGGAAGGATCTCACGATGCTCACGGGAAGAAAGGGGCTGCTGGAGAAAGAGGGGCACATTTGACTGGAAAATCGAATCTATTGAGTGCGGGACGCAATGCCTGTCTCCCCATTTCCTCTTTCGTGCAAGACTTCGCAACGGCCGCGCAGGGTCTGAAGGAATCGGTGAGACGAAGATGAGAGCGGAGAGAGAGCGCTTGCGGTAGGTAGTATGGCTCATTCACCAAATTCAAAGTCTCGTCAATGTTGGTGTGAACTATTTAAAGCAGGTGGAGAAAGGGGACGGTGATGGTGGGAGGATAAAGCGCAGGAGATCAAAGGAGAAGCCCGCTTCCCCCTTGGCCTTTTCTCTTTTGGCTCGTTTTTCTCTCCTCCCTTTGCGTTAAGCTCCACCGGATGGTAGTGCCTATTGTGGGTTGCGCAGCAGTATCAAGCCCACGATGTGGGACCGGACCAGGCGCAGCGATGGGATAGGACTCCGGAATGAGCAAAGGGTGGAGGGGAAGAAAGTATCCAGTATTAATGCCATCTTTTTCCCACTTTGCCGCCCATTTTTTCGTGTTCGCGATACCCGAGCTGGAGATGAGCTAGAGTTCTTAGGGAGGGGCACATCGTGCAAAAACTCTGGTTCTCTGTTAGTCAAAGAATTGCCTGGATGGAGACGGCTCATCGCCCAAAAAAAGAAAAGGATGAGTTTTGTCAATACTACCATGAAAAGGACCGGCCTAGGGACGGCTTCTTTTTCTTTTTTCTTCTTCCTTTTTCCTTTACGCCCTTTTTCTTCATTCCCTCCCGTGCCTATCTTCAGCTCTCTCCCCCCTTTGTACTATGTAGCAAAAGAAAAGATAGGGATTGCGCCCGACATTGAAAAGTAGGTGAAAAGGAGTCAGAAGGAAATCTGGGAGTGAGCCGTTTCCAAGAGTGCGAAACTGTGGCGCCTTTTCTTTGCCGCCTTCTTCTTCTTCGTGTGCGAACAGGCGATCTAAGACTAGGGTTCGTCGGCATTATGATCTAAAGGTGGGATAGGCTCGAAAAATCTATTGAAAATGACTGGTCTGTGATGGGAGGAGCCGCCCGTCAAGAAGAAGAAGGGTGGCTCGCTCCTCAGTTGGACGGTTCTGAATGGCAGGCTTCCTTGACCCCTGCGCCCTGCCTGGACAAGGATCTAGAGATATGTTGATGGCATTAAGCCCAAAGAACACTTTCTTGAGGCCCAACAGCAGCCACTGCTCCCTCCCTCCTTTCGAGCTTCCGAATTGATAAGCAATGGCGGGGGTTTGACGCAGCAAACGGTTTGTTACACGTCTCTCACTTGAAGCCAAGAGATTGTTGGTCCAGTCACATAGTGGCGAGTCACACACCTGGGCCGGCATCGGGTGATTCTAACGTTGGCCCGGTTCATAAACAATCACGGTAGGAGACCGTGCGGCCCGGGTTTTGCGACCCGATAGCAAGGCACCAATATGCTTTCTGTGTCCTCGTCTTCTTGCGTTGCAGACAATGGCTGCTCATGCCAGATCGGGGGCTGCATTGAGCGTCGGGCCGCGCATCGACGGAGAAAGGCACGGGCCAATTTTTAACCTTTGACCACGGAATCTTTGGGAGGTGCAACGTTTAACGAAACAAAGACCGAACCGAGGCGGCCCATGAGGGTGGCCGAAGGAGGAGTGCTCCTCAGGTGCTCAAGTTCTCGAGTTCTCAAGTGAAAAGTGAAAAAGTGAAAAGACGAGACCACTTTTAGGGTTGTTGTGACTCGCCTGGATTGACCGGCATTCGTCCCCACCTCTCAACACTCCCATTCCATCCTGCAAATAGTAGAAAAGACTGGTTGTATTAGTGGCAACAGCAGGCCCCCTCCTCCCCCACCTGCCGGACATCGTGACCGCGCGCGGCAGGGTAAAGGAGAAAATAAATCTCCGGTGTGATATTGATTTCCCTGTCGGTTCCCCGCCTCCTCGGACCCTTTGGTTCTACCTTCCGTTTCCTCGAGGGCTTCGGCAAGGGGTGATGTGAGTATGGATGAGGAGCACGCTGGGCCTTTCTCTCCAGGCGGCAAAGGTTGGCTAGGACGAAATGGATCCATGAGAAATTGCGAAATCGTGAATAGTGAAAGCGAGGGTGCGTTGTGCACTGGTGTATCGTGGCAAGTTAGGAAGACCGGTGAGTTGTTCATGTGTCTGCTTGGCGAACCACCGACCATTAGGGTTGGTATCGAATGGGAATGGATCTAATGGATGGATGGATCAATTGGATCAAGTTATCCATCTGTCTATCTGCTCCTGTTTGGCTGGAGTGCTCCCAGCCTGGCCAGCGCCCTGCTACAAGGGTGGGACCGGCTCTCCTCGCGTGCACCACATCACTCTTCCTTTTACGCCCTGCTTTTGGGCCCGCCTCCTTCCTCCTTGTCAATAGCCCCTTCCTTTCCTGCCGGGGCTCCTTCCCAATATCCGCGTTCCCCGCAGTGCTCTGCTCTTTGCGTGTCCGTACCTCCACTAAGACCTCGGGTCGGTCAGCTGAGTGCGCAACCGCCGTCTATCGTGACTGCCGTTTTTCGGAATGTACCTGTCGTAGCTTTTCCTGTTGCACGTTGCACTTTCCCATCCGTTGCCCCCTTCGAGTCCAGTCTTGCTTTCAGCGTGCCCCCATCTTTGTCAAGTCCCGCCGCTTACCATTGATGCCATCGCAATGACCTTGATCCACACCCCCACGAAGACAAGCCCATTGCACGCTGCTTATCTTCTGACCCTTGATTTGCCGACACACTTGCACTTTCAAGGCGTCTTGGGACTTGTCTTTAATTTTTGTTTTCCCTATTTTCTTTCCCCGTCCTGCTTAAATACAATTCTCCTGTGTGGTTCTTTAAACCAACCTCATAGGTCATTCTCTCGATTTTCTTCCTGTGCTCCTTTCGTCTTTGACGCCACACTTGATGAGATTCGCCTCATCATCGCTGAATGGATTTGAACATGCTGGTCCGCCAGTGCCCCCCTTTAGCCCCAGGGCTGGCTCCGCCCTCATCAATCCCGGCTCTCAACCCTCTTCCCGCCGTTTGTTCGGACCTATCCGCCCAGGTTCCGCGCTTATCCTACCTGTCAAGGGCCCTTTGTCAAATAGCATATGCATCCCATAATATCTACGTTTCCCACATTTCTTTTTACCATCCAGCCCGGCTTCGTCGACCAAAGCCCGGCCGTCTCCCTTTAATGCCCAGCCAGCTGCATCTGACACCGCCGCACCGCACCACCACCACCACCACACCACACCACAAAACCCCGACCTCCTTTTCCTCGAACCCTGGCCTCGTCAACCCTGCCTGCCTACCTGCCCGCTTGCCCGCCCGCCTTTGTCGGACGCACGATGTGTTCTAACATGGCCCAACTGAAGACTAGTGGACCACCACCTGTGACCTCCGGCCCAACGAACCACGCGATATAGATATGTAGCTCACGTACCTCCGCATTGCTTTTCCCCCTCCTTCTCGTGCTTTTCTCTGTCACAACTGGGCAAGTCACACCTAGCAGACGCTCACCTTGGACTTTTCCCTTCATTTTCCTTTCCTCTATTCGGGTTCTGTTCTGTTTCGAGTCGCATCGATCCGACGCAAAGGCAAAGAAAAGAAAGAGACAAAGCAGCTAGCTACCAAGAATCTAGTGCCCTTCCTCTTAGCCGTTGTCTTGCGTTAACAATTTTCCTTTGCTCCGGAGAAAGGGGCGTGTCTGTTTTTTTTTTTTCCCATCCTTTTGCACTCTTTTTGGCCCCTTCTCCTTTCTTTTCTTTCTTCTTTTTCTTTTTTGGCATAACCCTTTCGGGGCTTCTTCTCCTAGCTTTCGTCCGCGTTCTTCTTTTTGGGTGATAGCCGCCAACTGCCGCTGTGTTCGCATGGGTTCGCGACAGTCGTGGGCCCCGGACACATTTTGATTCAGGATTTGGAAGAACAAGAACTGGAGAACTGCGATGCCTGGAAGTCTTGGGCCTGGAGTAACAAGAAAGCATCTTTAATACATGGTTGTTCGCGTCCTTTTGCTTGTATTCTACTTTTTCAGCGTCTCTCCGCTCTCGCTTGGGGCCGCTCCATTATTCAGAGGGCCCTTCCACCCAGTTCGCCTTCCAACCCTTCTCACCCCGCCCTTTTCCGCACAATCTACATTTCCTGTCCTGCCCCGCCATCACACGCCATCACAGGAACCCCAAGTCTCGGCCTGAGAAGAGCCAAGGTTCGCCTCCTCCTCCTGCCGCCGGAGTCCTACCCGCCCGGCCTCGGGGTCTGCGCCCGCGCTTACCGTGCAGCTTTCATCAGTTACTTTGCCCCTTTCTGTCCTTGCTTCCACATCTCATACCTAAACCGCTCCCTATTTCTTCCGCCGTCTCTTTCCGACCTCTGTTCTGTCTCTTGAGTCGCCTATCCCTGATACCTACCCCACGCTTTGCCTCTTCCATCGAGTACTTTACCCACCCCTTTCGTGCTGCTATCCATACATACTTTCTTTGGTCCACTATCCCGGCCCCAACAGCCAAGTCTACAAAGAAGAGAGGCGTAGTTCTACTCTTTCCGGCTAGGAGACCAGGAACAAGAAACGTTGCTCGACCATTGCTGTGCCTGAAACCACACTGGAAAGGCGCGAGAGGTTGGCCTGCAGCAAATCCCTCTTGCCATCTTTCTCTTCTCCCTCCTCACTCGACCTTTCCCCTCACCCCTTTCCCTTCAGCTCCCACATGGCGCCTACAGCTGCCAACCGGCCCAAGTCTAGCCTCGCAACATTTCTCAATAACCCCTGCCACAACTGCCGGCGCCGACGTCTCCGGTGCGACAGGTCCCGGCCGATTTGCAACAAATGCTCCTCGTCCGGGAGAGAGTGTCTTGGCTATGATAAACTATTCATTTGGACCCAGTGCGCCGGAACCCGAGGCCAAGCCGGGCAAACGCAGACCCAAACTCAGGCCCAACCGGAGTCCCAAGATCATCAAAGAGACGCGCAAGACGCAGCTGAGAGTGTGAGCCCTTCCCCCTCAACCCCGTCTACCGGCACTGGGCGCCAACTTTCTGCTGCGTCGCCGGTTGTCTTCGAACCTGTGCCTGTATTTGCATCTTTTGACGCACCTGCCGGTTACCTAGACCCGCTCTGCGGATCCAACTCCGACCCTTTGACTACTATCCCGGGTTACTTGCATCAGGAACAGCAGCAACAGCAGCGACAGCCACAGCAAAAGCGCCTGGCCATAGCCTCCGCTCACAACCACTACGGCCGGCTCCGCACCTATGCTTCTCACCCTGCACGCATGCCGACAAGCCTTACTGATCCGTCCTTCAAGGATTTGGATGATACGTCGAGGCTGTATCTCAAACACTGTTTGTCCACCCCCTCCCTCCCCCTTCCGTATACAGCCTATCCCCTGCACTTGTATTCCGTTTTCGATTGAAGTGTGCATTCTGCATCTCTATCTTGTCCCCAGGTAAAATCTTTAAAGACCTTTTTCACGCTAACCGACTCCCTCACGTTTCTTCCACGTTCTATTCAAAGTCGTCGACCGAGTCTGCAGGGATCTAGCAGCACATGACGGTCCTGGCTGCAATCCTTTCCGCGAGCTCATACCCCTTGCCTTGAAGCATTCTTTTCTTCTTCACATCATCACCGCTACTTCGGCTTTGCACATGTCCAACGCCTTCCATCTCAAGGTCACTGCTGCGTCTCTACTCGGTACCACGACCGTCTCAGTCCCCTCGGACCCCATCGCGCACCTGCAGTACCTGCGATCAGCTGACGCCGCCTCCCGGAAGGCCCTTCTCGATTCGTTAGTTGCTAAGCAAAAGGCTATTAGCCACCTGAGGGCCGTGTTGGAAACTCCCGAGTCTGCCGATAGCGGCGTGTTATTGGCAGCTGTGTTGTTTTTTGTCAACTTCGAGCTGATTGATTTGGGACCAAGCCAGTGGAAGGCCCACCTACCCGGCGCCTGTAGAATATTACAACTCTTGACGCCTGAAAGCGACTTAGCAAAGGTGCAGTCCAAGACCACGCTCCAAGACTGCATTGTTTCGGACTTTGTCATGTAGGTCCATCCGTCGGTTATGAGATGTGGCGAAAAGCGATGCCATGTTTCTGGACGCCTATTCGGACAACGCTGACCCTGGCTAGATACCATATTCTCGGCTCAACTCTCACTTGGGAAGGTCTGGGTGCTAGCATCGCCGGCCATGCTACTGACCTGTTGCCCGTCATGGAGCGTGTGGAGGGCGACTCGTACCTCTGCTGCCCGCCTGCCATCCTGCATATCATTCTCTCCGCCTCGCAGCTTGCTAGTGGAGCACTTCGCTCCCGCATACCCGATGATGTGACCGATGAGGGCCTCCGCTTAATTGAGCGTGCCCTAAGATTTGATATACACGCTTGGGCGGTGGAGATCCAGTCACAAGTCCGGGTCCCCGACCTCTCCTCACGTGAGTTTGTTGCGTCTGCTCACCGTTCCGCAGTATGCTTGTACATTCTGCGCGCCATCCCCTCGACTCGAGCCCGCGCTGGCGTAACTGTAGATCATCTGGTAGCCGAGATCTTTCGGCACTTGGACCGTGTAGGCGCCGAGAATGAGCACTTCAAAGCAACTTCGTGGCCTACAGTAATTGCGGGAGCCGAAGCGCGAGACCGGGAGAGTCGGGAGTGGGTGCTCAACAGACTTCTCAAGATGTGGGCATGCTGTCCCTGGGGATATGTCTTCGCCGCAATCGACATGTTGAGACAGACATGGAGGATGAGAGATGAAGAAAAGGGCATCGATGATGGTGTCGGTTGGCTACAGGAGTTGTGGGCCAGAAAGATGGGGCTTTTGATTGTATGATGGCCGATCTTGTTTTTCCTTACCCCAGAGAGCCGTCTTTCCGTTCACGGTCAAGTCTCTTTCTTCTCTTCTGCATCTTTGGGCTTTCTCATTTCTATTCCCCTCTTCCTGTTTCTTCTCGAATCTCGCGAGATATAAAGACTTATGACAAGTAGCGTGGCGTTTGGTAGGGACATGTAGAACTTGGACCACATTACTATACAATAATTATTTTTCTCATCCACATCTCATCTGCATCTCATCAATTACAACAACGGCTGTCTCCCTACTACCCTCTTGAGCTCGGGTCAGACACGACCTAGAACTAAGAATCCGGAGCGCCTTCATAGCCTCTGCCATAGAAGCCAAGATGTGGGCACAGCAAAATGGCGATCGCCCGAACTCTTCTAATCTTAAACACCAGAAGCGCTGCAACGTTGGAGCACCGAAGGGGACCCAGTTTGTGGAACTCGTCTTGAAACCCGCCCACATCTATACCGCGTCTACGTGTATGCCAAGTCGTGGTGAGTTGGAAGACAAGGCAGCAAAGAAAACAAGGGAAGCGAGTTCAAGATTGAACTTGTGGATGACTCGGCTGTGTGTCACCAGATTCACTGCTTCATCAACCTCATGAACCAGCATGCTTTTGCATCTGGAAAACTGGTTTTCCAAGTCATTGTCGGGCTTGAGGCACATCTAGGGCCTCTATTAAAGGCGATCGCCTTTTTCCCCTCATGCCTCACCTCTTTCTTCTTCTCTTTTCCTTGTCTATTTCTGCCTCTCTTAGAGATCAGTTACTAGGAGATCGTCCCAGAAGAGTAGCTAGCCCCTGACCCTTGGAAAGCCCATTTTCTTTCTTTTGCAATGGATCCGGCTTTGGCTGAGGCGCAGGGCCGTGTCACCCGAATTGATAGCGGCCGCGGTGATACACTACAGGTATTCCCGGGAACCTGTCCGGCCGTCACGTACATTCCGCCACCGGGCGTGACGGGCCCCTTCTCACGCCGCATCATCGTCAGCGATTTGCCACGCGACATCCGGCTCTGGAGCATCCTGCAGCACGTGCGAGGCGGTCCTCTCGTCTCGGCCAGACTCTACGACACCACGGCCGTGGGCACGGGGATGAGCGCCCTTTTGAATTTGTCTTTGCGGAGCATGCCGCCGCGTTTTTCCGACGGCTCGAGACTCGGCCCTTGGTGCTCACCTCGCATCGGACCGGTCTTGTGCTTCGCCCCGTTGTGACACGGCCGTTGACGGCGTCGTACCCCCTTGCGACTTCGGTGATGCGGGGATATCGTACGGCGTCACCCGAGTAGTCGTGGCGAAAAGGTTTCCTCCCTGCGCTGTCTGGCTGCTTCTTGTCGAGGCGGGACTTTACACGGCTGAGAAGATCCGAGAGCTTGGCCGGGTAGAATATGGTTTGGGCGGCGAGTTGACGATTGAGTTGCCCACCGTCCGAGAGGCTCAGCGCGTGCTCAGGCTCGTCATTTCGGGACGGGGCTGGCTGCGTGGTGCCCTCGCCGGCTCGGGCGTGACCGCTAGGCACGGGCCGGACCCCTGCGCGGGATCTTTGGACGGGCCAGAATTCACGGATCCTGCGGGTTCGTTGGACTTGCCACAGCGGGTTGCCGACCCAGCCGAGTTCTTCTGCCGCGCTATCTTCCAGACTAAGACCGTGATCGAACCTGCGCGGCTGCCCAAGTTAAACCAAGCCGTCAGAAAAATGGGCTGTATTACCCGACCACTCCACGAGGAAGACTTCACGGTCTACTCGCCTGGTTTTTGTCCGGAGCGTATCGCCGCAGCTGAGGATAGAGTGGAGCGGAGAATTTATAGAGACCATACGTCGGGGGTTTGCTATCTCCGCATTCCCTGGGGACGGGAATATCTTGCTGATGACTACTGGGAGATGGTTGTTCACCGACATCTTGAGAGCGAGGATCCAGCCTGGCACAGCTTAATAGATGAGCATTTTACTACAACCGGCGACGTAAATCTCCGTAAGCTCGCTGCGTATAGTAGCTTCAAGAAAAGCATTATTCCTTCATCAGCGAATCTTTGGGGGATTTTGACAGCAAATTCGTAGAACTGGCTCAGCACAAGGTACCATTCCAATGCATACTGCTGCCTCTCTCGTTTCCCCGAACTTCGCCATACGTGACTTGCACATGTTCACTGCCACCGCATTGTACGTTCCTCTAATAAGCCTATTCGTATTGCGGCAGGCTTTTTTCTTTTCTTCGCGCCGCCGCCGCATCGGGGAAACACCCGGAATCCGCACCCCAGATCCAAAATAGGGTCGTCCCCTTCCGCGCCCCCAGAATTTTTCATCGCATCTTGCTTTGTCGATCCGGCCCGCGGGGCAAGCACGACCTTACCGCAAGGAGCAGGCTGGAAGCAGCTCGTTTCGATACTTGGCGGTCACGCCATGCCCTTACCCCCTCACCTCATCGTTTCCAAGCACCAGCGCCAGCTCCGGTACCAGCACCAGCACCGGCTAGAGCACCAGCACAGATGTTGCGGTGTTTCTTGGCCGCGCCATTCTGTCGCTTGGTGATTGTCCATGGACGGCCGGTAATCGTCGGCTTCTAGAATGTCCAGCTGGCCCGTATTTGGGTGGTCATGAGGGCCTCCCACAGAGCGGTAGGCGTTCCTCGGACCTAGTGATCGGGTGAGACAAGGATTGGTCGTCGAAGTCCGGGCGGCCAAGCCTCAGTCATCTTCGTAGATACCACAATTGTGGCGCCGACCTCAACGGCGACTTGGACGAATCAATGGGCGACGAGAATCCACGCCAGGGTTGAGCCATGGACCAGCCCAGAACAAACGTGGTATTCCCATCCGATTGCTGACTGCCTAGGTTGAGTCAAGCGGGGTATTATTGGAGGGCAACCAGTACTACTACTGCTGGGGGAGATAACACGTCGCAGTCCGGTGTATGGCTTCGTTCGAGGTCAAACAAGCCTCACCCAGTTTGGGCATCAATTTGGAGACTCATCCCACATAGAACTTGACCTAGGGCTAGGTGATGAACGTAGATGCTGCATCTATAGGCGCCGCATTTCCCAGGTTTCGGTGTCGATCATGACAGTGACAGCCCTCTGCCATGCTATAGTCCAGTTTATACCTGTAGACTTTGCCTCGTAACACCAGGCTACATGCATGCCTGCGTCTGGCATCAGCCGAATCTCATGGGATCAAACCATTATTACCATCCCCGGCCTTCTGAGCCTGAGCAGGATTATGTGAGAGAGCTCACCGCTAGTCTAGTTACTCTGATGAACTGATGCTCGACGCTCGGGTGAGAGTTGGAGTGCCTTGCCCCTTTTTCTTTTTCTTTTTCTTTTTTTCTTCTTCTTCTTTCCCACCTTTTCGCTTTCGCTTTCGGAAGAGCCCGAAGCCATGCAAGGGCACGTCTCAAGTGACATTATATTACCACGCGAGGAAATAAGAGCAATCGCGCCGAGCTTTGGTCAATGGCAGGCTTTCAAAACAGGCTGCTCCGTGGCTAGAGTGGCTCCCATCCGCTTCTGATTCGGTTCGCGGTCTTCTTTCGGCTTGGATGCGTAGACTTGCTGAGGGAGGAGTGAGTCGCAGGCCAGCGTGCAGGGGATATCGAAAGGGAATGGAGCCTGCCAAGGGGCCCTTCTCCCCTGACCCCCATCTAAGGGGTCTGCTGTGAGGTGAGGACAGGGCGGGCTGGCTCACTTCCCGGTTAGCGGTGAATCACTATCCAACTTAGAAAACTACACTAATAGCCAATCTATCGCATTCCATTGGCAAAGATCGGCGCCGAAGGAAAGATTACGCCTTTGGAGATATAGCGTAGGGATGAGAGCTGGTCAAACCGGTCTCGTCTCTGGCCCCTGCTTACGCTGGCCACTAACATGCCAAAAATTCGCATTTCCTGGAAAGACACGAGGACAATATAAGAATGAAGGTGGAAGGAGACCAAAAGGCAGGCAGTGAAGCAGTCAACAAGGAAAATAAAATAAGTAAAAAACTAAATTATCACGCCGCCTGCATTTGACTTCAGAGGGTCTGGGGTGTAGCATGGCACCGGAACTACCAACCCAGCCGTGGGATTCTTCATGTTCCGGGGTCTTGCCGGGGATCGGGAGCCTTCACATCGGTGTATTTCACCCGGCCCGGATAGAGAGTGAGGAAGCGAAACCTCGTACGGAGACAAAGTATCAAGTGCATCGTGCTTGTGGTATTGCGCGGAAATTCGAGGCGAATACTTCGTGAAACCGGTGGTTTCATTTCGCGCTGTGTTGTTTGCGCATCAGACTCAGGAACAGGACAGGGGAGCCCTCCCCCACAACGCACATTCTCGTGCAGATGGGGAGATGGGTTACACCAGAGGAGCAGATCGAATGAGGTCGGCGTTGGTGATTCGCACAGAAACTCAAACGGCGCATCACAGCTATCCTGTCTTGCTTCATGCATCGGGGCAAATGACAGTCCGTGGTACCCATTCATTGCTCATCTCTCGCTGACCAGTCTTGTCTTGTGCACCACATATCATACGGTGGGTGGAAGGGACAGGCGGCCCCCACGCTGCTCACGTGACGTCAACGGTCTGCAGGCCATGGTGCTGTTTTCGCAATCATCAAACGGCGTTTGTCTCATTGTTGGCCGATTCCCAGCCAAAATTACCGATCATATCATTGCTGAGTTTCCTTTCCATTCTTGCCATTTCCTTTCTTGTCGCCTCGCATGGTGAGGAGGGGAAACGGGGCGCGGATGGGGGCGCGAGGGATGGGCGCTTCGAAAGAGCGTGGGGGAGGCGAGGGCGATATTGTCATCGTCCAGCTCGCTTCCCCGCCCCTGGTTAAATCGTAAGACCTTGTAACCTTCTCCCAGCTTCATTCTTTCACGCCCCCTCCCCCTCTTCAGAGGAATTTAGCGCCCCCGAGGGGCCAGCTTAAAGTGTGGGCATTTATCGTGCACCGGGGTGTTGATAACTTCACATCTTATCCTCGCCGGTTGTCAGTCAAATAACACTAACGGCCAAGCTAGGCATAGAGTCATCTGCCAATTCCCCGTTTGGGGGCATCGAAGCGATCCCCCAGATATGCCAGCCAAGGAAGGGCCACGAGTGCGTTCCCCCCTCTTTCCCCTCTCCAATGTTCCAATGTGGCCCTTCCAAAAGAGAGTGGGAGTTCCAGTGAGACCCCTTTCGGCGCAGCTTGAAAATCCCATGTTTTGAGAGGGTTGGGTGTTCGCTGCATCACATCAATGTGCCCCCGCCCCTGAGAACTGCTTCCTACCCCCTGGCTGGCGGTCGCTGGCCAAGGAGAAAACAAGAGAACCCTAGCAAGGGCCTGCAAAACTTGATCCGGAGCCAGAGTCTCGGGTCAGGGATCTCCCACCAAAGGCCCACGAGCCCTGGGATTGGGAGTTCAAGTTCCCAATCACAAGACTCAATTGCCATCCTCCTTCCCCTTTTGCAACTGGTCTTGCTGCTCTCGCCGCGCAATCCATGCGGATTTTCTGCACATTCAGGCAGTCGCCGCACGTCCGTTCCGTACCACACACAATCCGAAAACCAACTCCACGATCATACGAGCATTCCGAAGAATCGATTTCGGAATCCAAGGGGGCGAAAGGTGGGTCCTGTCGGACAGAGCAATTCCATCGTTGAAATCCGCCGACAGGCAATCCTCCGTTCAGGTGAGGCCGATCTCACTAGACTGTACTTGCAACCTCACCGAAACTGGGAAGCGCCTTCAAGTCAAGGTCACAAGGTGGTTTAGTTGGTCTTGATGGAGGGCAGTCCAAGAGACTTGGAGTTGGTGTACGTGCACTTAAAATTGATCAATCATTGATCCAAGCTCCCCCAGCCCTTCGCCAACTAGTGGCCAAAGTGACATGGAGGAAAATAGAACATTAAAATGTCTGCCGTGGCTATCTTCGGCCAAACACCCCACCAAACTGTCACATCGTGTGCCTGGAGCCGGTCTTCGTATGGGTGGAGAAGGGAGGCACAGCATTCCCTCAGTCAGCCAGCCCTCCACGATATCACGATACATTCGACGTGCCCCCAATATCGAACCCTTGGCTAGAGAAGGACTTGATTGGCTAAGCCGGCTATCCCGTCGAATGGCCTTGCCGAGAATTGACTGATTCCACCCATTCATCTTGGAAAGCTCTGGTCTGTCGGAAGTCGCAAGCAAGGGAGGTGGGGGCCTGCTACGACTGGGATGAGGGCGGCAAGTGCGATTTCAACTCTGATTCGGAGGGAGTGGAAAGAAGGTCCCCGCCGTGGTGCTGCTATTTTTTGTCCGTTGTTTTTGGCGACCGAAGGAAACTTCGGCTTGACTGGCTCTTGTTCACGTGGGGGTCACAGAGAAGGTGGATCGCCCCTTACCCTTTCAGCTCCACGGCTGACGTTGCATGAATTTCAATGTTCCTTTCTCTCTCCCCGTTCCCAAGGTACGCCCCTGCGTCGTCAAGGTTGACAACTTAGCTAATCCTATTTACGACCCTCTCACCTTCACAAGCGTGGCACCCCATGTATCGCCAGGTACACAAGACTGGGGAATGTTTGAAGTGAGGGAAGGGCGCAAGGCATAAGGAAGGTTGAAGGTAAGGCTATGAGGAAGGTGGAATGAAAGAGGGGGTTTGTTTTTAATCCAGCTTACAGTGGAAGTGATGGTCGATTGACTACCGACTGGAATGGAAAGAACAGGTTTCTTTCTCCCATCTTTTTTTTTCTTCTTGTTTCCCGCCATTCCCATGTAATGGCAAACTGAGAGTTTATTAAGCCCGAGACCATGAACATCAGTAGAAATGGGGCCAGCTTTCCTTGAGCCACGATGGCCAAGCCTTCCGACCACGTTAGCAGTGTTTCCGAGGTGCGACGTGTGAGAAGCAAGAGGGCATGGTTGGTGGCTGACCCCAACTCCTAAACCCTTACGGGGTTCTCTGCGCGCGCACTCCGCGTTGCCCCGTGTCTTTCGTAGGTGTCTGCTGCCGCACACTGCCACTTCGTTTGTGTTTTCAATGCAATGCAGGCCCCTCGGACAGGAAAGTGGCTGGTGGGTCTCCTCGCTTCCCGACATCGGGACTAGCTTGCCAGGTCATGGTTCATATCTCGTGACCAAGCAGCACGTCTGCGAAAGAGGAAAGTCCTAGAGCTGACGACTACCTCAGTGCTCTCCCCAGCAATCATGTGCGCGGGCGTGTGACTTGAATCCAAGTAGACTGGACTTCTACTGAAGTATCCGTAGTGCTGTCTCAGGCAAATTCCACATCGAAGACGAATCGGGGAAGCGATCGTGGACACAGTTTATCACACAATGTCCGGGTCCTTTGTGATGGGTGCCTGCCCACCCCCGCCCTGCGATGGCCGAAGCGACGCTTGGGCTATAGATCTAATGCGAAAACTCGAAAAGAAAGAAGAAAAAACATACTGGAAGGTCAACTTTTGATGCCACCTAAAAGTCGTCTCACATGTTTGCGTTTGCGAATAGGATGTGGATTTACACAGCTAGCCAAAAGTGCAGCGAGCCAAGGTTAACGTTAACACTTGTAAGGAATAATTTGCTTGTCCCTTTCTGAAAATACCTGTATTGCATTGAGAGCAACGAGCAACGCAGAAGTAGCCTCTCGCCTCTCATCATGCCTTTAGTTTGAGGACCTTGAACATGAATGATTCCTCCACGACAACTGAATCATAGTTAAAGGTACCAGTCAGGTCTCGTTCCCCTGCCGAGGACCGACGACCCCAGCCTTGAAAATAGCTCACTCCAATATGTGATACCCGTTATAGACTTGATCCCACTGCGCACCTGCACCTGCCCTGGGCCGTAAGGAACGAAGTCACCAGCCGAGAAGCAAACACCCCCAGCCACAGTCTCCCGATCGGGCCATCGTTTGGCATGCCATGCAGATTTGGCGGCTCGAACAAGGGAATTGGAAAAAAGTAAAGAAAGAAGAACAAAAGAAAAATTTCACTGGCATCTTGAGGACTCCTGGCCCTTTGTGGAGATCTGCACCCACTTGGGGCCACGTCAAGCCTCACCCGGCCGGCAAACCCTTTGAAAATAGAAATCATAATCCTTACGCTTGAGGAGAAAATGAAGGGCCAGAAGCAGAAAATGGAGAGGCCGCCGTGCTTTTTTCCCCGCATCGTTTGGTTGAATCAAACATAGAATGGTATCAGGGATAGAACAACTGACTGACCTGACAAGATGGGGGTTTTCTCTGAAATGCTGCTTCGGGGTGAGGGAGGACCGAGCGGCTCTCGAAGGTCTCGATCAAGACCTTCAGGATACTACTAAACGCCCTGCCACTTCTTGCTGGTCTGGTGTGGCGGATACCCGAGAGTGCACACGATGGATGCTATTGTCGGTTCTTCCGGAGGGGCGAATGTGGAGATGAGGGAGAGGGAGGTGGAGGTGGAGGGGGATTCTTCGACCCTGATGCGCCGATGTTGGTTCCCAACGATTTCCCTTTCCGGCCTCATGCAGATTCACTACCGCCCACGGCCAAAGACGCCCTCGCCCAATGATGAGATGGTGACGACACGACACGAGGAAAATTTGAGGACGAAGAAACACAAGGCCTCTTTTAAATGGGGGCTCTTCAGTCACCTGGCTTGCTAACAGTTGGGCCTGTCCGAATCGGATTCCCTGTAATATCAAATGCTGTCTGGCCCTGATCTCCCATGGAACAGCTCGACCGTGCCATGTGAGAGATGGCTTGTTGGGTTGTTGGGTCGGCGATGACAGCCTGGGGGCGATAGCGACAAGGGTTGAACTCTGTAGACGCTAGACGGATATCCGGATTACGCCGTCGCTCGTCGCTCGGAATCGGAGGCTTTCGATCGATGGTACCGGGGAAGGTTCGAGAATGCTGGTAACAAGACACCCACGATGGCCTCCCTCTCCCCACCTCCCCCGTCCTCACTTTCCCCCTTCGCGCCCAAGACGACAATATCTGGTTCCAGTAAGGCAAATGACCGATCGTCTTGGGCACAGAGTTGTGATTACTGATGCGTTCCGGTGCGGGAAGGGCTTCTGGTTCTCTCAGCAGAGGCCGCTGCAGAGAGGGGGAAAAACCCCTCTCAACCCCAACCGTCGCTGCTCCCCAATCAGCCCCGGACAATTCAAATGAGACTAATGGTAGTAAAAGCACCGACCGACGAGAGAACCCTTGAGCCATGCCTCGACCCTGGAAGGAGGAACCTGGGCATTGGGTTCTCCCGTGTCTTTGCTTCGGCCCTGGGCTGACCCACCCCCACGCCAATCAGCCAGGGACCCACTCGGCTTCAATCATAGGCCCACCCCTCTTTCAGGGCTCCCTTTCACAGCTCTCAAGGGAAGGGGGACGGTACTTGGGGATACTCACCCAAACTGGGCTTCGAGTCCTGCTTTTCCGAGGCCTCTGGATTCTTTTCTCTCCCTCTCTCCACGCCTCTTTTTCCTTCAAAGTGCCATACCCTTCCAGGGCGCTGAGCAAGCCGACTTTGAAGAATGGATGGTTTGACGCACACCCACCCACCAAAGTCTATCCACGACGGCGGGGCAAGCGTTAGTTGGGTTATCCTTGCTGGCTCCTTCCTCCAAACACCCACTGCTCCAATCAGTAGATGTATGAACCGTCGGTTCGGCGAGAAGGCACGATCGTTTCTGCCCTGCCCTTTCTGGCCTTGACAGTGATTGTGCCTGCTACAGACAAAGGTAGAACAGTCGGGCGAGCTGCCTAGGCTAACATTCTCTTCTTGGAAGTGGTGGGTGAGGGTAAAGCTTGGTGATTGGTATCTAAAAGGGACGGAAACGAAGGATCTCGGGCGTCTTTAGGCGCAGAGCCTTCACTTCCATACTTCTCGTTTCTCGCCTCTTCTCATCCATGCTATTCCTCTTGAATGCGCGTTTCTCGATACCCACTAACCCACAAGCTTGCGTGGGGATGGCTAAAGCGACACCTAGGGTCTACACGCTCCACCCAAACCAATTTGATGCGACCCCTCCCCTCCCCCACCGCCCACCCCCTTGGATATGGAGCCACCCCTCACCCCTCTTCTCAACACCCTCGCCTAGTCTTCTCCCATCTCGATCAGCAGCCACGACAAGGGGTGTCCATTATTTCCCACGACGTTTTGAGCTTCCATGCCGTTCAACTGGATCTTTTTTTCTCCCCGACTTGGAAAGGCCTCGACTGGGGCGTGCCTTGGCAGTCTTCGAACACTTACTCCCCTGTCACTCTCATCAGAGCTGTTGTATAGTGTATTGATCCACGGATGTCTCGTGCCTCATTACAGGTTGACCTTTGGGGCGGAACCCAGCCTGGATGTATATAAGGCTCACGATCCCCCTTTACTTCCTCCCCAATAATTTTTCTCAGTTTAAAGAAGTCATCTCCACTCGTACCATTGCTTGTTCTTCTCTTTTTGGATCATCTCCTTCTCCGGATCATTTTCTTCACCTAAGACGGACCTCGAGAATCCCCACGCTTGGCCTGCTCCTTCGCCACAACTTGCTTTCGCCATCAAACCTTAACACCCGGTTCATCCTTCACACCACGTCAGCCTTGCACATCTCTCATATATCGGCAGCAGTCCTAGCCTGTCGCTTTCATAACCAGCCCTTTCATATTGCTCTCCGGCCTATCTTATACCCTCGACGATGACTGCCCTCACCATCACCCCCTCCCCAAGAGATCTCCCTCGAGATGGGGGCATCTAAAGCCCTTCATCTCCGTCTCCCCAATGGCGTTTATGTTCCCTCCCTCGCCTTCTTTAACCCTCAAACCGAAGATGTTGACGCCGCGACACTTGAGCGCCATCTGATCCGCCTCGTCAATGCTGGTGTTGCCGGGATTGTCGTCCACGGCTCTAACGGAGAGGCTGTGCACCTTTCTCACTCGGAGCGTTCGGCTATGATCCGCATCGCCCGGGATGCCATCCTCCACGAGGGCAGCGACTCTCGCATCCCCTTGATCGCCGGCTGCGGCGCGCATTCTACTAGGGAAGCCCTTCAGCTCTGCGTGGATGCTGCTAAGGCCGGCGCCAGCCATGCCTTGGTCCTCCCCCAGTTATTACAACTCTCTTTTGAGCGACGACAAGGTTATTCAACACTTTTACGACGTGGCCGACCGCAGCCCCATCCCCCTTCTCGTGTACAACTTCCCGGCCGCGGCCTCCGGCCGTGACCTCAGCTCCGACGTCATTCTGAGCATTGCTAAGCACCCGAATGTCGTGGGTGTCAAGCTTACGTGTGGCAACACAGGAAAGCTCGCCAGGATAGCCGCTGATGCCCCTGACGGCTTCTTCGTTTCCGGAGGCAGCGCGGACTTCATCCTCCAAGGGCAAGTTGTCGGTGCTCACGGAACCATCTCTGGCTTGGCCAACATTGCTCCTCGATGCTGCGTGCGTATCATGCAACTGTTTGAGCAAGGGCGACTACGGGAGGCCCGTGAGCTGCAGGCACTCGTGGCCAAGGCTGACTGGGTAGCCATCCAGACTGGATTTGTCGGTGTCAAGGCTGCCATGGTCCACTTCTCCCAGTATGGAGGTGTCCCCAGGAAGCCTTGCGTTGAACCTACCGAAGAGGGAATGAAGCGCATCTCCTCGGGCTTTGAAGAAATTATCAACCTCGAGCGCTCTTTCGAAGAGGCTGACGTCGCTGGGTCGCACTAAACCTCGATGCCCTCTCCGTCGAGGTTGGGTGGGCCAGCAAAACGCAGACCAATCGCGTTGGCGGGCGGGATGCAGCCTCTGATTCGACTCCAGGCATGCCAGCATTTTTCAAGTTGGGCTGGGTTGCACCAGCTAAGATGAGGAGTCTTGCGTCGGCGTGCTTAGCACAAGCCTCGAACCACTCGCACTCGACTCCGAACATCCAGCCCGTCAATCAATCGGCAAGGGGCTGATTACGGCTTGTTGGTCGGCCCCGCTCCTCCCCCTCCCTCTCTGGCCAACCGCTCCTTGTCAGAATCCAGCTTCGATGTTGATTGCTGCATTTCGTCAACTTGACGAACACACAGGGGGCTCCGGCTCATCTCCCCCCTCTCCCCTTCAATTTTCCGACAGATTCTTTTTTTCTTTTTTGCTTTTAGTTGGTCTGCTTTACTTTCTTTGGAGACAGTGACACGACTCTTGGCATGACGACCGCGTCGGCTGACGCTTGCTCTGGTGATGTTGATGCGTGGTGAAAGTTTCTAATATTAATCAGGGAGCTATGGAAGGCTTTGGGACTCTTCCTTCCCTTGTCACGATTATCATCGCAAAAAATGGGGTGCTTGGGAGTCACTGCGGGTGCATTCATCTGGGGTTTTGGGTTTTCCTTTACGGCATCTTATGTTGGATCTCATGATACAAGGGTTTCGGATATTTCTCATGCTGTTAGTTATTTTTGTCTTGATCGTTCTCTACAAACAAATACAATGTTGTATTCGTACAGCAATTTCCACAATAATTGTTCTCACCGTCCAAGTGCACTCGGCATCACGTCTCCGCTCGTCAAAGTCGATGGGCGGCAATGATAAATTCTTGCACAACGGCCATCCCGCAGAACCTGCTGTAGGGGCGCCTGCAAATGCGGCAAACGCAACTCGACAGCAACGATCCCCGCACACTACCATAACCGAAGACAGCGTCACTCCTCCCCCGCCTTTTTTTTTTTTGGCTCTTGCTTGGGCTCCGCAGTGTAACGGGGCAAGAGACTTTGAGATCATCGGGAGTCTCCTTTCGCTTCGTCGTGGCCCCTCACCTGACCTGACCTGCCCTACCATCTGCGCATATGCATGAAACAAGTGGCAGTTCGGGAAGATTTTCGTCCCTCGTCATCCCTCATCCTTCGTCCCTCCTCCTCCTCGTTCTTGCTAAACGGCACATTCCACTGAGCCTCGAGCTCGAGGGGATGGATGGAGAGCTCCTGTGGCTGGGTTGCGACGACGCGGGGCTGCAGGCCTCGCGTCGAGCGTGCAGTTGGCTAGCTACCTCCACTTTGGATTTGGGGCTCGTGAACGGTCAAGGTGACATTCGTGTCCTCGGCAAGAGATGGAGAGGAGAGGAAAAAGGCCTGAAGGCTCTGGCGGCGCTAGAAAGAGCCATTGACGTCGATCAGGCCGTTTAGCTTCCCCTTCTGGGACTCCACCAATTGCTAAATTTACTCTTAAATCCAACTAACCTTGACATGCCGTGTCGTAGTCAAGAACTGAAGGTTGCGGATAGCTCACCAAAACTCTGGCTCCCTCCCCTCCTATTTTCCCGTAGTCCTTTTCGTTTCATCTCCCTTTCTCTTGCCTCTCCCTTCGCCTTCACTTTTCTTTCCTCTTTGGGGATTTTCTGCATGCTTCTGGCCCGTTAATATCTCGAAGCGGCAACCCTACCCTTCGCGCGTGTGCGGGGGAGGGGCGGAGGGTGGAGGTCAGTCAGTCTGTGCCCCTCCATCTGCTGGGCCGCTGGGGGCCAAAAGTGGAGAGAGGAACTGGACGAAATGCGTTGTTGGCGGGATGAAAGCGCCCCTCCAAAGTTTCTCCCTTTGTGGAGAGCTGCATCCTCTCATTCTTAAACACGGCTTGTGATATTGCAGTATAGGGATCTAGCTTCCTATATTTTAGTTTGTTCAATTCTTTCTTTTTGGGGGCTTCAATCTTACCCGTTTGCCGTTTCCCCACCTCCCTAAGAAGGGCCCACCACCCGACAGCGAAGCGGGGAAGGGAAGCAGCAAGCGGAGAGGGGCCAGCGACTGAGAGAGGATGCAGTGACCAATGAAAGCAGGGGTATTTCGATTGAGATCGATTGCCTTGTCCTCTGGCCGAGAAAAGTGCGCTTTCCCAAATTGTTTAGAACATACCATACCGATGTGAGACCATGAGGCGGGCTGCGCGGGACACTTGTTTGAGAGGCTAAGGTCTCGCTACGGCGCAAAGCCAAACCGTGCAGAACGAACCTCATCACAGGGCGGGGGCATCGTTGAGGAGGCAGAGCTCGTATAGAGGGATCAATTGAATCAAACAGCTGCCTTTCGAGCTCGAGGGCCCCACCGCATCCCATGGGGGAGCAGTCCCACAGTGGTCGAGGGGGATCAATGTGACTCGCTGTCGGATCGGATGGGAACCGCCAGCAGACAAAATCAATGGATCCGTAAATGTACGTGCGTAAACTTTGGCGAGGGCACCGCTGGCGCTGCGAACCTTGTTGATTCGGATTGATCTATTCCCCTCAAAATTCAAGGCGGATTAACGATGCATGAATGTTTCGTCACATTTTCAGAGTCATCCGAATATTCAAGACAAGGAAAGTGCCAGAGCGAGGAGTCACTTCTCACGTCTGTCTCCTTCCCTTTCCCACGGGTTCGAGCCTCCCTCCTTCCCCCTCCGTTGTTCGACGCCCAAGGGCAAGGAACCTCGCACCAATGTCTTACGCCCTCTGCACGTCAGATCCCGGCCACACCTCCGAACCAAGACCAGCTAGCATTGAGCATTCGCGGCGCCTCCCACGTCCTTGGGCCGCGGTCCTTGCTTCTTCGCGCAGTAAACAAGCAGAAATGGGTCACACCAGCCGCAGGCTGTGGGAGTGGAGGCGACTGCTCGGCCTACTCATAAAGGTCGAAAGGTCTGGGGTGGGTGGGTGGGTGGTGGTGTTGGTGGTGCATGGTTACGGTGGGATGGGTGGTGCTGGCCTGCTGTGCAGCCTGCAACTAGGCGTGGCCGGTGTTAGTCGGGCCACACCAGCATGCACTGCACCTCTGATGCTGTGTCTTGACTCCTAGTGTACTCACTAACCCCCTCCTACACCCCTCCCCCTTCCCCTCTTCGCTCCTCAGTGCTCCTTCTTTCTCGACTAGCGCTATCCGACTGGCAATCCATCCTCCCCACTACCACCACCGCACCTTCTGCACCCCGGATCATCCTTCTTTGTCCTCCCCCTCTTGATCGATCGCTGTGCAGCTGCTGGATTATTGCGCTTGGACGAAAATTACCTAAGAGGGGCTGGCGGGGGCGGGAGGGGTGAGTGAACATTGAAGTGAGCTGGAGGGAAGAAGGGTGGAAACGACTGCGCTGGAGCGAGGCCAACCTCGGAGCACTGGACCTTTTACCATTTTGTTGCTGGACGCGTCAAACATCATCCGAGTTGGCTCTCGCGAGGGGAAAACAGCCAGCCACACCAGGGGCATCGGCTCTCTCATCGAGGGTGTGTGAAGGAGATAACATCTTTAAAGAGACAGGACAACCTCATCCTACACCACCCCCTTTCCGCTGACAGGGGGTGGAAAGTGCATGCAATAGGTAAGGACATGCTACTGAGACATATGGTGATAGTCAAATTGATAGATTTTTGCCTCATCCGCTCCTTGCTGGTTCGTGTTGGTTCGTGCATTCAAGTTTGAGGGACGACGCAACTGGCACGACCGATGCGGAGCCGATGTCCAAAAGATTTCGTGGCGGTTGCCCGAGAAGGCATCGTACATGAGATTATTGGTGCGAGGAGCCGTGTTGTCGGCACTGTTCCTCCGAATTTGACAAACTACGTGGATCCTCGACGGAAAGCACTTGCATTTGCTGGGGGTGGGTGCTCAGCCCCTGAAAAAAAAAAAGAAAAAGAAAAAAGCTGACTCTCAAATGTTGCTACGTTTGGTCATAAAGAGGCCTTGAAGAAGGGGGTCCATGAACATCCAAAATGCCCCTTCCCTTTTCTTAATCATTTGTTAGAGAGGTCTGGGTTACGAGGCTCGGCTGTACCAAGGTACGGCCGATCCCTAAGGCCTTGGTTCCGGCGAGACCGGTCTTGAAAGTTGGGCATGTTAAGCTGGTATGTCGAGGATATAAGTCAGGCAGGAGGGCAGACTAAGGGTGATTGAAAGGGGAAGGAACAGGCGTTGCACCCTTCCTCGTGATCAACGCATGCTCGAATCAATGTCGACTCGGAGCGTAGGATGTTGAAATAGGAATATTCCAGTCCTTCAACCCTTTCTCCTTGTCGCAAGAATCGACTCGGGAGTCACTTTGGTCTCGTCTCGTGGTCTTTCACATGACTCCTCTTGTTTCACAGCAGCCTTGCATCCAACGATAGGAGAAGGAGCAGGGAAAATTTTTCTTTCCTTTCCCTACCTATGGATAGATCAAGCCATCGAGGTTGGGCTTTGCGGGAGAGCGAATAGCCTTCACTGGAAGTGTGATATAGATCCATGGATGCATGGGCATGCTCTGTCCGGAGGCGGCCGCACCAACCTGAAGTTCTTTGTGGGACCTGACATGTCTTTCATGACTCTTCTCCAATCCGAACAGGGGAACTAGCCAAGACTAGAAGATGACGACGGTGATGATGCTGACGACCATGATGGACGGGGGTTCTCTCCGTCATCAACGACTAGCCAGAAAGCCTACGAGCTCACTCCAATGTAGGTACATTCAATCAAATATCAATTTGCTCAAGTTGATTCAATCCACTGATGCCTTGTCTGTTCCCTGCTACCGGGGATCCATCGGCCTGATGCCCACCGGCTGTAAGCCTAGCGATAAAGCCCCTCGTCTGGGCGAAAGGGCGCCCAATCGACTTCATCGTGATCATATTTTCTCCTCCGTCCGGTATCCGAGGTCAATTGGTTACAGCTCCTCGGGGAATCGCCTCATTGTCTAATCTCTTTTTAAACGAGGATGGGGGAAGGAGAATGTTTGCAGAATCAAGCTTAGCATTCACAAGGCTAATGCGACAGCAGCCAGCGCCAGAATTAGGACTTGGTGAACTCGACGCTTTTCCCAAAGAGCGCCGAAAGGGACGCTACCAAGGTGACCCCACGCTATTGCCTGCTGGTTTCCCAGCTTGTTCTTTCCCCGGGCGCTCCAGTCTTGATTGGTTTTGGCGGCATGCACTGCCTGCAGTCCAGGCTTGAGTTGGGTAGTTCTTGACACCCCTCCCCTTCCATCCACCCCTCCCCCGCCCTTTCCCCCACCTTTTCGCCCCTCCCCAATTGAAGGATGCCTTTGGCCATCAGAAACCGCACACCCCCAAAGAACATGGGGTGGTGATTGGTGGGGAGGCCCAGGCCAGAAATACATTGAGGTACCTTCCACGTGGAGATGGTCAACTCCTCGTCGGCTGACGCGAGACTACACTAGCGCACCATATTTGTTTACTTGGTGGAAAGAAGGGTCGCTCTTGCATGGAACCAAGAGGGCAAGAAGGGCTCTCCCATTGAGCGTCACTGGACGACTAATCAACGGAGCAGCAAAGTAATGCCCGTCGCGGTTTCTCCCGTGAGACCGTGGGAGAATGGGGGTCCTAGCGGGCGATAGTTTGGCTCGATATCGGGACGGCGTCAACTTGTATGGTGATACCTTGTATACGAGGTACTATACTACAAGTATGAGAATTTTCACTCGCGTTCCTTCCCGACCCGAAACATCGTGGTTTCTGTTTGTCAAGCTCGCCCGACCGTGGGGAACCTCCGTTGAGAGTGGCGATTGCCTCGTCGCTGCCCGCCACCCCTCGCGACGAGATGGTCTACCGGTTCAAAGTGACGGCTCAGTTGTCATGTATTCGCAAACGAAGGAGAACTGAAAAGTGAAAGAGTGAATAAGAAAGCGGTCATCGCCGCGAAAGGTGGCCACAGCCACCTGAACGAACTCAGTATTATACCAAGTGTGTGCAAGGGCCGCCTGGCCTCTTCGTCTTCAAAGGCTGTCCGCCCGGTTGGTCGGTGTTTCGACACCTGCATCCTGCACAACATATTTTCTCATCGGATCGACGGCGCTTTTCCGCTCTGATGTCTCTCCGAGAACCGAAACGGTCCCCGGGGGTATTAACAAGTGCCGCAGAAGGGGGAGGGAGATGGACTGTGTTGGGCCTCGGTAGACTTTTAATAGGAGAGCCCCCCTCCTAATTCTCACCCATCCCACCCCTTTTGTCACCCTCATCTTGACTATAGTTGTGTCCCCTGACGACACCGAGAGTGTGGCTGCCACGCACCGATAGATGGGGCCGTCTTGGACCGTGGGAAGCCGCTTGGCCTGGCCGGGCTCAGAAATCTGTGTACGGAGGTACCGCCTGGGAAGGTGGTCGCGTGGCTGGGGGTCCACGCAGACTCTTCGTTCCTCCCAAGACGCCCAGGGGGCCCTTGTCTGTGCCCCCGCGCTCTTTGTCTCCTCTCGCATCCGCACTGCCGGTCACCTCCCGGGACCCGGACGTTGCTCTGAACCTGAACCCCCTCCCCCTCCGTTTCTGGAACTGCGGCGGCATGGAGTTTCCATGACAGAACACTTTGCACCCTCCCGACATCCGTGAACCCGCCGCCTCCCTTAGCTGCTCCCGACCGGCACGGCCGAGATCAAGAGCCAGCTTGACCCCCGTAAGAGGATCCGCCTATCAAAGTCCAATTAAATGCTTGAAAGCCGGCCGTCCCACCTATGATAGGTTGGTGAGGGCAAGCTTGAACATTGGGGATTTGGATTGGCAGCACTTTGGGAGAGCGTGTCAGCGCCAAGAAAGGGGCTTTAGGCTTTAGCTTCAGACAAGCAAGCCACCGAATAAAGGGGAAGAGGGGAGGAGGAACGCCAGGCGGTCACACCAGGCTGACGCCTCAACGGTTTTGACGCCACAGCCAGCATCTTGGCCCCTCCTCCACGCCGTGTTGGGTCGGGCTTGCTTCCATTGACGCCAGGGAGGGGGCCCCAGAAGCAGCTCGCCTTCGCCCTACTTCTTGCGGAAGCATACCGTATCCTACCTCGGTATACATGGAGCAGATGGAAGCCCATGGAATCTATCTAGCTGCAGCGCAGCCATTGAGTGACGATGAATGGATCTGAGTAGAGGGTATGACAGTCGAGGCTCGGCTTCAGTGGCATCCATCTCGGGTTTGACTGGTTATGTGAGCGGTGAAAATGCGTGTAAAGATATCGAGCTTATCTAGCCGCGCGTATCATGAAGAAAAGCCTCTTCTGGAGCGACTTATCTCGTCACATCAGCCAACAACGCAACAAAACGTCACCAAAACATTGCCCATCTGGGTCTTTACAAGTCCGGTGATGGATGGGCTGGGGCCCGCTCGCAAATGACACGGTATCCCTAGGCAATGCTCGATTCAAGACCGAGATGGGAAGAAGTTCTTTTGATTTGGCTGGCCCAATTTGGGCGATTTTACGGTTCACGTAGCATCTCATTTATCCGCGATGGTGAGTTGTGCAAGCCGCCCCAATCGCAGTTGGACTACCCCACAAACAGCGTGCCTATTTCGGCACGGCATGGCATCGCCGAACGAAGAAGGACTTTGATTCTGGTTCCGTGAGGAGAAGCCTGTTAATTGATATTATCTGGAGCGCGAGGAGAGGAAAAATCACCAATCCCCTATATTAGATTGTTGCTATCCTGCCGGTTGAGAATGTGTTGCGGCTTTTTGCCGCGCGATTGCTTCCTCTCTCCAACCAAGAGCAAAAGGGGAAAAAATAAGAAGAAAAGAAAGGCACAAACTCGCTGCGATTTGTCCTTTGTTGCACCTCCAATCCCTAATAGCACTGTATTGGTTGGAGAATCCGCGCCATGTTGGGACATCGATTGCTGCAGGGCATCGTGGCCCTCGCGGCTTCGGGTCTGATGTCAGTCGTCAACTGCGAGGTCAAGGTGTCCGCGCTGAAGACGACTACTTTGGGGACGGATCCTGAGGGCAGCGCGAGGTTGAACGGCATGAGCTTCCAGCAGGATGCATTGACAACCTTTAACGGATGGTAAGCAGGACACCCTCCAACATTCCCCATCCTCCCCTCATGCCTCTCTAGCCGAAGCCTCTTTCTTCAACATCGTCAAGTGTTTTTGTTTTTTAACGTCCCCCTCCTTGCATAGGCAATATGTGGCCTACTACGAATCGACCGGAACGTATAACAAGCAAAATGTGGCCCTTGGTCGCCGAAATCTCAACGGCGGCGCGAGCCCTTCCGACTGGGAAGTGATTCGATTTACAGACTATAGCCAGCAGACGCAGGACTCGCACAACACCATCTCGATGGGCATCTCGAACGACGGCAAGATCCACCTGAGCTACGATCACCACGACGTCCCCCTCAACTATCGCGTCAGCAACGAGGGCGTCGCGACTGACCCTCGGCCCATGCGTGGAACGCGAATCTCTTTGGAGCTACGAGGCATGACTTGCCCGGCGGCGGATCGGGGCCTTGGAGGCCGGTCACGTATCCACGATTTGAGAGGGCCAACGGTGATCTCTTGTTTGAGATGAGAATTGGACAGTGAGTAGGACCTTTGCTAGACCCCCAAACAACCTGAGAAAGAAAAAAGAAAAGAAAAAAAAAAAAAAAAAAGAAAAGAAAGCGGACTGCTGACAAGAAGGGCGTGCGCACCCTACCCCTTGTCGTAGATCCGGATCGGGAGATAGTTACTTGTACAAGTACTCTGGGGGTTCTTGGACCCCCATAGGCAAGTACATCCAGGGCAACAACAACAACGCGTACATCAACGGGCTCGACTTCGCAAACGACACCCTCACCATCACCTGGACGTGGCGCGAGACCCCCGACGTGGTGACGAACCACGACCTCGGCTACGCCTACAGCACCGACCTCGGGCGCACCTGGAACAACAACGCCGGGGTCTCCATTGGCCCGACAGTCTCCCCGCCAGCCAGGGCATCCACGTCCTGACCATCCCCCAGAACAGCGGCATCCTCAACCAGGAGGGCCAGACGGTCGACGCCGCCGGGCGCGTCCACGTCATCAACCGAGAAACGGTAGGCGGAACCCTCACCTGGCTTCATTACTGGCGCGGCGACGACGGCCGCTGGACCCGGAATCCAATCTCGCACTCCCTAGGGCCCCTCACGCAGACGGGTCGACGTGGCAAGCTCGCCGCCCACCCCACTACGGGCGACCTCTTTGCCATACTCGCCGCCAACCAGGCGAGCAACGACGTGGCCGTGTACGTGGCTACTCGTGCGAGCGGATACACTGACTGGAAGGAAGCCTGGCGCGCGGGCAGCTTTGACGTGGAGCCCCTGTTCGATAGAGCGCTGTGGAGGGGTCAGGGTGGGGTGGAGGCGGGAAAGATTCTCAGCCTCTTCCTCAATACGCAGGAGGATACCCGGACAGGAAGGTGGCGGTGGTTGATCTCGAGGTGCAGGTCTAGAGTGTACATGGTGGCTTGGGGGACAGGTTTCCGAGTGGACGGACTTTTGCCGGAGGGAACGGAACGATATAAAGATTGTTGTTATTTGAATATATTTCTAAGAATTTATCATAAAATCATGGTATCTCGCTATCTGTGTGGGTACATCTTTGGCTCCATATTGTTACATGGCGAATGTAGGAAGGAAAAAAAAAGAACAAAAAGGAGAAAGACGGGAAAGAGAGAAAAGAGTACAAGTGACACTTCGCCGTCTCTTGCACTGATGAATTAGTTCCAATCTCGCCTACCGCATCTGCGGCGGCGTCTCGAGATCGCGCAAAGGGTTTGGAATTTTAACCCGGTAGCTCCGCAACAGGCGACGGCCTATTGCCATCATGGGTAATAAACGGTGGCTTAGGGACTTCGAGCATGTCCGCATTATCGCCGTGCCTCAGCTGAGACTTCCTCTTGAGAGCAGCGGCGGTGCCGGGGCTCGAAGAGGCCGTAGCGTCGAGTTCGGAGCGCACAGACCAGGGGCGGGCGGCCCTGGAGTCGAGTTCCGACGGCGCCGACGCGGATCCGGGAGTGCCCGGCGCCAGGGATACGGCGCCAAAGGCATCGGGGCTTCCGTCGAGCTCGGCCTTGGGGATGTCGTCGTCGGACGCGCGCCTCCGCCTCTTGAGGAAGAGCAGGGCGAGAGCGGCCAGGATGAGGAGGGCGCCGACGCTGACGCCGACACCGATGCCGGCCTTGGCGCCGGTGCTGAGGCCACCGCTGCCCACGTCTGGGTCGTTTCCGGGATCGGTGGGGTCAGGGGTGGGCGGGGCCGTGCCGGTGTCGCCGGGGCCGGTGGTGGTCTCCTGGCCGTCGCCTGAGGTGGGGGACGGGACGTAGCCGGGCTGCCAGATGACGCTGCCGCCGGAGGAGGTGGGGAGCTGGACGACGTTGTCGAGGATGGAGCCGTCGGTGAAGGCGACGGTGCGGGAGGTGGAGGGGCAGAAGCACGAGTCTGCGTCGGTGAGGGTCTCGGCGTTGCCGGATTGCTCGCAGGCGATCCATTGGTTGGAGGTGCCGTTGCAGTAGACGAGGCCGGCCCATGCTTGGTCTAATACCGAGGATGAGGAGCGTTAGCGCTGCGGACCTTTCGAGGTGCTAATATTGGCGGCTCGAAACCGCCTCCATCGCACACAAGAAAGAAAGGGGGAGGAACGTACCGTCAAAGGCCCCTTTATCAGGGCAACTCCCGTCCTCGTAGTCGGGATCGCTACAGCCGGCGAGATAGGTGACGCCGAACTTGCCATTGAAGCAGGCGTGGCTCGAGAGACACATGTCACCGGCCTGGCAGCACGTTTTATGGCCGAGCCCAGCGTTGCCGCAAGGGAGCATCAGGTCGTCGGCGGAGTCGCCGCGGCCTTTGTAGCAGGTGCCATTGGATACGAAGGCGTTGAGGCCAGACATTGCGAGTTTGACCAGGCTGGAAGAGGGGAGTGGGCGAGTGAGTTTGGCTATCGGTCGGTTGCGGCGCCGATTTGAGCGGCCATGGAGGGTTTGTTTACCGACGCCGCTCGAGTTTTTCTCGTTGCGGTCGCGGGGGCGGGTGGCCTCAAAAGAGCAAACGGGACGAAGAGAGACACAGCGCGAAGAGAGCTATACGAAGAGGGATTGGCGAATCTTCCTGCACTTTGAGGTTTGTATAATTCGTGAGATTTGATGTGGATTTCGCGTGGAAACAAGCACGGAAAGGCACAAGAGAAGCAGCAATGGTGGGGAGAGGAGAAGTGTGGCAGGTTGAAGCTGGCGATGTGTGAGACGTGGTGATTGAGGGATCGTCATAGCCTTTGCGTTCCATTCCAATGAGGAGTCTGGAACGGGCGAGCCAGGGAGGGATCCGATCCGTCGAAAAAGAATCAATACGGGTCTTCGCCTCCCCCTTCGTATCCCATCAAACGGGGGAGCGGGATCGTGCCTCAAGCCAAGACCCAATCAGTACATTCTCCTCACCCCTAATTCATTCCCCATGCCGCGGGCCGATTTCCTTTTGCAAAGGTCAATGACAAGAGCGATCGGTACCGTGAGACCTTTTCCCCAATGTGTGAGCCTTCTCTCTCCCCATGTTTCTTTCTTCCCCTCTCTACGTCAGTGGATGGTGATGCTGGGGAAATGTCTGAGTCCCCGACACTCGCCGCAAGGGGGTCCTTTTCCGCTACAGTCTCAAGCCAGCAAGGAGCACATTTTTCTCATTTTCCTCAAGGGAGGGATTGCCAACGACACTCTGCTCGCATGTATCCTTCTACTATCCCGCCGCTCTGTGGCGCGGAGTGGGAAAAGCTGTCGGGTAATACGGGAGATTGGTGGGCGGGTCTATTCTGGGACGGGGGCGCCGACGTCGTCATAGGCCCGGACCCGAGTCTGGGGGCAAGGCCAAGGCATGCTTATTTAGGCAATAGATCAACCAGCAGCACTCGCTTCCTTGGTTTGACCCCCTTGATAGGCGACCAGGAGGGAGACTAACCAGGAAAATATGGGCCACGGGGGCCATTTCTCAGCCCAAGACCCCGAATTGGCCATCGAGGCTAACTCCACTGCTTTCAACGCTTGCGATGCGACGAGCCAATCTCGTGTCTAGTTTTTTTCTCTTTCTTAATAATACCTGTGAATGTGCGTCCGATCTTTTTATTTCCCATGGCCGATTGTACTTTGTTGACGAGAGACCGAGGCCAAAAAGGCAGACAACGAGGAAAGAGTGGAACGGGAGAGAACCGCCTTCCCACGGGAAGACGGCGCGGTTACAGTGTGAGACAAAAAGCAACATGCAAAACGCAGGAACAATCGTCCCCTTTCGATCTCGAAAAGCCTGGTGCGATTATACGCTGCTAAATTCAGGCTGTTTTTCTCGGGGGGGCAAGGGGGTTGATTAATTGCTTTAATATTATTTCTTTTCCCGCCGAGGTCTAATAATGACAGCAAAGGTAAGGCGAGGTTTTATGCGGAGATTTTGCTCGGAAGTATAAATCAACACGACACGCGCACATCCACGGGCTCACAGTCCATGATCTCGAACCGACTGCGTGCCAAGTTCTCGATGGACCTTGATTGAGGCTTGTCGCAACCGCTTAAGCGACCCAGCCTGCTGGGTTCGAGTGCTTCTTCGAGTGGTCTTCGAACATGGCGGAACAAGCACCGCATCGTTTGGTTGGGATCCCTTTAAGGACAGGGCCATATTCCTAAAAAGACTTTGAGACGGGATCCTTTTCGTAATACTTCCAGCGCAGTGATGGATTCGCAGTAATTTTAGATCTTTGCGAGGCATCTCATTCGCGGAAGTCAAATTGACAGGAATGTGGGACACGGCTGACATGGGACAGGTTTCCTCTCGATTCACGTTTTCAGCAGTAGGACTTGCAAGGGGAATCATTGGTATTTTCATTCTTCTTCCTCTCCTCTCTCCAATGTGAGCATCTACCAGGCACTCGCTGCAAGCCACCAGAGGTGAGGTTTCGTGGCCCATCTACCACAAAACTTTCCACAACTTTCCACCCTTCCTGTAGACACGAATCTTCCTATCCCACGCCCCCCTCTTCCCAACGTTGATCACTCGCTCAGAAAGACTGGGATAACAAACGGCGAGTTCCGCATCAGACGTGCGTTTTGAGTCCCTTAGTGAGCAAACCTAAAATCCAACCTCTTCATACCCTCATCGGTCGTATTGAGAACATAGTCCTCTTGCTGTTCCTTCGTAAGGGCATTCCACTTGCTATCACGGACCTTGTTTCGCCAGATATAGAACCCCTTGACAAAGTAGAAGAGGAAGATGTTGAACACGGTGATGCCGAGCAGAACCTTGTTGCCGCGGCGGTACAGAGGCTTGTCGTCCTCGCGGTAGATGTTGGACGCCACAATGTTGCCCGACTGCACGAAAATGTTGTACATGGCGGCGCTGACCGCGCGAGTGCGCACGGCGTTGCTGTTCTTGGCGTTCCACCCCACGAGCACGGCGTGGCAGTACGGGTAGCTGAGCAGACCCGTGAGCAAGGCGTAGCGCACCCAGGGGTTCGCGTCGGCGGGGAGCAGCACGAGCGCGAGTAGCCACGGGAAAATCCAAATGTTGGACGACGACGAGACGATGGCGCGCTCCTTGAACTTTTCCGAAATCCACGTGATGATGAGCAGGTTCACGGCGAAGAGGAACTGGGAGGGGATCGCGAGCAGGTTGGCGTGGAAGACGTTGAAGCCGAGCTGGCGCAGGATGTAGGAGAGGTAGGTGTTGGGAGGCGAGGGAGGGATGTACGCGGTAAGACCGATGAGGTACAGCGGCCACTGCTCCCAGTCCTTGATCGTCTTCCAGAGAAGCTTGTGGTTGACGGCCTGGCGGTTGTTCATGTCACCCTTGGAAGGGTCGTCGCGCAGCAGACGGTTGACAATGATGCGCTCTTCGTGGTCGGTGAACCAGCCGTTCTTGCCTCGGAACCAATGCTTCGTCTGCGTAGGGCCAGGAGGCATGAGTCCATAGGAGAAGATGCCGATAATGATGGTAGGGATGGCCTCGAGGAGGAAGCTGTGCAAAATGCGTTAGCACATTCTTTGGTCATGTCTCTTTTTCCTCCTCCCATGCACTTCGATTGATGTGCAACTAATCAAGTGGAGCAAAGAGCGCTCCAAGAGAAAGTTCAGAGATGGGAATGCCAGTTTCACTTACAGCCAGCGCCAACCACCCCAGCCGTTGATGCCTCGCATCTTGAGCACTCCGGCAGCGATGAGAGATCCCACAATATTACAGGTACTACGGGAGGATATGTGTTAGTCTGAGTCTACTTTCGGGGGCTATGGTGTCGGTGGGTGTCGGAGCCGCACCAGGAAGAGGGGGCAGAACAACGAGATAGGGAAGAGAGCACATACCTTAGGGCGGTCCAGAACCAAGCCAACCTAACGGGGAGTTCGTTCGACTTGTAAAAGTAGGTGAGCCAGAGCACGATATCACTGCGCGGGGTTATTAGCAATCCAAGTCGTGAAAAATAGAGATTCGAATACAGAATTCAAAGCAAGGTGCGAGCGCATCTTCAGGGGAGAGGGTCGATGACATACGGGATGAATCCACCCATGAGAACTCCGAGAAGGGCCTTGATGGCATAGAAGCTGGCACGGGAGTGGATGAACGCCTGGGCGCCAGCAACGATCGACCAGCCGATGATGATGGTAGGAATCCAGCTATTCAAACACAAAAGGGTCAGCAGAGGCACTCGTATCAACTTATAGACCGACTCTTATCGAGGTCGACGCCTTGGGCCACGTACCGATCAGCACCGAGTTTCTTGCTAACCAAACCGCTAGGAAGCTCCGCGGCGAGGAAGGAAACGAGGAAGATCTATTGATCAAAAGTTAGCCACACGTCTCATGACACTCGGGACACATGCCCGCAATGAATCGTTGAGAAAAAGAAAAAATGTTAAGTGGTTGTTACTTACCGTTTGGCCATAGTTGAAGTCGTTGGTGTCCATGCCGAGCTCCGGAAGCTGTTAAGGTATCCAAAGTTAGCCCCGACGAATGCGCCTACAGGGGAGAGGACGGATGAAGAGGTTCACTTCCTCTCCGCCATCTGCTCGCTAAGACTCACCATGTTGTCCGAAATAGCACGGTTAATGTTTTTCGGTGAATGTCAAGGGCGCAGAACATGATCCAAGCCCAGAAGATGATTTTCTTGTCAATCTATTCGGTGCGGGCCGCACGAGCAGTTAGAAACAACGAACAATCCCATCAACAGTGCGGAACACCGGTCGAGGTTCATCGGGATGATCCTACCTTGCGCACCAGAGCCTTCTCCTCCTCGGCAGTCCACTTAAACTCGGGGTCATAGCGGTGGCGGTTCTCGTACTCGGCTTTTTCGTACCTCTTGCGCCAGAAATCGGCGACCGCCGGGTCGGAGAAGACATGTTCGTCAGACGAGCCATAGCCGGTAGTGCCGTTGCGGATGGATACGGCGCTATCGGAGGCTGGTGGTGTGTCCTCCACCTCAATCTTGGGGGCGACCCATCTCGACTATGGGCTCTACAAGGCAGAGTGGAAGAGAGAGAGAGTGCGATTGAGTAGACGTTGAAAGGGATCTCTCAATGAAACAGAGAGTTACCACGAGCCGCAAGAGAGTAATTAAGCACCTCGCTGTCTCGGCAGGAGAGAAGAAGAGGTAGGAGCTTATCGAAGCAGGCCTCGTGAGATGAGCTGGCGACTCCTTTTCTCAGACATGCGGATAAGACAGGAGGAGGCCGGGTCAACTTTATATCTGACATGACTTCGTCATCCCACTCCGATCGACGGACCCCTTTCCCAATACCCTGGTTCTTGACCAAGGGCAGGTGTCGAAGCTCTGCATCAAACAAGCGACTCCACGACAGCGAGAATGACACCGGTCAACCCACCCGGCTGGTACGATTATCAATAGCTATCTCCGCTAGTTTTCCCAAAGGGGAAGATGTTCGATGGTAACATCTCTCCCATGATTACACCATGCGTTACTTTTCCGCAAGTGATATCAAAGTCAAGAAGAGAAACAGAGGTGCCAAGTCAACGGGATGAACAAAGAGCGCCAGGCGACGCAACGTGAAGGGCAGGGAGAGATGGATGGCTTGACAGGGGAATTGCACAAGTACACCCTCGCTACCGCTGTCCTGGGTGCATTTGATACTTCGCTTTTGACCTTCTTGCTTTCCCTTACCCACCCACTTTTAGAATTATCGGTCTGGTTCCCTTTTGTGATCGATCCTGCAAAGACATGGTTGTGGCAGTCGGCTAGGTTGGGTCAACATGTACGTCCAGAGTGGGGATCCTGCTTCTTGGTTGGGAGGCGATAGGGCGGATAGTTGGCGAGGCCTCTGCCCGAGTCGATGGTGCAATGATATACCCGAATTGCGATGAATGAAGAGGACCGGGTGATTTATATGTTCCTCAGAGCAAAATGGATGGGCCTTGGGTCTCGTTTTTCCCTTCTTCTCCACTTACGGGGAGGGACGCGGAGGACAAGGTGGGACAACAGTGGCAGGGGCGAAAGGTCTAATCTAGGGACGTATGTACAGGGGGTGAAGAGGAGAAGGAATTGTGGAATAGAGTGGGAGGATCCATTGGGTGGCGGGAAAAGAGCCGAGAGACAGAATCAGAGGGAAAACTGGGGGCCCAGCAAAGAGACATGGGTCAGGGAGCACTGGCGTTGTGATGGAGCTCTGCTCACTCGCAGAGAGTGCTGCCCCAAGTGTGCATATCCCGGAATGGGAAAAGTGGCCGGCGGCATATGCCCAGAGTCCCGGGACTCCATCCGGAATGGCAAGCTGAAAAAGATGAATATGGGACTAATGGGCGGGTGGGCAGAATAATCGAGGCGCATCGAGCGGAGTGGGCTAGAAGAGCCATACGAGCAGATGGGCTGGCGGGCGTCGAGCAAGTAGCGTAGACCAAATGGAGAGAGCGAGCACTCGACATCCATAGATGGCGACCTGAGACGTGCGCGGGTGGAGGGTGGGGGTGGATGTGGAATTGATGGGCTTTGATACGAAGAGTCTCTCCTTCCCTTGCTCCCTTTGCATACTCACGCTTAATAGATCGTGGCTTCCTACCCAGGTCAGAAATTTCTCTGTCTACCCGAGTACCATCTGGGTACTTCTAAGAAGGGAAGGAAAAGGGCCAGGGAAAAACCAAGCCCCTAAAATGAACCAAGGACGCACAAGGCTCGCTCATATCGCCCGGTTTCGGGTTCGTGGGTTGGGTTCGGACATTGTTGGATGCTCCGCTGCTGCAATGCGCTAGGTCGCGGGAGTCCAACTGTAATGTAAGTCTTGCAAATGTTCCAAAAGAGCTAGTAAGGGCCGGTGAGAAGAAATATGGGGCGATGGGGCTCCAACAAAACATACAGATTCATTGTATCAGTGTGCAATTCACGAAGGATTAGATTGCTGCTTGAATGCGTGCGGTTCGGGCCCACTCCTTGTTCTTTGGACGGGATCGACACCGAGGCCGTTTGATGACTTATTATCGTGCAGGCACGGATGGCGACAACCGTTTAGCTAGTGTTCACTTATCATTCAATGGTCCCTAAGCAATCAAAAAAACAAAGAGCCGGGCGGAGATCGGCAACAGGCACACGAGGGAGTCGGGATCCTCTTGCTACGGTGATCAAAGAACGCTTCCCGCATAGGTTCGATGTTGCGTACTTCTGCACGCGGTCTGCCGATCCCGGGGAAAGAGAAGAAAACGGCAATGAGGTTTCGAAGAACGAAGGCGTGCTCGCCTTAGGGGGCGGGGCGGGGCATGTCGGGGCATCAAAAAATGGTACGACGAGATCTATCCCTATTCCCTTCATTTTCTCTTTGCCATGGGGTTTCCTTGTCTCGCATTGAACTCGGATAGACACCGTGAAGATGACGAATGGAAAACTCGGCGCCGAGCCTCCAAGGCGCCTGAAGCGGAGCAGATGGAGAGCAGTCGACCACGACACTATGCCCCCGTCAAGAGGAGAGGCCAAGAGATAAGGGCCTTGTCCAGGGTTCCTCCTCGTTCGCCCTTCCCACATGGTGGGACCCCATTAGATTCTCCGAACATAGATTCTCCGATTTGCTGGAGCTTGCTTGCTTGCTTTCCTCGCCGACATCGAACCGCGTTGGTTCCCCCACGAAATGGCGCCATGTGGGCAATATATGAACCTTGCATGTTACAAGTCGTTTGTCTGTCCCTGGTTTTGATAGAGCCAAACAGCTCTCTCTCTCTTCTTTTTTTTCTTTTTTTTTTTTCGCCTTCTTCTTTTTCGGTCTCAGTTGCTTTCTTGGCCCTGCCCCTCCGCTAGTATTCAACAGTGGAAAGCAAACGCTAACTTGGACCCCGCACAAGCACATCACTTACACCAAGACTTGCTTCCCTAGTACGATAGGCTTGCTACTCTTTGAAAGGGGATGGAGCTAGTCAGGACGAGACTAAAATAAGATAAAATTAGAGATTTGCCAATGAGAAAGAGAGAGTAGAATGCAAAAGGCTGCGACAACGTTGGTGCTCAGTCCCCGAGCCCCCGCATGTAATAATGGCAATTGATAACCAGCTGCTTCACCCCGACGTACTCTGACTCTGTCATTCCATGGCCTCGGGTGCTATGCTGTGCTTTTTTCGGGCTCGGGAATATTAGTGAACCAGCAAGGACTGGTTCACAAATCGACCTATTCTTTCCGTGGGGAGGGATCAGCGTGACATTGGAGAGGAGGACAGTCCTGTAGGATTATGCTTGTAAGCGTTCTGTAAGCAAGCACTGGTCCATCGCACAATCAGCCAGCCAGACCAGACAAGTCCATTTCATTGGTTAGATGAATAAACTGCCATCCACAAACAAAAGCACCAAGTGATGGGACGGATTGGAGCGAGTACAACCGAGCAGCCAAGTCAATCTGCACATAATATGATTTGCGTAATCTCGCCCCCATCATCGCTTTGATATTCGCCTTCGGACTTGGATGGCCATGGAACAAGAAGAAAATGCGAACAGGTCCCTGCCGCAGCAGCAGGAAAACAAAGAATGAGCCCAGTTCCCGACAAGGCTAGCGCGCGGCAAGACCAACGAAGGGTCAGGAAGTCGAGATAATATAGCTTTGGGAATGTTCAGCGAGGGTGTAGTAATTATCGTTCGCCTAGATGAGAAGGCCAGGCCAAGCTGGGCCAAGCTGGGCCATGCCGCCTCTGGCGTAGCGCGGGTTGGTTGGGAATTCGGTGCGGCTGGCGTTGCATCTGGCACTCGATGCTCTCGTTTTGAATTGCCTCGAGGCTGATTGGATAATCCAATGCCCGAAATGGCTTGGGGGATCTTGGTAAGTGAACTTGGATCAATTTCACACGAGGGTCCCGCAGCAGCTGGCCAAGTCTCGTGTAAGTCAAAGTCGCCGTCACGAACTCGTGCTGTTCCTTAATGCCAGCCCCTAGCCCGTTGATTCTACGCCACCTTAATTGATAGTGCAAGGCAATTTTGGAAGAATATGTAAAATCGATTTCTTTTTCTTTTTATTTTAATTCGGTTATTTCTTTTAGAAGAAGAATGCTACAGCTAAACGTCCGCTGCGGACGCGAATACTAGAATAACAGTACCCTGTTCTTTCTGCGCGCTGGCAGTAGAAATTGCATTTTCCTCCTTCGCATCGTAAATGGGGGTTTCGTCACTGGGGTCACATCTCTCAAAGAGTGATTCTTACGCCTTAGGTTCAAAAGGCGTCTCGTACGGCCTTTCAGCCTGGGGAGTAATGCGCGCAAGATGCCTTCGCTCGCCGTTCTTCCAGTCCACGAGCGCAGAGTGTTGGGTGACACGGTTATCCCAAATAACTACAGTGCCCTTCTCCCACTTGACACGGACGTGGAAATCGGCACCCCACGCAAGGTGCTCGTAGAGGAAGTTGAGGATCGCATCCGACTCCTCTTTCTTGAGACCGACAATTTGACGAGTAACTACCTCGAGTATTAGTATAAAAAGTAATCATCAACCACTTTCAAAGAAGGAACTCACATTGGGGGTTCACGTAAAGCGCCTTCTCGCCAGTCGCTGGGTGCGTCCTAATAATGGGGTGCTCGTTGACGACGGGCTCGCGCCTCTTGATGCTTCCCGGTTCACGGAACCGTTGGCCTGCTCGATCGCCGAGTGCGTAGCCTTGAGGCCGTGCAGGCGCTCCTGGAAGAGCGGGCTCAAGCGGTTGTACGCCTCAACCGCGTTGGCAAAGAGAGTGTCGCCTCCGGTGCTGGGAAGGTCCAGCACGTAGAGGAAGGTAGTGCCGGGAGGTTGCGCCTCGTACGACACGTCCGAGTGCCACGCCACCGAGCTGGTGCGGTTGGCGAAGAACTGGTCAATCGAGTTATCGCCTGCCTGGCGGTGCACAATGTGGACCTCGGGGAACCCCTCGGGCGAGCCGGACGTGGGGTGGATGTGATGACGGCCGTAGTAGCCGCCAATCTCGAGGGCCTTGTCGATGGGCAGATCGGCAAAGTCTTGGTCGCGGAAGGCAACGACCTTGCGCTCCGCTACGAGGCGGGCGAGCTGGTCCCGCCCGGCGGCGGAGAGGGTGGAGATTTGCACGCCGCGAATCTCGGAGCCGGTGGTGGGCGTCAGGTGGGAAATGGTGACGCCCTCGCCAAGGAGCTCGGGGTACGATGTGTCGGCATCCTTGCCGTGTTCCACGTGCTCAAAGGGCTCGAGCGTGGAGTACTTTTGTTCGCGGCTCCATGTGGGCAGGTAGTTAGGGTACTTTAGAGGGTGCTTACGGTTAGTTACTGATGGGCAGGGCGAGTGCGGACGATAGATCATTTAGGAAGCGAGGAACATGGGGGCTAGCCTGTCAGGGTGGGGGTCAAGGGAAAGGTGAGTGGGAGGGGTGAGTGGGAGGGGTGTCAGCCAATTTGGAAATGCGGCTTATGTGGCTGACTTCTTACTTGAGGGATGGGCACAGCTTGATCTATTGTATTGGTAGGAAGTGTTGTGTGGTAGGAGGAAGGGGAGGAAAGAGGCTGGTCAACCCCCAGTGCGGTGGCTTCTATTGGCAAGCAATGGTGGGGGAGGAAGACTTCAAGAAAAAAGAAAATCTCCGGGTTGACGTTGAACCCTGGAGAAATGTACGTACCGACGCGGGCGCATGGCCTTCAATACCCTTCTTCTCGACGTCTTCCGAGTACTTGGATGTGCCAATCTCCTTGTAATCCCCGGTAGCAGCGCCGGCCGTGAATCCCTTGTAGCTAGGGTGCACGGGGAGAGTCACGGTCTCGGTCTCGACAGCAGAGGGCGCCATTGCGGGCAAAAGAAAAAAATAACGGGGGTATCAAGGGTTAAAGGGTGGCTTGCCGAGAAAGGTAGAGGTGGGCAGAGTAAGATCTAGCAAAGGCTTTCCTGAGCGCTGCTATATGAATAAGGTCTTGGTAGGAGTGAGAGTTGTACACAGATTCAAAGAAAGAGAGCCCAAAATGTATTTTACAAGCGGGAATGCCAGCGATATAAGTATGCTTTCTCTCGAGCCCGAGATGTTCGGCTTTCCCCTCATCGCCCCTCCCTCGATGACGATTCTGAGATTGGAGCCGAAACTACTGTCCCCGCGGAGCATAGAGCACTGGTTAAACACACCCTTCGTCTGACTGGACTGGGCCGAATGCCGTGATTCTCCTCTTTTTGCCCTCGGGTTTGGTGGTCTTGTCTCTCTTACGTGACCTTCTTCCGTCGTTTTGACATCGCTTGTTCCAGTTATTCTCCTGGGTGGCACACACGCCTTGCCCGGAGCGTAACGTGCAAGCAGGGATGCGATTGCGTGAGTACCAAGCGCGATTGCAAGTCTCCACATTCACCAGAAGCGAAAAGGAGGAGGGCGGCGAGTGAAGGAAACTTGAAGCACTACTACCAGTGATTAAAGCGGCGAGGCCCGTCGAACCACTTTCGTTTTGGCTCTCTGCCATCTCTTGGTGTGAGGCCATCTATTTTGTGAACCGGGACTCTGGAGGCTTTGGTTCAGGGTGGTTGTTCTTTTTGGATTTATCAGCAAGCTTGGCTAGAGCCTACCCTGCAGGGTTTGGCATATCCGAACTCGCTTCTCATACCTTGCAAATGAAGGGAAAGAGGGGAGAGCCATCTTTAACTCGCTGCAGCCCGTTCGACGCGAGATGATGATGGAGAGGAAAAGAGTATGGGCATGAGTGGCTGAGGTCTTAGTGTGGGGAGCGCGAATTGCATGATGGCACCTGCTCCAGATCACGTCTTGTACTCCGTACGGGATCCGGAGTTAAGAAATGGGGAAGAAATGCGTGATGATCCGTGTTCAAAATACATGGGCTCCGGGGTTTGACGAATCGACGCGCCGAATCACGCAATCCCCATGTCACGGCCCCAGTCCCCTGTCCCCTTAGGAGGCATGGGAGGGAAGTATGGTAGGGCGGTGATCACGAAATTGGGGAGGATGACGAGAATAAAGTGCCAGACGTGAGGTCCTGAGTCGGAAGCAGTAAAGTGGGAGACGGCAGGAAGGAGAAAGCCTTTAAACACGAGTCAATCTGCTTCAATCCAACCCCTTCTCTACACTTTTCTTTCCCCGCCAAAAGAGAGGGGTGGATGGCTAACCTGGAAAAAGAAAGTCCAGACTCGGGTCAACGTGCGCAGATTGATAAGAAAAAAAGAATGAAGCCAGCTAGAGATGTTTCGATCTTGGCGGGTGCGTTAGTGTGAAACTGACTATAGTCTTTTGGGCATGACAAACAAAGCGCGCGAGATAGTGATACGCGGCTGAGAATTTGGCTACTACCCCTTGCTCGCCGGCGAGGTGCGAGCATGCGCAGTGACGAAGACAATTATTATCGGCTCTTGCCTTGGCCCTCACGATGATCTCAGTTCCTTTTAGGTTCTCTCACGCATGGCACCGGGGGTTTCCTTTCTTCTTGAACGCGATGCAGGTTGAATAAGTGGTGCGAGTTCATCCGGGATAAAAGTGAAGTAGTTGATGTCCTGACTCTGCTTATCTTTAGGGTTACGGTTTGACGTCCTCGTGTCCATCCACCATCGTAGAGATCAGGGAGAAATTTGCTGCTTTCAAGCTCTTACTTCTTTTGGTGCATTATGAATGGCCGAAACCGGCAGCCCAATGTCTGGTCTCTCTTTTCAATCCAAACCTCCTCGGTCTCCCAAGAACGTGGAGGCCGACCTTTTGTTGTTCGGCTCTTGGGCAAGAAGCACTCAGGATGGCGCAATTGCTAAGACGACGTCAGGTCTCCGTCTTGGCATTGCTCTATTGCAGGTGAGAATGACTAATCGAAGCGTCTTCAACGCATATTCTCATAAGTAGGTATCCCCGATACAGTGGTATCTCATGCTGCCAACTCTTCTGTTTTTGTGTCTTGGTGCAGTTGGTACATGGCCCTCAAGATGCGACCGTTGAGCCCAATCGATTGGCTCTCGTGAAGCATTGATCACGCTTTGAACCAACCAAGTTGGCTCAGCTGTTGTGCCCTCTCTTCCAAGAGCAGGCTGCCGGAATTTGAGACGTAGTCACTTTTGTTGGATTGGGGGCAAAGGGGGAAAAATTGGAAGAAAATTGAAGAAAAGGGAAGAAGGCTAATCAAGCTGGGGGAAGGAGGGGGACACGGGCGTTGAAGAAGAGCCAAGTTGGGAAAGAACGATTCGCAAGCGGTCAGGTTCGAATGTTGGTTTTGGGGGCAAAGGCATTGCTCTGCCCATTGAGGGCGACTCCTGTTTCAGACCCCGAATGTTGGCCAACTTTCGCAGCCAGTCGTGGGTGGTTGATCACCAAATCAGGGCCTCGAGGGCCTAGGATTCCCCAGCATGGATTCCCGATTGTCCCCAGGTTTTTTATTTTCTGATCACTCTGAGCCAATGCTTCCCGCCCTGTCGCGCCCTATCGCGCCCCGTCTTCGTCTCGAACCGACCCGTCGGAATGCGAAATGGGCGGTCTCATTGGCCCTGCTCGGGTTTCGTTTTGGCGCCGAAGCTTTCGCTCCGCGGAGATGTCTTGCCCAAGGCCTCAACTCCTCCCACCACCTGGCCCGCACGCTAGAAAATGCTTCCGCCCTGCTGCAAGGGGTGGGAAGGGGGAAAAGCACCGACTGCCGCTTGTCCCAACGTCAAGCGAATGGCATCTCCGCGGCCGTCAACCTCACCTCTTCGCCACTTTGGGCCGCTGGACGAGAAGGGAAAAAGGGCACCTTACACCCACGCGGCGCTTATCCGCTGTCAGGCTTTGGCTCCTGACAGCCCGTACTGTGGCCTAGCTTTTGATCAAGCCTTTAATATAGTATATACTTTGGGAGTGGCCCTCCCCTCGCCGGGGCTCCGGTGTCCTCACCATGCCTTGAAAAAGATTTCCGTCTTGTTTCGTTTCTGCCTCGGGAGCCTCGTTGCAGCTGCGACCTTGATCTGTCCCAAGACGAAATTGCTGCGCCGAGCTGGGGACCTGTTTTTGTGGCCGACTACGACGTGGTGCCAGTGTTGGTGCCTCGACACATTATTTTTCTTCTTCTTCCGGATTCCTTGGCCATCTAATCGTCATCGTGCCCTCTTGCGAGTTATAAACCTCTCCTGTACTTCAGATCATCACGATCAGGCGGCAGGAGCAGAGAGCACTTCTCGGCGAAATATATCAGTTGTGACCATCCTTTCCTTCCCCTTTTGCCCCAGCTTCACCAATTTGTAAAAGGGCGCTCGAACGTCTCTCTCACAAGAACCCGCATACCTACTATCAAGCTTGTTTCGACTCCGTGTGCGGGTTAGAGACAGTCGGAACCAACCTTCTTATAATCGCGCCCCGAATCAGGTTGCATCGGTATCTACCACGCATCTCAATATCAATGGGGCTACCGCCGCCGCCGTACCCTTCCGACGAGATCGCCTTGGGCAATCCCAAGCGATCCTGCTGGACCTTTGACCCTTCTACCGGCTTCTACGACCTCACACATCCCAACCGATCCCGTCACTCTCGATCTTTCCCCGCCTCTTGCTCAAGACGACGACCGATCCCATCGCCGTGAATCCCCACAAGTGCGCCATCATTGTCGTGGACCTCCAGAACCTTCACCTCTCCCGCGCCCTGGGTAATCGCCAGGGCCCCTCCACCATGCCGAAGAGACCCTGCGCATGCTCGCCTACCCGGCCGCCCGGGAGGCGGGCATCCAAATCGTTCACCTAACATGGGGCTTCACCGAGGAGGAGATTCGATCTGCCCCGCCGGCCCTGCTCCGAAAGTTTGGCACTCTGCTCGACAAGATGAACGTCTCTCACCCAAAACAAGGCGTCAGCGGCTACGACGCTTCGTCCTTATCCTCCGCATACTCCCACTCCACAGTCTCCTCGTCTTCGTCATCTCAGTCCTATTCGGTCAAATCGCCCACGACCCCGACGATGCGCCGCCCCTTATCCACCGCCAAGCCCAGCCTAGGGGACGAGATCGGCCCCGTCACCCTCTGGAACAAGCAAATCATCCTCGGCGGCCGCCTCCTCGTCCGTAACACCTGGAACGCTGAACTCTACGAGTCTACCCGCCGCGCCTTCGCCGCCTCGCTCAACACGCCCCTTCCCGACGCCCGCTTCCACAAGACCCGGCCGTCGGGATTCTTCTGGGGAGGCCTCGCCGCCGGCGGTGCCGCCTCGTCCTCGACGGACCCAGCCGCCGCGCCGGATGTGGTCAAGTTCCTGCGCGCCAGGGGTATCACGACCTTGTTCTTTGGAGGCGCCGGCACCGAGTCCGGCGTGTGGGCGTCGGCGCGTGACGCGGGGAACTGGGGCTTCGACGTCGTGCTTCTGGCTGATGGTTGCGGGACTAAAGCTGGCGACGAGGCGACGCGACTGGTTCAGGAGAACTGTGAAGAGGAGCTTGGCTTCGTCACGAGCTGTGAGGAGTTGGCGAGGCAGGTTGCCGGGCTGGCGGCCACGGGCCAGGCTCGCTGAGACTGCTTTCTCTACGCGATCGACGCTTGTTGCCCTTTTTCCTTTTCTCTATTCTCTTTACGATTTTTCTTTTTTTCTTTTTCTTTTTCTTTCGCGACCTGAATTGGCAGTAATGGGCAGGACTGCTCCCAAATGGAGATATCGAGGGGTAGGGGAGGTTCTGTGAGAGTAACTAACTTGAATTGTGGCGTACGGGTTACGGGTAGGACTAGCGTTTTTGTCAATTCTGTTGCCATTCTATATCTAATGGGCCAACATTTCCTTTTGTTTCTTCTCTGTCCAAACTACGAAGGGAAGTGTGTGGAAACAATAGCTCAGGACCCTCAAGACTTTATGACCTAGACTAGACTACAAGACTGAAATATTACAACGTTTATCTTTATGGGTATAGCCTTTGGAACCGGAAGAGAGCAAAAGAAAAGACGAAAGGCAAATTTTGGAAAATTAGTCCTAAAGAGGTGCGTGTCATTAGTCGGACTGATCAACGACACGGCTCATAGTTCGTTATGAAAGGGTCATCCATTCTAGATGAAGTAGAATCCATCGCAGTGAGGGATGAATCTAGGGATGTAGGTCGAGTGGCGCGGCTCCATTGGCGATTTCTGTCTACGTGTAATTCAAGGAGGTTGAGGCCGAACGAGCATATACACAATCACAAAGCTCGGCAAAGAGTAGGTAGCCATCAAACCTTGGCAGGGGTGGCTTACATGACATCCGATTATCCTAGGTCAGTCAACCTGGCCAATATCAGGCTCTATAGACAAGAGTAGTGTTTAGACTCTTTACCGCCTACTTCGGCATTTTGTTCCCTCATTTTCCCTCCTTGCAAGCATTTCACGAGTACGACACCGCGGGATTCAAAAACACATAGGTTTTGTGCAGATCTGCAACGAGCGCAGGTGGTCTGTATATTTTAACGGTTTCCCTATATGTACATGGAGAAAGTATAGCCATTTATGGGTGGATGCCCCATTTTCTAGTCAAGCTTGCGGATTCAATATTCCGGCAACCTTTGAAGATGTTGCGAGTTTACGCTCTTGCGAGCGAACAAGATTGCGCCGCTTAGCAGGTGAAGACGCTGGGTCCGGGAACGACGTAGTTGGTGACAGGAGGGTACCAGATGTTGATTTTGACACCGGGGTCGGCTCCCTAATAAGACGAGTGGTTAGCAGGGGAACAAAGACCGTCTAAGTGACAAAGGGGAGAAACTTACGGAGTAGGCGCCGGGCAGGCTGACGGTGGAGGGGTCTTGGCGCCGGTGCCGCCAATGACGTTGATCTGGGCGCACTCCATGTAGAACTGGGCACCGGGGTAGCTACCAGCGCCGTGCAGGGCGATCATCTCGGCGCGGAGAAGGTACTGGCCGGGGGCAATGCAGGCGGGGATGCGGATATCGTGGCGGCCCTGGCCGTTGATGACCTTCTCGGTACCCCAGACGCCGGAGGAGTCCATGCCGTACTCCTGGATCTTGAACCAGCCGTTGCCGACGCCGGAGTCAGTCTTGGCGTCGCTGACCTTCTTGAGGTAGGCGAGGATGGGGCCCTTGTGGGACGAGTCCATGACATCGTTGGGGGCGGAGCCGGTGCTGCTCAGCATGTAGCGCCAGATGGCGGTGACGTTTTGGCCGGCCTGGACGTTGATCACGGTGTTTGTGGGAGAGGTGGGGTTGGGGTTGCCGTTGCAGGCGAGGGAGTTGGAGGTGACGTCCTCGATGGGGCCGTTGTACGAGGGGACGCGGACACCGTTGCCGAGGCCCTGGTTCACGCCACCGACCTCGAGAGAGGAGAAGATGGTGTGGGCGCTGGCGAGGCCAACGGCGGAGAGGACGGCGGCGAGCTTCATGATGGTATGTCAGAGAGTGTGTGACGGCTAAAAGAAGATGAAAAAGGATGAAGAGGAAAGAGGAATGCGACTGCGCTGGTTTGAGCTGTTTTGAGAGGGAAAGACGTGGGGAGGAGGTGGATATAAATACTGCGTCCAGGCGCCTTCTTCGGAAAAGGAGAGCATCGTCTCCGGATGGGCGGAGGCAGAGAGCGCGGTGGAGGCGGTCATCCCTTGGTCGACGGGCATCGATCTTGGTTCTCTTGACGGTCGTCCCTTGGCATCGTAGACTGAACTCATTGGTGGGGTGAACAAGGAGTCTGGGCAATGGGTCTTGGGACACGGCATAGAGGTCAGCGTGAACGAGGAACTGGGGACAGATGCGACTCTGTTTAGTTGAGGATGTGGAGCCGGATCACGAGAGAGTTGTGTCTTCCCCTGCTGGAACGGGGAAGGGGGCGGAAGAGAAAGGTCATTACTTTGTCCGTGTGGTGGAGGATTAGAGCGGCAAAGGATTAGAGCGGCAAGGTGATGTCCAAGTGGGTTCAGGCTTCAGAAAGGAGAGAGAACATCCACGCGGGAGAGACCTAGACCTGTGCTACGCATCGAGGATGAAGGGAGAGAGGGTGTAAGTCGTCGTGGTATTCGTGGGGAAAGGCTCCGGCTTCCGTTTGATTGGCTGGCATTGGGCGAAATGCAACATCTTGGCCAAAGGGGTGATGAACTTCCATTGCAATGCCCATAATCCCCGTTGGGTCACCACGTCCTTCCCTAATAGGCCACACTCACAGAAAGCCGTCAACGCTTGGCTGCTTGGTTGCTCGCTTCCGGCGCAGTATCGACCCCCGGCGCGCCTCTCATGTTCTTGCGGGCGACTCGTGACCCGGTCGGCGGGGCGAGGCGGGGCAGGTTGTTTTTCCCTGTCTTCCTTTTTCTTTTTCTTTTAGTGTTCTTTTTTTTTTGTTTGTATCGTCACCTCAGCCTCACAGAGTTGCGTTTCTTCAATGTTCATTCTTGCCCGCGCCCGCGCGTTCCATTGTAGCTTCCATTCCAACCCCACCCTCCACCAGTGGTGAACGAGCGTGCGAGGCGGAGGAACAGTGTCCGGTTATATTTCAGGGCGAGGGCCCGCAGAAATAGATTAAAATCTTGCTGATCGCTCCCATCGCATTCGTGGAACTGAACGTGAGCGGCCGCGACCACACTTTCTTACCTCGAGGTTCGCATTATGAGTTTTTACCTCCTTCTCAATACTTGTTGCTTTCGTTTTTTGTTCTTTTTTTCTTGTCCCTTGGCTTGTGTTGGAATCCAACCTTAATTTCCAACGAACCACGGATTTTGGATGCACCCCATTCTAGTGTCCTGGGTCTCTTTCCCTTGCACTTTCCCTGGAAATACTCGCCCTCGAACGCATATTTCATTCGGCAGGAGCCTTCAAGTAACTAGCCTTTTTCTTCTTTTTCGGGTTCATTTGTCCTCCTTCCCTCCTTCCATCTCCGCGGATTCTTGTTCATCGTGGCTTGGCAAGTTTTTTACTCCCGAATAAGACGAGTTTGGCTGTCCATTGACGCTCAAAATTGCAACTCCCTTTCATCTAAATCCGGTTTCGTACCCGGGGACTCCCTATAGTTTCCAGTCCCCCTCCTTTTGGTGCATGTGGTCTCCTACGTTGCGGAAGCCCTAAGTATTTGTCGAATATACTATTCGAGCCTTGAATGATGTCTATCTCCCACTAAATATTGATACTGCTTCGTCGTTCCCTCGCTCGTTTACTCGTGCCGGTAATCACTTGCAGGAACCGCACACGGGATGCCCTGTCTCTCAACCCTATTTTGTACGATCATTACCCTTTTCCCCTTTTCTTCTTCTCCTTTGGTTTGACATTCATTTGCTTCCCGCTGTCTTGTAATTTGTGAATGCCGAGGACGGGATCATCCTAAATAGATGAGCCTCGTTCCTTTTTTACTCTGAAGATTCGCGAGCCTTGACTTCATGGTCCCCCGCCTTCTCCACGGAGATGAGAAATCAGGCCTCCGCTTCAATGCTTACTCCTGGCTACCCCCACAACGAATCTCTTCACAACAACGGCAGCAAAAGGCCTGGCCAAGGCAAGGGGGTCGATATTAGCCGTCTCTGACTCGACGGAGGAATTTTGGAGTTATTCCCATTTGAGCCAAGACGCGGGAGATGGCCAGGTACCGACACACGATTGCTTGGCTTCTTGCTACCTCATCTTGGTCTCTTCACTCCGCCTAGGTTTCGTCTCAAGTCTGTTTTTAGCCACAGGCTTGGTTCGATATGGCCTAGTGGTCATGAACCTCAAAAGAAGACCCGAAGCTCTCTCCGAACTCTCCGCTAATGCAGGAGATGGGGGCAGACTAGGCGCTGTGAGTGGATGTAACGCGGCGCCTTTAAACTCAGCCAGCACGAACGATGTGAGAGCCACGGCTTGGGGTTGACTAGGAGGATGAAGTTCCAACCGCATAGCGTTCTTCTACCTTCTTTTTCCTGCCCTTGGGTTTCCTCTACAGGCCCGGGATTCCGATAACCGGTTGGTTATTCTTCTTTGCCTCCTCAACCTAGCGTCTCATCCGGGCTAGTGGCGATGGCACCCTAACATCGCCATCATGCTCGACGGCGCGTCTTCGTCGTCTTCTCTCCTTTACAGCAAGTCTAGCTCTTGTCAGGGATAGCATAATAGCGCGAGAAAGGAAAAGGAGGGGTTATGCGTTGTCATGTAGAGGCTGGGAAACCCCATCCTCGGCCCCTTGGGAGATGAGGCTTGTTTGACGAATCCTCCGCATCCGGGCAACTGCCATGGCGGGGGAATGGGGAGTTGCGAGGTGCCGAATCAGGCTGGCTCGGTCCTGCTTAGCTTTCCCCGTGCCCTCGGCGAAGAATCGGTGGAGAGAGCCTTGTGGGAGAGAGACTGGTGAAGCCAAAGACGTCTACCTTCCGAGCAGCGCCTCGCTATCTTGTCGATGACGTAGAAGTGCCACCAATGGAAAAATACGTTGAAGCCGTCGCGTAGGAGGCTGTGCGTTGGCTTACCGCCGAGAAAGAATCCTGATTTCGTTGTGGGCTGGTTTGCGCAAGTGCACCTCTTCATCCAGGTTCCGTGATCAGCTCCAATGTGCGAAAGAATCGCGGAGAAGACATGTATCCTACCCAACCACGCGCTATGAGTTGAAGCCCAACACTTCCCACATGGACCAAGAGGTTAGGACTTGGACTGCAACAGATACTTCGCTAAAAGCAAAGAAGAGAACCTCGTGACGACATGAGTGCGTCCCATCCCTTGGCTCCTCTTCCATGGGTTTCCGTTGCTATCCTTTCCTTCGCTCTATGCCGGTACACAACACCGCCAACCTCCCTCTCCCCGCGCGGTACGTGAGCCGACATTCCCTAGCGCTATACCATCCCTGTGTGCCTAACCATTCCCCGCGCGCCCGCCACCAGTAGAGCGTCCCTCTGATACTGCTAAAGAAGAAAGTACATGTAGGCGCAGGAAAAGGGGGAGAATCGGGTAGGAACCCGTGGGGTCCCCGTCATATGGGGGCGGTGGGAATGGAAGGCAAGTCCATGTTAGCGCCGGCTCGTGGGCACATCTGCCGCGGAGGTGACCGTATTCCCCGGTTTTCTTTTCCCTTTGGGGTCCCCTTCTTCTTTTTCTGGTGCGTAGCGCGGTGTTTCTTTCCCCCACAGGTTTCCAGACAAGTTCCTCTAGTTGCTGCCTAGATGCTAAAAAGGGCTCAGACCGGGCTTGGGACCGCTTTGTGGCCCAATGTCTGTTGAGGCGAGCGTCGCGGGGGTTGGAATCCACATCTTCAAGTGTATGTGCGGATGCGACGGTGTTGTGCGTGGCGGATTGGGAAAGGCGGGCGCAGTTTCCGTCCCGAGGCACGAGCAGTAAATCGCGACAGGTTTTCTCTCCGAACAAAACTTGGAAATGGTGTAGTCCGAGTTGGAGGCAACCGGGCGGCTCTCCATTCGCGAATGGGGGCTTCTTCGGAGAGTGTTCTGGCTCCGCGAGTGGTCTAGTAGCTGGAAAGTTACCAAGTAGTCATGCTCCATCGACTTTCTATTTGCTCCTCTGCCATTTTCTTTCTTCAACAGCCTCTCGTACATGCGTGCATGGGAGAGATATCCAAGGGAGACTCTCTATCAGAGGAAAAGAAACACCCTGGATATATTTGTTCATGGTTGGAAGAAACAAGACTGACTGACTAGAGATGTCGCTGCAATGGACGAGGACGAAGACATGGACTTTAATGAAAAAGAGAAAAAAGAGAAAAACAGATGTAGGCTCATCATGGCATAACTTCATATTTCTCCGCTTCCTAATCACGAACCCCTAGACGCCATCCACAAGATAGCCTCGGCCTTGTCTTGTCTTGATGTTATAGCGAGACATACGACATTGCAGAGCATGCAATATGCGGATGCGATAACGCTTACAACTCCCCAATTTCAATATCCTGCATCACCTCCTGCGCCTCTGACCCCCGACCGCCCTGGCCAGACTCCCAGCCCCCTTGGGCCCAGACCCTGCTCAAGTCGGCAAGCTTTTCCATGAGCTCCTCGCCGGAAAGGCCGCTCGTGCCAGGCAGACCAAAGGGAACCACGGGGGCGGTATCTCCGGCGGCGGCAGCTGCGTCGGCGGAAAGGGCGGCAAAGTCTTCCTCGCAGACGGTGCCGGACTCGGGGACCTGGCCCGTCTCAAAGTAGGTGCGCACAATGTCAGCGGTGCAGCGGCTGACGCCCGAGGCGAGGGCGCAGTGGCCGAGGGACTCTTGGATGACGACGGAAGAACCCGGGTGGCGGGCGGACATGGCGAAGGCGTTGCGCACGGGGTGACGGGGTCGAGGCGGGAGGAGAGGAAGAGGAGCGGGGCGGCGGGCTTTCCTCGGAGATGGACGGGTCGGCGTCGGGGGTGGAAAAAGGGCCGGTGAAGCGGTACTTGGGACGGTTGGTCCAGCCGGAGCAGCGGAAGCGGATTTCGGCCCAGATGGGGGCGCTGATGTGGGACTGGTTGCGGAGCTGATCAAAGTAGTCGGACCAGTCGTCGAAGGGGAGCACGGACGAGTCCTCGCCGTCGGCGCAGGAGATGGCGGGCTGGGCATCGGGGAGAAGACGGGGACGTGGTCGGGGAGGACGCAGAGGGGGCAGTAGGTTTGCATGGCGGGGAAGAGGGCCTGGAGGAGGAAGGCGAGCCTGTTGTAGTCGCGCTGGACGACGATGTCGAGGACGCCGGCGACGGCGAGGAAGAGCGCGCTGGGCTTGTACAGGGAGGCGAAGACGAGGGTGTTGATGTCGTTGCTGCCGAGGAGCATGGTGCCGCCGTCCGTCTTGATGGGTACGGGATTGCGGGAGAGGTGGTCCAGGGCGGCGGTGACCTTGTCCTTGAGGTCGTGCCAGCTCTTGTCCTCTTTCTTCACTAGGGCACACTTGCTGCCGAGGTCGAAGCATCTTTTGTACAAGGCATCGATCAGCTCGTCGGTATCGTAGAGATTGGCGAGCCATGTCTAGTCGTTGAGCATTAGGTTAGTCTTTGTCGGAACGAGGAAGAAAAGCAAAAGAAGCAAAAGAAAACAAGGTCTAAAGGCAGTGAAGAGGGCGGAAGGGGGAGGAGGAGGGGAAACACCATACCCCAGCCATGTAATCCTCGCTATCGCACACTCCGTCAATGATCATGCGGCCGACGCGGCCGGGGAACATGGACGCAAAGGTGTTGCCCAGCAGAGTACCATACGAGAAGCCCATGTACTGGAGACGGGCGGGCTTGGCAGACTTTGCCTACCCTGCTCCCGGTCGTGCAGCTCCTCAATCTTGTCAATGATCTCGACCATGTCCTCGCGACCGACGCGGTGCTCGCGTACCCGAGGATGCCGCCGTCCTCGCCGAGGGTCTCGTCGCAGCGCTGGCCGTAGGCGCGGCTCAGGGCGTGACGCCAAGCCAGGCGGGGGTTGTCGGTGCGGAGGCTGCCGATGCCGTGGGCCTGGAGGTTCTCGGTGGCGCGGGTGAGCAGGTCGGGGTAGCAGTCGGCGCGTGGGGTGGTGTGCATGACGCCGCGGGGTCGAAGCCAATCATTTCGTAGCGGCGCTCGCCCTCGAGAATCTTTTGCAGGCGGGGCCCCAGCTCAGGGCGATGGAGACGCCGCTGCCGCCGGGCCCGCCGGGGTTGAGGAGGACGGGGCCGCCGTAGGCCGGGTCGGTGTCGGGCACGGTGGCGGGAGCTTGACGATGGCGAGGGCGACGCGGTGGGGTTCTCCTCGTCGAGCCAGTCGAGGGGCACGAGGAGGCGGGCGCACTGGAAGTTGTCGTAGCAGTCGGTGTAGCGCAGCTGGCTGGAGGGCTCGATGTCCTCCCAGTTGAAGTGGGGAGCGGCGGCGGCGGCGGCGGCTGCACTGGGGCGCAAGGCCAGGCCGGCGAGGATGGCGAAGCGGGACCAACTACGAGCCATGTTGGCGACACTTTTGCAATGTGTTGGGGTTTTGTTGCGGATGGGGAGCGAACGAGAGGGGAGGACTTGCGGGTGTTATCCGTTCAGTGTCTCAGCGTCAATTGCCCCGCCCTCGTCACTTTCGGGTTGCTTATCGTTCTTTGGTGATGAGGGGGCCTCGTGCAAAAACACAAGGGAAAACAGTAAGGAAAATCAAAACGACACCGCTCGCAGATTTATTTTGTTCTTGTCGGAGATCCGATGGAGAGTGAAGAGTGAGGAGCTCGGGCTAAGTATTCCCCGCACACGTTTTATTTCGGTGCCTAGGGGAAACGGTGAGGGAGCTTGCACATCAATCTCGCGCGCGGCACAAAAAAGGAAGCTGCTGGGGATTTGGAGTGAAGCTCGGCCCCCACGCTCTCGTTTCTCGGTTGGGAGCGGAGAAATCTATCAAATCCGTCAAATCAATGTGAGACGGGCGGGAAGCGGTCTCAGGGGCCTTGCCGGCCGTGCAGGGGAGAAACGCGGGGACGAATGGACTCTTATCAGTCTTATCGATTGCGTCTTGGCGAACGGCCTGGCCCAGCCAGTGTCCGATCTCCGAATTCAATTCCCTGCGCTGAGCCGAATTGTTAGCTCCCGAGGCAGAGGCAGTACTGAACTGATGGATCAGTTGATGGATCCAATGGATCCATTGCCATTTCGGACACAGCCAGCAGCAGTACACAAAGGCTGGGCCGGCGACTTGTGGTAGGCACGTGATAAGAGGGCGGCGTACAAGGGAAGCAAGCCATTTTAGCACCGGCGCCTGCCGAAACTCAATTCCCTGCGGACCCACGAACGACAAACGACGAACGGAGCCGGCGCCGCGTTGATGGGTTGCCACGCTTTTTTCGCGTGCCTTGCTAGCGGGGTCTTAGCTAGGTATCATTATCTCTCTTGTCTGTTATTGATTTCCCTCCGCTTAACACGTTCTTGTGATGGTACCACCTGCGTCTCAAACTCTTACATTTGTCCTTGAAGAAACCACCCCGGTGTCAGAACCTCTTGTCTCCAAGACAGCCACGTGCCTCTCCATCCTGGGGTGACACAGCCCGGCCACAGTCTTCCATCCTCTGGCAAACCCTGAAAGGCCCGGAACGGTTTGCTAAACAACGTCGACGAGATGCGGGAAACGCCACAATTGCGACTGGTCCGCCCCCTCTCCTCCCGCCCTGCCCTTACCCCTCCTATCCACGCACACAGAAAGAGGGTTGGCCTGTGGCTTCTTCTTGACGGGTCATGATACTCTTCCGTCCCCTCATCTACGTAAAGGTGCAAAGGTGACTCTTCGGAGAGCCGACTCCCCGCTCGTTTTCCGAGCCTTCTCGTGTCTCTCCCCTCTTCCTACCCCGGGGCGAAGAGTACTCTCCGCTGGCTGCATTTCCCCTCTTGCGCCCACCCTCCCATGAGTTTACTGCATATGTATGGCGCCGCAACAGGGCTCCGGGCCAATACCTTGGCTCCAGTGATGCTACAACAGCCTGGCAGGGCAGACGTACTGGCACCACCCCAACCTCCACTGGCTACACGCCCCCTCTTCATCCTGCCATGTCATCTTGAAAACAGTCTCGGACGCACGTATCGACGTGAGGGGATGGCCCGGTTTGCCTCCTAACTGGTTTGAACGTAGTCTGCCCGCCGAGAAACCCTGATGCGTAGGTGTCCATCGCCTTTGGGTGAAGGAGGCACGAATGAGAACGGGCCCCTTGGCTGAAATGTGGCTTCGAGTCTTGTGGGTGCGAAAATCTTTTCGGGCTCGTCCTGGTGAGGATGGCAAAGAGGGGAGGAACGGGGATGGTGACGGAGCTTATTGTAGTATAAAAGGGCCACCCGGAGATGATTCCGGAGTTCCTCCTGCTCCAGGCGGCGACTGCCTCTCTTCGATATGGAAGAACATCGATAGATCTTTTACAGCCGTACATATTTTACAGCTCCTTTGATAATTTCTACCCCCAATGACCCGTTCATCCGACCCTCTCGGCCTCAAGCGGGAGGATGGAGGCAGAGTATCATCCAGGCTACCATCTACTATCAACCACCTAGGTAACTGGGTCCGGCTACTCCTGTGGCCCCTCAGGCGAATTAAGCTTCATACTAGACATGGACCGCAAACGGAAATTGTGAGTCCTCCATTCTGGCCTCTTTGTTTTAGGTTTAGATATCCTGGGCTCGAACATGGTTGTATATACTCTAACTCAACTGGTTCTGAAAGGTCGTGAGCCTCGACAATACCCAGTCGAGAGGACCCGAGAGCGCCGAGGTCGAGGCCCACACGACTGAAGCGCCCACTAGCAGCTCATCGTCTACAGTCCACGACACCGAAGCCAGCACGGCCCAAACACTTGCCAGCAGCTCCTCTTCCACAACCAGCCACCTCGAAGATAGCACAGACACGGACTGGGACACCTTTAACCAAACTCTCCCTCCCTGGGAGCTCAAGGACATGCAATGCGCCTTTAGAGATGCGTTAATGTACGAACCAGGCCCGGATATAGAGGGGGTCAGGAGTCGTCAAGATCCACACCGAGACACCCCACCCGCAACATTTCTTTTCTTCCAGCCTGGGCAACTCTTCTCAATTGCGGCTCTGACTCAAACAGGACAGATCCAAGGTTGGAGCGACTGGGACATGGGAGGTGAGTTCATAATAGGGCAATGGCCCACAACAGTGTCTCCTTCACCCCTATCCGTGTCGGTACCCAACGCCATCCTCGAAAATAGAGGGCATTTCGGGCTCGAGTGGCCTATTACAGAAAACGTCACCGTGCTGCCTAGCGAGGTCTGCGACAGTAGCGAATCGAACGACGTTCCAGTCCAAGTATACTGGAAACAGCTTAACCAGAATGGTGGTAACCCCATCGAGGGACACTCGAAACCAATCTCTTGGCCAGCAATGACGTTATTTCTGGAAGAAGCTGGTACGTTAAACCCCGGAAGAGGCGATGTCTGAATGAGCGTCCCACCTTGCGCCTCCCTTCCCTTTCCCGTCTTCATTCCACCAAGTACCAAAATCCCTCTTTTGCCCTTTCAAGGCTCGTACATACCGTTCCTTTTCTTTGGCTGACGTCCCTCGCATCTGTAGGAGAATCCGCCCTAAAGGTCCCGTCCTATCCATACCGTCCGCCGCCTTCATCTTCTCCCAAGTGGCCTACGCCCCCGCCCGCGACCAGGACACGTCCGGGCTCGCCATGGCGTTTCTCAAGCGGTACGCCGGCCCCTTGCCCGAGCAGCGCTGGCAAAGATGGGTGCGCCTGCACGAAAATATCGCCCACGTACAGTTCCACGTGCGCTACATGTCCACCGAGCGCGCTCCCGCCGCTTGGCCTCTGGAACAAACCCAAACCTCGGGTTTCTCGCTTGGCCGGAGCGAATTTACCTCTTCCGAGTCGAAAGGCCCGCCTTTGATCGAGAAGAGGGCATCGGTAGTCATGAACACATCCTTGGGTGGCGATGATGCCCTGCGATATAGGGTGCTTACCCTTGCCGACTCGGGGGCGCTTTTGGCGGAGGCCTTGCATGACGAAGAGCTGTGGAGAGAGTCGACGCTATCAATTGGCACGGTAGCCAAAGGCATTACAATCTTCCAACTCTTCCTCTATCAAATCATCAAAGAAGTCTCTGCCAGCTGGACAGCAGTTCTTACTCACTCGCGTTGGGTAAGTAGGGACAGGGCGAGGGGCCGCAAGTAAAGCGCCTAGAGTCATCCGTTACCGGAAGCTAATTGCGAGCCATCTCTCTTCTAGGATACCTACGACCTTCCGCGCGAATGGATCGAGGATGTTCGAACGGATATGTCGAGCCTCATTACCGATTGTTCCACCACTCTAAACGGTGTGATGGGAGATGACGACACACTGGTAAAGACAAATTGGGATGTCCTGACAAACTATCTAAACACGGTGGCTGAAATGATAAGAGCCCATTTCGGGGCTTACTGAACAAAGAAACTACTGTAGTTATTTCATCTTCAAAATAACCTCCTTCAATCCAAATGGTAGAAGCCTTGTCAGAAAATGCAATGTGAGGTCGTTCTGTTCTTCAAAGGCTGTTGCCGTCCACAGTGTGTCCCAGCCAGCTGTGCGCAGATCTCCACACGTGGCAGAAAGGGGAGAGTGGAGCGTGCCTGGCGTGAGCGTGAGAATTCGCGACTATTGAACTCGTGCGGGGCGGTCCACACATGAAGCTAAGGCAACTGTGGCGGGATTCGCGCCGTGCCATTGGCTGCTAGCCTTGACTTGCCCCCTGACACCCAAAGCATCCAAGACACTACCCCAGATTCCGAGCCTCTTGTCTCATCCACTTCTTCTTCATATCCATGTCATCGACTAGGTTGATCGCGCCCCTCATTCGCAAAAGTTGGTTTGGCGCTTGCCTTATCTGCTCCGCCCTTGTCCCCGCTCACTTGCCAATAGTTTCGACGATCGTCTGCCGCCGCTGAACGCACGCAGGGGAGCGAGCTGCGCGACTCTACGGGGTTGGTTCCGATTCGCTGCTATCGCCAGTTTATCGGTTTTCACCCTTGTTCTTTTTTCTGTTTTTGGGAGCGCCCCTCCCCCTGGACTTTGCCCAAGATGGTCCCATTTTTCAGGGCGTCGGGCTTGGCCCGTATTGCCTCCGTGGCCCTGGTGCTGGGCGTCCTGCTGCTGACCTTCCACTGGCTTGGAAACCCGGGGTACGCGATAGACGGAGGACGAGGCGGCAAGTCTGGGTCTCCGCAGGGCCCGCCCACTTGGCGCCCGGAAAACGGGAAAGCACCGGCGCCATCCCACCCGCAGGAGGGTCCCCAAAGTATCTCGGACAAGGGTGAGCCGACGGTCGGGGAGGAGGTAAAGCCTCCCCGGAGCTCTCCGAGGTCCCCTCCAGCTTCGCCGACGATGTTGACGACGGCTCCGGCTCCGTGGTCACGAGCAGCGACGACTGGCATCCGCTGCCGTCCGACTGCGGCAGCTATTCTCAACGGGCCAGGTCGCCGCAGGAACCCCTCTCGGAAGGACGCTTCAAGCTCGGGTATCAGCGTCCCCGCCCCAGTGCCGTAGCTTTAACTCGTCGCTGGCCGAGGACACCATTACCCGCCTGCAGGGCGTTATCACGGACCCGGACCTGTTCCGCGTGTTCGAGAACACGTTCCCCAACACGCTGGACACCGCGATCAAGTGGAAGGGCGCGGCGGCCAACAATTCCCAGGAGGAGCTCTGCTTCGTGATCACGGGCGACATCGACGCCATGTGGCTCCGCGACTCGGCCAACCAGCTTCAGGTGTACCGCGACATCATGAAGTCGCCCGAGGACGACGTCGCCAGCATTTTCCGCGGCGCCATCAACTTGCAGGCCCGCTACATCGTCGTGCACCCGTACTGCAACGCCTTCCAGGCCCCGCCCGAGTCGGGCATTCCCTCGGGCATCGGCAGCCAAGGTTCGACCGTGTCCCCACCCATCGACGTGCACGTGGTGGCTACGTGTAATTTCGAGCTGGACTCGTTTGGCGCGTTTCTGCAAATGTCGTGGGATTACTACCAGGCGACCGGCGACGTCGAGTTCTTTGGCAAGTTCCAGTGGATGTATGCCGTGCAGTCTATGATCAAGGCGGCCAAGGACATGATGGCGCCAACGTACGACGACGAGGGCAAGCGCCTCACGCCGCCCTACACCTTCAACTCGATGACCCGGACGATGACGTCGACGCTCAACCTCGTGGGCACCGGTAACCCCGTGGCGCGAACGGGCATGGTGCGCTCTCCTTCCGGCCGAGCGACGATACCGCCGTCTTCGAGTTCCTCGTGCCCGCCAACATGATGTTCTCGCGGTACCTCAATGACACGGCTGCTATCATGGATAAGGTGGCCAAGGCGCCGCCCGAGCTCGCGACCGAGATGCGCGACCTGGCCGAGGAGATTCGCGCCGGCATCGAGAAGCACGCGATTGTCAAGGGCCCCGCCGGCCAGGACATGTACGCCTACGAGGTGGACGGTTTCGGTGGCCAGAACCTCATGGATGACGCCAATGTGCCCTCGCTGCTATCGGCGCCCTTCCTCGGCTACCTGGCCCAGGATGACGAGGTGTACCAGCACACGCGGAAATTTGTCCTTAGCGGCCAGAACCCCTGGTACGCGCGCGGGCCTGTCATCAATGCCGTCGGTAGCCCTCACATCAAGCCTGGGGCGGCGTGGCCGATGGCGAGCATCATACAAATCATGACGACGGACGACGAGACGGAAATTGTGGGCACCTTGGCGGAGTTGGTGTCGAGCACGGATGGGCTGGGACTCATGCACGAGAGCATCAACAGCCTCAATGCCAACCAGTGGACCCGAGAATGGTAAGACTCTCTGCTCTTTGAAAGACATCTCTTTGGTTTTTTTCTCACTTGCTTCACTTTTCGATCATGGCTAACTCGATTTATTTTTCTCTTTATAGGTTCTCGTGGGCCAATGGTTTGTTTGGGCAAATGATTCTTGATTTGGAGACGCGAAAGCCCAAATTGTTGGAAAAGTCGTTCCAGGCATTTCCGGTTGGCGGCGAGGAGGAATAATGTGTATGACCAGCTATTGTTTTTTATGCCCAGGATTTTTGTGTAAACCATGAATTGGCAGTGTATATACTTGGCTCTCTTGACCTTCTTTACCTCGTTTTTTATATCTTCCTTTTCCTTGTCAACGGTTAGAGTGCAATTAGTGGGAAATCTTTCCCATCGCTACATTCTGAGCACTCATTCTGGCCCCGCCGCGATGAGGATCCGAGGCTTGATGCTGTCCGTAAACACACCACAGAGACATTTCGGCCTTTTTCCGCTGATTCCCCAGTTTGTTCCCCAAGTGCGATTTCGCATAGAGACTCGCCTCGCATCGCATGGGAGGGGTTCGTAGCCGAAGGCTACCCTCGCACGTCGAACCACCGAAAAGACGGGAGGGCGGAAACATTAACCGGGTTTGACCCAAATGAATCGAAAACCTGATTGCCTCGCTATTCTTAGATGCTGGCCTCTGTTGTCTCTCCCCTCCCATCCCTGATGCAAGGGTATTTGTGGATTTGGTAATTCCTTTTCTTTTCGAAGGGGCGGAGGTTTTCGCAGTGATACCCACAAAGGAAAAAGGGGGTTTTACGGTAACACGTTCGCGGTAACGATCTGGATGTAAAGCGATTGGGAAGTGAGTACATGTGTATTATTAGTCTTCATGGAATTTTGGTATTTTGGTGAAGAAGCTTTTATAGGATAACACCCCGTGGGGTCTACAAGGCAATATGGTTGCCCCATCTGATGAGGTTCCACACCACCCCGTGGCGATGTGGGCTCGAATTGATCACATTTTCACTCGCGTTGTAAGTCCGTAATCTTTGCGGGGCATTTAATATCTCGACAGGTCTCTCAGCCACATCAGAATCGATGAACAATACGTGTAAGTTGAAGGCTTCCGCACATTACATGTAGTCAAAACGGCCCTTTTTTCTTTCTTTCTCAAGATCGTTTGCGAACCCACCAGTCAACAAACACCTTGGACGTCTTGAGGCGTATATGTTGTAATTCGGCGATGTCGTCACTTACTAGACCGCCTGGCGATCTCGCGATCAACCTCGGCAGCCCATGTCGGATCCTCTTCACGTCGTTTTTGGTAGTACTCGGCCGCCGCTGGCTTAAAAATGAACCAACTAGGCGCCTCGAAGACCTGATAGCATCTCATCCAGGAATGGCCGACCACGTCACAGGCGTGACACCTGAAGTCAGCGCCGTCACTACTGTCGTAGGCCTTTCTTTTCAACGATTTGGATGCTCGAGCAGGCCTAATCCTATCATGTAGACTTGGGCCGTGGTCCGTGCTAGGTTCTTTGTGGTATCTCCCGGCACTGGTGTCTTGTAATTTTGCAGTGCTTGCATCGGATGGGCTTTCTTCTCCCACTTCGGAGCTGGGAGCTGCCTTGGCGACTTTCTGTTCTGTTGGCACACCCGGTGGTTGGGTCACAGGTGGTCGAGTCACAATTCTGTGTCCCAATAGGGCGCGTAGCTGTCGGGCGATCCTGCGGGGTTGTAGGGTGTTATTCTCGATTTCTTCATCAAAGGTTAATCCGACCGTCTCGGACCAGTGAGGAATGATGCCCCGAAATATTTTGCGGAGATCTGCAATCCAAAAAGCGGCAGTTTCGCCCTCTTGAAGGTTGACGGCCGCTGCCTTGGCCATGATGTCTTGCCACTGATCAAGCCAGTGTTCCCAAGAGCTGGTCGCCTTGGGATCGGTGACGGACAGATGTTTCCTATATTCCTCTCGAATAGAGAGCTGCTGCTCCACCCTTGTCCCAACTGCGTTGTCATGAAGGCTGCGATACCAATGACGAAGATCTTTGTCGTCATGGAGGTAACGAGGTTGCAGACGCTCAGATACGGTCCGGAGGAAGATATTTTTGATCCTCAGGTAGGCGTCCTCTTGCCTTTGGTGCACAGCGCTTCTTCGTTCAAGGTCTGTCATGTCTTGCAAGTATGTCTCATACCCTTCTGGTGTGACTAGTTCCTTCAAGATACTAGCGGGCATCCTAGAGCCCCTAGGGTTCTGATCTAAAAGCTTCCGTATTGTGTCGGTTGGTGGGCGTGGGTATCGGTCAACATATACCCACATTGACGGCAGCCGGGGTAGTCTCATCAGTTCCTCTGTACCTTCCAAGATGACTCCCTCCAATCGGGCATCTCGTATGTGAGATCTAATCATCTGATCCCAGGCGTACCAGTCCTGCCGATCACTCAAGGTAACCATCATTGTTGGTACAAGGTGGTGTAAGCTGGCGTTGGGTCTTTTTGGTTCGATAAAACGACAGGAATAGTCCCGACGAGTGGATATTCGAAGACTTGATAGTCTTAATTATTGCAATAGCCACAAGGGGAAAAGGGGATCATTCCCATTCCCCGCGATATCACTGCCACTGTAGCAGTCGAGATCGAACGTAGATTGAGCGGAAACGATGGGTGTGTGTGTGTGTGTGTGTGTGTGTGTCTCGGGTCAGGATCTTACCGTGGGTATGGAAGAGCAAGAAAATCTTTCATAGAATAACCCTACTGGCGCGTGCGTGAAAAATAAAGTGTTTACAACATCAATTTACAACATCAAGTTCCAGACGAGGCGGTTGCTCCTTCTTTCTTTTTTTCTGGCTGGCTGGCTGGATTGTACCTGCCCTCGAAGCCATGGGCGCCGTTCGTTTGGCGTGCAGCGGAAATTTGCCCGCTGCTCGTCCTCGGTCGGTCGGCAGCGTGTAACACTCAATATCGGGAAAAAGGGGAGACGTAAGGCGGGATAACTTTTGGACTTGCTTCTTTGTTTGGAACAGCGTTGATATATATAGATGGGCGGAAGATTCTTGTTTCTCTTGTTCAGTTTTGGTTCCTTTTTTGTTTCTTGGTCTATTTTTCTTCTTCGTTTCTCAACACTGGGATCATTTCTTCCTACCAAACCGCCAACATGAAGTTCACACTCGCTTTCATCACCAGGTACGCTGTCTCATTATCCTCTCCACCTCTACCACTTTAGCACACTCTCCCTCATCTCGCCATCTCAAAAAAAAGAAGAAAAAAGTAATGAAAAAGGAAATAAAAACTTCTTCTCCCCAACTAACACCCCACCTCCAGCGTCGCCGCCCTCGCCCCCATCCCCATCGACGCAGACAGCCCCATCCGCACCCCAACCCGCATCGTCCTCCCCACCACGATCCCCGAAGACCCCCACCCAACCTGCTGCACCCAGACCTACACCCTCATGCCCCCTGCCCCACCGGCAAGCCCGGCACCGAGTGCGCCCAGTACATGCCGCCCCGCGAGCCCTGCACCCTCACCACCCGCCACACCGTCACCGTCGCCCCGCGCCCCACCCCCGTCGCCGGGCCCGACGGCCTCCACGTCTCCCTCGTCTGCGGCGGCCAAGGCATCGTCACCGAGACCGTTACTGGCTCCTGCGGCGGCTACGTGTGCCCCGTGCCCTGCGCGACTGTTACGGAGACGGTTACGGTGGAGGCGTGCGCGACGGCTGACGTGGCTTGAAAGAGCGGACGGAGGTGTCTAAGAGGCGTGAAAGGGGAGGGGAGGGTATGGAGAAAGCTGTGGCATGGAGGAATGTAAAGGTTTCTGGGGACTGGCTTTGATTGGGATAAGAGTCATCCGGAGTGCGAGAGAGGGCACGGCAGTTTTTTCAAAGGGGAGCATGGATGGGAAAGTTGCGACGATTATGAAAGCAAAGTCTGGGACAGATGATGGAGGCGCGGAAGGACCGATAAAACGTTTTCTATGAAGCACTACCGAGTAGCGAAACCTGTCTATCCTCAATGCTAACAGGGAAAAATATATATAAAATGCAAGTTAACAAGAAAAATAAAACCGAACCGTGAAGAAAAAAAGAAAGCAACCCTTCCGGTGATACTACATGCGCAGATACGATACAGACCAATGCTCCCGTCCTCTTGCCTCTCGACCTAGCCTTATCTCTCCTCACTCGTAGTGCTTTTCATCAAGATGGGCAAGAATCCTTCATATCACCCTCTTCACATCAGGCTACTACGGCCGCCGACCTCAAAGCTACCCTGCCCGTCCCTCATCTCCCCGCTCCGCTCCCCAACAAACTCCTTGTAAATCCTGCCGAGGCGCGTCCTCTCCTCGGCGCTGATACTAGGCCGCATGCCCTCGAGCGCCGCCTCAAAGTGCGACCACCCAATGACCGCCTCCTTGTGCGGCCCCGTCGCCGCCGCCGCCGCCCCGCCATCCCCGTTGACTTGGTTCGCGTCCGATGCGCCACCAGAGGCCCGCGTCTTTTGCAGTTGCTTGGCCTTCTTCTTGGCCAGCCGGATGCCCTCGAGCTTCGCGAGGATGCGCGCGTTCTCTGCCAGCTCCGTCGCCTTGCTCGTCGCAGGCGTCCCGCTGCTGTCGACGCCCGAAGAAGGAGCGCCGTAGGGGAACTGGATGAAGCTGGGCGTGCCCGCCGCTTTCCGTTGCCCGAGGGCTTGCTCTTGCTCTTGCCATTGGTTGCCGGGACATCGTGGCCCTGAAGCACGTCGTGAATCGCCTCGAGCTGCGCGTTCGCCACGAGCGCCTGGAGATCGGCGCCCGAGAAGCCCTCCGTTCGTCGCGCCAGCTCCGCAAACGCCTCGTCCGTCTCCCAGAGTTCCTCTTCGAGCCGCACCTTCTTGGACATGGCTCGGATAATGTCGAGCCGGTCCTCCGTATTGGGGAGGTCGCAAATGAGCGACTTATCCAGACGGCCCGGTCGTAGTAGGGCAGAGTCGATGAGGTCTGGCCGCGACGTGGCGGCCAGCACATATACGCCCGAAAGCCCTTCAGCGCCGTCCATTTGCGTGAGAAGCTGGTTGACCACGCGGTCCGTCACGCCCGTCGAGTCGTGACCACGCTTGGGCGCGATCGAGTCAAACTCGTCGAAAAAGAGCACGCAGGGCTTCGCCGCCTGCGCGCGCTCAAACAGATCACGCACGCTCTTTTCCGATGCACCAATGTACTTGTTGAGGATCTCGGGTCCCTTGACGCTGATAAAGTTGAGCCCACACTCGCCCGCCACCGCGCTTGCGAGGAGCGTCTTGCCGCATCCGGGATAGCCGTAGAGGAGAAGACCAGACCGTAACCGCAGGGGGCACTTGGCGAAGAGAGGCGCATACTTTGTCGGGTACTGCAACGTCTCAAGTAGCACCTGCCGCGTTTCCGTGAGACCACCAATCGAGGCAAACGTCGTTGTCGACTTTTGGAGCGGAACATTGCGCAGCGATGCCGGCGTGAAGCCCTTCAGCGCCTTGTCGAAATCTTCCTTGCACAAACACAATCCCGCACGTTCCGCCAACTCGCCGCCGTTGATTAGCCTAAAGATGGCTTCGTTGCGCGCTCGACTCACGAGGGTAAAGAGATCTGCTGGCATATAACCGTCGGTGAGGCCCGCGATGTCGAGTAGGTCTAGATCGGCGTCCACGGTGAAGCCGCCCCTAGGCTTTTCGCCGCCCGCCGTCTACGCGGGGGCTACCGCTTTCCATCCAATCACCGTGCGCGTCCGCAGACGAGCTTCCGTCGGCGGTCGTCGGCCGGCTTCCTCGCTGTCGCTTTCCGAACCCCTCGCGTCACCATCTCCATCGGCGGACACGAGTGTCTGCTGTATAATGGAATCTAGAACCCTCCTCCTGGCTTCCTTGTCGGGCGCTTTTAGCTCCACAATCTCCCGTACCACGTGGCCTCCAACCAGCACTTTATGGAGGGATTCCTTGCCGGCTGCCGTCGCCAGAAGGACAACACCGCTTGCTTGATCGCAGTACTGCCTGACAATGGACACGACGGTTTCACTCAGTAGCCGGCTGCGCTCGTTATCATTGCCCACCACCAACTCTGTCTCCACGGGGCATAGCTTGTCGATGTCATCGAGGATCACGATGGCTTTGCCCCTAGGCGAGCGCCCCAGTTTGCTCCCATGAACGCACGAGCGAGGGTCTCCTTGATGTTTGACGTCCGATTTTCCTCGTTTATTAGGCTCCTGCAGGAACGTAGACGGTGTGATAGAGGAGCTCGTTGCGTAGCCTCTGCGCCAGGGACTTGGCGAGAGACGTCTTGCCCGAGCCCATGCCGCCCGTTAATAATGTGGATGACATGTGGCGCAGCTGTGTGAAGAGGTTGCCTGCTAGGGCATCCACGCCGGACATGACTGTCTCAGGAGAGGCGTTGAGGTCCCAGGGATCCTCGCTCTTGGCGTGGGACGCCGGCTTCGGGATAGGAGCCTGGAATTGGACGTTGACCTTGGCATCCAGCGACGCAGCCCAGTTCACCAAGTCGTCTTTGTGCGTCTCACCCTCGAACTTGACAATACCGCCTTCCCAGCCGTGGGCTACGTGCAGGCCCGGGAAGCAGGAAAAGACGGTGCCGTCGGAGACAGGGCCTCCCCTAGCAGGCCTCCGCTGCTCAGGTACATCGTCTTGAACCGCTTGGCCGACTCCTCCTTCTCCGCCTTGGACTCGCCGCCGAACTTGAGGCCTTCGCTTTCCTCCTCACCAGTCGCAAGGGGTACACCTTGAGCGTCTTGATGGCGCTTCTCTGGAGGGGCGCAGAGGCAGGTTGGATCTTGACGATGCCGCCCACCTTGTTTTGGGTGAAGAATGCAGCGCATAGAGCGGGCGAAAGAGCAATCGCCTGACCGTTAGGGAGTCCTCCCAAAAGCGCAGCTTGGCTACGGCCTTGGTTGAAGGCACGACGGCACTAGGCTCCTCAGGTTTCGCCTGTTGGAGGCCTGATGGCTTCATGATTTCCACCACCACGTAGTCAATCCCCGGAAACCACCGGCGGCTAGAGTGTCTTGGTCGGCCCAGACACTAAACTCGCCGGGGCTAGCCTCGTCATCGAACCAGTCGCTACAGGAGGTGCGGTCCAAGCCACGGAGGTACAGTGACGGAGGAGGGTCCTCCTTTTGTCTCCGAGAGCTCGAGCGGCTCTTCTTCGACTTGGAAGTGCTCGCAACGCTGCGTGTGTCGCCTCGGCCTTGCGAAGCCTTGGCTCGGGTTTTGGGAGCCACAATCATTTCGGCGTCGGGGACACCTTGGCGAATGGCTGTGTGGCGGGGAGGGCGGGCTCGATGCCCGTGACCTTGATGTTCGCGGTTGTAGTCGGGGAGAGGTGGACGGTTAGGAGGTGAGGGGCGACGGGAGAGCCGCCGGTGGGATGGTATTTGGGATTAGGAATCGCGCGGACCTGGGACTGCAGGTTAAGCTCGAGAAAGTTGGCATGCAGCTCGATCACCTCCCAGTCCTCGGCTGTCGAGGGCTCAATGTTGATGGTATGCACGAGCGGAGGGTCGATGTGAACGGTGGTAAGGACCTTTTGGCCGTCCGAGAGACCGAGTGTATTGGCTAGCACCGCATCAATCTCGACTAGCGGGAGGTCCTTGACCCGGACGGAGCCGCCGCGAAACCCATTAAGCCCGTCGATGGGCGCCGCCATCTTGCGCTTGCTGGGCATGCCAGTCCAGCCCAGGAACACCGAGGTGCCCTGGGCCGTGGTGGGCGGCGGGGCGCCATTCGCGGAAGCGGGACGGTAATTTATCTCGACAATCACATTTTGCGCCGGCTACAAAGATGACCCATGGCGGGGTTGGGTTAGCGATGCGGTTCAGTCAGGCTTGCTACCCCGCCGGCGGCAGCCAGAGTAGTGCACCTGAGGAAAGGCTGAAAGGTCAGAGGGAATTAGGGGAAACATACGGTATTCAAGTTCACAAGGAGTGACTCGAGGGTTGCGGGGAGGTTCACAAGACAGCTCTTGAGGTGGACGAGGGAGATCTCAGCCGGCGTCGATCGCGCATTTCTTTGGGGAGCCATGGTTGACCAAAAGGGCCATTCTAATATGGCCACAAGTGAGTTTGGGGAAGATGCTCTGCGGAGAGTACGCAGGTCAAGGTTCGGTAGAAATTATAACAGAAGCATCTCGGTTCAGTCCTGTTTTTGGTGATGTCTCTCCTCGGTCGAAGCTTCCAATTAGCGGCAGTAAAGTCCGGCCTAGCATCAGCGTGGTGGGAGCATGTGCCGAGGTCCTCTTCAAAAGGTTACTTTCCCTGTGTGAAAAAGGTGGGCTATTACACCGGCAAACGGACGAGCACGGGGTCCCGACGGCGCTTTCCTGCTTTGGGCCGTGAGCCTGCCTGAGCTGGCGCTGTCGGTTGGCCCCAGTTGACGAATATTTCAGCCACAGGTATGGCGCAGGCCCATTAAACTCTTTCGCGCCAGGGACGCGAAAAAACGCGAGCCCTGACCTTTGTCTCCCGCAATGGACGCGTCTCAGGTGCTGTGTCTCAATCTCACCAATTGTGGTCAAGGGCGGGAACTCGTCGCCTAGTCGCCCAGCTGCCCAACCCTGTCATCCCCATCAACCCCCTGTCACCCCAGCCACTTTTCTTACTGGCCAACACCAACGACCACTGGCCCAAAGCAAAGACGCTTTGCGAAACCTCATCTCAGTCAAGGTCGCCCCTCCACACCCGCCATCGTCAACTTGCCTCTTCTCCCTCCCCACACCCTGCTGCGAAGCACTCTATCTACAATCAAACCTTCAAGATGGCGCTTCGACAGTATCCTGCCCCGGTCGACTACGAGAAGCATCAGAGTAAGTTGTTTTATGTGTTGTCAATTTTTTTACAATTCCTTTTTCCCTCTTTCAGCTGGTTGTTTACATTGGACGGCGCAACTAACTTGTGCTTGTTTGAATAATCTTAGCTGCTTTCGAGTTGTTCCTCTCCGAATTCAAGACCACAGCCGACCAATCGATCGCGCAAGCCTTTGGAAACATTTCCATTGAAGAAGATGATCTCAGCGACGACTATGACTTTTTAGACGAGGATGAAGAGACACAGCAGCGTCGCCGGCAGGAGCGCCGCGAGCGCGCCGAGAGGCGCAAGGGCCCCCATCAGAAGTACAAGGAGCTCCTTCAAGATCTAGCCGACAGGAAGATCCAGGAGGTCAGAGTTGACCTGGATGACCTCGAAGCCGTAAGTCCCCCATCCAGCCGTTGCATAACTAGCGCGTGCACATCACCCCTCTCAAAGGACCCTTGTGGAATCAATTCTCACCGGCCACTTTGTTTCTAGTTCGAAAACTCGCTTGACGAAAACCTGAAACTTGTGGAGTCTGTCGAGGTCAATACCAAGCATTACACGGAAGTCATGTCCCGCGCCATTGACAAGCTTCTCCCTACTCCCAGTGTTGAGATCAAGTAAGTCCTTGGACCCTTACCACTTTTCTTATTTAGTATCTTGATCCTATTTCAAGCATCGCATTTCTTTGAAGCCAATGGAGGCGATAACCTTTGCTTACACATGATGTTTTCTTCAGTTTCAAGGATGACGTCCTCGACGTCCTCATGGCCCGCCGCCGCGACCGTAACCGACGTGTGCAAGAAGCCGCCGAGAATGACCCGACCCTTCTCCAAGACCAGTTTCCCCGGCTCTAACGAGGAGATATACACTCATCTTCAAGCCCCGCACCACAATAGGCGATGCTGGAAAGAAAGCGCTCGCTGTCCGTCACGTGCGTGGCGAGCATCTCGGCCACCTCATCACGATTCGCGCCATTGCCACCCGCGTGTCCGATGTCAAACCGGTCGTACAGGTCAGCGCCTACACTTGCGACCGCTGCGGTTGCGAAATTTTCCAGCCTGTCAGCGAGAGATCCTATGGTCCTCTCACTGTCTGTCCCTCGGAGGACTGCCGCAAGAACCAGGCCAAGGGTCAGCTCAACCCGTCCTCGAGGGCTAGCAAGTTCCAGCCTTTCCAAGAGGTCAAGGTCCAGGAGCTCGCCGAACAAGTTCCTATCGGCCAGATCCCCAGGAGTCTGACTGTACTTTGCTACGGCACTGCCGTGCGCCAAGTGAACCCTGGTGACGTGGTTGATATCACCGGCATCTTCCTACCCACTCCCTACACCGGCTTCCAGGCAATGAAGGCCGGTCTCCTGACTGATACCTATCTCGAGGCTCACTACATTGTCCAGCATAAGAAGGCCTACTCCGAGATGGCTATTGATCCCTCGCTCGTTCGTCGTATTGAGCAGTATCGTCAAAGCGGACAGGTCTACGAGCTTCTCGCCAAGTCTATCGCGCCAGAGATCTTTGGTCACCTTGATGTCAAGAAGGCGCTCCTGCTCCTCCTGATTGGCGGTGTTACCAAAGAAATGGGTGACGGCATGAAGATTCGTGGTGACATTAACATTTGCTTGATGGGTGACCCCGGTGTGGCTAAATCGCAGCTGCTCAAGTACATCTCCAAAGTCGCCCCTCGTGGTGTCTACACCTCTGGCCGTGGTTCCAGCGGTGTCGGTCTCACGGCTGCCGTTATGCGTGACCCTGTGACAGACGAAATGGTGCTCGAGGGTGGTGCGCTCGTCCTTGCCGACAACGGTCTCTGCTGCATCGATGAATTCGACAAGATGGACGAGAATGACAGGACCGCTATCCACGAGGTCATGGAACAGCAGACCATCTCCATCTCCAAGGCCGGAATTTCCACCACACTCAACGCTCGCACTTCGATTCTTGCCGCGGCTAACCCTCTCTACGGGCGCTACAACCCTCGCATCTCGCCCGTGGAGAACATTAACCTGCCCGCGGCGCTGCTCTCCCGTTTCGATGTCATGTTCCTGCTCCTCGACACTCCCACGCGCGAGACCGATGCCCAGCTGGCCAAGCACGTCGCCTATGTACACATGCACTCGCGCCACCCCGATGTTGGAGCCGATGCCGTCGTCTTCACTCCGCACGAGGTGCGTAGCTACGTTGCGCAGGCCCGCACGTTCCGCCCTGTCGTTCCCACGCGCGTCAGTGAGTACATGGTTAAGACATACGTCCGCCTCCGAGACCAGCAGCGCCGTGCCGAGAACCGCGGCCAACAGTTTACGCACACGACCCCCGTACCCTGCTTGGTGTCGTGCGTCTGAGCCAGGCCCTCGCGCGTCTCCGCTTCAGCAACGAAGTGATCCAGGACGACGTCGACGAGGCCCTTCGCCTCCTTGAGGCTTCGAAGCAGAGCCTCAGCACTGAGGACCCCAAGCGCTCGCGCGGCCTCAACGCCAGCAGCAAGATCTACAACATTGTCAAGGGTCTGGCTGACTCTGGCGCCTGTCGTGCGGACGATGCCGAGGATGAGGATCTCGGTATCGAGTTGAGTATGAGGAAGGTCAAGGAGCGAGTCATTGCCAAGGGCTTCACCGAGGATCATTGGCTCAAGGCTTTAGAAGAATACACCGAGCTCAACGTAAGTTTACTTCAGCTCCATCTTTTTCCCGCCTCTCTCGCCCTAAAAGGGGCCATCTTCCTTGCTACAGGTTTTCCTGGAGGGTCTCCGTCTTTAGCGCGCTACTAACTGAATTTCTTAGATTTGGCAAACCGCTGGCAATGGAACTCGACTCATCTTTATCCACGCCAACGACGACAGCTCTGACGAAGACATGTCGGAGTAAGATGCGAGTCTATCTGCCAGGATGCATTTTCAGCTTTACTCACGCGGTGTTTTCTTTTTTTCTCTCGGTTTGCCCATGTCATACTGTTGGGTTTCTGTTTCCTCGTATGCAAAAGCAAAGATTTTTAGACAAGTCTTTTTCTGGTTGTCTGTTGGCGTAGGCGTCTGGTTTAAGGAGAGATATCATCAACGTTGCGTATATATGCGTATATACCCGAGGGCCTGAGCTTCTGGTGCTTCTCGGAGGAGGCGGGCCAGCGGACTGGTCTATTTTGGGCGGTGGATGGGAAAACGAAGGAGAACACGTCTCATGCGGAGCGGGCGGAGGACTGACGGTGATGAAATGGCCGGATGGACGGACTGGAGGAGGGCGGGGGACTTTTTAATGAAGGAAAAATCTATGCAGCAGTTTATTTAGTTTACCCATTCATTTTTTCATGACGGTCTTTTGACTTTTGGATCACTTGACGCGATGCGCCTGCATGTGTCACGTCAATCGCAGTATTTGCCATGATCTCTCAGACAACACGATGCACCAAGAATAGAACGGAGGAAACGAAAAGATCCGCGGGGCTCAGGAAGGGTTAAAGGTGCACGGCAAGGCCTTTTAATCCAAAGGAGTCTTTATTCTATACTTGTACATGATACACACAAAAATCTACAACTTCAAGCCTCCTCGTCGCTTCTCCCGCCCTTCACTTCCTTATGCTATGCGTACAAGACATCCCCGCGCCCACACGCAACATCCAACAACTCACAACTTTTCACTTCCATCTTTTCCCTAATGGGGTTTAAGGATTCTTTGCTTTTTCAAGAAAGTGCCGGAAAAAGGGAAAAGACAGAAGTGAAGAACTTTCACGAGGGTGTGACGTTTTTCTCTTCTCATCCCCTCATGCTCCGGAGGGTGGACCGCTCCATCTCGCCGAGAACGCCGTGGCCACTCAGAGTCCATTTAGAGCTCACAGCAGGCTCGGTCACAGCCTCGAGCAAAGCACCGCTGGCAGCCCAGTACTCCATAATGGAGCGAGCCTCGTCCTTGGAGACGCCCTCGACGGGGAGGAGGCGAGCGTTCTTGAGGACGTCGAAGACGCGTTCGTCGTAGCCACGCTGGTAAGGATCCGGGCGGGGCACGACCTTGCCCTCGGCGGCGGCCTTGAGCTGGTCGAGGGCGAGGTCGAGCGAAGGGAGCTTGACGTTGTCGTTGCCACCGCAGGAGCCGATGATGGCGGCGCCGTTGAGGAATTCTGTGCGGCCGGACAAGGCGTCGGTGAAGAGGCGGATGGTGGTGAGGTCGTGGGCGTGGACGGGCTTGAAGGCGGGGTCGCGGTAGGCGCTGTCGCGCATAACGAAGCCTAGGCCGTCGAGGGTGAAGAGGACGGGGGCCGGCCGCGGACGGTGGTGAGCTCGCTCCAGAGGGCGGAGAGGGTGGGCCAGGCGAACTCGAGCTCGCGGCAGGAACGGGCCAGGTCGGCGAGGGTGGGGTTGGGGCCGAGGTGGGCGAGGTAGCTGACCTTGGAGTAGTCGCCGGTCGCGGGGAGGGTCTGGAGCACGGCCTCGTTGGCCTTGAGGATGGCTTGGAGGAGCTTGAGGGAGAAGGATGGGTGGCAGAATTGCATGGGATCGGCCGTGTCGGCTACGGGGGCGTAGTCGGTGTTTCCGTTGACGAGTTGGAAGGCTGGTTGGGAATGTGTTAGAGAGACGATGCCACTTGTTTTTCTACTGTGGCGCAGGGGAATGAGGCGATAGCGTGTGCAAAGAAGGAGAGGGAGGGGAAGAGTGAGTAAATGCATACCTTCAGGGATGTTAATGACAACCCACTTGTTCAAGAAGCCATGAGCCATGGCCTGCAGCAACAAGGTCGTCTTGCCCGTGGCTTTACCACCATTTACAACGAGCTTGACCACGCTCTTATCCCTCTTGGCGCCGTCCATCAACCTAGCCAGCTCGGTAGTCTGGGACCGCACGAGCACGTGCGGCCTCTTGAAGAAGCCCCACGACTGCGTGGGCCTAAAGGCCTCGACAGTCCTAAGCTGGTCGACCAGGCCGTCGGGGAGGCTCAGCACGCGGCCAGACGCCTCCTCCGAAGACATGGATTCGGGAGCGAGCTCGCCGAGGCCCTTGACGGCCACGGCATTATTGTTGCTCAGCTGGATCCTCTTGCGGAAGGCCTTGCGCTCGCCGGGGCCGGGGGTCTTGGCGCGCACGAGGGCGCCCTTCTTCTTCTTGTAGTTCTTCTTGGCCTTTCCCTTGATGACGTGCTTGCCCTTTTGGGCGGCGTCGACACGCGCCGACGTCGAAAGGACGCCGTCGCCGTCGCCGTTGTCGCGGCGGCTGCTGTTACCGTCGGCACGAGGGGAGTGAGGACTGGAACGACCAAGCGGGTGTGGAGAGGTGTCGGGCGGGCCTTTGCCAGGCACCGCAGGGCGATTGAGGCCATCGCGGGGCCTTGTATATGCGAGAATGAGCGGGGAGGTTATAGATGAGAGATTTGGCTTCGTGGGTTCGGTTCGATTCGGTCGGTCGAGCAAAGGAGAAAAAGAAGAAAAAATCACTGGAGTTGAGCGCACACAATGGAGTACATCCACCAGAGCATCGTAGGGCGTGCCGAAACTCGATGAATGGGGAAAGAGATGGGGACGGGCGTGAATCGCTTTAGTTGTCCGTGTCCCCTTTCCAGTTGCAGTGTCTTCCCTGCTCCCGTTGTTTTTGACCTTGTCTTTTTCCTCGACGTTCTCTCCCTTGTGAGAGCTTCCCTTTTCCGAGTCGCGAAAATCGAAAGGTCAAAAATTGAACGTCTTCATTGGCCCAGTCTGGCCTCCAAGCTCTGGTTGGCTGGTACGAGACTGCAGGGACCGACGATTACCCGAAAAGCGGTGAAACGATGTCCAAGAGGCAGACCGCCCCGCGCTCCAAAAATCCATGGGCAGAAAAAAATAATTCAGAGCCTCTATCAATGTCCCAAGTACGAAAATCACCAATTCTTGGACCGGCAAACCGACCAACACCCCCAAAAAAGATCAACCACAACACCCCAAAACCCACAATGGCCGCCCCCGAGGCCGCCCCCAAGCTCCCCGTAGCCGTCACAAAAGCCACCCCATACTCCTTCGACCTCGGCCTCCTCCTCGCCTCCGACCCCAACCCCGTCGTCTTCCCCACCTCCTCCTCCGCCGCCGCCGCCGTCGCCGATCCCGCCGCCGCCTCCGCCTCGCTCGAGCAGGCCCTCGCCGAAATTGCCCGCGACGGCGCCCAGGCCCTCATCAACCAGCTCCTCACCACCTGCCCCATCGCCGCCACCCAAGATGGCGTCGCCCTCACCCTGCCCCCGCCTCCACCCCGCTGCCGCGCGAGAAACCTCTGCCCCAGCCCAAGGCCATGACCAAGTGGCAAAAGTTCGCCGCCAAGAAGGGCATCGCCCCCAAGACGAGGGAGCAGAGGCGCAACCTCGCCTACGACGAGCAAGAGGGCGCCTGGAGGCCCAAGTGGGGCCTGGGCGGCATCAACAAGAAGGGCGAGGACCACCCCATCGTCGAGGTCGACATGGACAAGGAAATGCAGGGCAAGGACACGAACCCCAGGGCCGAGGGTCGCAAAGAGAGGATGGAGAGGGTCAAGAGGAACGAGAGGAAGATGAGGAAAAATATGAGGCACAAGGATGGCAAGAAAAAGTAGGCGTCGGATGCCGCATGGGTTTGAAAAAAGTATTGGCATTGGCCGAGCAGCGGGAATTCGGGAATGCGAGCACGGAAGCCCCAATGGCATGTGGCTTTGTTTTTCCCTCTCCATTTTCCTTTTCATCTTTCACTTGTTTGTACCTCTGGCGTTTGGCACTCGGGGCATGGTTTCCTTCTACATTTCTTTCTGCCCACTCTCCTCCTTATTTCTTCGCTCAGTTCCATGTTTTGTAGGAACTGCCTTGTCCTCAACGCCACTTCACGACGGGGGCTAGAACGATATATAGAGCATTTTCCGATCCACACAGTCGATGAAGATCAAGAAGGAAAGAGGGCAACGAAAAATATAAAAGACTCAGGTTCAGCCAAATTACTGTCCCATTATATACCAATTACCGATACTAGTCTGGGCCCTCATCTCCAACGTCCGTCCCAGGGCGTTTGTGTATTCTGCCATGCCGCTCTTCCACCAAAACAAGAAAGCAAGTTGAAACAAAAAGCAAAACGGCAAGCTAGGGAATCAGAGAATGCAAGCGTCGTTTCCTATTATACACTCTTAAACCTTCTTCAGAAACAGAAGGATTCAAGATGAAGCAAAGTCGAAATCCTCGAGCTAGAAAGGGAGAAGGGAAGTGCCAAGAAGATAGTATCGAGACAGGGTGCTCTAACTAGTCGGCACAAATGGTGGTGGTATTGTGTAAAGAAGATGAAAAAGAAAAGAAAAAGAAAGCAGCCCCAAGGTATTTTAATCTCCAAATCTGCGAAATAAGTATCCATGGATCTATCCACGCAACAAACGCAATAATAGGTGGTCGGAAAGCCATCGTCATCTCCCCGAACGTGTTTCCTCCCCCAACCAGGAGGTCCGAGAGTGAGTGCGGGACAAGGCGGTAGAGCGCAGGCGGGAATGGACACTTGAAACTCGAGTTGCCGCCTCCGTTTTTGTAACTCGGACACGCTCATATCAATAAGGATGTATGCATTTCGCCGAAAACGCCCATAGCCCAGGTTGTCTGGTCTTCTCCTCCTCTTTTACTTCTTGTCCAGAAACTTTTGCCTAGGGTCGAAACCCGCGGTCCATCTGTGTGTAGGTTCCTATGACGGCAAAACGAAAAAGAAAACAAAACTGTCGAACGAGTTGTGGCTCAAGGGGAGGGCAGGCGGACAGGCAAGCAGGCAGCGAACAAAGAAAACTCGTAGACGGCGTTAGATCATTAGATCGATAAATAAGAGTTCTCCAGTTGGATAGTAAAACTCCCAGCGATAGGACGATCACCTCTGATTCCTTGCTTTGGTGGCACCATTCGCTCAAGGAGGCATCAGAAATTGAGGGGCGACAGGGGCTTGATCGGAGATAACGGTCGAAGATCGTTGCTAATAGCCGTGCCGGGCAACTCACGCCCGCTATCAATTGTAAGATTCACTGAGGGTAACGGAGATGATCCGTTGCCATTAGTGTCCTGCAGCTGGAGATTCTTCTTTTTCGGTCTTGATCTTTGCGTCTCTTGGCCCTGGCTACTCGGGGGCTTACTACTTCCATCAGATGATGAAGCCGCTCGCTCCTCCACGGGTTGTTGCAGCGACAGGGGCTGTTGCTGTTGTTGTTGTTGTTGTTGTTGTTGTTGTTGTTGTTGCTGCTCTTCTTGAATTGGCCTCTTGGGGTCAGAGAGGCCGCGGGGGTGGCTGATCGAAGAGCATGTACTCGAGTTCGATGAATTTGGCTTCATTTTTGCAGCCTTTCCAGCACTCGCGCCAATTGCACACGAGGAACTTGAAGCAGAATACGTCAATCTTCATGCACGGCTGGAAGCAAATACAAAGATTGCGGAAATCCATCTTGTTCTTGTCCGAGTGGGCGAGCAAGAGGCTGAGGTGGCAGGTGATGGCAAAGAGGAGGTAGTAATTGAAGGGTGAAAGATCCGAAAGCTCGTCGATGAGCATTTGCGGGACGGTTTCCGCACCGGCACATTCCCTGGCGATACGTTCTTGGGCGGCCTTGGGGAAGAGTTCATCTGGCAACTCTCGTAGCCACGCCTTCAGCATCGAGCCAATAATGTTGATATCGTAGAGGTCGTCCTGCGCAAAAGGTCGACGTCGTATTCTATAGAAAAGAGAGAAAGAAGTTAAGGTTAGCCTGGATCAATCAAGTTCGAGGCCGGGGATCGCATTTTGCGACTGCCACGATGCCAAGAGTGGAAGGGGGAAAAATGAATACGCCCCCAAAAAAAAAAGGAACAAGAAGAAAAAGAAGGTCAAAAACAACTGTCGCCTAAGAAAGAGGGTGACGAGGGGGCTACGAGGGGGGTATTGGTTGAAGGCAGACTTGTCTTTGGGCGATACACACCTTCGTCGAATTTTCTTTGCCATCTCTTGATTTGCGGGCCACTTCCGGGGACACGGTACAGACCCTCAACATCGCATCCCTTGTAGTTTAGATAGTCGATGGCGCGCCACGGGAAGGCGGGCATCCAAAACTCCGTCTTGTCCCGCGAGTCTTCTAGTCGCTTTGAGATGCGAGTGAGACGTGTTTGTTCGATAAGAGGCAAGTTGATCGTCTTTAGGACATAGTGCTCGTCCTCAACGACCGGCTCCCTCTCGGCGGGTCCGGCTCGCTGGCCTTTACCAAAGAGACCGCCCCTGATCATGTCAGCGGCTCTCGTGGATGAATTCTTGAGACCGCTGAAGAAGGTGCTGCTACCGGCATTCTCGCGCAAGGAAGAAGGCTGAGTACGGGATTGCTCCTTGTCTCTGTGGTTCTCCTTGTTAGAGAAATCACGGTACCCGGCGCGGTCTTCGGATCGGTTGCGCGGGGTCGACGACATTATTTCGCGGACAGACCTATCCTGCGCCTGCATAGGAATCGCCGTTTTGGGCGCCGAGCTGCCGTGGGAAATCGATCGGTCACCGGTCTGGTTGCCGTCGTAGAACTTGGCCGGCGGGGGAGGGGAGGCTCTCCTCGATCTCGATTTCGCTCTCGGGAACGGGAGTGTGAGTGCGAGTTTGAATGGGAATGAACGGATTGAGGGCTGGCGTCACGGGCTCGGTCCCTATCCCGATCCTTGTCGCGGAGAGATTTTGTTCGACCCAAAAGACCAAAAGGCTTGGATTTTCCTTTTTGGAGGCGAGTTGTTGCGCTTGGTGATTGTTCTGGTCCTGCAGTTCGTCGTCGAGAGAGGCGAGCGGCAAATCGGATTTGGAAGATATTAGGGAGGGGTTTGGTTTCTGAACTGAGTGATCTGCGGAGGACGGATCTGTTTCGCAAGGGGCGCAAGGGAGGAGGGGTTAGCGTCAAAAGCTTTCCATCAATGCCACGCACGTTTGGCTCGTGCAGCGTTTTGCGTTGCGCCGAAAGAACAGACAACCAGCACTGGCTGCACCGGGATTTTAAGCAAAAGGAACAATTGTTGCGACCCTGAAAAAGACCCAACCCGAATCGTGGCTTGGGCCTGGTCTGGGTCTTTTCTTCTTTCCTGGGCTCGTGCAGGTTCGCCCAATCAGTCAATCATTTGCCCGGATTGAATTGCCTGCGGTGAATGGTCTCACCCCCTCTTTACACTTGTGCGGCAGCACCGAGTTTGAGGGCCCCGTGCACAATCGAGCACAGTCTTGACAGTCGTTTCCACACCCCACCAGGCTGCACTAGCACCGATTTGATGGTAATTGCACGGAGCTGGAGGGCAACTGAACCACACCCGCAATTTGGCGACCACCAAAGCTCCGGCACTAGAGGGCACGGAGGATGAGAGGTTGATGGGGCAATTATACACGTCGCAGACCTTTTTGCGAAAATTAAATTGCCAGTCGCGGGGGATGCAAGGGCAAAGGGCAAAGAGGAAGGAGCTCCAAAACCCCAAACAATCAATAAAACAAGAATAAAAGAAAATGCGACAGGACAGACCGACCGATGGTGGAGATTGCGGCATTCGCAAGAGCATACAATGTCCCAGGGGACCAGAGGGGAGAAGTGGAAGGCTAATAAGGGAAAGCGAGCTGCGATGAAGGAAATTGTGAAACCAGGCGAAGGGGTCGGGTTCGTACGACTGCGACTTGCAACGACGAGGATTCGCGCCAATGATGAAAGGACTACATCAATGGAGCAACGAAATCCCACCTGCCCCAGCCTGTTCTCGCTTCGCTCACAACAAGTCCGCCTGGGGCCAGCGCAAAGGTCGGTTAAAAATAGAAAGGGGCAGGACGAATTAAGAAAATAAAATTTTCGCACGAGGTGTAGAAAACGGGCAAGAGGGTGCCAGTTCAAGCTGTGCGGCTCGCAGACAGGCAGTGCTTGGGGTTGCGCCCTGTTATGCTGACAACCAGCACAGCGCAGCTCATCGTCCCATCTCCCAAGCAGCCGCAAGGCGGCAAGGAGTGAAGGATCACAGAGTAGGATTGGGCCAGTTGACCGACTGAAACTGAATTCCAGCCGGCACAGCTCGCTACAGGCAATTGCACTGGCAGGGAATAAAATCAAATAAGATCACAGGAAAGCGAGCACGACGATCGGAGACCTCTAGCCCAGAGATTGCCCCGAACAGAAGAAGCTGCCAATGAAAAGGAAAATGGAGGAAGAGGGGGAAAGATGAAAAAGAGAAAGCAGAAAGCGAAAGAAAAGAATCAAGAACAAAGAGAAAAAAGATAAACAACAAAGGAAGAAGGGGGAAAGAACTCTTACCAAGGTGCCTCGGTGGGCTATCCGTGATCTCTTGTCCCCTCGACATACTTTCACTTCCGCTTGACCCAGGTGGCCGTTGCTGATGCGGGTATAGTTGCAATTGCGGCTGAGGCTTCTTGTGCGATTGCAGTTTCTGTTGCTGAGGCCTGGGCCGTGGGGCATGCGGATAGAGGTTCTGCTGGGTGGTAGGCGATGTGGGCGAGGCTAACCGCTGGCTACTACTAGATTTGCTCGACTTGTGGAAACTGAAAAAGAAGCTGCTGCCCTTGGCCGTCCGTGGTGGTTCCTGGTAGCTTCCCTCCTCCTCTTGAATTTGGTTAATGACTGGCGGCAGTCTCTGGGTTTGCTGGGGGCAGCGTGTCCTGCGAGGCTTGGTGTAGAGTCGCGGCGAGGGGAAGGTAAGGGGATGAAGCTTCGTCAGAGTTGCGAGTGGCCGAACTGGGATCAAGGCGAACGGGACTTCGGTTACCGCTAGCAATTCTATACGGGGTCACTGGCGAGGACGGCAGCGTCTGTCCTTGGTCCGACGTAGTTGTCGTCGTAGGCGATAGAGCGACGTGACTATTAGCTTTGGTCGGAGTGGAGTTGGGGCTGTTCTTCCGGAGCTGTCGGGGTCGCTGTGTGTCATCCGAGGATTGTTTCTCTTGGTCTCGAGGTGACCTCTTGGGACTGAGTCGAAATGGAGAAAGAGGGGATCGGGGTGATTTTGTCGAAGCGACGATGGCGGCCGTCGGCGAATGAACTTGACGGATGGTTTGACGGGCGCCAGGTCCAGAACCATCATCCGGGGTCGCCGCCGGGTCAGACAGGGTTAACGGGTGTGGAGCAGGCTTGCGACCCATGGTCCCAAACCCTCAAACACAGGAGGGAAACTCAGTTTTGGAGGGGGAGGTTATAGTGAGGGACGAGGAGGGAGGGGAGAAGGGGTGGGTGGAAGGGCAATAATAGCAACAGTCCCAAGTTTGGTTGAACCGATCGATCCTTGTAATAATGGAGGCAAGTCCCTAGGCGTTGTCCCGTCTCAAGAAAAAGGGACAGGTCTTGGGTTGGGTCCGATGAGGAGCGAACAGAGAAAAAGGTGTCGGCGGTCGCGAGCCTGGGAGCACATGCACGGGCGTCTGGCACTCGGGGCGATCAATCGCGGGAAACAAGGTCGGTAGAGAAGGCGCGAAGATCGTACTTTGAGCGCAAAGTGGGCATAAGCGAAGGGCGCATGCGTTGGTCGGAGCTTCTGTCGTTCAACCTGAGTGTCCAGTCGCGACACACACCAAAATCTGTCTCGTGTGGTTTGGGACCACCACTCACGCGCACAGAAGAAACTGGGGTCAAGTGTTGCTTGCTAAAAACGGACCGCGTACAGGTCCAATGTTGCAGGCGCACGCAGCTCGGACCAAGGAATGGAACGCTGGAACGGGTTCAGCGTAGCAGCCAGGGTCGTCGCGGGGTGTTCACGAACCAGCGGGCAAGAACAGCAGCGGAACTATCCTTATCTCTTCCTTTATCGAGGCATCGCAGCGGGGGCGGAGAGATGGGAGACGTCGAGAACGGAAGGGGAAGGGAAAGGCACAGCAGATACCGAGAATATAAGCGAAATATTTCCCAGCAGCGGAAGAAAAGTGCAAAGGCTAAGGAAAGGAAGTGGGGTTTTGTTCCTGTCCGCTCAAAGCCCAGAGAGGGTAACAAAGACAAGATAGGAGGAGGAATGGGCCACAGGAAAGGACCAAAAAGAGAGAGAGCAAATAGTGCGACGTTTAAACAGCCAAAGGCCAATACGGAGGGCGGTTAACAAGTACTGAAAAAGGGGGCGATTTTGCGCAGGTTCGACGGGTTAGCCAGTGTGGGCGTGGCGCGAAGATGAGACATGCAGAAAATGCGAGGAACAGCGTTCGCCCAGGATATCAAGTTGGGAAGGAGTGAGTCCGTCGGCTCCGCCTTGGGTCGCTCGAATGGAAAGAGGGCACTAGAAGTGGCAGGAGGGTCTCATGTGGGCCCCGGTCTCTCAAGTGAAGTCGATTGCGATGCTGCCAGTTGCTGTTTGGTTTATGAGACGGATGGAGAATCAAAATCCGTTTTCAATCCTCCAAGTTCTAGCGCCCGCTTTAGCACGCTTTAGCACGCGGTCAGCTCAAGTCACCCACGCCTTTCTTTCAGTTGTTGGTTGTTTCGCGAGGACCGCTAGCCGTCGTCGTTCCGGGGAGAGTGGGTAAAGGACAGGTGGGAAGAGGAAGTCAAAGTTGGCAATGGAGCGAGGCAACGGAATGATGAATGGTTTTAATAATGGGCGGGTAGGCTTCAAATGGTGGAATGCTTGGAGGGGAGTGGAATGTGAGGAAATACTTCAGTTTAAAGCTAAATGCGACCTCTTGGAATTACCAGGTTGGGCTGATTTGGATACGATGCCGACATGCGTCGATGAGAACCGTCCCAGCATAGGCGAGGAAAGACTTTAGTTCTTGTAGTTGCTGACAATCCAGTCACACAAGACTAGGAAATTGAAGACAGAGGGGGACGAGACGGCTGGGGGGGCGATGATAATACAAGAAGCAGCATTTGTGTGGTACGGGCAAAATAGTAAACAATCAATTCAATGTCCTTCTTGCATCTCTTTCTCTCCTCCCTCGCATCACGAGTGGGGCCATGTGCGGGCTCCTCATTCGGGGATCTTGTTCGTAGATTCACTCGCGGTGCAAGGAGGTCCTCGCTGTTTCCCCAAGAGCCGTGACGGAACATCTTGATTGCTCCAAATGCAGCATGGCGCATATCTCCAGGCACGGCCGGACAGCCATTACGCCCCTCATTCCTTTCAGCCCACAAAAATGCGACTGATTAGAGTCAATTTAAATGTCTGTCGAACGACGATGATGGGCTGGCCTCGTGGTACTTCAGACCATGCCCCGGTTAAGTCCCCCTCCCAACCAACCTTCACTACATACCGACGGCCAGAGAATACATGTAGTCACGAGTTCTTCGCGAAAGAAGAACAAAAGGCGACGAGCGAAGAAAAGGAAAGGCCAGGAGGAGGAGGGAGAGGCATTGAGCCTTGGGTAAATCTACAAGTGGTTAGTGTCATCCTGCGGCTGTCTCAGTGGAAGAGGTGAGTATTAGATCGAGACTAGAGTCAGGCACAACCGGACTCGGGCACTCCAGACTAGGCGCATGGCGCCTCGGATGGCTGTCTAGCCCTGAGCTAGCCACGTCCTGGCCTCCCTCGAGCCAGCCGAAGCATCCACCATATATTATCCACCTTCCACCTTGCCACCGCTAGTGCGGTGCTACGAATTCAAGTTTGGTCCACAAATCAAGCTTCGGGGAGGGGCTACCTCCAAAATATGCTCACGGTTGCGTATGGGAACCCCTCGCTACATAATCCACCACTGCTCAGAGGGAGGGAGCGCGAGTCCATTGTCCAGCATGCCACGCGGCCGAGGGTGCTCAAAGGCTTGTTCTGAAACGACAGGAACGCGGTCTTGGTGGGCACTGCGAGTGGAGAAGTGAGGAAATGTGAGGATCTTTTTGACGGCCCGTCCTCGTCATTCATAGTAATAATAGTAATAATCATAGTTGCCCTCTGGACGCCCCGCTCTCGAGTGTCAAAAATATTGGCAGGCCTCTCACCCAGATGATGATGCCAACCTTGATCTATGGCTGTTGATCGGCAGCAGGGTCTTGGAATTCACGTTGCCCGCCTGGCAATGCAGGCTCGTGCACAAAATACCGAACCCAGCCTCCCAGTCTCTTCGCTATCTTTTGTGCAGCTCTGCTGTTATCTTCGTTTCTAGTGTATTCTTGATACTGCCTTTTTGCCTGGGATTCCTTTTTTTCTTTTTCTGCCCTGTCTTGGCCAAGCCTGTTCACACTCACCCATTGCATCGAACCATGTAACTCGGGGGCGGGACGGCAGCGGGGGTAAAATTGGGGAAATGGCACAGGTGGATGCGTTCCAGGATGATGGAGCAAGGATGAGGCACACGACGCCCCTGTAGTGCTCCGCGATACTGGCTGATCATTGCTGACATTGATTGACCTCCTTTGCTCCTCGAGATGAAGTTGTTTCTGGGTATTACCGAGGTACGTACTTGACTGGGGTTCAACAGTTTACCCTCCTTGCCTCCCTGTCTGAATTCATTAGAGATCGGCGTCGAATTTCGCGCACAACGAAGCAAGCGAAGCAAGAGGAAAAGGACAAGGAATGACTCACCACAGACACGCTTCCTGATTTGTTTTTGTTTCTCTTCTTTCCTTTCCCTCGAACAACTTACTTTGCAGGGGAAAGAGGGGCCCATACAGAGGGGCAGAGAAAATGCCATGGCGAGGTGAATACGTCGATATGCATCAGCTCAAGTCGTGGCACTTGATCGAAGGCAGGAGCATCCATAGATGTCAAAGATTGGGTGGCCCATCAAGACGAAGGGAGGAACTGGAAGTGGCGCAGGGCGTGTCCCAAGGAGCCGACAACCCCATCAATGATCAATGCATTGGTCAGTTCCCCCAGAACCACTCCAAATGCTGCAACAAGCTTCTTTCTGAAACATCTTCCACATCTTGCCATCATAAATTGAGCCAGCCACGGCGATGCCCAAAATGTCTTCCCCACCATGAAGCGGAGACTCTAGAAAAGAAAAGAAAACAATAGACCCGGGACGACCAACAATCTGTCAGAGAAGGCTCGTCTTTTCAGTGTGCCAGAAATTCCCAAATGTCAAGCCAACTCCCTCGCCTCGTCCCACGAGCAGGGATACAACCAAGTGAATCGTCGCACCATCAACTGTCGTCAACGTCAACCCCCTCCCCCAGCAACATACGTGTCTGGGTCAGAACCGCTATTCAGGTTTAGATCCTACAAATGCGTTGGCTGTCAAACCTTAGCTATTCTAGTACAAACACCCTCCAGGATAATCGACCCAATTCAAGTGTGCCTCATGACCTGTACAATTAATATCGTGTTTGACCACCGTTCGCAGGGTCTACTGCAGGTCACCGCACAGTTAATATCCGCTGCCAATGCCGGCTGCCTTAGCCCTCCCCTGCCTCGTCGGGGCCGTAGTCTGCCTTGTCGTCAGGGCTTCTTTCCCCGTCTGTGCCCATCTTGAGTGTTGGCTAATAAACTCTGAACACTATCAGCAAGCTGCAACGGATTGATGAAGCGGCTCCTGAGCCAGACTTTCAGAGGTGAATGAATCTGCGAGTCAGAAAATCACCAGCCATCATATTTACGGCATGCGCACACCCACGGGTATCACTTCAACATTGAAAGCACCCCAGCTCATATTCTACGTCTGATACGATTTGTCTATTAAAATAAACAAACCGTCTAGCACACACCCCTACACGCGCCCACCCACTTAAAACAACTGAGCAGCAGACCTTCATATCAGTACATGTATGGTGCTTGCCAGACTGTGCTCACCTCAAGACAAGACATGGGGTCGTGCCATGACATTACGAAGACCAGCAGTCCGGCCTATGCTTGGGAATTATCCCGCAGCGATAAACAGCTAGAGATGTGGGAAAGAAGCTTCATTCCATACTAGTTTTGGGGCCTGAAATCCCGACTGCAAGAGGGATGAAAAGAAGGACAGGCGAGAGCACGTTTTCTGATCGGCGCGCAGGCGTGTGCCCCCACGAATGGTTGGGACGTCGTTAATCTCACTTTGATACCATTCACTGACCCGAGACAGAGAGAACTAACCCCAGTTGCGAAGCGGCGCACTTTATCCCGATCAGGCTTAGGCCAGGAACAGGTGAGAGGACCGGAGTTGGCTAAAGAGCACTGTAGCGCTGGAGAGCGAACAAAAGCAGCAAGCCTCTGAAACTCGGTAATGTTTCCCTTGGTTTTCTGGGGTTTACTTGCCCATCTTGAAACCGTCCAAATTTGAACCACCAACGCCTCCCCTCAGAAACCCATCCATCCCCAAGTAGTTCTAGACCTCTCAGGTGTAAACGCGGTTCATATTCGTAGATCCGTTCCAAACGAGGCAAGGGAAGGCCCTGGTGGTCGAATGCTCGATACGATTGAATAGATGAAAAAGTACCCAGGTGCACTATTACCAGAATAGGAACAGAAGATTCGTCTTCTACACCCATCGATTGGTGTCGGCCACACCCTGTTGATCCTCCTGAAGACACCAGGCCAGCCCCCGCCCGTTGGAAGACGATACATCTTTCCGCGAGGATTAAAAAAAAATGCCCCTTTCAATTCTTCTGGTTGGGAAAAGCAAAAGAGAAAAAGAAGGAAACTGCAGGAAATTGCGAGAGAAGAAAAGAGAAGATCGATTCCTATACCCACCCATCCTCGCTTTTGGAGATAGCAAAGTAACATGAAAGGAGAATAAAATCAAACCCCACGGTGACGTGTGTCGGAATATCTTCGGTTATACTATATTCTCAACTTCAACCTTCCACCCGCATCAAACTAAAAGTGATGTCTCCCTGTCTTCCGGGTATAGATTCTTTCTTTTTCACTTCGCGCCAGCCTTCTTCGGCCAGGATACTCTCGCGATGGCTACGACCCAAGAGGGTTCGCCCGGCGAAATCAAACTTGCCGTGGAAGCACACGTAAAATACATACAAAGCTTGGACACGCACAAGGATGATTACAACTACTGGCTGACCGAACATTTGAGGCTGAACGGGGTGTACTGGGGCTTGACTGCTCTCCATCTCCTCGGTCGACCGGACGCTTTGCCCAGAGCAGAAACTATAGATTTCGTGCTCTCTTGCCAGCACGAGAACGGCGGCTTTGGTGCCGCACCTGGCCACGATGCCCATATGCTCTCCACCGTCAGTGCGGTTCAGATCCTCGTGATGATTGACGCTATAGGTGACCTAGAGGAGCGCGGTAAAGGCGTGGCGAAAGTCGGAAATTGTATGCTTCCAAGAGACATCTAAACTCGAGGTTTTCAGGGAGAAGAACGACTAACTGTGCTTTAGTCATTGCCAACCTCCAAGACCGTGAAACAGGCACCTTTGCCGGCGATGAGTGGGGCGAAAAGGACACTCGCTTCTTGTACGGTGCTCTCAACGCGCTATCCTCTTGGGTCTTCTCCATCTGGTAGATGTAGACAAGGCTGTTCAGCACGTCGCAGCCTGCGCCAACTTTGACGGCGGTTATGGCGTCGGTCCAGGAGACGAATCGCACTCTGGCCAAATCTTCACCTGCGTCGGGGCGCTTTGTATAGCAGACCGCCTGGACCTCGTCGACAAGGACAAGCTAGGCCGGTGGTTAAGCGAACGGCAGCTACCTTCTGGCGGCCTCAACGGCCGGCCTGAAAAGGCGGAGGATGTGTGCTATAGTTGGTGGGTGCTCAGCAGCCTCGAGATGGTTGGCCGCACGCACTGGATTGATCGCCAGAAACTGGTCGACTTCATCCTGCGCTGCCAGGATCCTGAGAGAGGCGGTATCTCGGACAGGCCTGGGGATATGGTTGATGTCTGGCATACACTGTTCGGCATCACTGGTTTGAGCCTACTAGGATATCCTGGTCTCGAACTTGTTGACCCCGTCTATTGCCTCCCGAAGAAGACGATCGAGAGGGTTCTAGGAAAGAAATAAAGAAAAGATTCGGCGGATACTAGTGGTCGCTGCTGGCTCTCGATATCACCTCTCGCCATCTAATAACCTGCTAGTCATATGTCTCCATGGTAGCTAGGATACAAGGCGGGAGAAAAGAAACCCTCAGATGTCTTCTAGCTTTTAGGCCAATCGTTGATCTCTTTGCGAGTAGCCCACGGTTAGAAGCCGTACATACTACATCCCTTATCTCTCCATTGTGGATTTAATCAAGGATTGCGCATCGTAAACTAGTCGCGTCCTTGGCTGTTTCCCCGTTCTTGACCCTTATGCGTATCTCTTGACAGGGTAGCTGATACGGCCAAGGTTGAACAACTTTACGCCATATCTCCATTGACTCTCCGCGCAGCCTTAGGTGCAGGCGTTGATGTAACAGTGGGATGATTTATTCTTTCTCAGGCTGTCGCTTCATGACGCCGTACGTCCTGTTGCTAAGGTCCTTTCTCCAGTGCGTCTAATGCGCAAGCGCATCTTCATGAACAATGTCATCACCAACTCCATCATCACCCCTTACCGCATACGACCGTACTTGATCGTCGCCAGTCATGACCGCCTCTTCTACACGTACTCTCCAATATCATTCTATTGCACCCTTTGAATCCATCCACCCATCTCTTCCCCTCCAGCTTCTATCCTCCCATCACAGTGTATTGGAATCACTAACTCACTGCCCCAAGGCTCCTTCCTCATCCCCCTCTGAGCACACACTCGTCCCTCCCTTAGTCGCACTTGCCTTTTCTAGTGATGCTGTTTTATGAATCATGTACTGGAGCTGCAGTCCTACTGGCTGATGAGTAGTCAGTCAGTTCGATATCTCTTCCTCTCCTACCTTTTACCGCGTCTTCCTTTCTTCCTCCATCTCCCGCTTCCTCTTTCAAACATCCTCTCCACATATCGTCACATCAGTACTATCCACCACGCACAGCATTTTTCTAAGTGCCTTGAGAGCCTTTTCCCCTGATCTATCTCTAGATCCTACTTCAGGAACAGTCTGACCTTTTATTTATTCAAGGTATCCCATTCTTCCATATACTCTCATTTATCCTCCTTCTTGGTTTGGTCTTTATCTTCCCGCGGATGGTTAGTTAACTTGTAAACAGTCCTTTGTCCCAGTGACCAAACCCAAAGATGGACTCCAAACTGGGTAACCAGAAGGAGACTTCTAATTCTTTCAATCCCCCAGGAATGGTAGGGTCCTCCGGAGTACCTCCCGCTCCACCAAGAACCAAGATCTAAGTCTCGGTCCAGGAACCAGTCCATCCCAGTCGGGTGAATGGACGGCAACCGTGGGGCTCCATCTCAACCGGGGCAACTCCAACTCTGCCAATACTGAGTCTGTCACAGCCCAAGCTTCTGCGAAGGGAAGTACATATGACCTTGCGCCTGCCGCACCCATAGCCCAGGCCCCCACTGCAGACATGGGAACAGACTTCGACTTTGAAGGAGACTTTACCTCCCAGCTTAATTCCGAGGTGCCCGATGGCGAAATTGGAAATGAGATGCTGATGAACCAGTTTAACGGTCCTTCCTTCGAACATGGCCAACAAGGCTACTTTATGACATCGGGCCACCCAAGCCACCATGGCCAAGGAAACACTGCAACAGCTCCTTCCCTAATGCCAGCTCCCGCAGGGAGTTTCTTAATGACTGACGCGCCTGCCTCGCGAGACATGTATACTGGGGAATGGAACGCCGTCACTCCTTCCGCAACAGGGTTCCAGGAGAACCAGCAGGGATACTTTTCCCACGGTCAAAACCTTTCCTGGGGCCAGGTCGTGACTTACCCCCAGTATGCCTACAGCTTCCCACTTCACTCTCCAAACCTCGTCGGAAGTTTCGTTGATTTCCAAACTCAGCCCCAGCAGCACCATCCCTTCCATCAAAACCAAGGGCAAAGTTTTGAGGTGCCTCCTGCTCCCTTGAATCAGGGCGTTGAGTCTCAGAGCCAACCCGAGCCTTGCCAAAATCAACTGGATGACCTCCAAGACGAGCAGGTGTTCAGAGAATTCACAAACATATTGACTGACGAGCCTACTGCAGGCCAGGAGAAGCAAGACGATTCTGACGGTTCTGACGGTTCTGACGGTTCTGAGTGTTCTGACGTCTCTTACGGCTCTTACGGCTCTTACGGCTCTTACGGCTCTGACGGCTCTTACGGTTCTGACGGTGAACAGGAATACACTCCAAGTTTGAACGGAGACTCTGATTCCGATATGTCGAAGCAAGGAAGAACCGCTTTGCCCATGTCGCCTCTTAAACCTGGCAAGAAGGCTCGTGCTGGAAAGAACAAGGGTGACCAAACTGTAAGTTAGCCTGCTACCCTTTGATCATGCATTACCTTTTTATGATTTGTTGCTCCTTTACCTCCTCTGCACGCTTGGAGATGGTAATTCCCACGGCAATTCGGCTGGAGCCGGTGCCACTAAGATATTGCGTTTTGGGTTTCTCCGACCGCAACTCGTGTTGTGTCATATTATATTGTACTCTTTGTGCCAACTTCTAGCTGACATACTTTTCGCCTTCTCTAGGACGAGGCGAGTGGTGCATCGGGATCGGGAACTGCCAAGCAAGAGGCTGCAATTCCTATTCCCCTGATTTGCACAGCCTGTCCCAATACGGGAACGTTTTCCGATGTGTCTCATCTCTTGACGCATGTTAGCTCAAAGGGACATCTTGGCCATGTCCGCAAGCTCGAACTTCGAGCCCTTACTGACGAGGGTGCAAAGTTGACCCTTACTACTTATAACAAGTGGGAAGAAGATTATGACATCAGAAATCTCCTTGCCCAGCGTCTCGCCCAGCGCGAGATTCGTGACGAGAAGAAACGCAAGGCCCAAGAAGCACTTAACAAGGTATGAAAATCCGGAATTTTAGTGTCAATAGTAAATTTGATGATCGCTGTAGCTAATTCCGTGTCAGCCTGCCAAGAAGACCAAGGCCAAGGGCGGTCCTAAGACGAAGAACGACGACGACGCTGAAACGGCCGTGCCTAAGAAGAAGGTGCAGACGCGGGGAAAGGCCTCGGGCTCTAGCTCTGCTGCTGGAGCGGGCTGTCTTGTCGAGGATGAAGATTTTGATGATGGTCCTAAGCTCAAAGGCAAGGTTTACCCTGGAATGCGAGCTTTTGATTCAGCCACCCCTGAGCAGAAACGTCTCCGCAACCAGCGTAAGGACACAACCATCACTTCCCAGCTCCTTGCCGCATCTTTGGCCGTCCAGCCCATTGAGCACGTGTATGGTCCTGGTTTCCCCTTGAGGTCCTTCGGACTCGTAATGTTTATGACCCCCTCGCCTCCCCCAGGCAGCCCAGTAAGTCCCCATGAGACAGTCTTAACAATGGCCTATTCGAGGAAAAGGATGGACACTAACCGATCGTAGACTCCCTCTCCGGAGGATCTTCTAGACTCTAGCCTGAACCCAGAAGAGGACGACTCTTTCGAGGGAGCTGAGTCGGACTGCGGGGCGGAGGACCCTGATCAAGGCCCCCAGGACTGTCAGTAAAGTCGACGTGCTTTAGCTGGCTCCTCAAGGACAACGTTCATGACATCTCCACCCCTTGAGCATCGCCGCAAGTGCGAATGGCGCCACTGGTGCCTTATTTGATTCGATTTTGCCTTCAGTCGTTTTTAATCCCTCCTCAGCGCACTGCAACACGCATGTTAAGTATCTGTGCTTTGAAATCGCAAGTGCGGTATCATCCTAAAAGACCCCCAAATCACCCTCGCCCGCTCGTTACTGCTGCAGACACTAACTGTTTGACCTCCTAGACCATCTTTTTGCCACAGGGTTTCCGCGTATTGAGAACAAGTAAGTGCTTCCAACATCGCAGTGGAACATAGCCTCGAAGGTGACGACGGACTAACCAGGCTATCTGTTTAGTTTTACAAGTCACCACCGTGCTCCCCTTCGCTGTCTCGGGCCGAACTCGAAAATTGCGTCGCCGGCGCATGCGAGTAAGCAACAACAGTCGATGAGGATTTTCCAGTCAGGTAAAGAGAACTTTGCTTCTTCTTATGCTCTCACTCACCCGCAGATGAATGGAAACCTCTTCAGTTCGGCCGTGGGGAGGCGCACGGCATGCCTGCCCGCCTCAACACCAATCCACTGTGTTTTCAACCAATTCCCGAGCAGGTCAATATAAACCCGTTAGGTGGCTCGCTTCAAAGCCCATATCGCTCCGATGCTATTTCCAATTCGTTTACACCAGCCAACAGCTTGAGCCATCAGGAGATGATCCAACACTACCTCGTCGCTCGTCGTGGTCGCGAGGGACTTAATGCCAACGTTTGTGGAGAAGAGGGATTTTATGAAAGCCCCATTTGAAACTCTTCTTTACAGATATTGGCCTGTTCGTCGTGGCTAGATAAAGGACGTTGGCATGAGTGTTTGGCTGGGCAAAGGTTATCGTTTATTTCTCGTTTCATTCCCCGCCAGTATCGCTGTTTCCGTTTTGCCATTGCTGCTCTCGTCTGTTCCTTTCGATTTTTCCTCTTTCAAGGATGGCTGTAAGTTTTTACGTTGTCTCGTTCGACTTACACGCGGCTAACTGCATTCTATTTTAGCAAAGGCGTCAAAAAGGTTCTTTTCACAGGTGCGAAGGGAGGCTTCTCGGCTGATTTTTGATTTCGTTTTCTTCTTCTGGCCATCCGGCCATGGCGTTGTGACACTATGAGCTCACCAAGGGTAGTTTCTACCCTCGGTGCTCTACGTCCAACGGTTTATTGTTGCTCTTTCTTTTCTTTTAACTGGCATTCAATTTGCGAGATACTGCAAGACCCGGCATATAGTTTGATGTTCCCTTTCACTTTCATTCCTACAGTGGTCTTTGAGATTAGGCATTTTCAGTTGTACATAGGGTTCCTCTATGGCCGGTAAATATACTATTTCGCAATAATTTGCCGGGCTGATCGTGATGCCTGCCTTGATCCTTCCATAGATGGTGTGCGTGGTCAGGCATGTGCCAACTGTAGGCTACGAGATGCATAGTCAAGCATCTGCGTTGACCCCCAAGGAAAAAGTGTGCTAACGACTGGGGAAACTCTGCGAGAGGCATTGGAGATGGGGATTTAGGATTACATGTAGTGGTCGAGGTGGGATTAATGAGATCATAGATGTACTAGAGGGGAAGTGGAACCCGTAACGATGTTGGGGGCAAGAGGCAACTAATTGGAACGGAAGGAGTGGCTCCAGTAAAAACATCACAACTATCCATAGCATTATTACACGAGCTACCTTAACCCCAAGAAACCCGAAATCTGTCCAGTTTACAAGAAATAGTAGATATTTACAGTTGTTCAATACACGCCACTAGCTGGGACATGTCCGGGCTAGACTCGCTCGTTGCATCCGCCGCTATCAGAGTTTGTAAAAGGGACGAGGCAGCGCGAAGGCGGCGAGCACACACATCGGTCTCCATCTCGCGTGACTTGCGGGCGGCAAGGTCGATGATGGGTTTAGGGATGGAAGCGAGACGGGCGACGTTGAGGCCATAAGAGCGGTGGGCAACGCCCTCTGTGACCTCGTACAGGAAGGTGATTTCTTGGTCGGCCGAGTCATCGGTGTCGTCGGCGCCGTTGGCTGGTTGGGGGCTGACGCGTCGGAGTCGGGGCGGGGGTTGCTTGAAAACGCATGTGGACGTTTTTGACGAGGCCGCCGCCAAGGCCGTCGGCGACGCGGGAGAGGTTCTGGTAGTGGGTGATGAAGAGGGTGAGACACTGCGTCTCGCGGGCGACGTGGTCGAGGACGGCGTGGGCGATGGCGGCGCCGTCGTGGGTGGAGGTGCCGCGGCCTAGCTCGTCGAGGACGACGAGGCTGCGGGGGTGGCGGAGCGGAGGATGCGGGAGGTTTCGCTGACCTCGACCATGAAGGTGGACTCGCCGGCGAAGAGGTTGTCGCGGGCGCCCATGCGGGTGTGGATGGCGTCGCAGAGGGTGAGCTCGAGGGCCTCGGCGGGGACAAAGGAGCCGATTTGGGCGAGGAGGACGAGGAGGGCGACGGCGCGGACAAAGGAGGATTTGCCGCCCATGTTGGGGCCGGTGATGAGGTAGGCGAGGGGGCGGGGGAGGAGAGGTGGGAGGAGAAGGGGATGTAGCCGTCGGGGAGGGTGTGTTCGGCGATGGGGTGGCGGCCTTGGCGGATGGCGACGGTGGGGGCGCGTCGTCGGGGAGGAAGGTGGGTTTGGAATAGCCGGGGAGGGAGGCGACCTTGGCGAGGAGAGGAGGCAGTCGAGGGTGGCGAGGGAGGAGACGGCGTCGCGGAGGGGTTGGTAGTCGGCGGAGATGGAGGCGAGGAGGTCGCGGAAGGCGGCGTCGCAGGCGGAAGCGAGGGCCTCTTTGTGGCGGTCACGCTCGGCGATGAGGCGGACGACTTCGGGGGTGTGGAAGCGGGAGAGCTTCTTGGTGCCGCTGATCTTGATCCACGAGGCGGGCACGCGCTTGACGTCGCCGTTGCCGACCTCGACGAGGTACTCGATGCCGGCGACGGTGGCGTACTTGACGGGGGTCTTCCAGCCGAGTTTCTGGGTGGCGACCTGGCGGTGGTCGTCGAGCTCCTGCTCGACCGAGGCGATGCCGATGAGGTGGTCCTGGATGGCCTCGGTCTGCTCCTCCTCGCGGAAGAATTCGATTTTATCGTCCTTGCGGGCGGCTTCGGGGTTGATCTTGTCCAGGTAGGAAGTCACCGTGTCGAGGATAGGGGCAGGGAGCAGATGGCGGCGGCGACGGGGGAGGCGAAGCCGGTGTCGGCGGGGGTCTTGGCCTGGGCAAAGGGCAGGGCGATACGCTGGAGGGTTTGGAGGACGGAGAGGAGCTCGGGGCGGGTGCATTTGCCGTAGTAGATGCGGATGAGGCTGCGCTCGAGGTCGGTCTTGGTTTGGGCGAGGAGGGTCTCGAGCATGTCGACCTTGGCGGTGGATTGGTTCTCGAGGAGGTCTTCGACGGCGGCGACGCGCTCCTGGAGGCGAGCTCGGTCGAGGAGGGGCGGCCAACCCACTTCTTGAGGAGGCGGTGGCCGAAGCGGGTGTGGGTCTTGTCGAGGGCCCAGAAGAGGCTGCCTTTCTCGGCGTGGTCGGTGGCGTTGCGGTAGACTTCGAGGCTCTCGAGGGTGGTGCCGCTGACGAGCATGTGGGAGCGGGTGCTGAAGCTCTGAAAGTACTTTGTGAGGTCGAAGACGTGCTCGAGGCCGTACTCGGTCAGGTGGGTGATCATGGCGGAGAGGCAGACGATGACGTGCTCGGGGAGGCCGAGGACCTTGTCGAGTAGGGCGCCGGCGCGCTCGTCGCCGCTGCTCTGCTTGAGCTTGTCGGCGTAGAAGCGGGTGACGTGGGAGTGGGACTCGGCGGCCATGGTTTTCGAGCGGGGCACGCGCTCGACACGGCTCCGGTCGCCAAAGACGTTGGTGCTGGACCCGGACAGGTGCTTGATCAGCTTGTCGGTGCCGCGGGTGAGGTCGCCGACGAGGAGGAACTCGCAGGGGAGATGTGCAGAAGCCTGGTCTCGATCTCGCTGCGCATGAAGCCGTCCTCAAAGGAGTCGTAGATGATGTCGCCGGTGGCGGGCTGCACGGCGATGATGCCCACGTCGACCTTTTCGTCGGTGCCGGCACCTTTGCTCGGGGTCTCGGTAATGCAGAGGAGGTAGCCGCCCGAGGGGCTGCCGGTGCCCGACGATTGGTCGAGCTCGCCGACCTCGTCAATGTACGTGCCCATGGTGTAGACGTTGGTGAGCTTGCGTACAAAGGGGGCGTTGCGGTTGTCGCCGGCCTTTTTCAGAGCCGCCGTCTCGATCTGCCGCACGACGCCAACCTTGTAGCCGGCGGCCACGAGGCGCTTGGCGTGTACGGGGAGTCGGTGGACGGGGATGCTGGCGGAGGCGAAGCGGTCTAGGTGGGCTTCTGATGGGTCTATTCTGGTGTGGTTAGAAGGACGACAAAGTACAAGAAGAAAAGAAAAAGGGGGAGGCAAAAGGATGGCATACGTTCATCGTAACGGAGTTTTCCTGGTATGCAGACAATGCTGAGCTCCTTGGAAGCAATGCGTGCGTCCTCGCCGAGGAAGCGGAACTTGTAGCCAACCTCCATGATGAGGACGGTGTCCATGTGCTTTCTCTTGATGTCGAGGAATTGGGTCTCCATGGGCGTCAGCTTGTTCGCCTTGCCGCCCTTGGCAGTTTTCTTTCCCTTGGGCGGCGGGGGCGGCGCTTCGTCCTCTTCCCCATCTTCCTCGCCGCCGTCTTCGTCCGCAGGCGCTTGACCGTCCTGTATGGAGCCGACGCGGCGCAAGGAGATGAGGCTGTCGGGGTGGCCGAGCTTCCTGACAAACTTTTGTGCAGCTCCTGCCGCTCGCGCACGATATCGGGATCTACGTCGACGTCCTGGCTCGATCCAAAGAGGTAGTAGTCTGTCCTCGGCGTCGCTCGCGGCTTGTTCTCGAGGTCTTCGAGTATGTCCTCGTTCACGGGGGTCGCCTTGGCGGGGCGCTTCCGTTTCGCTGCGGCGCTCGGTCCATTATTGCCCTTGTCCGGGTCCTCTTCGAGGGGCCTCTTGCGGGCCGGAAGCGCCTCAGAGGGTCGGAGCGGGCTGGAGGTGGGCGGGTGCTTTGGTTTGGGGGCGGAGGATTGGTTCTGGCTCGCGGTAGGGGGTGTGGATTTGGGCGAGAAGAAGCTCGTGAGAGAGGCTTGCTTCTTTGCCGAAGAAGGGGGCGGCATCTTGGCAGTCTCTCTCTCTTTTCTTCCTTTCTTGGGCTTGGTAAATCGGGCGATGCCGCTACACTACGACTTCGGCGCCTTTGGAATTGTGGTCGACGTCGTGGAGTCGAGCTTTTAGTTTTGGGGGAAATTGAAGACTCTACTTTTCTTCACAGTGGCGGCGCGTCGATTTCCAGGGCTGAAGAGCCAGACGCGTAAAGAGGATGCAGCCAGTGAAGGGGGTGCATATCAATTGCAACATGCAGTGACGTGCAGGGATATAACAGTGCGATTTGGCATCGGAGACTCACGTCAAGGCCCCTGAATCAAAGCTTCGAGAAGAAGGCTCAAAGCTCATCCACAGCTTATCGAAGGGGGTTGAATAAGGATGTTGTATTCTAAATTTTATATTCTCTTTTCAATTTGCCTGGAAGAGAAATCTGGAACCAAAGCGAAAGAACCTATGCTCAGGTGTACACTGGCTTACACGGCATGCGTGCCATTTTGCCCAGAGCTTGAAGCTCTGAAGGGCACAAGCAATTGTCGTATATTTCGTTATCGGGGCCCCGTCGTCGCCGCGGGGTCATGCAAATATACCAAGATTACCATTACCACAGTGCCGGCAATCTTTCTCCTTTGAGCCTTCCAAATTCGCATTAGCTGATGTTTTTTCGCACCCATCGCGTTCGAAATCCGCACACAGGCACCACGCATCCACAATCAACCCACGCTCGGAGCCAAGCTCGACATAGCTCTCCAGGAAGCTTTGCTTTGGTCTCTTTTAGGCCTTGCCTCCTCCGTGGATAACCCCGCGACTCACGAGTCCTCGCATTCTCAGCCGAGACCCGGCAAGGCACCGCCATCCTCACCCCGGTTGGTAGCTCCTCGCCCCGGCAGTCTCCTCAACCCTGTGCACAAGTGTAGCTCGAGAACAGGACGAAAAGCCTGCCCCGCCGACAACCATGTTCGGCATGCTCACGCCCGCCCCGCAGGCGCCGGGCCCGACGTACGTGTACAAGACGTACGAGGACCTCTTCGCCGACCTGAGCCTTCGTATGCAGTCGGACGGGTACAAGGTTGTCAAGGCGCGCTCCCACCGCGGCAAGATTGGCGGCGCTGACGTGCCCGGCAACGAGATGGTGCGGTGCGACCTCGTGTGCGACCGCGGCGGGCGGCCTTACAAGTGTCTGGCCACCAAGCACAAAACCAGCACCAAGAAGACGGACTGTCCGTGGAAGGCCAAGGCTGTCAATCGCAAGATGATGGGCGGCTGGGTGCTGACTGTCATCTGCGACCAGCACAACCACGAGCCCGGCACCCCGGAGCCTCCGAGCCCGGCTGTGAGTGAGCATGATGCGGATGAGGAGCTAGATGAAAACGAGGGTAAGTAGAAACCCTTGTTCTTTTTCTTGTTTCTCACACAAAGGCCTTTTCCACCCCTTCACGGTCGACCCTCTCTCTTTTTTCCCCCTAGTCGTTCTCTTTATTACCTCTTATTCCAGACTCGGTGTGAATCCATGTATCCTAACATGACTGAGCCTTAGCTCCATTAGGACCGGTGCTAGATGCCGAAACTTCGGCAGCAATCGCCGTCGCGGGCGTTTCACAAGCTGTGCTCCGCCTGACGGGAGATACCTTTCAGCAGTTCAAGGGGAGTACCGCAAGATGCCGAAGCCGCAGCGCGTCCAGATTCTCGCCCAGTTGCAGATGCGGATAGCCGCTATCTACGCCATCGAGAACGAAGATACTCAGCGCCAGGTACGCCTAGATCAGCAAGAAAGGCGCCATCGCCAAATCGATACGCGGCGGCACTTCTCGACGGCAGGCAGCGGTAGTGGGACCGGTGGACTAGCAGGCGAGAGGCGGTCCAGACGGGCGACCGCCGCCGCGCTGGATGGTGGGGATGGTGACGATCGTACGGTGCAAGGGAGCCCCTCGGCGACGAGGAGGACACAGGCAACTTTGCAGGATGACCAAGGGATGCAACAGCCGCATTTGGACCTTCAAGGACAGATGACGGGCTCTCGGATCATGTCACAACAACACCAACAACAACAGCAGCATACCCAGGACGATGTGGACTCGTTCATCCACGGTAAGCTTTACTCATTCTTGCCCATCTTATTACCCTGTCCCACCTCCTCCAAGCTTCGAAACCAAGTCTCGCATCCAACTAACGCATCCCTGCTCTCCCTCTCTCAAAGCGCAATTCCAAGTGCCCGTCTCTCAGACAGGTGCCGGCACGCCGCCTATAGGCCAATTCCACCATTTTCCAGCCCCGCCGCCTCGCAGGTTAAGAGGCCGCGTTCAAGCGCCATCCTAACGGTCCATCGCCATCTTCTCTCGGCGCCTTTTCTCGCCACTTGTGCAACGCATTAACTACCCCCATGGCTTTTTTTTTTCAAATCGTCCCTCTCGTAGTCAGTGATGGTCACCCAAACGCAAATATCACCCAAACGCAAAAAGGCTCACGATGCCCCGAAATAAGGCTATTCCACGCGTCAAACGCGCCTCAAAAGGCGAAAGACAAATCGAGATTACCGTGCAGGATGCACTTCATGCCTGGGAGACCCAAGAACAACCCAATATCGCCCAGTTGGCGTGAGGATTCAATGTCTCGTATGACAGGCTCTGTCATCGGATCAAGGCCGCCAACCCCTTCATAAGCGAAAGAGAGCCCTGCAAGGACCAACTTGTGATTACAAGACGTCCACTGACCCAATACCTCTCTATTCCAACTAATAGAGAGACAACCACTTGTATTGAAGCTATCTCTGCTATAGGTAGCCATATTCCTGCCTTTCTAGTCCATACTGGAGCGATCCATACGGAATCCTGGCATGGCCTGGAAAAACTTCAGCGGGACACTATCATAGTGCCCACGTCCAGTGTTCTACTCTTTCAACGCTCGAAATTCATCTGGAAGATCCTTCAGCCCGATTAAATCGGTCCACTTGGAATGCTATGGGCCACTAAGGGACTTTGTCAGTCCGTCAGCCAGCATATCCTCAGAGGCAACCCATTTCACATCGATCTCTTTGTTTCGTTGGGGCTGCCGCAGCCAGCTTTGCTGGATATCAACATGCTTCAGTTTCGTAGAAAATTTTGGCGCTTCGTCCCTCACGAGGCGCACCGTTTGCCTATTGTCACACATGAATGTATGAGTGCTTTCCGTAGGCAATTGCAGGCCTGTTTCTGGCTCTTCCGGAAGACTGGGCTGCCGAATAGCTTGAAAATGATGCCCCGCGTCGGCGTTCTTAGCTGGTATGTCTACTGGCTTTTCAAATGACCATATTAGCCTTGAATGGATCAAACACTTCCATCAGTCTTTTGGCACACCATACAACCCACAGAAGCCGAAAAATGTTGTAGCACATCTTTCAGAATCACTACAAGATATCATGGCATCAGATCGACAGGTAGCATTTCGCCGCCATCCGCCACAAATCCAACCCACATAGTAGAAAACGCCTACAGGCTGGTGGAATAGTTCGTGTAGTAGGTGCACGTAAGATGATAGAAGAAAAAAGGGTCCGTGAGGCCCGAGGTGCTGAAAAAGAATCCTAAACGCATCATCGATCGGCGGACCAGCCGTATGCGGTGATGTGCAATAGAGGTTAGGCCAGTACTGACTTTGAGAGGGACGGGAGTGGTAAATGTGTGTTGCACGAGTAATACCAATTGATTTTTGAGAGCGAAGAATGGATACCACCAGGCCTCATATGAGCGATCTTTTCTTTTTTTTTTTTTTTTTTGGCTTACTTCCTTCCTTTACCCCTCCCCCTTCATGTGAGAGCGCGCACGCTTTTGCCGGTTTATTTCTCCATCTCTAGACTGGATTGGGCCTTTGTCTCCCTTGTATTTCTCTCTTTTTCTTACTATCGTGTACGTTTAAGGTCTCCCCAGGTAACGGATTATGGCGGTACGGAAACAACAAAAGAAATCAAGTCTATTACGTTGTTCTATGATGACGCGCCCGTTTTACTCCCTCGTGTAAACCGCGTGAAGCGTGTAATCCTTCTTTGGTCCCTTGACCTGATACCCTACAGTCCACCTCTCCAAGTTGACGGCCTTGAACCCAAACTCATAGCGCACCGAGTAGTAATCATCGCCGCACAAATGACCCGCCTTGGCCTCGATGCCCTTGGCACGTACGACGGGGACACCGCCGGGAGCAGGGGCAGGGGCGGAGGCAGAGGCGGGGGTGGAGGCGTCGGGCGACTGGGGGAGGAACTCGACCTCGTGGAAGAGGTAGTCGGCCTTTTTGGCGTCGTCGACGCACACGAACCAGACGCTGAGGATATCGGCAGCCTCGTCGTAGCGGTAGACGTAGCGGCGGGTGGCGGAGAAGGAGAAGCCGAGGGTGGACTCAAACGTGCCCTCCTCGATGTAGAGGTACTCGAGCTCGCCGGCCGCGCTGGCCCGCGCGGGGGCGGAGTCGAGGCCGTCGAGCGTCTTTTGGCGCACGAGGAAGCGGCCGGTGCCGGAAAAGGTGCCGCTGGGGTGGGAGGAGCTTGCTTTCGATTTCCCGCTCGAGGCGCCAGGTGCCGAGGAGGTTGCGGAAGACGGAGGCGGCGACGAAGCCGTGGTTAGAGAGGGCGGAGGAGGCGATGGATTGGGACGAGGCGAGGGAGCGGGCGGCTTGGGCGGCCGGGGTCGCGGCGTCTACCGCGTCGCTTTGGGGTGTGGAGGGGTGGCGGGGGTGACGTAGCGGGCCGGGGTGAGGAGGTCGAGGGGGATGTTGGCCTGGGGGATGAGGAGCTGGGAGTTGGCCGTGGAGAGGGGAGGTTGAGGGCGTCGGCGAACTGGTGCATGAGATAGACGTAGTCGCCCGTGGGGAACTGCGTGAGCCTGTCGCTGCCGCGCAGGGCGACGAGTTCCTCGGCAGACCGGTCGTCGCGCAGGGCGCGCGCCAAAGCCTCGGAGCGCGGAGAGACGTCCTCGGGCGTCCAGAGCTCGGCGAGGAAGCGGGCCTGCATCTCGGCCACGCCCCAGTAGGGTCCGCGATAGAAGCTCACGAATCCGAGTCCCGGGACGGACGGGTGATGAGTGCCGTGGAAGGCGAGGGCGGGCGTGAGCTCGGGGTAGTCCGGGGCGTGGCCGATGGCCTTGAGCACGGCGGGCTCGAGAAATTCGAGGGACGCCGAGGGGTCGAAGCCCGTAGCGAGGACGACGGCGGCGATGTCCTGAATTTCCTCGCCGTCCTCGGTGCGGGCCGTGGTGCCGTCGAGGCGGGCGAGGCGGCCGCGCGACAGATCAATGAGCCCGGCGCGGAGGAGGGGCATGTACAGCTGCGAGAGGGCGACGAAAGCCGGAGCGGACGGGTCGTGGACGCGGGCGAGGGGTGGGCGTCGGACTGGTCGGTGCCGAGGAGAGCTTGAACCGCTCGTGGGCGAGGCTGGCGGCGGCTTCGGATATGGTGCCGCCGCGCTGGTTGGTGGGGGTGGGGTCTGGCGGCGAGGTTGAAGGAGTTGAAGTCGGATGGGAGGAAGCAGGGGTAGAGCTCGTGGGCTGGCGTGGGGAAATATAGCGCGTGGTTAGTACAGACGGAATGAATCTTGTTGGCGTCTTGTCTACGGGCGAGACTACGTACCGTGGGTGTGGTGAAGAAGGGCATGACCCAAGTGTGCCTATCGGCAAGGTGGTGCACCGAATACTTTTCCGGGTTTCGAATGGGGCTTTCCCCGGGTGAGTGAACAGCCGAGGAGAGCTGCGTCGCAATCGTCGCCGCGACCTCTACGCCCGACATTTGCCCGCCTACGACGAGAATCTTTCCGCCTCTGCCTCCGTCGCGGGGCTGTCCCTCCGGCCCTTTGAGCAACGTCTCGAGGTCCCGGTACGCCGTGCTATGGACCACGGGCACCTCCTTGCCTTCCGCGTCTCCGTTCTCCGCCCGGAGAAACTCGGGGATCTTGGGTTTCCCAAAATAGCCCGACGCCACCACCACACCCTCAAACTCTCGTTCCCCGACCCTTCCCCCATCCGCGCCCTCGGCGGTCTCAACCACCCAGTGGCCCCCTCCCTCGCCCTTCCTCCGCACGCCCAGCACTCTCGTGCCGAGCTTCAGCTCCACATTGGCCACCCCCTCGAGGTACGTCCTCGCGTACCTCTGGAGATACCGACCCACCATCCACGCCTTGGGGAACTCGGGTACCGTGCGCGTCTGCGTCCTCTTCTTCAGCTGCAGCTTCTTCTTCAACGCCGCCTCGCTAAGCTGGCTACTGTCTCCGGCGGCGGCAGTCTCGGAAGAAGAACCTAGCGGCGGTACTCCGTCGCTCTCGTCCCACGCGAGGTCGCTAAACTGAATCGTGTGCCGGCTCAAATTCGCCGTCATCAGCGGGTGGATCTGGCGCGCGTTGTCCGCCGGGTCCAGGGGCCACAGGCCGCCCACGGCGTCGCGCGCGTCGTAGACGGTGACGGAGAAGATGGGCTCGCCTTGGGCGTTGCGGCGCTGCGCAATCGTCTTGGCCGCTACGAGGCCAGAGGGGCCAGCGCCTGCATGGCGGAGTTAGGGGTGAGAGAACGGAAAGCAGATCCAAGGGTAGATTTCTTCTTTTGTTTTTTTCTTGCCGATTCTTTCTTGTTTATTTCTTCCTCACACTCACGCGAAAGGGATCCCGGGGGTCTTGCCTCCTCAGTAGCGGTGGTGGTGGGGGATTGGTTGGGAGGTGGGGGGGCAAGGGGGCAGGAAACTTACCGATCACGCAGATTGGCTGAGGCATCACGGGCGCCACGGTCTGTGTTAAGTTCGGGAGTCTCGGGAAGGAAAGAAAAGTGAGGGCGGTGGAGCAATTGCTATCCGGACAGGCTCTCCAGCATCTCCGCGTTTTGACATCTAGGTAAGGAAACCGGGGGAAAGTAAGAGAGAGAGAACAAGAAGAAGAGGAATAGAGGGTGTCAAGGATTGCGGGCAAAAGCCGCTTGTTCGGGGTCTGATGTGGGGAAAATGCTGGGGATATGCGCGCAGCACTTTTTCTTAGCTCGCGGTTTTTGGTAACGTCGACGACGCCGCCGATTTACGCTTCCCCATCTCGCCATCTCGCCCGGGCTCGACCCTCTGCGATTGGCACCAAGTGGACCAAGTTAAGAACTAATAAATCTATCGCAATGGCATTAAGGGACTTGTTTTTAGACATTCCCGGAGCTATTGGCTTAGGCCGGGTTGCAGCTTGCTACTTGAGCATCATCACTTTTTAATGATATAGAAAAAAGCAAAAACTTTTTTGTCTCAGTCATTACACGTAGAATAAAAGAATTATATATCAATAATATCTATGGATATCTGTCGAGCGGAGTCAACCTGCCCCCGTCTATCGTGAAAATCGTGTTCTACATACGTCGCATTATATGCAGGTATCATCGAAAAAGGCTCTGACAGGCTTTACAAGAAGAAGTAAAGAAAAGAAGAAGAGAGAAAAAAAAAGAGGAAAGGAGAGGTTGAAGTGGAAGAGATAAGTGAGATCTATCGTCTTGAGGTTGTCCGTTTCCTGTCCAGCGTGCAAGGCAAAGACGGGGCTCTAGTCTTGTTTCGTTTTTCCCTTAGACGTTCCTGACGGGGAGGGACTTGCCCCTTAGACGGGTATGGACGCCCTTCTTGATAAGAGAGTTGGCGCAAGGCACTCCCAGGGAAAGGTCCTCGAGATTTCGAAGGGTGCACTCGGCGATTTCTTCCAGGGCCTCAACGGTGAAGAAGGCCTGGTGGCCCGAGACGACGACATTGTGGAAGGTCAAGAGGCGAGCCAGGCCGTCGTCGTCGAGAATTTCGTGGGAGTGGTCATTGTAAAAGAGCTTGCCTTCGCCCTCGTACACGTCGAGGGCTAGGCCGCCGAGCTTCTGGCTCTTGAGGGCCGCGATGACGGCGCTAGTGTCGATGAGGCCGCCACGAGACGTGTTAACGAGCATGGCGTCCTCCTTCATCAGGGCGAGGGTGCGCTGGTTGATGATGTGGTGGGTCTGCTCCATAAGCGGGCAGTGCAGCGACACGAGGTCGCTGCGGGCGAGGAGGTCGTCGAGCTCCAGGTACTCGCCATACTCCTCGAATGCAGGGTTCGGGAACGGGTCAAAGGCGTACAACTTGCAGCCGAACCCCTTCATGATGCGCGCAAACGCGATGCCGATCTTGCCCGTGCCGATGATGCCTACCGTCTTGCCGAAAAGGTGCGGCCAAGGAGGCCGTCGAGGGCAAAGTTACCCTCGCGCACGCGGTTATAGGCGCGGTGCGTCTTGCGGTTGAGTGTCTGGATGAGCGCGACGGTGTACTCAGCCACGGCCTCGGGCGAGTACGAAGGCACGTTGGCGACGGAAAGGCCTAACCTCTCGGCGGCTTCGAGGTCGACGTTGTTGAAGCCGGCGCAGCGCAGGAGCACGCCGCGGACCCCTTGGCCGCGATGGTTTCCAGCACAGCGGCGTTTAGTATGTCATTGACAAAGACGCAGACAGCGTCGCAGTCACTAACTAGGTCGGCGGTGGAGGGGTTGAGGGGGTAATCGTGGAAGGTGAGGTGGATCGAGGACGCCTGGCCGTTGCGTGCCAAGTGTGCCCTCTCCAGGAACACCTTGTCGTATGTCTTGGAACTGAAAACGGAGAGCCTCATGGTGTTGGACTGTTGTGGGTGGGGGAAAAAGGTCGGAATTTGGGGGCGAGCTGGGGAAGGGGGCTATGGGCAAAGACCAAGAAGATACCCAAAAAGAGGTTCGTGTGAAAGTAAAAGATACCACCAAGAAAGGCTGTCTTTGTTTGGAAGTCCTTCAGGAGATTGAAGCTTGGGATGTGTAGTTGTGGTTGTGGTTGTGGCTGGCTAATGGTGGGGTGTTGGCTGAGGTACTTGGATGTTGTATAGAGGATAGAGTTGGGATAGAGGGAGGGGTACCTGATGATGTGGGATGATGGATTGAATTCAATATTCTTGTGAGATGAGAGAAAATAGAGGGGAACTAGGAACTGGAAGGGCAATAAAGGGGGGACGGGACAATATTTGTATCTTCGGGTCCAGTCTCGATTGATGCGGGATAAAAGAGGTCGTGAATCGAACAAGGCAACTGCTTCTAGAGATGTCCGTCGTACGGAGGGCTGGAAGCGGGAAGCAGGAAGTAAGAAGCGGGAAGCGGAAAAACCCAGAAAACGAGACAAGCGAGCGAAGCTTCGGTTACAACGGGGACGCGATGCGATGGTCCCGACCAAGGCGCAATGCGACCGCCCATCGCCGCGAATTGAAGAGTTCGTGCATCGAGTCATTGGCTCGTTACACTGCCAACATCAGGCCCTGCCCTGCCCCTCCTCCCTGCCCCCCTTGTGCCAAGAGCCGCTTGACCTTGGCAGGTCGGCGGCGGACTATCGGCGGCGCGGAGCGGGAGGGGGAGGAGCGAAGAGCCAGAAGGGGGTGACACTGACAGGTAACACGAGGCGAACAGGACGGGATTGGAGCCTCCGTCATAACGTGCCTCGCTTTCGTCCGTGAGCTTCGGCTGGTAAGACGTGTCTGCATGTGGCCTCTTGGAATTTCATGTACGTTTCCATTACGAGGAAAAACATCATTTTAGCAGCTGTTTTCTTTGGCCAGCGCAGCCTATAGTTAGGGACTGCTTCTTCCACGAAGACTTCATGGGACGAGAGAAATGGGGCACTGTCCCGAGCAGAGAGCACGCTTCAAGAAGCAGCGAATGGGGATGCGAGGCGAAGCCACGGGCGGTCGGGCGTGCCTTCGTTCCGACCCAGCACCTGTTAGTCGGGTCCGAGACCAGATCCAGCACTGGGAGATGCTGGTGAAATCCAGATCTATTGAGTAATACGAATAGGGCGAGGTTGCAGACCACGCGATTAATTTTCGTCCGTGCTCGGCACCTTCCCCCTTGGCACTTGGGTTAAAAGTCAGAACTCGGAACCCACCGCCATGCCCGAAAAAGAAGGAAAAAATGGGCACCTTCCAATTGGATTGACCCGCTGAGAATTTTCTACTCGTGCACGGATTGGGCAAAGGGCAGGGTCCTGCCCTTGTACATTCGGATTGTACGATGCATTTCTCGTTCGTCGGCTCTCGCCTGTCAAACTGGCGCCTTCCTCCCTGGGCAGATTGGTAAGAACGGGCGTATATTGAAGGAAGGTGGCCAAGTCCGGACGGAAAGAACCCACCGAAGGTGCTCGTTCTCCTCGCACCACATTTCGTACCTTTTCCCTGGGTTCTCACCACTAGCCATCAATTGTTACATCGCAGATTGCACGTCGCACATCGCGGCCCCGACATGTCCGACTTGTCACCTTTCTCGAATCTGAGGTTGATACTAGATGACACTAGATTGAATATTCTCGTCTCTGCATCTCTACCATATTGCCAATTCCCTTTCTGTATCTTCCCCTTTTTCCTGCCCCCATTCATCCTGGCCTTATGCTACTACTCTTCTTTCCTTCAAAGGACATATTATTCACCCTTGTTGGGAGACATCATGTTATCTTTGCACGATTCGCCAGCCCTGCCGAGTTTAAAAGCCATCGGCAGATGGTAGGGGCGAGGCAGACCCTGAGCGACAATCAACCTTTGTCATTACAACTTTGTTTTTAGCCCACAACAACATTCAAGGTTTCTATGATCTTTCTTCCTCGCCTGCTTTTTTTCCACCCCAGCGACCTTGTTTCAACCTCATCCAGTCAGTCGGGTCCGCAGTGGACCTTTCTGGACTCGAGGTATTACAACAGTCGACGCCCTCAAGATCTATGGCCCATGGTGTGGCCCAACTCAAGGTACCGTGGCGTCCTACGGCCTGCATCTGATGGCCTGATGGATGCCACACCTCAAGCCTTTGCCAGAACACTGTGCCCACAGATGCTGATGCAATTGGTATGGCATGGGCAAAAGGGCAAGCTACTTCGTACCTGCACGCTTGGCCAACGTTGTGATGGGTGCGTCCTCAGGCCAGGTCAGCCCTATGACTGCTTTAGGTCGGTCGTGGGCTGTCATCTTGCATGAAATTGAACGTGTGCTCCAAATTCGATGCTTCAGATAAAACGGGCGAGCTGGCTGCACGGCGGGCTGCACGGCGTAGAGAGTCCGCCTCCCTAGGAAGACAGAAGGGTGCGGACGTGTAAGTGTCGAATGTCCATGGATCTATTTGTTCCCGCCCAAACTGACCACGGAGCCTTGATAAGTGAGTTTGCGTAGGGTGAATGGTACATACGACCATAGCTCGTAGAATATTGAGGGTCCCGTCCGCTCCCCTGTACACAAGCTGCGAAGCGCCGGACTAGTAGTTGGGTCGGTGACGACCAGCGAATCCCCGGTGTTGTATGTTTTTTTCTCTTTTCTTTTTCCCGCCAGTATCTTCTCTCCGTAAGCGGCAAGAATCATGCAAAGTCATGCCTATCCTCCTCCCTTTCTCGCCCGCTAAACCGCCTGATTTCGTTTTGTCAAGAAATGGCTTAAATCGGCGATAGGTCTATGCAGGTGCCAACGTTGTATTGAGCCTGCCGCCGAGCGACTTGATCGTCCCTGGGAAACGCCGCGCTATTTTAGTTTTGAACGCGCCACCTGCTTGTCCCCCTGGGACACACGCCACCTTTCAGACCCAGGTACGACTGACAGGGAATTCTGTCGGGCGAGGCGAAATCTCGATCGCTCTCATCGTATCTGCATGATGAGTTTGCCACGTGAAGCTCAATCTGGCCGCTGGGGTGTGGTGTTAAAGACCTTCTCGTCTTTGTTGACATGAATGGCATGGTTCCCAATGGATGGATGTTCGATACGGGGCAAGCTCGTCTTCGAAGCCTTTACAGGAAGAGTACTGAGCTGGCTTCCACGCCACAGCTTAATCCACTTATACTGGTGGTTTACCAGTTCACGAAAGCACTAGTGATTGAGCGGGTGTCATAGTTCATTGCAATTTCTCTTTTATGGGAAACACGAAATAATCAAAGATAGGATTGATCTAAACTAGGTAGATCGGACTATGCTAGAGTGAACGAGTGTAGTTTCTCGTGAGCGGAATAATGAGTGCATGAGTGGTAACTAAACAAAGAGATAGAGAAAATATAGACACTATTGAAAAAGAAAAAAAGAGGGGAGAAATATAAGAAGGAAATGAGAAATAAGAAAGTCTCGCAACGTATCCAGCGCCCAATTCATCCTTTCGGGGCGGAGAAGAAACTTCAAGAACTTTTCAGAACAGGGCCATTCCACCAGCAAGGGCAGCAACGATTGCGAAAGCCGTGTTACCCCCACCGTCCTGCGTCCGCCGCTCACCGTGACGGGCCTCGTTGCCGCCGGACCGCCAGCTGAGCTAGTGGCGGAACCGGACGGTGCACGGGCACCTCCACTAGGTGCTCCGGCGCTGGGGGCACCAGCACTGGGAGCGCCAAGACCAGGACCACCGCTACCGCCACTAGGCGCACCGGAACCGGAGCCGGACCCGCTACCGGGGCTACCGCTTCCGGGAGCTCCAGATCCAGATCCAGATCCAGAACCGCTGCCTCCGGTAGGGGCTGCGCCACGGTCCGAACCGGATCCTGGGCCGCCGACACCGCTACCGCCACCAGTGCCAGCAGTTACGGTCACGGTCCGGATCTCACAGGTGCCCGTCGGGCCCGCGCTAGGGGCCCACCTCGGCCGGTGCTGGTGGGAGCGGGACCTCCGGGCCCACCGACACCTCGGCTTGTGGATGTGGGATCTGCGCCAGGGCCTCCGGGGCCGCCTGGTCCGCCAGGAGCCCTGGAGCTAGTGGGTGATGGGCCGGCGGGGACCGCCGGTGGGCGCGCCGCTGCTGGAAGATCCGCTGCCGGGTGGGCCACCGGCGCCCCTGCTCGTGGACGATGCGGAGGGAGGTCCGCCGGGTCCTCGTGTGCTGGATGGCTCGGACTCGGAAGGTGGTCCTCCGGGGCCCCTGGTTGTCGATGATGCGGAGGGGGCTGCCGGGTGCGCGGGTGCTGGATGGCTCGGGCCCGGAAGGTGGCCCGCCGGGACCCTGGTGGTGGTGGGCGAAGGGCCCGAAGGCTGGCTGCTGGTCGGACCGCCGGGGCTCTGCTGGAACTGCTGGCGGGGCCGCCGGGGACTCCAGCGCAGCCCGTGTTTGAGCAAGTATCACCGGGGTTGCCTATCATCGTTGTTAGTCTCGGCTGGAGTTGGTAGGTAGGCGTAGAGCATGAGGGAAATGAATGACAGGACGATGAGACTCACAATACCAAGATGTGCAGCAGACGAATCCCTGGGGAATGCACCCCTCGCCGCACCTCACGAACCCTTCCCTGCAGGCACCAGGGCCGGGGCAGGCCTTGCCCAAGGGGCAACACATGTTGTCCGAGGTGCAGTATTCGCCCTGGTCGCAGTAGGCGTTGTTCCCGAAGCGGCAGCAGTTGGCGCCGCGTGGGATGCATCCGCCGTCGCAGACCGACTCGCCACCGGAGCAGGTGGGCGGGGCGTCGGCGCGGAGAGCGAGGACCGCGGAACGACCGGTGACGGGGAGGAGGGGCTCTCCGGCGGTGTTGGGGCCGAGGGCGATGGAGACTAGGTGTTGGGCGTGGAGGGTGAGGGGAGGGTGGAGGCCGTGAGGCAGAGGAGGAGAGAAGATGGCTGACGCATTTTCTTTTTTTCTTTCTTTCTTTTGGAAGAGGAGAGAACAGGGGGAGGGCTTCTGGGGAAAAGTCTCGCAAAGGGGTTTGGGGACTGATCTGTTGAGAAGGCGAGGATTGGCTCTGGCTCTGGAAGCTTGGAGAGAAGAAGATGGAAATGGCAAGATATCGAGGAGGTTCGGCGCCATTATATATCACAAAAACACTTGGAGCTTTGGAATCTCCATCTGCGATGCTGCTGGCTAGCATCACTCACTAAACGAAATGCCGCGATGCCTCACGATACCGAGCTTTACAAAGAGAATGCGGACAAGGTTGATGAGCATTTCAACTTAGATTGCTTCGCACAAGCGACTCCCCCAATGCCTAAGAGCCAAGATGCCTTCCCCTCTGCGCCTGACAAAGGAACCGCAGCCCAAGACAAAGAAAAGAGATCATTTCATCGCCCATCAGCGGCTGGGCTGTGCTGTGTCCTCGCGGAGGCCTGGGCCCCCGGATAGTGGAGATGCTTCGACGGCGGCTGTCCGGCTTTCTCGACACCGCTGGTCTCGGCACCCAGCCCCTCTTTCCCGCTCTTAAGCGCCAAGGAGCGGTCCTTTTGGTAAACCTTGGCCTTTTTTCCCTAGCAGCAAGTATGAAAGCAAGTTTTCGACATCACGGACCGAGCGCATCTCGTCCTGCACTCTATCTGTAAATGCCTCCTCCCTCTCCCATATCTATCCCCACCTAGCCATGCACATCGTGGATCTCTTCCCTCGTCCCCGCCTCGTCTCCCGAACTCAACTTTCCGGCCGATGAAGAACCAGTCTGCCGCTGGCCGCTGGCCGCTGGCCGCCACGCATCCCCTCCATGAATGCGCTGCCGCTGTCATCCAGTTTGCCGAGTCAATCTCTGCAGCGCCGCGCAGACCTTCATGCTCAACCGCTCCCTTCTTAGACAAAAGAGGTGTGTTCATGCTCGTACATTGCCTCGGAGACTAGTCGTCCCTCGGCACTTGCTCGCCTTGGAGGACACCACCATTGTTACCCGCCCCTCCACACTCCTTCCGATATCCGGGGTAGGGCGCGGGGCCGTGCCCATTTCCTGGTAAACCTTTCATCGACATAGATAATCAAGGGATTTTGACGTCGATACATAGGATCAAACCCGGCAAGCAAAGGTGGCTGGTGGAATTGGCCGATTGGCGAACTTTGCCGCCTTGACGTGATCCGCACCCCTTGCTTAAGAGCTGAGCTCGCTTCTTGTTTGCCCCTCCTCCTAACTTCATGCGAAACCACAGTGCAGGCATAAATATTGTTCATATATCCCCAAGGGGTTTCATCCCCTCTTCTCTTTTGGACGCTTCGACATTATTTGATGCGCACGTAAAATGTGCTCTCGTTTACTTCACAATCAGGCCATATACCCGGGTGCAGCTCCGGCAAGTGGAAGAGAGCCATCGATCACCGTTTCGGCGTCGGTTCGGCAAGTTCTGCGTGGGGAGAAGGCCAAGAAAAAAAAAGAAAAAGGAGAAGAAATTGAAATAATATGATCTTTAACCTTAAAGTTATGGAATTTACTCTTGGTTGATAAAATAAAGCGTGAGGGAAGAATAGCTCATGTTGCAAGGCACAAATGTCAAGTGTGGGCGCTCGTAATGCGTTTCTCTATCCTGCCAACATCTCGTGTGATCGTCCGCCTTCCATCGGCCCTCCAGCATTACCAACAGCGTCTCTTCGTCCCCAAATCGTCTATTCCCCATGTACTGGTATCCTAAACCCGAAAAGACACGAGTAAAAATAAAGATAAAAACTGCGAGCTCCTTATAACGCCAGCCTGGTTCCGATTTGTGGAGAGTTGCAAGTCTCCGAACCGAAAGAACCCAACAGAGAGAAAAGGTAAAGGAACTAAAGCCAAGTATGTATACGTGTGTGCATGTGTGTGTGCATGTACGTGCACATGCATCCGTACGGATATATGTGCGGGTGAGAGAATAAAATAACGGGGAGTAAACAGGCGAGGATCATGGAAAGGCGAGGCGAGCCATTTCAAGCCCCTTCCTCCCTCCAGATATGCGTATCACCTAGGCTCAATGAACTTGTTGAGCTGTGCGATTCGGGCCCTAAGACATCGAGAGGCGTCCGAGTTCCCGACGTAGATTCATCCATGACAGGAGGGGGATCTTGGTAGATCCACGGCTGCACAAGACTAGAAAGATGCCAAGGTGAATTATTAGTAAATTGGGGAAAAAAGAAACAAGCCGAAAACCCTAGGGGTCGAGGAATGGTGTAATACTTACGGAATCTTAAGACTCGGATTCACATACTCCAAGCCCTTCTCCCTCTCCTCGTCCAACGTGCTGCCCCTCCTCAGGACCCCGAGCGTAAGTCGGCTGGGCGACATGCCCTCGTTCACGGCCGCCGCATCTTCCGGGTCAATCTCGGCCCGGATGCTGCGCAGGGAGATGAACTTGGTCAGCGGCACGTAGCGCCGCCTAAAGTAAAACCCATACCACACCGTGAAGACGACGAGCGGGATCACCAGGACGACGGCCTTGAAGGCCTCGTGGAGACCGAGCACGCCGCCCATGGTAAGCTGGAAGAAGAAGAGGCCCAGCACGATGCGGTACGAAATCATCGACCACGCCTGTCCGGTCGCGTGCTGAGGCTGGTCCATGGCATACAGCAGCTGGTACTTGTAGATGAAGTAGCCAAACGTAAAGTAGACGAGACCCGCGAGCAGCACGAGAACACCGTTTTGCAGGATGCTGTACACCATGCAGAGGATGAAGATCAAGAGGGCGGTGGGAAGGTAGTACCCGTAACTAAAGAGTGGGGAGCCTTCATCTCGTAAAAGTCGCGCGGCGTCTTCGCAGTGAGCCTACCCCATACGTACTGCGCCACGCCGCCGGGTTCCAGCAGGCGGAAGGGAAGCAAGCCCACGCCCTGCAGCACGATGAAGCTGGTGTAGAGGTCGCTGACGTTCATGATGGACCGCGCAATGATCTTGGGGAGCTCATGCGTATTATCCAGCGCGCCCCAGAGCACGGGAAGAAATTGCGTGGTAGAGCCGGAAACGGCAAAGACGAAAAAGATGTTAAAGAAAGTAAAGAAGAAATTCTTGAAATCACCGACAGCTCAATCTGGCCGCGGGAGATCATGCCTTGGTGGTGCGACAGGAAGTCGTACAGGAATGGCACCATGAGATTGAGCAGGGACACGGCGCCGGTGGGTAAGCCCGTCTGCACGAGCATACGCACCCAGTCGTGGTGCATCAGATACTGGCCAATCGCCGGGAATGCCTTGTTGATAGTGCAGATACTCAAGAGCGAGGCAAGCGTCGCTACAATGACTAACCAGACCAAGCTCAAGATAGAGATGAACATGGTGATGACCCATGACTTCATCCTGCGAACACCCCGCGCCGCGTAAGTATTCCGCCAGACCACGTCGGTGGGCGATGGCGCAGGCTTGGTTAATAGGCGACCCGGGCGGGGGTCGATCAGTGCTTGGATGGCCATCTGGCAAGAGGCAATGGAATCCATGGTGACAAAAGCAAGGTCGGCAGCGTCGTAGGTTTTGCGGCGTGCCTCGAGGATCTTAGAATCTAGACGACGCAGCCGCTCCTCATAATAGTCGATAGCGTCTGTCTTGCGCGATTGGAGGCGGAGGAACCCGTGCCACAGGCGAATCTTAGGTCGGTCCCGTTCCTCGAGTTCGAACCCGGCCTCCTCTAGCCCGTGCATGGCTCCTATACCCATGTCGGGCGATTCTTCGCCGCTACTACCGCTGCCGCCATTGCTGTCTCCCGAACTCTCTTCGCCGCTGCCATCCAGGCGACCATAAACGCCCGAGTTAGAAGCCTTGAGCTTCCTGTGGTACTCGCTCCACGTGCGCTCGAGATCCCTAAGGCACTTGTCGCGCTCGTCCATGAGGTCATCGACGTCGTTCCAGGTTCGGCAGAGAATTACCTTCTCCACTTGGCCAATCTCGAGCTTCTCTATGAGATTCTTGATTTTGGTCTCGTCGCGAAGATCGCCCGGGATACCGGAGAGCCTAAACGTGCGGTCGGTGATGGTGGACTGGGTGCCGAGATACTCTTGACGGACGCGCAATACTCGTACAGTCTCCTTGTTAAGAATGTACAGCACGAGGATGGAGAAGAAATAGGTAAAGATGAGGTAAGCGTAAAGATAGCTTATATCCTTTTTCTTCTTCGATTTCTTATCCATGGCTACGTGGAGCTCTTGCCAAGGATCGAGGTAGGCAGGTGACTGCATAGCAAACGACGACTCCTTCTTATCGTCTGAATCGGTCGGAAGATCTGTAAGAAAATGCTCATTGATCGGCGTTAACACAGCTGCGGCGAAGAAGGCCATGATTCCAATAATCCGGATTGCCATTTTGAAGAAATTTAGAAACTGCATTCCTTGTTAGCTGAACCTGACCACGCAAGGAAGAGTTGACTCGGCGAACGGTAGCAAGGGCTAGAGCTAGGACATACAACAAAGGCGTCCAGGCCGGCCGAAGCCAGGACCTGTTCCTCGGTAACTCTGTATAGCGAAGGGATCCATCCAAAAAGGTATCCGGAAGGGCGGGTAAGTCGACTTCGGGGTTTAGACGCCGTTTCCGCGCCGAGTAAAGCGTCTTCCACCGTGGGCGCCAAAACTAGACGGTTTCCGCCATCAGCAACGAGATTCACCGCGAGGGCCGGAGGAGAAGGGGGTGGGGTAGGAGTTTACGCAGAATGTGAGGAAGGAGATGATTCCTAGAGTCAAAGAGGCATAGACAATAAGCCATATGTCCTTGGACCCTGGATGGGTGAAATCCTCCGTTGGGCAGTCATCGGATATGGGGTTCTCGGTCTGGGTCGGCGCGGGGCCGACCAGGTAGGATCGCTCATATCGTGTGGGTTTCGTTCGTTTGCGCAATCATGCTTTCGTCGGACAATACCTGGGGAGTAAATACCGACGGGAACGAATGTTCGATTTCGAAGCTTGGCGATTTCGTTGTTTAACGTCTGCGGGGGTCCGAGAGGAGGCGTTCGGAACGACAGGAAACTCGAGGGGGAAGGAATATTAAAGGGTAGCCTTGCTCGGAGGGTTTTGTGAGAAGTCGGAGAGAGAGCTTGCGTGGATGGCACGATGGCAAAGCTCCCTTGCCGTTCGTGGCCCTCGAATCAGGACGGCTAAAATGGACTTGCTTGCCTCTCCATTGCTGGCGCTGCTGGCGCTGCTGTTGCGTTGGCTGCCTGCAGAAAGGATCGGCATGACCATGGCCACATGACGTAAGGTGGGGCCAAAGCTTCGATTCAAGACAGTGACCTCACTGGACTCGACAATCAGTGGAGGGGAACACAAAAGCCGGTGGACTAAGTCCAGAACCTTCAGTGGATCACGAATAAGTACAGTCACTCGTCCTCTCAGTGCAATCACCAACTACTATGTATTATGCAAGGACATAGTCCATTATGTCCACGGTTGGACCACACTCGTCTCACGTGATTTTCCGCTTGGTTCAATGAATTCGACGTCGAAGATGAATCCCGCTTTTAAATGTATATGGTGCAAACAGCAAGGAATGGACTTTTGTATATTTATCCTGTAAGATAGAATTGGACACCGAAAGGAGTGAAAAATGCACTTCTCTATTAGGGGTATATCTAATTGAACCAGCTAATGCCTCCATAATCGCACCGCCTTATCCTTGCCTCCGCTCCCGACAAGCTGGCCGTCCGGGCTCCAGTCCACCGCGTAAACCTCATCCTGGTGGCCCGGCAGGTCCGACGTGAGCTTGAACGATGCCATCGACCACACCTTGAGGGTCGTGTCCTTGGACGCCGTCACCAGCAGCCGCGAGTCTGCAGAGAAGGCGCATTGGTACACTGGCGCGACGTGGCCTCGGAGAGTGTTGATGAACCGCCCATCCCTGTAGATGTTGTCCATACGTTAGCCTTTGATCCCGAAATAGGGCCCTGTTACGGCGATCTCGGGAAGAGAGAGAGCTCCAAACGGGAAAGGGGATTTAAGGGGAAAAGAAAAACAAAAAGAAAAAAGTGTCGCCCTCACCTTGCACTCCAGATCTTGGTATGGTTATCCCACGCCGCGCTCGCAATGAGCGCTCCATCAGGCGAAAACGTAACGTGATTCACCTGCTTCTGGTGGCCGTGAAGCCTCGCCACAGGTTTCGTCCCCTCGGATGGGTTCCACAAGTACATTGTGAAGTCGTCGCTCGCCGACACCAGCCTCTCCGCCACCTTGCCCTGCACCTTGGCCGCCTTCTCAAACCTTTCCAGCGCCTTCTTGCGCTTGCCTTCCTCGTCGTCGGGCACGGGCGTGTGGTCAAAGTAGCCCGTCCGCAGCACAAAGTCGGTGGAGAGGGCGAGGTGGTTGACCCAGTGGGCGTGGGACGCGAGCGAGTGCACGAGGGTGCCCTTGACCGAGTCCCACACGCGCACCGTCTTGTCCTGGCTCGCGCTGTAAATGAGCCCAGTGCCGCCCCACTTCACGCAACTCACGCTGCTCTTGTGGCCCGACAGGACGTGCTCCGTCACGCCCGTGTTCACCACCCACACCCGGATCGTTGCGTCTTTGCTGGCGCTCGCCAGCCTCGGCGTCCCATCGCGCCAAAGGTGGTAGGGCTCCCACGCCAGGCTCGTCACCCACTTGGCGTGGCCCTTAAATGCGCCCGCGCCCACACCCTTGCCCGTGCTCGGGTCCCACACGCGCACCGTCTTGTCCATGCTGCCGGTGGCCAACCTCTTTCCGTCCGGCGACCATGACACGCACAGGACCCATCCGTCATGTCCCGCCAATGTGTACTTGGGAGTGCCGGTGTCCGTATCCCATATCCGCGCCGTCTTGTCGCCGGATCCTGTTGCCAGGCGGTTACTACTAGCAGGACTGAACTGGGCGGCAAGGATGGCCTCGCCGTGACCGGGCATCTTGCTGGCCATGCGCGTCACGGTCTGGACGCGGAAGACGGCCTGGGGCTCGGCGCCCAGCGTCACTGTGGTTTCGAAGGGGTTTGATATGCCATGGCTCCTCAGCAGCTGAAGAAGGTCGGTCGGGTATTGGTCAACGATGATGTCGGAGCCAGGGATGTGCACACGAAAACGGTAGGGGAGAAACTCTTCGCGGTCCTAGAAGAAAATGATATTGTGTCAGTGGTACGGCTCTTCGATAGATCTTTTCATTGCAATACGCAGGATTCTTCTTCATACCCTTCCTAATAACGTGTTGAGAAGAAGAGAAATGTTCTTCTCGCTCGCGTCCGCGAGAGGCACCTCAATCACATCCGCAAGCTGATTGCCATCGCCGTCGACGAACCGAGCCTTGAACGAGCCCGCTTCCACCTCAACGGGAGCCGACACATCTTGCTGCGTCTTTGTCCGCTCAAGAGTCTCCCTCTTTTGCTTCTTGGAAGGTGGTGGGAGAATGGTAGCCATCGCGAAGTTTGAGCACTGGTCACGATCTTGTCAATGGTGGGGCTCCGCCTATGTCCAGACAGCCCAAACTACGACGGGAAATTTTCAGATGCCTCCTCACTTTTTTTTTTTTGGCGGGGCGCTTCTCCCCTCTGTTGCTTATCGATAGGTGCTTAGTCAAGAACCACTACTTCACGGAATGGACGACAGCAACAGACCAGGTTTACCCTCTCGTCTAAAAGCTTCAGAAAATATCGAGAAAAAAATCGGGAAGAAGCAAACTCCAGAAGAGGCGCTCATATTTATTTTGTTATTTATCAATTACATGGCTTATATTTCGGAACAGCGGGTTTGAAAGCAAAAGCCATCTTGAGTCGTATCCATCACCATCGTCTTCTTTGGGTGAAATCTAGTCTTCCAAAAAAACGAAGGAGATAGACTAATGCCGTCTGGCGTTGGGCTGCGGCCTCCATCTTCTGGACCCAGAACCTCCCATGGTTGATGTGGTTGGCCGTCCAATTCGTTTTCTTCGCTGGGATTCAAGGTCTCAATACTCTGTTCCAACGGCTGTATCGATGAGTCAAGAGGAGGGAGAGCACCATCATGTTCACCCCCAAACAACACTCTCGTTTGGCGTTCTCTGGGACATCCCCATCCCATATCATGTCCGCGTCTTGGCCAGGAGCGGGAGCGGGAGCGATTGAGGGCTTCCTGTACCAGTTGGCTCCGGGTCTGTCGGTGTGGCCGATTCGTCAGGGCAGTTTATTTTGTACATCTTATCAAATGTCCTGCATAGAAGCTGGTCGAGCACCTCCCTTGGTCCGTTAGGTTCAAGGGCCTTGCCGAAACTTTGTAACTCGTCATGGAGAAGGCCCCCGACGCGCGTGCGAAAGCTCGGGTCAGGAAGTACAAGCTGCTGAGCCTGGATCATGCCATCGGACGCCATGTAAATGGACAGAGGGCTGGGTTCCCCGGGTAGAGGATATTCCACATTCCGAGCCACTGGTCCTTTTCGGTGCCCTTTATTCTGCGCCCAAGTTGACGCCACTCTTTGCTGCTAATTCCATCGAGGCGGGCCGTTGGACGACTTCTGCACGAGGGCTCGGCCATGACATGTGCGTCGAGGCTTTCTTCATCCTTGAAAATCTCAAAACATCTCTGGCAATGCAATTCGGGGGTGTGTTTCCTCTTGAGATGTTGCTTGACATCCCCTATCCGCGTGAGGATCACCCGCCGCATCGGCGGTGCTTGATGGGATCCTTTATCCAGAGCGGGCAAGCAAATTTCACGTCCGAGTCTAGCCTCTTACACGGCTTCTTCCTCGGTGGCAGGCCCTCTTCTTCGCCATCGCTGTCGTCATCGTGCCTGTTGGCTCGGTGCGGTAATTTTAGCCTCCTCTTCCCACCAGAGTTCGAGCCTTTCGAAACGGGGCTAGCTTGCGCGGTAAGGCCAGCCTGTGCAACGGAGTTCGTCGCCTGCTGCTGTTGGGGTCGACGGCTAACATGATCATTATCAAATGAAGCATTCGAATATAGTAGATCTTCAACGAAATGAGTGCCATCACCACCGGATTGCCAATCATGCTCTAACCACCTCAGTACGCGCCGAAGGATTACAACCACGTCACCGTGGCTATTCGGATATACCTCAGTCGTCGAATTACCAGTGTCCGAGTGAGTGGGCGAGGTTAAGGCCTCGCTTACTGATGATCCACATGATTCATAGTCTTCCAACACATCATCGTCCGAAACTATAGGTGTAGGTAGCAAGTCAGCGACATTTTACCATCGATAGATAGGTGTAAAGGTGTAAAGATTGAGAGCCCTACCTTCAGATTCTTTCGTGTCGAAGACACCGCCCTCACATGTGCAAATGATGTGCCGCCCCTCTTCCAGTCTACGGGCATCAAGTAGCTCTCTCTGATTAGTGCCTTCCAAAAGACCGCTCGGCGAGTAATCGTTCCTGCCCGCGCAACGTTGTGTGTGCCAGCTAACCAGATCCCACTCTTTCTCAACCATCAAACAACTACCCAGTTCGCCCTCAAGCCACAAGTTACCGTCAGGCTGGCTACCGCATGGTGCACCTACACCACGTAAAAGGTCGTTGTACGATAATTCGAGGCCACTAAAAGACTGCGGTCTAGCCCTGACAGGGTAGCCTCGCACGATGACAGGGCGTAGCCCTTCTCGAAGCGCTCGATACCAGAGTTGGTCCCCGCACCGAGAGAGGGGCACAGACTTCTCTCTAACGGCAATCTCAAGTTCAACTCGGCTATCGAGCTTCCCCAGGCCCTAGCGCCGACAGCCATTGTGATATAGGGCTCGTTGTAACTAATATGCCCAGGGCGAGCTGGGCGCATTGCTGATGCAACCCACCCTAGCTGTTCGCCACATTCCACAATGGAGTAGGGCGAGCCTGTAACTGCAATCACTATCTGGTCTCCGGTAAGCCACACCGAAACGCTGGTCTCGTCTTTAAGGATGAAGATAACTTGCTCTCACCATTAGCTTTTGCATTTCAACAAGAACAAAAGGAATGATAGAGATATAACTGCTTACACTCGTGGTGTCCCCCAGACTCGGGGCCAATCGCTGCCGCCTGGATAGCCTTGAGTAATTCTTGACCGCACCAGGGCCACATCTCAGCCATGTATTCTCCCGCTCGGGCTACCTGAGCACCGATGGAAGACGAGGTGATGGCCGCGATATCCGATAACTGGAATCTGCATCCCATCGGTTCTGGTGCCTGCTGGCTTTGTTCAGAGATGACAGCCGCAATCGGTGTATAGGAGATTCCGAAGGTGACCGAGACCTCTTTTGGTGGCCTCAGTCTCGTCACCGCAGTCTTGGGGAGCAAACCAAAGATGGTTTCGCGAACCCCTTGAAAGGCTTTCGCATGCTGAGATACTTCCCTCTTTAGTTGAAATATGAACCATTCATATGCGTGGCCGAGGAGAATTCTTTGCCTAAGGAAATCCTCCTCACCCCAAACAGCACCACCCTGATAGGGTGTATTTTCGTCATGTTCGGTTCCCTTGTAAAGCGGTGGATCTGTCCTTCCCCCTGCTTTACTCATAAAAAGCATGCTCAGAGGTGATACATTGCAGTCGTCGACATTCCACCCTTTAGGCTCATTTTGTGAGAAGAGCAGCGCTCCTAGTTGGGCGGATATTTCTCTACAAACCCAAGAAGGTTAGTTGAGTCACCCGATAGACTATCGCGAGACGGGTAATAACAAACCTGTGTCTTTCGTGTAAATAGTCCTCAATCCCCCGTTCAGAGCAGCGGATTTATCAAGCCTAAGCTGGCTGCCAGCGCCTTTATGTAATATGGCAGAGAATCAATGATACGGTCTCTGTCGTTGATCAAGATATACTGATGCACTTTCGAACGTGTATCTCGGCATAAGTCATTGATGACTTTATGGAATATTGGCAAGTATAGGGTTGGGCCTGAACCTTCTGGCGGACAGGACTTTTCTAGGTCCTTTGAGAAGTAATTGTCAGGAAGCTGATGCGCTTCTCGCGGAACCTGGGGGTCTTGAGCTGAAACCCAAGCGGCTTGGAGCGTTTCTGGCGGGGGTTGTGACAGCGACCCGTCGGAAGAACCTAGAGAGATTTCATACTGTTATTGAGCTATCCCTCAAGCCCCTTATCAAGATTCGCGACCTAGGACGGCATTTACAAATCCAAAAACTTACTTGCACAGTTTGATGCTTCTTCGTCGCCATCTTCCCCGCCCCTTGTTGATACATGATTGAGCTTGGGCTGCGTATTTATCTGAGGTATCCGATCGACCTTGGAGTTGAGAATGACCCCGGATTCCGTTTTCACGGCTGGAAATTCAAGGCAAGCCATTCCGAAGTCCAAAAATAGGGTAGGCTGTGAAGAAGGCGACTGGACAACGACACTAATAAAGGAAGAGGGATCAGGAATTCAAAAGAGGATCAAGACAAGGCCGGCGGTATGGGAGATATAACGGGTATCTTGATTTTGACAAGTTATTTTCGAAAGCTAGGTTGTGAGAAAGTAGATCGAGGGAAGAAGAGGGAAGAAGAGGGAGGAAGGGGGATGGGAAGTTGCCAGTTCCAGTTTTTGCATATGGTTCGCCTGTTGTCGCCTTCGGCTGTGGCCTACAAGGAGCAAAGGAACAATAAAAACCAATTTTTGTGAAAACAGAGCGGATTCAATCAGCCTACCACATCCATGGCCTCTCACAGCGGTGGTTTAACTTAATGTTCGTTGGTGGATAGTGTGCCTGGCTACCTCCTTTACCTTGGCCAAGGCTCGCATGTTTATTCGCAGATGCGTCCATGTCGAACACCGGTGATGACGCGCAACTCAGAGTTACACACACCTGTGTTTGGGAGTAGCACGCCTGTGCTTTTGCCGGGAAAGCCGTTAAACTACACCTTGCTGTCCTTTGCTGCGTTTAAAAATCAAAAGCGCTTCTACTGTATTCTACGTGATTGTGAGAAACCCCGTTTATATATAAACCGAAGCCATGAGCATACATGTAGAGATCAATGCCCTGATGAGAAATTTCACCTCGGCCTCAACATTAAACTCAGGACATAGTCAAAGAATTCAGTCACCTTTAAAATGTTAAACCCCCAACGCTGATCCAGACGACGAGGTACACGCAGGGCATCCATCCGCCTTTAAATTATAGTCAACATCATGACCCTCCTTAGCCACAACGCTATCCCCTCGGCTCTTTCGAAAGAGAAGCAGTACGTACAGACGCTGAGAGCGGTCCATGGCCTTTTCCCTTCCGAAAACCTGCCCATCCGCTTTCACCTTCGGCTCCGCATCTAATATCTCTAGGTTGAGCCTTCAAACACTCCTCTCCGGACCACCTACCGTGCTCGAGCGGATGGTTATCATTGATCTAGAAATTACGGAGAAAGCGATACTTGACGGAGTCTCTCAGCGACTAGAGGAGCAGGTGCGCTTTCTTCGCAACTGGGAGCGTTCATGGCAAGAGTTGGATAAGGATCAGAACGTTGGTGGTGGCTCAACATCTTGTAGAACACGTTCCACAAATTAGAGTAGCCTCTCTGTATATAAATAAACCTGAATATTGATCTCGTCCAGGAACTTCGAGAAAGCCTTCAATATTTTTTAATCCCCCTTTCTCTTTAAACGATGTGTCTCTCTCCCTTGGATTGATCTAATAGTACCGAGGGGCCGAGGCGGCGCTCTTGGCTGCTGACCCACTTTCACTTACCTGTCTCCACAAACGCGGCCGTGAGCGCCGGCCGGGCTGGCCATACATGGACCATCCGCTGTACTCTTCAATCGACTTCCTCCACGGCGGGCGCCGTGGCTCTTGGGCATTCGTGGGTGGACGCTAAAAACTCGAATTTCTTTCTATTTCTGCCTCCTTATTTTTCGAGGATGAGCCACGCCCTGTCTCAGAGTCCGACTCCCTTGACGCCTCCTCTTCAATCTCTGTCATTTTAAGAATAAATTCGGCACGAAGGCGGGCGCGGCAACTCTGAAAGGCGTCCTGGTCCATATCGGAATTTTCCAAGGTTCGTAGTGTCTCGTCAAGGTTGAGCATGAGCTTTCGCCGACGCTGCACCTTTCTGAACTCCGAACTCTTTTGTTTTGATTGGTGTCTTTCCACCATGGACCGCGAAATCTCTTCTGCGTCGCGCAGAACTTCTTCTGGGAACCCGATAGCCCGAGCAAGAGCTATCCCGTAACCCCGCTCCTGGGAGGTTCCGGTTGCCACCTTGTACAGCATTGACAACTGGGGCACTTGTTCCGCCGTCATCGTTGTGTGGGCGGCGAGATGAAGAGCCATGACCCCCGGTTGCTGTGAAAATCCCTCCGCTATAAAATTCCCTTCAGCTCATCGCTACAAAAGAAGGAAGGGTTTCGGGAATCCCTACCAAGGTCTAGAAAATGTGTCGTAAAGAAAATAGTGCTTTTGCTCTCAAGCAGAGCTTCCGACATCGCGAGGGCAATCGAAACCCCTCGATTAGACTAGTCCCACGACCAAGTTCGTCAATGATGACCAAACTTTTCTCGTCCACGTTCCTATTGAGCTTTTATTAACCTTCCCGTGCATCGCAGCATGCCGGAGTCTTGCAACAACATATCAGACTACGCACTGTAATATGAAGGCCATTTCGCGCATCTCGACTGAGAAACTAGAAAGATTAGACTCGATGCAATCGTCTGTTGTAACCCTCGCGAAAATCTTGTCTACAATCCTGAAAGCGGCGTAATCGGCTGGAACAAAGCTGCCAATCTGGGCCATGATTTGGAGTAGGGCCACTGCGCGGATATACGTGCTCTTTCCGCTCATGTTGGGCCCAGTAATCATTTGGAACCGATACTGAGGCGTGGCATAGTAGTCGTTGGGGACAAAAGCTCGGGATGGGTCCTATCGCAAGCCGATGAGAAAGGCTCGTTGCATACACCCTATCCTAGGCTTCCCGTGTTTGACTTACTGTGTCTAAAAGAGGGTGTCGAGCAGCTTTCAGCGCCAGCGTCCCGGTTATCTCTGGTCTGCAATATCCTTTGAAGGCAGCCAAGTGAGCGAAAGAGGATGTCATGTCAAGTAAAGCTACTGACTCGCAGACTCGAAATAGCTGGGGAACTTGAACCCGCAGGCTGTCAATCAACTCTTGGATAACTTTGTCACTTTGTAAGATAGCCTCTGTCGCAGAATCGGATATCCTTTGGTTTAGTTTCTTCATGTCCATCGTCACGCAATCAATAATCCCTCGTTTCTTAATCTGGTTCACAAACACACCAGGTACTTCGCGACCTTCCAAGTCCCCAGCTTTGATTCTGAGGTAGAATAGTCGGCTATTATCAAATTTCAGACTAATGTCAAGCTGGAGGGAATCTATAATGTTGGACCAGATTAGCAAACAAAGCTTTGCTATACTCTCCTAGCCGCGAGAGCTCCTGTACCTTTTAGGTTTTCCACGTGGGCTAGAATGTCCTGAGATCCCTCTTGGTATGTCTGCCGAGCTACGTCAAGCAAGCCATTGGTACCGGGCTAGGCCCCTTATCAGAACCTTCCCTACATCAAGACTTAGCCGCGCGGGAGAGAAGATACCTTGACAGCAAAAGTTCTTTGGTTCCGTAAATCTAGTGGATTCTTAACGTAGGTTACATCTTCTTGGATCGTCTCTAAGATTAGTGCGAGAGGAGGGTTGAGCACTTCCGGGCTGCAAAGACTACGAATCTTTAAAAGTAGAGCACTTTCTGCCGGTTGAAGGGCCTCATAGAGGTTCGATACGAGTTTCAGAAAACTCTTAATCATCAAGATGTTATTGATTGCTTGTTCAGATTCACGTATAGACGGTTTCGAAGGAACAATTATGAGTTTTGTGAGAACTCTTTCGATATCGGAAAACCCGCGGAGGCCTTGTTGTAACGGTTTAGTTTCCTTGTAGGCAGCGCGCCATCCACCTATCGTCGACTTACCTTTTCGTACATAAGCAAACATCTCCTCGTTCGAAACGAATTCTTGGACGGCATCATATCTGGGGACCAAAAGGACTCCTTCAACGTTGAAGGCTGGACAAGGTTGCACCGTAGCATCCTAGCCCCCATCGGCGTCAAGGTTGCGTTGACGACGCCATATAGGGAACCTTTGACCTTGCCATCTTTGATATTGCGCATCAGCTCTAAAGAGTGTATGGTCGAGATGTCAACCATCACGGTATCCTCAGATGGCTGGTATTGCACTCGAAGAGAGTGTGGATGGATCATGATTTGGAACTCTGCTTCCAAATAGGCCATTATCTAAAAGAAGATAAGCTGTTTGCCTAGTTCTCAACTCGGGCCATATACTGGGACATACTGCTGCGAAGGAACACGTGGTATAGTAATTGCCCTCGACGGCCACCATGACTGCCTCTGCATCTTCTTTAGTGGCAAGATCCCGGATATGCTCCAGTCCCGCTGCCTCAGACCAGTACCGGCGATCAACAGGGATCAACTGAGGGCCGATTACATGTTCCTCAACCAGCGAGTACAGTGTAGACTTGGGGTAAGGGGGACAGGCAGTAGCGAGGATCAAGATCCGCGATGGCTCGTACACCTGCAGCTTGTGCACTGTTCTGACATAAAATTGGTTGTCGCAAATGTGGCTAAGGGTAACTTCACCTGTCGTTAGGTTAACAAAGCAAAGGCCAACGGTAGGAGGGATTCCTCGCCCCTCGCTTAGAGCGCATATGATTTCCTCCGATTCCCTAGCTCCGATTGACATGGCTCTCTGGGATCTGCGTCCAGAAGAGGTGCTTGGCCGGCCGATGGATGAGGCACGGGTCTCGGGTCGGATAGAGACCTGGGCCCGCACTCTACCGGCGGCAGGGAAGGGTGTTGATCGCCTCGAATTGACGCTCAAAGCCGCCACTCCTGAGCTAGACGCCGCGGCCGCCATCGGCTGCTCATTTGTGCCTGGGCTAAGTAACGACGAGCTTGCCCCAGTTGGCGTCCAGAAGCTGGAGACAGACGGTGCGAGATCCCGACTCATCGTTGCGATATCTGATCAAGTGCTCTCCCTATATTCTTCTAGGCATTCGACCCCTTTTAGAAATGTCTACGATCCTCAATGAGACAGCTAACGCATCTGAAAGTTCAGTTATGTGAAAGGGCGCCCCCGATCAAGGGGAACTGTCGACTCAGCGCTAGTGGCACCTTCAACAGCTCGGCTCCTACCTATGTGGCGGAGGTGAGCCGGTCATGGTGGCTCTTTCTTTACTTTGGGGTTTCAAGCCGCTCTTTCCCCCAAGATAAAGGTACTACCAATGTCCTCGTGTGTACAAGCCTATCGACCATCGAGTGCTCCTTCCGAATTCACAGATCTTCACTCGTCCTGAGATCAGGAAAACGAAAAGAAAAGGAAAGAAACTTCGCCGTTATCGCCAGTCACACTTTACCTCATCGTTCGTGTAGCCAGCGTTGGGGTTGGCGCGAGGTAAGTGATGAAAGGTTAACTATATGTAGGTGTTCGGGTTGCCCGAAATGAAGCTTCTTTTTCAATCTCTCTATCCATCTCCCTCTATGTTAGTCGCTGCCGGGGACACATCACAGCACAAGCAATTCATCGATGATGAGATTCGCGTTGATTTATCTCGAATTTCAACATCTTCGACAGTGAGAGGGAATGGATATTGGCCACATCGAGGGCATAAAATTAACCTTGGAGCTTTCAAGTTGGCTCAGCATGTTCAACATACTGCTACCCTTGCCTACCATGTAGCTAATGCAGTTGGTCCCGTATAATCCGTCCAAGACACACCATCAGCAAGACTGCATGAGTTGCCACTTCTTTGGGAACAATTTGATGTGTACACGCAACAGCACAGAGAAGAATAAATTGCGAAGCCAAGTCGATCGAGCCGTTATTGCCCTTTTGCTAGGCTCTATCTCCGCTTTAGGGTGACATTTGGCTAATTAACCACGCCGGGAGTGGACTCGGGAGCCGCTGACACTGCATAATAGGGTGGCACCAACCAAGCTATAATGAAGATGTCAGATAAATATCAACGCAAGCCTGAGGTCTGTTGGCAAGCGATAGTGCATATAGTATTGATTAATCCCACGAGTCCGTGATATCATATATCAAGTTCAATTCGGGAACAATAATTCCGGCCCAGGGCCGGGTCCTACGTGGTGCGGTGCCACTGTTCTTATAAATGAGAGCGCACCCCCAGCCCCAGCGCAGCATCGTAAAAGCATCAGGTATCCGGCACGACCAGTGACACAGCAGTAAACCTACACAATGCGCATAAATTCCGGTATCCTCACGCTATTGCTCGTCGCGAGCCCTGCAGTCGCAGCGCCGGCAGCAAGGCAAGAAGCGAGCGATGAATACGACTATATCGTGATTGGTAGCGGGCCCGGAGGCGGGCCTCTAGCTGTGAACCTAGCCAAAGCTGGCCACTCCGTCCTTCTCCTAGAAGCTGGAGATACTAGCTCCGGTGGTTCCGGCGAGTATCCTGTCGAGATTACCTGGGACTTTTTGTCAAGCATTTCGAGGAGGAGGAAAAGAACAAGGCAAACGACCATGGTGTCTGGAGAACTACCGAGGGGCGATATTGGGTTGGAAAGGAAGATCCGCCAGAAGGAGCTGAGTTTCTGGGCATCTACTACCCTCGAGGCGCTACGGTGGGAGGATCTTCCATGATCAATGCCATGGCCACTTGGCTTCCCGCGGATAGCGATTGGAACTACGTTGTCGAACTGACTGGGGATGAGTCTTGGAGGTGAGGCTATTCTTATACAAACCACCCGTCCTTAGAGTCGCGGGTGATGAGACTTACCTGCTAATCCATACTCAATAGTGCGGAGAATATGCGAGACATATTCGCTCGCATTGAGAAAAATAACTACCTTCCCGAAGGTACTCCTGGACACGGCTTCGATGGCTGGTTCGAGACCATGATGACAACCGGATTCGGGCCTCCCGGGAGCGGGAGTGACGCACCTGCCAATCCAATTACTGAATCCATGGCATCTGAGATCGGACTCGACCCGGCTAGCGTGCCAGAGCTCATATCCGCTGATCCTAACGCCGTGGACCCGGATCGCGATACGACCCAAGGTATATGGGGACTCCCCAGGCACCAGAGGGCCAATGGCCAGCGATATAGCTCCCGGCATTACATCCTCGAATCGATCGAGGAGGGAATCCCACTAACGCTCTCCGTGAACTCTCTTGCGACTAAAGTGCTCTTTGAAGCAGGCGAGCCGGACGATGAAGAGGCCCGGCCTCGCGCTACTGGTGTCGAATATCTTGAAGGAAAAGCCATATATGGGGCTGATCCGCGGAGCGGTGCCGACTCGGAGGATTAAGAAGACCGCAACAGCCCGCCGCGAGGTTATTGTTTCTGGGGGCGCTTTTAACACGCCTCAAATTCTTATGCTCAGTGGAATCGGCGACGCGGCCCAGCTCGAGGAATTTGATATTCCACTTGTTGTTGACTCGCCTGGCGTTGGAGCTGCCCTCATGGATAACCAGGAAATGCCCGTCGTCGGCCAGACTGCTGGATCCGTAGGTTTCGGTGACCCTGGATTCACCATGATCCAGACCGAGAACTCCACGTATGGGGAGCGAGACATGTTCATCATGCACTTCTCCGGAGGTGTTTTCCGCGGTTTCTGGCCCTCGAACCAGACTAATACCTTGCCACCAGAGGTGCCTCGCGTGTACGGAACATCACTCGTCAAGCAACATCCACTCACTCAAGCGGGCTACGTGCGCCTACAGTCTTCCAGTCCGCTCGATACCCCAGATATCAACTTCAACCTGTACGTCGACGAGGGACGTGATGCCGATCTTGCCAGCATGAGAGAGAGCGTGGCCTGGGTTCGGAGGGTGTATGCTAACGTCGCCGCCCCGGCCGGCCCCGTTGAGCCCCTGGAGCCTCCATGCCCGTCCGGGATCAAAGATGACGGACACTGCACAGATGAGGAAGAAGACAATGAGTGGATCATCGGCCACACCTTTGGCCATCATCCGACTTCAACCGTCCGGATCGGTGCTGACGACGACCCGATGGCAGTGCTGGACTCTAAGTTCCGCGTCCGGGGTGTCGATGGCTTGAGGGTCGTTGACGCATCCGTATTCCCCCGTATCCCAGGCGTATTTCCGGTAGTAGCTACCTTTATTGTCAGCCAAAAGGCAACGGATACGATCCTCGAGGAACTATCCGAAGAGACTGATGTGGAGGAGTAAGATTCGGTACCACAATGTCTCAATAGCAGTGTTTTCTTTACCCAAGCTTTGCGTGTTTCCATAGTCAGCAAATCGCGAAAGAATTTTGCGTAAATAAACCAGGCATGGACGAGTCCATTGCATCCCGGTGCTCAAAGGCTTATGGTGCGCTGACTCCGCATCAATTCTGCAGCTAACCGCGTCCCTTGGTGGGCAGTTCGGAATGGGTGGATTATTCTTTGGGCATTTTGAATGCAGGCCTAGATTGCCCTCGCCCTCTATCCTTGCAAGTACGAACGAGGGATGAGAGCAGCGCCGCTCATCCTACCCTTAGTTTCTGGTTGGCTACTATGCGAACGGGGTTTGATTACTCGTTGTTATTGACGGTAGGCTTACTACCGTGTGGGCCGCAATCATGTTGCACCCTCCCGAGGCATGTCAGATTCTCGGTTCCGCTTCGCCGCGGGCTGGCCGGAAGTGCGACCCTGCATGACACAGGCTGCAGAGTGCCCTCAGCCCACTAAAACTAGACCGTGTTCATCTCTGTCGGCGAAAACGTGAGGGCCTCAAGGCCAACGCCCTGTCTCAAGCCTAGGCCCGCATTGTCGACCCCGTGAGAGCGAGGTGATGAAGATGGCGGACGCCTATTCGCCTTGGCGTGTGATTCGGAAAGACTAGAGAAGAGGAGGGGTAAAGGGGGGCTGAGGGAGGGGCAGCGACGCCACAGCTGATATATTGGTGCAACGCGATGAAGAGGAGAAGGCGATCAATTCAGAGGAACCGCGTCAGACGATGTGATGACATTCTCGGCTCTGTTCTAGATTGCGGAGCTGCACTATGGAGAGAAGAGAGAGCTGACGTACGGCATGGGTCAGACAACAAATGAGGCCAGTTGAGAAGGTGGCCGTCTATATAATGTCCGGGGATCCTCACACTTCCGGAGACTTTGCAAAGGGTAGGTTCTTGAGTAGGGAAAGTGAGGATCTACAACTATCAAGACCACAAGAGGAAGACATATACAATCATCAACCAAAATGAGTACTCTAAATAACTTACCGGTCGTTGGAGTCAAGGTCACCCCAACCCCAGATGGTGAGCTTCCTTTTCTCATCATGTAATCCAACTCTAGCTAACGGATTGTCAGGGTCGGTGCCCTTGAGGCGTGAGATTAGGGAGCTCCAAGAGCGGTTTCCCGAGCAGTTTAGTATCTTCATCTTGGCTATGCGGGCTCTTCAAGCCAAAGACAAGAACGATCCAACTTCGTATTATCAAATTGCCGGTAAGGAGTTACCTTTGCCCATGGCAGTTTGACTTCTCCACGAATCTCTATTAAACATCGAGTCTCCTATTAGGAATCCATGGGATGCCCTACAAGATTTGGAACAACGCCAGAGGCCTTTCTAGTTTCCAGTTTGGGGGATACTGCACCCACTCCTCCATTCTCTTTCTCACATGGCACCGGCCTTACTTGGCCCTCCTGGAGGTAAACTTTTGGTTTCCAAGGTGTATCAATGTATAGCGTGGGTAAGGTGAAAGGGCTAACGGAAACACTTCTTCCAGCAATCACTTTCCGCTACTGCGCAAACTATTGCCTCACAGTACCCCGAGAATATCCGCAGTCGTTATGTCGAGGCAGCCAAGCAACTTCGCCTTCCCTACTTCGATTGGGCAACCCGCGTTCGGGAGCCTGCGCCATCGCTCCCTAATTCCATCGCCCAGGCTCGGATCAGCATCGTCGATATTGACGGCCGCCAGAAGACCATTGACAACCCGTTGTTTTCCTTCAATATCTCTCAGGTGCAGCCGGATCGGGGAGACCTGGCTGGGACGGTGAGTCTTCCATTCTAGAGTGTCCCTCCGAAACTCGTGCATAGGGCCATACAGGATAAAAGCTAAAACAACATCATTCGCGACTCGTAGTGGGCTAATCGGCCTCGGACCCTGCGTCATCCTGATTCACGGGGTAACTCTCACAACGAGCTGATCGAGCAGGAACTTGACAACGAATCGGCTTCCCTCCGTCAGGAACTCTCGCTACTCTTGCTCTCCGTCACCGATTATGACGACTTCTCCAATAGCACCTGGCGCACCGGCGGCCGCCTCCGTGCTACCACCAGCCTCGAGAGCGTCCACGACGACATCCACGGCCGCGCGGGCGGCAGCCGGGGCCACATGTCCTCGCTGGACGTCTCTGCCATGGACCCCATCTTCTGGCTGCACCACTGCAACGTCGACAGGGTCTGGGCCATGTGGCAAGATCTCAACCCCGACGAGTTCATGTCTGCGCGCCCGGCCCCATTCACCAACTTCACGGTCCAGGCCGGCGCCATCGAGGACGAAAAGTCGCCCCTTAGCCCGTTTTGGGACGAGACGGGCACGCGGTTCTGGACCTCGGACAGGGTCAAGAGCACCATCACGTTTGGTTACGCCTACCCTGAAACCCAGCGCTGGGGCTACGCCACGCTCGCGGCGTACCAGCAGGCCATGCGCCGGACGATTGCGAGCCTTTACGGTAGTAACCCATTCCTCAACTTTGCCCAGACCATCGCTCCCAAGGACGTTGCGGCGGAGAGACCAACTTTTGAGTCACTCGCCGCAAACCCATCATCTATGATGGGCGTGCGTTCCCTGGCTGCCAACGTCAAATTGGCCGCAAGGAGCGTTCCCGCCCAGGTGCCACTGGGCGAAGAGCCCAAGGCCGCCGAGAACAACATCAGGCTTGCCGCAGTCGAGGACCACAAAGAAGCCCCTCAACCTCCGGCGGAAGCACCCAAGGCTCCTTCTACCGCACCTGCAGCCCAGGAGGCAACCCCTCCGCCACCCCAGAACCCTATTCAAAAGGGAAATCTTTCAGGTAAGATCAAGCCCCTCCCCCAACTTCATTCATAACTGCGAGATACTAATCACCTCCTCTCCACCTTAGACCCGATTCCCGATGATATGAAGCGTCTGTGCCCTGGTGGTCATTACACCGACTGGGTTGTCAATGTACGTGCTCAGAAACACGGGTTGGGCCAGACATTCCGCATCATCGTCTTCCTTGGCGACTTCAGCCCGGACGCCGCTGACTGGGCGGGCAACGCCGAATATAACACCGTGGGTCGTGTCACGATGCTAGGACGCAGCTCGGAGACGCAGTGTGGCAAGTGCCAAGAAGACCGCGACAACGAGCTTGTGGTGGCGGGTGCTGTCCCCTCACATCCGCGCTTCTCCAGGACATCGCGGCTGGCAAACTGCAAAGCCTCAAGCCCGAAGACGTGGTGCCGCACCTCAAGACGGATCTTCATTGGCGAGCCAAGGTTTTCGAGGGGACCGAGTTCCCCATCGATCAGATTCCAGGTTTGAAAGTGAGCGTCTGCTCGATGCCCGTGACCCTTGGCGATGACGGTGTGCCTGTCTTCTCGGGAGAGTACACCGTCCACCCGGAGGCAACAGCAGGCAAGGCCGGTGGCCTTGAAGGGGCCGACGAGTGGTAAATGGAAAATTTCTTGACTACCTATCAGGACCTAGGTTGGGTCTTAAGGTAAATCAGTTGCCTGGGTATCGCAGACTGTCTATTGTATTTGAAATAGGAAAGGAGAAAGAAAAGAAGAAAAAGAGGTTGCGATGAATATGAACAAGGGATCAAAAGATACCCAACATGACTTTTTGCCCCGTAAAATAGAACCACTCTCCATAAAACGCCGCCAGGTGAGTTCATAAATGCGTGACAATATAATGACAATCTTCGTAAGAGGAAGAAGTCAGAAATAGGTGAGCGAGAAAAAGAAGCAATGGACAAGGCGAGAAAGGCGGGGCTTAAAAGCCACACGCCTCTTCCGACCCGTGTACTTGGAGGTCTGCTTGACGACCTTGCCCTTGCGTTCCATCTGCTCCTTCTTCTTCATGATCCATGCCTTGCTGCCCTTCTTGATCTCGCCCCTGCCACTCTTCGTCGATCGTCTCGTATCCATGACATCAACGTCCTCCATTCCATCAACAACAGCGGTAATGTCACCGCTCGAGCCTTCGGCAGTCGCGCCGCCCACCGTGAGGACGAGATACAATTTCATATTCTTGGTACCCGGATCATCCTCGAGAAGACCGGCACCGAAGCCGGCCTTGATGGCAGCCTGCGTGATCATGTCGCGCTGAGTATCGTTCTTGGGGTAGAACTGGCACACGGCCCTACCTCCGCGCCTTATGGAGGCGTACAGGCCATTGAAGAAGCGGGTAAGGCGCCCCGCAGGCGAGGTATCGCTGCTTTCGGCGTTGCATAGCCACTGGATAGCTGAGATGCTGATGGCCGCATCAAAGGTGCCTGGCCGAAAGGGGACGCCCTGGCCAATGTCGGCCAACATCAAGTCGCCCTCGACGTCTCTTTGGAGGGCCACGTCAAGCATGGCGGGGAGATATCCATGCCAACCCAGGTATGAGGACCCCCATCCTCAGGGTCAACGGCAGAAAGAATCTCACCGGACAAGCCACTCCCGCAGCCGATATCGAGAATGAAGGAGGGGTGCTTGAGATCGAGGAGCTCGAGAGCACGGCGGGTCATGGTCGCTTGGATATTCTGGATACGGGAGGAGGTGGTGTACTTGCGCGCCTCGGTGTCATCGTAGTGGATGTCGGCGGCGCTGTCCAAGAGGAAAATTAGAGGTCATATCGGCGGGCGGTGAGGGGCACCTGAAGGGACAGGAACAGGTCGACGATATCTTGAGAACTTACAGAGTATCCTCCGGCCGAGACATTTTGGAGTAGGTGTATTCTAAAAAGACTCCTTGAATCTAGGTTTGCGCCAACTGCCCCGCAAGCAGAAGGTTCCTTGTGAGAAAATCTTTGGGCGACTTTTCTTTTAACTCGTGATATGCTGTGAAATTTCCGTGGGCGCCGATGAATTCCTCGAATTTTTGGTGGGGCAGCTCTTGCTCGGTGTCCCTTATCTTATCGATGGAGTATACTCGGCTAATCTCGGAAAGACCTCCTATTTTAATTCGCCTTGGTTTAACCTGGGCACAAGAGCAAACGAGCTGGTGCTGGTGAGCTTTGTAACCAATGATAGGCCCCAACGGGAGAGACATCACAAATTGAAAAAGCTTCCCTGCTCAGCGGGTTCCTCTCTGGCCTATCAACTCAGAGGAAAAGCTGAAAAGGTGTCCAAAACCACAATCTTCCCAAATCCACCTTTCGTCTTTTTTTTTCTCTCTTTTCCCACGCGTCTCTCCCCTTTCTCTATTTTCTTCCTCTCAAGCCGAACCTCTCCTCACATGGTGGAATAAGCTCTACCATCGCCCACCATGATGCTGGTTATGCGTTTAGTCGGATGGCTGGGCTCGTTCCTGGGCTTCTGCTTCCTCACACTCGCTATTGGTAGGTTGATAAACTCGATCAGTTCTGACCCGCGAAACACTGTTGGATGAGGTACTAACTCGTGCATGACTTTGCAGCATCTGGCCTGTACTACCTTTCCGAGATCGTCGAAGAGTACACCGTCCTAGCAAAGCGGGTGCTTCTACGTGTCATATATTTCGTGATCGGCCTGCTCTTCTTTGCGTGGGTCTTTGACAGGTTGCCCTTTACTCTTACGCTCCTAAGCATCATCTCCCACGTCATTTACCTGGGCAACATGCGGAGATTTCCTATGTCCAGCTCACAGATCCTCTGTTCCTCGCGTCTTGCGGTAAGACTTGACCCTCATCGCCTACATTTTCGTATGCTCGGTTGCTAATTGGCGTTCAAAGGGCTCGTCATGCTTAACCACTATGTCTGGTTCCAGCATTTCTCTTCCGTCCAGAAAGAGTCGTACCGCAACATGTCCTCGTACTATGATAGGCCAGAAGCCCCTAGCTTTACCCAGATCGCTTCCTTTTTCGGCATCTGCGTGTGGCTGGTACCATTCTCCCTGTTTGTAAGCCTGTCTGCGAATGACAATGTTCTGCCAACCATGGGCTCTTCGGAGCCCCGGATGGGGTCAGACGGCAAGGGACGAAGGCAAGGCCTCGTCAAAGCTGTAGTGGACGGTATCTTGGGAGCTATCGGCCAAGTCACTGGCCAAGGTGAAGACCGACGTGATGTTTGAGCATCGTGATTTGCTCTAGCCTGCTAGTATCTCGCTTTACTTTTTCATTCCCGCTCCACACCGAATGCGTTTGACAGTTTGCCGGGACTGGGCGATACCAAGCTCAGATGGATTCTTCAACTGTGCGCTTGAGCCGAACGCCTGGAACCAGTAGCCCAAGGCTGGGAACGTCTTGAGGAATATATGCCTGGTTGAGTAGTGCGTTGGTACCTGACTCTGTCAAGCAGCGATGAAATTACATAGTGAGTACTTTTTCTGCTTTTTCTCGACACACAGTTGTCTCATTCCTCCCAGCCAACATGATGAATTCCTTAATCACGCTAGATGTTATCTGATCAGAGCACAGCTCTGGATGATCTTTCTACCTTATGTCATAGTTACTCTGATTGGTTTCCCCATTTCATGCTTTTTTTTTTAAAGCACGCCTGGCCCTTGAAGCCCCAATTTGCCCTAGATTCAATTCCGTTGGGTTGCATGTGAGAGCTAACAGAAATGCAAGAACCATCTGTGGAACAGACGTCAAGAACGTGCTTGGGGAGAGCGATTGCTGGAATGCCTCGCCACCCAACCCATCCCTTATCTCGCTTTCAACTGCGAGCGCCGGCGGCGCTTGGGATGTAATATCCCCTCGCGCAAAGCGGCGGAAGAGCGCCTTCGGAGGCTCTACTATTGTTTGTCAGCGGGTCTCAGACATACTAGAAGCCCCTATGGCTCCCAAATTGTTGTTCCTGATCCCAGGGTGATGGGAAGACCCGCCTCCCTCGTGGCGGATGACACGGGAAGGTCATGTCTCGTTAAAAGAAAGAGCATGAAGGCCCCACGCTCCGAGTTGGTAAAGCCGCTTGGCAACTACTTGCAACATGTGATTGTGGCAGTGAGCCTTTGGTATCCGCCAAGATTTGTAGGGCTGCCTCCCGGCATGATGGGACTGCCGGAGATGTCTACGTCTCGAACCTTGATTGTTTATGTAGTCGAAATAATTTTTGAATACCTGCATCGAAGGCACAGCCAACAATTCTAGATCTTTTTGCCTCCTTCGTTCTGGATACTCTTGATCTTGCAGAGGTAATGGCATTGCATTAGTCATCCATAAATTGTGGCGGGTGTCTATGTGTGGCGCAGCCGCACGTGGTCAAACGCAATGTATCTTTGTAGTAGACTACGCCCGAGAGAGGTACCTGCTCCTTGTCCACCGCTTCAGGTCAAGTTTTCAGGGTCGGGGAAAGCCAATGTCGCCAAGGACTTGATCCGGCGAAGCTTACGCCACCTCAGCGCAAGTGGATCAATGGATGCGAAGGGAATACGCCAACCATACGTACATCCACACGTCACTGGCTGGAGGCAGCCGGGAACCTTATATGCCCCACGTCCCCTTGACCATTTTCCGCCGCGCAACACCTCGGTCTGGTGTGTCCCTGAAGCAAAGGACTTTAATTCCCCTCTCTCGTTCCCCCTCTGAGCCGCGCTAAAGCAAGGCAGTGCAACGGAAAGAGTTTGAAACAGATTCCTTTTCTTTCCTTTTGCAAAGACCGGAACGAAGTGGCCGGCGAGGCAGCAGAATTTCTAACAACGCGCGGTTGTGGTTAGGTGGGGCGGACACACCCCATGGCACGCCAAGGCTCGCCCTCCCTCCCGGGGATGGAAACGGGGCGGGACGCCGCCCATAGTTGGGGAATCAATGGTGGCGAAGGAAGCTGCCAGGGCCAGAGCCCGCCGGCGGGCTATGTTTGCGTCACACGAGCTACTGGGAGGGAAGGACTTGCCCTCGTTGACTATATAAATACATGACGTCCACGTCAGGGTCTTTTCATGGGGATCCTTTTTAAACTTTGAACTAAACTGTAAAGGCGTAACGCTCAAATCCCGTTCCCCTTTATATCTGTTCTCTCTCTCCCCTCCCAGATACCTCTTTCGTGGTTATGGGATACTTGTTTGTCAAACCCGAAGAAAAGACAAACATGAGACAGACAGTCGATTCAGCACTCAACACGGCCGGCCTCGCTGACGAGCAGCGGGGCCTCCTCGACCTCGTCGACAAGCTCCAATTCGCACAGCTCGACAATGTCAAGCTACCCCAGATCGTCGTCGTGGGCGACCAGTCCGCGGGCAAGAGCTCCGTGCTCGAGGCCCTAACGGGCACGCCTTTCCCCGCGACGCCGGCGCCTGCACGAGATTTGCTACCGAGATCCGCATGAGGCGGTCCAAGGAGGACGTGCTCAACGTGTCCATCATCCCTGACAAGAACAGGCCGTTCAATGAGCAGCAGCGCCTCAAGCAGTTTGGCGGCACCGTCAACCAAAACACGTCGTTTGACAGCATGATGCGCGATGCCGGCGAGCTCATCGCCCCGCGCAATATTCCCGGGAGGTTTGCGGCTCGTGACATTCTCGTCGTAGAGAAGACGGGTCCCGATATGCCTCTCCTCACGCTCGTCGATTTGCCCGGTCTTGTGCGCGTTGCCAACCGTGATCAGTCCGACGCCGACATCCAGACCATTGAGGCCCTTTCGGACCGCTACATGAAGAGCTCTCGGACCATCATCTTGGCCGTCATCGGCGGAAACAATGATTACGTCCAGGCCCCGATCTTGCAAAAGGCGCGCCAGTTCGACCCCACGGGCTCACGCACCATTGGCGTGCTCACGAAGCCCGATCTTACCGAGAAGATTGGTCTCGAAGACAAGTTTATCGGCCTCGTTACCAACAAGGATAAGGAGAACCACTTCAAGCTCGGCTGGTTCGTCCTGCTTAACCCGGGCCCTCCCGCCAAAGGTGAGGAGTGGCCCTCCCCGAGGACCGCAAGCTTCGAGAGGACGCCTTCTTCAGCACCGGCAAATGGAGCACGCTCCCGCCCAACATGTGCGGTGTCGGCCCCCTTCGCCAAAAGCTCAGCGTGCAGCTGCAACGCCACATTGGCCGCCACGTCAACACCCTGCGCAAGCAGATCCAAGAGGCCCACACCCGCTGCGAGGCCGAGCTCAAGGCCCTCGGCGTGGGCAAGGACACGGTCGAGGAGATGCGCTTCCAGATGGGCGAGCTCTTCTCCGCCTGCAACAACCTCGTGACCGCGTCAGTCAACGGCAACTACAAGAACCCGCCCGGCGAAAGGTTCTTCCCCAAGGCGGCCACCCGCAAGGGCACTCCCGGCCAGAGGCTGCGCGCTCGTGTCCGCGAGGAGAGTGAGCGCTTCTCTCAGCGCTTCCGCGACTCTGGGCGCAAGGTCGGCTTCTCCGAGTCGGAGCAGTCCATCGTCCCCAACGGCATGATGGGCGGCCGCTCCAAGTCCGAGTTTGCCAAGCGCGAGGTCGAGCCCCTGCTTCGCCAGATTCGCGGTACCGAACTGCCCATGGACTCGAACCCGCGCGCCCCTTACATCCTGTTCCAGGATTACTCGGAGAACTGGCCCGTGCTGGCCCAGGAGTACAAGGACAACGTCGGCGTCATCTGCAACGAGTTCCTCGCCGAGGTCGTCGAGTACGTGTGGCCCACGCGCATGCGCGATCCCCTGCGCGGTCACTTCCTCGAGCCCAACGTGGCCGAGCTGGTGCAGAGCGCCGAGAAGGAGCTCTCTCGTCTTGTCGACGATATGGAGCTCGAGGTCCAGCCCTTTGACCCCGAGTACGAGGAGCGCCTCCGCGCCTGGCGTGTCAAGGCAGCGGAGAATGGCGCGAGCTACTCGAGGCCGAAGAAGTTCTCGAAAAGATGTTGATCTACTATGATGTAAGTAACGCCACCCCCTGTATCTTTTTAACTCTCCTCTTCTGTGTTTTCAGACCCGCTAACATGGATTTCCTCTAGCTCACTGGTCGCATCTTCATCCGCAACGTCATTACACAGGTTGTGGAGCGCCATCTCCTGCTCGGCATGCTTCGCCTCTTCAATCCCCTCCAGATCCTCAAGATGGAGAACCAAGTCGTCGAAGGCATCGCCGCCGAGGATAAGCTCACGCGCGACCGTCGCATGGCTCTCAAGCAACAGAAGAAGGCCATCGAAGAGGCCAAGAGCCTCTGCGCCAGCCTCGCCATGCGCAGCGAGCTCCGCGGCTTCGACGGCGCCTTGGAGGACAACGTCGACTCCGATGACGAGGAGGATATGCATAGGTACGCTGATGCGCCCGCTTTCCAACAGGGAAGAGGACAGCAGCAGCAGCAGCAGCAGCAGCAGCAGCCGCGTCAGGAGCAGTCACGCCAAGAGCAGTCGCGCCAGGAGCAGCAGATCCCCCTCCAGAGGGAACCGCAGAGATACTCCCAGGGACAGACTCAACAGCAGGTGGAGCAACAGAGACAGCAGCAATTGATGCAGCAAAGGCAACAACAGATTTTGATGCAGCAGCAGCAGCAGCAGCAGGCCAAGTCTCAAGGCCGTCCCGGCTCCCGCGCCGATAACCAGCGCGATTCTGCTGAGTGGAACTACTACACAACCTCGGGTGATCACTCCTCCGCACCCCAGGTCCCTTCCTCCGCCCCTCCCCCTCCTCCTAGGCCCCCAAGCCTGAAGAGGACGGAGATGCGGATAGCCCTAGGTCCTCGTACCCTCAGTCGCCCAACCGGCCTGACTCCAAGCGCGAGAGCACCCGCCACAGGTATAACATCCTCGGCCGCTAAAGGAAGCAATGAGAAAATTGAAACTGTATAGCATGGTATGATGGATAGCTTTCACCTTCTCTCTTTCCTAGACTTTATCTTCATCTTTATTCTCGGGCGTTCTGTGCATGGGATTGAATATTATCAGGTTTTGGCTTTTTTCCAATAGAGCGGGACATATGGGTATAGGAATTAGATAGCACCAATGAACGAAATGAAACAACACAATACAATTTCCAAAGATTCACTGTGAAGCCGTGATAACCTCTCTTTCTCCACTTGTGTAGTGATGCAGCCCAAGACATCTTTCGACTTTCTGTTTTCAGTTTTCTCTAGCGCTTGGTGAAAGGGAAAGAAGAAACCAACCCAAATCTAAACTACAAGTCCAACACCATGCATGACCTAACCGAAATTCTTTTTTGTACTTTCTCTTCTGCAACACCCCTCGACCTCCGTCCTGCCTTTTGTATATAGATCCAATCGGTGTGCCAAAACATCCTAGTTCTTCTCAACGTTTCCGTCCTCCTGCCTAACCTTGAAGCACCAGTCAAATGTATCTTCGACCTTGCCAACCTGGATGCCCTTGAGCTGTCCGAGGAGCTTGAGGCAGATGGAGCCTGGTTCCTCCTGGCTGTCGGCAATATACACGACGGTTTCAGAGCCGTCGGCCACGGAGAGGCGATCGTGCTGCTTGAGAGTGGCGGCGAGGGAGCGGGGGTTGGAAGAGGGGATCGAGCGGGTGATGGAGCGGATGGGCACGAGACCGGCAGCGGTGCCGGCAGCCATGACCTCGGCAAAGTTGGGAAGCTCGGAGTACTTGATCTGTAAAGATTAAAAGACAAATCGTTAGCAAGCACTTCCAAGGGAACAGAAAGAATCCGCTTCCCGGGGTATGTCTTTGTGGAACACTTACCACGCGCTTCTCGACAGCCCAGCCGAAGCTACGAGCAATCTCCTGCACGCTGTCGCTCGTGACGCTGTCAATCACGGCCTTGGAGTCAGGCACGACAATCGTCACCTTGTCACCATCGACCAGGGCACCGATGAAACCGCTGGTGCTGAACTCATCCACCTCCTCGTGGTTCACGCTGTCCAAGTGAAGAGTGATGTTGTAGCCCTCATCCCGCGCCTTATCCGTCCACCTCAAAACGGGAGCGTAGTTGCCGCCCACCTTGGCGTTTCCGGTACCGTTGGGCGCGGCCCTGTCAAAGTCGTCGAGGATCATGCAGCGCACGGGGTGCACGCCGTGGTAGACGCCGGTGGGCACGACGAAGACGCAAAACATGTACTCCTCGGGCGGGTTCAGGCCGAGCTGGGCGCTCGAGCCGTAAATCTGGGGGCGGACGTACATGGCGGCGCCGGTCTCGTGGGGCGGGACGAACTCGGCGTTGAGCGCGACGGCGGCGCGGCAGGCGGCGACAAACATGTCCTCGGGGACGGGAGGCATGGACGCCACGGCGGCCGAGTGCTGCATGCGCACCGCGTTCTTGTTGGGGCGGAAGATTTGGATGGCGGCGTCGGAAGGGGTGCGGAAGGCCTTGAGGCCCTCGTAGGCCTGCTGGCCGTAGTTGAGGGCGGGCGACATGCCGTGGATCCGGATAAAGGGGTCGCGCACAAACTGGAGGGGCGACCACTGGCCCGTCTTCTTGGACCAGTGCGACTCGATGTGGCCGTTGACTATGCGAGTGGGTAAGGTTGCCTTGTTAGCCCGAGGTCGCGCAGAGGGAGGAGAGGGGAGGCCCAATCCAGCAGCCATACCTTCGCGAATCTGGAAGCCAACATTGGCCCAGTCGATGCTGGCGGTGGCGGGGGAGGGAAAGCAGCCATTGCGGGAGGGGAGAGCGGTGTCTCGGCTTCTTTGTGAATGAGGATAAGCTACGAAGGAAGGGGGGCGGGAGAGGGCGTTGGAGAGTGAGAGCAGGGAGAAAGTGAAGCACGAAAGAGCAGGAAAACAGCTCGGGATCCCGCGTTTGAAAACGATAGTGTGGGGAAGAGATTTTGGGTCTAGCGGTGCTTTTCCGGGCAGAGGGTTTAGGAGGCGGGGGTGTCAAGCTAACGAGTCTCCAGCCGAAACTAAAGGTGATGAGATGATGGGCGCGCCACCGAAACCGAGCCCGAGGGTAGCACAACCTGCGAGCGAGCACTCTCCGCCGCCCGACCGTTCCGGAATAGTCTTTACCGACAGTCCTGTGGCTACACGTATTTCCCACGCTTTCCCAAGGGGCAGGTAATGTACATCAAGGTATATTCCATGTGCTCTCCCTTGCGAGACCCTTCTATTCTAGGGGTTTTGCTTGCCGATGCTGTGAAATCCGGGCTTTGCGACTGGTCCCGATGTCGGAGTCATGTTGCCCCTCCCCGCATCGCATTTTCTTCCCGACTTTTTTTTTTTTTTTTTTTTGGGGAGGGTCAGGGGAAACGCCAACAGCCATAGCAACAGATTAAAGTGTGCATTAGAATTATACGTGATACGCCTTGAATCCTCTGCCATTGGCTGGGGCAGGATTATTCATGACATCCATGTATTGAAGATTTGGAAGATATAAAATACAATAAATATAGAACAACTCGCCTCTGGTTCTCTTCTTTACAAGAGGCAACTTGAAAGAGGCAGAATGTTAGAGGAAGGTAGCTAGTCATCAATTCGGATGAAGTTTGTATATCCCCCGGTCAGGCAAACCGAAGAAACGGACAAGTGGCTCTTGGGGAGATCGGGCTGTTATAGCATGGTCTCAGCTCATACAAGAGCCTTCTTTCTGGTGGCACTGCCGTCGCGAATACTGTAGAGAGGACAGACGGCCGCGCCGAGAAGCCTTGACGAGGAGCAGGTGCAAAGTAACTTGAATAATGTAGGCGCTCGTGACTACGGGCCTGCCCATCATGTTGATCAATTGGAAGACGTTCAGGCGGGCAATTGTGCGGAGTGAAAGCCCTCCGTACGTATAGGTAGACGCCCTGCATGTCCTTCCTTGGAAGGCTCGAAAGATGCTTCCTAGTCGACCAGGTCCGCCCCGAGTCGCCCTGGCCATGGTCCCATAGGTACGACGGGGCGAAGAGAATGCAGAGGGCTCCTACTCCAATGGCTATTCCACAACGGACTGCCATCATGGCAAGGCGTGATTCCATGCACCCATGGATAGATAGATATATTGGTATTTGCACAAGGTGACGAGGATGCATCCGAGGATGCCAGCCACATTCTTAAATGGCGAGCCTTCAAGCCACAGCCAGTTAACATCGTAAAGCAAAGACAGATGGATCCATTGGTTCCGTCTCCCCCTCCCGAGTTCCCATCGAATTACTGACATGGATGATGTGTGCCCATGGCAAAAGTATTGGGACAACACCCTCCATTCCTATCTTAGCCCTTCTTGTTGGCGGAAAAAAGTAAAGAGATAATTCCGAGACACAGAGGCCAGGAAACAAAAAGCACGCATAAAACATGGAGAGACCGTCATGATGGAGAGACAAAGTGAGCAAGGAGAATAATGAAAATAATAATAAAAAAGGAAAGTAATATTCGAGGAGAGTGGGAACTCGCTTGCGCCAACTTCGGCATGCAGGCTGGTATCAAGGCAAAATCCATAGTGACCATGATGATAAAAGTTAAGGAAGTTTTCCATTGTTGAAACAGTAAAGTCAACTGGACCAAGTGCAAATCCGACCTCGCAAACACCCGCCATCTCCCTAAACCCTGAGAAAACCACGCATGGCAGAAAACGAAAGGAAAAGGAAAGGAAAACAATCCATGCCAGTTCATACTCGAATTTTACTTTTTCTTTCCTTGTTCGTACCGGGCATTTCCGTTTGCATCCCTCATCTCAAGATATGGACGCGACGTCAACAAAAAAACACACAAGATAGCCGACTTACTCCCCAAATGAGGGTCTCATGCATCATTTACTGATCCCCAGACATGGTCAGCGTATATACTCAAGTTGGACAGTAGCAGTCGTTGAACGTACCTGAGGGGGCCAGGGGGACCAGGAGGGACGGGAGGTCCCTGGAGAGGTCCAGGAGGGCCCTGAGGAGGGCCTTGGGGCTGGGGGCCCTGAGGGCTCATGCCGGGACCGCCGAACTGGTGACCGCCGTACGGGCCGTGGTTAGGACCCATGCCCATATAATGAGGGGGAGGAGCGGGGCGGTAGGGGTACCAACGCCCGAGTTGTTCTGCGAACGGCCCCAGCTGAGGCGGACGCGCGAGTTACCAATGGGGTAGCCCTGCATCTGATTGATGGCCATCTCAGCGGCATGGCGGTGAACGAACTGCACGAAGCCGCAGCCCTTGCCAGGAGGGATCTTGACGTAGGTGATTTCGCCAAAGCCCTGGAAGAACGATCGAAGTTCGTCTTCGGTGACGTAGCCCGAAAGACCACCAACGAACACGGTGGTGTTGTTAGGGTCGGTGAACTGGTTCATCTGAGTGGCAGGGTTGAAGCCGCCACCACCACCACCGCCGTAGGGAGGGGCGAAGGGAGCGGGCCACATGTGCTGCTGAGGAACGTTGTTCATCATCGAAGGGGGCGTGGTGACCGGGGAAGCCGTGCGATCTATCTCTTCGTCAGCAGCATAATCTCAATGTTTACGAACCCATCCATCGCGGACGTACCGGTTCTTGGGAGTGGCAGTCGAAATGCGCATGGGACGGCTGCCGCAATAGACACCCTGCATCTCAACCAGGGCTCGCTGTTGGTCAGTCTCATCAGAGAAGCGAACGAAACCATAGCCACGGCTCTGGCCCGACACAGCATCCGTCATGATCTTAGCCGACTTGCAGCTGGGGAAACGAGCCTGGAAGAGAGCAACCAGGACGTACTCGTTGACCTCGGGGCCAAGGTCGCCGACGAAAATCGAATACTCGGGACCACGATCATCACTTTGTTTTTAGTTTAGTTAGCACAAACGGAGGCACATCGCCAGGATGCAGCGCAAACAAAGAAAGCTTACCGACGATCGACAAGACCGCCACCGGAAGCCCAGTTGAGCTTGAAAACACGCGTAGAATTGGGAATGGCAGATCCATTCAGGCCAAGGGCGGACGTAGCAGCTTCATTGTTAGGAAACTCAACAAAGCAATATCCGGCACTTCTGGCTCAACGTGGTTAGAGAAGCATCCATTTCTCAGCATATGTGTCTCAGCAGGGCACCTTACCCAGAGTTCTTGTCTCGGATAACCTTGACGTTCACGGTTTGGTCAGAGCAGGTGCGGAAAACTCCCTTGATGAAGTTCTCGTCCATCCAAGGCTCAAGTTCGCCCATCCTGTAGCGAGGGGATCGAGTCAGCATAAATCCTGGCCCATTCAAAGTCTAGAAGGTCGGTTGCTGAACGGGCTTACCAGAGGGTGTTCTTGGCGGTATCATTGGGGCCCTGGCCAAGAGGCTGAATGTCGCCTCCAGGGGCCGCGGCGGGGGTAGTAGCGGGAAGCTCATTTTCAAAGGTATTTCTGTCAAAATGAAAACGATTAGCAGTCTAGATTGGGAACGTGCGAGGCGGAGCCGCGAGATACTACCCATAAGCGCGCAGTTGTTGGATGAGATCAAGGGGAAAGTATGTGAAAGGATGTGTGTGAAAGGAGGAAACATACCAAGTCCAAATCAGGGAATGAGGCAGGAAGAGAAAACAAAGACCAAGAAGATGGAAAGAGCTGAGGAAGCAGAATAATACAGTGACTAGGATTCACGCCGTCAGCTCAACTGAAATTGTTATAGGGATTGCTCCACAGCTTCTTATCCAGCTTGAGGAAAGTACAAGCTTGGACCTCACAGGTCAAAGCAAGGGTATGAACTGACTTCCGCGTATGGGAGTTAAAGGCGCCTCTGATTGTATCGAGACGACCAAGAATGATCAAAGAACCGAGACTTTTATCCTGGCCTAATACCGAGACTCCAAACAAGCAACAGCCGAGGTGTAAGATGAAGTCGAAGCAGCGCTGCCGGGGAGAAGAGGAAGAACGTGAGCCGAGACTGTATCTGACGAGAGAAAGAACTCAAACCTAAACAAGGCACGTATCAGTCAAAGTTCGAGATCTACACTTAACCGCAGATGGTTGTCGAGTCAATTGCAGATACACATCGAGGGCCCAGTGTCGTGTCACGAGTCCGCAGCGACAGCCGCTCTCGACATCTCCCACTTGGAAGAGGCAACTAGCGATCCCGTACTTGGGACATCATCGCAAGCAGCTAGTGAAGACTGTTGCGCCTCCTACTTCGCTAGATTGAATGTGCATGTACCCTGGTCTAGCCTTAGATAACTATTGCAGAGCTCGACGATCGGTTGGTGTATAACAACCCTCAATTCAGGGACCGGATCAGCCGGAAAAGGTTACACTAATTCTCGACGTTCTGACGAGTGGGCCCGGTTCGTCGTGGATAGGTGAACACGTGTGGGAGCTGGTAAAGGACTGGAATTGGCGGTGGGACGTTGGAAGCTCATCGCTGATGGCATTCCGGGTGAAATGACGCGCCGAGAGGAGGGATGGCGTGCGGAGCTCGCGGAGAGGTCGTCGGAAATCGGCGGGAGCAGTTGTCGGAAAGGAGGAGGCGATGATGGAGGATAGACGGGAGGCAAAAAGGAGGTCATAAACAGGAGCCCGAGAGGGACCGGCTACTTGGCCGCCAGAGCCGCAGACAACAGTTCAAAAAGTAATTGCAGGGTCCATAGAGAAGAGGCATTAAGCTTGAACACATGGCGCTGAGGTCGAGGCTCCAACATGGGATAGAGGATGATCTACATGATGGACGAATATCTCCGATACGCGTAGTGGCAGCTTTGCCGGGTCATGCATTGAGTGAGGATGATCATGGCATTGAGCCGGCAAAGGAAGACGGAGATGAAAAAGAGCGCGAAAGACAGCAGCAACCATTTACTTACTTTTGGGCGCCCGTACGAAAGCAGGAAGAGATGCCGAGTATCTCTGGTTCTTTAAAACGCGACAGTGTACAGTGATGCCGAGGATCAATTGGTGAAACTTTTTCAAAGACTTGATTATAGCAGATAGTCTAGGCAGAAAGCGCAAGACAAGCAAGACTCGAAATAACAGCAGGGACTCGGTCGAACGGATGAGGATGCTGTATTAAATGCGATGAAGGGCTTTTTTACTCGTCTCGAGGGTGTTTGCGGATTACCAACAGGCGACAAACGACCAAGAGGGGGAAAAAGGGCGGGCGGTCGAGGACAAGGAGGGAGGAGCTTGCGACAATCGTAAAAAATCGTTCCGACGAAAAGACAGGACGAAAGGAAGGCGAAGCCGAAAACAAGCTTAGGAACCCGCAAATTATTTAGCTAGTTCCTAAAAACGAATCGAAATCGCTGGCGATCGAAGTGCAAGGCGCGGAAGCAGGAAAAAAACTCGTGTGCTGAAGTGGACGCAAGCGTGTGCGATAGCGGGAACCCAACGAGAGCAAAGGGTGGCACGACAACAAAAAAACGATCACGAAAGATGCTTCTTGGAATCGCAGCACAGCAAACGCTCAACGGGCACAGACAAAAGGATTTATGTGCGAAGAAGGAGGAGTAACAACGACGGGGAGCGAGAGGGGAAGAAAGAAGAAGGGAGGGAAAAAAAGAAAAGGAAAAAAAAAAAGAGGCAAGAGTTGGTCAAATCGATGGGTGGTGGAGCGGGTGAGGTAATGGGGAACAGAAAGGAAAGAAGGATGAGAAAGGCCAGAGAAAAAAAGGAAGCAGGCTAAGAGAAGGCCCAGGAGCTGAGCAGGAATCGATCGAGCGAAGGTGCATGGGTGTGTGCCCCACTAACTTGGTGGTGGTGCTGGGTACCTGGCAGATGTTGTAAGTTGCACCAGGGAAGGGACGGGGCGGGGTAGTAGTACAGGTCCACGCCGCGGCAGGTGCTAAGGAGCAAGCCTGCCTGGCGTCTACCGTCATACTTCGGAAGAACGCCAACTAGCGCACAAGGTGTCCATCCCAGTGTTTCTCTTCCATTCTGGACCCAATTGATCACCCATGGATAGAAGCTGTCATCTCCTCGCCCAATCTTTGTTTTCGGGGTATGAAGGAAGTTGATGCGGGATGCTCGAGCTTCCCTTGGTATCAATCCCTGCTTCACGGAGAACGTAGGCTTCCCCACCCTCTGTCAGTCAGATAGGACTGATGGTAGCACAGCACGCTGAGCCCAGCTGTCTGTCCAGTTGAGTTGCCCGTACTGTACTCTGCCGTATTATACCGTACCTCGACTGCGCTCCACACGAGGAGAGATGTCCTGTCCTGTAATGTCCAGGGAAACTGAGAGGTGTGTCTTACTCTGGACCCACTTCCATAACTAGGTTTTCTCGAGTCCCCACTCGCACCTCACGGATTTCTTCGCCGCGGAGGTTTGCAAACGGATCGTTCGGTATCGAACGTCGACTCTGTTTGATGACACAAATCAGCCTCTTGATGTACCGGCAAATATGGTTCTAATAACTAGCATTTTATTGTATGTAAACTTTTTCGAGATGCAGAGTGACCTTATGGATCACGGTCGATTGCATGCAGGGCGTTGCCTGCATTCAGGGCAGGCGTTGTTGAAGCTACTTCGGAGCTCCTGCCCGCCAGTGATTATGCCGTGATCCAGGACGCCCAGTGTCAGCGACATGAAGATCCAAAACTCGCACTGTATTTCCCATCAACGAGGCACCCACACAGGATCATCCTCTCCAGAAGCCCGCCAGCCCTGTGTCCGATACTGTGGGTTGAAGAGGGAAAGTGCCAATGAGAACTTCCATGGGCGGGAAGAAGCCCTCTTCTACCACACCTTCTTCCTCTTCTTCGCACGGAGATGCTACGGGGAGAGAGGGTCCAGAACAAAGAACCCCCGGGCCCAGCGGCACAACAGCATTGAGGGGCCGATCTGAAAACAGACAACAGTCCAGAGGAAAGGACCTGTCTTAAAAAGGGCCATCCTATCGATCACTATGTGATTGAGTATCAATTCCCAGCTGCCTTTATGGCCTCTATTGAGGCCATTTGGCCTGGTCATCCCAGATGAGCTAGATGGGGAGGAAGTTCTGGGAATGGAGGAGTTTGACACTCATCCGAGGTCCGTGACGGGATCACGCGAACGTGAAAAGGGAGGGGGCTTAGAAGGTGGGGAGCAGTGGGCCTATGCCAGGGCAGATTCGCCTCTTGTGAGTACCGCTTGGTTCGAGACCAACTTCCGCATGGAGCGATAGACATGTTGCGGAGAACAAGCATATGCTCCCAGCCAGTTCTCTTTGCATTATAGATGGGCAAGAGGGCAAGGCTGGGCCAGGCCAAAGGAGGGGAAATATACAACATTGAAGTTGATCTGGAGAATAGGGTCGGCGAAAAGCGTTGAAGAGGACCCTTCCGCAACTCAATTACGAGTAAGTCATTACGGCTACCGTTGTTTCCTCGAGACCATCTACTGAGCTTTCGTTTTTTATTCCAGAAGGCCAACAATTGATGATTAGATTGGATTTGATGGATGCATCAACAACGTCAGAGCCCTGCAGGCATATAATCCTCCTGTAGGCACTGGTGCGCGCAGGATATCATTGAGGTCTGCCACTGCTCGTCTCAGCAATTCTAAAACGGTTAGGGCTCGGAAACTTCAATGTCGAGCGCTGTAGGGCTAGGCCTTGCCAGAGGTCCACCAGTTAAACCAAGTACGCTATGTCCTCATGGTCTCAATGATCGATTGATGACCACGCCCTTGCCATCGACACATTCGCCAGCTTGTTTTTTTTCTTTTTTTTTTCTAGACGGTCCGGCGTGTCCTCCCAGAATAGAATCAACCTATAATGATCTTGAATAATCTTTTCCCAGGGGGCAAAAATTCCCTAAACTGCCTGATACCATTGTCCAACGGGAAGGCTTTGATGTTCGGCCATGGAAACAGCCTTCGAACGGGATCTCACCTCAGTTGCATGTAACCTCAGAATGTACCACATTTGACAGATATTCTCGTCAACCATATTCTCTCTATACGGATCTGAAGAACCATTTTCGCCGAGCTACGGTGGCACAAGTAATGCCGCAAGCCGACCTTTAGCCTTTCCTACTTCCATCAATATAACAGCAGGCGAACACGGCGAGGGTCCGGAGGATGTGCCGACGGGAGTATAAAGTACAGGGATCGTCGTAAAAGCAACCCACGTCCCGGGATGTGCATTTCAGAGTTTGCGAGTTGACAAATGAATGAGAGACAGCTTGTCTCTGGCTGTTGGCCTGATAATCTGAAGTGAACCCCGGTGCAGAACAACGCCAGGGACGGAGAGAAGACCCTTTGCCCAATATTGTCACGTCAGCTCCACCGGAGAGAAGAGACCCTTGCCAGGAGCTCTTTTCCCCATATCTAGCCACCAAGATACCCCAGGAGGATACCAATTTGAGGACCGAGGATAGAGAGAGGCCAGTCACGATTCGCGTCATATCCTCAAGCCAGCCGACTCGTGTTTCGAAACAGGCACAACTTCAAAAGCCCGGGCAGATGTGTGCCGTTTCGCGCCTGGCGTACCCCGTCTTGGAAGTATTATGATGTGGGACATGCACGAAACAGGCCTTTTAGCCAGCTCGGAGAATGAATCGATATCAGGGGATTTTCACAAGCCACACATGCCAGGTCAAGCGTGGAAGTCGAGTTGAAATTCCAGCGTCGGGCAACGTGCATGCATTAATGGGCGGGTTAAGGGTGTTTTTCTCTCACTCTGGCATTTCCTAGCTCTCGTGAGGTTACGTGCAAGCCAATCTGTGTTCAGCTCGTACATGTACCCATCAGACGGTCCAAGGGAATGCACAAGGCCTCCAGTTATTAAACGAAAGCGACGTCTTCCATTCTCGACATCAAGCTAGGTCAAACGCAAAAGACGCCCACGTTCACTTGTGCCTTATTTTCCGAGGCACATCTGCGTCATTTCGCGCGGGGACGGCAGGCGACTCTACCCCTGAGATTTGGTTGTCGACACATCAAATTTGCAGATCGAGAAGGGACACCTCGTACTGAGTGAGGTTTCGCGCAGTCAAATTGGCTTGTATGAACAAGCAACCAATATCAAATGCTTCCGTAGCCAACCACTGGTACCTGCGCCCTCCCCCCTTCTCCCTTCGCCGGCACCGATTGATCCTTGTTGGCGATCTGAGGGGTAAGATACAGGCGGATGTCGCCCACATCCATCTCGCTCCCAAAACAACAGCGGCCGGGGGCCAAGCTGGCTTTTGCCACGTTTTTCTTCTCTCCCATTGCTGACCCTTGTCCCCGAAGTGGGACCATGTCACGACTGCCAATTTGTGTACGATATCAGAGTACTGCTCTGCCATCGCTCCCACCACGCGGCCCAGGTTTTGAAGATGTTGGGAGGATCAATCCAGCTCGAATAGATCTGTTCAGCGCTAGTGGGAGCGACGATATCGAATTAGGCATCATTGATGTCATCGTTTTGGGTCATGAGCCCACCCATCGCTTCCTGCGCCCTCAATTGGTGCATGCATAGCCTTCGCCGAAGACCTGGGGGAACCCGCGAGGGGCCGAGCGCGTTCTCGCGTGGTTACCCTTTTTCAAGAGAAATGTGATGTGAAAACGGTGTTTCGACGATCCTGAGAATTCGCATAACTGCCCCGGTCTTTTTCGGAGCAGACCGTGTTTTTCGGTGCTGCACAGACCCCTTCCCAGCGTTTGCTGCCTACGAATAATATGTGGAGGAATGAAAGGGGAAGGCAAGAGAGCTGTATTCATGCAGGCGCACGCGCGCCGCTCTTCTCGTCAGGAAACGAGGACGACAAGGTCCCGCACCGCCCTCAAACTTCCATGGAACTGGATCAACTTGCATGAAAGCGGGTTCATTAGTGTATTTCCGGGAGAGTGCTGGCAAAAGGAAGTGCGCTGGGCGCTTCCACAATGGCGAGATCCTCCCCGAAATCCGTACAGGCTATGGGTATCACGGGACGCATATCCATGGTTGGAAAGACACTCCTTTTCCTTCTTTTCTTTTCTTTTTTGATTGAGTAAAAAGATACTGAAAAGCAAGGTCTGGAAAAGAAAAGAAAGGAACATTAAAAGGGAAGGAATTGAAGGGGAGGGAAGCACGACGAACATGCCAGCTAAACCCGATGCCACCTCCGCCGCTCGCCCTCTGCTTCCCACGACATGAGCATCCAATTGATCCATTCAATTCAAATGAATGGAGCCATTGAGAACACACAGGAATGCATACAATGTAGCCATAGGCCAACTGTTCCGCCTCGCAGAGCTCAACTGTCGATGTCATCAGAAGGGGCACTACCTCGGTAACCTATCTAGACTAGAAATTCCGACCAAGTAATAGCTCTCCTGCAGGTCCGCATGCAGCCCATAGACGAGAAACGGCTTTTTAGTCCCTTGCATCAACTTTTACGAAAGCAACTCAGGGCACTGACACGTCAATTACTAGTGTACACTCACTATGTTGTGAATTGAAGCTTTTGCTCTTCTATCCCTATCATTTTTTTCTTCTTTGCCCAAGCCAGCCCCTTCCCCTCTCCTCGGAATGCCAAACCCACCAACTGCAGGAGCTTAGAAAATAGACAACCGTCGACTCGTGTAAGACAAGCACCCATGTCAAAGAAAAAAATCATAAACTACCCGCGTCCGTTTCTCGTAGGGTTTCTTTATGCCACCGCTTTATGCCCAGTCGTGAGGGCAAAGAAGGGCTAGTCTCAACTTAGGGGCGCACCGTAATACAAAGCACGCATGCACTCACCACGCCCCAAACTTATCCTGTGCTGGCTTCTCGCCAGCTTGTTCATTGGGATGTAGATGTACAGGCTGGCAACACCTTTAAGAGGATCATGTCAGTTAAAATGGGTTCCAGATTGTCTGAGACTCGTTACGGCGAATCAGCGTCTGTCTGTACCTTGCTCAGGACCGGCTGATCCGGGCTTCTTGCTTCGCCGGCTTCAATTGACGCTATGGAAGAAAAAAAAAACATGAAAAGAAACACAGAACCACAAAAAAGAAACGAAAGAAAGATGGAGGAGAAACAAAACTTGGAAAAAAGTAAGATAGAAAGGGCGAGAGAGACAAAACAAAGGTGAAGCAAGAGACTAGTAGAAGAACATCCAGTTGATGGATCTCTGTTCAGTCACCATTTCTCTGTTGACTCCATGAAACATTGAAGTTTTTATGCACATGCTGCTCTTTGGATGGGCAACTTTCAACCGAGAGAGGCAGAAAGGGAAAAGGATTTTCTAAGAGATATCGTATTCAAAAACTGCATGTGGGACTCAAGAGCTCTACAAACTCCATATACTTGTTGAACATATTGAGGTAGAGGGCAACTACCCCCAGCCGATACACTACCCCACCGCAGCAAGAAACCATGGCAGTATTAGTCTGTGTTGAAAGGTCCACGAGAAGAACAATAATACTTGAAAGATGATACCAAAAGTAGAATATTATGTTTATACCGGCTTCATAGCCCTTTATCTCGGCTTGGGGTCGGCGCGAGCTGTATGGCAATCGCAGACTGGACCATCCAATGGCTCTTTCGAAACAACAGACCACAGGGTGAGACCAGCAAGACCTTCATGATTCAGTCGCCTTATCCCCTCTCCAGGTTGGCCCGACCGCACACAATTCTACATGTAAAGATGGCAATATTCACTGGGCCAGGAACCCCAGCTTCCCTTTCCTGGGAGAAAAGATCGACACTCGTCAATCTCAGTATTCGGCAAGAAAGGATTCATCACCGGACGAGTCAGCAAGGGCTGCACAACTGTGGCGCTCTACGGGCATGCTTTTGGTCTGTGGGAAGACAACGCGATGCACCGAGCAGGATCGCGGGCTCGATTTGGAGTTTCAGCGTTGCTTTGTTTCGCAATTCATTCCTCCGGGCGTTGAATATCCCATATCCGAGAGTCATGGTGCCATTCTTTTCAAAGGCTGGGAACGGATGTCGATGTTTTTCTAACACCGATGCATCATTCCTTTCGATCGAGAACCGGGCTTGCTCACAAGTAAAGATCTCTAGCACGCGACGTGAACGGAAATAGCAAACGCTTTCAGCGAATCATCAAGAGGCGTGTGTAAGCTACTAGAAATCCCCTGAAGGCGTTAAAATAGTTGTAGCTTGGTAAGAGATCATGATAGCCATCAATACCTCGGGGCTAATGGCAAGGTCAATCGTGATGAATTTGGTTGGAATTGGAATGGTTCATGTTGGCTTTGGTTGAGCCGCTCACGTCACTTCTGAAGTGCCCCTTGTCTGTGTTTCAATAGCTGTCGCCTGTTGCTGGCGGCTGCCCTAACAAGAGCCCCAGCTTGCCATCCTCATTGCCAGCTCATGTTGCGTCACAGTCCAACATCTGAAATTCGAGGCATCATCTCAACCCCTGCCTAACTTCGAAATCAGCCTCTACGTCGCCAGTTGCCCTCTCTCGTCCAAATCGAGTCTTTTTTGAACGCCATTCTCTTCTCTTTCTTCTTTCTCACAGCCCTCTCAACTCTTCTTTTTTCTTCTTTCCCGCCTCCAACCCTAGCGACCCACAACGGCCGACCCGACCTTGATACCCCACTGGTCTACGCAGGGCCTGCTTTGAGTCGAGCATTTGGGCCTCCCGCCCCGCGTTCATCGCATCGCGCTTGGATCCGTTCCAGCTTCTTCCTCGCTATTCTCGAAGCCCGAAACCTGCATTTCGAGTATAGCTAACGAACGGCTTTGTCCTGCCATTTTTCCCTTTATTTCACGCCAGCCTGGCGGGGGCATTCCTCGCCACATATGTCCTAGACCTACCCCTCCTTGTCCAACGAACCACCCCGCATCGTGCAAAAGGCGACCTACGAGCGAGCCAACATCTTCTCCAATCCCCTCCTCTCTAACTTTCTTCCTCACTCCGTATCGTCTTTTTCTGCGATCACAGCCACATTTGCAGAATTAATATCATCGCCACCATGGAAGACGCGCATATTTCGAGCTTCGTGGACATCACGGGATCCTCTGCGAACGTGGCGCGGGGCTTCCTGGAAATGACCAATGGTGACCTCGAGCAAGCCATTCAACTCTTTTTCGAGAATCCTGATCTCCAACACAGCATCAACTCTGCCGCTGCTCAAGGAGGCCCCACAAGCGCAACCTCTAGGCCACGCCAGTCAGCACGAGAGGACGAACACGGCGTGATTCATATCGATAGTGACGATGACGACGCGGACAACGATCTGGATCAGGCAGACAACGTACAAGCGGTAGCTCGAACAGCACAGGAAGAAGAGGATGCGGCAATGGCTAAGAGGCTCCAAGAGGAGCTTTTCTCAGAGAACCCGGGCGGCGTAGAGGGCGTCCGGTCCCCCATCAGGAGCACAACAGAGACCTTGGTGGCACCTCTTCCCGCCTGGGGATCGGGCTTTGGGGGAGCGACGATGATGTACAGTCAGAACTCCTTGAGCAGCTTCGCCGGCGGCAAGCCCAAGCTCACTCCAGTAAGGCTTTTCTTTTTCTCCATAAAGCATTTTCCCATTCCACTCGCATAAGCAAACTAGGGTAACCTAACGAGACTTTCTGGACGTATAGCCCGAGGACCCAATCCGTTCAACCAGTCGATTTGGGATGACCCCGAGGCACGCCCGGACCCCAGCGCGACAGGAGCCCCCACGACTCGAGCTCAGCGTCTCACCGACCTGTTCCGGCCGCCTCATGATATCATCTCTCGGCTTACTTGGGATGAGGCGCGCGACGAAGGGAAAGACGCCAAAAGGTGGATCCTCGTCAATATTCAGGATCTTAGCGATTTTAACTGCCAGGCTCTAAATCGAGATATCTGGAAGGACCCCGCCGTCAAGGAGTTGGTGGCAGAAAATTTTGTTTTCCTTCAGTACTCTAAGGAAGACGTTCTTGCGCGGGACTACATTACCTTCTACTTTCCCAACCACGAGAACCCTCAAAACTATCCTCACGTCTCAATCGTCGATCCCCGTACGGGTGAACAGGTCAAGGTCTGGAGTGGGACCCCTTTCCCCACAGCGTTGGATTTCCATGGCCAGCTTGTCGAGTTTCTCGATAGGTACAGCCTCAACGCCAACAGCAAGAACCCCGTTGTCAAGGTGAAGAGCAAGCAGCCAAAGTCTGTTGACGTGGATCGGATGACAGAAGAAGAAATGCTCGAGATGGCTCTCCAGAATAGCTTGGCGCCTAACGGCAGCGAGGAACAGGCCCAAAGGTCCAATATCGTTGACCCGGATTCGTTAACAAAGTCGCCGCTGCCCACGAGCGGCGAGGGTCCCACGTCGCCGTTTAGGAATGCCACTGCCGAACCGGAGGAACTCAGTCCTAGCCAGGGTGCCTTCGCAGCCATCTCGAGCTCGAATCCCCACGCCGAACCGGAGAACGTACCGGCGACCACCACGCGCATTCAATTCCGTCACGCCACGGGTCGAATCATCCGTCGTTTCAACACGCAGGACCCTGTTCGTCGAATCTATGAATGGCTCAAGGCGGAACCGATGGAGGGTAAAGAAGGCGTCGAGTTCGAGCTCAAGAAGATGCCGCAGGGCCAGGACCTAATCGAAAACCTGGAGGATACGATTGAAGAAGCAGGTTTGAAGCAAGGAACTGTCATGATTGAGTTTCTTGAGTAAGGGGCTGGGCCATGATATTTCCTAGACTCCGCTGTGAGGTCGGTATCACGCGCCATTCATGACATAAGATCCTCATTTTCTTCCCTTTTCTCTTTGCTGCTTCTCCTTGGGCTTTTGGTTGTAGTACTCCTTTCCTCTACTTCTCCTAAGACCTGGTGGCTACACTTTCAAAGCAAGGTTTACGTGATTTCCAACAGGCTCCCTCTTTTCCATAAACAGGTTCATACACATCATTAATAGAGAGGAAATGATTTCAAATATAGAAGAGATGTTTTCTTGCACCATTTATGTTAACGCCCAGTCTAAGCCGATGAGGCTGTGGAGGATCGTGAGCATTCGTCCTCAGGCACCATCGTGGCTTTTCCTTGTTGTTCTCCTTTTCCTTTTTGCTTCTTCTTTGTATCAAAGGGTACCAGCCCAGAAACATTGCAAGTGCATACCTTGGGAAAAATACGAGATACAGGCACCGTCTAAAAGGTAAATCATCTCCAGGGGGCGCTCTTGAAGCTGCTGAACAACTCGGAAAGGGCGACAGGCAGGGTGGCCCACTTTGCACGTCGAGCGTCGGTGATTACGATGCTCGACTGCAGACATACAGGAGGCTAGTCCTCAATTCGTTTACACAAATATAAGAGATTTACGGAAGCATGAATCCGGCTTTGCTCAAAAGCCGCCTGGAGGCCGTCCTGGTCACTGTGAGTAAACCTGAACACCCCATGTTCGTGAGCGTGTGAGCGCGTGAGTCTGCTGCAGCCTATCTATGAGGGAGGTGAGAGGGTTGTCCCTAGATGCTTCGAGCCACGTTTTGGCCCCCTTGCTAGGCACTAGTTTTCGTCGCCCTGTCATGTCGAGCTAGGGCTAATGGTTCTGGAGGCCTTCGCGGCCAGCAAGTGTTCCGGAACGATCAACTTCCAAATGATCAAGGCACTGGTGGGTCGCCATCGCGAGCTCGCCGTCGCTGTCTGTGCGACCCGCTCCTCGCGGCGGGGACACATTTCTCATTTCCCGTCGCGGTGTCTGTCTACCAATGATATGCTCGGACACGCCCGGGCATCAGACGGCGAAGACCGATGCAGGAAAGGGCTAGTCAGAAATGGGCCATTCCAGGTAAGCTGGCTCACCTTGCTCAGGGTTCGGTCAGACAGGATCCCGCAGGAGTCGGGTTGAATCCTGAACCAATGGAGTGCAAAGTGGAAGAATTTGAAAATGCGATGGGAGAAGAGAGGGGAGGGGGTACGAACGCTCAATTCACAAAGGCCAGCCACGATATTTCCAACTTGTATCCGTGCAATGTTCCTTGGGGCTATGCTGTGATGTCCAGATTTCTACCCCTAACGTTCCACCAGTAAAGAGTGGGGGATTTTGGTCTTTCAAAGAGTGTACACTATCGATGAACTCGGCTGCTCAATGGCGGAGGGCTATCGTGGTACATCTCTGAGATATATCATCTGATTGGGATGAGAAGGCACTGTACCGAGGTATCCAGAGGAAAATGAGAGGGAAAGAATGTGTTTCCGCCCAAAATTTTGAGAAGAAAAGAGATGAAGGGTTTCAAGCATCGAGTTAGCATTATGAACCGGGATCTTCCATCATTGTCTTGTTTGCGCGAAACATTCGTGTTATTTGTTATTCCTACAAATATCCACACCTGTGGTTAACCTGGACGAGCATCGCCTGGTTCGTCGTCATGTTCCCAGCACGGCCCAAGGCAACGAATCCGGTGAATGCTGGGCCGCTTTTGCGGGGATGATCGATTGGCCTTTGTGGTCGTTCCGCGTGTGAACGGGTTGGCGATGCCCATGGTTTCCGGGTGACTCCCTGATAATATCAATAGAACTAAGTAAACAAAACTTTACAGAATTGTCCCTCCCGAGCCTTTGCTGTGCGCTCCAAATGGGGCCTCGTGGGAACCCTCACGCCGGCTTGCTGATGACGCAAATCGTGTTGCAAGATGTAGACTTTGATGATGAGATGCTCTGGTGCATCGCGATTGCATCCTTCGCCGTTGATTTTACAACTACAGCTTTGGCTGAGTTTTCCCGCAGCCTTGACAAGTGTATGCCCGCGTGCCGCGATCTTGAGTTGAGTCTTGCCTGGTCAAACCTACGGCATAGGAGATGAGACGAGAGGTGGGATTGCCATGGTCAACGTAATTGAGGATGCTCTCAGGACCAAGGTGAATTCTAAGTTGAGCCTTCCCAATGTTGCGGCCACACACCATCCTCCGCTGGCAGAGCTGGCAGATGAGGTTTGATCACTGCCTCTTTCGCTCTTGCCACCGGTAGATTGGGGTATTTGGCTGGCTGAGAAAAAGGAAATTAGAACCCTCCAACTCATACATGCAGGAAGGACAGAGCAGGAGTCCTCAAATGCTCCTTCCCAATCAGCGTCACACCTCTTCAGGGCACCTACCACACCATCTATTGGACTAGACGGACTGCAAGTCGACACGGACATGGCGCTGAGACTCCCCACGAACCCCTCGTCACCACTCAAACTCGCCATCCCGGGCATAATACGTCGCGGCTTAGCTTCGCGGATACATTCAAGAAGGGGGAAATAATAATAGTGGAAAAGAGAAAAATATGAAGGCATTATACATTGCAATTTCTAGTATTGCCTCCTTTATAGTGTTCTGTATTATTACCATAACTTTTCTTGCATCTGGTCCTTTTGCTTTCTTTTACTGTTTCTCCAAGAGTTCCATTGTGTGGTCTCAAAAGCAACTGGCGCCCACCATCCCACTACTATTAGCAGAAGTCAACAATGAACCCCGCAACCAATTTCCATCAATACTATCAATTCGCAAACTGAACCTTGAACTTCTTGCGTCAGGCCTTTTAATAGTGCCTTCCTACCATTCACACCACACTTTGTCTCCTTCACCATATGAGAACCCTCGCGTAGGACATACCTGCGGCAAATTCGAATTTTAAAGGAAATTTGCCCTCTATTGCGAACCCGAGCCTCGACTTTGACCCTCCTTAACAGCCTCGTGGACCTGCGAGTTCGACGGCAGCTTTTGGCTGGCCCCTCGAGTCGAGATTGTGCCTCCACCTAACGGGCCTTACTCACATATCTATTTCCCCACCATTGACACCGCTATGGCGGATAGAGAACGAGAGTACGACGAGGGGAACGAAGCTCTCGATCCGAGCTTGCTATACACCAAGGAGTACTGCATTGGTTAGTCCTTTCCTGTTTCTCTAGGAAAATGGTGAAGAAGAAGAATGAAGAGGAAACGAGAGCCAAACCACTCACCGATATCTGTTCTAGGCGGAGGTAGCTTCGGCAAAGTTTACAAAGGGTGCGTCCCCCTCTCTCGACATGTCCCTGCGCAGTCTTCTCTCGCCCCGCCAAACCAGGCACCGCTGCTAACCCTCATCTTTGAACTCTTATAGTGTCGACAAGCGAAGCGGACAAGCAGTTGCAATCAAGGTTATCGACATCGAAAGCGCCGAGGATGAGGTTGAAGATATCATACAAGAAATTGCTATCTTGTCCGAGCTTCAGTCCCCATACGTGACCAAATACTATGGGTCATATGCCAAGGGCGCAGAGCTATGGATTGTTATGGAATTTTGCTCCGGCGGGAGCTGTGCTGATCTCATGAAGCCGGGCTTGATTGGGGAGGATTATATCGCCATCATTCTCAGAGAGCTCTTGCTCGGATTAGACTACCTCCATTCGGACAAGAAGCTTCACAGAGATGTCAAGGGTACGCACCTCTTGTTTTTTCCGCCCGCCTTATGGGTTCGGTCCCTTACCTGCCCCACGCTCCTTTGACTCTTCACATTGACCCTCGACTCGCCCTTCGCGGCTGCGCGCAGTCTGGTTGGGACAATCACAATGGATACAATGGGCTAACCGTGTTTGCCAGCTGCCAACGTGCTCCTAAGTTCCAACGGACAGGTCAAGCTTGCCGACTTTGGTGTATCGGGGCAGCTCTCCGCTACCATGACTAAAAAGAACACTTTCGTGGGTACACCCTTCTGGATGGCCCCGAAGTAATCAAGCAATCTGGGTATGACCACAAGGCCGACATCTGGTCCCTTGGTATCACCGCACTAGAGTTGGCCAACGGGGAGCCCCCTTATGCCGATATCCACCCTATGAAAGTCCTATTTCTCATCCCCAAGAATCCCCCGCGCCTCGAAGGCAATTTCACCAAGGCTTTCAAAGAATTTATCGAGCTGTGCCTGCAGAGGGACCCCGGGAGCGGCCGACAGCCAAAGATCTCTTACGCCACCCTTTTATTCGCAAAGCGAAGAAGACATCCTATCTCACGGAGCTGATTGAAAGGTATGGCCGATATATGGCAACGCACAAAGGCGAGGAGGAAGACCACATGGATGGCCACGAAGAGATCATGGAAAGGCCTCCGGTCGACGAAGATATGTGGGACTTTGGTACTGTTCGCTTGGTGAGCGATCGGGGCAATCTTGTACACAGGCCAGGCTTAAACGCGATGGATGATGCGGCTACAAACGCACGGTCATCCCGGCCCTACGAAACGCAGGACCACTACGGAGAGGCGTCCTCCAGCCCCAAGGTGCGAGATTTCGGACTCGGCCCAGCCATGTCTGACACAGTGAAGGCGGGAGGTTCTGGAACGACTCGGCAGATCTCTCCACAGAGGAAACCTCTGCATGTGGAAGCCCCATTATCTCCAGCTAAGATGCCCCTTCCGGCATCTCCCGAGCGGAGGCGCGATGACACGTCGAGGAGAGTACCAAAACCTATGCCTCCCATACCCGTTGATCAGTCAGCCGACTATGATCGACTCCTTCAACAGCAGCTACAACGCGACATGGGCGTGCTGAACCTGGGCCCGGCAATTCATGCGTCGTCAACGGCCGGCTCATCGTCCTCGGCCTACGCGTCGCTACACACCGCGCCTGAACCGAGGCCGCAGTCGTCGAGCTCCCGTGTCGGGCCGCTAGAGCTTCCCGAGATCCCACCCTACCGTGGCGGCGTAGTGCATCCTCGCTGGCCCGGTGCAGCATAAGCTGCCGAGCCAACCCTCCCAGACGCAGCTGCGCCAGGTATCGGGCCAAGCGCCTCCCGCACCTCCACCCAAGCAGACGCAATCCATATACCAATCTAACGCAACGCAGCCGACGGGGTTCGTATCAAAGGCGCAGCCGCCCTCGGTTGTGGAGTCGAGCAGCACGCCGTCTTCGTTCCCAACGCCCGCGCCATCAAATGCCAATGGCGATCTGGATGCCCTGAACGACGTCATCTTCCCAGCCCTCGAAGAGGCCCTCAAGAGGAGGCAAATTCGTATCCAGAGTGTCTGCCGAACCGCACAGGGTACATCGCCCACGCCCCACCAGCAACGTGCCGAGGCGGCGCACGAGAGAATCAGGCATCTGGTTTATAAACTTGCTCATGTGTGTAAGGAGATCGACCACTATGACAAGGCCGAGCCAGTAGGGATGGGCCGCGATGTGGGTATGTTCCTTGAAGGCCTCCTGGAAGAGATTCTCGTCAGGGTCGAGCCCGTTGACGAGGCTGAGGGTGTATGAAGAATGGCAACCCCGTCGTAATCCCCTTACTTGTCTTTTGTGCTTATTCACTGTTTTTTTCTCCTTTATGCTGCCTCTTTTCCTCCCTGTTTTGTTCCTCTTGTCTTCTCCTTCTCTTTTCTACCTTTCTTTCGTGTCTTTCGTCAATCGTCCTCTTCTGTGTCAGCTTAGATGAGAAAAGAATGGGGTTTGGAGTTTCTGGCGAGTGAGGCACGATGGCAACGGCCAGACAGGGCCATGGTACTGCATGTCGGATAGGCGTGGTGGTCGCAGCGAGGGTATCGTCAGGTGTTTTTCGTCTTTTTTCGTCTTCTTTTTCCTTTTTGCTTTGTTTCATTGTTTGATGGGCTTTTCTTCATGGGACAGTTCGTAGACGGTCATAAAAGGAGGTCAGTGACCCTCGGGCGAAGCCTGAACCAGGAATCATGCGACAACAACACCAAGGGCACTGGCGATGGGTTTGACTTTGCGGAAGCGCTGGCGTGGGTTGGGAATTCAGGGTTTAGCATGCTTTTACATCCTTTTTACTATCATATATTCCGCGCCGGACCCGATTAAGGGCTTCCATTGGTTCTGTTACCTTCTGGTTTGCCTGTTGCTTACAATCTTTACTCGGTTCTTCTTAACTTGGGCATATCAGGGAGCAGGCTAGGCATGCTTTCATGGGTGGGAATGGGAGTGATTTTGAGGGCATGACTGCTCTCTGGTGGCTTGCGTTGCTCCTCGGAAGTTATGACGGCACGAACATCGTTTGTTCCATCGCGCTCTTTTCACTTGTGGATGGGATGGGATGGCTCTTGGCTTCTAGGAGACTGACCCTTCGCCTGATCTCTCTTTCCCACCACCGTTCGGTCTTGTGTCTCATTTCCTTTCCCTTCTCCCTTGGTAACTCCTTTCTTCTACTGTAAATCCTCGTCTCGAGAGAACAGCATAATGTCCCCACCCCCAAAGACCTATCAGGATACAGTCTCTGTTGCTGGGAGCTTCCAACTTGAAGCACTGTCAAGCGCCGAGGAAATCCTTTACATTGTGCCAGTGCGAATAATCTGCTCGTGACGCAAGGCCTCGCTCTCTCTCCACTTCGGCCTAGGTACGATTTGCCGCATCACCTCTTCAACGTCACTGTCGCCTGCCTTGAGGACTTCGGACTTTTAGGGAAAGGAAAAAAATAGGTCGTCATCGCCACCTTTTCTTCCACAAAGCTATAAATTGCCGATCGCAATCCATAGACTCATCCGTTTTTGTCGTCCTGTGCTCTCGTCATCTTTCTTTTCGACTATCCAATTGCGGGGCTCCCCAGCTCCCCGATTTCGAACCCCACCAAGCCCACCAAGCAAGCGTAGCCGGAAGCTGGATGAACCTATCTCGAATCCTAAGCTGTTGCTTAACATCATCGAGACGGGCTGACTGAATGCGCGCGAAGCTGACGTAGGGGTTCTTTCCAATACCCTTTTTTTACTCATTTCTCCTCCAGACGCGCTTCCGTGATCGGATTCCTACTTCCCGCGTCCACGCTCGCCTTGCCCCGTAGACAGATTCGCCAGAAAGGGTGTTGAGGAAACATGGCGGATTCGTCGGAGCAGCGCGAGCTTGACCTCGTCGACAAGGTCGACTTCCGCATCTTGGAAGTTGCTAACAATGAGGCCAAGTTGGAGCAGCTACTTTCGCGGTACCTAGCGCCGCTGATCCTCAAGGCGGGGAGCTCGCACGCGAGCGTGAGGGCCAAGGTTATTGCGGTGTTGAAACGAGTCACCACATTTGTTCAACCACCAGGGTATGCTCACCAGACTTCTTCGCCCTGTTCTATCACGACTATACACCTTCTCTTCCTCTTCTTTTACTCCCGTATATCTTTTGTTCCTAAACGGAAGAAGAAGAAACCAAAGTACTAACTAGTATGGTGCTCGTAGAATCGTGCTACCCGTGGCGGCGTTGGTGGAACAGTTCAAGTCGAGCTCTTCGCCGGTTGTGAAGCAATTTGACTTGGTCTTTATTCAACACAGCCTTCCCCGTATGGATGTGGTAGATCGGAGGGACCTCTTCTCCAAAGTGACCAAGGATATCTCTCACGGTGACGCGGATGCCTCTGGCCCTAGCGACGCAGGGCTCTTCGACGTTTTCCTGAGGCTGCTCGCTGACGCCAGGTTCCCCGGGAGGGGTACAAAAGACGACGTGGAGCTGCGAGAGACCCTCGGCCTGTCCGACAGCGACGCAAAGTACCTCTCCAAGTGGTTGGGCAAGGTTTTGCTCCTTAAATCCGCCGGTGCTGGTGCCAACGCCGAAAAGCTGCGGAGCGTGAACCCGGCGCCTGCGTTTACGAATTCGGAGCTGGATTTTCTCGTCCCTATCCATCGGCCAGTTTCCCCTGCATTCACCGCTATCTCCGATTTGAGGTTGAAGGCCGTTACCTTCCTCGCGAGTGGCGCATTCAAAGATGAAGAGCGGTTTATTCCTGCCCTGTATGCTGCGTCGGCTCCTGATTCTAGGGTATCGGGTACTGGAGATGAGCTTCTAAAAAGAGCTCTGTAGACTTGGAGGATGCCGCGCTTATCAAGTCGCTCTTTGACTCTCACTCGAGGCTTGGCCCCGCCTATCGGACGCGAATCCTCAACATTCTAAGTAAATCCACCATCTCTACCACGATGACCAACGAGATCCTCCGAGCGGCGAAGCTCGACATTGAACCTGCGGATGACAATAGCGCCGAACAATCTCAACGGCAGGGCACTCTGGAGCGTACCAAGCTGCACCGCGCTCTCTTTCAGTACCTGCGCTGGGCTGCTACCGTCGGCCCCTCCAAGGGTGACTTCGATATCGGTTTTAGGCTCCTGGAGAAAATGCAGGATTTCATCGTGAGCCAAGGCTGGCCCGTCGCCGAAAAGACCTCGGCAGACGACGTCGCTCTACGTTCCCTAGCCTACGAGAGCATCGGTATACTCGGAAAGGTATCAAAAATGACGGAGCAGCAGCGCTATGCTCTTGCAGGATGGATGTTTCGGTCACTAGCAGAGGACCCCGATCCAGAAGTCGTCGTCAACATTGACGGCGCCATGTCCATGCTGACAGCGCTTTACCCTCCCGATAAAGAGGCTTCTTCATCCAAGGTCGTTGGGATCCGCACCATGCTGCTAACGCATATGGAAGCCAAGGTCGAGGCGCCCGTTGTCCGCAGCGTCCGCCATGCTGCCGTGAAATGGGCCAACAAGTGCTTGCCTTTTGATTCCGTCCATGCGCGGTGGATTGATATCCTTGCCGTAGGGGCTCGCCCAGACGAGAGAAGCGATGTGGTGGAAGAAGGTCAAAAGGGACTGGACCCGTGGGCTCAATACGCGCATTCTTCTGGGGACGAGGTCAAACTTCCGGATTGGAAGACTATGCTGGTCACGTATTTTGCCACCAGCTCTGACGGGAGTGACGGTGCTAGTAAGAGGCAGAGCAGGGAAGACGAGATGGATGTGGATCCTGAGTACATACCCGAGTTTCGATTCTCCAAGGATACGATGGCAGCGTTGCCCGTGGCTCTCGATTACTGCAAGCAAATGCTTTTCCTCGCGGCGCTCAAGGATTTCAAAATGGACCCCGACTGGACAAGAAACCTGCAGAATCTTGTCAAGACGGATCTGAAGACCAGATCTGAAATCCGCAGCTATCTCCGCGAGCAGCAAGAAGATGTTCACAGCGTGTATTTTCTGAAGCACTGTTTGGACGGCTTTGAGCTTAAGAACGAGGCCGCCATCGAGGTCTGCGCGCGCTCCTTTGTGGACGTAGCTTCTCTTTGCCCTTACACCGCCGTCGCCTACCTCGCCCATATGGCCCCGCGACTTCTACCCCTGATAAAATCGAACAAGAAGGAGCTGCGAGTCCTCGCTGCCGAGGCGTTTGGCATCTTCGCGGCGCACCCTGCCAACGATGCCGAAAGGCTGTCTGAACTAGCGGCGCCCATCCTGGATCTGACGAAGGGCAGCGAGGACAAGTTCGGCGCAGAGCTCAACGCGGCCGAGGGAGCCACCCTCGCCTTTGCTCACCTCTGCTCTGCCCTCGTCTTCTACGGACGCTCAGTGCCGGCGAGCCTGACGTACCCGCTAGATCTGCTCGTCAAGGAGCGCATCCCTGCCTCCCTCAAGGAAACCTTGCTAGAAGCGTTTGCTCGGCTTTGGTCCGCAGGTCTGGCTGTTCCTGGTGACGCGTCGGGCGTTGCGGCCAAGGATGTGATCGAGTTGCTGCTTGGTTTGGCGAAGAAGAGTAATGAAAGAGCCATCTTGGCCCTGGGCAAGCTCGCCATTGCCCTCAAAGAAGAGGACACCGAGACCGCGTGGAACGAAGGATTGATCGGATCTATTCTAAAAGGTCTCTTTGACCTCTATGAAACCAAACAAGCCGAGGTCCACTTCGCCATTGGCGAGGCTATTGCAACTGTTGTCGGTCGCTGGGAGGCCAACTGCGTCAAGCTAGGCCTCAATGTAGACAGCCGCGACACCGCTTTCGAACAGCCTCATCGCTCCGCACACCTAAAGGGGGTCATCGACAAGTTTATACAAGACTGCAAGGGTACGAAGCCTTCTCTACTAAAAGCTTCGGGTATTTGGCTCTTCTGCATCGTGCAGTATTGTTCGCATCTCGAGGAAGTTAAATCGCGTCTGCGCGAGATCCAGGCCTCCTTCATGAGGTTGTTACACACCAGAGACGAACTGACTCAGGAGACGGCGTCAAGGGGTCTCTCCCTCGTGTACGAAAAGGGAGACGATGACGTCCGTGGCCAGCTTACCAAGGACCTTGTCTCCGCATTTACTGGTACGAGCACGACCCTCAAGGTTGACGAGGACACGGAGCTTTTTGATGCCGGCGCTCTACCCACAGGTGACGGTAAATCGGTCACCTCGTACAAGGACATTGTCAATCTTGCATCCGAAGTGGGTGACCAGACACTCGTCTACAAATTCATGTCTCTCGCTGCCAATGCGGCCATGTGGACGACCCGATCGGCGTTTGGGCGGTTCGGCCTGAGTAATATCTTATCCGAGTCCGAGGTCGACCCGAAACTTTACCCCAAGCTCTACCGCTACCGTTTCGACCCGAACCCAAACGTTCAGCGGTCGATGGATGACATTTGGAAGTCGATCGTCAAGGACTCTAACTCCGTTCTAGAGAAGCATTTTGACGCCATCATGGATGATCTACTCAAGAGCGCCTTGGGTAGGGAATGGCGCATGCGTGAGGCGAGTTGCGGCGCCATTGCCGATCTGGTGCAAGGCCGGCCGTTTGCCAAGTACGAAAAATACTACACGGGAATCTGGAAGGTGGCGCTGAGGCTCATGGACGATGTCAAGGGAAGCGTAAGGGCTGCGGCGTTGAAGCTTTGCATCGGGTTGTCTAATGGCTTGCTCCGACTGCTCGAGGAATCCTCGACCGGGACCTCCGTCCAAGCAATGCTGAAGGAGGTGATTCCATTCCTTCTATCCAGCCAAGGCGTTGATAACTCTGTTGAGGATGTCAAGCTATTCTCCACCCTGACTCTTATCAATATTGCGAAGAAGGGAGGTCGGAACCTGCGTCCGTTCATGTCGGAGATGATTCCCCAGCTCCTTGGTCTATTAAGTACTATTGAACCGGAACAAATAGGCTTTTACTACCAGCGTGTAGGAGAAGGCGGCCGGGAGCTTATCGACAAGCGCCGCGCTGCGATGGTGAGCCAGTCTCCCATCTCGGAAGCTATAGAGAACTGCCTGCGCTTCGTGGATGACGAGACTCTGGTTGAGCTGGCACCTACCCTAGAAGCAACCATCAAGTCTGCGCTAGGAATGCCCACCAAGATTGGTTGCGGCCGGATGCTCATCACACTCTTCTCAACCCACATCAACGCGATGAAGCCCTTGGCGGCGCGATTCCTCCAGCTCATGGAGAAGCAGACGCTCGACATCAACGATGAGGTGAGCAAGTCGTACGCGCGCGCTACGGCGTACATTATCCGGGCGGCGCCGGCGGATGCCAAGGAAAAGTTTTGTCTCAAGTGCATCGATCTTTACTTTGGCGCAGAGGACGAGCGAAGGAGGCAAAAATGGCCGACGTGGTGGTCGCCTTGGCCAAGACGTCGCCTGACCAGTTTACCTCGGTGGCGAGCCTGCTGCTGCCTTTTGCGTACTTTGCATCCAACGACGTGGACCAGTACACGCGGACGGCGTTTGGCGTGGCATGGGATCAGCATGCCGGCGGGAGTAGGACGGTTGCCTGGCACCTCTCCGAGATTGTAACACTCGTGGTTCGTGGGTTGGATGCCCCTAGGTGGAGCCTCCAACACACGGCGTGCTTCACGATTGCCACGGCGGTGGAAGCACTTGCAGGCTCGACGGAGGCGACGGGCCAGATCAGCGAGGCCAACCTCAAGGTCGTCTGGCCTGTTTTTGAGCGCGCTCTCGCACTCAAAACTTTTGACGGCAAGGAGCGTCTCCTCGGTGCGTTCCCCGCCTTTGTGGACAAGGGTGAGGCGCTGTGGAAAGACGGCGGGGCTGTGGCCTCCCAGCAGCGCAAGATTGCTTTGCGCGAGGCCAAGCGCAACAACGTGGGATACAAAGTTCACGCGTACGAGAGCCTGTGGAAATTCTGCAAGGCGCGGAGGGACCTGGAGCTACTCGACGACGTCATCGATGTGGTGCAGCCGGCGCTCGATGAGTTTGAAGATGATGCCGCAGGCGAGGGGACGGGGACAGGCGGGGACAAGATGGACGTGGATGGCAAGGAGGACAAGGAGCATGCGGCCGCGCTGGCAGAGAAGGCGTTTGAGGCCATTGCCAGAGGATACAACCGAGCCGAGATGGCAAAGACCCGGTCCCCTCCCTCTCCACAATCCTCAAGACACTGAAGCCGTACATTGGAGACGCCAAGTTCTCGCTCATCCGGCGCAAGGTGTGGTTTACCGCGCTGGTGGATGTCATGGACGATGCCAAGGGCAAGGCGGCGGCAGGCAAGGACGAGACGGCGCTGGCCAAGGGTTACTTTGACACGCTGAGCCTTGATGTGGTAGAGGCCGGGACGGAGGCGCAGCGGGTGGAGAGGGCGAGAGCCGTCGGCGCGGTGGCGAGCGTGCAAAAGGGGCGTGTTTGGTGGGAAGGGGGGCGTGCTGGAGGTTGTGAAGGGTAGGTTGGAGCATATTCTTGCGGAGGAGAGGAGCATGACGGTCAAGGATGCGTTGAAGAAGGCGTTGGAGGAAACGAAGTAGGCTATCATGAGGTGGATCTATGGCATGACATCTCTCCCCTACAAAAAGGGTGGAAGGGTTGCACATTTTTCTAGTACGAGCATCAGATAGAATAGGGAACCCTCGAGATGCACACTTTTTTACCTTATTTCTTTTTCCTTTCTATATTGCAATATACATTTATATGTAGTTGACTCTAGATTGTGGAAAATTTAAAGAAGCACCGGAAGAAAAGAAAGACATAGTGAGAAAGAGAGGCCTACCATCAACACAGGATGAAGGAGAAGGAGTAGAAAATCAAGTTATCATTGAATCGCTCATCTAAACGCTAACCCTCCGGGTATCACATCGATGCTGGAATATAAAGGAAGAAAAAAATATTTAGTTACAAGGAGAACTTTTCGCCGACGAGCTCCTCGCTGAGAGACCACAGGCGGTCGGCGCTGGCAGGGTTAGTGGCGTGAGGAATGGGCGTGGTGAACTGGCAGTTGTCGAGGTACAGGCCGGATTGTTCTAGAGAGTAGGAAAAGGGCGTTAGTTGAGTCGGATGACGGGTGGACTTTTCTGTATATAACAAAAGGGAAAGAAACCCGAGAAGATGTCGATACGTACCATCAAGACCGGGGTCCAGAGCAGCGACCATGGTGGTGGAGCATCCCTGGTCGATATCCTTCCAGTAGCTGGCCGTCTTTTCGATGGCGGCGTTCATGTCGTCGTCCTGCTGTCTGCCGAGCTGGGTCCTCACACCTATTACAAGGGGTGGGATTATCGGTGTTAGTGCGCTTGATTCCCAACTCACTTTGGAGGAAGAAACGTGAAAACTTACCACCGGGGTGAAGGCAGTAAGCAGAAATGCCCTTCTTAGGCAGCTCCTTTTGCAAGGAAACGGTAAAGAGGATGTTGGCAGTCTTGCTCTGGCCGTAGGCGACGATGCCCAGGTAACCCTCGTCGGGCTGCAAGTAGACCTCGGGAGGCCCTTGCGCCAGCGCTCCTCCTCGGGGACGTCGGCGCCCTTTTCGATGTTGTAGTCGCTGAAGCGGATGGGGCTGATGGCGTGGGCGCCGCTGGCAAGGTTGACGACCCGCGTCTCGCCGGGGCGGGTCCCGTCCTGGCGGGCGGCGGCCTCGAGCAAGGGCAGCAAGAGGTTGGTGAGCAAAAGGGACCAATGTGGTTGGTGCCGAACTGGCCCTCGATGCCCTCGGCGGTGGTGAAGCGCTTCATGACTGAGAGGCCGGCGTTGTTGACGAGCAGATCGAGCTTGGGGGTGAGGCGGGCGACCTCGGCGGCGGCGGCGCGCACCGAGGCCTGGGAGGAGAGGTCGAGGGTTACGGGCCGGACGTCGAGGTTGGGGTGGGCGGCTTGCAGGTCGGCCACGACGGCGGAGAGGTTGGCGGGGGTGCGGGAGGCTAGGAGGAGGAGGGCCGGGGCCTGGGAGGCGAAGGCGGCGGCGGTGGCGGAGCCGATGCCGTTGGGGCTGACGCCGGTGATGAGGACTGTTTTGGTGAGGGAAGAACGGTTAGTCGAAGCTACGCTGTATAAGAAGCCTCTTGCGGCGTGGATGATACAAGACAAAGAAGAAAAGAAAGAGGGAGGAGATGAGTTGGGAGGGACGAACTGGTTTTGCCCTTGATTCTATCGGCGTAGGTGGAGGCGACGAGGAGACCCGAGGTCTTGATGTCGAATTCGGCGCGCGAAGTCATGTTGGCGATATGGAGCGAGTATGGTTTGCGGGCGCTGTTGTTGGTGATTGTTGAATATGAACAGCAATGAGGGAAAAGAAAAGGTCAATTTGGAGAGAGCAAGATGACTTCCAAGAAATGCTTGGAGAGACAAGATTAAGAAAGGGCAGAAAAGCTAGAGACACAATGAGGAGGCAGCATCGTCAAAGCCCTCAAGTAAAAGGTGGTTCCTCCTCGGCAGCACGCCGCGGGCCCTTCTCGATCCAGCCAACCTACACTTGCCGAAGCGTCCTCCTATCGTTCCTTCGGCGCGCTCGCGGGCTACCCGGGCCAAAGAGCAATTAAAGGTTTCCGGCAGTGGGGTTTGCACACCACATCCAGCTAAACCCCCTCCCCTTGCATAGGCTAATGTTTCCTTCGAAGCGAGGGTGCGAGAGCTGTCGCAAAGCAAACCGCAAGAAAAGAACCTAGAGGTGGCCGTTTATTCCTTTTCCTTCTGCTCTTCCTCCCCCTCTTGCCTGCCCCTCTACACATTGCCGGCTGCGGCGAAGGGGAAAAAGGGGACCCCGAGTGTGGACTTTAGGGTGCTTATTTCCAGGTCTCGGACTTTGTGTTCAGCAAGATAGGGCGAATTCGAGTAGAGGATGCTCGGTTCTCACAAGTACCACTCCATTCATACGGGCTGGCGTCGCTCCTTCAAAACTTTGGCCCGAGAAGTCTACCTCGGAGACAAAGTCAAGGTTGGTGGGGAATTGCGGGGAAGGCACAAGCCCCGCCGAAGCGTCAACGTGGATCTCCACGTTTGTGGATTTTTCCCTCACGTCTCCGTGCGTGTTAGTGTTGGCTTAGCGTGCCGACACCCCGGAATGATCATGGTCCAAAGGATGAATGAACTGGGACGGCATGATGAGGGGATGTATTGTATGGTGGTTGCGGCTTATAACAGAAAGGCAAGGAATCAACGCAGAATATTCGCGGAGCCAGAACCAGACCATTAAAACGGCTATTATACATGATACATGATAGGGAATCGCTCGCAAATAGCCCCGTGAAGAGAGAGGCAAGGGCGGGTGGGGGATCAAGGAACGAGGGGCACGGCAAAGGCGGGAATAGGACAAACTCGAGGAGTGCGAGGTTGACCTTGCATCATCCCAACATCCACGGTAGCCTCGTAGTAGCTTGCGTTCACAAAGAGAAGCTTCTTTGCAGACTTCTCGTTCAATCGCCGACTTCAGTAATCGTAATCGAATTCGCCGAGTCCAACGCAAACTCAGCAATGGCCACAGACGGGACAGGTGTTAAAGTCATCGTTGTAGGCGCAGGTTCGCAGAATATTTCCATCATCCCTAAAGCCCCGCTCCTTGAGCATCAAGTGAACCGTTGAGACTTGAAGCTTGAGATTCAGGATGCCCCTGCTTACTTCTTTGCCATTCTCCCTTCTCTTCCGCACGCAGGATTTGGTGGGCTCGCATCTGCTATCGAATGTCACCGCCAAGGCCATTCCGTCACCATCTATGAAGCGTTTCCCGAACTCAAGATCCTCGGCGACATCATCTCTTTCGGGCCCAATGCCGGTCGAATCTTCTACCGATGGGGTGATGGCAACGGGTCTATTGTGAATCGCATGCGGCCGTTGAGCATTGATACCCGGGGCTATGGATTCAACATTCGCAAGTTTGACACAGGCGAAATCATTGTCAACCAGCCCGCTGCCGAATACCCGACTGATGCACCCGCACTCAATGGCCACCGTGGCGAGCTTCACGAGATTGTGTTTAACCATGTCAAGGATGAGTTGAAGATCCCAATCCACCTCGGGAAGAGGATCGATGAGTATTTTGAGGATGAGGAAGGATCCGGAATTATCTTGGACTGTGGTACAAAGGTAAGGACCGAGCAAAATAAGAAAAGAAAAGCCGTCGTCTTGGCCCAGCGAGGTCGCCCCCTTGTCCATGCCGCTGGGTCCCGTAAAGCCGTTGTATTCTGACAGCACGAATGCCTACATGTAGGTAAGGGCGGATGTCGTCATCGCCGCAGACGGAGTCAAGTCTAGGGCGCGCCAGGCTGTTCTCGGCTACGAAGACAAACCCAAAAGCAGCGGCTATGCGGTTTGGCGCTCATGGTTCCCTAACACGGACATGGTTGCGGATCCCGAAACGGCCGCCTTTTGCGCGCGGGACACCTTTAACGGTTGGATAGGGCCGAACAAGCACTTCCTCTTCAGCACCATCAAGGGCGGCCAGGACGTCTGCTGGGTCCTGACCCACCCAGACACCCACGATATCGACGAGTCCTGGTCCTTTCCAGGAAACCTCGACGAGGTTCGCGAGGCCCTGGAGGGCTGGGATCCTCTCTGCGCCCGCATCATCTCCAAGACCCCTCAGGATCGCGTCGTGGACTGGAAGCTCGTCTATCGTGATCCCCTCCCCACATGGGTCAGCCCACGGGGGCGAATCCTGCTTCTCGGCGATAGCGCTCACCCATTCCTACCCACGAGCGCCCAGGGAGCCGCCCAGGCACTCGAGGATGCCGTGACCATCGCCGTGTGCCTCCGCAAAGCCGGTGGCGGCGGCGGGGTCCCGCGCGCGTTACGAACACATGAAAGGATACGATACGACAGGGTGTGCAAGATTCAGAAGACGGGCGAATCCACGCGCGACATGTGGCACAAGACCGACTGGGACGCCGTGAGGAAAGACCCCAAGCTCATCGAATTTCCAAGGCCCGAATGGATCTTTTCGCACGACGCTGAGAAGCACGCGGAGCAGGTGTTTGACGAGGTCGCCCAGAGTCTAGATGCGGACAAGGCCAGGGATGAGTAGGTCGACTCTGGCGCGGCAATACGGCTCACGAAAATGAAGAATGAGGCTCGGCAATGCGGTTATAGCTCATATCTCGATCTTCACAAGTATTTTTTTTGGCTAGGATCAATCAAAAGAGTGACCTAGATTCATTCTGGTGACCACTTGACTGACCTGTCTCGCTCGTTACTGCCGCTCTTTTGCTGGCCCTCCGTCGTCATCGTCAGCGAAGAGCTCGTTGGGTTGTCTGCACTTTCCCCACTGTAAAAGGATTTGACCCCACTGGCTGCTCCCCACTCAACCTGATCTCCCCTGTTCTTTCCCCTTCTGAATTGCCGCGCGGGGCTCCCCAGACTCGAGCTCCTTGAGTCCCCGCAACGGATTATACCTACCGATCGGCATATCGCATCTTGTCCCCCTCCCAACTGCGCCGTCGCCCTCCCCATTTCCTTGCCCTTTCTTGCCAGTGCTCTTTTCCTATTTCCGGCTTCAGCGGCCACCGCCTTCATCTCCCCATACTCGTACCATTTCGGTCTCCTCACCAATCCTTCCAGGGGTCCTTCGTCTGGCCTATCCACTTCCCACTTACCCCAACCCTTACAAGGCCTAGCGCGCCAGATAGAATCACCACTGTGTTTTTTTGGTCTTGCTCGGGAGTTTGCTTGTGCGAGGGCAATGGTGCATCGAATTTGATTCCCTCCGCTTCTGATAGGCTAGGGCGGTTCAAGAAGCCGCTTATGCGTCTAAGTGCCAGAGAAGGAAGCCCGGGAGGTTCGAAGCTAGGAAGCTCAAGAAGAGAGACTTAGGAATTTTCAAGCAAAATTATCACTTCCCCTTCTCACTCTCTTCTCAATTTACTTTTACTTTAAAAGCTTCAGTCTCGAATCTCGGGTCCCGAGGATAAACCAGCCCACGACAGTCGCGCCGTGATATTTACCCTTGTTCTTAGGCCTCGCCAGTATCGCCGCTTGTTTAAGATACATATTGTAGACCTGTGTTGGCCCCGGACCGAGGCCACGACCGGAGTACGATGCTGACGGACCACTTCCAAGATGTGGCCGTCATGGCCGACCACTTGATGCGGTGGTCAGCCAAGAATCTCAACTCGAACAATACTGTCGGCATCTTGATTCTGCAGGTTGTCCTTGCTGCTGTGGTCATCGACTACGGTCGTATGCTCTACCTACGCTTCAAGATGGTAGCTTTCCCCATTTCCTTTTTCCTTCGCAAAATTGATTGGAGTCCACCTCCGCTCCCTTCTAGTATCATCTTCTAACAAACCTGATTGTTCTTCTCTCTAGCCGCCCGGCCCATTCCCGCTGCCCATCATCGGTAACACGTGGCAGCTGCCCGAGAACAAGCCTTGGCTATACTTTGAAGAGCTCTCCAAAAGCACAACTCTCCCGTCATCACCTTCTGGATTGGCCGCAGCGCCACCGTCTGGATCAACGATGCCTGGTCCGCCTCCGAGATTCTCGATAAGCGCGCGGGGCTCTATTCGTCCCGCCCTCGCATGGTGGTCTTTGCCGAGCTCGGCGCTGGTCAGGCCAACCTTGTCAACATGTATACCTGGACCCAGGAGCAGCGTGACAAATGGCGTGCCCACCGCAAGCTGATCCACCACGGTGTCGGCGTGCAGTCCGTCCGAAAGTACCGGTCCTTCCAGAACGACGAGAGCCGCATCGTTGCCCTGGATCTCCTCTCCAAACCCGCCGACTACGTCAAGTCCTTTGAGCGCTACGCCACCAGCGTGGTGTCCATTATCGGATTCGGCAGGCGCGTCGCGAGCTGGGATGACCCCATTATCACCGAGGTGATTGCAACCATGCACTTGGCTGCCGATCTCAACGTTCCCGGCAAGAGTTTCCCCATGCTCATGGAAACCTTCCCTTGGCTGTCCAAATTCCCCGACGCCATTGCGCCCTGGAAGTGTGGCCTCGGCAAGAAGCGTGGCTTCCACTTCTTTTACGCTCTTGCGGATGAGGCGAATAAGAAGGCGGGCCATGAGGGCTCTTTCGTCAAGTACCTCTTTTCCGAGCGAGAGAAATACCAGCTCAAGGAGGAGGAGATTTCCAGCTTGACGGGGAATCTGTTTGGGGCCGGTAGCGACACCAGCAGCAGTACTCTCATCACCTTTGTTCTTGCCTGCTGCGCCTTCCCCGAGACGCTCATTCCGGCGTGGGAGGAGCTTGACCGGGTCGTCGGTCCTGACAGAAGCCCAAACTTTGACGACGAGGCCAACCTGCCTTATATCCGTGCCTTTGTCAAGGAGGTCTTCCGCTGGCGCTCCGTCGCAATCATCGGCGGCCAACCCCATGCCCCAACCGAGGATGACTATTACAACGGCTACCTCATCCCCAAGGGTACCTGGACGCAGGGCAATGTGTGGGCCATTCATCACAACGAGCGTGATTTCCCCGAGCCGGACCGCTTCAACCCCAACCGGTTCTTCAAGGAAGACTCATCCCACAGGCCGTTCCCCACGGACCGCGGGTACATGACGTTCGGCTGGGGGCGGCGCGTCTGCTCGGGCCAGGTTCTAGCAGAGCAGGGCACCTATATCACCATCGCCAGGCTTTTGTGGGGTTTCAAGATCGCCAAGAAGACGAGGCCCAACGGAACTGTGGAGGAGGTTGATATCAACGCCTACACGTAAGAACTCCCTTTCCATGCAGGATCCTTTTTTTCTCTTCATTCTAGGAGGACGCATGACTAACATTTACTAGCAACGGCCTCAACATGAGACCGGTGCCTTTTGAGTGCGATATTACACCTCGGTCGGCTCAGATCGCGGCTACGATGAAGCGCGAAGGTGAACAGGCGCTTGCCGACCTCGATCAGTACAAGGGCGAATCTGAATACCGCATGTCAACATTTTATTCCCGAAACGATAGGGCGATGAACAAGTACGGCAACGATGAGGAGGTCACGGCCGAATAATGCACACATCTCGCTTTGCCCCTCTGAGACCCGGACGCATAAGTTTGGACTACCAGAAAGCAGATTAATGATTTTTGAGAAAAGAAAAACCATTACATAGAAGCGGCGACGACGAACCAACTTTGAAGTTTTACGAGACGGAGAATATTGGGTTTATGACCTGCGATCCATACCCGCTCCGGGAGGTGTGAGTGAGACTTGAGGGTGGGCCCACAAAGAATCCGCTCCGAAGCGACGCGGATGAGCGGATTTGGCTGCTCTGGCCGTGCATCCGAGACTTCGAGTGGGTCAAAGACCCGGCGCGCCAAGAGCTCCACCCAAATCCAAATAACCTGAGCGTTCGAGAAGAGGGAAGGAACGAAGAAAAAGAAAAAGGGAAAAAAACACAAACAAACGAATAGCTTCGCCGGCTTGCCATTGGACAAAAAGATTGGATCACGAAGAAACAAGAGGGCCGGCGGAAGACGGAGAATTATGACAGTCGGTGTTCACAAAAGGTTAGAAGACACTAGGTACGGATGTCTAATCTAATAAACATTGATCTCTTGAGACGTTGAAATGATTTTTGGGAATTTTTTTCTCGTTGAAACTGGAAGGAGCTCGAGCAAAAGGCCCCGGCTCTTGAATACCTCTCACAGGAAAAAGAAGAAGGAAAAAAATAAAATAATACGCAGCATTTCTCACACGCAGGGGCTCCGGCCGGAAGACGACAAGGCGAGAAAGGAAGAAAAATCCTGGCGCGGCTGATACGGAGCGACAAGCACGGCTTGGGAAGGGGAGGCTCGGAAGCCGAAGCGGAGCCGATGTTGATCTCCGATGGACCCGTGGGTTTGGGGGTTGTTTTGGGGGTGGATTGTTCCACATCCCGCGTGCAACCGCCCCTCTATATCGCCAGATGGACCGTCGATTGAAGGTATCGCCGAGCAACCAGGGAGATTTCTCGGAGAAGGCGCCGTTTTCTCCTTTTCCGTGGATCCAAAGAGGCTTTGGTGCCAACGTGAATAGGCGAGCACGCGAGACGAGGAGAAAAGGCCACAGGGAGAATTAGACGTTATTGGGGTATTCAATGTTGCTTCATATGGATTCAACCTAAACCTAGTATTAATTACAACAAGTGCTTCAATACGCCAGCTAGACCTGGCTTTCTCTTTCTCTCGAAATTCACGAGAGCTTGGAACTGTGCAGTACGTGTCCAAAGGGCGTTGTCGCATCAGCAACAAAAGCTTTGGTTGCAGAGGCTGTCCATGGCCTTGAAACGAGCTCGAGCTGTCGGCGTGCTGGGTCGGCTCGCACGGAGGCGCACTAATAACGCGTACTGTCGCTTCCCGTTGCTCCGAAGCAGGGAACATTGATTGATGGGAGGCCCTAAAGAGCTTTCTTGCCCCAAAACATTTAGACCTGATCCGGTAAGGTACCAGAGCTTGCCAGAAAAAAACACATAGTGCAACAACGACAGAGCATGAGCTACCAAAATGGTCCGACCGCAAGGCGTGAGTGGATTTTTATCCCTCTTTTTCTCATGGTCTTCTTTCTTCTTTCTTTTCTTGTTATTATATCTCGCTTCCTATCACATCTTGAAGAGGCCGAAGAAAAATCAACGGATCAACCATTTGAAAAGAGATGGGATGACGGGCCCTCGGAGTAGCTGGCTCCTTGGGGTGCTGAAAAGAGCTAAAAAGACCCATTTGACTTTTTTTTTTCGTCCGCTTTGTTAGTACCCTGTACCCGGAGCGGGTGCAACGCCCCAGTTTAGGAAAAGAAAATGCACTAGAAGGTCGACGGCACCCCGTTGCTCGATGAATGTGCGGTTGCCGCTTTAAGCCGCTCCTTGGTGCTGGCTGGCGAAGCATCAGATCTTTTGTCTTTTCTTCGCGATCCACTCGGCTTTTTTTTCCTTTTTTTCTCGTTCTACATGTAGGTCTTGTGGGTACAGAAGTAGCCATTTTCAATGTTGCTTTAATATTGACCCAATATGTAAAGTTGGAAAGCATGAAGCATGAAGAGAGGGCGAGAAAGGCAGTCATCTACTACTGGATGTACGGAATTTGCGGGCTTGCCTCGATTCTACCTCTTTTGTCGCGGTGTCCGATTGTCACGGCTACCCGCTCCGTCAGGTCGCGAGGGAAAAGTATGTACTTGGTACACCCTGGGAAGGGAAGCTGGCTGCTTCTGAGTTGACACGAACGATAGCTCCAGGGCCATTATAGCCGCTCTTTTTCTTTTGCTCGCCTTCCGGAAGTGCCAGCTTTTTAGCCCGGGAGGGCCAGCCAGCCCAGCACCGGCGTCGCTCCATGTACTCAATGTCCAAGTATTGATCCATTAGATTCAATTGAATTGACGCTCCCCTTGCGGCATTTCGCACACATCATTGATCACCCTTCCCTCATAACAACACCACCACGAATCTGTAACCTTGCTCCAACTTTTTTTTCTTTTTCTTCTCTCCCTTCTTCTTCCCTCCTTCCTTCCTTTCCCTCTCCACATTTTTACTTTCCTGTCTGATATCCTATTCCTCTGAAATATATCCTTTTCTCTTGTTCCCATTGCTGTTGCGCGGGTCGAAAGCAAAACGTAAGTACACTTCTGCCCAAACTGCGTGCATGACGCTCACTTTTTGGCCACCCCTGCTGTTATCTTGGTCCTTCCCCCACTAACCTTGTTTCTTATCTCGGCGTTCTAGCCCGTACAAACGAGCAAAACTCCGACCCTTTCTCGACCACGATCTTTTTGCCTTCACCCTTCCTCTCCCACACCACCCTCGCCCTTCCAAAACACGACCAAATCCCTCTACATCGTCTGGGACATTCGCCTCAAGAGCTTTTCTTTCTCAATCCCTCTCCCACATAACCTCCTACAAAATCAAAAATCAAAATGTTTGCTCGTGGGCACTCCGCGGCGTCGCAGGTAAGCTTCCTTTCTATCTCCGAGTTTCGCTCTTGCTCCGATCTCCGAGCTCTCTCGCAACAACACGCAACACGTCACCAGCCGCACATTCACTCGCATCGTCCATTCACCCTCACTGCTTGCCTCAATTGATGAGCCAGACCCTTTGCTCGTCTACAGCGTTTTTCTTTTTCTTTTTGTCTTTTTTTTTCTTTTCCCCTCGCCTCCCCGCGGCGTTTGGAATTGAGAGAGCGACTATTCAGACGAGGGCGGAAATAATTACGTGTGCATGCATGTGAGAAAACTTGGCTAACATGTTCGTCATCAACCTCCTAGCTGGTGCGAGCCACCACCCGACAGCCCTTCCTCACCCGCGCCAACTCCACCCTCCAAGTAGGCGCTGTCAACCCTATCAGGACCGGCGGCAAGTACACGGTAACACTGATTCCCGGTGATGGCATCGGCGCCGAGGTCGCTGAGTCGGTCAAGACGGTCTTCAAGGCCGAGAACGCCCCCATCCAGTGGGAGGAGATTGACATCACCACCCTCGAGACCCCCGTCGAGCGCACCGAGTCCATGTTCCAGGAGTGCGTCAACTCCCTCAGCCGTAACAAGATTGGCTTGAAGGGTATCCTCCACACCCCCATCTCCCGCTCCGGTCACCAGAGCTTCAACGTCGCCATGCGCCAGCACCTCGACATCTACGCCTCCGTCTCCATGATCAAGAACATCCCCGGTTACAAGACGCGCCACGAGGGCGTCGACATGTGCATCATCCGTGAGAACACCGAGGGTGAATACTCGGGCCTCGAGCACCAGAGCGTGTCCGGCGTCGTCGAGTCCCTCAAGATCATTACCCGCAAGCAGTCGGAGCGCATCTCCCGCTTCGCTTTCGACTTCGCCAAGGCGAACCAGCGCAACAAGGTGACCTGCATTCACAAGGCCAACATCATGAAGCTTTCCGATGGCCTCTTCCGAAGCGCCTTCCACCAGGTTTCCAAGGGCTACTCGGGCCTCGAGGTCAACGACATGATTGTCGACAACGCCTCCATGCAGTGCGTCGGCAGGCCCCAGCAGTTTGACGTCCTCGTCACCCCCAACCTGTACGGCTCCGTCCTCTCCAACATTGGTGCCGCTCTCGTCGGCGGCCCCGGTGTCGTCCCCGGCTGCAACATGGGTGACGACATTGCCCTCTTCGAGCCCGGCTGCCGTCACGTTGGTCTCGATATCAAGGGCAAGCACCAGGCCAACCCCACCGCCATGCTTCTGTCCGGTGTTCTCATGCTCCGACATCTCGGCCTCCACCAACACGCCGACCCCATCGAGAAGGCCGTGTACGACGTCATCGCCGAGGGGTAAGTTTTCTAATTGCCGAATCTGGCACTCCTCCCACTCCCCTGTCCCGTCCCCCTATTCTCTTTCTTCACGCTTTTGTACTGACCCGACTTGTTCCCCTTTTATAGCAAGACCCTCACCCGCGACATGGGCGGCTCGGCCTCCACCCTCGACTTCACCAAGGCCATTCTCGACAAGCTCGAGGAAGTCCACAAGCAGTAAGCGCCATCAGATACGATGCGCACCCGGTTTTCTATCCCTGTCTTAGACGCTCGGGGGGCAAGTTGAAGGCCAGAAACGGATTCATTCCCCCTTCAGACGACAGTTTCGTCTCCGGTCATTTCTCCAACACATAGACGGATCCGCCCTCATCCTCGAACACTAGGGAGGTAGACTTTTGTTTGTACTTTGCACGTTGCATCCCACCCGGTATCAAAATATCGACATCCGGCTGGCCCACCCACGCCCCGTCCTAGGCGTGTGCGGAACGCGAACCCTCGCTCCCCCTATACCGACTCGCAAAGCGTATGTCCAAAGGCGGGTGTGTGGTTGGATGAAGTAATGATGGGAAAAAGTGTGGGGTAGAATTTGGATCCTTTCTTTTTCTTTTTCTTTTGAAAAGAGAATGGATTGAATTGCTCTTTTGTTTTCGCAGACGAAGATGGTGGCACCTGGCCATGGCCGAAAGGTGGGAAGGCCAAGAAAAGCTAATCCCAAGAAGACCAAAGGTCCGGGGTAGCGGATGAGAGAGATGAGAGGCATCATTGTACATAGATCAAATACCATCATCGAGATAACCCTGCATGTACTCTTTTTTCTTTTTATGTTCAGTCACTTGGTCATTTTCTCATTTCTTGTCTTTCTTGATCGGGGTCCTTTGTACGAGGAGGAATCGAGGGTGGGAGGTACGAAGTAGGAGCAGCAAGTAGGGAAAAGCTAGCCCAAGGAAGGAAACAGTGCAATGTAACCGTGTTCCCTTGCTCCGTGCTCTATTTTTGTGGGGAAATGGTTGCGAAAGGTGACCACACCTCCAGATCGTGGGGTTCGTGATGCCAGTCACCATGATGGACAGACCGTGCCAGGGCCAATATGAATTCAATGGATATCATCAACATGGGGAGGGGTGTGCACCGAATTATTTCTTCCGAGACACCGTTGGGATCCACGTTGATCCACGTTGGCTTCAGTTCCTGGCATTGGCATGAAACGAGCCATGCCTTCCTCGGATTGGGGAAATTATTGCATGGGCTGTGTTGAATGGGTGGTGGGAAAGGCACGAAGAAACTCGTCCATGAACCTCGGTCGGTGGTGAGGATGCCAGTCGAGAAATGCGTGGGACAAGAGGGCCAATTTTTGGGCAGAGGAGCACATCGGTGCTGTTCTTCTCTTTTGGCTTGTGATAATCAGAAATGGCGACTGGGACCGAAAAAGCTAGGACCGCCCCCTTCTAATCCGTATGTTGCCAATTGCGTACATGTAGTTTCGGGTGCGGGGTAGCTTCTATGCGTGCCTGCCCACCTGCGCAGGCCATGAGTCCGTTGTGCTTGGGAAACTCGACTTGGACTTTCTGCTCCCTCGTTGACATAAGAAGAACCAAGAGAAAGCCAACAATAGCGAATGCTTGCAAGTGAAGAAGGGAGGTGAAAAGGAAAGCGAGGATAAAGGAGGAAAAAAAAAAAGAGAGCGATAGATATAGAGAAAGAAAGAGGTAACAGACTAAAACAAAAAGAGGGAACCCCCAGATAATACCACCCCCGTTGTTGCCGGCCATTCCCAATTGCGGCCACACCGGGTCGCACCTTCGTGAACTGGAGTTGCATTGTTAGACAATCCCCAACGAGCGGGGACCGCTGATCACGTCGTTGTCGGAAAGAAGAGCCTAGGTTCAAGACCAGGCACGAGGGAAAAAGGGAAAGTCCAGCTTCCCGTGCTTGCGAAGTTGCAAACTTGGCACAAGGAACCATTGTCCCTTGGTCGCGGGAATTAAAAGAGGGAACGAAAAGGAAGAAGAGCTTGTAAACTTTTCCCCTTATATCCAGCATCATTCCTTTTTTCTAGCTCTTCTTTTCTTCTTCTCTTCTCTCCCTCTTCCAATCTCTACCCTACTTCACACCACATATTCTTACCTCACCCGCCGCCTTGTTTCCTCTTCACCTCGAAGCGACTAATCCCCTTCCGGTTGTCACCTCCAGGGCAGACAATCGAACCAACGCTCCTGTTTCACGAGACACCCCGCTCTTGTCGAATCATCTCTTAAAAAAACCGTTCACAATGGCCGCTCCCGCCACCAGCAACATTGGCAACCTTCAGGGCCGCTGGCTCATGGTAAGCTCTCCCTCCTTCGCGACGCAGATGCTTGCTCCTGCGGAACTATGCCTTGGGAGCTCTTTTTGTCTCACACGTCATTACTTGTTTTTAGAACTCCAAGCTCTCGGATAGCATCGAGCCGGGTCTCTCCCTCCAGGGCATCTCGTTCCTCCTCCGGAAGACGATTACTTTGGCGTCGGTCACGCTCGAGATCAAGCAGTTTATCGCGCCTCCCTTGGAGCCCAACAAGGCCACGGAGCCCGTGTCGCACATTGACATTCAGCAGATCGCCACGGGCGGCCTCAAGGGCACGAGGGAGCAGCGCTGCCTCGACAGCGAGTTCCGCCCCCACTCGGACTGGATCTTTGGCAACGTGAGCGGCCAGTCCAAGTGGATCTCGCTGGACGAGGTCGACGACGAGTACCTTACCCAAGGGTGGGCGCTCGACGCCAACGAGGAGGCTGGTCCCGAAGGCAAGAAGCACGTGCTGAGCCACGTCAAGAACTTGGATAGCGGCTGGACGGCCACCCAGGTTTGGGGATTCGAGGAAGTGGAGGGAGAGAGGCGATACGTCAGGCACATTGTGATCAAGAAGGACGATAAGAGGGTGAATATGAGGCTCGTCTACGACTACCTTGGTCCTCTTGCCGAGTCCGCCTAAGAAGGCAGCGCCAAAGGAGGTGACGACTAGCTGGGGATGGTGGGGATGGGCTACGGCTCTCTGGCCACTCTCTGGCCATTCTCTGGCCCCTCGTCTCTCCCTTGTCTTTCTCTCGTACGCCCATGATTTCCCATTTCATACTTGACCTTTCTTCCACCTGCAACGGGTCTTGTGGACTGCATGTATTCATTCCCTTATGTTGGTAGAATAACCTATTTATTGCATAAATTCGATACCAAGGACGTCCCCTTAAGATTGGGAACCCTTTTGAACACTACATTCACAAAACGTATCCAGATTGGCAAGGCAAAGGAATGACCATGACCATGACGGCTCCTACGATGGCTCTCAATGGGTATGATTATACTTTTGTGTTTCATTCGAGAATTATAGACAGGCAAGGTCCGTCTATGAGATGGAACCGAATGCCACAAATATGTACTCACTCACGAATGCGTATAAGTGGGATGAAGCGCCTTGGCTGTTTGGCTGGGTGTGATTGAGTAAGTGAGTGCAGTGCGCATGGTGTGTGGTGTGTGGTGTGTGGTGTGTGGTGTGTGGTGTGTGGTGTGTGGTGTGTGTGTATGGTGGGGTGTACTGATGTGAATTGTGTGTCTTCCGATTTTTCCCTCTCTAGTTGCGCCCCAGTGTTGAAACCCGCAGTCCCGCGCTTCCCGATGCAAACTCCCAACTGTTTCCTGTGCGATGTTGCCGAGTTGTCGTCTCATTCCCGGTAGGGTTGAATCCTAGTCCGGGCTGTCATGATAAAGGAGGAAAGAAAATAAAAAAGAAAGGAAAAATTGTAGCGTACGATGACCACGTTGGTCAGTCAAGCCCAGCCTTGTCCTCCATCTGCGTGTGTCTTGACACTCCTCCCGCTTTCTGTCTCCGTAGTCTCCCTTGTTCCTCCATTCACTCCCCTTTCCTTCTCCGCCGTTTCTTTCATCTGTGCCTTTCTGTTGGTTGGCCGAGGTTTCATTCTAACCCGGGTTCCGAGGAGGTGTCATGCCATGCCATGCCATGCCGTGCACGTCGCCAGCTCTCCGGGATTCCCCGATTTCCTGGCTGTTCAAGCGCAAAGGCTTCAAGCAGGCCGCCTCTTGACAAACTCTTCGAGATCCTCGACGGTAGCGACGCCGAGGACAAATCTCCGCTTCTCGTCGGTGACGACAGCAAAGGACTGGGGCTCGCCGCTGCCCTCTCCGCTAAAGAAGGCCTCGAGGTCCTCGAGCGGGGTGGCCATGGTGATGACGGTGTACTTTGCGCCCTTGCGGCGGAAGCGCGTCATGGCGGCGGAGATTTCGTCGTCGGGGCTGACGGCGCCGGAGTCGAGCAGGCGCTGGAGGTTGGGGATGGAGACGTAGCCGAGGAGGGCGCGGGTCTTGGCCGAGACGACGGTCAGGTGGGTGTACTCGCGCTCAAAGGCGGAGATGAGGGCGTGGGAGATGGGGTCGGAGGGGATGAGGGAGAGAGCGGCGGGGGTCGAGGTCTTGGACTGTGGCCTATGGAGAGGGTGAGTTTTGGTTAGCGAGAAGAGGGAACGAAACGAGATTATGGGTGTTTGGTGGATGGGGATGGGATTGCTTACGCCACGGTAGCGGGAGGACCACTGAGAAGCGAAAATCTTTTGGGAGGCCGGCTGCGGCGTGGAGATGGTATCGGTCGCCATGGTTTTGACTTGTGGAAACTAGGTGTGAGAGTTTAGAAAAAGGGCGAAAGGAGGTGAATGGCGGTGGTGGTGGAGGTGAAGGTGAAGGTGGTGGTGGTGAATGTGCTGTATCCCGGCCGGTGGCGGATTGTCGCGGGCTATCTTTTTAGGTCTTGGGAAAGAATCGGTGAAGTTGGTAGCAGTGGGGGAAGGAAGGGAAAGGAAGGAAGGGAAGAAAAATCAAGAACCGACGAACCCGTTTTTGTAAGGCCAAAAGATCCAGATGTCAGCACTACTCGAACTATGACTTGGCGAACAACGACACAAGACTACGAAAATTTGATCCTCCTTTTAGAAATCGACGGGACCCTTTTTTTTTCTTTTTTTTCTGCTTCTTTTCCCTTACAATGGAGGCAGGTGGTAGAGCTGCAATTGGTTCAAAGAGGAAAAAAGTGGGAAAATAGAGTACGGCGTGGGACAACTGCGGTCAAGGAACTCCGAAGAACAAAGGCCCCGGGGCCAAGATTCGTCGAGGATTCGTCGAGATTTCGTGGGGAGGAGTAGTCAGCACCGGAGTCGTTGGGGGACATGGGAACGCATGCTGTCGCCTCTCAACGTGGTGTGTGTGCGTCCCACGCTTTTTCTTTGGAGATAATCGCCCATTGTCTTTTGGCGGTGGTGGGGGACGCAATCGTGGGGGCGTATTGATCCTCGGGAATGTCAGGCGCTTCAGCATGTTGTGCGAGAAGCACATGGGATCGAATCGTTGGAAGCGTTGGCGAATAGTCCTGGCCTAAAAGGGTTAAAGTTGCGTGGGGCTGTCCGCGACGGGAAGAGAAAGTCCATCCAAAGCGTGTTGCGGTGCGGTAGCCGGGCCATTTCGTTGACCTTTTTGCTCCCTTCTTTGCCTCCCCTCCGCCCGTCTTTGAACGATTGTTGAGATGGGGGAGGATTCCTCCCCGGGCCCGGAGTTCGGTGAAGGGGCCGGTCCGGGGAGGGGGCATTGATGGGAGGAACTGGGGCCCGTGAAAGGAAGGGGTAGTGTATACGATCGCCAAACCCAGGATTTACTCGAGGTCCCGGGACCCGGGGCCAGATTTGTTCGTTTGCCCCATACTAGCGAGTTCCCCATGATGTCACCGAGTCGTGAACGGCGATGGGGGCCGATCTATCCGCAGCCCTGACATTCGCATCGCCACGCCAGTCAAACCACCAGCACCCTCCTCTCCTAATTCAATGCATCACTCAGAAAGCGCAAGATAAACTAGAGCTCTCGATGTTTTGGAGAAACACAGAGTAGTGGGAATGTACTGGGACATTCGTAGGTTCATGATTCGAACTATCGACCTTTCTGCACTTGCAGGCAGGCCGTTCCTTGCCGGTACCGTGACCGATGAATCGGCCAGCTCCAAGTGCGCCACCAAGTTCCTTCCGGTTTAATTCTCTCCACGTCAACACCCAAGTTTTTCATGTCGAACCCAGCTCAGAGCTGTCTCTCAAAACCCCGCCTGCCTTTCCTCCCTCCCTCCCCCAATCTTAGCTTCCAGACCTTCCCACAGATGAAACCGTTCGCAATCGCCTCTTTTCCCCCTCCTCCATATCTATCCTTTCCGTCTGATCCGAGAGCTGCGGGGTGGTGATGGGGCCCTGGAGGAAAAAAGGGAAGAGGAAGGAGGGGCGCCTATCGGCCAAAAAGAATAATCGGGCCCCCTGGCCTTGCCCGCAGAGATACGTCTCTCATGGCATGGATCCTGCAGTGAGATTGATCCATTGGGCGGCCGCACCCGAGCAATCAGGAAATCGGTGATGTCACTTGTGTCAGGTCAACGCAGCTAGCTTGTGTGACCTCCATATGCTTTGATACAAGCTACCCAACTCAATTTACCCTCGGTCTATCTGACTTGACTGCGGTTGGTCCGGATGGGATCATCAACAAATGATAAAAGTTGGAGATAGCTCTTGGGAGGGGGCGGTTCCTTCACAATTCCTTTTTTTCTCTCTTCCTTTCCATCCTTCAGGTAGTGCTGCAAGTTCAGCCTTGTCCCCTTGCTCTCCGTTCCATCAGTCGCAGTCTACGCCTTTGTACTTGCGCGTGTCCCACGTTGTCGACCTGGTCTGCTTTTCCATGTTCGGGTTTGCCTTGATCACTTGATTGTACCTGCTACTTCCTTCCGTGCCATCTCCCCTCCGTACGATCCAACTTTTTCTTCTTCTTTTTTTCCTTCCCGTCTTTGGTCATTCCCCTCCTCCTTTCAATCCTCACGCAAAGGCACATCCGCTCTCTTTTCGAGCGAACTGCGTAGAATTGGACGTCCACTTGCCATCTACCATGTCTCGGTCGCAGCCGAATCACGACGCCTTCCGCGGGCTCTTCTACAGCCCGATTGCGTCGGCTACCTCTAGCACGACAGACCAGTCGAGGCAGAAGCAGCAGCAGCCGCAGCAACCCAAACGCATGGGCACCGTCTTCGACTACTATTCCGTCGTCGATGACGCTAAAAAGGGTGCCAAGAAGCTGAGCGCCGAAGCTCAGCGCGAATTCGACAAGGCGAGCGCAAAAGCCCAGGGGAAGAAGGGCACCATTGCCCTCTACTCGCCCACGTACTATGCCGCCTGCACTTTTGGCGGCCTCTTGGCCTGTGTAAGTTTGCAAAACCCCGCGCGACCGGGTCCGGTTATACGGGACTTTTTCCGGCGCGAGAGGAGAAAAAGAAGCTAACGCATCGCTCGTAACCGCGCAGGGCCTGACGCACACCGCGGTGACGCCGCTGGATCTCGTAAAAACGAGGCGGCAGGTCGATTCCAAGCTCTACAAGAGCAACATGCAAGGCTGGTCCATGATTTACCGCAAGGAAGGCCTGCGCGGCATCTTCACCGGCTGGAGCCCGACTCTGTTCGGCTACTCGGCGCAGGGCGCTTTCAAGTACGGCTGGTACGAGTTCTTCAAGAAGACGTACTCCGACATGGCCGGCCCCGAGGCCGCCTACAAGTACAAGACGTGGCTGTACCTGGGCGCTTCGGCCTCGGCCGAGTTCCTCGCGGACATCGCCCTGTGCCCCTTTGAGGCTATCAAGGTCCGCATGCAGAGCAGCATCCCCAACCCTTACACGGGCACTTTCCACGGTATCAGCTCCGTCGTCGCCAAGGAGGGCGCCGCCGGACTGTACAAGGGCCTGTACCCGCTGTGGGCTAGGCAGATCCCCTACACCATGATGAAGTTTGCCTCGTTCGAGACTATTGTCGACATGATCTACGACCGTCTGCCCGGCACCAAGGACGACTACGGCAAGGCTGCCCAGACGGGTGTCTCCTTTACCGGTGGCTACCTGGCCGGTATCTTGTGCGCCATCGTCTCCCACCCCGCGGATGTCATGGTGAGCAAGCTCAACGCCAACCGCGCCGCTGGCGAGGCGTTTGGCGCCGCTATAGGACGGATCTACACGGATATCGGCTTCGCGGGTCTCTGGAACGGCCTGCCCGTGAGAATCGTCATGATTGGTACCTTGACTGGTCTTCAGTGGATGATTTATGTAAGTTGTTGTTTTTCCCCTCTCCCGGCCTTCCACTCTCCGGCGGCATAGGCCGGCACGGCACGGCCGGTCCAAGTCCATGAAAGGTATTTTTTTGAATGAGTGAGTGCTAATCGAATGCCGTACAGGATTACTTCAAGATCTTCATGGGTTTCCCCACCACCGGCGGCGCGGCGCCACCGGCGCAGGAGAAGCAGAAGTAGGAAACGAAAGACGGTTAGCGAAAGATTGATTGCAACAAAAGTTGAAGTGTCCCTGAGTGCGCTCGCTTGAAGAAGACAATGGCGGTTGACTCGATGGGGGAGGGCGGTTCCGTCGTGTAGGCTAGTTGAAGTGATTCTCACCACTATCTGCTTTTTATATAGACAATTTCACATTTCTTCTTTGCAATTTCATTTCCTAGTCTTGGGGCTCCTTCTTCACGTCTAGCCCGGCCCCGCCATCTACAGTATGCACACACGTATGCAAACCGGGTCACTTTAAATCACGGCCTCCGCACCCTCCGCACCCGCCGGAACCGACCGGGACAAACTGGTACGTCCAGCCGGCACGTCAGTGCTTCGGCCGGCAAGAGACGGACTTGGCGGTTGTCCCCCTCTCGTGTTTGCAGAAACGACGAGAGCCAAGAACACTGGCGGCCGGTAGGCAGAAAGAAAAAGAAAATTGGGAAGAGGGGGGCACAAAGCGAATGCAAGGAGGCTAAGCACCCCCATTTCTTGGCTTGATTATCTGTCACTACTAACCTACACTACCTTTTTCGTTCTTCCTTTTTCCCCGGTTTGTTCACTCTTTGTGGCGGCCAAGATTTTAAACCCCCACCAACGCCACCGGTTGCTGCCAAGAAGGGGAGAGGGGGACGAGGGGGACGAGGGGAAGGGTATGTCATCATACCACATATCGCGCTGCGGGGGTTCTAGTGGAGGTCGGGATGTTCCTTGTTCCTCGCGGGACAGGTGAAGGCATTCAGGGAAAGGGGAGAAGCTTTCTATTTTCCTATATATAACTAGAATTATATATTTGTATATATTTCTTTTCCTTTCTACACGTCCTCTTCTCTCTACGCGGGAAGTGGGACCCCGGATAGGCTACGCTCGTCAAAGGAGGGCTCCGGATCCTTCCTGCTGCGCGAGTTCCTTTTCGAAAGCGTCATATTAGCCTTGCGTTTGCCGAGCCTCTCGCCGGACTCGTTCTGCAGAAGCAAGTAAAACGAGTTTGCTTTGCTACATCTTTTTATATCCAACGCTGTATGACTAACAGCAAGAAAAAACTCCCTCTCCGGCCCCGAGTGCTCTTCTATTCCCGCCTCTTGGATTCTACTCGCTCGAGTGACGTCTATGAGCTGACACCGTGAGCTGACCTTGCTACTGCGGCGTGTTTTGTTCCCATGAGGATCATCGAAGGCGGGGGAAGCTACAAAGAAGAGGGGAGGCAGAGGGAAATGGTGGGGGTGGGAAGGTGGTAGTAGGAGCTTGGGAAACCCTGTTGGAATCGGCCCGCGAGAGGGAGTCGAGGAGTCGAGATGCCGCCGATGGGTGGCACGACAGCACTAGACATTGGCTTTCAGTCAGTGGCAAAGGCGATGTGGAGTATGTTAGTGGGCGGGAATTCGACACCGCGGTTGGTGGGTTGAGGGGCTGTGAGGGTGTGCTCCCCGCCCCCTCAACCGGGGCTCGAGAAGGGAAGAAAAATAGTTGGGGGAATAGGTGGATCTCTAGGGGAAGTAGACGGAGACCGGTCCGCTTCCACTGTTGCTTTGGGGGTTGGGAAGTTGGTGGAGCGCATAAGACGAGAGACTGCGACGCTGCAGTTGGCGAGGCCCTTCTCCAACACTGGCAAAAGAACCTGCGAGTTTTTGTTGGTCGTGGGTGTTGGTGGGATTTGAGGAGGCTACCACATCCATTCCAAGGAAAAAAGAAGTGCATTCCGGACGGGGGTGTGAATATGTGAATATGTGAATATGTGAATATGGGATGGATTTAGACGATTAAGGGGAGCATGAACCGAGACAACAGCAACGGCGAGAGAGCTCATATCCATAGGCAATAAATGTCCATTCATTCCGCGGCCGGCCCTCTTGGGAGCTGTAGCTCGGGCGAGACGGTCTGGTTTGCGCAGGGGAGCGGGGAAGGTTCCTCGTCGCGAGTTGCTGATCCTCCTGCCCGCGGCTCGACATAACTGATAGCTGCGGGGTTATGTCCAAAATCGGGAATAGCAAAACCGTTTGGGCGGAACTGCCAATCTCGTCGTCACAAACAAGTACAGGTAGATCCCCGGCTCAAAAGCTGATCGCGGTACTACGACGCAAGATCTCAGGCTCCGCAAACCCGACTTCCCATCGACAAACGAACTTGCACGCTCAATAGCACGCCCGAGCTAGTTATCAATGCATCAGATATAGCAGCGGTGAGCCTAATATTCGCTAGCTCTCCGTTGCAGGCAATAGGACATTCATGCCAGACATGGAATCGAAAAGGGAAAGTGCTCTAGAGAGAGAGAAAGCGAGAGCAAAGGGCTAGGTAACTCCGCACTTTGATACTCCAGGAGGGGGACAATGGCGCCAAAATGCACTCTTTCCTGCTCTTCGTGTCCGAATCCTGCCGCCAAATCCTGTTCGACTGGCATCGAAGCGGGGTTAAAGGGTGGGGAAAAAGAACGTAAAATAAGAAGAAATTGAAGGCTGCGGAACACATTATCCAGATGCCCATCAAGAGAACCGCCGGCGCACTCCCGCCCAAGCTTGACTTGATGAGTCCCGGCGACCTGCAGAGGCCAATGAATTCATCCACCATGGATCCATTGAATAGTTGAACCCGTACCATCAATGCATTAGGGTCGGAGAAGCCCACGTCTCCTCGAGACGCCACTAATCCACTTCGAGATCTGCCCTCGTGGGCGCCCTAATTTAGCATCATGCTGGTTTCTGGAACTTGCCTTGAAGCGGGGTCCCTGGCTAGCCCTCCCTGGCTCCGGTGTCCTGGTGTCCTTCCCATTCTCTGTCTGCCCGCAATCCCCGAATACTGACCGTGTGCTGTGGCTTCGGACTATTACACCCGACAGGATATGCCGGCAAGGCGAGCCAAGAGGTCTCAACCGACCTTCTCTCGACTCTTGAGAGGTTTGCGCAACGTTACTCAACAGTGTCGTGCCACTGCCAGTCCCCAAGAGAGCAAGGAAAGAAAGCTAAATCTACAAGCGCCGTCGCTTTCGGCGCTTTTTGTCTTTTCTTTCTTTTTTTCATTCTCCCTTTCTCCCCCATTTCTTTGCAGTTACTTCTCCTTCATGTTATCCTTTTGTCGAAGCTGCTTGAGGAGAGGGGTTCGGTTCACCACCTAGGGGTGCCGGCCTCCCCAATCGCCGAAAGCATTAATGCGGGTTGGATGGGTGACTGGAAGGGAAGCGTTAAATAGATTACGGACCGCACCATGCCTGGTGCCGGCTGGTCTGCAAAGACCGGGTTTGTTCACGGCTAATCAGGTCAAACATGAGGACATGACCTCGCGAGTGTTGGCTTTGGGTGGGGGTAGGCCTAGGCAAACAAGCAGCGGGTTCTGGGGATTGGTCTTGCTCCAGTGCGATGTTGTGCCAGGCCCGACGCTCATGGATGATTATGGTGGGTAGCAATGGGGTAAGTATTAGGAGATGAAGAGGCCGGCCTCGACGGCTGGCCGGCGCAGCTCACTAGCATAGCTGACTCCCTACCTCTCAGCTTGACGTGGGGCGAGGTCAGCAGTCCCGCCAAACTTTACCCATCCACCTAAAATAAGAAAAACCCTTGTTTTTATTGCTTATATGTCTTTTGTTGGAACTATAGCTGCCTCCTCTCGATTATGCGTTTTTGCTTTCGGTGCGACTTGGATGATACATAATCAGGATCCATGGGCCCGGTGTATGGGTTGTATGGGGTGCGGAGTTCCGTCTGTTGATGTCAGTTGTCACTTGCTCCCTTCCTCTGGTTTCTGGGGTACATCAGTCGCAATTTAGAAACCCCAAGTCTGGCCTCGCTCGATACTCGAGACAACCTCATCAACGACTGTGATTGGCGGTAGACGTGTGAATCCCTCATCCTCGTGGCCAGCAATGGTACTTTATACATTCCAGCTCTGGTCCTAAATCGTCTCGCGCGCTGGGATCTCACCCTCGAGATCCAAAGTTGTATTACCGACCGACGTCGAGTGATGAGGTCACGTACTTTGTCCAGTCCCTCCATTTCAGTTGGTACCCCAGGCGAGACAGTCAAGACAGTGCTTCTGCTCCACGTTTGTGAGCGGCAATCCGCGGCAGGCCGATATCACAGTTTCTGAGAGAAAACTGGGAGGGGGCAAGGGGAAGCGCGAGGGCAGGGGGTTGGCTAGGGCCTGGGCCAGCTTGAACTTGATCTGCTGCGGGTGTCTCGTCCCGAGTTGCCGTTGAATACTGATTGTTCACTGATGACTCGCAGGGCCGGTCCGCTGATAGACATTGGGTGTGAGATCAAGCAACCACCAGGGACTGGCTTTGGCATGTTGTTTATCAGTCGAAAAAAAAAGATCAAGATAAATGCATCGAAAGTTACATATCGGGTGAAGCACAAAGTCTTGACATGCCTTGTGTGTTAATGACGAGTTTGCCGATGACCCTCGATGGTGACGCAGGGGGTAATTACACTTGAAGGATGTGGTGGTGGACGAGAGAAACTCGAGGACCCCGGATCTGCGCCGTCGTATCAACTGTCAAAGCAGAAGGGCTCGGCAGGGGTAAGCACGAATGGACCTCACAAAGGACTGTGCTGAAATATTCTTGAGCACGACTCCCCTCCATTCCCTCCATCTTCAAGTGAAATTGCGTGTTGAGACTCGCTCGATTTGGACGAGACTAATCATATTTGAAAGTAGTCTATTCGCCTGGGTATGAGTTCCATGCCATCTACCTCGGTAGGAACATCACAGCCATACTGCTTTGTCAAGGCGACCGGAGGCACGGGGGCGAGTGGCAACTGAAAGAGCATCTAGAGCGTGCCTTTCCTCGTGGTCGCCATCATTTACTCAAGCGATTGGTGAAGCGGAAGATTGGGGTTCCTTTAGTTGAATGGACGGATGAATCTGTTGTATCTTGTGACTTTGCTCGAATCGAACAAGGTCTAAGCGAGCACGCAACACAGGCGGAAAGGGGGAGGTGAAACTGGATTGAACTGAGGGATCAATGTCACTTCCATTGGCACTTTCTGGAATGGAAGTTGGAGCCACCCTGCGGAGCTCAGACTTTCTATTCGCTTTTCTCCACCTGCCTCGACGACAAACTGGCGGAACAGGATGTTGCGCAGACAGCAGCTCCGCGAGAACTGGCAACGGCAGAGCGATCGATCTTGCTAGCTAGCTTAAAGATCCATAGATGCGACTGTTAGCCTCTGCCGTTACTATTATTTTGGTTGTTATTTTATTCATATTTTTATCCTCTCTTGGCGGGATTGACGACTTGTCGGACATGGCAAGGCATTCTGCTGCCTTGGGGGTTTCCCGCATAAGTTGAGAGAAGGATGGGCATGATGCGCCACCGGTCTTTCTCAGCATTCGTTGGAAGCGAGAGGACACGGAGCAATGACGAAGGCTAGACGCCATGCCCCTCCTCAATTGATTAGTGGCCAGGATGACGACCCAGGGATGAATGCCGGAGAGGTCTCAACACGAACCTACAGCGATTTCCCTACTCCACAGCACACTCCAAGTACAGTACACGACCCCACGGGCTGTGCTTGCGCTGGCTCCTTCCCACTTGCCCCCTCACCGTGTCGCGACTGGATCCAGGTACATGGAAGTTTGACAGCTTGGGAGACTGTTCTTACCACGCTGCACCATGTCCCTTCCGTATCGGTGCATTGAAAAGATGGACCCTTGGGTTTGAGGTTGGCTTGTCAAATTGTGGAAGGTGCAAGGAAAGACCAGTGTTGGGACTGCAAACTGGTGGGGCTGGGTGGATGGATCCAGGATCTAGAATCTGTGGACATCCCTCTGTGCAGTGTGCTGCGTCTGCCATCCTGGGTGATTCAGTGTCGTTGGCGTCATTGATTCGAGTTGGGTTCGGGGAAGAGGACGAGAGTGACACAACTACAAAACTTCCAAATATCCAGGTGCCTGGGGAGGCGAAGTGCTAACAACGGTGGATGCGAGGGATGGGACCAAGGATCGTCCTCCCGAGCAACGAGGTGATTTGATCTATTGATGCCTCTGGTAACACAATTTCCAAGTACACGAGGTGAACTGTCACGTACTCCTTCGTTAGCCTAGGGGCCCCTGTCTTGAAATGACGAGGGCCCTTCCCCGTAGCTTCTACTGGGAACCTCGATAGGCTGTATTAAAGGCATCCTTTTCTGTGCATCACGAAGTGGACTGCTCGACTCTCCCGACGAATAATTCATCATGTCCGCCCGTACGGTCGATTATTGAGTGTAGGCGGCCCCATTGCTGGCTATATTGGTAACCCAAGGGATGTGGTCGGGGTGCCCACTTGTCTTCCCTTGTCTTGCCGTCTTTGCCCATCCCGACTCAGGATAAGGCTTGCGTCCCGGGGAATGGCGTCGCTTCATGTTGGTTTTCCAACGGCTGAGACCGGGCGCTGTGCCTAAATCCCTTGTGGTTCTTCCCCAACCCCAAGCTCTCCGACACAGAAGCGGCCCATCAGACTCGATTCCACCTGCAGGGGCGTTCTGCGAACTTCAATTGCCGCTTCTCACGAGGTGCTCGTCATTGCGACGCCTGCCGTCCCCGCTCCAATGAAGTGATTCCTTTTGAGTTTTCTCCATAATACACGACATCACTGCCAGGTGGATTGAAGGGGCTCTCAGCAGAGGAATGCCTGATCGAAGAGAGGGCAAGAAACAGAGTCCTATCTAGATTGTATTCAAACAACAACTCGGAATTGCTAGTCTGGTGGACAACACGGAATATACAAGTTGTTCGGGGTGGAAAAAGAACATCCACAGATTGTTGGTCCTCTCGAGGTCGCTTTCTCCAGAGCAAAAAGCGGGCAAAGTACGAATGGGAATGGGACCGTGTCAGTGGCAAGTGGCAGGAGCAAGTCACGGAAGCAAGAGTTAAACCGCATCGAGTAATGGTTCCCTGGGTGGATGCACACCCGATCCATCAATTGATCTCTCCATTTGGTTCATTGTTCGTTCTTAGCGCTCAACGCCCGCGATTGATCCGTCTAATTCCTTTTAATCCCCTTTCCCCAGTTCAGTTGGTGTTCCCCCTGCTCAACCTTTTCAATGACTTTCCGAGGGTCGTGCTGACGCCAACGCCAAACACCGGGCAGGACAGGAGGGAAAATCGATTGAATGTTCCTCCGGGCCCCAAAACGCCAACCACACTCGTCGGGCATGTAGCATTGGATCTGATCTGCTCCTTCAACTCACGCCGGTTCTCAATTCCTTTTTATCCTCTCGACCCGTCCCCCCGTCCCTCGAACAATCTAATCCGTCGAAACACCCTTGCTTCCCTTTTTGTTTCTTCCTCGTTTCTTTTTCTTTTTCTTTGCCTTGCTTTTTCTTTATTCCTTGCCGTTTCTTATTTTCCAAGTCTCCAAATTCTATACCTCACCTCACCCACTCCCCTCCTCAATTTGCTTGGGTGCTTTGCTTGCCTTTGGCCGGGTGTGCGTGAACGAGAATAATCTATTGCCTTCGGTATGTAAACGAAATGTGCGCTTAGTTCGCCTGTCTGCTCCTCCACCAACCCCTCCCCTCTTGGGTCCAAGCCCAGGCCAGCCAGCCTAGTCCCCTGCCGGGAAACCCCAGAGTTCGACGACAACAAAAGCCCTCAAATCCCACGCCCGTCGCCACCACCGTCCGCCCCTCATGCCTGCCACCCTTGATCAGTCAACTGCCACATAATCCAATTGATGCATTGCTCTGCAAGCCGCACCGGACAGCTACTAAACCATGGAGTTGGCTTGACTTAATAGGCTCCCTAAACCTGGCACTGCACTGCCAATTCGCTCAAAGTAATCGATTCCTCGTCGACACCCTCGCCCTTCCACCGAGCACGCGATTCTCGCTCCAGCCTCGCCTTCCATCACCTGCTGCGCTCTTCGTATCTACCTCCTGCCATTGTTCCGTTCTCCACGCCACCCAATCAAAAGTGTACCGCTGTCTGCACCCTCTGCGAATGACCTCCGTCCCTCGTCGTTGCTATCATCGCTGAGGGGGTCCTGCCCTCATAGGCACCTGCTTTTTTGCCCACCTCGGACACGAGTCGTCGATCTACCTCCCTCCAAGCACGGCTGCCCTCGACGCTAGCCCCGATCTCCCAAACACTTCTGCCTCGTGCAGACCTTTCAACGACCCAACATGTCGTTCTTTAATAAGTTCAAGGGGGCCAATGCGGTAGGTCATATCCTCGCCCCCAATTTATACCTTGCCTCCTCGCGCAAGAAGCTCCTGGAAGTTGCAAATGGGATCGCATCGAGTCCGTTGAACAGCAGGCCTCGGCTCGGCCCACAGGTCCAGCGGGCCGGACTGCGAGCTGCGCGCCCATTGCGCCTTGCGCGCGACACGCCCGCCGGTTCCTTTGTTAGTCGTAATCGTCCAGATCTATCTTTTACTAACGAATGGCCTGTTTTCCTTCGCTCCTAGGGGACCGTAACTCCTGGCCCTAAGGAAGTGGCCGGTAAGAAGAAGGAAGAACCCGCGCCAGAGCTTACGCCTCTTGAAAAGATGCTGCAGAATGCCGGTCCTTTGCGAAATGATGGAACGGATAAGTTCTTTGGTCTAGAAAACGTAAGTCCTATATCCTCTCCCGTGTCAGCGCCGAGGCCTGTGCCCTTGACGATGATAAAAAAAGAAAGAACAAGGACAAGAAAAAAAGAGAAGACAAAAAGAAGGTTGAGCTAACCAACATCTGCATCTTGTAGTTTGGCAATACATGGTACGACGGGATCCATTTCCCTTCCTCCCTATCCACCTTTCCCCCACTCCGAATTTATCGCGTCTTATGCCCTCCCTTGAAGACGGAACACGAACACGAAGATAGCTAATACTTGGCCATGTGCGCGAATTCACGAATAGTTACTGTAATTCCATCGTACAAGCCCTATACTACTCGGAAGCTTTTCGCAACCACGTCGTAACCTACCCATCCAGCGACGAGCACGCCAATGGCGTGCGACCCAAAGTCAACGTTACCATCCGGCCGCCGATGGTGAGTGCGACGCCGCAGCCCGCAGCTAAAGATGCCAATAAACGCCGTCAAGTCAGCGGGACGGGGATCCCAGGTCAACCGATCCGACCCGAGGACAAGCCCGATGCGCCAGAGTACAAGAAGAAGCAAGCCATGATGAAAGGACCGATCTTGGAACTGTCACATCAGAACACGACGGCGTATGGCATGGAAGAGTGCACCTTTACGGGCCTTAAGGACATATTCTTGGCATTGCTCGAAAGCCAAACGCGCACAGGCGTGCTAAGCCCGCAACGGTTCCTGGAAATCTTCAAGCGGGACAATGAAATGTTCCGAAATTCGATGCACCAGGACGCGCACGAATTCTATGGTCTCGTTCTCAACGATGTCATCTCGAATGTGGAAGCAAACGCGAAGCGCACACGTGAGCTCGAGCTGGCGGCTGCCTTGCAGAAAGACTCGCTGGCGCAGTCAACCGAGGCTGCCGTCAACGCTTCAAATGCAGTGGCGAATGCCAAGCTATCCTCGACGGGGTGGGTCCACGATATCTTCGAGGGGTACTGACGAGTGAGACCAAGTGCCTCACCTGCGAGACGACGTCGCAAAGGGACGAGACGTTTTGGATCTGTCTATCGATCTTGAGGAGCATGCGTCGGTAACATCGTGTCTGGGCAAATTCTCCGCGGAAGAAATGCTCTGCGAGCGGAACAAGTTCCACTGTGATCACTGCGGCGGCCTACAGGAAGCAGAGAAGCGGATGAAGATCCACAAGCTGCCCAAGGTGCTTGCGTTCCACCTAAAGCGGTTTAAATATACCGAGGACTACAGCCGGCTGCAAAAACTCTTCCACCGGGTCGTCTATCCATACCACTTGCGCCTTTTCAACACGACGGACGACGCCGAAGATCCCGACCGACTATACGAACTCTACGCGGTGGTGGTGCACATTGGCGGGAACGCGTACCACGGGCACTACGTCTCGGTCATCAAGACAAAGGACCGGGGTGGCTCCTTTCGACGACGAGATGGTGGAGCCAGTAGACAAGCACTTTGTCAAGAACTTTTTGGCGATAAGCCTGGAATGGCTTGCGCGTATGTATTATTCTACCAAGAGACGACATTTGAAAAGATGCGGGCGGAACAGGAGGCGGAAGGCTTCGATGACCTCATCATCAGCAACGACAAGGCAGCCTGTGAGGCGAGCGGGTCAGGACAGGAAAACGGAGTGCCGAACGGCGTCAACGGGACCCATCGAGCAAAGCAAGAGAGCCAGGAAGCCCAGGCGGACAGCACGGAAATTGACCGGGAGCTGATGCCCAAGCTGGCACACGCATACACGGAACCGGCGCGGGTAGGAGGTACCAACGCGGGGACACTGGCGAGCTCGAGTCCGGTGCTACCGCACACGCCGGCGACACCTACGACGAAGCTGGAGTTGACGAAGACGAAGGAAGAGCTAAAACGGGAAAAGAAGGAGGCGGAAGCGGCAGAAAAGGCAGCGGAAAAGGCGAGGAAGGTGGCGGCGAAGTTGGAAGAGAAGCAGCGTAAGGAAGCGAAAGATCGACTCAAGGCGGAGCAGGAAGACGCACGAAAGGCGGCGGCGGCGGCTATAGCAGCTTCGGCAGATGCCGTCAAGGGCGACGAGAAGAAGGGGAGCTCATTTTTGAGTCGGTCGGCGCGAGGCAGTAAATCGGTACACAAGAAGAGCTTTGCCTTCTTAGGCAAGGATCGAGACGCAGCCGGAGAAAGCTCGAGTACGCTCCAGGAGACGTGACGACCAACGGCGACAGCAGCCCCGCGATGCCACCCTTATCAACATCTACCACTATGCCGACGCACGATAAGGCGGCAGACAAGCAAAGACCGATTCACGTTTGGGATAGGAAGGAAAAAGAGCAGCAACGTTCTGTCCTAACGAGGGCGTTGATTACGTTGTAGCGTTTTTCTTTCTTTTTCGTTTCTTCCCCTCCGCCAACCTCCCACTCTTCACTTAGCCCTCCTCTCCCAACCCTCTAATCTTCTAAACGTGGTGGGCCATAGCCTATCCTTTCTCGTTCTTCTGTTTTCGCTTTTTGCTCTTTTCAGACGGCCAAAGCAAGCCAAAATAGGTGATGGGGGCGTATATGTAAGATGGAATATCTAAAGAGGCACGAACGGGAAACAATCCAAAAGGGGCTAGAAATGGGGAGGGAGCCTCATGCCTCAAACACGCCTTGAGAGAGGTGTCTTGAGGCATGGGCCTGCGCAGGAGAGTGGTATATGCCGAGGGGGTATTATGAAGTGTATGGAAACCGAGGAATGAGGGCAAGGTCCCGCAAGAGAGGAGAGGAAACAAAGGGAAAGGGGAAAAGAAAGAAAAGCCTCACAAAATATAAGGGACTGAGGATCAGAGTGATCCTCTTAACTGGCGGTATACCCCTGTTGGAAAGCCTTTTTGTACGATGGATCATTTCATTATCATTTTTGTCTCCATTTTTCTCCCCTTCTTCCTCCCTGATTTCACCTGCTGCGATGCCCGTCAACGAGCCCTATGAGCTGAAAGGTATACTAATGAAGGAGAAACTGGCAAATGGAAGGGAATCGGTCGAGGGACGCACTGGCAAGGGGGCGCCTTTTACACACTCCTATGTAGACTCAAAACGGGTATGGAAACCACCTTAATCGAGGAGTGGGATGGACCCACGAGACGAGACGACTGGAGGGGACCGGAAAAGGGTAATGAATTCCGGATAGGAGGGCGGCGATTGATCTCTAATGAAATGGTGTTGCTGTTCTGTCCTGGCCTGCGATGTGAAATTGTTCAGTCTGCTCTATCATCAAAAGATCTAGACCTACCCTCGGCCCTTGGGTGCGATTGTGCGTCTCTCAAGGTTGCCAATATTCATCGATACTGTGGCTTTGGTAATTACTGATTCGTGATCCCTCAGACGGTAGCTGCGCCTTCCTCAAGTTTTCCATCGTCGGATGTTGAGACTATTGTCGAATGGAAGGAACGCTCGGCGAAGCTCACTCCAGGGTTTATCCTTGCGCGATGCAGCCAACCAAGGAAAGCCTAGAAAAGGGCGATGCCAGCTATTAGCTCAAGAGCTCAGATGGGCCTATTATAGGGGTCAATTATAGGGGTCAATTCCTGGGGTTAAGTGTTCAATGTTCTATGTTAGATTCTGGGGTTCTAAGCGGGGCGGGGCGGCTCTGCAAGGCACGACCTGAAATTGACTTGATCCATTCGGTTTCAACTCCACAGTCGAACCTCACCTCACACCAATTGATAAGTCTTGCGACGGAATTTGAGCACACCACACAACCCATCCATCCATCCATCTTCATCCGTCCTCATTCCCCACGCATTCGCGCTTGCTCATCGTCCCTCATTGCCGAGCGGCCTTGATGCTATTGAAATAGTCGCTTCCATTTGCATAGCGGGTCTATCTTACTCGGGAGCAGGAATCTCTCAGGGAGTTGTCCACACGTGAAGACGGCGAGACGCCAACGAACTGCCTCTCCCTCCAGCCAAAGGTACCGTAAAAAAAGAAAACGTTGCGCTGCAAGGCTTTATCCCCTGTAACCACCCCTCTCCCACTCACTATCCTAGAGAATGATAAGAACACGAATTTCTCACACTTACCTTGGCAACAGCTTTCTTCCTCTGTCTCTGAAGGGCGGAACTGTGTGGGAACTAAATTCGTTCGTTTATTTGGCCCCTCTAGCCCTGTACAAGACAGGCTTGAAAGGTGCAACGCGCATCGAGTTCCCGCCATCATCAGCACGATAGCGGTGAAGAAGAGAAGTAACAAGAAAGACGAGAATCCCAAACGGGATCAGTTTCGCACTCTAAGATGAAGCACATTGGTAATACCAGACCTCACCATCGCAGGGGAGATGAAGCGCCTTGTCCCCCAAAGCAGCCACCACTAACGTGAGGAAATCGTCGGTAGAGTACCTCATCCCCTAACCGTCCTGGTTCACCTGGCCTTGGCCCCGTACACCAAGGTTGAGGAATCCTTCTCCATCCAAGCCGCCCACGACATTCTCGTCTACGGCACGCCAACCTCGGATGTCGCCGCCCGTCTACGCGAGTCCTATGACCACCTCACCTTTTCCGGCGCCGTGCCCCGCTCCTTCATCGGCCCCTTGCTGCTGTCCGGCCTCTCGCAGACCCTTGTCGCCGCTTTTGGCTTCCACCATGCCCAGTTTATTGTCCGCGCTATCCTAGGCTTGTTCAACGCCGGATGCCTCGCCGCCTTCGCCCGCGGGGTCGGCCGCACCTTTGGCTCCTGGGCCCAGGCCTGGTTCGTCATGTTGACCTGTAGCCAGTTCCACATCATGTACTATGCCTCCAGGACCTTGCCTAACTCGTTTGCCTTTGGCCTCAGTAAGTGCCACTACCCTTGTCTATTCCGATCGAGGTGTCCATCTGCCTCGCCACGTGAAGTTGCATAGATGATGCATAGGCACCACATTTCCTCAAACGTGTTGATCGCTGATGAGTAATCCCTCCCAATTTTGTAGCGACCTTGGCCTTCTCCTTTCTGCTCCCTACTGGCAATCCCCAGGACACCCCTCGGCGCCAGCGCATCGCCATCACGTTCCTTGCGTTCTCGGCCGTTGTCTTCCGCGCTGAGCTTGCCATCCTACTCGGCTCTGTGAGCCTCTACCTCCTCGCCACGGGCCAGAGCACCCTTCTTAACCTAGTGCGGCCTCTTGTGGTTGCCTCCTTCGTAGCCCTCGCCGTGTCTGTCCCCATCGACTCGTACTTTTGGCAGAAGCCACTCTGGCCCGAGCTCTGGGGCTTCTACTTCAACGCCATCCTCGGATCCTCGTCCGATTGGGGTGTCTCGCCCTGGCACTACTATTTCACCTCTGCCATTCCCCGCATCATCCTTAACCCCTTTGCCCTACTTGCCCTCATCCCCTCGCCCTGGCCACTCCAGCTACATCTCGTGCTGCCCGCTCCCTCCTTGTGCCATCGCTGCTTTTCGTCGCCATATACTCCATCCAACCCCACAAGGAAGCCCGCTTCATCTTTTATGTCTCGCCTCCCTGACAGCGGTGGCTTCCCTGGGCGCCTCTACTCTCTCTATACGCGCCGCCCGTTCCACCATCGCCCGCGCTGCCATCCTCGCCCTCGTTATCTCCGTGCTAGCCACCACCGTAGCATCGGCGGGTATGCTTCTCCTCTCCTCGCTCAACTACCCTGGCGGAGAGGCCGTGGCTCGTCTTGCCGACGCTTTAGCCAACGATCCCCGGTCCAACGTCACCGTTCACGCCGACGTTCTCACATGCATGACGGGCCTCACCCTCTTCTCCACCAACCCCTACGGCCTACCCCGCGGTGCTAAGCAGCCCAACGGCGCCACCGTCCTCTGGGATAAGACTGAGGACAAGACGTCGGTCACCAACCCGGACTTCTGGGCCTCCTTTGATTACCTCCTCGTCGAGGACGGCACCAACCCCCTGGAGGACCCTGGGATACCCTGGCCGTCATTCATGGCTTTCAGGGGGTCGAGATCCTCAGGCCTCATGACGCTAAGCCTGACCATGCCTCGTCCTCTACCCCCTCACCGGTAAGGCAGACGATGTCGCCTGGGTGAAGCACTGGGTCAGGCAGGCCACTGGCGGCTACTGGATCGGGCCGAGAATGGGGCCCCGAATCAAGCTACTAGCCAAAGGAAAAGGAAGCGCAAAGCCCATCGCCCAGATCGAGGTCTAAGTGAGGGACTTGCCGAGGAAAAGCCCAATGTTGTGTTAGGAAGGGGTTTCCTCTATTTGATCCCTACCCAAGTCTCAGTTTACAGCGGCTCACCCATGCGGATGCTGTTCTTTGCAGCATTGTTGGTAGTAGCGGCGGCAGTGTAAGAAGTAGGGCGTGTTTTATCTATCGAGCTCAAAACTGTTTTGAAAATTGTACATATCACCATCACGATAAGATTTGGCTAGATCAATGCAAAAGGTCGGGAAGAGATCCACGGATATGATGAGAGAAAGGAGGGGGTATGGTTTCCCTATTCTTTTGCGACAAAGTCCTACGGCCTTTGGATCAAGAAACATATAGTTAAAAAAAACAAGCAAAGAGGTGCAAATAGAAGCACACAAAAAGTGTAACATAGTTCCCCTTTCCCAGTGTGTCCCGTTCCATCATCATTGATACAAGATACGAGGCGAAAACAACAAGATAAAAATAGAATTGGAGAGGAGAAGACGGGATGGTCTGCTGGCAAGACATCTCTGATTCCTCTGTCTCTCTCTCTCTCTCTCTCTCTCCTCTCGAGAGTAGAGAGTAAAATGGGTGGTAGGATGGAAAGAAAACGAAGAAAAGAAAGCCAAAAAGAAAGAAAAAACATGAAAAAGGCGAAAAAGGAAAAAAACACCCGCCACCGGTTTCGTCAATGATGGAAAAAGAAGCGCAGCCCTATATGTTGATAGTTCCCATCCACGTTATACGCCATCACGCGCTGAGCTCTTGGAAGAAGCAGCCAAAATAAAAGGAAGAAGAATGAAAGAAAAAGAGTATAGGGGAAGATGGTGAAGACAGGGAAAAGGGGAAAGGGGAAATTGAACGCCTCATGCCCGTTGGCCAAATCCTTCTTCCACAACTCCCATCTGGCTTCTTCCAGCCTCCTCATCATACAAACAAAACTCCGCAAATCGCCCCGCCCCGTCCCGCCCCGTCCATGTGAGAGGGGGTTCGACGAGAAAGGGGCAAAATAGAAAATAAAAGAAAGAAGACACTTTTATCCCGACTCGGTATCGCTCCCGCTGTCATCATCATCATCGCTGCTGTACTCCTCGTCGTCATCTTCATCGTCGCTCACCTCCTCAACAACACCCGCCTTCTTCCCCTTGAGCGGGCCGTACATGGCTCGGTACTGTTGGAGTTCCAGGAGTTGCTCTTTGAGGCTATCAAGCATATCCGGGAACGGGCCTTGAAGATCCTCTAATTGCTCAATCTTACTATTACCCGAGGCAAGATGGCGTACAGAAAGGGTGTTGACGCAGGTCTAAGGAAAACACGGCGGTTAGTAAGGCTACCTCAATGTAGAAAAAGATGAAAAATAATGTGTTTGAGCAATTCTCACCTCAATCCGGCTCACTTGGTGTTCGAAAAAGTGAATCAGGAAACCCTCCGTCACATCTCCTCCCCTCAGCTTCATCTTCTCCAGCACGTCCATGACGGGCGGCTTCGCTTCGCCGGGCCATCGGCCTCGAGGGCGCTGCACAGCATCTCGAGCCGGAGGCTGATGCGCCAGAGCTCCCACACCATTTCCGGATCGACCGAGAAGGGGCCGGTGCTGCCCATGACCGTCGCCGAGAGCTGCTTGTCGTACGAGCCCATGGTGTCATGCCGCTCGTGCATCTGGTGGAAGTCGATGCGCCCCACCAGCGCATGCGGGTATAGCGAGTAGATGACCTCGGGGTTTTCAAGCCCTTGAGCTTCTTCTCACCCATCTCCTTGACCTCGAAGCCCTGCGAGCTGAGAGCACGGAGGTCCTTGCGGATCGCCGTAGCAAATGTCTCATCCTCAAAGTCTTCGTCGGTGCCGGCCGATCCGTTGCGGTCCGTGTCTTGGTAGTTTTCGAGGCATCTCTGAATCTCGGAGATGAAGTCCGACGACACCGTAATCTGTCCGCCGTCCGCGACCGCCGAGATACGCGATGCCTTGTTGACCATGGTACCAAAGTAATCCATGCGTCGCGTAACCGGATCCGTCTCGCTGACCGTCTCGCCGTAATGCATACCCATGCGCACCGAGAGGCCCTTGAAGATGAGGCTCCCGTCCTTGTCATAGATGGGCTGGCCCGAAAGGGAGCCCAGCACCTCGGCCGGCCAGTTAACCTCGAGAAGCTGTATTTGCACGGCAAAGCACCAGAGAAGCGCCGACGTCGCCGTCGGGAACGACACCATAAAGGCGTCACCTTCCGTCTTGACCTCGTAGCCACCAATGTGACGCAGCTGCCTACGCATCACCTCGTTGTGGAGTTTGATAGCGGAGCGCATGGCCGAGGGTACATTTCCCAGAGCGTCGTCGAGTTCTTGATATCCGTAAACACGATAGAGACGTTGCCGGTAGGTGCGGGGATCTCAGCCTCGAGCCTCTGCAGCGTCGAATCGAGCACATCGCCCTTCTTCTTCGGCCGCTTGGTCGCCGGCAATTGTAACTCCTCAACCAGACCCGACGGCAAGAGCATGCTCGGGCGGCCGCGGGACCTCTCTACGCGACGCTTGAGATCCGCCACACTAATCATCATGACCATGATCTTGCCCGTCGCACCGTAGGCGATGGCCAAGTCTCGGAGCTTTTGCGCCGCCCGCATCAGATCGCGGCGCTCGGCCCTCGTCACGTCGACGACCAAGCCCGGCGACAGGTACTCCCAGAGCTCCCTCGTCGCCAGCAGGATGATATCATCCTGTTCCCGGATAGTAATGTGGCTAACGTGCGGCGCCGCCTGCACCGCCGGCATGAGGTTGGCGAAGCCGAAAGCCCGCGAGACCTCGAGCTGATCGTTGAGGAGTCCACGCCTCGACACCCAGCCTCCCGCCTCTCGGATGCGCTGCCGCTCGCTGGGTTCGGCGGGGTCGTGCTTGCGCGTGAGGATCTTGTGCGTGCCCTCCGTGATGAGCATCGCCTGCGCGTCGCCCACGTTGGCCACGTACAGCTCCATGCCGTTGAGGTACAGTATTGTGGCAACCCCGCCCGAGTTCAAGTCTTCGGTGCTCATAACGAGGGGCGAAGGCTGCGAGGTGCCACGCATCGTCTTTAGCGACCGCGAGCGCTCGTCAATGTGCTGCGTGGCAATCGTGGCGAGGTCATTATTGAGCGAAAGGAACGCACGGCGGAGGGCATCCCCGCCGTCTCCCCGAGCCATCCCCTCAACTGCTTCAGCTCGGCGGTGAGAACCCGTCCAAAATTTTCGTGGAGGAACTTGGCAATCTTGGAACCCCCATTGGACATGGCCTGCCCGTCGAACAGGCCAAGCAACATTTCGGACTCGGAGGAATTGAAGCGCGGTACCACCAAGTCGACGGTCGACAGATGCTCATTCTTACCCAAGGTATCCGCCATGCCGTACGGCAGGTGGCCCGCCATCGAGCCCGATGTGCGCACACGGCGGTCCTCGCTCTGATCAGGGATACGGGGCTGCGTAAGGGTCACGTCCATGAGACCTAGGACGCGCAGGTTCTGGAGGCGACTAAAATCGGCGTACTGCTCGCGTTCCATGGAAGAATGCTCGGGATAGTTGACGGCCTGCTTGATCTCGAGCCGCTTGTTGCCAGACAGGTTGAGGAAGCGAAGTTCGGGGTTAAGGTTCCAGTTCCAGTCGTAGGGCACATTGGAGATGTTGTATTTGAGATAGTTGCTACCGCAATCCAGCACAGCAAGCTTCTTAGCCCGCGAGATGTCGGCGGGCAAGTTGGTGAACTTGTTCGCGTTAATGTGGAGCACCTGGAGAAGACTGTTCTCTTCGAGATCGTCCGCCGGTAATGTCGTCAGTTCGTTGCCAGAAAGGTACAGCTCCACCAACTGGGGCCAACTCTTGATCAGCCTCTGCGGCATGTCACTAATCTCATTGTACGAGAGGTTAAGCACCCTCAATTCCGGAAGTAGGACAATCTGTTCAAAGACGTCGTCGTCGAGCTGGTTGTCCGCCAAGTGCAGAGCTCGCAGGGAGCCCGCAAAAGTGTTGGCCAGCCTCGTAGAGAGACTCGAGTCCTTGCGCGCACTTGACGACTGCGCCGTCGTCGAGATGGTGCCCGCGGATGTCGATCGAGATACGACCGACGTCTTTCGGCCGCCCTTGCCATACACAGATACCATGGAATTCTTACGGTCGGGGCCGCCTGGCACCGGGGAGGGTCCTACGCTCAGCAGAGTGCTCGAGGCCTGACTCGGCCGCCGGGACGGATCGTTGAGGTCTTCCATGCTCGGCTTGGCGGTCAAGGTGCCAGACGAGCCATACTTGCCATTTGTGCCTGGCGGCCCATCCTCTCCAGGTAGCCGAGGGGCCCTAGAAGCAGGCTTCGGGAAATTATCCAAAACATTAGATGAGGCGTTGAGAACCTCGAGCTTATTAGCCCACCATATCTCCATGGGGAGCTTGCGGATATTGTTTCCGCGAATGTCGAGGTGACGCAGTTCCGTTAAACAGCCAATCTGGGGGAGAGTCCCGACGGTGTTGTTGGCAATACTGAAGTGCTCAAGCCTAGTGAGCTTACCGATATGCGGGGGAGAGAAACGAAATAGTTCTTGTCAAGCACCAACCGCTCAAGGTTCAGGATATGGTGGAACGATTCGTCGATACTAGCCAGCTGCGCGTTGGATAGGTTCAGGGACTTGAGCGTCAGGGAAGGCTGGACAATCTCAAACTTGGTCACGGGATTCGAGTTGAGCTTGAGTGTGCGCAACCTCTCGAAAGAACCGATGAAGCGAGAGACTGAGTTGTGATCGGCAGAGAGGGTCTCCAATTTGGGTAATTGGGAGATGATGTCGATGCTCGTGATAGCATTGTACTTGAGGTCGAGGTCCCGCAAGCTGATTAGGTTACTAAAGGTATCCGGGAGCGCATTCGCGAGCCGGTTATTCGTGATAGCAAAGCGCTCAAGGTTCCTGAGCTTGCCAATGTCGGTCGGGAGATGGGCGATGGAGTTGAAGCTCAAGTCGAGATCCACCAGGCTCTCCAAGTCACAGAGAAAGTCGGGGAAAAGGTCGAGGAAGTTGGAGGAGATGTTGAGGGTGCGGAGCGATTTATGGATGCCGAAATAGGACGGTAACCGCTTCAACCGATTATTGGCGAGGTTGAGCTTGAGCAGGCCGTTGAGACTGTCCAGCTCAGCATTGTCGAGTTGCTCAAGATTATTGTTCGACACGTCGAGGTAGGTGAGCTTCGTCGCTTTGCTCAAGCTCGGAGGTAATTTCCGCGCCTCGTTGTTGTTGAATTTGATATCTCGCAGATTCGTGCACGACTGGATGAAATCGCGGGGTACGTCAAGTGACAAGTTTCGCGAGAGGTTTAGGGAGACGATATCGGCGGATTTGGGGTAGAGGGGGATGTTGAAGAGGTTGCGCCCGGAAAGATCGACATTGCTCAACTTTTGCTGACGGACGAAGCCAAAGTCCTGCGGCTTAAATTCCTTTTCCATGGAGGAGAGGAACATGAAGCGGCACAGGTAGCTATTATCTTCGCGACCAATCTCTTCTAGACGGTCACGCTCCTCGTAGCCAAACTGCTGGAGGAGGCGTTTCTGGAGCAGGAGTGGCCGCTCCTTGATGGAGAGCATCCTCACCAGCTCTCGTTTACGTAGGATGATGTGGAAATTGCCCAGACCCTCCTTGCCCACGCCCATCTTCTTCCCAATCGAATCGATGATGTCGGATACACCGGACGAGAGAGGCACAGAGAGGGTGGTAAAGGTATCGTCGGCCTTGAAGATGCGGATGCAGTAGGGCATGTCGGCCTCGTCTTTGGCGGGAGCCTCCAGCTCTTCCGACTCGGTGACGTGGTACGAGTTATCTTCCGCATTCCGGCGGACAGCCCAACTATGGGGCGCGTTCCAGGCGCCATTGACAATGCTTGGTTCGCGCTGGGAACGCTCCTCCAAAAGCCCTCATCCATTGGCGTCAGGGCAGGGGGCCGGTTCAGGATACCGTCCATGTCACCCAAATCCGTGTCTAGATAGAATACAGTGCCGTCCCTATAATGGTCTGTGGGACCGATAGCCTCGTCCGCCACGTCGTACGGCCGAGAGTACTTGGACTTCTTGGAAGAGAAGGGGAATTTATTGTTAAACGTAGCTCCCCGGTGAGCGGTCTGGCGAAGGTCGCCGGAATCGAAGGTGTCGGCAGTATAATTCGATCCAGGCGAATCAGTCCTATTGAGCGAGGCACGAGACGGCTTGGATGCGAGGGAGCGCGTCGATTTAGGAAGGTCGCGCAGCCTCTGACCCTCTTCGTCCTTGTCTCTGTGTCTTCGGAGACGGCCAAGGAGTCCGCGCCTAGGCGCATGGCCAGGCGATGTCTGACCGTCGAGGGAACCCGGCTTATAGTTGATTGGCGGGGCTGGACTGTGCGCGCGGGACCGGGAAACGTTGCCTGCAGAGCCGCCACGGTCTCGAGGGGCGTGGAGCGAGTCTTCTCTCGTGGCTGTGGGGCGAAGCGTGCGCGGGTCGTCGTTGCTCTTGTTGTGGCGATGATGGGGAGATGCACGATGGAGTGGCCGGACCGTGAAGAAGAAGCAGTCTTGGGTGGTTCTCGAGATGACGAGCCACCCTCGCTCATGTATCGGTCGCGATCGGGGCCGGTCAGAATATCACGAACAGGAGCTTCTCCATACCGCGCAATGTCCTATTTGGGGGAGGGAGAGAGAGTATTAGCATTTTCCCCTCCCTTTCAACAGCAGCCGACACCATCTTTCTTCCCTACAATAGAAATCCAAAAGAAAGAAAAAGGGGGGCACCGCTTACCTCGGCCTCCTGGTATAAAAGGGGACGACTTCAGGCGCAGGTACTGGCGTCCTAGGCCTGGAGGACGTGGGAGAGGCCTCTCGGGTATGATCGGTAGCGTTGGAGTGGTTGCGATCTCTTTGAGCAGCGGTACGGCTGTGACTAAAGGACCTTTGGCGAGCGTCCTTTGGCGGTACGGCGGGAGGAAGACTTGTATCGGAGCCAGGAACTCCTCGCCAAAGAAGCCTTGGAGCTTTCGCAGACCACCTCGAGCCAAGCTATTCTTAGAGCCCTGGCTGCTGAGCGTGGTGATGCTGGCGAGTGATGGCCGCCTCTCGTCGCTGATTGCGTCGGGGAGTCGGGGACTGTCAAACTATGACCGGTTCCGGTGCGAAAGTTGGCCGTTGGCTGGCCAAAAGTCGGCGAAGTGTGAGAGCTGATGGAGACGTTGTCGCTGGAATCGTTGTAGAAACTAGTGGGGACGGCGGATGCTACGCCGTTGGTATTGGAATTATTCGTCGACGAAGCGGTCCAGGGCGCTACTTGGGAGAGGTTAGAGTGGCCGGCAGAGGGGACGTGGTTATGGTTTCGGTTGCTCCTTGAGCCGGCAGGTTCGAGGACTGCTAGATCTTGGCGATAGTTGGCCAGATCGCTCATCCTCCTGTCGCGTAGGGAAACACTGGAAGCAGATGAGGGTCGGCGAGTAAAGCTTGTCGAGGTCGGCGAGACTTGCTGCTCATCAACCGATGTACGACTAGAACATAAAGGCCAGGGCGGGCCCCGAGTGTCAGTAGATCAAAGACAGTAAAGTAGTGATGGAATGACGAAAGAAAGAACGAGGCGTTCCGGATAGCCAGGGTTATTGGAATGTAGCCACGAAAAAGCGGAAACCATCCCCCAGAATGCACTCGCTTGAGGCTCCCATCATGGCAACTGGCTCTCGTGGAATGGGACAGGACAATGATAGCACAAGACGCATTGGGTGCGCGTGGTCTGTACACATCACAATATTCCATCCTTGACGGGCAACCTCCCCCTCTTTTTTCTGGTCTCCTCTCTCGCTCTCTTCCTCCGCGTTCACCTTCCGCGTTCATCGTTCCACACTCATTATTTATAACTCCCCGTATCTCGAGCCTTTCTTGGGCGCATAACCGAGTCCTCTTATTTCAAAAAGAAAAGAAAAGACTAGGGTACTCAACTTACGATAGCAGGCCGCTTTCCTCCATCTTTAGCCGCATGGGGATTGCTCTCCTCGATGAAGAAGGAGTAACTGTGCTATTCGACCGAGCACTTTCGGTGCTCGAGCTCGTCAGCGAGCTGAAGCGGGAGGAAGTCTCCTTCCTAGTCATCATTGCTAGCGGTCGAGATCACACCGCATGGCGAGCAGGGGAGGGTGAGAAAGAGCAAAGGCCAGTGGGTTCGGATTCGGGATGCGAAAGGAGCCAGGCTATTACTACGACGGGGCGGCCAAGAGACTCGCTGTGATGGAGGGGAGGACGGCCGGAGAAGAGAGAACGTCGGGAGGGACAGAAGAAGCGCTCCAAGGGCTCGCAAGATGAGTTGTGCGAAGGGCGGAGGGCAAAAGGCAGACACGAGCGTGGGTTTCCTAGGTCATTCTCGCAAGAGAAGGCAAAGGAGATTGAGTCGCCTAATTCGGACTATATTCGGGGCGAATGCGACGGAGGAGAGGAACGGCTGGGCTCCGTCGAGGGAGGAAGGAAATCGTCGAGCACAGCGCCGTCAGAGGAGGGCTGTGTGTGGGGGTTTTTCGGCCTAGTCGGTCGGTGTTCTGCGGGCGAAGGACTCGGCTCGATGGAGGAGGAGTGGACGAGAAAAGGCCGACACGGGGCACAAGGGGCTGGGGGCGTCTCGAAGATTCGCAAGGCAAAAGCGAGGACGGTACGAAGAGCGAGGCGAGGAAAATAGGCGGGGAAACGATGTCGACTTGATGGCGGATGCAAAATGCAAAATGCAGATGCAAAATGCAGAGGTTGTTCGGAGAGGTTTGAGTGGAGTAAAGCTGGAGAGCTGCTGGTAGTTTCTGCGGGCTGAGTTGCGGATCAAATGCTGGGGGGGCGCCAAACCTTGGGCGGCGTAGTTGGCTCAGGATCGAGTGGAATCAATGTTCAATGTGTGAGGAGCAAAAGCAGCAGTGCGCAGCACCACCCACTGCACACTCGGGCTTGTCGGGGAAAGGTACGGTACGATACGGTACGCAAGTACGCAAGGGCGCAAGTTACGATAGAGACCTGGTACCTCTGCTGCGACTGGCTGGTTCAATGTTGGAGAAAATGGACAAGACATGGATCAATAAGCCATTGGGTCAAAACCCTCAATCCAATTGAAAGCAGTTGACGGAAGAGGTGGCCAATGCACCCCCGAGGCCCACTCAGACAAGCAGACAAGCCAGACAAGCCAGACGAGCCAGACCCAGTTGAGGCAGTTGGCAGGGATGGGCAATGCAATGTTCAGGATGGGTCCATTCCGTCAATTCCAGCATTGAGCCCATGCCATTCTTGGCCACATACAAGTACACCAGTTGACCCATACTACGTCCAAACATCCACGGGTCCAATGGATCCCAGGGCAGAGCTGCAGCACTGAGTTGCAAAGCTGCAAACAGCACAAACAAAGCAGCAGCAGATGCAGCAGATGCTCGACATCAAACCATTGTTAAACAACAAGGCTTTGTGTCTATATCCTTCCCCCAATCCGCTTATTCAAAGGATTTGATGGTGTGTCTGATTCCAAAACGCGCCCAACTCCAAACCCACCGCTCATCAATTAGCAAATAACGCGCGGTGAAGCCAAGCCCTGCACGAGAAGGGAGAGGGGAAGTAGACGACGCATCGCATCGCGAAATGACAAAATTACAAAACGGCCAAGGAAATGCGCCAATTCTCTCCTCTTCACTGATACCTTGAGAATTGTTGATGTGGTATTAATATGAAGCAGAATGCAGCAGGCACATCAGGCACAGCAGGCAGGCAGTACCGTCGCCAGTCGTGGAAACAATATGCCGCCCCTCCTCTGGCCAGCGTCGGCTCCATGACCGTAGACGTCTACCAATGTTTGCCAGCTGGTCCAGCTCGTGCTTCGTCTTGAAACGATTCGAGGTGCTCCGACTGGTGTGTTTAATCAATCCAGGGCAGTCCCTGATGTACTTCGTAGGTTGAACCCGTTCAACCCCCATTCGCAACGGTACCACCTTTTCAATACAATAGATCCACATCAAACAACATTGAACCGATTGATCAAGCACCAATTAAGACCCGATGTGGCTGATCAGGGTCTTCGCGCTCCTCCTCCTCCCAGCGTCAGCCTGGGAATGTCCACCAGGTATTAATAATATGGAGGATATAATATCATGACAGGCAGACCCTGTCTTGCGCAGGTTCTCGCATCAATCAGCTTTCTCGCATCAATCAGCTCCTCGGGACTACCCTTCTCACCAAGTAAAGGTCCCCCAATGACCCCGAGCAAATTGATCCTGAGAACAAGCAGAACAGGTATTGTTACATTTGAGCATCGCTGGAGATGGACAAGCCAGTCCAATCTGGGAACGGGTTAATCTCCAATGGTGCCTCTATCAGACTGAATGACCACATAATCTTATTATTCCCCCAAGCCCACCTGAGGCCTTGGAGTTGGTACTCAGGCTTCCAACACTCCCAACGGCAAATACCTCTCTCCCCACTTATTAGGAGACAAGGGCCGTTTTGGGCTGGTTTGTTTTTAGCCCACGGCTGGGCGGCTGGAGGCGGGTCTAGTTCTCTTCTGGTCTGGCTTGTTCCGCTGGCTCTACTGATTTCGAACCCGCCCCGGCTTCTCAGGATCGTCAGAGGGGACATGGTCAATTACAATCCGACAACCATCAGAATCACATTTACCGTGAAGAAAATGAAAAAGAAAAAGAAAAAAATTGAAAACGAAAAAGGAAGAAAAGGAAAGGGGAAAGGGAAAAGAGGGGAAAGGCAAGAAGACGATCATGGTTGGGGAACGCGATAATGGGCAAGCTTCCACGCCAACCTTCACGTCCCAGGAAGCAATCATCCGCTAATTTCTTACTTGCTGCTACATCCATAGATATCGGTGATGGGTTCGCCTATCAGGTATCACACATGGACTTGTCGAGGGACCTTGACAGTCATCAGCTCATTAGAGAGAGCACCAGGCCCAGCGGAATGTGGCTTGCCTCATCAAGTTTGCTCTTGAGCTGAAAGCCTCAAGGTATTAATGATCTTATTACACTTGATCTCTCCACCCATCCATTGGACAGACACCACAGCTCACCAAGCCCTAACGCGGCTTAGGCTGGCTTCAAGAGCTGAAGAGCATACGTTGCCGTGGTCTTTTTTTCTTCACAATTCTTGTTGGCGTTGAGCGAAAGGATATTCTACTACTTTCGGCACACGTCAATTGATCTATTATCTTCTTGTCTCTACCCGTCCGTAAATGCATTTCATTGGCAATAATACTTTGATGCAGGCCTGGACAGAGGTGCCGTCGATCCGTTTCTCTTAGCCAAGGGGAAATTTCCAGGTCTCCACATCGCCCCCAAAACCGTTGCCCCGAATTCGCAGTCAAAAGGCCGCCGATCCAGCATTAGCATCACCGGCTATTTGATCAAGTGAGCCAAGAGAAAAGCATGCGCAAAATACACACAGGCTGCTCCTGCTAGCTTACAAGTAGGAGCAGACTACGCCAGATGGAAGGGCGCAATCGCCGTCGGGCCTTTGCCCGGTTGACCCCGGCCCGTGGAATGTCCGGCACTTTGTCCCGCACCTTTTCAGGGTAATGTTCCGGGCTAATTGGCCGCAGTTGACGATCAGCAGGTTCACGGCGCTAGCTACTAGAGTTCGCGTTTGCGTTTGCGTCCTAATATTGGATGTGGGGTAAGCTGAGCGTGTCGTCGTCGTCGTCGTCGTTATCATCGTCGAGGTCCTCCTGAAGCGCGGCCTCGAGCCCACCACCTCAGACATGCGTAGATCAAGAATACCCGTTGTCGGTCAACCCAAGACACCATGCGCCTACAAGCTGACACAAGACACAAGGCAGTGGATGGCCTTGCGTTTTGAACCACGGACGCGCCCGTTGACCGCTCCGACGACGGGGTCTCGCCCACGGCACTGTACTCCTTCGTGAGTGGAGGTTGAAGCTACAGGCATCGCCCATTTCGTCTATCCAATCCACCCAGTGTGGAGGCAAAAAAGGTCTGAGGCAAGTCTTTTTCTGCCTTGCGACGCGGATCGTGCGTCCGAGCTGCTGCATCAATCTTTTTTCCCTTTTTTTTGTCCATCCCAGACGTGCCTGCGTGGGGTCCTAGTTTCATGGATGGATAATTCCCCCTCCTCCCAACGGTCGCGCCGTTGGAAAGAAAGCACCGACGATTCGCGCCAGTTGCCACATGAGCTCTCTTCCCTCCTGGAGTCACTTCCGCATCAAACCAACCAACCCCCTTCTCCATCAAACATCTACCACGCGCGCTGCATGCAGGCAACTTGGGGCGCTTCGGCTGCTGCTCGAAAGCCGGCGACGGCCCCCATGCTGCATGCGATGCTGAATCAGGGAGCTGCTGGCCGCCAGAGGGTCGTTTCCCACGCCCGTTCTCCTGTCAAACGAATCCACCGCATCAATCAATTCAATGTTTGTAGAGAGCGCAGCACGTCTTGATTGTTCAAATGTTCTTGTTTTACAGTGTTCTTTTTCCCCGACGCTCATTCTTCTCGTTTCAGCGAGTCGCACATTCAGTACATGTAGCCACAAAGAGTCATGACTCCCCCACATGAGAGCAAGGCTCACAATAGTCCCCATCGTCATATATGTACGATATAGTAATGGATAACCTTGAACAAGCAAAGAACGTAGAACAAAAGACACCGGTTTCTAAATCGCTCCCCGTGTTGCCAGACTCTCTTACCCTTTCACATCGACCCTGCAGACAGCTTTCTACACTCCAGAACTTATACCCACTTATTCGACCAGTTCTACCTCGGTAGACACATAGATGACGATGCATTCAATGGTCGCTTTCTAGGCATCCAGCGGGCTCCCGCTGGATAAATGCCATCCCGGGGTAACATCCACGGTGGATGTTTTCCGACCGTCGCATCAACCATTCTATCCTCAGTCGCGTCCATGCCACGATCCATCCGTCGAGGCCCACGTCGTTCGCCTCGCGCTCCTACGGTCTCACGCCCCACCGCCCACAGCTGCGTGTGCGCCTTGCCCAGCAAGTTGTACCGGTAGTATATCATTTCCTGTCAAGCTGTCCCAAGCTTTATCGGCCATCGGCCAAGCAATCCACTTCGTGTATCACTACACATACTTCGTACTTCGCGGCCTGTAGTAAGCAGCAGCGTTCCCTCACAACCTTACACGGGGCAACCTGTATTAATCTACAGCCTCGCAAACAACAGACAATTAGTATACGAGGGCGTCATTCATACGAGTTCAAGTAGATATCCGGGTGAACATGGAACCGCTCGTACGCCCAATCGGGCTGTTGAGTTTGTCCGCCGCTCGCATGGGCCGACCTACCTCGTAGCTCGCGCTTCTTCAGTGCGCGTGCTTTGTGTATGGTTGTATTAGTATTATTACATAGATCGTAGTCGAGAAACACAGTCGCATTCGAGATTTCCCCCTTGACGCTTTTCCATCCATCTGTGCCTTGGTCGCGGTCGTGCGCACGCCCAAGCGAGGGTCGTCAACCCCGTGCCTCCGTCCAACGACGTCAAATGTTCCATCGGGTACGGTGCCTGAGCCCCAGCCCCTGGTCAACTACCTCTACACTATATTCCTCCCTCATTCATTCGATGTCATGGACACCGTCGTACTTGGGAAGCTCCCACGTCCCCTTCTCCGTGATACAAGTAAGAACGAATATCCCAAGAAAGATTGAAGGGAGACCAAGGGAATAGAAGAAGAATAGACGATATCATCATACACCCATGATTACAGGTCTGCCCTCTCTCCTTGTGCGCCAGCTCGCAAACAACCAGAAGATATCAATTGATGTGTGCTTCTACTAATAGTTGATAGATGCGGGTCAATCAACCCTTGAAGCGACCCGTCGCAGACACTGACCCCCAGTCCAGTTCACCTCAGACTTGATGTACATGTAGGGGTATTGTTTACTTTTGCCTCATTTTTTTCTTTTTCAACCGATGTTGACTCTTGTTTCGGGCCCCAAGCCCTGTTTCAATACCGCCCCTCGATCATTCTGCGCCGTGTGCACCCACCAGGCTTGAAACATTCCAGACCCCAGCCTCCAGGTGCTCACACAATCCAGGATAGAACACCGAGGCATGCTAGGTGGAATGAACCGCCGTTGTCTCTCTTGGCGAATGGGTCTAGAAGAGCCTATTTGGAACGTACAAGTAATACAAGTTCTAGAAAGAGTAGATTTCCATACACTTACACGGTCCGGCCTTGGCAGAATCATGATAGTTGGCAGGCCTCAATGCAAATCAACATTCATATCAATTCCCAGGAGCAACAGAGGGGCTATCTTTGGGGGCCTTTCTGTTCTTTTTTTATATTCTTTATTAATCACCCTTGAGGGAGTAGATCGCGACTGGCGATCCCGAGGATCAAGTTTGAGACAGCTAGGCGTCGAAACCAGTAGCCAGTTTTGGCAGGAACACGGAGACGACCGAAGATGATTGACCGCATCTTGGATCCAATGGATCTTGGCACAACGTCGAACAATTGACCCCACCACCCCACGCTCACGCTGGGCATGCCCGACACCCGGTTCATGGAGCTTCTGAGGACCATGCGTGCTTGTATTTCTGTCTTTATGGCTCACTTTGACAGATCTATGGATGCGATTTCCGGGGCTATCTCTCGCCAGTGCTGCTTCTTGATCAACCTGCAGTGAAAATCTTGCGTTTTCTCCGACGCACACTGCCCCGCGCGTGCAATCCCTCAAAGAGCCCAGTGCTCTTCCACCTCGACCGGCCCGCCTTCTTCGGGTTTCTCGCACATTACAAGAAAGCAGCCCCTCACAGCCGAACCTGTAGAACACTCCCGCAATTTTCCGCTGGGCTCCCAACCCCTCAAGCTCCAATCCTCACCCCCACTGTAAACCGTCGCGGGCCGCCGTCACTCAGTCGCCAGCCCACCCGTTGCGTTGCCCACCCGTTCCCCTCCCCAATCCTCCACTGCCGGAAGCCGTGCCAGCCTCGGCCCCGCCCTCGACAACCTATCGCTTCAATGCTGTCCGTCCCCTTCCACTTCATAGACCCTTCCCTGCACACAACACCTGGGCTGGACTGAAGTCTCTCAGCGAAGGCAACTACCAGACGCCTGACCACTTCCAGCTCACACACTACATACTACATCTATGGATGTAGGCAGCAGCGCCGTGCCCGTGCAGTGCACAATGCTTCCACACGTGACCAAGAAAGGCTGAGCGGGAGGTCCTCTCGTTGAGCAAATAAAATCCCAAAGGAAGGATAACCCTGAATCCGTGTTTTTGCTAGGGGAAATGGACTACGGGGAGTGAAGAAAACGGCAAGAGAAGAAGAAGAAGAAGAAGAAGAAGAAACCACAAAAAATGGTTCCAGATAATCCAAAGAACCACAGGGAATGCCGGGCGCGCCCTACGCTTTGAGGCCGTCTGTGCAAACGAACATCGTCTTGGCCCCAACGGGCTTGACCTACGATCAATCCAGGGCGCCGCCTCACCGGAGAACAGCAGCACCCAACAGAATCAAGAGGACAACCCACACGCCCTTCTTCTCGACAACCAGCCGCGATAAATGCTCCTTCTTCAGGCTCCCTGCCGAGATTCGGTGCCTCATCTACCATGAGCTGCTGGTTTGCGGCGTGGTAAACTACCACATCTGCCCCGCGACTCGCCGGCTACTCCTCTATTGGTATCAGATTGAGAAGCCAAATTACCCCTATTTACGGCACGGCCTCTACCCAAGCATCTTGGAATGCTGCCGCCTCGCGTACGAAGAAGGGGCCGCCGTGCTCTACGGCGAAAACCAGTTCAGCCTTGCCGCCTGCGCGCCCAAGAAACGGACCGTCAACACGTGGCCGCTCTCGAAGCGCAACATAGAGCTCATCACGTCCCTCAGCGTGGGGTACTGGCAACTGGGGTTTACACAGCCGCTCGTGGAAGTCGGCGCGCTGTTTTCCAACTTGAGCCACATCACGATATTCATAAGCTCGGCCGTGACGGAATGGGAGAGCTTTCTAGAAACCCCGACCGGCTTGCTCGGCCAGTTGCCGAGTGCCTACATAGTATTCATTATTGAATCGAGCGCCGCGCGGATATTCGACTCCGATACTCGGAGTGGGACATGGCTGAGGCGAAGTGGGTATTCGACATGGAACGGACGGAGGCGGCGTGTTTTGGGCTATACAAGCCCGTCCTGGAGCAATATCTACCCTCTACCAAGAGGACCAAGTGGAAGCTCAAGATGTCCCCCGATCTACCGGACGGCCAACGTTGTGTGTCCTTCAAAGTTGAAGTGTCATGGGGGCGCGATTATAGGGAGAAGGCACGCAGAAGTTTTTAAGTTTTTTGGGGGCGGGTTTTTCCCCTTTTTTTTACTTCGAGACAGTTGAGGCGGGTAGGATGGGACCAGACCTCTTATGAACGACCCTGCCACCGCGTGAGCGTGAACTCTTAGCTTCATAGTATGTGGCCGTGGACACATGGAAATATCGTCATTATCAATAGATGGATCTATCTTCCAGCCCGCCCGCCGCTGGCCTTAGGCCGCACCTCGGTAGAGTCTATATAGTATTGAAGGCTCACGATACCAAGTTGACGCTGGATGAATCTATTATCTACCCCTCTATTGCGGGGATGTTGTTTTAGTGCACCACTATGCTTCTATCTACGAGGAAAGAAGAAGAAGAAACGTGAAGAAAGTAAGACAGAAGGAGAGCAGATAGGGAAATATGGGGTCAGAGACTCTGTTCCACCACACGAGGGGTAATGACTAAGAGCACTCAACTCCTTATTTAAGAAAACATGAAGCCTAGACTGGCAGAAATGGATGGATCCCCTTAGCCAAGCTGCGTGGCGTTGAAGCAGAGTCTCACGTTAGCCCTGGAGGACTTGAGGCGGATCAAGCCCACTTGATCAATCCGTTGTAGAAATGATTCATTGGATTCATTGACCCACCGCCAAACTGGCAAATGGATCAATCCCAATTGATGAATCAATCAATCCTCAATCCATGCTGTTGCATTCAAACCATTGGTTTGCTGAGACTCGAAGCCTAGTCGCTAAACTCGGTTGGGCTAGAGACTGCAAGAATCTTGCATGGTTCCAGCAAATACTCTTCAGTTTCCGGACATGCATCTACTAATCCGGTCCATTATATGATGGATCAATTTGCTTCCAGCGTGGGCCATTGATTGATCAATGAACGTTGACGCTCGTTCATATCCAGCTGCCCCTCTGCACAATGCCGTAGCGGGCCGCCCCGACCCCAGCTCGTTCGTTGTAAGCCTCACCAAACGCAAGCGAAGAACCTCTACTTGTATGCCATGGCTGAGGGAATTCGCTGTGGAGGCGTCCCCCATCCTCGTCCTGTACAACCCACACACATAGTCACAAGTACCAGCATCGCGCAGAAAGCTTTCACCTCGCCCCTGATGGACAAATAAGAATAAAAGGCTTTTAGGCAAGGAACATTGAACTCTGCATAACTAAACCCTCGAGGCTCCACCTCCGCCAAGAGTATCACAGTTCAGCTGGTTCAAAAAACACTATAACCCCCACCACACTCGAAAGCCCGCGATACCTGTGCATGAGTGTTCAGGATGGATTGCATATTAGTATGCGCCCCATGGTGGGATGCCGGTGGCCTCCCCTCCTCTCCTGGTTGAGGCCAAACAGCCGCCAGGTCGAGACGCCGTTGAATGCCTCGGCCACTCACCTTGTTGTGATCACTCCTTATGTCAGAGCGTGGCGGTAGGCGCAAGGGGGCGGCTGCCGATCGTTTGCCTTGTCTTGCTTGATCCATGGGCGGTGGATGGTGGATGGTTCCATTCAGACTGGGTCCACTGACCCGTCAGCTCCCAATATCCCCCAAGCTATCGATATGCGCAGTTCGCCACGATTGCCTCAAAGAATCTCTCACGGCGTGCTGAGTCGAAGCCAATACACTGCAGTATGGTAGCGTAACCGCCCTTGACGAGAATCGGAGGACCCTGCCCTCCATATTCCTCTCCCTCGTGAAGCTGCGTGGACCACTCTCCTCTCCAAAGAGCCAAAAGATCTCCATTACCATAATATATCAATATATAAATATGCGACCGACAAGTTGTCTTCACCCTCACTTCTTCACCCATCTAGATCTTGTTAAAACGTAGAGGTGACTGCCGATACCTGATAGACTATCACAGATTCAACCTCTGTTGCACCACTTGATTCTGTCTAAAACTGCCTGGTCCCTTTCCCCCGGTGTCATCAACGATCGACTTGCCTCGTTGAGATTCCCAAGATGCTTTCCCCAAGCGAGCTCAAAGGCTTGCCTACTCTCCCCGAGGCCGTCGTAGGCTTCGACGATGGAACCTACTCCGTGTCCTCCCACAAAGAGTCATCTCTGATCGCCGAGGGCCCTGAAGTCGTGAACAAGATCTGGTTCCGTACACCGGTTCGTCTCCCATGCATCACCATAAACAGCAACCCCTCCCTGTCTCGTTTTCTCTTCATTTCACGTCCACTAACGCCGGCCTGTTTGGCCCTTTCTCTCCTCAGCCTCTGAAAAGGAATTGATCCAGCGGATCCACAGCCTCCAACTCATCGCCAAGTCTCACGATCAAGGCTATAGCGATGACGAATTCTCCGCCAGCTGGACCTGGTTCGAGATTGCCATCCTCAAGCATAAGAACTCGCGCCACCCGAGGGTCAAGGACGGAATCGAGCTCGTCTGGAACAGCCACCGGAACGCGTTGCGGTCGTCCGAATTCACCTGGGCAAGTATTTCTTTCACTTCCCCATAGCTGGCCGTCCTCTCTCTTCGCTGGGAGCTAGTTATGGAAACCATGGGAACTCGAAATGCTAAACAAAAGTGCTAACGGTATCAACGGAACAGTTGGAAGGGACAGAGTTTGGCCAAGACCATGACCTGTTTCGTCTCCTCGAGGTACGCACAGCTGATAACCGGGCCACATTCGGTCCAGTTCAGACATCTCCCTACAACGCGATGACCTCCCTCTCACACTCTTTTCCTTTAGGACGGAAACGTGCTCGGCATCCGCCTTTGCGCGAGATTCCAAAATTGGGAGATTGTTGCCAAGAAGGGCTACCTACTCTTCAACATCGCTTCCGCGAGTAAGCCGTTCCCCTGTTTTACCTCTAGGATATCCTGGCGACGGAAGGGAGATTGGGATTGCTAAATACGAAAGCACCAACCATTTCTAGTGACCCGAGACCCTCTGCGATATGGCCAGACTAAAGACACGATTATGAGCATCCAAGAGGTGTTTCAAGAAGTCAACAGCAGCATCTTCCCGGAATCCATGCAGATCTCCACGCCCGACAACGCTCTTCTTTTCCGTGCCGAGATGCTGACCTCCGTTGGAGAGAGACCTCTCCGTGTTCTCTCACTCGGTGAGTCTCCTGCCATAACATACCTATATATATAACTTGTTCTGCCACTTGCGTCTTTCCCCTACCGCGCCCGCTTTCATGCTAACTCGTAGGGACCAAAGATGGCGGTGGTGTCCGCGGAGTCGCCGCACTCATGATCCTCGAAGAGGTTATGAAAAAGGTTGCTCCTGGCAAGAAGCCTTGCGAGGTTTTCGACATGATTGGCGGCACCAGCACCGGAGGGTAAGTTTTCCGCCATCTTCTCTTCAACACCGGCTGTAGTTACTACCCGTGATCGGTCCATATAGAACCGCTGGGCTAACAGGGGTTTCGTAGGTTTATTGCCATCATGCTCGGTCGCCTACAGATGAGTATCCAAGAGTGCCTCACCAAATACAAAGAGTTCATGAGTGTCGTCTTCCCCGGCAGTCGATACACCAACTGGTCGCTCGTTCGCAAGGGTGCCAAGTGGGATGCCACAGAGCTGGAGAAGGTGATAAAAAAGCTTGTAAAGGAAAAGCTTCAGACAAACCCAGATGAAGTATTACTTTATGACGAGGAAACATCCGCCACTTGCAAGGTGTAAGCCAGAAACACGGAATCTTTCCCAACACTCAGGGCCTCGAGCTGACCACCGTTTCCACATCTAGGTTCGTCATGGCAACGAGAAGTGAGGGTTCCAATAACCAAGCTCCTGTCGTCTTCCGCTCATATGAGAACTCTCTCGAGAAGTCCGAGTTCGCTGGCATCAAGCTCTGGGAGGCTGCGAGGGCGACCTCGGCGGCGCCCTCCTACTTTGACCCCCTCAAGGTCGGAGGCCACGAGTTCTTGGATGGCGGGCTCCAAGCCAATAACCCCTTGGGATGGTACATTTATACCCCTCCCCCTTCCTTATTCCCCCTTGGTTTCCTCCTCGTCTTCGTTTCCATGTTTGCAATCCCCGCCTCCCCGTCGCTTTGCTAACGAGGCACACATCATTGCCATTACATAGGTTATGGAACGAGGTGCTCAGCGTGTTTGGCCCCGCCCGGTCCACCAGCTGCTTTCTCAGCATCGGAACCGGCGTGCCCCTACGAGCCGCCGTACACGACGTGCGCAACGTGGTAGCCGTGGCCGGCGACATGGCCGGCATCGCAACCAACAGCGAAATGGCCAACATCCTCTTCCGCTCTCTGCTCAACGCCTTCGCCCCCGCCCCATGGGAAAGAAGTACTGGAGGTTCAACGTCGGCGACGGACTGCCGGACTGCGTGGAGGAGGACGGGGCGTGGAAGTGGAAACTGCGCGGCCAGCGGGTCGAGGACAAGGTCGGCGAGTTGGACGATGTCAAGGTCATTCCCACGACCGAACGGAAAGCAAAGGAGTACATCCAACACCCGGACGCGCAGAAAATGATGGACGAGTGTGCGCAAGCGTTGAAGGAGGAGCATGTATCGACCCTCGATGCCAAAGCTTGAACGGCTGATGCAAGCGAGGGTCACGAGATACCTGTTAGGGCTTGTCACTGAGGGAGGACATGCCCGTTGAGGGCAAAAGAGAGCGAGGCGCTGCACTATGCTAGAAAATCAACCATATTCGCATGTTCAAATATGGCCAAGGCCTCGACGAGCTGCTTATCTTGTCAGAAGATCCTCCGAACTGATGGAGGTTGGTAAGGTGGCCTTCTCCTCTAAAACAGAACTCTACTCTTCAACTTGGCGTTCAAACCCACACTTTAGGCATTCCCCTGTGCGCAACATGATTGGGAAACAAGGTGTAATAATGATACAGAGAACGAGGGGGAAAAGAGGAAGGGGAGGAGAATAAAAGAAATAAATAAAAGAAGATGAGCCACCCAACGCCGTTGCCGCCCCTGGCCCCCTTAACGTGACACCCAAATCAAACACAAGCTCACACATTCGTCGGCTCAAAAAGGTCCTCGTCATCTTCATCCACAATATCCCCTATATCCTCGCACAGGAGCTCGCCAATCGCCTCACTTTCCTCGAGAATCTTTCGTGCGGCCTCAGACCCCACACCCATATCCTCCATCACAAGCCGGACGGCTAGCTCGGGCACGAGCACCGCCTGGACGTAGATAGAGTAGCCACGAGACGATACGAGAGCGTCTTCTACCGCTCTTTGCCTCAAGAGGCTCGAGAATCGGCCAAAGATGGCCTCTTGCATAGCCCTGAAACCACGCGTTCCGTAGTAGCCCGGCGGACTATCAAAACCGGCCTTCATCAGATTACGACTCTTGCCATCCTTGACGTCCTGGGCTAGTTTGTCCCCGTAGTGTGACTTTCCACCCTTGAGGATCTTTTCAAGAAAGCCAAAGTGCTCTGCTATGCGCCTATCGAGCTTCTTCCACTCTATGTCTGGGTATCCTCGCACCTTCCAGAGGCTCCTAGCTTCTGCCTTTTATGCTCCACGCAAAACGCACGCTGCATCCGCACCGACATGCGAGCTCCTCTAGAATACGAATCGAGAAGCTCCCTGCTGACTGGCATTTTGCAGTAAGGACACTCAGCATCCGGCGTATTTACTACCTCTTCTAGATCGCTCGAGTCCAAGTCGGACAATGGAGAATCGTTGCTGTCAAGGTCGAGCTCAATCCGCTCTGAGCCGCCCCTGCGCCGCGAGGTTTTGGTCACCTTGACCGACTTTGGCTCCTCATCCGAGGAGACCGTAGAGCCTCTGGAAACTCTTGAATTCCTCGCGGCCGGCCTGCTCACCTTTCTTTGCCGGACCGGCGAGTCCAGAAAGTTGACGTTCAAAGTCGTCGATAGTTTATCTTCCGGGCGTCTGGGAGACACAGATAACGCCTGCAGGACTTGAGGCAGAGGCTTTTTAGGTGATGGCGAGTCAAGATATTTGCTGGATATCTGAAGGGAAGGCCTTGGCCCTGCCGACTTCTCCGACTCAGAGTCTAAGAAGTCGTCAAACAGCTTGAGTTTGGGTAGGGCCATGCTCGCAGCTTCATCCTCAGTAGCTGATATTTTGAGTAGAAGAGTCAGTAACTCTCAGCATAAGTGACGGGTGCCTTTTCATGCCAGCCTCTCCCCTTTGGGGAAAAGAAAAAGGACAAGAGACTCACCGCGAGCTTTCTTTGCCCGTTTCGGAACGACTTTTTAGGAGGAGGTGGGCTCCGAGGTCGCTTCCCTGCCATCCTGTACACCTTATCCTTGACCTCGTTACGGAGAAGACTGGCGTTGAAAAGAGCAGGGTCCTTCTCGTCGACGTCGTCATGGCTACCAGAGAGGCCCTTTGCGGCTGCGGCGGCGGCCGCCTTCTTAGCTTTCGTTGAGTCTAGAAAGGCCTTTGAGCCACCATATCTCTGAGGCTGCTGACCAAAAGTCTTGGTGACAGTGGACCTCTTGTTGAACTGAGTTGGTTTTATGTCACCTCTCGGCGGCGAATCCTCTTCTTCTGGCTCACTGGGCGAGATGAACTTTGAACTCTTGTCCTGTGCCAGAGCAGTCTGTTCCACGCTCGGCTCCTCATCGTCTTCAAAATCAGAGCTAATTGGCGGCGCTTCGATCGCCTCGCGGTCATGCACAGCACCCTTCTCATGAGAAGGCATCCTCTGGGGGTCCTCGGGTCTGGATCGAGGGAGAGACTTGAGAAGGGGGCTAGTTTTCTCATATTTGCTCATCCCCACTCGACGCCCTCTGCCCTGTGCACTCATTGTTGCTCTTGTGGCCTTGGCTATGGAGGGCTATGACATCGGGCTTGGGGAATAATAAAATAAAGGGTGCAACTTGCCAGGCCACACGGGAGTGTCTTTCCTCCTGGCTGCAAAATCGTTTGGGAATGGTTTGAGAATAGGTTTGGTGGTGTTACCGTGTGCTGGCACTGCTTAGGTGCTCCCAATGAGCTTTCCGTTTGGTGGTTGCCAGGGTAATCCTATCAATTAGAATGGGGATCAACCAAATCAACTGGGGCTGGAGCTCTAAAGTGTAGTGTTAGGCTAGGTGCTGAGCATAGCAGCCGTGCAGCACTATCAATAAAAACCCCCATAGCTCCAGCTCTCTATCAATTGATCCATGGTAGATGGAGATTGATCTCTTTGATACCCTTACAGCACTGGCATCTGCCATCAATGCCAGTCTGGTGGATTGAGCATCAATCAACAATCTATTCAATGTTCCAATAGATTCAATCAGTCACCATCAAGACCTTTAATCATAAGATACGTCTATTAGATAGATCTATTGAATAGATAGGCTCTTACTCTATAGCCAAGTGCCCTTAATTAATGAATTACTCTCAACTCTATATCATAGATAGTGACTAGGTTGTATTGCTAGGCTGGCCCTCAGATTTACGATTTCACCGCGAACAGCGAGCAACAGATCTATAGATTACTTGGCCTTGGTTAGGTCTTGAAGACTAGGTTCTATCTAGCTAACTGTAATACTCTTCAAGTATATGATTGATAAGGAGCTCACAGAGTTGAATATCGTCTTTAATGTAATGACTCAGATAGTAAGTACATATAGTGTCTAGATCTATGGATCCATTCAATCAATGGAGTGTAGATGCTATATTGTAGATTTATTTTTCTTATGAGAGCTTGGGAACTGGTAATACTGGACCAGTGCTCAAGTTCGACTTCATACTGCACGTAAGCTCCACAAGTGCACCGGTCCGGCCCCCAAATCCGGGACCTGAGCCTCAACGTCACCCACCCAAAAAAACGAACCCCAAACGCCCGCCGCTCCTCCCCGCCCATAATCTACAACTCCATGCCCGGTGAGTCGCATTGTCAGGGCAGAACGAGCACACCCCTTGACGCCCTCGCCCGACACACTCCTTTTCGTCAACTATGGCCCTCAATAGAAAATATGCCGCATTGCCGGATCTTGTACGACTCGCCATCCCCATCCCCCTTTCTCTTTCCGCCCCTCTCTAGCGGGGTGCCCGCCACGGCTCAAGGCTAACAGGACCGCCTGCCTAGGATTCCGCGCCGGATATCTACGAAACGCCCGATCTCACAGACGACAATTCCACCGTTCCTGTACATAACTCACCAGTTTCCTCCCAGTTATGGAAGCTAGAGACTAACTTGGTCAGGGTACAACACTCCTCTCCCCTCAGATGCCGCGTCCGACGAAGACACGGCCGACGAAGATGGCGGTATCTCGCGCCAGAAACTCCGCATAAACGAAGCCCGCTCCAAGTTTGGGTCCACGCGATACAACTCTGCCGGCGTCGATTTCTCCGATCGGGTCGATAGCAAGCGGAGATCTTACCGTACCCGTCGACACCGCGTACTGGAAGATGGCACCGAGGAACTCGGCGACCTTAGCGACGAGGACAATGATACGGACGATGCGGCCGAAAGCTTGGAGAGGAAGATTGCGAGGTTAAAGCGCGAAGTAGAGGAGGCCAAGGAAGAGTGCACACGGAGAAGGGCTGGCGGCGGAGATGCGGGCAGCCGTACAGGTTCGAATGAAGAAGGCCAGGAGCTCGAGTCCCTAGGAAGGGTGCTAGAAGAGATATCCCGTCCATCGGGTGTTGCGCGGCCGTCAAGGCTCTCCAAACCCCTACTCAATGCGGACGAGAGCTCCGCCGGTCCAGAGGCTACCGAAGCTACGTACACCGTCACGTACGCCCCCAACTACGAGCAATCCCATGCACTCGCCAAGGCAGCCGAATTTGACCAAAGATTACTGGCGCTCGAGAGGTCTCTAGGCATTGGAACAACCATGGGGCTAGACATGGGCGCCAACGGCCTACCTCGCGCTGTACTACCCACCGTAAATACCCTGAACAAGCAGATTTCGGTCCTCGCAAAGGCGTCCACGGCGAATCTTGACTCCATCAGCCGCCGGGTCAGAACTCTTGTGACGGATATCGAGAGTTTAAACAAGGCCAAAGCCATGTCTAAGCCGGCAGATCAACCCAATATAGCCCGCTACGTAGAAGAACGAATCAAGGAGGATAGCAAGGGCAAGGACGCGGTCGAGACCGCTAGGACAGAAGAAGACGAGCAAAGGGCCAAGATCAATGCCCTCTACGGGACGCTGGCGACGATTGAGAACCTGGCGCCGTTGCTTCAGCCACTTCTCGATCGGCTCCGATCGCTCAGGGCCATCCACGCCGACGCGGCCACGGCCAGCGAGACGCTCGACAGGATTGAAAAGCAGCAGGCAGACACGGCCACCGAGTTGAAGCAGTGGAAGGATGGCTTAGAAAAGATCGCCCAGGCTATGGACGACGGGAGCTCCGTCATGGAAGGCAACATGAAGGTGATGGAAACTTGGGTCAAAGACCTAGAAGGTCGGATCAAGCAGTTATCCGCGTGATGCGCTTGTTCGCGTCACCCGTACATGAAATCTGCCAGGCAGATTGTAAGAAAATAAAAAAGGATACCCTCGACTGGATGCACCTTGCGGTAGACACCCATCAGTAGCGACGTGAAGTCAAGATCACCTTTATTCTGGGTTATCGCCACTAAACACAACTACCAAGATAATCGAGGCCGTTCAGAGTCGCCTTTCAAGACGACTTACAAGGCAACTAGCTAGGAGTCTCACAGGCCAGAGTTCAAAGCCAAAAGCATATGTTTACTCTCCTACGGCTGGCGTAGCTCCCGCAAGACGGAGTTAGCGTGTCATTAGTTATCTAATATCCGCAGGCCTCAATTGGACTCTTATCAATTCGCAAGTTTCCTCCACGGCACTAGCGTGATACAAGTCAGAGGCGAGAGGGTGATTCAAGTTGCATCCACAGGCTCACGTTGATGCGGCTGGCGGCTGGGGCCAGGTTGTCATCACGTGACACTGGTTTTTGGCAGCGCAGGCACGGACCATCCGCGGGGCAGAGGGTTTCCACCACCAAAACCCTCATCAAAATTGCCAGACCGAAAAAGTTGAAGACCCCTCTGGAGTGAGCCAGCTACCAAGCCCGAGTACTAATCCCACCACTTTCACCACACCCACGCCTCTCGTCGCTTCGCGGATATCGTCTCAAAGCGAATCACCACATACAGCAAAAATGGACGCCTCGAAAGCCCCCGTAAAGCTCGTCAAGGTCACCCGAGTCCTCGGCCGTACCGGTACGCTCTCTTCTTTCCTAATCGAACGCCCGAGTCTTGTCCCTTGCGGTCCTCCTCATGCCTCGCGTCGTGACGGACGCTCGACGATGAATGGTTATTGTGCCAATTTTTCCGGCGTCATTCTTTTCAATCCGAGAGAAATGGGAGGCTATGAGGAGGGAGGGCTCGATGCTCAGCAACGACTCATTTATTCGTGGTGGCAGGAGAAACAATGGCTGACCAGGATGCGCAATAGGTTCTCGTGGTGGTGTTACCCAGGTTCGCGTCGAGTTCATGGACGACCCTACCCGATCCATTATCCGAAACGTCAAGGGACCCGGTACGATTCCCCGTTTACCCTCGCTTCCGTGCTTCCATCATCAAAACTTGCCCCTTTCAAAGCCCCTTCCAAAAGATGGCCCAGGCACCGCTTGTGTATGGCTAGACTAACGCTGTGCTCGCTTCTTTCTAGTCCGTGAGGACGACATCCTCTGCCTCCTCGAGTCCGAACGTGAGGCCAGGCGTCTACGATAAGCAACCACCGATGGAGTTGAGAGGGGACGACTGTAGCGACGGTTGGTGGTGGTGTTCATGACTTGGCTTTTCAGGAGGCAATTACAGGAAGGGAAAAAACAATGTCCAGAGGGCGGGCATCACATATCACTGAGCCCAAATCTCTTTTTGTTAGAGGAGTCACCGGCATCTGCATTACGAATCGAGGACACAAATCTTCTCCTGCAAAGGATTCAGTTTAATCCTCCCCATCGGAGTTCGCGCGCTCTCTTCACCTGCTCTCTCCTTGCTTGTGCTCTTGTCCTATTTTTCCTCGCTCTGCGAGACCGAAAAACAGTGCGGATGTGCCGAGTGTTTTGAGGTGATGCCGTTGTACCGTGCTAGGATACGCAATGGCAGCTTGTAGGCGAGCAATATGGCCAACTCTTCATGTTGCGAAGGCCTGTAAGGACCCCGAACTTCGGAGCCTGGTCCTTCCACGTTCGACGCGACGCCGCATGTTGTTCGCCATTAAAATTAATTGGCATAAGGATCGAAATGTCTGTATCCAACGAACGAGCCGCACTATGTGAACGTCTGCATCCCCTTCCATAAACTACCAAACGATTTGCACCTACCATGTGACGAGTACGAGCCTCAGTTCCTATATCCTGAATGTAATTGAACGCCTAGTCTGAGGACGAGAAGTTTTTCAACTTCCATATGTATATTTCCCAAGCCTAAACACTAAGCGAGACGGACGGGGTGCGAAAACTGCTGCCAACGATGTTTCTGAACCGTTGTTCACGACTGTACCAGGGCACAACTGTCCAGCTTCGACACATTTGGACTGTACTAGAAAGAAACCCTTTCAGAGAGTTCATGAGAGATGTGTCTAAGCCCTCTCTTCTAATTTAGTTGTTTCAACATTGTGTTAGGAGTCACGTCTTGAAAATCCGTTAGATAAAAACTCGACCATAAATATCAAAACTACTAGGAAGTTGGTGGTTGAAGTCTTCTCTCAAGTTGCGCGTTCACGTGAAGCTACCAGACCTCAGTGCTCTCGTGTAGCACTAAACCCACCACCTACACCTGTCAGCACACGGGCATGCCAGTGGTAGGCCCGCAAATCACCGATGTGCGTCAACTATATGAGACCAAGTTTTCCCGCCCAAGCTAGCCCAGCAGAAATTTTCTCTTCCCTCTTCTCTCTCAACCGAGCCTCAAGCTCCATCTGCATCAAGCAGACATCTCGCACAGCTGAACCAAACCTCATGGGTAAGTCATAGAATTTTTCTTCCTCTTTTATCAACGGCACCCGGTGGACAATGATGTACTTTAAGCATGTATTACCTGAACTCCAATGATGTTCTCATTATCACCAAGATCTCTGAAATCGCCCTTCGGCCCCGCCTTTTCAATTCTTCGTCTTTTTCTCACTCGCGTCCTTTCGGGCACCGCGGCTAACAAGATTGGAATGGGGTTATAGATTGATACGCATTCCTGAGCTTCTGCGCCGCTTGAACATGATGGCGGCTTCCAAGCCCCCAATGGCCATTTCAGCGTGCTCTATTTTGCCGCCGTCAGCTCCTTCACCTCGAAGGAATCCGAGTTCCTGCCCGCCCCGCTGCCGGCTACCCAGCTCTTCGACGTGCTCGAGGAGAGGTATCCCGGCATCAAGGGAAGCTCCTCGGATCCTGCCTCGTCACCGTGAATCTAGAATATGTGGATATCACGGGCGAGGACGAGGGAAGCCAAAACGTAGTGATTGGCGACGGCGATGAAGTAGCCATTATACCACCTGTCAGCTCTGGGTAGCCTATATCCTGACTTCCTCCGTAAATATTATGAGATGTTTGGTTGCGAAGCTAGCCTTGAGCGAGAAGAAAATAAATAGAAATATATATATATATATTAAAAGAAAATTTGATACCCCCAAACGCCAATCTATGTCTTCGATCCTATGTGTCATTGCTAGTAGTGGTACATTAGCGCAAAAGAGTTCGCTTTCTCTCTTCCTTGCCCTCTTTCGATGCCCCGACGAGCCAGTCAGGCCATGCCTCCCCAGTCGTAATCACCGCCCTCAGCAGGGAACTTCTAGTGGATGCCGACTTTGCGTATCTCCGGCCTCGCATACAAGTCGAGCTGCCTCTTGCCCTTCCGTAGCTGGTACTCGATCAGTCCGAAATCCCGCTTGCTCATGCCAAGGTTTCGGTCGAACGACTCGCGCGCAAATGCCTTGAAGCCCAGCCTCACATCCTGTGACGTTGGATACCCACCATGTTAGTCGTCGTGTACAAACAACCCAACGAATATTTCCCTATGCTTCCAAGACTCGGCAGCGATAGCAAAAGGGGAAGGTGAGAGAAAAGATAAGAAAAAGAGGGGGTAGAAAACGTACCGCTGGCTTGGTTCGGCATGCGCGCAGGCATTGGCGGTAGAGGGAGAGAACCTCCTTCTGAAGACCGGTGTAACCCATGATGCCGCGAGTCGTATAAAAACAGGGGTGGCAAAGGGAGAGAGTATCAATGGGACAAGGAGCGCGGGTCTAGTTGGCGCGTTGTCGGGTAGTTGGGGTGGGTGCTTGCAAGGAGAAACGGAGCTCGGTGGTGAGCCGCGACATTGGCGAAGATGGCTTGTGCCGGTGGGCAGGCGAATGGATGGCGAATGACGCACAGGGGCAGGACCAAAGAGACGAAGCTCCCGAGAAGCTTAATTGGGGAGTCTTTTTTTCTCAAGTCTCCTGTGCCCTGCAGAATTCGAGGTCCCAATTGACAGTAACCTCGGCCTACGTTTAGTCATAGCCCGACATCTAGAAACAACAAGCATTGAAGAACATTGAACAAAGGGACGCCTGAATCCTCGAGCAATTCACGTCAGTTGCTCACAAACACGAACCGGCAATTTTTGATGATTGTTATTATTCTAGGTGTTCGTTATGCATTCGACTCTAAGTTGCGGAAACCCAAAAATTTGGACAGTCTAAAATCCATATGACCCTCCGACCTTGCCCTCAAATGTTGCTGGTTAATATACACCCTTGTATGATATAGACCGCCTTCCATGCAGTTATGACGATAGGAAAGAAAAGAGAAAAGACAAAAAGAAGGGATAGACATGGAGTAGTAGTGTTAGAAAATAATGCGATGCCTCCTATGATGCTGCGTATGATGGAATATTAAGATGGCCCCAACTCTGATGGCCGACTGAAGCTACCTCTTCTCCACAAAGTTCAGCCACTCGCATTGACAACCACCCGAACCGCCATCAAACCCCCAAAACTAGGATTCTTATTGATGCGCGGGTTGACGAGCGTGCCGCCCTTGCTCATGTCGTTGGACAAAAACTTGGGCTTGAGGGTATCGATCCGCTGACGCTCGTCGATCGACCACGCCCACACGAATTTCGTCTGCGGGTCGCCCCCGTGCGTGTCCAGCGTCATGGTGACCGGGTACGGCATCGTGCCCGGCCGCGTAAGGTCGACGGTGTCCTCGATGCCGGGCTTGTCTCCCTTGGCGAGCAGGCCCTTGCTCGCCGCGCTGTTGGTCCAAATCTTCATGTGGAACCGGGTCTCCGCCCACGTCACGAGAAAGTCGGCTTCCGTCTCGCGGGATCCGCCGTTCTGGTCGAGAGGGACGTCGCCGATGGCCTCGGTCTGGTTCAGGGTCGTGAGCGACCGCACGTAAATGGTGCGCCTAAAGTAGGTATAGAAGCCGTAGTGCTCTGTCGGGAGTCCCCTGTCGAAGAGCCTGACGGGCTGCTGTCTGACTTCGGGAAGGATCCGGGCCGTGGCCCCAGTTCCGTCGTCTTTTCGGTCGGGGGCGGGTAGTTCTACGCCCAGCTGCCGGTCGACCAGGCCGCTTTCTCTCTTCTCAATCATATTCGCGCCCACCGTTTGGTCCTTGGAAGAGAGCAAGCTGATGTAGAATGGCGTTGGCTCTCCCGCCTTGTCGTCCGAGACCACGCCGTCGGTGGTGTTGCCCAAGAACCACATCTCCTCAAACGAAGGGGGCTCCGGCTCAGGGAGATTCCCGGAGCGAACCGTTTAGCGTTTCGTCGCGCGGACGACGCGGGCTTTGAAGCCGGGGTCTGAGTAGGCACCGGTGGCTTGCCGTTGGGGACATTCCAGGAAAGGCTGGGGTTGTTGTCGAACTGGATTTGCATGGCCACCGTAGGCTGGTTGGCGTTGTAGGGCGAAACCGAGTCTTGCAGCTCCTTGGGCAGCTCGCAGCTCCACAGAGTCTTGGGCTGCGTGCACCCATCAAAGGATCGAGAGTTATCGGGGCCGACAACCGTGAGTACGCCAGTGGGCATCGGGGGAACCCGGTCAAATTTACAAAGATAGACTCGATCTCGGGGGCAGGGGCTCCCTTTTTTGAAAGCACCACGCCAAGGACGATGCCCAGGATCATCATTGCAATGACGCCAACCGCGACGCCTAGACAGATCCTACGCCTTTGCGGCCCTCTCGGCCGGCACGACCATAACAACCACTCGCCGGGATGCACCATCGCCCGCGCCATAGTCCACCCGCCTTGCGAGCAAGGACCTCTTCTTTTCGTACCGCCTCCGATCCCTTTCTACTCGGTACTGGGGGCCATCCGCGGGGAGAGAGTGTTCTTGGGGGATAAAGGTCCCCGCCGGCCTGTCGTTGAACGAAGTAGCATGACCCGCCGGGGTCAGGGGATCTCGGTCATGTTGACCGCCCCTTGCGAGGTCATGGCCCTCGTGACTCCAGGAGAAACAGGCCCTGGCGAGGGGAAAGCGGGTGTGAAGAGGGTGGTCAGGCGGAAACAAGGCTCGGTAGCGGACAGGAGCTTGGCCGCTGGTGTGGGGAGGCGAGTACGGCGGGGGCTCCTCCGTGGGGGTGGAATTCTCCTGGGCGAGAACTGCCGCTTTGCCCGCCATGGTTTCGCCGCGTCTCAGGGGTGATTGGCTCGAGGACGCCATGGTCGCCGACCCAAGTGGAAGTCGGGGCGATCCGCTCCGCGAAGGAATAGCGTTAGGCGAGGGTGTGCGCCGCGGGCTCGGAGTTCGGATGATGGGCGTGGGACCGAGTCGGAGGACGTGAACGGACTGGGGCGTGGGACACCTCTGCGCTTCGGCCACCACGGGCTGTTTCTTTGCGTCCATTCCTCGCCACCACTCATCGGCGCTCTTCTTTTCCTCTTGGGGCGTGCTTGTCGATTCCTCCGCGGAGCAGAGGACTCATAAAACGGCGAGACTGGGCGCAAAGGCGCGATCTGGGGAACCGGTGACAAAGTTGCCTCCTGGCTCACCACTTGAGTCTGGGTAAACGGCCCAGGTGCCGCCACTGTGGGAGTCGGGCTGGCCAAATGCTCGTCCCACCACCCTCTAGAACGACGGTAATCCGCATGTCCTCGCATCGCGCCGGATGCTACTCCTCCAGGGCTCAAGGACGTCTGCTGAAAACGCCGAGCCGCCGACGGGCTCAGGGTGCCGTCCTCCTCGAATAGGGTGCAAGGTGTGCCTGCGTCGAGGTCGTCCGCGGACGCGATGCTGATGAGATTCTGAGGGTTCCGGCGGTAGTTGGCTGGAACTTCTGGAACGGGGGACGGCCACGGATGGGCCAAACCTGCTGGTTTCCGCCGAGGCGCCGGTGATCTGAGAGTAGAGGCTCGACGCAGCGCGCGGCGACAGAGTGGCTGCGGTGCTTGGCGTATCAGGCGACCATACCGACTTTAGGTGGGAAGGTGTAAGGGGAGACACCGTGTCGGGCGAAGCGGTCTCAACCGTGGGCCGCGCCGGACCAGCAATAGTAATGGGAGGAAATTCAACGGCACTCTGAATCACCGCCGTATTGGGACTGATCTCACGCGCTTGGAGCGCTTCAGTGTCCATTGATATCCCAATCACAATGGGTCCGTCAGCCGGCGATAGGTCCTGTTCCGGGATCACCTGAGGAGCGAGGTGCGGAGCCGATGCGGCCGACTTTTGCGTCTAAGCCAATTCCAATTACCCACCGTGGCGGAGGTCGGACTTCCCTCGAGCTCGCAGAGCAGCGAGGTCGACAAATCTGGGCCGAGGGACACCGGGGCTCTTCCTAGACTGGTGTGCGGGTCGATGGAGACCAGCCATGTCTGTTATAAGTCGAATGCCTGCCTTTGCATTCTGGGCCTTTTGGCGGCCTCGCGACTTTAGGCGCTTTGGCCTATACACGGAGTGCCGTGTGGCAAGATTAGTTTTCGTGGAGGATTTTCGCGGCGTATGCGTCGTAGCCGGCGGAGCTATCTCGCCAGCGAGAAGTTGCTCGTCATCTTCTATGGGCGTGATGGTGCCATCATCCTCGTCATCTTCCCACTCATCCCACCCAGGCATCTTAGTTTCATCTTCGGGCGAAGGGGGCGGAAGCTCGGGCTGTGGCCCTTCTGCTTTGGGGATATCGAAAAAGTCATTTTGTGATATGTGTGAGGAGGAGGAGGAGGAGGTGGTGGTGGAGGAGAGTAGGACTCGAGCGGGATCGGGTCGAAGAAGTCTAAAAGGGTCGGTTCTGCTTGCTTGTGATGAGAATAGGGAGCCGACCAGTCGTGTCGGAACAAGGTCCTTGTATCAGGCGATCAACCTAGTCATCGAGGCGAAGTGGGAATGCCAGGGTGAATGGATGAATAGAGATGAATAGGGCTATTGATACAAGTCGGAAGATGGTGAATCGGCTTGGGTGATGTGATGAATGTGATTGAAGCCCAGTAAATGGAAGCTGAATAGAACGAGTGAACAAAGAAAGAAACAGCTTCACGCTCGAGTCACGAGACAATACAGAAAAGGAAAGAAAAAAGAGATATTAGAATATTACTCGACACTCTCGGGACAAGAGCGAATAGATGGAGGCAGGGGGCGTGAGAGGGGGTGGGAAGGGTATAAGAGAGAAGAGCGAAGAAGGGGCAGAGAGAGCCAAGAGACTGCCAGTGTCACGAAACCAATCCAACAAGCCATGGACGCCTCGAGTTTTATGAAAGCGCACCAGGCGACCCAGATGTGGCCATCTCGATCCGAACGGCCGCGTCGCAGACACGACCTGCAGCCTCAGTCATTGGGGGAGAAGTCGCTCCACGACGCCGCTTCACAGTCGAGCATTTCCCCATTTCTCCCATTTCTACCCCTCCGAATCGCTCCTCGCGTTCCAGCGCACCGTGCCCACATGCGAAGGTAGCCCCAAATAAGGCATTCCATGAGAGGGCCCGGTCTATTCACTTTCAATGGCCGAGACGGGTCGACGGGCATTTCCAGGCTGGAGGGATTGCATGATGCGTCGACGAGTGGGAGGACAGGAAGAGGTGGTCAAGCGCTGGGCCTGATCCACCCAAAGTATGAACTAGGCGCCTGGCAGGGTGCAGGAGCCCCACGATTGGCTGCTCCTTGGGTTCTTGTCGCCGGCCACGATCAATGCGCTCTCATTGGTCGCTTATCGCGTACATGCAGACCAGACAGGCAAGAACAGCACGGCCGGGGGACGCCACCTTAAAGAGTAGGAGCGGGTCCACCACCGTCCATGGATCTTTCCCGGATCACGCTGCTGCCCGGGAAAGATCCATGGACGTTCCATCTTGTCTCGAATTCCACGCCTGTATTGTGAAAGGAAAGGGAAACAAAATTAGAATAAAATAAGAACATAAATTTTTATAGAGAGAGAGAGAGAGAGTATGAGAGATAACGATAAAATGAAATAAAATAAAAATAAAAATAAAAATAAAAAGGCAATTTACCACTCAACATGCGTCCTCCGTGTCGCCAAGTCTGAAGAAAGGGACGAGACACACAACACAATACTCAAGCCCTGACAGTGACACGAACCCAAGCCCGAGCCGAGCTTTTCTATCGCCGCCGTTAAGCGCCCGGGCATGCGCGTCTTCCAATCTTCCCCACAACCGAGGATTCGGTCCTACCTCTATCAAAATCTTCAAGGACGGTGAGCTGTGTCTCCCCGCTAGGGTCATTCAAGACTCAAGGACGTGCATATGCTGCACCCGGATCTACATCTCAGGCGAGGCGTATGGACACGACATCGTTTGAAAGATATTGCTGAATTGATCATACGAAAGTAAGTAAGCCCGCCTATGAACCGTATCGCTCAAGTCGATAATATATCAGACTCCCCTCAACTTCGACTGACACCCGTGAACTGTTCTACCCATTTGATTCCCGAGTGTCTTCCTTGTGCACCCCTCGTCCCCATGCCCCTGCCCCCTGCCCCCAGTCCCCTGGACAGAGCTAGGGAGGCGACACCTTTGTTTGTCGCTAGCCCAAGCGTAGGTTGTCCTTTGCCGCGCAGCCTCCCGCGCGCCTCGCCATCTCACCGATGTGCACTTTGCACTTTTAGAGTGCACTCGAACACTGCTCATCGCCATCCATAGTAAAATCAACATTGGGATTCGATATAACCGGACACTTTCACTGAGAGGTCTTGGTCCCCAAGTTCTAGTAGCTCAGCCGCGGACGGGAGTGCCTGTAGTAGGAAGTAGACGCATTGGATGTCCCGAAATCAAAAGTCACAAGTGCCTGTGTTATTACGCAAATATGGGTTCCGCTACACCTCTATATTTGATGACAGCTATGGGATTAGGTGTATATAGGAGTGCCTTTTTAGTCGTACAAACCGTTAAATCTCTCCTAGAGCAATTTCTCATTCCACTATTCCACCCTTCCCTTCAGAGGATGCTTATGCCGCATGCCTTTGCCGCATGCCTTGTCAGGTATTCGGATCTGGAGATACCATCGTACACCTCAGACTAAGGTCTACTCTTATAATACCAGGGTTTAGTAAGTTTGGGTTTGCCCTTCGCGGCAAAACTGCTGTCATCCATGGATGAACTCCTGCTCTCAACCGCTCAATATTTACATGCTGGATGGATCAATAAAAGGCAAGGCATGAAGACCACCCTCTTCGAAGCAGGCAGGCCTAAGTTTCTAACTAAGGCAGTAAGTAGATCGGGGGCTGCTGGGCCGTCGTATAGAACGGATTTAACACAGCTATCACTATTCACGGGGCACCCACGGTGACATCTAGGTTGAAAAGTAGCGCCCTGCTCAAGAGTTAGGCTGTTGAACAGTACATAGCTAAGGAAGTTGTAAATACTCCGGTTTTGGCCCTATCAACTTGATCTCTCTCTTATATCTCGTTTTCTTTTTACTTGGCCGAGTTGGTATGCTGGCTCAAATCTACCTCTCGAGACAGTAATGTAAGTAGCAAAGCTCCAGTTAACGCATGGCCAAAGCCGAGGCCAATATATTTGCTTCCCTATGTCTCGGCTATTCAGGGAGACTTCTGGTAAAATTCGAGGCCAGCTGACTGAACATTGAAGTTTGCGGAAAGGGGACTCACAGGGTTGCGCAGGCCGAGTTCATCGGTAATGCTCTCTCTCCTTGCAAGCCCTCGTCCTCACTTCTACTATGATCACCTATTCGCCTTTAAACCAAATCCTCTTTGCTAGGCTTCAGCTTGTCGAGATATTTGTTTTAGTATGGAGAGATATCCGGGGCTAACTTGAGAAAAGATGCCGGATTCGAAGACTGTTCTTGGATGGACCGATGATGGCCACCTTGCACTTTATACCATACGTTGGGTTAACCCTATACAGAAAATAGACATCTGTAGATGGATGTAAGTGGAGTCTCTAAGAGTCTCGATCACTCTATTTGCTGTGTTAGCCTTTCAAGAACTGTCACTTGTAGCCCTTCAGGCCTTTGCCCAAGGGACACATGTTGCTATCCCACGCCAATGAAGTCGGCATTCCCGCTCGGAAGGCTCTCCGTCGCGTGAGGCTTCGCCATCCAGCTGCATTTACATACAGGGATCTATTATATGTTAAAGTTATACTCAGCAACAAGAGAGTGGAGGGGTTTCGAAGCAGATAGGTGTTTGGTCGATGGAGGGGGACACACACCATCGAGAGGACATCTTTAGCCACATATTCATCTGTTCAAGGGAACATATGGAAGAGGATGAAGCGCCTCTATGGACAGCCAAATAAGCGAAGCGTGGCGCCCCCTTGTTATTTTCAATGTGTAGATACGCTGTGAAAATCGATTTTCAACCCTCAAAGGCGAGAAGATGATGCATCGCTCTAACCAAATAGGTAGCCTACAGGCAACCTTCGTGGCCTGTCCTTCGCTGGCCACACATCCATTTCCTCCATTCAGAATAGCTGAGCATTTACGCCACAAAGTTTGCCCTCCTCCCGCCGAGACTGTCTTCTCTTCAGAGCAACCGACAAGGGATGCCAAGGGACCTAGCGGCGGTTCATAGATTCAGTTTTCGTCACATAGGGTTCAGGCAAGAACTCGGCTAGGCAGACCCTTCCTGCCCGCACTTCTGGGTGATTCTGTGAGACAATACTATGGATTCTCCTTGAACCTGAGTTCTGGAAGCCAGGTATCGTGAGGAACTACCTCTATTACGATACGTCAATATAGGCGGCAAAGGGTCATCTGTGGCTAGCGTAGTACCGGTGATAGTAGGCCAAATGGCTCGTCTGCGTAGAGTCTTGTCGGTCCACCATGAAGGTGAGGAACAAGACCAAACGTTGGCGGGAGGAGGATGGGCTCAAGAGCTCATATTGGGAGGCAATTGAAGTAACACTCAATTAGTTGGCGAAACTGCGGTAGGGAAAATGTAGACCAGACAAGCACGAGGGCAGGGACCACCAGACGCTCTTTCCAAACATGGATCAATGAAGTATTACAAGCACAGATACAGGCTGCGTGGTTTGATGCTCCGTGACAAGGATCGACTCTAGCCTCTTCTCCCACGCAACGCCATGTTTCTCCCTGGCGTAAGTTCAGTCTATGGATCTATCCATTGTTTGCAGAAGTATGCTGTAAAGCTCGACTTTGACAGGGCGACTGCGTGGATGGCGCGTTCGACGTCGGGGTACCCCTAGATATAGTGGAGTGGTGAGAGAGAAAGACCCATGGACCTACCTATCTCTTATGGATCAATTGACAATTGATAAGTGGACCCGCAACGTGCATCCGCCTCCACTCGAAGTGACAATCTTCAATGTTGAATGAGCCCGAGGAGAAAAAAGACGCGTTGCCTAGCCATTAGAGCCACTTTTGATGACGCAGCTCCCCATCTACAGGGTATCCGGATAGTACACAGGTAGTAGTGTGCACTCCACGGCCAAAATTTCACCTAAGACACTCTTCAGAAGTACATGTGTTCTCGAGATCTTCAAGGGTGCGTGTGGTGATGATCTTGATACGCCCAACCGCGAGATGAGCTGAACGGAATCAAGAGGAACGGAAGCATGGCTGGCGCCGCCCTCACAGAGCTTCGACAGGGGGAGGGAGTTCGGCTCGGTGCTGTCCTTACTGCATGTATTATTATTAGATCGACATTGATCCTCGAGCCACCCAGCAAGCAACGCGCTAACCTTGTTCAAGTCGACAAAGGCGAGCCAGGGTGCTGGAAAGGGAATTTCACTGTTCAGACCCGGAAAAAAAAATTTGAACGTCAAATTTGGCTTCGATGGCGTCTTGAATTCTCTGACCCAGATTGCAACGGTGCCGGACGTGGGTCGCGGTTTGACCAATGATAAGCGGCCGGTTTCAATAGGAAGGATCGAAATAGGGGCTTCATGGCGCCCAGGGTATGGACGGGAAGTCGAGGAAGCATTGTCTACAAGTATTGACAAGTCGCAATATCCATGGATTTATCTCGAGTGCTCAGCATACACTATGGATCTGTCGCGCCTGCGTGTCTGCGCGCCTGCGCGGGAAAGAAACAATACGTAGCGTTTTGGAGATTGAAAATCCGAAATTTGATCATCACTGCCTGTCGTCTCTCAGTCAGAACGTTGAAACGGAAGCTCAAGTGCTCAGTCGAGGGCCTCTAGCCCGGTCATGTACGCTAGTGTGCTTCAAATAAACCCTGAAACTTGCAAGGCGTTGTGAGCACTTGAGGTGCATCGATGAGATGACGAGGTGAGGCTTTCCGTACCGGCTCCTGTTTCCGCCTTTCTTCCAACAGACAATTTCGATCTGCGGCCTGGGCTGAACGAGGCCTTGTCAGTTTCGACGCCAACAAGAACAAAGGACAGCTCTTGGGACTTGTTCATACTCTCTCTGCCGCAGATCCCATCTTGGTCCTGGGAGAGACTTGTTGAGGAGCAAGCCTTTGAAAGAAGGAAAAATAACAAGAGAAAAAAAAAAAAAAAAGAAAAAAAAAGGCAAAAAAGGCAAAAAAGGCAAAAAAGGCACGTACACACACGCACACAATCACACACATCTGGACCAAGATAGTGGCCACTTTGCAAAAGTCGATTCAGTACCACGAGCTGGCGAGGTGCCAAAGTCACCGTTTATTTTTTTCTTCTTTCCTTCTTTCTCACCTTCCTTTTTCCTCCCGCTTGCAACGCTGTTCCTGAAACCTGCTCTAGAATGTCTCTCGATCAATGTCGCCCGCTCGCACTACTTCGTACAACGGAGGTGGCGTAGGCTGTGAAAGCGGGAAGGTGTAATTACATGTAGAGATGGAAGCGAATTTGGTCTCGCTTACCTTGCACGTCGAGTGAAGCCAGCCACAGCAAGCTGGTCTATTTTCCCATGCCTCACGCCTCTCTCTCTCCCGGTGCGAGTGCGTGGCAATTTACAACTCCACCGATGCCAGCATTCCAGCAATCCATGAGCAACTTGGCTGGCTTCGACGGAAAGCAGTTCGCAGGAGATGCGCGTGGCAATCAATGCAGTTCTTCGTAGATCCATGGGTGCATCCCTCGATACCGATACCGAGTAAACGTCCACGTTGGAGTGTGGGTGATAATATAACTGCCCGCGGCTTGCATCGATCTGCCGTCGCTCTGTAAATTACCTTTGTCGAAATTCTTGGCAACCCTCTCCTGGGGGCCACATCTCGGTCATCAATTGGTCAATCTCGCTGTTCCCCTTTGAGAGCTGTGCCACCGCAAAGTATTCCCTTCTCACTCACGCTGGCCATTCGCAGTCGGTTCTAGTGGATCCTGCGTGGTCCATCAGCCAAGAGTTGATCAACGAACGTATTCTAGTGTCAACGGTGACCATCAAAATTCGCCAATGGATCAATCTCTCATTTACAGCAATCTGGCCCGTCCAATTGCGGGCGGGCGTCCATTTATGGATACCAATGTGGACCTACCGCGCGCTTTTCTTTGCCCTATTTGGTAGTTTTCTTTTTTCTTCTTCGTTTTCTTTTGACACTGCTCGTGGTCGACGCTTCTTGAAACAAATGGCCCCGCCATCAACTCTTGGACTTCGATGTAGCTGGAGCAAGTGAAAAGGGTAAAAGGGTGGGGTTGGGCTGATTGATTAATTAATTCGCGCTTGTTCCTTGGTTCCTCCCCTTCAACGTCCATGCAATTGATCACTCCTTCGGCGAATAGCCACACGGCCTACTTGATTGGATTCCCGAAGCCGTAAAGACCGTCAAATGTTCACGGAGCGCTGTAATCTCAATCTAATCTCCTTGTCGTTGTGCTCCAGTGTGCTGATTCTTATATACAATATGATCATTGATGATTGCATCGAAGAAGGAGCACTGAAACACGCCCTCGATAGTCCCAGAAACGGTTGTGTAGTTTAATATTGCCCTCTGAAATAGGTCTATTGCTTTCTTTGGGAAACGGAATGCGAACATCGCCTTCCGGGCTCCCCAATTTCATTCTGCTCTGCCTTCCTGCATCTCGAAGATCCAGACACCCCTATTTCCTCAACGTAAGGGGCTAACCGCCAAAAGGTGCAAACCTTGCCATCTTTGCTTGCAATCAATCTCCTTTTCCTGTCTGTATCACTTCTTCCTCCTCCTCTTCTTCTCTCCTCTATTATTACCCATTCATCTCCTGTAATATCTCGCCCCTCGATTGCACCTCCCTCTACGCCTTGTTTATTCGAGCACTCAACTTCGTGGAAAGCCATTCGCTTGTGCATCTTGACAAAGGAAAGCACTCCCTATTATTACTCCATCTCTTCGGTTACCCGCACGGCCAAGACACGCTCGTCTTGTTCGTCTCAGTCATCGCGATAAGGACGGCTACTCCCCCGGTCCCTAGATCTGACTTTCCCAATACGAACATCCCTAGCGCCAAAACAACACCAATCCCTCGGTGATACGAGAAAACAAAGAACATTGAAGGGTCGCCGTTGACTGCCATCCGTCTGCCATTCCAACGTCGCACCTGCACCTGTCCCCTCCCTGCACCAAGCCAGCCGCTTGGGTGTCCGAGCTGTCACTGCCATCCTGCACCGCGGTGCTTTCTCGAGAGTGGACCGGCGGGCGCCCCACGACAGCGTCGGACGTCTGAGCCCCTGAAGAGACTGCGACCGGAGGACAGCCCCTTGGGCAACGTGAACGGAACATTGAGTGTACCCCTGTCGGGGTTTTTAGTCCGCTTCAATTGGCGGCACTTGGTACGAACCCACCACGGTGCTACTTGGGCAAATAAGGGGTCCCGGGCAATCCCAGACGAAATTTGGGTCCCATTTGAACTCTAAAAAGAAGGGAAGAAGAGAAATAAAGAAAAGAAAAGGAAGAAAAACGTCGCAAGCAGCATCCACTAACCAACTCAGCACAGCGGCTATTGCTTGAAACGGTGGCAATTACGGCTCGAACTGATCAATCCCTTGTGGAAGGCGACTCCCACTCAGCATCGACCTGAACTCTCCGCTTCGGGAAAGGGCCAAACTGAATCGACAAAACAAAACGTGCAAAAACGGGCCAAGAAACTCAACCTGCAGAAGGAGAAGGAGCAAGGGGCAACCGAGAAAAAAGGAGATAAGGGGGTCCAAAAAAAAAAAGAAGAAAAAGAAACCCGAGAATCATACCAAGGAATATTATTATTAGGAAAAGACTCGGAAACCAGACGGGACATTATCAGTTCATGCCCCATAAATCTTTTGCTAGTGGGCTTTTCGTCACCTCAAAAACCAGCAACCGCAATCCGCGAAACTTCAGACAAGGAACGGACACCTTCTCGACACGCACTCGCGCGCAACATTGTCTTTCCCAGCCATCCTCTCTCCCTTCTTTTCCACCCCCGCCGCCCCTTCTTCCGTACCCACACAGACACAGACACGAAACCCCGACGCAGCACCGATACGGCCAGCCTGAACACCCGGTCCGTATTGACCGAGTAATAGCTCCCCACCCTGTCGAGGCGTCCGCCCCCAAACCCTCGGCCTCCCACCAACGGAAACCGTCTAGCGTGCTGGTTCCAGTGTGGCCTTTTCGAATGCCAGCCTGGTCCTCTCCCGCTTCTTCGAGCAAATTTTCCAAACTGGCGTCCTCACAGGAAACAGGAGTGGCTTCCACTTCTTCCTTCAACGATCGCAAAGCGAAATCCCACCATCGCCGGCGCTCGTCCATCTCCATTGGCGTACCTGCCGCTGGTCCCCTTCCTGACCAGAAGCGGTCGTATCTCACTGTCGACTCTCTCCCTCCCATCCCCGGTAAGTACCCAACTGTCTCGAAACATTCTAAGACATTGTCGCTCCGCCCTCGCCGTCCCTCCCAACCGCCGTCTTATTCTTCGCGTCTTGGGCCCATTTCTTTGCCTTGGGGTGGTGTATCCGCTCTTTTCCGCTCTCCTTTCCCCGTTCTTTTCGTTTCGCCTCTCGCCCTTCTTCCTATTCCTTAGACACTCCCTCCATGGGCACTAGGCGGTCTTGCTGCGTCGCGAAGCAGGTGTCGTACTCGAGCTCGAAGCCGCTCCCTCGCTTGCGCTTCCACCCTTCTCAACCTCAGCTCTCGCCTAAATTCATATCCTCTTCTCGTTAGCGCCGTATCCATGCATCGGCAAACACCTACACTCGCGGTAGCGGAGAAATGGAGGAGCCGAGAGTCGAGAGGCGGGAAGACGAGTTACCACACCTTGTGCAACCTGCTCTCATATCCGCGGGTGTTCCCGTTCAACAATCTGACCGGCTGGAAGCACAATCACAATCCACCACCCCCTTTACTAACCTTTCTCCCCTTACTCCAGGCACGCCGACCACACACATGTCGATGTCGCGGAGCCCCTCCCCGGCCCTGGGAGGTGGCGGCTGGTCTAGCCCCGGCCTTCATACACCCAGTGGACCACCGAGTCCTGCATCTGGCACCTTCGTGGCTCCTGAATCTTGGAATGCCGGTCGCGTAGGCTCCTCGACTCTACATCCTCCCTCGGTCACGAGAAATCGTGGCTTCTTCAGTCGCCATATCCGCAAGATCTCAAGCAGCCTACCGCAGTTTCGACCCGATCCCCGCGCATTCTCCCAGAAGGAGAAACCGATCCACAGTCAATGGTCACCACATGGCTTCAAGCCAGTGCTCATCATGAAGAACATATTATCACGTATGAGCCGGAAACTCAAGCTACGACTGCTATTGGCCTTGGTCATTCTTGGCCTTGTGCTCATATGGAACTTCTCACGTATGTGCAGCCGCCGCCCTGCAGCCTAACTGCTTCTAGTCCGATGAGTGGCTGTGCACTAACATAATTCTTCTTCCTTCTCCCCCTTCTACAGCCCTATCCTACTACGTTCGACGATCCGAAGTGCTCGGTGGCGGCAAAAGTTTGTCATTGTTCTCGGTGCCAACGTGGGCGGCGGTGTCATGGACTGGAAGGGCGCCCGCGAATGGGCTATCGAGCGGGACAGCGTACGCAACAAAGAAGTACGTAGCCAGGTGGGGCTACGAATTGGAAATCGTCGACATGCGCAAGCGAAACGATACGCCCACGAGTGGCGCGAAGGCTGGCAAAAGGTTGACTATATGCGCCAAGCAATGCGCAAGTACCCTGACGCCGAATGGTGAGTACACGATGTTTTCAGTAAGGGAGGGTTCTTGGTTGCACCTGTCCAGCTAACCAAAAGAACAGGTTTTGGTGGTTGGATCTTAACACGTTTATAATGGAGCCCAGCTACTCTCTCCAGGACCACATCTTTAACAATCTCGAGAAGCACGTGTACCGAGATATCAACGAGTATAACCCGTTGAATATCTCTCATCCTCTGACCGAGAGGCACCTAAGTGACGTCGATCGAAGCCCCGTCGGTGACGGCAACCCCGACTCGATAAACCTTGTCCTGGCCCAAGACTGCTCCGGCTTCAACCTCGGATCTTTCATGATGCGCCGCAGTGACTGGTCCATGCAGCTCCTCGATGTCTGGTGGGACCCTGTTGCTTACGAGCAGCGCCACATGAGCTGGGAGCATGCGGAACAGGATGCCCTTGAACAACTATACACAACCCAGGCCTGGGTGCGGAAGCACACGGCGTTCCTGCCCCAGCGAAAGATTAATAGCTTCCCTCCAGGCGCGTGCGCCGATAACGGGATCAACGAGCGATATCACTACGACCAAAAGGACCGCGACTTCCTCATGAATATGGCAGGTTGCGAGTGGGGCCGGGATTGCTGGGGTGAGATGTACAACTATCGCGAGCTCAGCTATTACCTCAACAGGAACCCATGGGAAAGGTTCAAGGAAGACCTCATAGCCGTAGTATGGTTCAAGCTCACCGGCCAAAAGGTCAAGCTTTGATCACCCTGTCTTGAACCGCGCCACGACCCTCGGGATGGGGCCGCATATTCTTCGCCCTGGGCATTGGTGGCCAATGCCCGGGCGGACAATGGTGTACCCTTCCTCATTCTTCGCTAACCGCCTCGGCCGACTGTCGCTTGCTCGCCAAGTGCTGTTCGAGAGCCACTCGGTTTACGGTTTTGTTCAGGTCATCTTGCTCCTGAATCAGACGCTTCTCTCCACCATGTGAATCTGCCGGGGCACCTTCGCAGTCAGCTTTCTTGTTTCTTTCTTCGCTACCTTGCTCGCCTCTCTTGCATTCCAGTTCTTTGTCCCTTGACTACATGTTGGGTCAATACCAAGACAAGATGAGAGAGCTCGCCCACCGTTTTTCTTCTTTTTCTTCCGGTTCACCTCCACCTCGGAGCAATCATTTTTGGCGCTTGTTTCCCCCAAAATACCCAACCCGCACGCGAAAGAGTTTACGATGACGGGATAACGCCTATCGATTCGAACACCTCGATGCATCCACATGATTAGAAACGTACGACGACAGCATCAGCATCCATGACACGAGGGATAAAGAGGCCCGGTGCCACGGTGCATAATAATGCCTATCTAGCCTCCGGCCTGACATAGTTGTTTTTCTTCCAAAGAATGGACCTCTCGGCCGGAGTGCTCTCCCTTTCCCCTTGCCCATTTTCTAATGCTTCGCTTCTTCTGGAATATCATAGGGATGGGAACTTACCTCTGGATTTTTTTCTCTTTTTCTTTTTCTTCTTCTTTCTTTGTCCTTCCTTTTAAGGCATAGACTTTTGTCGTTTTCATTCTCCGCCAGATCCTGATAGATATCCAAGATGTCAGCAGGCTATATCCGGTTTTGGCTCATTTGTTTTCTGATCATTGTTTGCCGGTGCAGGCCCTAGACAGGCCGCAGGCGTACGGAGCAAGGCAGAGCGGTATATGTCATTTTCTCCGGACTTTCATGTGCAACCAAGCGATGAGAAGAAGGAGGAGAGAAAAGTGTGTATGAGCTTCAAGAGCGGGTATAAAGGAATAGAAGCATTTCAGAACCCCAAAATATCAGTCCTGTTTGCAAGTGAAGTTATAGTCGTCTACAGAAACACCGTTGCTGTAAAGGGAGCCAGTATGCTCAGCTCGATTTGGCAAACAAAGTATTAAGGCGTGCTCAAGGCATTGGAAAGGGGGCTGGCTTGCGGGTGAAGAGCAAGAATCGCAACTTTGAGAAAGAAGAAGCAGAGGCAATAAAGCAAAGAGACAAGGATGGATGGGCCGGGGACGGAATGGAGGATGCATTAATAGCCCTGTCACGACTTGTCAGGAGCAGAACCATTTCGCTGGCCGTATCCGGATAACTCGGCTGACCAGGGCTATCGAGCATCCCACGAATGTCACATGCCGAACGGGCCGAGCCGTTCACCTTGGACGGTGCGCTAGGGGAAAATGGCAGATGCGAAGAGAGCAAGAGAAAGAAGGAGAAGAAAGAAGTTTTCCTTGATATGGTGGAAACTCTGCCATGCTCTTGAAGAGGATGGGGAAACATGTGAAGAGTTGGACTGTAGGACATGAGGTGTATACTGATTGGGTGGGAACCATAGGAGGGGGTTGAGACTTCAGAGAACGAGGAAACGCCAGCTCTGGGTTGGTTTTCTCCTCTGTTTTATCTCGCTTGACTCGGGCTCTAGATTTCTAAATCCAAGTCTTGTGAGCGTAGGAAGAGTCCCTCCTCTGGTTGTTGCATTGCCTATGGCCATCTCGCCCCCAGATTATCCCACTCCCAGGGGGAATACCATACCTAGGCAGGTGAATTTTATGAGCGAAGAATATTGGAAAGGACTTGATAAGAGCACATGTCGAGGGTGTAAAAGTGTGCATTCTCAGAAGGTTCCGGTTCTTTACAGACAGCTCGCGCATGCCCGCGGCGAACTTTCGGAGAGAGCCAGGAGCACTCGGAACGTACAGTGTTCGGTCGCGTCGCGTCCACCTAAATCGGCACACCTACGAATTCATGGATGGATGGTAGAAGGACAGGCGAGGGAGTTGGGATATGCACTTGAGGTTTGGTGCGCCGGAGAACCGCGAGAGCAGTGGGAGCGACGAGGCGAATGCCGCGCTGCCGTGAGCACCCTTGCGAGGCTTTCATGTTCCGACATAGCGTACTTTTGGTTCCGTGATGCGGGTGGTAGGCCTAACTCCACTGCCTACTTCTCAGATGGGGACATAAGGAGGGGGTAGGAAAGGAAGGACGAGGTTTCTAGGCACCAGCTTCGCGAGAGAGAAGGTATACTGCAGGTTGGTGACCATGAAGCCGTCGATGTCAACATGGATCAATAGCTATTCTTCGTCCAGCCCCCAAGGAAGCCATGGCAGGTCCTGGGGTTTTCATTAGTCTGAGAGAGGCCTAGCTTGGGCCTGATTACCCTCTCGCTAGATTAATGGAGCCAAGCGATTGAGAAGAGAGTGAACGGTAGCTAGAATCGCTCGAGGCTTTGGCACTGACTAGAACCCGCCAGCTTGACAGCATGCATGAGAGGGCCTAGGATCATCCAACTGTATCAAGGACAAGGTAAAGGAACTTCAAACAGAATTCTCGATGTCTAGCTTGGCGAGCTAAGGGTGTTCTAGGTGGTGCTTCTCCATTATGGCATAGCAATATCCATCACTATGGTGTAAATGTCCGGTCTATATGGTGTAGCAGACTTGCCTTTCTTCCCTCCTCGCCCCCTTATAGTTGTCTAGACATAGCTTAAATATACGCTAGCATCAAGGGCCCCGGGCCACCAGGTTGATCTATCTATAAGTTTGCATCCCTAAGAAAAGTTACGAGTGAACGTAAAACTGCGCACAAAGCGACCGTGCGACTAACAAGATGCAGGCAACTTGCGCCGTCTAGCCTGTCGAGATTTCTCAGATGGACATGGCACCCTGCATGCATAAACATACCCGCCGCCTCTCAATGCCTTGCCGGATTCTGAGAGGGTGCGAAGAAAAAGCAACGACAAAAGAAGATTGACGCCAAAGAGAAAAAAGGTCGACGGGAAGCCACCGGCACATCGGACCCTGCAGTCGGGAATGTGCATTTCTTTTCTTTCTCGATGTCACCGGCGAGGTCGCATGATCTGCGAATGGCTTGACCAAACGAAGCTGCAGAACTAGCTGTGGCTTCCCTAGGAAATATGCAGGGCAAAAAGAGAATAACTTGAAGTGGAGGGAACGCGGGAGAGGCGCTTTTAGCTAAACTGGAGAGGCGTCAAAAACTTTTTCTTCGTCGCCCTCCATCAGCTGCCAATTGCCCCGCCAAAGGCGACCAAGTTCGAGGCATTCTTCCCAACCTCATTTTCACAGCTGGGATCGATCGCACCAAACCCCTACAGCGCATACACCGAGGCATTATCCTCTTCGTTCGGGAAGAAGACAACTCCAATATTCTCTCTCGCCATCTTTCATCGGGCACCCGTTGCTATCCTGTCGCGCCCCTCCCCTTTCCCTTGCGCCCGACCAGCTTGCCCCGCTTCACCCACCCGCCATGTCCTTCGCATTCTCCTTTAGCGGCGACGACATAGAAGACACGCACGACGATGCCTCCCAAGAAGTCGCCGGCGCCCAGCAGCCCGGCCCCGCCAGCGGCTCGCTCGCCGCCCTCCGGACCGACCACCAAGCGCAGGGCAACAGCAGCGCTTTCCCCATCGAGGGCAAGCCCCAGCTAGCCCCCAACGCCACAGCGCAGACGACATGTTGGCCCTCTTGCCCTCCAAGGTCGCCTACGACCTGCTCAGCGTCGCGCTAGAGGACGGCAAGGAGCTGAGTCTGCCTCGGAGAGCTGTGGGACGTGCGCGTCCAGCTCATGGCCGAGGACGACGGCTCCGGCCGGGCGACCGAGGGGCTCGGCGCCCATGACGTAAAGACGGGCGTGTACGAGGGCGGCTTCAAGAGCTGGGAAAGCAGCGTGGATCTCGTCAAGGTTCTGGCGACCCGCGACTTTGGCCGAGGCGATCGCGGACAGCCTCTCCATGTAATCGAGGTAGGTTGAAACCGGAACGGCGTCCCAGCTTCCCTTTGCCTGCGGCTGGATTTGGTTCCACTTCCAAGTTTTCTCTTCACTTGTCTTTTTTTTTTTTTGGGGGAGTTGTGTTTCTTTTTTTCTTTCTTTTTTTTTCTTCATCTTTGATCATTCGCCCCCTTCCTATCTAATATCGGGACACCTGTAAACTGACGCCGTAAACCTGTTTTGTCTCCCTTTTGCCGCCCCCGTTATAGCTCGGTTGCGGAACTGCGCTCCCTTCTTTAGCCATCTTCCAACAGACCCTGTTAGAGAGGATGGCGTCTACCGATGAGGCCTCGACCGCGCCGGCCCTCTACGTCACCGTAGCAGACTACAATCCCACCGTGCTCCAGCTCGTGACGCTGCCCAATTTCATCCTTACCTGGGCGCTCTTGTGCAAGGAGACCGACCCGGCGCTCGCGGACGCCTTCTCAATGGAGGACGAGCTCGAGTTGACCGACGAGGTCAAAGAGGGCTTTTGCCGCGCTCTCTCCGCTGCCAACATCCACCTCTCCTGGCTCTCCGGGGGCTGGTCTAGTGAGTTCGTGGATCTCCTCTACGCCGCCGCGGACGGGCGCAGCCTCCCCGCGCCGCTTACCACCCTGGTCCTCGGCGCCGAAACCATCTACTCTCCCTTTGCGCTGCGCGCCTTCTACGACACCCTCGTGGACATCATACAAAGGAGCGCCAGGCGAGACCCGGCTCCGACGCTCAGGCCCTCGTCGGCGCGAAGAGGCACTACTTTGGCGTCGGCGGCTCCCTCGACGATTTCGTCGGCCTGGCGCGGGACGGCGGGTTTGCCGTCGAGCAACTCGCGGAAGAGACGGAGGGTGTTAGAAGAGGCGTTGTACAATGCACATTGGCCGCGCAATCCAAGGGATAAAGGGACGGGGGAAAGGGCTGGAAAAAAGAGAAAAATGAAAAATCGGGCAAAGATTAGCAGGTGATGGCGCGCGGCAAGCCGTTCACGACCCTCCTTCCGGGCGATCCCTTCCTCGGCTCTCTTCACCTGTGGAAGAAGTTCGTCGCGAGCCCGGCTGATGAGTCGAGGGACGGGACGCGCGAATGTGGAAAGATAAGAGCGAGAGGGAGGGGGTGACTGAGGCCAGCGCAAACTCCCCTATTTCCTAAGAGACGGGGAAAAACGAGTAAAAGAAACCTAAAAAAGATGAGAAGCTACATGGAGAAGAGATGGAAGGGACCTGGATGTCAACCTCCCGCTACCGGCAATGGACGTTGTCGAACTCTGAGGGTCTGGCCCTATTTAGGCTTTGCAGCAGAAAAGGGCATTGAACCTGGGAACATGTTCTAGAAAATCAAGCTCACGATGCAGCTCTCTCTTTGGACAAACCCGATTGGCATCCCGGGATGTGCGTTTCAAGTTCTCTTCTGCCATCAACGTCGTGCGTATCAAACTGTTTGTGCCTTGGTTTGCCAAGACCCTTTTCAAAGCCCCCACCCACGCAAGTGCAGCGCGAAGGAGGTGGGAGGTGGAGGTGCATGTGGGAGAAGTGCGGAAGAAACATTCATTGCATGCACTCGTCTGTTTCTCCCGTCTGTGTGGCGTGTCTCCATTCTGTACATGTAATCGTGAGAAACACAATCCATCGCAACACGGAATAGCCGATTCTCAGGCTTGTCGCAGAAGGCGACTCGTCTTCGCCTCTCGTGGGAGCCCACAAGGGCAAAACTCTGGGTGAACGGAGCGGGAAAGGAAACTGCCTTGAGTAACTTGTTGTCTTTGCCGGCAGCGTGGCATTTGCTAGAACAACATGAGAACCTTGTGCCCATCAGTAGCACCCAACGGTTCTGCGGTTTTAGGAGCAAGAAGGTTAGGCGGCAGGGGACTTGCCTTGCTCAGGGGACTTGCTTCTTTTTCTCTGTTTCATTTCATTTCCCTACAAAATTCCCTAATTCGTTGTCAAGCCTACAGGCGATGTGTGGCTTGCAGGCACCATCAGTCCCAAAGATCGAGACAAGACAACAATGGAAGTTTCTTCGATCAAGACCACTGCACTAGTAGATGTTCCATCCTCCCCGCACGCTTGGTCTGGTCTGCATATCCATCCTCAATTGATGGTGGATCTATTATTGTCTCGCCCAGGTGACGAGTCCGCCGAGTTTCCTGTCAACGCGAGTGTGAAAACTTTTTTCCGACACTGCCCACAGGTTCCGGCCAGATCGGGAAGGCGTTGTTGAGACTGGTGACACGCTATTAGCTGGGCTTGTCAATTTAGAGGGGCGAATATCTAGTGTACATGCGCAAGGAAAGTGACAGGAGAGCACCATCAAAGGCTCAATGCGGGCGAAAAGGGGCCCTGTCGTTAACAAAGTGGACGCTAATTCCTCTGTCAACTACGGATTCCGTTGACCTGCGCCAGCCGGGACTCGAATTGATACTGCCGTGACTCGTCGGACAGCGTCTTGCAATTTCACAAGACCACTACCAGTCCTCGATCAGCGATAAGATAGGCGACTCGAGAGATCGGGGGCGAGCACGGTAGCAGCAGCAGCAGCGGTGATCCAAGAAGAAGAAGGATGCCGAGAAAAGCAAGCCACACCTGCAGCCTAGCAGACCAAATTGATCCTTGTTCTTCTCGTGGCGGCTTCTACGGGGTACTTTGCACTGCAGGTGGATGAGCCAACTGGTCCCCTTGGGTGGGGTCTCCCCCTTGCCCCCTTCAAAGGGCGTGCTGTTGTGTCTTCTTCCCTGGTGTCTCTCGTTGGCGGCCGCGCCAATCAGGTAAGAGAGCAAGGGGTGATCAGAGCTCCTATAAGCGCACTGGCACAAAGGTCACCATCCATGTCAATGGCTACACTCTGTGTTCTTGACAGTGGACATTGAGACGACCTTGTTTTGCCTTGTCTTTCTTTGCCTCTTAATTAATACACTGGTATTTTTCCTCGTGGATCGCAATGTTAGGGCCATCAAAGACAAGATCGCCTTCTCGAGACACACTGATCGCCCAAGGTTATTCTCCAAGGTTCAATGGGCTTCAGCAATCCCTACCTCGGTACACCTCTGCTACTCGCGCCCGCCCTCATTTTTTATACCTCGACTCTTCGGATGGAAACGCAAGGAATTGATCCCGTATCCAAATTCCCAAAGCCTCTGCAAAATGGGTGGGGATGCTTCCAGGCAGAGAGGCGTGGAATCCTGAATGGTTTTAGTGCGCTTTTGTGGTCACACTCCCTCGCTCGTAAACTGCATTCCGACAAGAGGGTGGATTCGTTTCGGGACATTCGGCGGCACTGGGGAAGAAAGAGCGAGGCCCTTGTGCATCATGGCTGAATGCACATCAAGAAACACGAGCAAAGTTGATGGGGCTGGCGGTTGAGTGGGTGTAGGGCCTGGCATGCTGGTCGCAGGAAAAGCTTCGAGCGACATCACCTTCTCTGCCGTGTCGGGAAACCCGCTGCTACTTGATTGCATCCTCCAACTTGCAAATTTGACGTGTTTGGCCAACATCGACGTCAGCGTCTCTGCATCGCAACGCTGCCCTTGCACGACGGGAAACCTGGTTGCCCACCCAATATACTTGTACTTGGACTGGTCGGTCACAGCTGCTGGGTGAGAGCAATGATCCCACACCCGCCGTGCTTGTGCAGGTCGGCGGCTTGATTAATCAATCAGCCAATGTATGCACTTGACCCTTTCTCTCTCCACTCATCGATCGGTGCGTTGTCGTGGTATCCCTTGGGAGCTTCAAGGGCATGCCGGTCGCGGCATCGCGGCAGGTCATGATTAAAACCCTTGAGAGACTTGAGGGCTCAGCTCTCTTTGGGCGATCGGTGATCCCTGGATGGCCTGACCACCCCCAGAACCCAGAACATTACTTGTGCAATGGGTATCACCGTCAAGGAAATCCACTCTTTTTTCTTCTTCCCAATCTCAGAATGGTACCCCACAACCAGGCAGTGGCGGACACTATCCGGTTTGTGCGTAATAATTGCAACAGTCAAAATCTGGATAGGACAATCGCCATGACGTGGAGCCAGGGGTCTTCCATGGAGTGGCGTACGAAACCCCCTACAGGAGTGGAGACTCACTAGTACGACTGTAATGAGTCGAGGCTTGATTAATTTCCCCTGTCTGGCCCCCTCAGGGGCCTAGTGCAGGAACAATGAGGAGTAGCTCAGGGATGCAATAGCGGCCACTCAGATTACATGGAACCCTGAAGTATCAATGTTCCCTTGTTGGCACCAGGACTTCTCAGAATGGCAAGGTACCAAGGCGATACAAGGCGCGAGCAGCCGATCTGTCTGTTATGCGGCCGGAGAAACGCGTCTTGGTCGTACCTTCGCCTGTCAATCATTCCGCTGTTGTCAACCCGTGGAGGCAGGAGCAAGGTACACCTACCCGCGCCGTGATGAAGATGAGGGCTGCCCTGTTCCAGCTCGTCGTGCCTGCCCATCGTGGAGCAAGGCTCGACACCCCCAGACTCTAGGAAAGTCCCTTCCAAGGTCCCGCCCGCTCCCTTCCCTGGCCAACCGCCGGGCCTGTCGAAGGCTCCTGCTATCCCGAAGAAGAAATTAATAGACCTTCCCTCCCATCCCGTTTTCCCGATTTCCTTTTCTACCCCTTCTTCTCCCCCAAAGAGTTCATCCACTATACAATCGTTCTTTTTCTTCAACTTCCTTTCGTCACATTCTCTCAATCGAAATTCTTTACACTTTGAGCATCGACTCGACTAATACTCTTTTTTATTCTCGTAAGTCTGCATCGCTCACCTTGTTTACGGGGCCCTGCTTCGGCTTGTCATAACTGCTCTCCTTTTTTTCTGCTTGTTCTGTTTCAGTGTCACGGCTCCGGCGCATCACCTTGTTGCGCGGCTCCTTGAGTCTCAGATCTCAAAAGGACCGTTGTTAAAAGAGTGAAATACTGACTGGGTCCCCTCTTGTGTCAATACAGAATTCTCTTTTAATCACCCCACCTACCTTCACCTTTCAAAATGAAGTACGCTGCTGTCGTCCTCGCCGCCCTTGCGGCCGCCGTCAACGCTGTCCAGTTCACCAACAGCGTTATTGACCTGAGCCTGGCAAGCCTTTCGAGCTTACCTGGTCTGATGCTTCCGGCGCGGTCACGATTTACCTCAAGAGTGGTCCCAGCACCAACCTAGTAACCGTAGACACCCTCGTCTGTAAGTTTGGCCACTGGTGTGAATGCTGTGGAAAATCGACCGTTCGTGACTGACAAGGCCTCTAGCTGGTGCTACTGGCGACTCCGCTACCATCACCCTTAACCCCGCCGACTATCCCTCTGGCACCTACGCCTTCGAGATTGTCGACTCCTCCGCCGTCCCCAACTACAGCGAGCAGTTCACCTTCCAGGGAACCGGTTCTGCTTCTCAGATTCCCAGTGCCACTGGTTCGACCGCCCGCCCTACCACCACTGCTCCGACCACCAGCTCTGAGACCTCAAGCGAGGCCAGCTCTGAGACCGACTCTACGACCCAGACTTCTTCCAAGACCACCACTGCCCGTATGTAATATCATTATACCATCATTGCACCAGCTATTCTGTTGCCCGTGCCCCCCCATTCAGAGCTTTATGCTAATACCCTGAACAGGCCCTACTAAGACCACTTCCACCGACGACGAGGAGGAGACCTCCGTTCCTGGCGCCGCCGGCCGCGTTGCCTCCCCTCTTGCGCTGGTCCTTGTCACCGTCGCCGCCATGTTCTACTTGAACTAAGCTAGTGATGGGATTGGTGTGTTGGTGAGGTTTATGAAAGCGAAGGTTTAAACGTGAGCTCTGTTTTTGCAGGCGTCTAGAGGATTGAGGATACCGTATATTAATAATGGATGGTACATAAGCCACGGATGGATTCAAGTCATGGATGGCTCAAGGGAAATGGAATCATAGCGATTTTCCTTTGCCACTTTTTTTTCTTTCTTTTTTTTCGTCATCACTCTTTCAATCCGGCCTCTTCGCGCCGTATGTCGGGGATGGGACGAGCATTTGTACGCAAAAACAGTTGATACCGTAAAGCAAATACCACGCTCATTGAGTCTTAAGGCTTATCCATTTCGCCCGTTCATCTCGGTATATAGAGATCTCTGTCCCAGATACTGGTGATCCCGAAGGCATGCGCCTGCATTCGCGAGTGGTGTGAAGTAATCCAAACAACGGAGTAGTTGTATCAAAGTTAATCAAATAGGACTGCACGTGTATTGATGGGTTTTGTTCTTCAAGCGTTGGCTCGCTAAATGCGTCTTATAAACTTAGAGATCGCTCCCCTTTTCCCCCTTTCCCCTTCCTGACATGACGATGCCGTATATACTCAATAGGAAAGGAACAGCCCATGGAAGAAGAGAGAGCAAATGGGAGAAACGAAACGAATAGAAACCAAAAGAAACGCCTGTATGATGCATACATGAAGTTATTATGCTGATAATACATAAGGTAGTGGAAGGATGGGCTCGCGCCAATGCAGGCGAAATGTATCATGGTTGCCGTGGAGGATGGCAGCAAAGGACCTGGCTCTAAGACGGCATTTGCTGTTGATGAATGTGTATGATGTGAAACCTAAAAGAGTAGAACAACCGCGTTTTTTGGAGAGAAAGGCAAAATCGGCACAGATGATGGTGTGGCTATGAGACATGAGGAAAAGGCACGTACGTGCCGTAACGGGGGCTGAACGTGGAACGGAAAGGAATAGAAAAAAGATGAAAGGACAAGGACACTTAAAAGGTGTGGCGTGGGAAGAAGCCAGATATAAACGAGGTCAAAGGCGGGCCTTGGGCTGGGTATCCTCACAGACAACAGCCACGACGACGCAAATATCGTCGACCTTGCCTCCATCCCAGTGTTCGTTGGGGTAGGCGGCCTTGACCTCCTTGGAGAAAGGCGATTCGGATTTCCTGTCCAAGCTCGCCTTCTTGGCGGCGGCGGTGAGTGAGGTCGCGAGGGTGCTTTGAGAGTGCGAGCAGGTGGAGCGCTGGGGTCGTCGGCGGGACTTTTCTCGGGGACTTGACGAACTTTTCGAGATCGGACGCGACGCGGATGGAGCCGGACTCAGTCATCTGCCAGGCACCGGAGCTAGTCATGATGCGGCTAGCGACGTGGAGGATATCCTGGTTGAAGAGATTGTCCCAAACGCCGTCGGTCGCGAAGATGACGACGTCGCCGTGTTGGAGGCACTTGTGGGTCACGTCGGCGTCGTGAGGCATGTCGCTGAAGCCGCGACCGCCAAACATGGCCATGCGGGAGAGCATCACGGGAGGGATGGCGGAGAGCTGAAAAGGGTGTTGAAGTCGTGGGTCTGGGGCTGGGAGCAGGTGTGCACACCGTTGAGGCGGAGGATGATGAAGCCCGAGTCGCCGAGGTTGGCCACCTCGAGACAGCCGTCGGGCGACGCTAGGCCGACGCAGGCGGTGCTGCCGCCGGCCGAGATGCTCCCGTCGTGGAGGACATCGCTGTATCCCTTCTCCATCAGGCGCCGGGCCGTGAGGTGCTCGATGGGCCGGCTCGCGTCGCTGCCGTGGTAGTACGCCTGGGCGGCCATGTAGTCGCAAAAGGCGTGGGAGAAGTCGGCCGGGTCGACGTTGGACTCGACCCAACCGCCCACGCCGTCGGCGAGGCCAAAAGCGACGCTGCCCGTGTCGCCGAGACGGCTGACGAAGAAGGCGTCGTGGCCGCTGTCGGGGCGTGACTTTTGGACTTTTGGTGCGCTGGACGCGGTGGTATGGGTTGAACTGGTAGACGTGGGTCGAGGGGTCGAACTTGTGGCCCTTGGCTATGTACGAGGCCGCGATGCCATAGCTGTACGTGGCCGTGGAGGGCTGCGCGGAGAGAAACCTCGTGCAGCCAGCGACGGAGGCGGGTGGGAACGAGGGTTTTCGCGGGGATGCATGGTTTGTAGGCGTGTTAGGAGAGAGCCTAAGGGAGGAGGAGGAGGAGGGAGAGAAGAGCGGGTTAGTTGACTTGCACCCCTCAACAGTTGAGTGTTGTATTGCAGTTTGGGAAACAGGGGGAGATGAGGGCGGCGGCGGCGGCGGGGAGGTTAGATGAAGCTCTTCCTCGAGGCGAACCTCGGCTTGAAAACCTACGTACCTTGCCTCTGTTGACGCTGACAAGCTCTCGCGACTCGGGGAATGAACGTGGCCATAGCCACACTCGGGTCGGCGTTGAGCAGCGCACCCTGTTCAGCAGCTGCACTTTCGATTCAACGTAGTGTTCACTGTTTCGCCCCCTTTTTCCCCAGGGGTTTTTTCTCTTGATAATACTCCGGTCGCGAAAAAGACGGTATGCGCAATTCGTGTTGGCGGGAGATGGAGAGGGCAAGGGCATGCAGGGGGTTGTTGTTCGATGCGATCAAGAAAGATGAAGTAAAAAAACAGGGATGTCGATTGCGTTGATGGAGGTGTCTTGTTGACTGCGTCTTCAATTGTCTCCGCGGAGTTTACGGGGGCGCGTGATAGAGAATGGACAGAGGGGATGCGGGATGCTTCTTGGCTCCGTCCCTCGCAACTAATTTTCTTCTTCTAAACCGAAACCTTTGGTTCCCTTTCCTTTTCCTTGAGCGGTCGTGCGTATTTGGCATGCTCTAGCTTTTTTCCCCTTTCTTTTTAAGAACAACGTAATTAGGTATGCCTCCTTCGAAGTATCAATTCAATCACGCGTATCGATTTCAATCTCTCTCTTTTTCTTTTTCTTTTTTTCTCCCCATCAGAGGACCAATCTGAAGATCTTTTGATGTGAGGGAGAGCGATTGGCGCAATTGATTCGTCAAAGGCTTTGTTCAGAATGCACGATTACTTAACTACCAGGTTCCTTGGCCAAAGAACAATGCTGTCATGAATAACGTCAGTCTCCATCTCAATAGGGCATATGCGACCAGTTGGCAAGCCTGTGCGACAGCTGCAAAATGACTTTCGCTGTAAAAACTCGACTCGGGAATGCTCGGGTTATTTGGACGAGCTGTCTACTAATAAGTGTGAGGGAGAGGTTGCCTTTGTGATCTACCGTGCAACGAGCTGGAGGGCCATGCACAGAGGGGCCCACTCGCTATTTAATTCTGTGAACCAAAGGCTGCCCTTTCGCCCACAGGCCACTGACGATGCTCCACACCCACGGCTTAAGACCTCGGCTTTCCTGCCCCCTTTCGACAGGGTGTTGCCGGTAACATTGTGAGATTCTCGCTATTGGGGTTCGGCGATGCCCTAAGACACATCACGTTCTTTCTTTGCCCTTTTTATCATTATTATTGTTGCTATTTTATGGAGGAGCCCGTGCAAAGTACAAGTAGAATGAAGAGGGAGTTTAAACACAGTCCCCATGTTTACTTCGCAAAACTTAGACAGATGGGTGGCGATGACACCCTTCACCTGGAAGTGAGTTGGGATGGCCAAACGAAGGACAAAAATGACGAAAATTGGCAGGAACAAGCTTCGGGACACAGTCATTTACTGTTAGGGTACCAGATACATGAACAGGTGCGGCACATGTGCCTGTCGGACCAGGTCCTGGTTTCCGAAACCCCCAGACTGGCTGGACTGGCTTGACTGGCTAGCACCTGACTAAGCAACTCAGAGAGCCGTTCAATGACAATAAGCGCAAGGTGATTGGTCGCGGATTTCTTGCTTTAACCGAGGTGGAGGATAAGCCCGTCCCCAAATGTCATGAAGCACGGAAGGAACGTCAACCTTGAAATTCCCAGTGTCCAAATTCCTCCCTCGTGAGATACGACGACCTCTATTTTCTCCCTCCCCCAGCTTCCCCGCCGTGGTAAACAGGCATATCGGCGTTCCCAAAGCCCTCAATTGCTCTTTGCTGCCACGGAATATCCATCCTCCCCAATTCCAAAGGCCCCAGTGAGAAAACTCGCGCCTCTCCACGCACAACCCTCTCTTCGCCTCCCACTCTCCCCTCCCTCTCTTCCCGCAAAACACCCACACAATGTCGGCTCTTCGCACGTCCCGGGTGCTCGGCGCCCAGATTTCCGCCGCTGCTAGTGCCACGGCCTTTAGGCCCGCGGCTGCCATGTTTGCCCGCACCATGGCTACCGTCAGCGAACCTCCCAAGGCCGAGAAGCCCAAGAGGATGAAGACCTTCCAGGTTTACCGCTGGGACCCCAACAACCCCACCGAGAAGGCGCACCTTCAAAACTACGAGCTCGACCTCAACGAGACCGGTGAGATGATTCTCGACGCCCTCTTCAAGATCAAGGACGAGCAGGACTCCTCCCTCGTCTTCAGGAGGAGTTGCCGTGAAGGTATCTGCGGTAGCTGCGCCATGAACATCAACGGCCAGAACCACCTTGCGTGCCTTTGTAAGTCAATTCTATTCGCCTCTTTTCTTCCTAGCGAGTTGGCACGCCGGAGTGCTTGGAAGTAATCTGTCGCTAACAAGCATCATGACAGGCCGTATTCCCGACGATGGCAAGGATGTCAAGATCTACCCTCTTCCTCACACCTACGTTGTCCGTGATCTTGTTCCGGATCTTACCCACTTCTACGCCCAGCTCAAGTCTATCAGGCCTACCCTATTACGCACTACTCCCTCTCCTGATGTAAGTCGCTACTCGGGCTCCTTGTTGACTACGGACCTTCCTAGTCGCAATATTCTAGGCCTTGCACCCGGCGCGAGTCTTGGAGGCGCCATGCAAACAGGGACAGCAACGCTAACATCATATTTCCACGCTATAGGGCAAGGAGTACCGCCAATCCATTGAAGAACGAAGCAAGCTCGACGGTCTCGACGAGTGCGTGCTTTGCGCCTGCTGCTCGACCTCGTGCCCCTCGTACTGGTGGAACGCCGAGGAGTACCTTGGCCCCGCCATCCTCCTCCAGTCTTACCGCTGGCTCGCCGACTCCCGAGACGAGAAGACTGCCGAGAGGAGACAGAACCTCAACGATAGCATGGCTCTCTACAGGTGCCACACTATTCTCAACTGCACGAGAGCCTGCCCCAAGGGTCTTAACCCTGGTCTTGCCATTGCCAAGATCAAGAAGGAGCTCTCTTTCTAAACGGGAAAAAGACTTTGCCATCATACAAATAGCTTCCAAAAACAAAAGGCCCCTCGCCCGTCGACACACGATCCGACGCGGACGCAACCTACAAAGCAAAGAGCCTAATGCCGAAAGAGGGGCAGCTCAACTTTTCTCCTAAAAGGATAGATAGTCTCATGTGCTTTTCCGGATCCTTTATCTTGTCTCCATTTTTTCTTCTCTCTTTATAATTTTCTGTCCTGTTTATAACAATAACTCATGGGGCCAGGCGCGATGCGAACATTTTTCTCTTTTGTCCCAAAAGAATGAAGAAGTAGGCGGGAGAGGTGGAAAGTGGTGGAAGAGGAAGGTAGAGAAATGAGAACGCACAACCTCTGATGTCTCCCCTTCCGGTCGTCAAGTTGGGGTTTTTCTTGGGCCCGGGCGCCGAATGCGTGGGGGTTCCTATCTCTTTATTTCTTTTATGTTTTAGACTGGTAACGGTCTGGTATGACGAGGGAGAGGAGCAGGTGTGTGAGGTGTAAAGGATAGCATCGTGTGGTTTTTCTTTTGCGCCCGTCCTTGGTCCCCATCGTCCGGCGCGGTCGCTCCCGCGACGACGGACCCAACTGTGTATTCTCATCCTCCAAAATATACAAATAGAAAGGTTTCCCGTTTAATTAGCCTCGCCTTCTGAGTCTTAGATGCTCTCCCTTCCCCAGCTACGAGATATATTATGAGAGGTGGCGCGGCAGCCGAGCGGACAAGACGAGTGGGCAACGCGGAGGCTCTCGTCAAGAGGACGACACCGACAGCTTCATCGCTGGTGAGGCACCGCTATGGCATGGAGGATAAAAGGAGAAAGATTCTAGTTGTATTGATAACCCCGAACCATCATAATATGCCTCCACGATACCGTAGTATGTGAGGCCATCGGCTTCCCATCAATTCAACCACCCAGACATCCCCTTCAAGGGACATTCCCACATGGATACTCTATCAAGCTTGTATATCCAAGCACTACCAACCCTAATTCTTTTTCTTCTCGACCTGTCGCCCTTTTTCTCTTCGCTTCTTCTCCTCCTCTCCCTCCCCCTCCTTCTCAACTACTTCACCTCGAGGCACTCGCCTCAAAAGACAGAGGGATATCGTAATCATACACGTGCTAGAAGCCAGCATTTCACAGGCCATGAAAAAAAAAAAGGGACGAAAAAGAGACAACCCAGCCACACATTTTCCCCTCTTCCCTCCTGAAACCCTAAGAAAAATAGGTCCCTGAGAGATGGAGTGAGAACGCAAGAGAGGCTGTCCACTAGACAAGGCGGCTATGAGGCAGCGGTAGTTCCCTCACAGTTCTACTCCAACCTTCAACACGGCGACCCACCGATCAAGGCCACCAATTCATCTTCTTATAGCTCTCAATGACCTCTTCGATGAGCTCCTTGGTGAGTTCTGGCTTCTCGTAGCTAAAACCAACCACCTCCTCGAGGCGTGCACCGTCCATGCTCAAGTCCGTATCCTTGAGCAGCTCCTTCTCCATGAAGGGGGTGAGGGGTCCCGGCCGTGTGATGTTGGCTTCCTCTAGCAACACACCCCATGGACCTAGCAACTCCTCGTTGACATCATCCACCACACTATCCATGTTCAGACGGGCAAAGGTGCTGACAAGCTGGCCTTGGAAACCAGTCTCGATTTTGAAAATCTCACCAATAATCCCGGCCATCGTGCCTTGGTTTGTAATACCATGGTCAACGACGTTAAACGTGGGGTAGGACCCATAGATTTGGGGTCCCATTTGGCTTTGCCTTCGTTGTACCAGTTTGCCACATCCCACATGGCTCGAGTTAGGTCGTTGATGTGGACGGTGTTGGTCCGAAGATCCTTGGTCCAGAGCCACTTCATCTCTGATTCAAGGTACTGATAAACGCGAGCAATGCACAGGGCCGTCGCGACCCACTGAGAGGCGTACGGTCCGTACACGTGGGCTAAGCGGAGAATGACTAGGTTGAGGCTGCAGAATTGCACAAACATAAGCACGTGAGCGTACGCAGGCCACACACGGCCAACTTGTTGACTGTGGGGTCGGCACATTTGGGAAAGTCCAAAGCTGGAACCACTTACCCTTCGATCTTGGCCAGCTCTTCTTCCGCCTTGAGTTTGAACGTAGCGATCTTGCTCCAAGGCTTGAGTTTGTCCCCCTCCTTACTCGGAGTCGAATCCGACTTATAGACCATGCCGGTGCTGAGCTCGACGAAGACCTTGACGTTTCGCTTGGCGGCCTCCTTGCCTAGTGCTACCGCAAGGCCAAGGGAGCGTATCCTGTAGACCTCATCCTCTTGAGAATAACGGGTCTCTCCTCCACAGTTGAATACGTAATCCCAAGACTTGCCCTCGCCGCGGTCGAATATCTTCTCTAGCGCCTCTAATCAAAAAAGGAGTCTTTGTTAGCGGATCGGCTTGGAAACGGGGTGGGAGACTGAGAAAAGTTGGCAAGAGACGAGTGTCGGACCCTAGCGGCGAAGAGGATGAGGAAGGGCGAGGATTATACTCACGGTCTCTGCTCGCGTCAGCTTGTACAAACTTGTCCGACGAGCAGGCCTCCTTAAACTCGTCGGGGAGCCAGGCAAGCTGTGGAAGGACTTTGTCGACGATGCGAACTTCGGAGGCCAGGTTGTTGTTATTGATGTGGAGAGCCAGGAAACGGCCAATATAACCCAACCCTCCGATAATAAGGACCGATGGCTTTTCCGCCATGATGTCGGTCTTCGATATACTACACCACGCGTGGCTCTGCAAGAGAGAGGTGGTTTCTAAGCAGAGGGAGGGTGCGGGTGCGGGTACGAGTGCGGGGCTAATTCACTAAGAAATGGGTGTTGTTCTGGCCCACTCCAGTCGCGCTGAAGTCGATATAATATGGATGCACGGTAATACGGCGAGACACGCAGATAGAGAGGGTGGGGAGGCAAGAGAAGGTGAAGGGGGAAAAAGGAAAAAGCTCGAAAAGGCGATTCAGTAGTGTTCGGATCAGCGTCGGTCTATTCAGTAGAAGGGAGGAGGTGACGAGAGAGCGGGAGAGGAGCAGAGCAGGACGAGGGTGGGGAGCTATGACACTCGGTCCTTGCGATAGAGCCCCGCCTTCGAGTTGTCGCCGAAGATGAGGGAAGGAGGAAGGGGTTTGATTCTGCTCAATATAAGAGGGAAGGAACCACTAGAGCAACCCACAAGAGGGCGGACGTTGCTAGTTAAATTCGGAAAAGAGGAAGCTAGTGTCCCTTGACAAAACGCCAGGACCTTCAGATCGAATGGTTGCTGGCCCCCTCGCGGTGGCAAAGGCTAGGAAGGGGTGAGTGGGAGGGCGGTTACAAGTATGGAGAGAACGAGGTTCGGTGGGTAAGTGACAGGTTGGGAGGAAGAGCGAAGCCGCTAGCCGGGGGATCGAAAGAGGGCTGGAGGGGTAATATTATGCGGCACTGAACGGGGTATTAATTTGTGTCCCCGTCCCCATCCTTCTTATTACCCTGTGCGCGGGTGGGTGTACCACTGCTCTCCCTTGGGAAGAGATCTCCTCTAAGCTGCTGTGCGACCCTCGCCCGCGGCATGGATGCGTCTCCCCACTGATCGACTTGTACGAACTACTTTTTCCCCATTGTCCATACTCCCAGGTTACGCCTTTTCCAGGTTCTGGATAATGAAAGGAGGGGGCGGTTACGAGGTCCAACGGCGAGGTGTCTGAAGCACCTTGGGAACCGTGAGAGAAGAGCAAGGATACTCAGAGTAGGCGTGGGCGGGCGGGTAGAAAAGAAGGGAAAAGGAGTGCGAGTGCGAGGCTAGGACAAGAAGAAAAGAAGAAGAAAAAAGGAACCAGAAAAAAAGAAAAGAAAAAAGTCTGTCATAGAAAGAGGAGATCAACGATACTCTGGCGCACGCAACTTGGCAAAAGTCACTTCTCCTCCAGTCAGGGGTATCTATCGATACTTTGAAGTAATAGATGGATCAATTGTATGACACTTAGGTCTGGTGTTCTTGGAAAACAAGGGTGCGCAGGGGCCAGGAGGGGTCGAAATGAGAAGGATGTCCCGTAGCACTAACTGGATTCTCAGGGAGTGTATTGATGAGGAACAGGAGTAAATCGGAGGAGATGAGTACCTCGGCATCCTCACTCAAACAACGATTCTGTCCTTACCATCTCGAACACCCATACAAGTAGCAAAGGACGGGAGCTCGAACATGTCACAAGTGCCGGCTCCAATGTCATTCAGAGATTTATTGGATTCGGTTTTTTGAGGCTGGATCAGTCGAGACACACCATCGGAGGGCTTGACGGGGTTGCACGCGACGGTGGCCGTCCATCGATTCACCCCAAGGTCTAACTAGACCATGTAGTAGTGTACAAGTAGGAGGTGCGGGTACCGCCCCATGGCATTTTCAGCTTCCAGTGGAAGGGAGACTCCCGCCCTGCGGCCACCACGGGAAGATCACGGAACGAGGTACGCAGCGCGCTGCCACCCATCAGTCGTAACAAGGGGTTTGGGGGAGGGGTGGGGTGCGACCGCGACTCGTGCTCAGAAAATGGATGCTACGGTGCGGCGGGGCACCTTCGGTACTCTTGTCCACAATCACGACTCTCCCTGTCCGCTGTGGTCCACGTTCTGCTGTCAATCTCACGGCATGTTCACCCCTTGTTTCCGGACGAGGCATGGGATCAAGGAAAGCAACATGCAGTCCACGGGAGAGCATGATGGGACAAGGCTTTTCTTGCCCGTGGCCGATCAGTCATGATCCATGGGGACTCGAGGCGGTGCTGGTTCGCCTAACAGGAGGCTCACAGAATGTGTTGTGTTCGAGGGGTTAAGGGGAAACAGGGAAATTTCTTGACTAGGAATGCCCCGTAATAATGAGAATTGATCTCTAATACGCCATTTGAGAACAGAGCTAGGGGGATGTCAGAGGGGCCCAGATCCTCATTTCGAGCCATCATGGAGTGTGCAAGTAGAGTGCAGGCAAGCCCGGACCTTCCACACCCTCTTGGAACCTTCTCTTTGGTGGGGCCTGAGGTTCGGACCTGCATGCGATGGCTCAGTCTCCATGGTCCCTGTAAGAAGTTTATCGTGGAGGAGTGGCTGAAAGGGCTGGGTTTGCCAACGTTGTATTATCCTACATGTACGCACAGGAGAGGCTCTTGGAGGATTCCCGACGAATCAATCACCATACCTTATCCACGGCCATTTCCCGTTTCTTCAGAAAATAGTTCAAGGCAGAAAGGGTCGGAACGGAGACACTCGAAGAGTAATGGGGGATGGTCCAGTTGTGGGGGTGGAAAAAACATACTTCGTACACTACATCGAATAAAAAAGTAGGCAATGAGCTGCGTCCTGCGTCGTCGTGGTTCTCTCCTCTCGTTGCCACATTCCGCATGCCCATCAATGCCACCCCAACTACTTGTTGGTCCACTCCCGAGCCCTAATAAACCAATTGATGCACATCTGAACTCACATCATGCCCCCTTGCTTACCAGTGGCTTCAACGCGGTGGGATCCTCATGGAGGGTAGAAAGTCCTCGAACTGGTCTCTTCCCTACCCCTGTCGTGCTAGGAGCCGCGTACATCCCTCGGTATTTCACACTTTTCGTTGGTTAACATGGCACTGTCGTCCCTGTCTTCTATGCACCCCGGCCGCGCCTAGCCTCGATAGAAATCGTCCGAAGCGAGCAAGTTCAACTAAGATATTTCGCATTGGGCAAAGGTTCCCTTGAGCGCTAGATTGAACGAGCTGATGAGGAGGCTGTATCCAGCCAACAGCTCGGCCCCAGTTGCGGCCTCTATCGAGTACTAAGCGGGCGGTCCGACGCGCCCGATCAATGCCCAGGAGGAGCAACCGCTTCCCGTCATCCAAGAATATCCACTAGTAGCGGCGATGGCAGCGGCTCGTTTGGTGCTCCATGCTTGATGCCGGAGGAGCTGAGGTGAGTCGCATGATTCTCCTTTCCCAATATTGGTACCTGGAGCGAGGCACACTTCATCGGCGACCGAGCGAGTACGAATTGGTAGTTTAGGTGATAAATAGCGTCGGTCGTAATTACATCAACGGTGACGGACCGTCCACCTGCGCCTTGCTCGTGCGACCTCGTTCCCGTCTAGGGGCATTTGATGCCCCCGCGCTGATCCAGATGCTCCTCGTCCGATGCAGAGCAACCCACACATTCTCTCAACCCGGATCATGGAAATGGGGCTGTCCCAAGGTATGACACGGAGCTGCTGGGGGCTATCTCCGCCCACTCCCTCACCCATTCCCATTCCCGTATCCGTCAGCGGCAAGGCCAGGATGAAAGAAGCAGATGTTCGACGGACGGGTTACGGCTAGCTATCGCAATCAAGGTATAAAGATGTGGCGGCTTAAGATGACCCTGTGATGCTGCTCGCGGTGCTTAAAGAAGAACCAATCCAGACGGACCATATTGATCTCCATCGTGTATTGGCATTGGGTTTCATTGAGCAGTGTATACGAATGGAAAAGCCAAGTACGTACTCTTGGAAGAGAAAGCACGATTTATCAGCATCCATCTTATTAGTGGAGCGTGGAGTGGGTATCTAGCCTTGAAACCTGGCAGCTGCGAATGGCGAGCAGTTTCCTTCCCCTTCAGCCCCTCCATTGACGATGGCAAGCTCCTGCCACATTAATGAGAGGGTGCTTGCAAAGTTTGGAACGATGGCAATACATACGCGTCAGAGGCTCCAAGACTACAAGTAGCAATGTTGTGGCTCTCCACGCGAGAGATCATCGTAGCTTGATGCCAGGGGAATCCCTTCTCGATGGTTCCGCATGAACATTGAGCACGCCCCAAGCTCCATCTGCGCCTTCCCCTTCTGACTGGGTTGAGCCAGCACAGCCAGCTCCTCCCGCCTTTTCTCTTCATTATTACGCGCCCGATCGACCTAGTTTCCAGTTTTTGTTTTTTTCTCCCCTTCTCCCTTCTCCCTACTTGCAGGCTATAGATCACGATCCAGGTAGTCGCGGAGAGCAAACCCGAAAACAAGATTTCATCTTGGTCGATTACCATGAGCTGAGCCCCAAGGTCATCGAGCCATAGCTCTACCAGTAGTTCCAGCTGACTGTATTCTACCTGGAGGCCAGTCTCACCATGCCTTCCCATCACCTATCCCCCATAATACCCTAATACGGCCAAAGTCGCACTCCGCTCTGCACTCTGGATTTATAGTGTCGTATTGTGGCTGCAATATGACGGACATTGTCCATTTGATTGAGAGCTTGAATTAAACCCGGTCACCGTGCCCTGTCCCACTCAGGAATAATATTGCAAGTACAAGTAAAAGGCCTGGGCGGACACAAAGTGAACTGTGAGGACCACAGGTGTTGAATATCTGTCCCCCTCTTGGCACATCCATGCCTTTCACCCCTGTCTGGCCTGACCCTTGCTTCCACGGACCACCTTTCGTCAATGGATCACTGCTGAGCCAGGACTGACACTATCGGTATTAGGTGTCTCTGTGACGGCTCGCAACCATCGATTTCGTGGCGAACTGGTTCGGCCCTTCCCATCAGGAACGGGCCAGGCATTGGCCATCACTCTCAGAGCATTATGCCGCACTGACCGACCAACCAGACACGCTTGCCCCAGGGCAGAGGCCCGGACGGAGAAGTGCATCAGCCCTCTCGCATTCGGATGCTTGCAGTCTAGGCTCGATCCTGCTGCCCGGGACGCCTGTCCTACGATCGCAAGGGTGCCGAAAGGCAGGGTGTACGAGGAATTCCTGTCCCTGCAAAAGCATATGCCTGTCGATCCCCTTTTCGGGAAGGAGGGCTATTATTGAGGGTACCGGGATGTCGTTGCACCAAAGGATTGATACTGCACCTGTCTTATAAATCGTGGGGCAAAGGGCAGGCCGGGGTGTTGAGCCGTCTTCCGAGGCCCGGCATCTCTTCATACATACTCGGTAATACCCTTTTCTTTTCAACGACGTAGATGCTTCACATATGATTGGGGGCTCTATCGGGGATCGGACACTGCCGGGAGCTTCCAACTTGAAGGCATACATCCTTTGTGTGCCAATACCCCGAGAAATCGTGATCAAATTCATCGCTTTCACCCACTCGAGCGCCCGTCTAGGCTTTACCATCTACAGATGTCGCCTTTCCAGAATCCTTAATCAGACCTTCTACAGTTTCCCGTTTCTCTTACCATGCCCCTGATACTATCGAGGAACTCAAGAGCCCGTGGAGAGAAGGGCAGCCACTCTCCAAAAAAGGTGACCACCACAAGACATGCAATAGATCGCAAAGGCGCTCCCGCTACCCTCCCATCGGGTGAAAAGCGTTGAGGAGAACAAAAGTCAAAATGTAATCGGACAAAGGAACCTTTTTTAAGCTCGTGAAAAGGCCCAAAACAGCCACCTAAGCCTGCCTTGTTGTATACCTTTTTCACGTGCTACGGGCCGCAAACAGTCTAGCCGTTCCAACTCCGGCATAGAAGCCCAAAGTCTAACGCCGCGCGCATCGTTAATTGAGTTCCGGCGCCGAAGCCCGGACCCTTCCGGGAGTGGGCGAACTTGGCGTGGATGGACGAAGACAAAGAGGCGTAAGTGCTGCACTCCTATTCATGCCCAGCCAGCCTAATTCCGCATCCCTTCGGGGAACTGCCGCCTTTGGATGTGGCCTCTTCTCTTCCAAGGCATAGACACCAGCATCACCCCCTCCCCTTTTTTCTTTTTTTCTTTTTTCTTTTTCTCTGAAGAGAAGAGAAGAGGAGGGGGCGTTTTTGAGGAAGCTATCGAGCAGCCCCAGGTACAAGCAGCTCGGTTAGCTAGTCTAAACTTATTTCCCGGACTTATCTACACCTCCGGGCTGGAAAAGGCCAGGGCCGCTCTAGTCTCTCGCACCCTAGTGACACCTGCGCGACCTGACATTACCCGAGACTGAAGGGCGACATTCCCGTTGCCTGCCATGCCGGCGAGTCAGTAGTACAATGTGCCTGGCGTCTCGGCAACCTCAAGTGTCGGTCATTCCGATAGTACGACGGCGATATCCTATCGCCGCAGATGGAAATTTGGAGGCAATGCATTCCTTGGTCACCAGCAGCGCGGCGCAAGATGGGCCAGCCCTGTTTTTGTAGGAACCCTAAGGCAGAGATTCGATCGCGAGCTGGCGCACTTTAAAATCCCGGCTCCTGAAACCTAGCAAGGTCCCCTTTCACCTCTATCGCGAGAATGGAAAAGAGAAAGAAGGAAAAGAAGAGAAAATAGGCATCAACGAGGATCCTGTTCCAGCTCTCTGCGTAAACCTTTTGGTAGCCTTTCTTCACCTACGATTACATTGTGTGGCTTAGTCCGCTCCAGCCGTCGTCTCCATTTTCCCTCCCCTCCCCCAGACGCCCCAACTTACTTTACCTCCTCATGCTCCCGATAATCTCCTTTTGCGCTTCCCGATCCTTCGCTCCCTCACTCAGACTACCCAAGCTCCTCAGGTCCGCGACGACGTCCTTGGCCTTGCCAAAGTAGACTTCCTGGAGTAGATTGCGCATCTTGAGTTCCATATCCTCGACAAGTCGTCCGACGTTGGCAATGTGCGAGTCATCAGATTCAACGGGAAGTTCCTGCTCGACCTGGCGGGTCATGTTGCCACTGAGATCCATGTCGGAAGAGGCGCCACCAGATGCGGTAGAAAGATGCAGGATGACGGTAGATGTGAGCTTGTAGTGAGTCGTTCGACCACGTTCGATAGCCTCGAAGACGTGAATGGAGTCCCAGACTCCTTGGAGGTACCGCCGCCAGAGGGAAGCTAAAGTTTCGCACACACGGCCACCCTGTTAGCCTGTTGTTCGTTCTCGCCTTGTCTACTTACCAGACTGGGGATATTGTATATAGTAGGAAGTGATAGAAGCGCACCTTTCTTTAGGAGCACCACTCCCGCGAAGCCATCGTCCAAGTTCCAAAAGTAGACACTGCTCACACCACCCTCGTAATAAAGCTCCCTATAGACGTCAAAGGCGTCATTCGCCTTGATCTCCATGGCGCGGACCCTTTCGCTCGGGACGGCACCCTCTCCGGCGCCCTCGCTGCTACCGCCGAGACCTACGCCGCCGGGTCCACTCTCATCGAGGGAGGGTCGAATCGGTTCGACCAGGGCGAGCGGTACGAGTCGCCGTCGCGGTTGTAGTCGCAGAGCAGGTAGTCGCGTCCGGTCTGGCGGCAGCGCTTGATGGTGAGGGGCTGGTCGACGGAGGAGAGGAGGTCTTCGGTCAGGTCTGGAGCGAGGGAGATGATGTTGTTGAGATGGGTTGTCGTGTGCTTCGGGTCGAGACGTCGGAGGAGGTCGCTAGAAACGAGTCAGATTAGGAGGGTAGGGCAAAGGCCGCTAGTGCTAGGGTGAGGTGGGGACTAGAGATCGAGAGAGAGAGATCAAGAGAGAGAGGGCAATGAGGGCAATCTCCCGGCAGGATGAGATGTAGGGGTTGAGCAGAGGGAGCGGAGGATGAGGAGCAGCTTTAGCGGGAAGAGAGGAGCTTACAGCGCCGAGTCGAAAGGGTCTTGAGAAGCCATTTTGTTAGGCGAGATCAGAGGGCGTTCTAAGCGAAGGGTGAGCGAAACGGTCGCGAAGTGATGGAATGATGGAATGACCGTCTCGGAAGGCTTGAAGGCGGTATGGTACTAGATCAATGGATCGAGGTCTACAAACGGGCTCGAGGCTGCGACGGCCATCTGGTAGAAGGGGAGGAGGCGCCGAAGCGGGTAGGTTGTCTAATGGTGGGGGTGGGGTGTGCGGGGTGGGGCAGGCACCTCTCGCATCTCTTGCTGACATCAGACATGAGTGCTGGCGCTGAAGCTCGGATGATTCGCCATTTGTTTCGTCGTTTGGCCTGGCAATCGCAAGCTAGGCATAGGTGCAGATCCTCGCTAAAGAAATCAAGTGAGAGGTAGAGGGGGAAGAAGAGATGCAAGAAAAGGCTTAGCCCGTGGGGAAAAAAAGAAATGTGAAAAGAGCACGCATATACTCTCAAGATGATCGTCAAATGCCCTTGACCCTACGCGGATCTCGTCAACACTCTAGAGATGGGTGTACCAAAGAGATTTGCACTTTGTTTAAAATATCAACTTATAACAGGCCGAGTACGAGAACACACTGCAGATCATCGGTAGTGCAGGTTCATGGAAGACGCGTGGAGACGGGCATCAAACGCCCCAAAGCCGAAAGGAACTGCACTATCCATACATATTCTTTTCACACCAGAGATGGGGCTAGAGAGACGGGAAGAGATACATCGGGGATGAGTAGGAATCGGGATAAGGAACACCAGGCTACTCAAGACACATAGGAGAAGAGAGACGAAAAAAAGGGAGAGGAAGAACATGTGTTTTGTGGACCGCCCCTGACACCGTGAGCCTAGGAAAGCTAGCTAATATCTTCGCTCCGCAGTTTGTAGGCCAAACAAGAAGGACAGATAGAGTAATAAAATAAGGTAAAAGGACAAGGAAAAAGATAAAAAAGCTACTGCCCTCAGTAAAAAGAACATTGGAATGCTCCCTTCCCGCGCCCTCCATATCAAACTTAAACATACCTCACCCGAAACCTGGGAAGGACCACCAAACTGTTCGGAAAGCCCATACATGCAACGATGTAAAGGCATCAATATATGCTGCAGAAACAATATCGAACCCCAAAAAGAACGCCGGCCCGCGATAGAACAGAGAGCCCAACAGCGTTTGGACTGTCACAAGAGAAACAAGCAGGAAAAAAGAAAAGGAAACGGGCAGGGAAAATAAAAATGGGTACGAGGCAGATGAACAGTGAAAAGCAAGAAAAAGAGGGCGAGATCCTTCTCGCCCGGGGAGTCCTTGACAGGAGATAGACAAAATCGAAGGCAAGGTCGATCAAGACAAAAATCTCCAGCAAGCCAGTTGTAACGCACAGGCGATGTCCTAAGAAGATTACGCTATATCAGGGAGTACAGTCACCGGTGCTTGGATATCCCGGCTTCGAGGTCCTCTTTCGCCTTGGTAACAACAACACAGGAGCTGACAGCGCCTGGCTGTCCGTCGGAGGGCTCGGCCTCGCAATTCTAGTTGATCGGGGTATCGCAGATGAGGCATTTGAGGGCTCCGTCCAGGTGGTTAGACCGCCCTTGACATTATCGCGCAGGTCGACAATCTCCACCTCGGGCGGGCTCGAATCCATCTTTAGCGATCCACTGAATAATCCGAGATAGGGCTTGATGGCCTTCTCGCGCGCGCTGAAGCCGTTGGTCGCCTTGACCCTCTTCTTCTTCCCGGGAGTATCCCCCTTCGCCGCCACCTCGCCTGCCGCTACTTCTGGGGTCGATTCAATCTTTTCGTCGGGGAGTGCCGTTACGTCGGGCTTTTCTTGCACGTCGGCTTTGACATCGATCGTTTGTTGCGTCTCGTTGATGCCCGTCTCCGTAGGGCTAAGGGGCGGGTTCTTGGTGCCGTCACTGTCGTCTTCCACCTTCTTCGCGCCTTCGCCTACAGGGATGTAGGGTTGATCTTTGCCGAGTCGCTCATATGCACGCATCAACGCGTCGTGGATGAGGCAGTCGTCATGGAGCCACTTTCCACACACCTCGTTCGAGCAGCCCACTAAGGTCTTGTCGGGGTGCTCGGGTTGGCCGCATTTGCAAACAGGTTCAACACTCTACATGGCATAGCGCTACTACGTTAGCGGGCCAGTCCAATGACTCGGGCTAGGTCCTCTTGTTTTTCGGGAGAGAAAAAGAGAGGAAAAAGAGGAAAAAGAGGAAATCAAAAGGGGTGGGTAGATTGTTCTGTGCAAACTGACCGAAAGCTCCAAATTCCTAAAGTCAAAAGCCTGCCGCCAATACAGGGCATTCTGGATCTCATCATCGTTCTCCTCAACCCAGTGGTTAACGTGCGCCATCGCCGTAACGCTGACCACGTTGATGATGTCCACTACGGAAAGGACAAAGAAAGTGGCAAGTTAGCACATCTGTGTCACATCCGTCCGACCCGCCGCCAGGTTTAGGTCGTGTGGGTACGTGGGCAGAGCTTGCGAAGTACGCGCATGCAGAAAAAGAGATACGTACTGTGATTCGACGCGATCAACTCATGGGCACCGTGATACGGCAACCTGCCCTGGACATATTTGCGCCCGTCCGTCGTGCCAGCGGGAAGCTCGTCTGGCCAGTACATCCAGTAGACACGGGCGTAGACGTGATGCTCATCGCTAGCTCGGATCTCTAAGATTCGGGCAACCCACTCATCCTCGGTCCTTCTCCTCGGCGAAGTCTTGCCCGCCGGTTCCTGCTGTCGCTCGATACTCGCGTCGTTGGCGACGTAAATGAACCCTTCGCTAAAGTACTTGGCACCATTTACTAGAGGATAAGTGCGTCGTCATTAGTGAGTCCATTGCCATTATTAAAGGGATGCTCGAGTGGAGGAGTAGATATCGCCACTCTAGCATAATTGGTAGAGAATCTGGAGAGAGGGCGATGACGCGACACCAAAACGGCGCCTCGACAGGAGACTTACGGACAAAGCTATTGTATCGGGTCATCTCTTGCCATTTGGAGCTCGGCTCCACGGAGTAGCTAAGATCAAGGGTTTCGTGCGTCTTGAACTTGCCGACGGGCGCAAAGGGCGAGCTGCTGGTACACTTTCTTCGGAGGTTCAGGTTGGTCCCCTCGTTTCCGTCGCTTGGGGGCCTTTTTGTTGACGTCCGTCTCGAGTGTGACGACGAAGGGACAGTCGGCACGGTTCTCTTCGACATCGCGCCGCGGACGTTTTCGAGCAGAGGCCGGCATGGTGGGATGGGGCGCGGAAGTAGAGATTTTGGGCTGGTTTACGGGTCGCCGCGCGGACGAATTGCTGCTGTTGTTGTCGTGAGACTGGTAAAGAGGTCGAGGTTTCTCGTATCGTCGTCCCGAGGTCCGCGATCGAGGGGTGTGGTTAACCCAGTTTGTCAGCGACTGCGCTGTACCCTCGCGGAATTAATTCAACACGCCTCGCTCCTCGTCTGCGTGCTCCTTATTTGAACTTTTTTTCTCTCCCTCTCCTAGTCCGTTTCTCTTGATGGCGTCGATGCCGGACTGTCCCAATGGCGGGATTAAGGGATGACAGCAAGGAAAAGAAGCGAGAGAAAGGAGGAAAAGAAAACGCGCCCGGCGATGAGGGGATATGGGACGGCGTGGCAGTGACTAGGAGGTCCGTGAGACGGCAACGGGATCGGATGTTTGCAAGAAAGGGAAGCCACCTAATTGGGGGTAAAGAGAAAAAAAAAAAAAAAGAATTAGATCGTCTTTCGCGATGGTCGTAGTTGGGTGGTAGAAGGAATTGGAGGAGTCGAAATTATGGTTGCGCAAAATGTTCTTCTGAGGAAAATAGTGGAGAGCGTCGGGGTATTTTTGGTGAAGGCGATTCGACGCCAGTCTGCGGTCGGAAAACACGGGAGAACACGAATCGAACAGAGACACCTTGACAAAACAAACGCCGAGGAACGACAAGGAGCCAAGAAGGTAGCGCGGGGTACGAGAAAAGGAAGAGCGTTTTCCGTTTTCCGCTTTTTTTTATTCCTTGTTCTGAATTTCTTCGTTTCTTTCTCTGGCTTTCTCCTTTCTACAAGTAGGGTCGGGCTTCTCGTCGCCTTTCTCCTCTGGCCCGGTCTTGCGTCGAATCCCTAGAAGAGAGACTTCTTCCCCGTCCAGACAAACGGCGATACACGAAAGCTGAGGCGAATGAATGGGTGGGTTGGCTGTGATTTGATGGATGCGGCCCGCACAGTCGCTTGGAGGTCTCCAGGGTCCTCGCTGCTGGGAGCGAGGGAAATTCGTTCGTCGTCTTGGATTTGGGTGTGCGTGTTCTCTCCGTAATCCGTCTGCGGCTGGGTGGTAATCATCCAACCCTGTCGTTTTTCCTCTCTGAGAAGCTCAGCTTGCGTAGTGAGTTGTTCTGGGTCATCGACTTATTCCCGGAAACGGCTACGCCACAGTGGAAAGAGGTTGGGAAAAATCATAACACGACCTGCCAGTGGATGCAAGCCAGTGCGACGCTAGCGGGACTCCACCGTCGCCATGGGAAGCAGAGCTGGTAAGCTCGGAGCATGGAGCATGGGGCATGGCACGCACCTTCCCAGCCGCTTGGTGACATCACGTGAAAATATGCTCCCTTCCCCAGACTGGACGAATTGGAGGTACCGCCCCTCAACCTGCTGCATGCCAGTGGAAGCTTCGGGCCGGGCCAACCAGCGCTGTCGACGACGACCTTGAGAGAAGATCAATCTCCAATTGAGAAATAGTAGAAGACAAGGGGGCGAGGTGAACAACGTTCATATAAAGAATTAGAAAAAAGAGCATGACGAAAATCTAAGCTTGCGCCATGCATACAAAGAGAAGAGTTAAATCGATTCTTCCAGGATTCAACTCTAAACATAGGTAGGTATACTTGTGCAAGAGAAAATCGCGCCCACGCAAAGCTTTCATGTATCGCATGGCAAAGTACTTCATACAAGTTCAAGGTCCTCCTCAAAGACACCTGACCCCTCATTTTGCAATGGTGGTATTCTTGTCAAAATCCGAAATGGTGTATGGTCCCAGGGAGAGAGAGGAGGGAGAAGTGCAGCAATGCAACGCGACTGGTTGGTGTGTTAGAAAAGCGAGGCTAAACCAAGACAAGAGATGCTAGCTGAAAGAGGGAAGGGAGGGAGCACAAGGAATGAAGGCATGGATCAGGGACCGACAGGTGTCACCCAGATGAAGAACAGCACCAAGATTTGCGACGAAATCAAAATGTATCATCAGAATGTATCCGGAAAGCGGGGAAGATCAAATGTAGTCTCACGCTCTCAAAACGCCTCTAGCAGGATGCTAATTTTACATGGACTCGGCATCGGCGTGCGCAGTTCCGTTCTCTCCGTTGCCCCTATTCATCTTGAACCCTTCAATCGCCTCCGCTAGCCGTTCCGCATCCCGCTTCCCCTATCGATATTGATGAGCCAGATGAGAGGTGCCGGCAACCCAACCAGGGCCCCGAGGAACCAGAACGCCGGCCGAATATGACCCGCCTTGCCAATGATGGCTGCGACAATGGCTGGACCAAAGAAACTTGAACCTTTATCGGTAATGGCGTAGAGCGCGTAAAAGGCAGCTTCGGAGCCGGGCGGGATGAGCTCGGCATAGAGCGATCGGCAGTAGCTACTTAGTCCGCCCAGGACCAAGCCGTAGACGGCGGCGAGCGGATACATTTCCCAGGGCTGCTGCAACCCAAAGTACCCAAGATTTTCGATAAACGGCAGGTAGCCAAGAAGGCCGTAGATGGGGATAAGTTCAAAAGGAGCAGGCAGATGAGGATAATCTGGTGGGGCCGCAGGTTCCATCTGCGAGAGATGTAGGCCCAACTAAAGGCACCTAGAACGCCAGCAAGGGTGGAGATGGCGTTGATCATACCCAGAGCCCATGTCTCCATCTTGAGCTCAACTTTGGCAAACAAGATGGCAGTGGAGGACGTTGTGGCAATGGCATCAGAAAGCAAAAACCAGCTGGCCAAGAAGAGAACGATATCCGCCAGTCGGCGCGCTAGTCCCATCGTCTTGAATAACGATGTCCACGAATACTTGATGTAAGAAAGCCACGCGCGAGCCCCCGTCTGACCCTTGACAAGATAGTCAGGAAGCGGCGGTCCGGGCCGTGGCCGAAGCCACATGGCGGCGGGGACAGTAAAGACGGTCCACCAGATGCCGATAACCATCAGCACCACCCTCTGGGCAAATGTGGTACCATTCATGAGGACGAGGATCACGATCCCGAGGCACTGCACGAACAGGCCCGCAATGTACCCAATGCCAATTCCCGTGGCAGATATCTGCGAGGAAAGCTGCACTTCGATCGAGTTGAGTTCTTGCTCGGTCTCTTCGCGGCGCAACGTCCGCGCTTCATACCCGTCGCTATCCGCTAGCAAATTTGTCGTCGAATTCACCAGCGTAGTCTCACCGTCGTCATCCACGTCGTTGAGGCGATGATTTTGCTCTTCCGGGTACTCGTCGGCTAGGGTCCTCCGCGCCCGGGCGGGAAGGTCGGGATGGTGCCGAACAAGAAGGGGGAGAAAGGAGTTTAGGAGTACGAACGACGCTCCAAAGGAGGTGTTCGAAATGATGGCGAGCAAGCCGCCGAGCAGGTAGGTCGACGAGGAAATGAAGATGTAGCAAGCCACGGCTATGCTACCAGTCCAGGCAAAGGTAAGAAGTAGCTTCTTTCTATAATTTCCGTGGTCCGCCGCGCAGCTAATGCTCACGACTATGACAGCCTGTAGAAGAACGCTGATGGAGAATGTGTACATGGCAAAGCTCGCCGTGTTGATGGTCATGCCGAGAACATGCACCACACATTGCGAGTCGCCACCCGTCTCTTTGCTCGTTGAGCTCGGGCAGGGCTTGGTCGGGTCGGACAACAGAACGCCATTCTCTCGAGCGAGGGTTTCTAGGAGGATCGGTATAAAAGACGCTGCAAGTTTAGGTAGGTTAGTCTAGGGGAGAAATCGAGTAGCAGGGGGTTGAGAAGCGGTCATCGAACGAGCGTGAAGACAGGATAAAACGACGTACAAATTCCTAATAGTAGAAAGAATTGATATTAGTATACAATTGCGAGCACAGCATATTTGACCTCGGACCATCTCAAATATCAGGGAGTTGTCGCAGTCGTGATGGGGTCGCGGTGGAGCGCGATATCAAGACTCACCGCATATGACGTAGGTTTCAGCTGCGAAGGCATACATGTACCAACCAGCCAGCTCCTTCTTGCTCGTCGGGCGGGTATCCTCTCCTATATAGCGAGGAGCCGGATGGTCGGAGAGAAGGCCGCCCTCGTCGGCATCGTGGCCGAGAAGGTGTTGGTCGGTCATGTCGAATCTCGCCAATCCGTTGAGGCACGCATTTACAGTTTGGGGTGCCTGGAAGAAGAGGAGAAGAGGATCACTCGCAAAGGGGGCTTGGGGTCCATACAACCTGGGGGCGGGTGAGCATTGACCGAGCTCCCACCACGTGCAGCACACCACAACCAACCGCACACTTCAATGTTCAATGCTCAATGCTCAATGCTGCCTCAGCTGACATCATTAGCTGGGCCTGGCTATCGATAAGGCCACCATTAGCAAATGACCTCGAGCCGATTTCTCACCCCGCCAGCAACATCTGCGTATTACGACTCCCAAGTGAGGTAAAGTCGCATTTTAAAACCAAAGGCTCCCCCAAAATTGAGAGGCAGCGTGAAAGGCGGTGGGACTAAGAAGCGCCATGGCTCAGTACTCTAACCGTACCGCCGAAATATGATTTCGTTTATAATAGCTACGGGATAAGTCTTCGAGTGATAGAGCGCAGATTTCGCTGATGAAGATAGGCAAGAGCTGAAATAGGAAGACAGGCAAGCCAGGCACGCCTCAGCAAGTGGAAATGGAGACGAAATTGCAAAAAGAAATCTCCCGAACCTGAATCGAACAGGTGACCCTCTGATTGAACTGTTACCATTACAGTCAGATGTCATGAACCAACTAGACCATCGGGAGTTTGTGATTGGTTATTCGTCGTTTCCTAATAGTGTGCCTAATGCTTTTCTCCTTCTAGGGCTGCTCCGTGGTGGAGACCTCAAGGGCCTTGTTGTAAGGCCAGGCACTCTATATGAAGCAGGCACTCGATCGCCCATTTCAGTGAAAGTCGCGAGTGAAAGCTAGTAAAAGCTCAGATTCTATTCCTACATGTAGGCTTTCTTTTTCTTTTTTTTTTTTTTTCCTTTTGCTAGAGCGGCAAGGCCTGACGGCTCTCTCATCTGCTGGATAAGCGGCACGCGAAGAAATTCGGCCCTTGCCCGGCTCTCCGTGACGCCTAAATGGCTCGCCCAACCCGCAAGCAGCATTTTTTTGTGATCAGAGGGACACCAACACACGACACGGCCCATGAACCGTGGTTGGCGCTCTCTATATCGGAGCCCACATCGGGACTCGGCGGCTGATCCCAATCTACGTCTTACGAAGCCGTCCCCGCTATACCATTCTCCACTTCCCCCAACATCCCCAATCCCTCCCTGCCTGCCCTCTTCCCTCCCCCTTTCCTCCTCCCCCAGATGTGACGTCCATAAACTACCGGCATTAAAGAGTGCAAGAGAGGAAGGAAACCGCGTACGGGTTGCCATTGCGATTCGACCGCCGCAGATATGGAGCACGAGTGGAGGAAGTACCCGCTCAAATCATACTCGAGGAAGAAGCGCCTTGGAAAATGGAGGCTCGTTCTGCCCTCGCTTTTAGACGGGCTTTTGTAAATGGGGGAGGAGGCCAAATGAAATTTATCAATACTACACACCGATGGGCTTCCCAGATCGAAGAGGGCTATTGACTGTAAACAGGAGTACCTGCGTAGCCGAGAACGATATTGGCCAGCGGTCGTTTATTACGAAGAGCTTACCTTTTGCTCTTGGCTTCTTCGCTCGACCAGTTTCCCGCGCCGATATAGTGTGTCTTGCCGCCCAAAGTAGAGGGCGAAAGTGGGCGAAAGGAAGACGAACGCTGCCAAGCGAGAAAAAAAGACAAGACAAAAAGCGTAGTCCTATCATCATCTGAACTTTTCTCACGACAGCCCGGTTAACGATGCAGTCGGCGTCTTGGCATCTAAAGGGGTCTCCAGGTCGACTCAATTCAGCTTTTGTTTAAGGGAGGCGGGGGTTCCTCTTGGAGACTTGGGATCTAGAGCCCGTTTCCCCCTCCCGGGACAAAATTTCAAGCTTTGGCTGTACAGTCCCTCGCCCACGGTTCTCATCGCCACCACGATCTCTCTGTACTTTCGCCGAAAACGTCTAGAAAAGTCTCGGAAACCTGGGGTACACGGGCAGGGGGTTAACTTTGAGGGGTATAGAGGACTGAGTGAAAATCTTCTCACGCTGCTGCAACCCATCTGCCTCCCACACACACACACACACACACACACACACACACACACACACACACACGCTCTCTTTCTCTCTCTGGCTCTTCCCCAAGTGCTTTCCCCCAATCCCCATCCAGCGGCAAGATGTTCCCCGGCTCCGTTATACCCGTGAGGGTGGTTCCCCAGATCGCCAAAGACGCCTCTGGCGGGACTTGGACGGCTTCGTAGCCACATGCATCCATCTCAACCCACGATGATTGCATGCTTTCCTCCTCCCGCCCAAGACAATATCCCCCTCGTCTGTTGTTGTCTGCGCGGGCCAAGATTTTCCGTCAATAAAAATGCTTTGCTCGGTAGAAGGGAGAAGTAGAAGAAGAATGCCTCTCCCTCTCCAGAAGAGTGAGCCGTAAGGGTGACGGTACACGTTATTTTCATTGCTGTCGAGTTCAGCCTATATCTCTGGTTCCTTGCCTGCGCCGACCCATACAAATGCAATATAAAGCAAGGTCCCATTCTCCCTCCGCCATGCATTTTTTGTCTTATGCACCCCACGAGGCGCCCGCCCCCGGCCATGGTTTTTAAGTCCCGATGACCGCCCCTCCATGCTCCGTACCACTATGTCCCATGCCGCTCACTTCCGGCCGCACCAAGTCTAGGTCGCGTTTCCCCTGCGCTCACTTTTTTCCTTTCTTGTCGCCCACTCCTTGACGATTTTAATTACTTCCTCTTAATATGACGGGCCGTGGCCACCGGGGATTCGTGGGTACGGTGCGGAGGCGAGGAGCAAATCAAAGGGCCATGGGACCTCGACTACCATGTATAGGCGACAGAGCCCTTCTCCACCTTGTTTTCCCACAGATTAAACAACTAATCCGCACTATATGTCTTTCTTCTCTTCTAGAGGGGGGATGGAGTATCCGAGAAGAAAGAAAGAAAGAAGAAGAAAAAAAACAAGGGCCCACAGGTAAATCGCACTCGTCTGGGTGAACCTTGCGGTGGGAGAGCCTTATGAGCCCCCGGAGGGCGAGGAACAACATAGGACGCCCCGCAAACATACACCCCCTCCTCTTCCTCTCGAAGCTCCATGAGCCCTCCCCTTCCCCCTTTCATTGAGGGTCGCCTCGTTTGTCCCTCCCCTCAATATCGCCCCGCCTATCCTGTCATTTCATTGAGAACCTATAGGTCAACGGGGGTACCACTTCCACCTTCCGGCCAGGAGATATTTTGATGAATGGGGTCATGGGATGCGGAGTAGAGCCAAGGGGTGGGGAGGACAGCAGCCAGGTGCTTTGGAAAAGTCGGCCATGATTGTCATTGGGGGTTGGTTTCCGGGAAGATATTCGATAGTGCCCCCGAATGCTCCGGCGAGGTGAGGTGCAAAGCCGCCGCCGCCGCTTCACCTCTTTGTTAGTGAGGGCACACACCAAAGCAACCTTTACTGTATATATGGATCAATGTATATATGAGCCTCCTCCCCTCTCCCTCTCTTGGTCCTCCGCCACGAGCTGGAATATCTCGGAAACTCCTTCACCACCCACTCCTCCTCCCTCCCTCTCCTCCAGTGCCTTCCCCTCGCCTTGTCTGGTCTCCCAGCTTGTGTGCTTCTCCATCCACCCCCATCCAACCCCCGCCCGCCTACACATACACGCACACACACGTGTACACACACACAAACGACGCAACCATGAAGTTCGGCAGCATCCTCATGGCCGGCGCCGCCGCCGCCGTGCCCTTCATGGACCTCGAGCCCCGCCAGGCCATCGCCAACATCGACAGGATGATGAAGGAGAAGGGCAAGCTCTACTTCGGTACCTGCGCCGACCAGTCTCTCCTCAGCAACGCCCAAAACACGGGCGTCATCTCCGCCACCTTTGGCCAGCTCACCCCGAGAACTCGATGAAGTGGGACCAGATCAACAAGGCGCAGGACTCGTACAACTGGCAGCCCGCCGACTTCCTCGTCGACTACGCCGTCAAGAACAACATCACCATCCGAGGCCATACCCTCGTCTGGCACTCCCAGCTCGCTGGATGGGTCAACAACGTCCGCGACAGGACCCAACTCACCAAGGTGATTGAGGACCACGTTGCCGCCGTCGTCGGCAGGTGGAAGGGCAAGATCCGAGCTTGGGTAAGTCGTTTTGTTTTTCTTTTTTTCTCTCTCTTGGGGGAATGGAGCTGGCGACTGTGACTAACACGCCGCGTCTTGATAGGATGTCGTGAACGAAATGTTCAACGAGGACGGCTCCCTCCGCCAGTCCGTCTTCTCCAACGTCCTCGGCGAGGACTTTGTCAAGATTGCTTTCGACGCTGCCCGCAAGGCCGATCCCGATGCGATCCTTTACATCAACGACTACAACCTCGACAGCCCGACCTACGCCAAGACCACCAACGGCATGATCAACCACGTCAAGAAGTGGCTCGCCGCCGGCGTCCCCATTGACGGCATTGGTACGTTCTTTTTCTTCCTTTTTTCTTTTCTTTTTTCTCTTCCCTCTCCATTCTCCGCGAATCCTATTTTCTTCCCTTCTTCTCTCCCGCCCAAAACTGACAATTCGGCACTCCTACAGGTTCCCAGGGCCATCTCACCCCGGCCAAGCCGGCGCCCACGTCGAGGCCCTCAAGGCCCTCGCCGCCACCGGCGTCAAGGAGGTCGCGACCACCGAGCTCGACATCCAGCAGGCCCCCGCCGCCGACTTCGCCACCGTCGTCAAGGGCTGCCTCGGCATCGAGACCTGCGTTGGTGTCACCGTCTGGGGTGTCCGCGACCCCGACTCGTGGCGCGCCAGCACCAACCCTCTCCTCTTCGACGGCCAGTACAACCCCAAGGCCGCCTTCACCGCCATTGCCCAGGCGCTCCAAGGATAAAAGAGAGAAAAAACAAAAAGAACATAAAAAACTACGTATATACATGAATCAAAGAAGCACGCCACCCTTTTTTCTTCCCTGGGCGAGAACGGGAGGGAGAGAGTGAGAGGCGGGGAGGGGGAGAACTCCCCTGAGACGGGGGTAAAGGCGGAAGATGTCAATGTTATAAATAGAAGCTTGATTCGAATCCTCGTCACAGCCTTGTATATACATTTCTTTTCTTTTCTTCTTCTTCTTGGAAACGTTTCGCGGCCCCATTCATTGATGAGTGCATGGATGGATATAAGACAATTTCAAATTGCGGGAGTATATAAGGCAAACTGCCCACATCCCTAAACATGAGGGTTCCAAACGGCGAAGGAGCAATAAGAAATTTTACATGCCTAACCTATCAATTTTTGCCCATTCGTGATCTTTCTTCAGGTGAATTGCTACCTCTCCGGGATTTCCTCGTCTCCCCCACGCCTCACGCCCCACGCCTCACGTCTAATCCGTCTCCCCTCGGATAGTTGTCACACAGCGCATCAGGATGGAAGTTGGCTATGGATGTACGTGAGGAAGAGAAGACTTCGGAAGAAGAAAAAAAGTGGTGTATTATCATTTAACGAACTGACTCGGCGTATTTCTATCCAGCAACCGCAACCGCAATACGTGCATGGGGCAGGAGGTGGCATGCGAGAACAGCATCAGGAACTAAACAACGGGTTCGGGGATATCATTCGATATAAACGTTGGAAAAACATGCGACAGGAATAGAGAAAGCCAAGTGCCAGCGGCAACAAGACACCACGCGAAAAAAATGGCACGGCGAAGCAAAAGAAAGGGGAGAGAGGGTGAATCAAGGGAGACGAAGAGGTGGCAGTAGACAATGAAGATCTCGGGGAGTGTCCAGCTATCGTGCAAGACTAGCGTCGAGAATGACCACCAGTCGAGGGATCCAATCCGTTCTTCCATGTTGGCCGTGAGACGAAACGCATCCACAATTCTGGCGGCCCAAAATCATCAAGGAAGACAAAAGACCTTGTTTATTTCTTGAAACCAAAGATCTTGCTCTTCAACTTATCGGCCAAGCTAATCGGCACCTTGGCGGGGCATCCTCGGCCGGGGTGGACGAGGCGTCGCCGGAGGAAGCGCTCTTCTTGCGCTCGTTGCCAGCACCGCCGCGGCCGGTGTGGTAGTCTTGGTTATCGGTGCTAGGGCGGACGGCGGCATCGGGGATTATGACCTTGTCGGCGCGACGAGCGGCATTGCTGCCAGCGTCGCCAATGTTACCGGAGCCTATATGTGGACAAAGATGGGGTAGTTAATATCACACTCTTGCAGCCTCGACCCCCTTTGAGGTACTTGGTGGGTATGCAGGCATGCGCCGGCATTCTGACGTGCTGCCTGGCTCGAGACTCGAAGCCTCGACTGATTTTTTTGGGGGAGAAAGAAACGGGTCAGGACGTGGCATGGGCGAGGTCGGAGCTGCCTGCTTCTCAGCACTTGCTTGATGAAGAGCCTAGCAGACCCCTGTCGGCTGGGCCATGAATGATATCAGAGAGATCACTGATATCAGCCGAGTTGAGAAAGAAACAGGCTGTGGTTGGCTGGAAGGGCAGAAGCCAAGAAAAAGAAGCGCGGGATGCAAGATAAGGCGAGCTGGTCCTAGCTTCATCTCCTGATAAGGATAACAGAAAATGTACCCAGGTACATTGGTACTCGGAGCCCCATGCCTGCCCGGACATCCACGCTCTAGTTATCTCGGAGAGTCTGTAAGGCGCAAGGGGAAAAAGGAAAAAGAAAGAAAAAAAAAAGGCTTTTTCAAAACATGAAGAGACAGGAGGAAAGACCGAGAAAACAATGGGGACGTCCAGGGTAGAAAGGAGGGAAAGAAGAAGAAGGAAAAAAAGAAGAAAAAAGAGGAAAGCGTGAGTCTCACCTCCTCGGCCGGTGCTGAATGCGCCATCTCCATGGCTTCCCTCAACGCCAACGCGCACCACCTCGCCATCAACATATTGGGTGTCGTCGACGTTGATGTTGCCGGCGCCGCCACGGCCGTGGGATACTTCAGCGGAAGGCATCGCGCAAGGTAGGACTTCTAGAAGACGTCGGCGACGTAGAATGGGACGTAGAATGGGACGTTGATGGCAGGATCAGATAACAGAAGGGAAAAGCGCGTCCGAAGAAGGTAGCGCGGGAAGCTGCAATGCTGTTCGGTTTTGGGTTTCGCAAAGGGCTCGTCTGGGATTGTCGTTGTCTTGACGGGTATGGCAGCGGGCGCAAAGTCGTTGCTATCGGACCAGTAGAAAAAGGAAGAAAAAAGGGCAAGAGCGGAGGGGGAGAGAGTGGCGAAAATAAATTGAACGATGGGGAGAGTCAACAAAAGGGTTTCGTCGAGCAAGGGAAAAAAAGGTCTGACGTCGAGATAAGGACGAGGTTCGAGGTACCCAAGCTGAGTTATATAAGTTTTGACTTTTGAATGTTGGACGTTGATAAAGCACACCACTTCCCCGTTCAAGGTTCTCTGTGCACGTTGCGGAGTTGTGGGCTCGGGGCCTAACGGCGGAATCAAAAACGTAAAAGGAAAAAGAAAAAGAAAAGAACATTGAAGTCTCCCTTCCCCCTCTTCCCCTTCCACTTTCCCTTCCCAGCCAAAAGAGAGAGGCGCCGAGACTGGAGAGCGGCCAGGCGGCAAAGGCTTGATGTGGGCTTCCATTCCACTATCCCACCCCTAGCAAGCGGACAATCCCATCTTACATCACATCTGCACAAGTAGAGAGGCGTGTGTATATGCGGTACCGCTCCGCATTCCGAAGGGGAGGGGGAAGGGCAAGGAAATCTATGCCGTACATGTATAGATGGATCCAATGGATCTATTACCATTGGATCCATCTGGCACCAATAGGTTCTGGACTGTTCAACGGAGTCACCTCACTAGTGCCACTATCCCGTTTTGCTGGGTAATTATGGGGTCATGGATGCTCCATGGGGAGGGACTCTCAGCTGATGGGGGACAACAAAAAAAACTTGGAGAATTGGGAACCTGTGCCACATTGTGCAGCCAGCATGGATCCATCTTTGCAGGTGTCGGGACAGCCGCGAGTTGCGTTGCTCAAGGAGGAAACGGACATGCCCGCTTGCACATTCAAACGAGCGAGGGACGGAGCTGGATGGGCGGCGAACACGCCTGGCTACCAAGACTACCTCTCGGAGTCGATTTCCCACAGCTGATGGGCATCGGAACTTAACGGAGCAGTGCGAGCCATCATTGATCAATGCTTCTCAATGGCCACCTCGATGATCAATGATGCCTGGCCTACCCGTATCATCTCCCCACGGCTAGCCCGCAGCCTCCAACCGTTATCAACGAGTTCCGACGACGGTTGCGCCGCTAATACTACAAGTCGTTCGTACCCACCCCGGTCCACCAGGACCCTGAGAGATTTTGCTCATGGGTCCACTAGGGAAGACGGTGGATTGCTCTTCTGACGATGAGTTCCCCTTGCCAAGCTGTTTACTGCATTTCTAACAGATCAACTTGTTTGAGCGAATCAACACTGCTCGTCTTTTTTCTTTTCTTTTTCTTACATCTACTATTGTATTCATTCAAGGTGGCTCGAGGTCTCGCGTGCTTGTACCTGAATCTTGAACCTTGTCCTCGGTAGAAAAAGGCAACGAATAGTTATGGACACAGCCACTCGGAGCTGGCGTGAATTTGCCAACACGGACCCGAGATGAACGATCAATTCGATTCGAGTCGAGCCAGGTCCTCGCTTTTCCGCCTGCGCCTATGCCTGCGCCTATGCCAGTCTCCGGCGAGCCAAGACACCACGCTCCGGTGCAGTGCCAGTGCCAGTGCCAGTCCCAAGAGATCCATGTGTGGCCCCCCGCTCACCCTCCTCCCCACCTTTTCTTGAGTCCTTCTCTTTGCCTCTTCCCTCCCTAAAGCCGATCGGCCAGTCAGAGCGCCTCGTTCCCTTTTACGTACCTGAATTTGGTGAAATCTGAAGTCGCCCCAAACCCCCTTCAATTGGCCCTGACCCTTCCTTCATGCCATCTTCCCATTGTGCAGACCCCGATAAGATAAGAGATCGATCCCAGACAAACCCATCAGCCACCATCCACATCGAGATTGATCATTTCACCTGCACGCCAAGGAAAACCTACCTCAGCCAAGCACGCGCATCACCTGGTGAAGGCTTGCCTTTGACATTGGCATACCCGCATCTTGCCTTTTCAAAGAGCTATCCTTGGGGAGACTCCATGCTGGTCCCCTGACGACACCTCCCTTCCCTTCCCATGCAGCAAGCATACTTGTACCGTCCGCCGACACTAATCCAGCTTGTCTTTATTTCTCTCCCTTGCTTGTTCCCGGTTGTATGGGAAAAGAGCACCCCCACCCCTGGCTTGGAAGCAGCGAGCCAAGCCCTTGACGTGAACCATACACACTCTCCCTTCTTCTCCTATCACGTCCGACGCTGATAACGGAGACGGACGCCTATCAGCAAGACGCATCTAGGCTTACATGGAACAACCACCCCCTCTCCTCTCTTCGCTAAACATCCGCACGGCATCGTCTCCGAGATACGGCCACGTCCACGTCCAGCTGCCTCACTCTTCGGAAAGATGCAAGCAAAGCATTCTATGACGCATTCACGGGATCCGCGGCCGCTTTCCAAACTAGAATATTCTTCTACATCCCCTGCATCTCTCCCCATTACCCCACGTTTTGCAACCTTGCATTTCCGATCACGGCCGGATACTGCCCGGACCTCTCAGCGCATCGTGTGTTTGACAACATCTAGATACTACTTGTATGCCACTCGTCTTTCACCTGCCCCATAACCCTCAAAGGTTTCTTCTCCTAAATCTTCCGTAGTCCGGCTTAGATGCCGGAGAATGCGTGCCGGCTTCCTCAGCTGATAAGATGGAATAATATCGGATTACCGAGTTGGTGCCAATCCAACCTCTAAAGAACCTGATCTAGCTAGTCTGTCTTGGCAGTATATCCATGATCCGCCCTCGCTCACCTCTCCACCTCTCCCTCTTGCCCTCTTGCCCTCTTGTCTTGACTCAATGATAAGAAACACAAACCAGAATATGACCCAAAAAAGTGAACCCGCAAAAGAAGAACAAGAAAAAGAAACAGGGCAAAGAATACCAACCATACAAACTTCCGCTGCTGGAATGCGAAAAAAAAAAAAAGAAAAGAAAAGCTCTAATAAAGTAATTCGTCCTCTCTTAATCATTATACAGGAGTTGTGGTGAGGATGAAATACAACCTCTCTCCGCCTAGCTTGATCGGAGGATTAGCTGCCCCCAACTCTCCTTCCTCCATCATTTCTCGCACGATGGCCTTGAGTTGACCCTCAGTATCCCCTCCACTCGCGTTCGTCACCTTCTCCGCGAGTTCGATTTTCTTTGGCACGCCTTGTAGATAAGTTCCTCCACCGTGCCCTGCGCTATCAGGTGAATCACTTCCACCGGTCGCGTCTGCCCTAGGCGGTGCGCCCGGTTCTCCGCTTGCCGATCATCCTGCGGGTTCGATGACATGTCGAAGATGATGACTTTGTTCGCTCCCGTAAGGTTGATGCCAGTTCCGCCAGCCCCCGTGGTGAGCAGAAACACGGGTATATCGGCGTTCTTTGGAACCTGTTGATCTCTTTTTGCCGCTCGCCGACGGCGCTCGAGCCCGTGAGCATACAATACTCGATCTCCTCATGCCCAAAGACATAGGATAGAATCTCAATGACCTTGGTGAACTTGCTAAACACAAGCACCCGGTCGCCGTTCTTGCGGTATTCTCCAATAAGCTCTAGCAGCTTTTGGATCTTGCCACTCTCCTTCCACGACCCTTTAGGCACGTCGAACTTGCGTAGAAGGGGTAGGAAATCCTGACAGTACAGATGCAAGTCAAAGTCAGACCGACTCTGCAAGTCCCCGAGCAAGAGGTGGAACTTGGGCTCGGCAAGGTCGAGCTCTTTGTACGGTACACGGTTGAACAGGATGTCTGCCATCTCCTGGGTCGTCTCGTCGCTAAAATGCCGTCGAAACAGCTGCAAATGCAGCGCCGCCTTCTTGAGCTGAATCCATACGTTGTTCATGTCGTTTCCGCGCGCACCCACAGCTTCTTTACACGCTCGCTCGGCTCGCTTCGGAACATCTTTTCGTATCTGTCGTAGACCTCCTTCTGCGTGGGGGTAGATCGCAGTAGATGATGGAGTGCGTCTTCTTGGGCAAATTTTGACCGACCTGGTCCTTTTGCCGCTGCAATATAAACGGCTCTAGGATAGATCGCGCTCGGCTGACTCGTTCGCCATAGAGCAATGCGGTGTTGGTAAGATTTCGGGTGTGGATCTTGTGGTCGAACACGTAGCGTATCGCCTCCATCCTATCCTTGAAAAGGTCGGGATCTACAAAGTGGAGGAGCGAAACCATCTCCATCAAGTGATTCTGGATGGGCGTGCCTGAGATGAGTAACCGCCACCTTGTCCGTAGCTGATGGAGGCGCTGGTACTGGAGCGTAGTTGGGTTTTTGAGGATCTGTCCCTCGTCAAAGATTGCTGCGTTCAGGCCGAGACCGTTCAGGTTGCGCAAGTCGTCCTTTGCGAAAACTGGGTATAGGAAGTGACAATGGCGTGGTAGCGCTCCGGATCGTCGGCCAACTCCTCCGCAATCTCGTCGCGCTGGGCGCGAGAGCCGCTGTACTTCATGACGTTTAGCTCGGGGGCAAACTTTTGAACTCTAGGATCCAATTATCCAAGGTGGATGGGGGCACAACGATGAGGTTGGGAAATGGCCAGTCCTTGGTCTCTTCGTTGTTGTAGTCGTCAAGCATCCGCGCCATGAGCCCAACAACTTGACATGTCTTGCCGAGGCCCATGTCATCCGCAAGTATCCCGCCATAGCTGTTCTTGAAGAGGAGGTTCATCCAATTGACTCCAAATACTTGGAAGTCGTGCATCGGTGTCTCTTCGGACATGTAAGAGGGCTGTGTATCGACAAAGCCTGAGCCCGCACTCGAACTCTTCCCCTTCTTCTTCTGACCGAAAGCGTCGATGTGCCATGAGTCAAACTGCTTCTTGAGAAATGCCGCACGGGCTTCGCTCTCCGACACGACCATGTCCACCATAGCGATAGACCGCATGAAATTTCGCGTCTTGTCGATGATGGCCTCTCCAATCTCAACCTTTTGCCTCTTCTGTTTTCCCCGACCTTCTTTGATCTTGGAGACGCTTTCAACACTGGAGATAGAAGAGAATGGGCGCTTCTTGATGAGGAGCTTCAGATCGGCTTCCGCCGCCCCGGTTAGAGCGGCAAGATCCTGGAGATCCAAGTCGTTGAGCAGTTTCAGTAGGCGCTCGTCCTCTTCCGTGTGCACACCATCGTCTGTGGCCGAGTCGAAGGCATCTTCTTCGCTGTCAGAAAGGACAGTAATAGGGACCTCGGGAGTGGTCGCTTTTGTTGACCGCTGCGACGACGGAGTCGATGAGGTTCGGGAAGAAGGTGGCGAGGAAGGAGCACGTTGCGCTGCCGCCCGGGACGTAAGCCTTGCATGAGCCTTCGGCGTCGGGGTGCTACGAGCTCCTCCTCCTCTTCCTCTTCTTCCTTTTCCGAGCTATCGCTATCGACCACGACATTCTTCGCCCGACCTCGCGCCGGACCGCCCGTCTTGGATCCGTTGGTTGGCAGGCCTGACTTCCCTTGACCTCTGTACTTAAAAGATTCAAAGTCAATCAATCTCGCCTTAGCCTTCTCCTTGGGTTTCGCTTCAGGGGCGGGCTTGGGCTATGGTATATGTCAGTTACGGCTTGGGATCTGGGGCGCGTATCCCTATTGAGGTGGCACAATAACTAGAAGGACGGCAAGGGAGCTAGGCTGAGATACCTTGCGCGAAAAGAGAGTAGGCTTGATGTCTGCGCGATCCTCCACCATGTCATCTCCATCCTCATCAGAGGAAAGGTCAATTATATCCGAGGCGCGTTTCTGAGGAATCGTGGCCTTCGGGAGGTTACCGATACCCATTCCTTGAGAGGTCCCGGTGAGGGCTGGCTTTTGGGGACTGATAGGAAGGGGCCGGCTAAAAATTTAGTGATGGGCTGGTGCCGGAAAGGAAGGCCAGAGGAAGAATTGCTCGAGGTTTGTTTCGTGAGCCGGGGCGGTTTGCTCACGGGCTGTGGGGGTGAGGACGAGAGGATTTGCTCGGGGAAGGGGGTCGTTGCGATGCCTTCCGTAACAGCTTCGGTTCGGGATTGGCGATAATCTGTGTGGGTTGGGTAATGTAAGGAAGTGCCTGGAATTCTTTCATCGCCGAGTTCGTCAATCTCAGAATCGTAGAGTGAGGCGCGCGGTGGGGTGGCAGGTATAACGCCTGCCAACGTGGGAGGGCTCGAGGCTCGTGCCATAGTTTCGAAGGGGTAGGTTAGGCTCCCTACAGCGGCCAAGAAAAAGGTACGGCTATAGCTATTACCGGGCCAAGCCCCGTCCGCTTCGTCAATAGACAGGAAGATCAATAGAAGCAGATCGTAGGACCCGTGAACAAAAAAAATGGGGTGGAAGCTGGTGGGAGGCTGAATGGTGATTCAGGAAAGAGGCGGTGGGCCAGCGAGAAAGTGTGGGGAAGGTGGCGGGTCCACAGCCAACCAAAAAAGAAAGAGGGAAGGTGCGAGCGAGGGGAGAAAGGGACGTGGATTAAACAATGCGTATGGTGAAGGAAGGATGCCAACGATGTAACAATTGGGTTGGGGTTGGGCTGCTCCGCTCCGAGGTCTGGTGCCTTGATCGTGGCGGTCATGAATTGTGGCAAGCCATTGAAGATTTATTAGGCCACTACACTATTGGGGTGGGCGCGACCCAAGCCATTGGGGAGAAAAAAACCGCCCTTGACGCGTTACGCCAAACGCCCCTCTTTAACTTTCTGGAAGGAACACGCTATCACGTGATACGACACCGGGAGGAGTGGGGAGCTCCATTTCCGCCTTCGACCGTCCTTGCAAGGGTAACTGCGGATTGAAGCAACACTTTGGCACAACATCTGCTGGCGGGATGTTTGATTGATACTTTTAGTCTGCAGCACCCCGATTGAGCAGCAACAAGCTCAGTGATAACAAAATACGAATATTCTATCTCTTCTCTAAAATTAGAGGCTGTGCCCACCCATACCTGTGCGCATTGCCATTTATCGAAAATTGAAGACGACAAGTCGGCTCTACTTTTATCTTGTAGGTTCGCGCTTTCGAAGCTATCATATGCTAGCTAGGCTTCCAAGTGGGATGCGCATCACTTTACCAAGGGCTACCCACCAGTTTGGACCCAGCCTTTGCCCCTATGCCGTACTGCTCCCATGTAGAGGAGATTGGAGCAAACTTTCCCCGAGCTTTAAACAAGAGATAATCTACTCAGCTAACATAAATAACTAGGAACAATCCTCTCTCCTAAACTACTTCCGCCATGGCAACACGTCGGACGATCTCTTCTGAGAAGTCCATCTCGGAAAAGGATGACCACATTGGTGGCAGCTCTACAGGTCTCGAGTCATCTACTGTTGGCCCTGCTGTGCCCGGGTAGGTACCGTGCCATGCTTCCATCTTCTTCCCCTTCACGGAATCGAGAAGAGAGTGGGAAGATGTTAACAAGAGCCTTCGCTCAATGTCTAGCCACGTCATTGCCAAACTTCTCATCTTTACTCTTGCCATGGTAGTCCTCCCCATAGGGTCTTACTTCGCCTCCGTAAACACTCTGTTCAAAGGTACGATCCGTCCTTCTCTTCCCCTTGTTATAGATGACGTCTTTTCTGGCTCCTGCTCGTGCTCTGGGCAGGCGAACTTCTTCTTTTGATGCGCAGGCACAACGACCGCACCGCACACGTCGAGCTAATCAAAGAAAAATAGGCAATACCACATACGCAGGTGGATTGGCCGCCCTCATGGCGAATGTCGTGCTCGTTGGCTACGTTGTCGTCGCCATGAAGGAGGATCAAGGAGATAGAAAAGAACCCAAGGCGGAGGGGAAGAAGGACCGCTAGTGGAGGCTGTGGATCGGCCATGGGAAGCCAGCGTGACATGATTTAATTGTATTATCTAGGGGTGGCATCTTGTTTTGTACTGGTAATGCTCTCGGGCGCCACGTACGGGACTCTATGTTGTCTTTACAGCGGTCCACCACCTCTTTGCGTTGCCTCAAATGGATTGTAAAAATAGAAACGATCAATACGGTCTGTTGTACGTGGTCCAAGACCGGAGCCAAGAATGGAAGCCGTTATGACATTATTGAAGCCGCTATTGATGGCTTTGAAAGCGCTTTGCCCCTGTTGCTCAATGATATTATACTTCTGCTTAAGGCTGCCAAAATACTAAAAGGGAAACGGAAACAGGATGGCGAGACCATCATCCTCCCCTTGAACAGAGGTGTAGATCGTCCTCACCAGACCGATTACCCTCCGCAAAACTACCAGTGCTACCGCAAACACATGTCCTCCATGAACCCCCTCCGCGCAACATCAGTTGTCGTTGCCCCTAGCCGCTTTGCCTGCCCGAATTCCTTTTTCTTCCCACCAAAAATCAACCAAGTAGTTCCCAAAAAAGAAAGAAGAAACCCCCAATTCCCAGAATGACGAAGACGTTTCAAGGTCAAAAGGAAACAACGAAAATAAAACAAAGAGGCAAGGGAATGATGCTGCAAATTTGCCGTCTTGAACCCTCCGAAGGGCTACACCTGTGTCGTAGGGTCCCACATCCAATCCCCAGTCATTGTTTCCCAGCCGTGACGACTTCTAAAATATGCGGGGCGTCCTAACCTAAGACTTTTAAATGGCAGCAATCGAGGGTCGCTCGTGCTGTCTCCGATTAGCGTGGGTCTCCGTGCTACTGCCCCGCATGTCGAACGCAAAAAGATGAAGAGCCCAAGAATATTGAGAGGCTGAGAGACAAGTGAGATGTTGTCTCAATGAATACAAGATGTGCTGAAGAATAGCCGACAGTACTCGAGAATCCGTCTGGCGTTAGGGTATCGCAATAAAACAAGATACAAATGAGAAAAAAAGAAGGTGAGGAAAGCCGGAGCCGAATATAGGACGATCAAGGCGCCAAACTTGGGGCCAAGGGAAACTAAGGGCGGTTTAAAAAAATGAGTCGTTTCAAGGAAAGTAAGGTTGAAATGAGTAAATGCTGTCCGCTGTCTGGTTGGCGAGTATTGCTCTGTGCACCACGACTATGAGTTCCTACTGAAGCGGCGGAAGAGCCAGCTCTTTCTCTTCTCCGGCTGGGGTTTGGCTGGGGCGAGGTTCGCCCGGGGCATGACATCCTTTCGGGGCACGGTGGGCGGAAGGTTGCTGGCCAAGGTTCCTGGTACCGGCTTCTTTTGCAAAGTGACAGGACCTTGCCCATTAGGATGGACGGAGAAGGGCTGTGGCTGATAGGCTGGTTGTCCCTGGAATCCGATGCCATAGTCATGTGCGGGCACGGGGGCGGTTTGGTAGGCGATATCCGGTCGAAAGAGCTGTTGTCACTACTAGGATCTGTCTGATACCCTCCGTGTTCGCCACCGCTACCGCCGCTTGCTGTTGTTACCGTTTCGTAGGACCGGTCGCGATGTTGAGGAGGATACACGCTGTTGGGCTCCCTCCGGCTGGGTTGTTTGAGGTAAGGCTCGGATTGCATCCTCGACGCTCTTTGCCTATTACCCCAAGGTCCGTTAGGTCCGGGGCTCCGCCGTATCCGTTTTGGCCCGGAAACCCGCCATTGCCATTGCTTCCGTATGGTGGGTATCCACCGTAGTGTTGCGGGTCGTGATAGCTATCCCGGGGCGAAGGTCGTGGGTCGAAATGCGAAGTGGGGCGACTCCCATAGTAGTTGTCCTGGGGATACCGATTACTATTTCCGGGGACAGAGAGCAGACTCTGGGCGCGGCTCGCGGCATAGTTGCGGTTTCCATTTCCATAGATGCTGCCCCTTCTGTTCCAATCTGCTTCGGACTGAGGGCGGTTCAAGGTTGGCCTCCGGTAGGGCCCATCGATGGCGGCTTCGAAGCTACGAATTGTGTCGAGAGGTCGCTCCCATCGGCTCCGAGTAGGGTTGGATTTATCGGGTTCAGCTGCGAGAACGTCGGGGTTAGCAACGCAAGGTCAATGCCCTACATGATCCTAGGAAAAGTACGGTGGCATGCGCTTACAGATTGGGTTGCCGTAGACATCCTTGTGCTGTAGAGATCGGAGTGGGGCAAGATTGTTTCGCTCTGTCGCTTGTACGGCCGCTACGTCGAGGAAAGAAGGAGAGAAAGCGCCATGTTAGTGTGTGCACTGAATATGCGCTCGCGATGGCACAGTCGGGAGAATAGTAGAAAGGACCGTCATACCTGGTTCAGCTTCATTCATGGCCAACGTTGGGTCAGCCTTGCTGTGTAGTCGACGCGATTCTTTCTCGGCGGTCGTCTCGAACAGTCGCGGACGTGCGTTGTTGGATTTGTCGGAATGGAAACTGAAAGATCGAGAACCTTTCCTCGGCCTGGAGCCATTGTCGACGGCGGCCATCTCGGACGAGGCGGCGAGGGTTTTGTCGTTAAAAATGAAGTGGCGGCTTTCCTTTCTGGGTCACTCGCGGAACGGAACGATTGTGGTTTGTGAATATGCCCCGGCGAGGTGAGACCTGGTGGTGCGAGATGTAGACGAGCCTTCCAAGTCAACAACGAAAAGAGTTACTCGAGCGGAAGGGCTTTCTTTCCTTGGAGAAAGTGAAGAGGGAGGGGGTGGGTTTCTCTTCTGGATATAAATCGGGCTGGGAAGTTGCCGCGCTGGGTGGGTTTCCGGGAAGCGTGGCGGGAGGGATAGGAAGCTAGGCAGGACCCTTCACGTCGGAAGTAGAGAGGGGATGATGATGGGGTGAAGGGATCGAGAAAACGAGCTGGGGAAAGTTGAAAGTCGAGGGTGACGAAGCAGCAGGGAGTGACATTCCCCGGGGGCATAGGGTGATGTGGGCGTGTGCGAGGTGGAGTGGTGTCAGCGTGGGCATAGGCGTCGGATCAATGTAGCGAGGTTGGCTTCACTGTTATTAGTTCGGGTGCTGATGCAATGCCGCTTGCTGTTGATGGGGGTACGCTATCAGCGCAGGTGGAGTCTAGGCTGGACTCGAATCTAGTTGGGGAGGCCTGGCTGTCGCAGAATCAGTACAGAATCAAGGCAGAGGCGTCTCGTGTGTGGCTGGGATTGATTGGCCCACTGGGTCCCGATTGACCCGCCCATGGCCTCTCCAAGTCACTTCAATTGACGGACCTCGTAATACAAGTACACCCCCTGGAGAGTGCGCACACCAACATCGAACTTTCGTCGGGAGCTCGTTTTGGGGGCGCAGGGGGCGTGGTGGGGCGCGCTGGTGTGAAATGGGGGTGGGGTGATATTAGCCCACGACAATACAATCGTCGATGGGATTTGCACCTCGATTTGATGTCGAGAGAAGCTGAGTGGATGTACCGTCAACGCACGTTGGTTAGTGAGGCAACGCCTTTTCCAAGCAACGTATACACCAGATGAAGTCTAGTACTTCGTACAAGCAGTACAGTGGAGTGCTCGATGGAGTCTCGGTCAGCCAAGATGATGGCAGCGTTCAATCCTGGCCTCATGGATGAAGCAGCAACCTGGTGCTGCTCCTGGCAAGGGGAAAAGCTGGGGAATCAGCACAGCCCGTGTTGCTTGAATACCAACTACTATGCAATACCGAGGTTTGCTGTCAATCGCCATCAGCCCTAATATTTGTAGCTTCCGTTCCGATGAAACGAGTCTTTAATCGGGAGATATCCATGTTGAAAGGCTAAAGGATAGCTTGGGTAGGGTTTCTTCTCTCTTTTACAAGCGCTATTATTTGGTTGGCTATCGTGCGTCTTGCTTGCAACGTCTTACCTGGAGGACGAAGGCCGACAGAGTTTTGGACGTCAAGCTAACTACTACTTCTTCTCCAACAGAAAGACCAGCCAGTCCCTGTGTCAATCGCTGTGCTTTGTCGGTGTACCGGACATCTCTCCCATAGCAAGTCTGCCCAGGTAGATCAGTGTATGATTGGCCTCTACAGTTGGGCCTAATGTATATCGCCTGCTAAGAACGGCGGTGATGTGCTATTATGAGGCGTCGATCAGAGGCATGGTTCTACGAACACAGTGAGACGCGGGGAGGGGGACCCTTTTTCGCCCCCTTTTTTCTTTTCTTTTTCTTTTTCTTTTGGGTGCTCCCATCTTCCCTTCTTGTCCCCTTCTGTCAAGCGCTGAATCAAAGTAAAACCTTCAACCCCAAGCTAAATCCCCTTGCTTTGAGCCAGGCCGAACGTTTTATGCTGAGAGCATTTACATGCCCCTAGTAGATGGAAGAGGCCAAGTGCGCTTAACCATCTCACTTCTAACAATTGATGTCATCCCAACGTTTGTTCGACAGGAGGGACAAAGGATGAAGTTTGCCGGAACGGTTGGTCCTGCTTTTCGATGTCACAAAACGTTTAAAGGAAAATGGAACACCCGTCCATCTCAAGCGAAGCGATTTCACAGCACATAAGCCGTGCAGGCACAAGCCCGAAATGCACCTGTGGGGAGCTTCAGCTTATGTTGCTCCAGTCTCCAATTCGTCGGCTCGGCTGGATTTTTCTCTCGTGTCTTTTGGTGGGGGCGGCTCTTCATATAAAAAGAAAAGAAAAGAAAAAGTCTCAGGACCCTCCAATATTAGCTTGTGTTGACTTTCATGATTGAATACCATACCAGCGGTCCTTCTCCTTTCAAGACGGACCATCAGGAGGATGTCCCTCGTGTGCTGTTTCAGATGGAGAGAAGCGGACGACGGCCGGGAGGACATCACACATGTATTAGGCCCAGCCGCCTGCCGAGAGCAAGAGTTCAGCCTAGCCCCCACGAGGGCGAAGCTCAACAAAGACCTGTGTCAGCAAGCGGAATCGGATTTTGGAGGACCCCGTCGATCCGATGTGTTCTGGAGCTTGCATTTGTTTGTGGGAAGCATTCCTTCTTCCCAAGAAGAAACCCTCCACCAGCGCTATGGGAGAGAGGAGTTTGATGGGAGCTTACTTTGCGGCCACTGGTCAAGGTAGGTGATGGCCGGGTTGGAACACTTGGTTTCATCCTCACCAAAAAGGGTGTGCTGTGATGTCAGACCTTCGTCGAGACTCCACCCCACCCCCTAACCCTGATTCGGTGTCCCGTTGCTAGGCAGTATCACGTTTTTAGACACCCCCTCCCCTCCTCTTGAGATTATGAGGCGTGCTTCGAATCCTCTTCTCGACCCGGGCGGTAGGTACTCCTCGTACCCTCAAGCTCTGGAATCCGACTTCCGAGTATGTTACTAGCCAAAGCCACCCCAGGCCAGGCGCCAGGCACCCTGTCGCTAGTGCGGAAAGTAAAATCAGCGTCACTCCATGATTGATGTACCTCTGAACTGGCGGCGAGCTGGCTGGGGATGCAAGGGGACAAGATAGGATAAATGGCTTGGGAACTGGGGCTGGAAAAGCCCTCTCAAGTTCAGCCCAACACCACCCATTGTGCGCCAGCAAAGTGCGAGGGTTTTTGATATTGGCTAAATTGAACAAAGGAGACAGAGTCGAAAAAAAAAAAAAAAAAAAAGAAGAAAAAAAACTACATTTAAAAGAGTCTTGCTTGTGAAGGTAATTGAGGCAATTGAGAAGATGGAGAGACATGAGAAAACTTTCATCCCGTAACCTGTGAGAACTTTTGAGTTGTGATCTGAATACGAGGCGCACCTGCCATTTACCCTTCCAACTTGTTCGGATCTGGTCGCCGTGGAAGAGTCCAAAGGATGCACCTTTCCTAGATAGGGTTGAGGTAATGCATCCCGAGGGACCGCATACCCACAAGAGAACGACGATTGTTGAAAAACAACGAGGTGTCCCGTGCTGTTACGAGGAAGACTCCTCTTTCAGTGCAAGCGCAAGATACAACTAAGTATCCCCGAAGCCGTTGAATCTTCAAGGTAGAGCTAGCCCATCAATTTTCTCAATGACAACATACTTCGTAGTATCGCTGATGGGGATCAGAAAGGGATACCTCCCTCTAGGGCTGTTTGCCCACCTTTCCCCACCAGTGGTTGCTGAGGAGTGTTCCAAAGGCGAGCACAAACAATCGCGTTAGCTATCGATGGAGTGGATTGTCAAGTTCAATCTGTCGGACTCACAAAGGCCGCTGGCAGCACCAACGAGGCCCCACGCTCCTGGTCAGTGGAGTCCTTCGTCCTGACCGAAACGAAACCAGCAGCCATCATTGATCAATCTATTATGGACCCGTATCCACCCGGAATCCACCCTTATCATTTTCGGGGCTTGGGAAAAATCACAAATTATTCCACTCCAGGGCAAGCAGGGAGACGGCTGGTGCAGCTTTTGCAGGGTCGGTTCAGATGATTGATCTCTTGGCCATGCTCTCGACTTCACAATGCCAAGCAGTTGCTCACATCCTTGCCGCCGAGCAGCCGTGCTGCCAGTGATTTTGAGTCTCGGCAGGGACGCTGGGCTGGCCCTTGCCTGTCTCGATGATGCGAAGCACGCCAAGTAAGCATGTACGTTTTGTCAGGGTTGGTGCGAGCGCTGGTCTTTCGAAATATGGGCAGTGGTTGAGAACCCTCCAAATTGATCCCTCTTGGGGCGACAATCCCGAAAAATTCGGCCAAACTACCCTAGGCCAGCCAGCTGCATCTTTGAATGGTAATATTACAGCTATTGCCAACTTGACCAAATCGAGTGCAACATGTATGTACCTTGGCATTTTCATACTTGTACTTGCGAATTAACATTACCAGCTAGCCCACAAATGTTTGAGGCCAAGAGAATGAGGAAGCTAGACCCAGACTTGCTCTCTCCTTCGTCAGCCATCTCGTGGAGGCGTCGCTGCTGGCGTGCCCGAACATGCAAACTTGAAGAGTGACAACAGCTCAGACGGAGACCGCCCAATGATAACAAATTAGAGGACAAGATCGCCACACTCCACGCCCCAAATATCGACTTGTATCGATCCATTGTCAGTTGATAGCTGTCAGTGAGCGAGAGGTGGCCATCGATGACCCCAACATGGTGCATGCATATCCTACTCAACCGCTGTGGGCTGGTGGCAAGGTTAGGCGGTGGATATCAAGCTTCATCGTCTATTTCATTTCAGGAAAGGCGACATTTCCGTCAAGTGCCCGACCTTATTTCAGAGATCGGCATTCGACCTGTGGTCAGAATTTCCCGAGGGTGACGGATTCGGGCATCACTTGTAAGATTCGAGGTGCCCAGGCGCCAGGTAACCCGAGTTGTCAGTTCCTAGCTCTACCTGCCTCTTGCACTCTTTTGGCCACGACCAGCATTGTTCGAGGCCAAGGGTTCGTAAACTTGTTTTCTCTCAAAACCATAAAGCCTTAGCCCTCAGGGTACATGTAAAACACCAGCGCCTACCTCCGTCGCCCTTGGTCGGCCAAATCACGAGCCGCCGTTGTTGAGGGGTTCCAATGCTCCCCTCTGTCCCTCCAAATACAGACGCTGAGACAGTTGGATCAATTTCCTTCCCCAGTCCCACAAGGACCGGTACAAAGTGTGTACAGGACTTCAACAAACTCTATTACTCGTCCCGACGAAGGAAGCATTGAGCTGGGCTGAGAATCAGTGATTCCCGCCACGGCGCAGATTAATTATTAATTTATCGATCGAAGTCTACCTAACGTCTAGGCTGTTCTCACCACCCTTTCACTTCCTTGGAAAGAGGGGTTCGCTCTCGAGGGTTGATAACCAAAGAAGAAGATATCCAACATTGCGACATGGCCAAGGTCCTGCCAATATCTAACCTTCCCTAGCCGACAATTTACCAACCGTCGGTCATATCACACCTGCAATGTTATTATCTCTGGGTATGGGTTTGATGCTACCAAAACTCTCTATTCCTGTTTCTCTTGCGTACAATGCAAGGAAGAGCAATAATACTCAACGTCGCTGGTGACCCACGGCCAGGATTGATTAAAAACGTGGCTCGCATGCAGGTTTCAGCAGCGCAGGGGCTGGGAGACATGTCGCGCTTCAGAGCCCCAGCGAAGAGGTGTTGGAGAAATGCGCGGAGACACGAAAACCGCGATGCAAGTTTAACAGATCATAGATGTAGAGAGATAATGGATATGGGGCGGAGAGGATTCCCCGCTGCACTGTCGCCTGGCATTTTCTAAGTGCGGCCTATTCACACTTCTCGATGCCCCGATTCATATCCATGGATGGCGTTATATCAAGCGGGAAGGCAATGCCGTCACCCACCCGGAGAGGGAGAAAAAAATTGCATGTATTGTGGGTGGTTACACCGCTCGGCATTGCCTGGCTAATAAAGAGAGTCCACGGGCACCTCAACGTTCTTTATACCTGAACGGATGGTGTATGGCAAATGAGCAGGTATACCAAGTAGAGAGTATGAACCATAGCTCACCAAATCCACCTCCTCCGGTCGTCCATGTGTACCTACCCGCTGCAAGGGCGAATTGATCAACGAGGGTTTGCCACTGGGCTCGTGTTAAGGCAAAGAGATCAACCGATGGGACCATTTTCATCAATTAAAGACACTGGGGCACCTGGAAACAGGAAACACAAGAAGTGCGTACAAGTAGTCAAGTAGTCAGGCTGCTAAATGCCCATACCCTAAGGTTTTGCGGAGCGGTTGGTTCATCGAGCATCGCCCCTTTGTTCCACTAATAAACTAATAACGGGGAGCGTGGCAGTGGATCAACAGGTTCGAAGATTCAATCAATCGAGTGTGGACCAGAACCCCTCGTTTGGCAATCGCTCCACTTTGATATCCAGTATATGTCGTTCTGGATCCAGCTCGGTGCTGATACTTGCTCTTCAAACCAAAAACCCAAAGGAGGGGTCGGTATTTTTAGGAGCTTCTGCATGTGCCTCACTGCTATGACGACTGTCGACGCGTCAACTCAAAGGATTATTATCCCATGTCCAAAGGAGCATATTTGACCCATTAACCCGAGGTGATCGTTGGTCAGTCATTGGTTCGGTGAGCTCTTTGTCAATCGCTCGGACCGTGGCACTTCTTGAAGACCAGGCCATTCCCTCACAAGCCCCCAATGCGACCTCGTAGAGGGTATGTTCCGTGCCGCCACTGAGCTCCGATCAGCCTGCGTCCTCCCGATGGAGCGGTCCTCGCCGGAACAGAGAGAGAAGCAAGCCCCTGCAATTCTCAAACCTGGATGACGTTGTGTACCTCTCTTTATTTTAATTTTTTTCTGCCCCTCCGCCTCAACTGTTAGATATCCACTTGCTCACTCGCTGAGAGGGGTTCCGGCCTCTGTTGGCACTTGCCAAGCTGTTCGCCATCCAACCTTGCAGTCAATGTTCCTGACATTCATTCTTGACAACCCTCCAGTGTACATCAATGTATCCATCCTTAGATGCTATTCATAGCCACCGGTTGTCTGAGAGGCAAACCTAGTGCTCCTAGGCGGCAAATTTAACGGGTGCTGTATCACCCAAGGGCCATTGGCCAAGCAAGATTGTTTTCCAAGGAAGAAGAAGAAAAGCAGCCCGGGCCATCCTATCACTATCAGGAACAAACACCATGATAGGCACACACTTTCCACAGGGGAGGCCTCTTCCATGGCCATCCAACCGCTCTCTACCCCGGGTTCACCAAAGTGCCAGGCTGTTTCCCGTGTAGGATCCCGTGTCAACCCCACGCAACGAAGCATTTCGAGGGGAACTAGGCGCCACCCGTGCTCTGCCTCACCCGCGGCCAACAACGGTTGATAGATGAAGGCGTCGGCCACGCCCAAGAACTGTATAGTTTCTCGATAGCAACCTAGCAGGTTTTATCTCAGATGTGAAAGGAGAGAGCGGCGTGGCTTTCCGAGACACAAGAATCGGGTGAATTTGAGTAAATTAAACCCAAATTTAAGGCTAGACGCACTCAGGCCGGTTTCGTACGAACCTTCCCACCACCTTCTTTCCATGCCGCAGATGCCTTGGAAGACTCTTGCACTGCGGTTCCATGCATCCTTCTAGCAAACGGACGTATATACCCCCTTCATTTGCAGATTTTGATAGTCTTGAATCCCCATGGCATCGCAAAAAATCGGCACTTGCCTTCGGAAACACTGCCGAACCCTTCCCCTAGAAGCCGCCACCACCCTGCTCGAGACGCTTCCTTTTTTATTTCTCCGACGGCGGTTGGGGGTCAATCATCCCAGGTGATTGATTGGGCTTGAGGTGTCGCAGCTCCTATCACCGTGCGCAGCTTCAAATCTTGGTCTCATGTTTCTTCTCATATTTGCTTTGATCCATCCGTTCTTATCGTCGTTGCTGCAAAGAGCCACCCCTCCCCACCCTCGTTGAAGTTCAGAGTCAGTGCTAAAACCTTTTCCCGCCCGAATGGATAAAAAAACCTGGGAATGTAGGGGTTCGAGGTGGGCGGATCGACGAGGGCGAAATACCAGTCCCTCAGTTTCTTCCCGTTCGGAGGCGCTCTGCTTCCTTGTTCTTTGTCCCACGTTGGCTTGTATCAAGGCCTGGCTGCCATTCATTCGTCGGCTCGTCGCCGACAGTTCTTGTCCACGCCCGGCCCTGGTTTCTAATCCGATCAATATGCTGCTCGGCACCTACTTTGCTGCAGTGGTGAGACCTGGTACGCCCGTCATGTTATCCGCCATGATCGCGGCGGTGTTGAGCTTTGATCCAGGTGTTTAATTCTCGAAACATGAAGATTAAAAGGAAAAAAATTGAAAGCCATCGCCCCTTCCCCACAGCCACATGTCTCAGAGTTGGGATCACACAAAACCTTCTTTTCCCATCCTCTGGGCATCTGATGACTGAACAAGTCAGCTTTCACCTAATTTAGCATCGGTTTGGTTTGAGGATTTGTGTCATATTCACCTGTTACGCCAGACCCAACTCCTCAAATCTATTCTTACGTTACCAGTCAGCCTCGACCGTTACTCTTCTACGACGGCTCGGTCATCATCCGGTGTGCTTGTGCTTCTTTTTTTCTTTTTCTAAATTCCAAGAGTGTCCATCTGTAACTTGCTCAAGACGTTATGGGTAAAGCCGATCTCCAAGGCCCAGGAACGGGAGGGCGGAATATCTGACTACTCTACATGAAGGAATACGACTAGATCTAGCGCAGCACGCGACGCGCAGCTCGAAGTGCTTCATAGTGACCACTTGTGAGGGAGGGTCGGCTCATTGCAGCTTGCGCTCGCTCGACGGCCGTGAGCGTTGCAACGCAGACTAGAAACTGTTCTTTTCTCTTGTACTGGCTGGCGGCCCCACGTCGTCCTGCGCGTCAATGACTATCGCGGAGGTGGCTACGCTGGTTTGCGTGGTGGGCAAAGACATCGAGGTCGCATTTCAAATGGCATTGGCACGTTACAGTGGCTCTCTAGAATACGAAAGACATCGCTGAATGCTTTTCCCCTCTTGCCCTAGCTGGCTGTGATGCCATTATCTAACATCCCCCGACCCACTGCTTCTCCTTTTGCTCTCGAGATCGTCTGTAAAATCCTACATTGGTGTCGAGGCCTAGAGTAGAGCCGGAGCAGCGAGGGGAGCGGCCTTGTTCAACGTCACAGCAGACACATCCCACCGCTCAACTGGAACCATAACCCTTTTGTGGTGTTTGACGACTTTAAATTGTATGCCTATATCAAGGCTAGCCTTTTTGACCCTGCCTGGACCGATGCATGGAAATCATGAACCATCCCCACTACCAACTCCGACCAGATGAATCCTTGTTTATATCGACGAAGGGTAAAGCATAATGCGGACAGAAGCACCGAAAGAGCGAGTGGGAAGAGGACGGGTGAACTTGGCGCGGACGACGCCGGAGTTGCCTAGAAATACATGTTAGCAACGGTTTCTTCCATGGCCTCCCTACTACCACACGTAGATATTCGTCGATGGCTCGTACCGTGTGACCTGGTGACCTTGCCCCAGATAACTCGGATCTTGGAGCCCCTCTTCTCTGTGGAAGCCTTGTAGACGAAAGCAACCTTCTTGCCGAGGTAGAAGCTGTAGACATGTTAGCACTTGGTGTGTCCTTCTCGCGGCTCGGAACATCATGCTCGGTTCTCGACGTACTTGGCGGCGTTGGTGTCGTCAACACCCTCGATCTTGATCAAGCTGATGGAGGGGTTGGTGGCATGCTTGCTGCGCTGGTAGCTCAGGTGGCGACCCCTACGTAGTTTCAATCGTTAGCCAACCCATTCCTCCAAGTTCAGGTTCCGACCCGTTGCCGACATCATCGCGATCCTCGAGTTTAGGACGGTCCGATAATTGCTGCAATATCGAACGGTGGGGTCGAATTTCGCAATCGGGCGTCTTTTTCGGCGGATAGCGGTGCGTATATGGGTAGGATATTTACTCACTTGACGTATACTACGAGTTGAATGGGTTAGCATAAAGATTCAATTCGGCCATGGGCTTCCCACAAAGTGCAACTGGATGTCGGCGAGAGGCGGCTTGACGACATCTCGGGAAGCGCAGTTTTGAGGATAAAGGGAATGAGAGAAAGATGATACTCACATCGGTGACCAGCTTCCGTAGGCATCTTGTCGGTTAGTCTTCCACGCGCTCAAAAGTTGAGGATCGGAAGATGCTTCTTGCTGGGTGTGTTGTGGTATCCTCGGCGGGAGGTCGTGATGCTTCTTCGAGGTTAGAGTATTAGTGTGCCAGTTGGCTGATAGAGCCACAAATTTTTCAACTCGCATCGAACCTTCGCCTAGGGCTCAGTCACGTGTATGGTTGAATGGGCCAGCGGCCGGGTTCGGAAAGACCACCCACCGTTTAGAGGTACGTACCCATCGGCGATCGCCTTAGTCATCTTGGACACCGCCATTCGCGTCCTTCTGTGGCGCGCTTGGCGCCATTCATGTGGCTGATTTTTTTCTTCATCGGCGCGACAATCCGGAAAGCTGAGTCATCTTACAACTCCACGTGATTTGGTGCTGGTTGTGACGACTGAGCTGGGAGTGAGAGCGAGGAAGGGTGCTTTGGGTTGGAAAATCGCCGTGTCCCCCATTTGAACAGCCTTCCCTGCTTGAGTGGCTAACGACATCCTCCTTCCTTGACCTTTATCGCGCTCCATCATCCTATTCGGTTCCTCGCGCGGCCGATTCACTTCAAAGATTGCACTAGGCTAGAAGCGCGATTCGGTTCGTTCTATTCGGCAATTATTGCGACAGGACAAGTGCGCGACTGGCACTTTTCTTCGCTCTTTTTCTTGCCAGGCAACGCATTCCACCTTAAGTACGCTTCATTGTTTTCACCATCGCCACCAAGCGCTCTGTTTCTTGCTTTTACCCCCACCGCCGCCAGCGCTACCCGGTTTATCGATCTCTCTCCCTGAAACCTTCTTCTCGGGCTCTTTCTCGACTTTTTCTCGTCGTACCTTGCCCTCCCTGGGCCCTCTTCCCCTAGTGTTGACCTGCCAGTGCGGCTCGCGACTCGACCAGGACATAGCACAGCGACCGTTACCGACGACCTTCACACTCCCACCGACGCAAAGCCATCGCCCTCGAGTCTTATAATACCACGACTTCTCTTCTTCTCACGGCACGACTGCGGTCTATGGGATTTAGATAACCGCTTGCCTATTTCTTGGAGGAAGGCGTCCTCTCGCTCCTCAGCAAGCGTGCAAGAGGACTGGGTCACGACCTGGGGTCGTGCCCTCCCCGATGCCGGGAGTCATCATGGCGGATGTCAGCGCCCAGAATGGTGCTCTCGCAAACCACGATAGAAACCCTCATCTAAACGGCGCGGAGGGCGTTGGTCCAAAGGTCGCAGGTAGCACTCCGAATGGCGCTTCCAAGCAGGTGGACGGCGCGGTAGAGTCTGTCAAGCAGGCATTAGACTCGCGCCGGAGGATGAACGATCTGCCCGATGAGATTGTTCATATTGCAGACGGCTACATACCCTTATCCCTCCTACTTTCGCGGCTGGCACAACAAACCCACAACGTTCTACAGGAGAAAGTTCAGCAACTAGCGCGCATGCCTCTTCCTCCTCCGCCCGCAGCTGTGAATGGGAACCAGTCGGGGTTATCCAAGGACGAATTTGATAATTCTCACGAGAGTCTCAGCAAGAAAGTCAACCTTCTCTCATTTATCCAAACTATTCACGGGAAATGGGTCAAGGCCTTGGTCATCGCAAACTGGAGCAGGGAGAGCGAGCTCGTGACGAAGCTGATTGACTTGAAGAGTCATCTGAACGACCAACTGATGCAGTTTGACACGCGACTAGACCAGGTTGTTGAACTCAAACGCAGCCTCATATTTGCTCGTGTCCCAAGCCCAGATCTAAAAACGGCGCTCCAGGTCCTCTCCTGTGGCAATGGCGATTGGATGCCCGATGTAACTATAATTCCTCCCAGGCTCTATCCCATGTCCCTTGCACTGACTTGTACAATCTAGCTCGGATACATCGAACCGCCCCCACTAAAGCGGGAAGACCATGTGAAGTGGCTCGAGGATCTCGATACTTGCCTTTCGATGCGACTGAACCTCCACGACTATGACAAAATCCCCGCCAGTTCAAAGAGTACACAATCGGATCCGGACGGGTGACTTTTACAGTCAAGGGCGAGTTCGAAGTCGACCTTACGGTAGCCGACGAAGACCCTGAGAAGCAGTTCTGGTTCATCGATTTTCGGTTCGGTTTTGCGCCCGCCGCGCGAGAACTCGCGGCACATTTTAAGCCCTTATTGGAAAGCCATGTAAACAACGCTTTAGCCAAGGATAATCTTAGCGGATGCTACCAACTCTTGCATGAGTTCGTGTTGAGCCACAAGGTTGGCGAACTCAGGCGCCAAGCCTACGAGCTTGCCCGTACCTCGTGGACGAGGACTCTGGCGATAGAACCGCTGGATCGCTCGTTCTCCATCCAGTACTGGCTCCTGCGACAGAATCAAAATACGTCCTCGGTCCCCGCGTACTCGAGGTACGCCGTGCCTCAGCTCCCCACGGTTCCTAAGAGCTGGATCATTGTATCCGTGGTGAGCGCGCGGAAGCCCGACGGCAGCCCAGATGCAAAGTCATCTAGCCGCCTGGCCGTGAAATGGTTCCGTGATGGGAAGGAGGTCAAGGATGCTAATATCGAGTTCGACCACAATGACCTGTCGACCGAGAAGCTCCTAAAGGTAGTCATTGCGAAACACGTCGAGCATATCCTGCGATCGATCCACAAGAAGTTGCAGCCAGCGCCACGGTTTGCCAGCCAGGAAGCCGCTATGACGCTACATATCTCGGCGACGGAACCGGGCGAGTCCTTCCTGACGATGCAGCTTAGTGCTACGGAAGCGGTCACACTCAGAGTCGAACCGGCCAGTGGCAAATTTAACCTCCACCCGACCTCGAAAGCTGCATTCCAAGCTGAAGGAAGACTCAACGCGGGCGGCAAGGATCCAGCGGAGGACGGTGCTACGTATCTCGAGTATTTGAGGTGCATTCACCTCAGCGAAGAGATTTCTCGCAAGGGCCGACCGCAAGGATGGGTATCTGTCAAGAGTCCTCTGAGCCATGAAGACGTTAAAACCGTGTTCAGGCCGCAAGAGCCTTTCCAGATATCATGCTTCCAACGTCTAGGTATTGACTCGAAGTGGTACGTCCTGCTGGTGATGAGCCTGCACGGGGACGAGTGGTGGGTTTTCAGGTCGTAAGTTTGAAACATGGTTCCCCTGCTACATGAAGCATATTTCACGGCCATATTAGATGCTAACATGTATCACAGCGATGTACCGAAAGCAACCGCTCGCTCGATCAGGTTCTATTCAAAGCTGCGGCTCCAGCCCAAAGAACCAGGACTTGGAATCACCTTTGGAACAACCTAACCACCTTTGTCGCGGCGGTGATCGCACACGCAACCGACCTTGCCGAGTTGCACCGTCGTAGGTTCCGGTACGAGAACCGCGGCAATAAGAACTTCTCTCTTCCTAACGAGGTGGCTGTCCCTTCGCTCTTCGTCAAACTTTCCGATGTTTTGCCCACGGCAGGAGCAAAGCGACCACTCCCTTCTCCCCGAAGAGAAGCATCAGCCGCTACCGCAATCCAACACGGATTCTCTCAAAGACGGATCGTTGCCGGCGGCCAGCCATATGAATGAGGCGTTTGAGACGCGACGAGTTGAGTCGCCGCGCAGGCCGACCGGCGCTCGTAAGCCGTGGGCTGCGGACTTTGTCGAGATTCGGTACTCGGGGGTTCAGTCGATTCCCGGCGGTAACCCGACAAGTGCGCGCCAGCTGACGTGCGGCCAGGATGCCGTCGTTCGTGTGCTGGATAAGAAGAAGTTTGCGCTTCTCACCGGGAAGCTTGGCCACGACGTATTTTATAATGCACGCCGAGGCGAATTTTGTGTCCGCCTTCGCACGAGCGTAGGAGCCTCGGTCGTGCGGACACTCAAGACGAGGCTGCAGGCGATTGACAGGGTGGTTGACTCACTCGACGCCATGAGGGTCGCCAAGGGCGCCATCAAATGCGAGCAGGTGACGTTAGAGAAGGTGGTCTTCACGTACACCGATACTGGGGCAGCAGAAGGAGCCAAGCGATGGCGCGTCTCGCTCGACCTCTCCAAGGATAGCATTGTCCTTGGCCTAGAAAACGGCAACCCACATCTCCGTGTGCTCGACCACCTTACTTCGCTTGTGAATGCGCCGAGGGGCATTTCGAACTTGATTCTGGTGCTGCCCATGTCCCTCACGATTCTTACCGTCTTGGACAAGATCCAGAATGCCTGGAAGGATATTGCTAAGAACGACAAGGGTGCTCTCGTGATCACAGCCAAATCGCTTGACTGGATCACGCTTTGCTACGAACTACCCGAGACGCCAAATAGGCCTCGTAGTGTCCGAATAGACGTCCGGGCACGCACCCGCAACGGCAAACTATGGTGGTTCGTTAACCGCGCAGATCAAGAAGATCACGACTATTTCGCGCAGAAGCTCAGGAAGGTGTGGGAAGCTAGAAACGTCCCCTGGCGGTCCCTTTCCTCCGGCGCGGCGACGCAAATTGACGACCGGTCTCTCAACCTCTTGCTGGGGTTGGATCAAACCGTGCGCGAGGCAGTTATTGGATCGCCTGCCGGCGGGAGCGGTGGTGCCCAGACCACGGCAGGTAAAGCCAACGTGCTGACGGGGAGCTCCTCTACGGCCAGCGCGACGGCCGCAGTTGGGAGCCGAGCGAAACCCGTGACGCTTGACTAAGTGGAATCTTAGCACCAACTCTCACTTTTGAGTCCAGTCCGTAATCACAACGGACTCGGGGGCATACCCACTGACTCACGCCCGACCTTGAGGTCCCTTATCCTGTATACATTTTTTTGTTTCCTTCCCACCCTCTTCTTTTTCACAATCCTTATAAGCCTCCCCTCGCCCCATTTTGGATTCCCTCCTCGGGTTTAACCCTCCTCTCTCTACCCTTTTTCTTTTTTTTTTTTTGCCTTTTCCTCGTTTTTGACCCTGAAAATAGGGTCTGACGAAGCGCCGCACCGCCCGGGAGCCCGCAATGGTGGGCCAGCGATACTAGGGTCTTTCTTCTTGTTTCCTTAGTAGTAATTTGGCGGGTTGAACCATGAACAATATGGCGGCTCGTACTGATATGATACCTCTAGATGAGTTGATAGCATGAATTACAAAATAAAAAATCATCTTTAACAAACATCAAGCTTTCCATGAACGGACAGTGCAAAGGACAATACCAACGGTATCTATCTTGGTTGCCAACTACTTGAAATACACAGTGCTATGATATATGGCGTGAATGTGGCTATCTTTCTATCTAACAGATGAACAACAAGTAATAGTACAGTTAATGGATGAACATGTGATATGATATTCTACAAGAGCGGATGGACTTTGTGCCTCAAGACCTTTTGGAAATGGGTCTCAAGCTTGTATGAGCTTGGCCAACCAGCCAATTTTCCTCGCTCCTTCCTCCTTCGCCTCCGCCCTATCTGCTGCCAAATACCTTTATAAGTTAATTCTTTTTCCTTTTACCGTCCAGCCAACCACCTCCCAATGGCGCTGGATCCTCGCAGCTGCTTGCCTAGGCCGTTGAGCTCCTCCCGCGGCACGGCGATGACGTCGGCGCCCTGCTTGCGCGCAAACTGAGCCAGCCCGGTAGCGCCAACGTGCTCGACATAGCCCCTGCCGGCAAGCTGGCGGGCGGCATCGTAGCCGGCCCGCATGGCGGGCATGACGCCTACGGCGGTGTAGGAGCCGCCGGCCACGGCGAGTCTGCCGGCGAAAGCGGAGGCGAGGGCATCGTGGGCCCCGGCCAGGGTGGCGCGGTGGGAGACGACGTGCTGGGCGATGCAGCCGCGGGCGAGGTTGGCGTGGACGAGCTCCGGGTCCCCGTGAGGCCGAGGTGGCGGGCGAGGATGGCCCTGGCGCGGCGGACGCACTCGTCTTCGGAGGGAAGGGCGTCGGGGGTGGAGTCGGAGTCGGAGCCGGACCAAAAGTGGCCGCCCATGAGGATGGTGACCTTGGTGCCGCGCTTCTCGTCGTCGCGGAGGCCGTAGGTGTCGGAGTCGAAGAACATGCCGAGCATCTGCTCGTGGTTGGTGCGGGAGGTGAGGGGCACGAGGTAGCCAAAGGCGCCGAGCTTGGCGGTGAGGTCGGGGTCGGCGAAGAAGAAGGACACGGTGCGGATCGTGACGGCGCGGGTGTTGAGGGCCACGGCGGGGGCCGAGGCGCTGATTTGCGGGGCGAGCACGGCGCTCGGGGTGGTGGAGACAACTTTATCGAAGAGGGCGGCGGGGCCGCCCGTCTGCGTCTGGAGCTCGACGCGGTCCTGCTCCGGGAGGTAGCGGAGTCGGGACACGGGGCTGCCGGGCTTGAGGGCGACGTTGGCCCTCTTTGCAGCGCGTCGCGGATGGCGAAGGCGAACGAGGCCATGCCGCCGGGAAAGGACATGACCTCGGCCTTGGACCAGAGCTTGACGTCGTCCTGGATGCCGCGCTTCCGCGGGTCCAGGTCCCGGAGGAGCTCGTAGTCGGCGCGCGGGAGCAGCACGTCGTCGGGCCCCTTGGGCATGCGCTCCCCGAACCAGACGGCGGGCAGGGTGCTCGGCATGCTCAGCTGGTCGAGGTTGCCGCCGTAGATGCCGTGCATCATGGCCGAGAGGGCGTTGCGGGGCGCGGGGGCGTCGCCAAAGGTGTCGCGCGCCCAGTCGCCGATGGAGATGTCCTGCTCGACGGCGGAGGCGGGCCACTCGCGCGCGTTGGCGCGGCGGTAGGCGAGGGCGGCGTCGACCATGCCGCTGACGACGTGGGTGCCGCGGAGGAGCTGCCACGAGGTCTTGAGGGCGACGAGGGGGTTGAGGACGTTGGGCGGTAGGCGAAAGAGCTCGTCGTTGTAGCAAAATAGCTTGTTGCGCGGAGGAGAGATTTTGGGAGAGAGTTTGAGGTCGGCGAGCTAATGGAGAGAAAGAAGGGGATTGACCAAGTCAGCGGAGGCCAGGTCTTCTTCTTCTTCTTCTTCTTCTTCTTCTTCTTCTTCTTCTTCTTCTTCTTCTTCTTCTTCTTCTTCTTCTTCTTCTTCTTTCTTTTCGTCTACCTTGGATAGAAAAGAGGTTCGTGGCGTCGCTTGTATCAAGGAGGGCATCATACCATGTCGTAAAAGACGTAGTCGTCAGCTCGGAAGCCCGACCCGCCGAGGCCGCGCAGCATGCGGGGCCCATTCTCAAAGTAAACCGGCTGGCCGTCGGGCGCCGTCTTCTTCACCGTGTCGATCCAGCCTCCTATCCTGTCATTGGCCTCATACAAGGTGATTGTAGAAGTCGCGGGTAGGAACTTGGCCAGGTAGTAGGCCGTCGTCAGGCCCGTGATGCCGCCGCCAATAACGGCCACGTTCTCCGGCGGGGCCTGAGGCGAGTGCCTAGTCGAGTACCCGCGCCGCACCTCGCGGGGGCGGTCAATGGGGTCATTTCGGGGCCGGCGAGGCTGGAGGAATGGACGGGATGCGGTGATGCGCCGGTGAGCGGCCACGGCGGCGCGAGCGGGCGCCTGGCGGAGACAGCCCGGGCAGACGCGGGCAATGTCCATGGCGAAAGGACGGGGCGGCCGGGCGTCTCGTGTCTAGTCGCTAGCGAGAGATTATGGTTACGACATTTGGGGAAAGGTTTGGAAAAGGGCGGAAACGAAAGGGAGAGGGGGAAAGAAAAGGAAAATTTGGGAGAGGCGTGGGCAAAGGCGTCGGGGGCGTGAAAGAGGGAGAAAAGGGCGGATCAAATTCGATCCTTTGAGGTGGACGTGGAGCAGGTTAGTGTGTGTGGGAAAAGGTGGGCTGACTTATGGCGAGCTGGAACATTGAATTGACCCGTTGTGGCCCTGCAGCTGCAAGGAGCTTCCGGCGCAGACACCTTGACAGGGACAGGGCGGCGAATCACAATTATTCTTCAATCGATCCCGGGACATCCGCTCTTCTGCATTTCAAGGAAGAGGATGCGGGATCGAACCAAGTGCCATCTAACAGGCTACGGATGCGAAATTTTTCACTTGTGGATGAGAGGTCGAGGCAAAAGAATGCAGTGGCCTAAGCATCAATATATATCCTTCTACACTAGCCAATTCTCTCCCAAGGCGAAGCGCGATGAGAATATTGAGAAGGGCGGAATAGGCTGTCGATCACAATCACTTCGAAAGCATAGCATGGAGAGGAACCAAAAAGTGTGCTACCAGGCAAAGCCACCCCAATGGGCGACCAACGACTTATATTTGAAAACCCGTTCCATCTCGTTCCCCCACAGACCCTATGCCATGAAAAAGAAGGCGAAAGAAAGAAAGGGGAGACAAAAGAGGTCGGGTATACAATAGCAACAAGCCGAAAAGGAAAAAGGAGGAAAAAAAAATAGAAACAGGAAGAAAGACAAAACAATAAGAAACTGGTAGCAGAAAACAGCATCCGTCCAAACTCCTGGTATGCAGCTTTTCGTCGTCCAGTCAGAGGTCCCTGCAGCATCCCTGAACTTGGAACTCCATTCCCTTCTTCTGATATTTCCTAATGTACACATAACATAGATACCAACGATCAAATCCCCGTGGCGAGTTTCAGTGTCAGTCGCCCAACCAGAAGCCAACAAGAGACTGATATGTTCGCCAAACATTCTTCCCTCTTTCTCTCTCTCTCTCTCTCTCTCTCTCTCTTATAGTCGTCATTATTCTCATCTCAATCTCTTTTGTTTTTTTCTTCCTCGAACGGGACCTCCGACGTCCTTGTCGGGATCCCAGCCATCATGGACTCGAGGCTGTCATCTCTTTATTGGATAGCGTCGGCACTCTCGTCATGACCAATCGTTTGCCCGTCGGCCTCGCCATCGGCGCGCACCATTTCCATTTCCGAGTTGTCATCGACGAATTTGCGATCGCTAACGTGCTCCTTCTCTCCCTCCGCAGTCCACACCTTGTCCTTGAAGCCACCCTGCTGGCCCTCGTCGTGCACAAAGGGACAGTTGGGGTTGAGGCAGGGCGAGTATTTGCACTTGGTCTTGATGTGCGTGAACTTGCATCCTGATGTTGTGCAATCCGCGCCGTTGCGGCACAGAGGCATGTTGGGGTGGCGGAATGTACAGCGCGGGTTCTGGCAGTTGGGGAAGAACTTGCAGTCTTGCTCGCCCTGGTGGGCCATGCGGGCCGCGGGAGAGGGGTGGCGGCCCACGCACTTCCAGTTCTTGCATGCCGCGCCGAAGCTGCACACGTCTTGGAGGTCGAGGGTGATGCCTGGCGGCGCCGCTGGGGACTGGTGCGCAAACTTGCAGTCCTTGTTAAGGCACTTGAGGTTATACGAGCACACCTTCTCCTCGGGGTTGGTTGGTTCCGCCTTGTTTCCTCCCATGTCGACGTCCTGTCCGCCCTCGCCAGCCTCCTTGTCTCCGTGCTGCTGGTTCGCATTACGGTGACCGTGTTGGTTGTGGCCACCGCGCCGGAAGTTGCCCCTATCATTACCGCGGTGTTGCCTTCCTTGACGGTTGTTGTTGTTGTTGTTGTTCTGGAAGCCCTGGCTGAGCATCTGCTGCGAGATCTGCTGCATCATCTGCGATTGCTGCTGGAGAAGATTCATCAGCTCAGCGGAGCTCGGTTCCGCCGCAACCATGCCCCAAGGCATCCCGTTGGCACCCATGCCGTTGGGGCCAGGCATGCCCGGCATACCCGGCATCGGTCCAGCCATTCCATGAGCCATGGCAGCGGCCATGCCCGCCTGGAGATTGGGCGCCCGGCCGTTTTGGTTGCCCCGCCTGTTGTTCATACCCCGCGTGGGCCAGCGGGAGGTCCCCGAGAAATACGCTCGTTTCCAGTCTGGTTGCGAACACGGTGGAGGACGGAGTCGTGCGATCGATCCATAGCCTTGTTCATCTGTCCAAACGCTCGCTTGTCGCGGCCGCCTCTATTAGTGTTGTTGCCGCCATTTCGCATAGAACGGGGCCCAGTAGGACTGTCAGATGGGAAAGAAAAAAAAGCGACACATGTTAGCTGCTGATCCAAATCCGCAGAGAATTTCGGGGAAAGAGGATTCTACTTACGCGCCAATCGCGCCAGCGCCAGATCTTGAAGCGTCGCCGTCGGGGTTTGATATTTGCATGGCATCGCCAGAGTTATCGTGCGCTTGTTGGGGCGCGCCGTTCAGCTGCGCATTCAGAGTGTCGATTTCGCGGAACAGCCAGCCAGCAAACTCTTTGACGACAGGGTCATCGGGGCCGAGACTTAGAAGCTCGCCCGAGATCTCGGAAGCGATCTCGTCTTGCGTCTTGCCGTTGACGAGCATGAGGACAATGTATTCTGCAAGCGCCGCATCATCGGGGCCTCCGGAACCCCATCCCACCTCAAGAAGCTTGGGCTGGATGGCCACATTGATGGCATCCGCGAGGGGTGTTGAGAGAGATTTCGATAGTCATGGTGGGCAGATTTCTACTCAATCGCGACGAGGGGTCGGAATCGAGCGTAAAATGCGTCGCCTGTCGAGACAAAGGCACGGAAGGGAACAAATAAAAGAAGCCAAGGTTCTCGAATCGCTATGGAAAACTCAATACGGCCGTTTGGGATAGTGGCTGGCGACCGTTCGGTTGATGCCTGCTTCGACTTGCCAGAGGCCTGAAGCTGCGAGCCTTGCCGCCGTCCTCAAAAGGGTGGGAGGAAGAGGACAAGAAGAAAAAAGAAGAGACGGGGAAGAGCAAGCAGATGAAGCTCTTGGGGGCAATGCCTCGCTAAAAGAGCGTGGTATCGATGGCGAAAGAATCGGAGAGGGACTTGTAGTACAAGCTCCAGATGAAATCGCCGGTGATCGCGTCGGGAAAGAGATAGGTGAGGATGGAGGGTGGAAAAAGAGGTGATGTTGTTTTCTGCAAGCGAGACTGCCCCATCAAGAAAATGACGGCAGGGGCAAATGCAAAATCACACAAGCGGCGCCACACCTCTCAGCTTTGGTCTGCCTGCTTTGTTCCGCCAGTTGCAGGTTCTGGAAGCTGGTTGGGTAGCCAGCTGCCGAAGTTCACGTGATAGAGGTTTGGAGAACAGGCAGTCACTAGTAGTGTCACAGGCAAGACAGCTAGACTGGAGGCTACAACGGATGATTTCTCCCTTCTCTTCCCTAGCCTTTGAGCCATGGTCCTGTTAAAGAGAGTAAGCCATTATTATTGACCAATGAAAGAAGCCCAAAAACATATGGGGCCGATTATTCAGCATTTCAGGCTGATGGGGAGCGGGAGCTTCTTACATGGTGGATGAGCATTGGACAAAGCAGAACTGGAAAGTATCAGAAGGGATTAGACAAGCAAACGCGATCGCATCAAGTCACGCGATTCGATGAGACAAGTTCTTGAAGAGATTGGAAATCAATGAAATGATTGGACAGACTCATCGCGTCTCGTCCCTCGTCGAGGCTTCTAGTCCCCAACAGAACAAAAGATGGTTTCGCGCTTGTTCATCCGTCCTGCCTTGTCGTGCGCATGCAGTGCCTTTGTCAATCATGACTAGCGATGAACGAAGCACGTCTACCGCAACTCATACTTCGTACCTCAACGAAGGGTAGAGGGCACAAAGGGGCCAGCCCCGTGACCTTTCACTCCAAGCCTTCAATGTTCTTAGCTTCGCTCGCATTATGGCGACGCAGCTTCTGGAAGCCGGCAAGATCAGCAATTGTCTGGCACGAGCAGTCTAACATCTCGTTACACTCGACAGTAGCCATCTAACGAGTAGGTTGTGACCTTGTCTCAGTGCAACATTACCCGACCTGCTCAAGATTCAGCAAGAGGGAGGGATAACGGACCTACTTGTACGCAGTAGCTATCGCGAGGTTACGTCGCGAGAGCAAATAAGGACACCCGATACGTCAATGGCAGGTATCATCATCACTCGTTCCTCGTGCTGGCTGATTCGAGGAAGGCGCTGGCCCGGCCCACTTCCCCAGAATCAATCACAATGTCGCCCCCCTCTCCACTTCCCCTCCCCGCATCGAACAGCCAAGGACCTCAACTCCATGGTCGTGATCGAGAAGAGATGGTTTCTTTAGACCTAGTTTCATGCTGCAGGTGTGGAAGAGGAAACGGAGCATCTATGGTATAAGGGCCTCCTGCACCTCGACTGGGCCTCATGCAAAGGCCCGTGAAATCTTGATCACCGTCCCACAGAATGGAAGCTCTGTGTCCCATCACATATCGCGTTGGAAGCGAGAGGAATGGAGCGTTTCCTTCTCGCACCTTTTTTCTTTTTGCTCCAAACCCCCTTTCCCCTGCAACGACGAATACACTTGGTAGATACCGAGCCTCTTTTTCGTGATAACAATAAAAAGAATGAAGACAATCTACTCGCCGTAGTTGAAAAAGGAGACTTTGGTTCTGGGCTGGGCGTTGATGGGAACGGCAGGCCACAAATTTCCCGACGCCTCTTACTCTAAATTTTTGTTCCGTATTACTCCTTGCTAGATTAATCGACACGGCGCCTTCTCGCCTTCTGGTTGGCATTAAGGTGTAAACGTAAAGGTAAAAGCAAAATGAAGCAGCTCATGCATTCATCCTTTACCCTGCCTTTTCGCCTTTGCCCTGCGCTCGCGGAAAACGGATTTCTCGGCGCAATTGCCATTGGCTCGGGTTCCCTCTTGGGGATCGGCGACGGTGGGCCGAGTCGGGAAATGCTATATCATGAAGATCAGCCTGGTATTTAATCCTCATGGGCCTCGTGGGCTTGTAGGAGCCCTTCCCGCTTGTCAATAGATCCTTTGGTCGCAGCAGGTTCATTTTCGGCCGGTGTACTATCTTCTTTAGAAACGACAAATGGCTGATTCCATCCAGTACCGAGAAATCGTCGCCTCGGATCAAAGGGCACACTCATCACACAAGGCGTGTGTGGGGACCCTCTCATCAGGACCACGGGAGACAAGAAACGTACGGACCAGCAGGCTCACTCTAGCCAGCGAGCGCTGCGTCAACGCCCAACCACTTGTGCGCGCTTGTCCGACGTGAATTGTTTCCCCCTCAATCTACCGTTCCCTGTGACAGGCCATGCCCTGGCACCTTGGTGGATGGGTGGATGGGTTGATGAGTTGATGGAACATCATAGTTTATCAATTGATCCACTGGATTCATTGATGTTCTCATCTCTCTCGATTAGTAGTGAGGAATCGTAGATGTAATGTACATGCAATATTGGTCGCCACCCCGTCAAACGACTGCTCGTGTCTTGCTCGGTATCAATCAATGATGTGTGGTTTTCGGAATTTAATCACTGATCAGTGCAATACTAGAGGGAGGTACTTCAAGCTCTCCAGTGCTCTTCCAAAGATCAATGTGGGATGGCAGGGCCTGCGCCAGTATGTGGCCAATCGACCCATCTTGGTATGTTGCCCAATGCATCGAGCTTTTATGCTCCCCAACAAAGGGGCCGCGCCTGGTACTCTCGGTTGAGTCGAAGGATTCCAACCAAAGAGGATATTTTCTCTACCCTCTGCTCCGCCATCAAGCATTGATGCTTGAACCGAGACGATCATCTTCCCTTCCCACAAAGAAACTCTCCAACCCGGCCGACCCTTGGGATCAGCCAAAGGCCCGCCCTGGAGTTATTAAAAGAAGAAAAAGAAAAGAAAAAAAACCTCCGGCCATCATCCACCTGCCATTGAGAGGAGACATCGCCAGCGATCCTCAGTCCCGCCCGCTGGCTGGCCCCTCCGTCTGCGCGTCCACAAGCCGAAGCCACCACCAAACGGATACTCACCCTCAATCCGCACATCTGCAGTCTGCGCCTTCCAGCCCATTTGATATTTTTAACTTGTGAGGCGTGCTCAGCTCAAGCCTGTCCGGGGGACAAATCAGCTACATTCCCCCTCCCTCTCTGCCCAAGTCATTCCTCTCGTCGACAAACAGCTCGAATCCGGTCTCATATGATTATAAGACTGGGCGCATTCCGCCTTTTGCATGCCTGTCTCGGACCGGGCCTACGGTGGCGTTCATTTCGCGGGATTGAGTACATGATATTGCGTCCAAGGGCTCTTCTTATTTTAGCCGTCAGCGAGAGAACATTGAAGTACTGGACAGCTACCCGCGGTGTGCGAAAAGGTGACGAGGGTTCTTTTGTATGGGTCGCTGGGTCCATCCCAATCTAAATTCTTATTCACTTTGGTGATATAAGAACCTGGATACTCGTCCCCCTTCCCCTTTACCATACTACGCTCCGGTTCTCTGCGTCGTTTGAAGAGGCTCTCTCTCTCTCTTTGAATTATTTCCGAGTCATCTTTCTTTGTTCTCCCTTTGCGAGAAGATTCGGCGGATTTCCAACGCGAGCGGGCGTTCCAACCGACCACCGAAGTGATTTGGCGACTGGACTACATATTCACCATTTTCAGGCCCTTGATCAAGCTCCCTTCCAAGGAAACTCATCAATTGATGTGCTTGAACCCCACCACCACTACCACTACCACTACCACTACCTTGACCACTAGCACTTGCACTTGCACCCACCACTTTGCTTTTCCCGTGCCAGTGCACGACGACCGAAGCCCGCCTTTTTGGCCTGACGTAACGTTGCTCGTCACTGCTGCAGCTGTGTGGTGAAGAACAGAAGCTGCCAAGAAGAAGACAAGAAGAAAAGATAGCAGAAAAAAAAAAAAAACAGTTGCAAAGGAGACACCGCGTGAGAGCTACGAACTCCGGGAACCGAAATCTTGGGAAGAGGTGTTGTAGACTTTTGGTCGCTTCCATCGTTTCACACGTTTCCACGCATCAGGACCATCCCTTGAAGGTGCCCAATTTCGGAGCTTGCAGCTCGGAGGGCGGTCGAATCTGGTCGCCACATGCCAACGGGTCAAGCTGCGTGGTATCGAGATCTCACGCAATCTACCCGAGAACTCTTGGTCCGCACGATACGATCCGGGAAGCATTTGGATGCATTGAGCAGGTACGCGTGAAGCTGCACCCGCCACCTTTTCCACCTGCAACCTTGCTGCCGTATCCCTTTCTTTGAGCTCAAGCTTTTTTTCTTCCTGTGTCGGGGAGCCTGAGGCGCTGGCATAGCTCGGTAGCACATTCCCTTCAAAAGGGCCTTTATCCCTCCCCTTCCTCCCCCTTCGACGTGGTACAATAAAGAAGAAAGGAAAGCTCGTAGTTTGAGCTCCTAATCACGCGTTTCTATTCGCATATTCCCCTTCTCCCCTACAGCTCACCGGGCTATCTCTTCCTTGTAATTTTTCTTATTCCCTCCCGTTTAAGCCCGGCCGGTGTTAGTCGGCCGGCCTCTTCTTCCCTCCCCTGATCACATCCATCCCATCCTACGCTTTCCCCAAGTCAGTCGCCAGTCGCCCCAATCGTCTTCGAATATGTGGTCCCGCCTCGCCCTCGTGGGCGGTGTTTTGTCCTCCCTCCTTTCCCCGCGGCGGCCCTTTGGCCTATTCCACGCGAACTTGAGACTGGTGAAGGTGTGCTCTTTATCGCGCAGACGTTGGAGATAACGTACAATGGAGGATCTGTATGCTGGCCTTCCTCCGATACTTCTTGCCTCTATAGCTACGGTGATACTGAGAAAGTACTAAATGTGCAGCTTCCCTACACGTACGGATACAGCCCCCCTCGGGACCCCAATGCAACGACAAGGACATTGTCCAGGGCGGCGTGTCCCGGGCTCTCGGGGCCATTTTCGAAGACAATTTCGTCCCCTGGAGGCTCCGGCCACGCAACTCGGAGTTCGAACCCGACGTGTACGCCAGCGACAAGAAATGGGTCAAGTCTCTGACCATCTCGCACGAGGAAAGGGAGGATTCCTCGTGCTACAAGCCGGTGGCGGGTGAGGTGGACGAGTCCTACACGTTTGAGCTAACAAAAGATGGCGAGGCGACGATTGAGGCCAAGACGGCCATTGGTGTGCTCCGTGCTCTGGAGACGTTTGTGCAGCTCTTTACCAGCACAACGTGGGGACGTTTTGGTACACGACGCTGGCCCCGGTCTCCATCAAGGACGAGCCGAAATACCCGCACCGCGGCGTCCTACTCGACGTGGCGCGCAACTGGTACCCGGTCAAGGACATTTTGCGGACGATTGACGCCATCTCGTGGAACAAGATGAACCGACTCCACATCCACATCACGGACTCGCAGTCGTGGCCTCTCGACATCCCCGCCTTCCCCGAGCTTTCGGCCAAGGGATCGTACGGCAAGGGCCGCACGTACAGCCCGGCCGACCTCGACCGCATCCAAGAGTACGGCGCCCACCGCGGTGTCGAGGTGATTCTCGAGATCGACATGCCGGGCCACATTGGGTCCGTGGCGGAGGCGTTCCCGGAGCTGATTGTAGCGTACAACCTCATCCCCTACCAGTGGTGGTGTGCGCAGCCGCCGTGCGGCGCGTTCAAGCTCAACAACACGGACGTGGACCAGTTCCTCGAGACGCTGTTCGACGACCTTTTGCCCCGTGTCGCGCCTTACTCGGCCTACTTCCACACGGGCGGCGACGAGCTGAACAAGAACGACTCGATGCTCGACGACGGCGTGCGCTCCAACGAGACGGCGGTGCTGCAGCCGCTGCTGCAGAGGTTTATCGACAAGCAGCACGGTCGGGTCAGGAAGGCGGGTCTGGCGCCCATGGTATGGGAGGAGATTCCGCTGGAGTGGAACGTGACGATTGGTAAGGACGTGGTGGTGCAGACGTGGTTGGGCAAAGACTCGGTGAGCAGCCTCACGGCGGCGGGCCACAAGATTATCGACAGCAACTACAACTTTTGGGTGAGTACTTTTAACTTCTTTCTTTCTTTCTTTGGTTTCCTCGGCCCTTGGTCCCGAACTCTGAGCTTTCTTGTCTTTGTCTTGTATTTGCATGACTAACCTTGGGTGTAATATGCAGTACCTCGATTGCGGACGAGGCGCATGGCTCAACTTTGAGAACGGCGAAGCGTACCAGCAGTTTTACCCATTCAACGACTGGTGCGGGCCGACCAAGAGCTGGAGACTGGTCTACTCGCACGACCCGGCGGCGGGACTCAGCGAGGAGCAGGCCAAGAACGTGCTCGGAGGGGAGCTGGCAGTCTGGAGCGAGACGATTGACCCGGTGACGTTGGACGGCATCATCTGGCCGCGGGCTAGCGCGGCGGGTGAGGTCCTCTGGTCGGGTCGACAGGACGCGTCGGGCCAGAACCGGAGTCAATACGATGCCTCGCCGCGACTTGCGGATATGCGAGAGCGCATGGTGGCGCGGGGCGTGGGTGCAGCGGCGATTACCCAGCTTTGGTGCACGCAGTCGCAGAATCCCGAGGAATGTGCTTACATTGTATAAGCAGTAGCGGAAGGCGCAAGTTTTTTTAGTTTTTTTTTTCAACTGTTTATTTTTATTATTTATGATTTTTTTCTTTTCGTCAAAAGGCGACGATCAAAGATTGGGCTTATGAGAAGCAACGGAAGAAGAAAGGTCAAGGCTCATACTTCCAAGTGCGTCCTCAGTTGGACCATATGGCCTAAGGCAGCAGCGGCTCGAGATACACAGATGGATGGACTCATTGGAACTTTTCCTTTTGAATTCCTTTTTTCCTCCATTCCCCTATTCTACGTTTTATTTTCAACCTCATCATTAGGCATGACACTCGCGGTTTGAACTCTCATCAATACAACTTTTCCTAAACCCTCACAGTCCAGACGTATCCAGTGATCTTGATTGGTCCCCGGTTGTGACAATGACGTATCCATGGGTATGGATGTACGAAGTATGTATACACAGCTCGACGTTGAACGTGAGCGGCTCCTGGGACAGTAAAGGATCATCCATGGATCAATTACATTATTTTCTTTTCTACTTGGAAGTGGTCCTGAGCTCGAGTGCGGCTTGCGGAGCTTCGGCGGAGACAGCTTGGAACGGAGTGGTTGATGCAGGCCAGTTTTCCAAGTGGGAGCGGAGACGAACCGGACCGTCGGGCAGACCGCGTGCTCCGGTCCTCGGGTCAGTGGTCAGTCATGCCTGCTTTTCGAAGTTGCCCGCGGGCGGTTAATAAAGGACCCCTTCATAGAGTATGGTGTAATGGCGTATAGTCGCAGTAGTCTACTAGTAGTCTTCCGTACAAGTAGCGTTTGAAGTTGCGGGAGAGGGTTGTCACGGTTCAATGGATTAGATAGATCTGTAGATAGATCTGAAGAACAGGGCCGTTCCTGTGGAATGTTGTAGGTCCTATGCCCATTTCGCAGGTACACTACAGCAAGTATCCCCAGAAGCCGGTGCTGCGGCGAGCCGGCTTTGCCTTCTTCTCTCTTTTATTGTTTTGGGGTTGTGCGGGCGGGTGTAATGTTTTTTTCTTCTTGCATTGATTGCCCTTCGGCTGGAGCGGAGAGAGGCCGGCGGAGACGGACTTCTAGAGCGGCTCACAAACTCCATTCCGCATTGCCCATCATTGCCCCGCAGTTCAAAAGGGCGCTACTACCCACACGTACCTACACCTTTGCTTGTGCCAGCTTGACAGCTAGCACAAATCGGGGAGAGGGTTGGTTCAGGGGAGGGGAAAGGGTTGCACTGGGGCCGGGATTAGACGGGCCCTGACCATTGCAAGCACGGGGATTCGGTCATGGCGAAACCTGGGGAAAGAGAGCCAGCCAAAAGTGGCGTGGTGCCCCGCTCTTTGGAAAGTTGGTTCTCCTCGATCGATCTGGGCGTCGGCGAGGAAGAAGAAGAAACTAAAATGTCTCTCTTTGTTTAATATGCGTTCATAATTGTGATGAACCCACGTTCTACGAATGTCTGCGTGGCGATCTTTGTACACTACAGATGTGAGGTGAAAGGCACGGAAGGGGAAGCGGAGTAGACTGGCACAGGGAAGAGGGGAGGAGGTGAACTTGGCCGAGAGTGCCATGGTCAGTCGATAGGTGCAGGGCCAAAACCAAAACGAAAAAAGAAACAGCAAAAAGAGAAGGTGAAAACCAAGACATACAAGCGAGGGGCGGTGGCAGGGGAGCTTGAAGTGGGTGCGCTGATCAGCATGGAGCATGGACGTGAAGGCAGTCCAAGTATCGACAGAGAGAAAAGTCGCCGGAACGGAGCTGGAGGCGGCAACGAGATTCTTCCCGAAGCCCCCTCCCAAGACATGCGCAGCGTGGCGTCTGGGGTGCATGGCCTGGCTGGCCATGGGACAGCAGCTGCAATTTTCTTGTGCTCAACTGTTTTACTCCCACGAGGCATTCTGTTTGTCATACAATGGCAGCGCGAGTTGTCCAAGTATGTTGTCCTAGGCAAAGGTACCTCCACTACAACACCTAGACGCTAGTGTTCTTTTCTTTTTCCTTTCCCTTTTTTTTTTCCGGGTCCCCCTTCTCATTTACTTTGCAGATGCCCATTTTCATTAGACTGGGGCTCTTGCTCCGGGCCAAGCAGGGTCTCCACCACGCGATGCGATGCTAACCTTGCTTGGCCAGATCCCCAGTGCGCACACTCCTTTCTCTCGCTTTTTCCCTTTTGCTTGCCCTCCTCCCTTTCTCCCCTTCTCCTCTTCTCCCCTTCTCCCCTTCTCCCCTTCCACACGCCCCACCTTTGGCCCTGGTGTACGCCATGTGCGACCCTAAGATCCGCAGCACGGAAGACGGAAACAAAGAATATCTTCATTCGCTCCAGTGGAGAGAGGTGGAATCGAGGGACCACCAGGAGGGGACGGGGCGACGAGGAGGCTAGCCTGGCAAAGGAGCATTAAGAGAAGAGGAACGGAGAACCGGGAGCGTCGGGGGCCGTTCGATGACGGTGGGGCTCCGTGGAGAAATGGGTACCTGTACTTTTCAAGTCGAGTGTTTGGTGGGCTTTCATCATACAGACTCGCGTTGCCAGTAATACAAGCAATACTCGTGTATACTGTGGTATAAACGTACAAGTATATATCCACGGACAGACAGACACCGCAGACAAGCACACACACACACACACATCCATTTCATATATATATATAGATATATAGCAAGACCCCCATTGCCTCGCCTCTCCAGATCGAGAACGAGTTCGTTTTCGACATTCAGGACCTCGACGCTGTCTCGGTACCTAGAGATTTGCCCCTTTGACGCCAAGCCATCGTTCTCTTGTTCTCCTTTTTCTTTCCTTACTTTTTCCTCCCTCCGGGCAGACCACCCCTCTCACCGAGTCTAGACCGCGGGAACGGACACGGAGCACGTAAAACAACGAAAAGAGTGTGTCAAAGTGCCTACCCGCCCGCAACCCGCACGTCGACGAGCAAGCAAGCATCTGATTGCTACCAGCCGAGGCTCTCTAATACCAAACGACGATCTGAGCCCACTCCCCGCGTCTCCCCCTTCTTTGTGTCTGTCACCTTGTAGACTTGTACAAGAGGGATACCCCTTCGAACTTGGGGTTGCATTTACACAAGAGCGCTAGCCTACAAGTGAATCAGACATTATAGCACACGCACCGACATAGTATATCTATAACCAACACCCTAGGGATCCATTGGATATCACCATCGTTCTAGCTTTGGGTTCTTTGCTATCAAAAAGAGAGTCTAGCCCGCTATTCCGCTATTCAAACCCAGCAGTTGTCTCTCTCTCTCTGTTTCTCCTTCTCTTTTTTCTAGAAACCACCATCGTCTTCACCATGGGCCTCATCGAGGACCTCGTCGGCGACCTCTCCGCCAAGTCGGTGGGCGTCTTCGTCGCGGCCTCGTGCACCATCTACGTCGTCCTCGTCACCGTCGACCAGAACCGCCGCCGCCGCCGCCTCGGCGCCCGCGCCCCCGCGCCAAGTACTGGCTCCCCTTCGGCATCGACTTCCTCTACCGCGGCATCCGCGACAACCGGCGCGACCTCAACATGGAGAACTGGCAGAGCCAGTTCGCCCGCATCGGCGCCTACACCGCCGAGGCCAACGTCGCCGGCCACCCCGTCATCTTGACCGCCGAGCCTGACAACGTCAAGGCCATCCTGTCCACCCAGTTCGCCGACTACGGCAAGGGCGAGGACTTCCACGCCGACTTTCGCGATTTCCTCGGCGACAGCATCTTCGCCACCGACGGCGACCTCTGGCACTCGAGCCGCCAGCTCGTCCGCCCCCAGTTCATCAAGGACCGCGTCAGCGACCTGCACTGCTTCGAGCATCATACGCAGTCCCTGTTCAGGGCCATCGCCAACGGCGGGCCCCTCAACGGCGGGGGTCAGTACGTGGATCTCGAGGCTGGCGATGGCCGAAAGGTCGATGTTAGTGACTTGTTTTACCGCCTGGCCCTCGACGTCTCGACCGACTTCTTGTTTGGCTACTCTGTCGACACTCTCTTGTATGTTTCTACTTTTTTCCTTCATCCCCCTTTCTTCTTCCAAGCCCAAAAAAGCAATCCACTCACCGCCTCCACAGCTCCCCACCGAACCCTTCGCCGACGCCTTCGACGAAGTCCAACGCATCCAAGGCCTCATCGCCCGCGCCAAAGGCGCCACATGGCTCATCCCCGCCGCACCTTCTGGCCCGGCCTCCGCACCATCGACTCCTTCGTCAACCAGTACATCGACCGCGCCCTCGCCCTCGCCCCCGAGGAGCTCGCCTCCAAGACCAAGTCCGACAAGGGCTACACCTTCCTGCACGCCGCCGCCGGCTTCACCCGCGACCGCAAAGTCCTGCGCGACCAAATCGTCGCCCTCCTCCTCGCCGGCCGCGACACCACCGCCTCCACCTTGTCTTTCGCCCTCTACGAGCTCTCTCGCCGGCCCGACGTCGTCGCCAAGCTCCGCCGCGAGATCCTCGCCACCGTCGGGTCCCGCCGCTGCCCCACCTACCGCGACCTCAAAAACATGCCCTACCTCAAGGCCGTCGTCAACGAGACCCTCCGCCTCTATCCCGTCGTTCCCTTCAACGTCCGCGTCGCCCTCCGCGACACCACCCTGCCCCGCGGCGGCGGCCCGGACGGCAAGAGCCCCGTCGCCGTCCTGAAAAACACCTCGGTCGCTTACTCTACCCTCGTCATGCAGCGCCGCCCCGACATCTACCCCCGTCTCCGACTCCTTTGCCGACCCCGCCCTCTACAGCCCCGAGCGCTGGGAGCACTGGCACCCCCGCGGCCACGAGTACGTCCCCTTCAACGCCGGGCCCCGCATCTGCGTCGGCCAGCAGTTCGCCCTCACCGAGATGGCCTACGTCATCTGCCGCATGTTTCAAAAGTTTGAGCGCGTCGAGGGCTTCACCCGCCCCGGCCCCACCGGCGAAGTCCGCCTCAAGACTGACCTTACCCTCAAGCCCGGTGACCCCATCGTCGTCGCTTTCTGGGAGGCCAAATCGTCTGGGGAGGAGGCGGACGGGTCGCTCAACGAAAAGTAGATTCCTAAAAATCAAGCGCGCGGGCGTTTCTTTTTTCTGCTCCCATGCCTTCTTCATGCATACGTCTTCTAGGAGGGAACTCCGAATTTGAATCATGACATTTTCTCTCTTCTTTTTCTTGTCCTGGGCTAGAGACGGATACCGTCACCGGGGAGTGGACGGCGAGTTGTATGTGCTAGTACATGACGTTCTAGCCTCGCCTGGGTGTGGCACAGAACCAATCTTGTGTGGATGCTCGTCTTGATGGACAAGGCCTTCTTCGTTCGTTTCTCGAGTTTGTTTGGATTTATGTATAATGATACCTCGCTACGTAATACAGCTCTTACAGCAATTGAATTTCATTTCCCCCTTCCTCGTTCGCTCCCACTCCCGCCGCTGCTGGAGCATCAATCTCAAAGCTCTCCCTAATGGCCTCGCCAAACCTCCTCATCGCTTCCCTCATCCCTTCCACAGTAGCCGCCGCAAACGTGGTCCGGAAGAAGAGCTCTGACGGCCCGTCCTCCTCTCCGTGATGATACCCGTTCACCACCGCCGCCGCATCAGGATCGCACCCGTTGGTGCCATTTACGGTATGATGGTGGGGGTCGGAAGCGGCGGCGCGGAACCAGGACCCGCGGGCGACAAGGACGCCCTTGGAGATGCAGGACTGGAAGATTTCCTCTTCGAGCGCTGGCACGCCCGAGGAATAACGGGGGTGTTTTGTGTGGTCGAGTTTGATCCAGAGCTGATAGAGATCCCGGGATCAATGCCCCCGTATGTTAGTGAAAAGAAAATAAAGAGGGAATGTAGCAATGCATCTATTAGTTCAACTCACAAACATGCCCGCCCTGGGGACGTCCCACCGCGCCACCTCGGGCAAAAGTCGTCGCACGCGCGGAGCAAGACGTTTCTGCGGGCCTCGTACTCGACGCCGAGCGCGGCAACCCACTCGAGGAACCCCGGTGGCCGCCCCAAGCGCGCTCGAGGAGGGTGTGGAGGGCAGCCTGGGAAAAGCCGCTGGGGCCCTGGGAGGACTCGCACTGGCGAAGAAAACGCTCAATGACTTGGGCGGAGCCGGTAGCCCAGCCCAGGCGCGAGCCGGGGAGAGGATCTTGGAGAAGGAGTCGAGGCGGAGGACGCGGCCCGAGGTATCAATGCTGAGAAAAGTGCCGGGCAGGGACGCCATGTAGGAGCTGAGTCGAGCGTCGGCGTCGGCACTGGAGGCGGCGGAAGGGTCGCCTCCGGACCGGGGGTACGCGGGCATCTGCAGCAGGTAGTATGGGTCATCCTCGACGATGAAGATGTCGTGCTCCTCGCAGATGGCGTAAATCTCCCGCCGCCTCCCCTCGCTCAGCGACGCGCCTGTCGGGTTCTGGCCCGTGGGCACGGTATATAAAACGTGGGGCTTCCTGCCCCGGGCGGCCTCGTCCCACTCGTCTAGAATCCTTTTCAGCTCGGCGGGGACGATGCCCTCGCCGTCCATCTTGACGCCGACAATGCGGATGCCGAGGGCCCCTATGGTCTCTTGGGCCGTGGAGAAGGTGTACTCTTCCATGAGGATGCTGTCGCCACGGGCCTTGTCGCAAAATATGCGGGCCACCGTCTCCAGGGCGCCCGTGGATCCCGTGGTCTGCATGCACCGCCAGTCGGCGTAGGGGGCGCGTAGAGGATCTCGGTCAGCTCGGTGACGAAGCGGAGCATTTGGCCCGCGCCCGTGACCTGGCTGTAGTTGAGGGCGACGGAGAGGTCGTAGTCGGCGCCCTCGGCCATGTCGTATTTGCCGATCGAGAGCGTGTTCGGCGGGGCCGGTTTGTCGGGCGGAGAGGTGTGCGGAAGGTTGAAGTCGGGGCGGGGCGGGACGGAGACGGAGAGCGAATCGAAGGGGAAGTAGCTCGCGGAGGGAGGCCGCCGCCGAGGGAGATGAGCCCGGGGGTCTTGAGGTACTTGGCTGCCTGCTTGAGGACACATGGGCGTCGGGCCCGGGACTCTTCGCTAAAGTAACCTAGTGAGGAGAGAGAAATAAGGTAATGCGTGTCAGCTTCCCAAAAGTTTGGCCAGCGGGCATAATCGGATTAGGCAAGGAAAGGAAGTGGCACCTACTGTCCCATCGTTTGGCTACCGGCGTGCCTGGTGGCTTATCGCGGGCAAGGCCTTCCGTGTTAGTGGATGAACTGCAGAGAAGATTGAAGGCAAAGCCGCACGAGCGCAGATGTTTTTTTAGCGGCTCGGAGCCTGCGGGCGCTTCCCCGTGTGAGAGCTAACGAGGAAGGGAAGACAATAAAAAGCACAAAACAAAAGGGACGGTGAAAGAGAGATCCCCCTTGCGAGAGCGGGCAGAGTCCATGGATGGGTTCTTGGCTTACAGGCGGTTTCTTAAACATGTCGCTGTCCGAGTACGCAGCTAAGCCGGGTGCATACCGGCCGGCTTCGGCACGCCTGGCAAGGACAGCCTCGATCCTCGATGCGTAGGGTTCCATATCGGGTTCTTGTTTCTTCGTCTTATGTTTTTCCCTCTTTTGGATCCGTGACAGTTTATCGAATCCTCCGAATTATTCACCAAAACAGAAGAGGAGGTCCCGCCACGAGGCCAGGTCGTGGGAGGGTGGTGACGTCTCCTTCACTTATACCAATTGTTCGGAACTGTCGAGATGTATGTAAGCCACCGGGTGTTTCGAAGAACCGCAGGCGGCCGCGACAACCCGCGCTGCACTAGCATTTCATTGTCCAAGACCCGGTCCTAGCCATGGTCTAGTTTGTAGGAGCGTGCGGCGGGGGCGGGTCAGGAGTCGTCCACTGTGGATCCAGTGCCACTTTACAGTGCCATTCCCGGCGCCCTTAAACTGACAGACATTAACTCCGGAATATTTCAATGTTCCAATGTATTGGATCCGTCGATACCAGAGACTCAAGGCATCTATAATCTATTGGGTCAATTGATGGGGAAGTGAGGCTCAACCAGGAGCCGTCCCCACGTGGTTTTTTTCTCTAATTCTTTTTAATTTTCTTTTTTTCAATATCCAAAACCATTGGTGAGTAAGTGGCTCAGATTGAGTTGGAAGCTTGGCCCATTGCCAATTGATCCATCCATTCCATTGGACATGGATCAATGCATTTTGGGTAACGCGATTGATTAATAAGCCGTGTTCCCTCTCCAGACGTCTCTAATATTACTGCTAACCTCTCTACGTTCTTCTTGAGGGGGCGTGGGGCACGCAACCCACGAGAATCGATCAATGGATGGATTGGATTGATCTCCTCGCCAGGAGTGGTCAATCTCAGGAAACGGAGAGCAGCCCTAGAGCAACCCGAACGAACTGCGGCTCGCTGGCGGTTCGCGGACTGCAAACAACGAACAGAACAGGCGCCCTTGCTTTTCCTCGAGTCTTCCAATGCTGTAAGAAAAAGCAAATTGAACCTGTCGAGAGCAAGGCTTTTTCGCCGTGTGTGCAGCCTTTGCCGAGGCAGCCTGCAAATACCTTTCCCCTCTTTTCACTTCCCTTTTCACCTCCCTTTTCACCTCCCTTCTACCTTCCCTTTCACCTTCCCTTGAGCCCTTGGGCCTCTTCAAGTCCGAAAGGCCAAGGCTCGACCCGTTCTCAGCCACCAAGCCACTGTCCCCAGTTTGAAGGCTGGCAGTCGAGTCAGCCTAGGCTGGTGCTGTTTCTTCCCGCATGCCTCGAGGGCTCCGAAACCTTTGGAATAGAGAGGCAACGGTGAACTGTGAGGGCATCGTGAACAGGGGCCGGCGTGAAATTTATCCCATTTCCAACCCTTCTCTCCTCGTTCTATTGATGAAGCCACCATGCCTAAACCCCTCCTGCACGTACAAGGCACGTGCTGCGTGTACTTGTATTGTCCAGACACACAGGGCATCTGGACCAGGGTCCATTATCAGTGACGTCGTTTTTTGCCCTGGATCAGCCAGATGCCTCATCAACCGCCCCCATCTCCCAGCCAGGCTGGTTGGCTCCGCCTCCCCTTCCCTAAGAGCTTGCCCTTCCCCTCCCCAGCAATGGTGACTGAGCAAGGCGGAACGTTTCGAGACTGTCTCCATATTGGCCACGCATCGTTTTGGAAGGCCAACCAGACTCTTGTCAGAGCAGTAGTACACTAGCCCTCAGTGCATCTATTCGCTGCTGGGCTAGCGGCAGAGAAAGAACGTGACTCACCGTGGCCTCCACAACCTTGAAGGATGTCGGATATGGCCGAGCGACGCCTCCCCAGGAACACCGCCAGAGCAGGTATTGGTTCGCGAACAACGGGCCGCAATACGTTTCGGTGAGCGAATGCGGATTAGATAGAGTTCAAGTGACCGCCTGACCATAGGCTCCGCCGCCCCGCGGATGTGATAAACCTTCTCCAAATGAATGAGCTGGGTCGATTAAAAGTAAAGGAAAGGGCAAAACGGCGAGAGGACCAAAGGAAAGAAAAGGCAGAGGAGAAAAAGGGACGATGAGGAGATTCCCGCCCTACCGGCACAAGAGGAGAGAGATGATGATGCCAGAGATGAAGGATAGAACAATGCTTTGCTAGAGCATCATTGATCAAAACCAAGGTTGAACGCTGTCAAGTCGGGTATCGGGTGAGGCCTCCACCCCCAATCTGATTGTGACAGTGACCTGGTCACGCTGCCCATTGTAAAGCACAATCTTTAGGCAGCCGCGCCCCAAGGAGTTAGCCAACGCCTCCTCTCCCTCCCTCCCATTCTCCTTAAAAACCCCACGAACACCCACGACCCACGCCCTTCTAGGCTTCTTCAGTACAGACACTCGCGGATCTCACATTGTTCATAACCCCGTAACTTCGCAACAATGCAACTCACCGACCAGAAGGGGTCTATAAAACCCACCTCAATAGCCCAAGCGAAGACGAAGAGCCCGACTGCCTCTTCCACCACAACTACTATTGGGGCTCCTACCGCGGCTAGGACGACGGTCAATATCAACGTTGGCAACACTACCGAAGCTGCCAACGCCGACGAGACTGCCAACAATGCCAGCACCGTCAACACTGTCGACAATGCTAGTACTACCAGCGCCACCCCGCCATCGACGAGAGCGTAACCACCCAACCCAATACCAATATGGCTGGGTTCGAGCCACAGACAAACATTCTCATTCACATGGTGGGCAGCGGCCTCCACCAGGAGCCCGACGTCGCCTACGCTGGGCTAGGGCCAGGCGCGGACACCATCCCACGGCTTGAATCCGCTGAGCCGTCCGATGTTCTCTCTGATATTACTCCCACCGTTGGATACGGCTGGCATCCTATAGTCAGGAATCGTACGTTGCGTGGTAGTCAAATATCAGACCTCCCCGTGAGAAGGCTCGAGATTGGTAGGGTCTGGTAGAGACCAAGGCAAACAAATCGCAGAGGGTGGGGCTGAAGACGGAGCCTGGCCGACACAGTGGGCTCAAATCCATTGATGGATCCATCCATCAATCAATTAAATGTACTGGACTGATCAGTGTATCTTATCGCTTCTTGTACCATCTAACAAATTATTTTAATGTTCTTTTTGCTGGCGTTCATCAAAGATACCCAACTCTGGAGTTAGTGGAAGGGACATACCATTTAGATAGTACCGAGGAAGATAGACTCAACATTGATGAATTCATTTTCTGCCTTATTGTTTTAACTCTCTCCCGCTATGAGCATTGAGCATAAATCGAGTATCAGGCTGAGCGGATGTATAAAATTCTAAGCCAATCGAGCAAGGAGAGGAGGCGCGATTGGAGCGGGGGCGGTTTTCTTTTCTCTCTTCCCTTCTCTCTTCTTCTTTTTGTTGGTCCAAGGCTGGCGCTTCTCGCGCAAATCGTAAGAGCGAAGCGACAGGACGGATGCGACACTTGTCTCCCTGGTGGCCGCGTTGAGACCTGGGAACTCGACTCGAAGCCTTGACCGAGTTCCTGTGATCTAGCATATGCGTTGGGCCTCCCACATGCAAGCGAGTAGTGATATATAGGCCCAATACCTCAGTACAATTATGAACAGCGCTCAAGCTTCGACAGGTATAGGTAGAAAAGAGGCTAACCAGCGTCCCTCCCCGCGGCCGAGGCCAAGGCCTGGACGGCATGAGGAACTTACGGATTGCACGCAGCACACAGCGTGCTTCATGCTATCGCTTGTTTAGCTCACCTTGTGCAACTTGCTCAACAATCCTATTGCGCTATCAGTCTCGTTTTGCTTTTCTCCCCTATTTGGCTCTTTTTGTTGCCTTTCTCTCTCGTTCATCTTTGACTATGGCTTACGTGTATTCTAGGGGTGGCACACCACATTTGGGGGTGTGCAAGGCTGTCCCCCAGCGCGGCGATATAGCCGCCTAGCCTTCACGACAAGTGCGCACGTATGTACCGCATCTTTTTGTTGGGTTCGTTATCTGATGCCTCTCGAAACGGCGGTGTAGATGCCACAATAATAGAAATAAGGAGAGAAAGGGAGGGGGCAATCGGTGGAAAGGGCGAACAAAGAGTGCAAGAGGCAAATCACGGCGGAGAAGCCGGATGACTCGATGGCTATATGGCAAGCTAGGTTAACTCTCGTTGGCCGCTTGTCGAATATAGGCAGGAAGGCCGCGAGCGAGTTAGACTTGCTGGACCTAGTTGGCAGACATGCTGGTGTTAAATATGGGCCACATACACGAAAGTGCAAGCGCACATCCGACCAATGTTTGACCACTCCATGCAGACCTGCGTGTACTGCGCCCCTCCCCTTCGGTTCACTTTGATCCTACGGCTGCGGCGGAAGATATGACCTGGCACAGCGCCAGAGTTGTGACCCGTGATACGAGGCGGACGCATGTATGTGGCCGTCTGCTGCGGAGAGCATATGTGGGTTTGCATAGACTGTTTCCTCATTCGATCTCACATCAACGCAAGGAGGGGGCAGCCGGGGAATACGGAACGCGGACGGATTGCGGATTGGATTGTGCGGATGCTAGGACGCTGTTCTCCTGGCTTGCCGTCGGGAATTAGGGTTGAGAGCCGCTGAGAGTGATGGATGCCGAGTCCTCCGAGGCGGTGTAGAAGCCTGCTTAGAAAGAGCCCCTTCCTTCACCCTGCGCGCCCCATTACACGGGACCCTCGACCAGTCAGCCGCCTTGGCCCTCCAAGCGCTTACCTCGAACAGCCGCCATCCCTATGGTATGGCGGCAGGGCTGACCTACGAAAGGGAAAATGGCCTGGTGGGAAGGGGAGGGGAAGCGGCAAGGGGGGCTGCTCACGGCACTTGACGAAGCGAGGGCGTTGGGAAACGGCCGGAAAAACAAGCCGGAACTCTGCGTGGGACCAAGCGCCCTTTGTCCACGTGTGTCCCGCTTGGGACAAGGGAGACGGGAAACCCTTGGGTTTCATGCATCCATAGATCCATGCATGGCAAGATCGTACCAAAGGTTCTCGAATGGTGTGTTCAGAGCAGGGCTTGAATGCCGGGAGAGAGCACAGACTTGGACCGATCTTCTCCCTTAGGGTCCATCCGATCTGGGGAGTGTGTGTGTGGGGAGGTGCAGACCTGATCTTGAAATACCACTCCCGGCTGTGATCCCCTTCTCGTCGCGAAACGGGGCCCTCGGAAAACCCTACAAAGGACCGAAGACACCATACGAGCCGAACTGGAAGGTGCACTCCACTAGAGCGAGGAAAGGGAAGGAGAAAAGGACCAAAGAAAAGAAGGGGATGGTGGAAAAATGGAAAGATCGAACCTTGCCTCCGTGCCGAGTCGCCAAGTCGCCAAGTCGCCCAGACGGCCAAGCTCATTGAAGCTCATGCGGTTCACGCTTAGCTACGCCCGATGAGCGAGCACGCCGCTTCCTCTGTTTCCTCTGCTTCCTCTGTGGAGATGGAACAATTTCTAGGATGGACAGTCAGCGCGTTGGAAGCCTGTGACTCCCCTCCTTCTTCTTTCCTCCCGCTCCCCCGGCCTCCTCATAGTCTCATGAGGTGGTGTAACTAGGCTTGCGTCCGGCTACATCGCATGAATGCGTGCGCCCAGAAGGGAAGGCCGGCAGGTAACAGCACAGAACAGCCTGCCGGAATCTGAAGCTTGGCGAACGTGGCGAGGGTTGGTCGAGATCTACGTCTCTTGGCCTCTTTAAAGAGAAACAGCTTCTTTTCTTGTCCCTCTTTCTTTACCTCCCCTCTCCCCTTTTTGCCCTTCTTATCTTGTGCAAGGCTTGTCCTGATGCTTCTCAGAACCCCAATTTGAAAGCTATGACGGAAAGGGAAGATCTCAATCAGACTTGATTTATTGCCCTTAAAAAAGAGGTTGGGGGTTAGCGTCTTTAGCGCGACCCTTGTTGCTGGTGTTTTATCCTTCTATTTATTCCACTAAGCACCCACTTCTTTTTCTGTGGGTACGTGTCCGCCCGCTTAGTGTTGATAGCAAAAGTCTCTGAATATCTTCCAACCACATGGCCAAGACGTGCTCCAACCACGTACAAAGTATTTCGTAGATGGTAGCGCTCATGCCTACCGAATGCTTAGCGATTTGATGAACGCGGTGCTGTCTTCTGATGGCTCCTGGGGCATTAACCTTCTGCGGGAATGCTCAAATATGCCACCGAGATCCAATTGATACAACGGATCCATGAATATTTTCAGTTGGCGCTTCACACCTCGCTTGAGCCAAAGCCCAAAAGACCGACGCCGACCGGCCAGCCTTTGGCTGAGCTGGCGCCCGTGGCTGGCCATGGGGATCGTTGTGATCAATGTATGTTGCTTAGACGCGCACCACCTCGGCGCCGCCTGATGTTGTATTGACGCAAGCCACCCACGGGGTGCCTGGCACTGGAGCTGGTGCTGGTGCTGGTGCCGATGCTGGTGCTGGCTGGTGCTGGTTGTGGGGGCAGGATCCTGTCAGTTCCTGAATCGCTGTGCAGCCAATCGCAGAGCTTCTTTTCCAAGAACAGGGATAAGAGCTGGCCCGGCCTTGGCTTGGCCGCCTTTCCCCAACCACCTCGTCACGGCCACATCCCCTGCCAAATATTTTCCTTTTTCCCACCAAAAAAAAGCTGGAAGGACTGGCATCGAGTGCGCAAATCATAGCATATGGTTTCGTCATTCATGGATTGCCCTCCCTCTGCCCCACAAGGACGACATGGCACACCTCGTGTCTTGGGCAAGTCTTGGGAGGTCTTGGGATGGAGGGGGAGGGAGGCAGTGCGGGAGGTGGTTGGGCTCCGATGGGGATCTCCCTTTTGTGCCTTGCCTTAAAGATGCAATCTCGCTCCTCCCACATGAGACACCGATCGTGCTCGATTGTGACATCTTAATAAAGCTTGTATACTTTTTTTCCCTTTGAAATTCTTCATCAATAGAGCTTTTTAGACGTCACTGCATCTGCCACGCCACGCTACCGCATTCTTCATCCTCTTGCGCTCCATCTCCCTCTCTGTCTGTCGTTGCCGTTTTTCTCCACACGCAAAGCAAAGGAACCAATCTGCATTGTGCCGACGATTGACCCTCTCTCGACCTTGTTCCCGGGCTTGATTGTCTGCTATTATATATCCTGCCCGATTCCGACTTACCCTTTCGAGAACGGCCTCCCTCTAACGCCTTTTCTTCCTTCCCCCTCATTCTTATTGGGGGTTTTTTGGATCGACAACGCATAACACCCGTGATAGATTGAGCTGGTCTTGTGTCTGGGAATTCCGTCATTGAAAAACCCGCTCCTCTCTCTCCTACGCCCTTCGCTGCTTCTCCGAGAAGTCCACGACGACCTGTTTTCAGCAAAACCTCTGGCGCGAAACTGAAGGGCAAAATCACATCTCCCTTTGCACATTCTTCCATTCTTGAACAATGAGGATAGCCAACCTTCCATGGGCCGCGCTGGCCGCCACCTTTGCTCACACAGCTTCCGCCCAAACATGGACAGCCTGCAACCCGCTCACCAGTAAGTGACCTCGTCTTTCGGTCTATGCTCCGTCCGCCCCTCTCTGACGAGGGTGCTCTTCGCTCTCTGTCTCTCTCCCGCTCTTTCTCCCCCACTAACACAAAAACTTTGGTAGCCACCTGCCCCAATGATACCGCACTCGGCATGTCGATCCGTGTGGACTTTACCAAGGGCGAAGTTAATTCCTTTGTTGCCTCTGGCACGCCCTCTTATGACGGAGAGGGTGTTTCTTTCAGCGTTGCCAGGCCTGGCGATGCTCCCCAACTCATCTCCACCTTCTACATCATGTTTGGTCGCGTAGAAGTCACTATGAAGGCAGCCCCTGGAACCGGTATCGTCAGCTCCGTGGTACTGCAATCCGACACCCTCGACGAGATCGACCTGGAATGGCTCGGTGTCGACAACGGCCAGGTCCAGACCAATTATTTTGGGAAAGGTATCGTGGGCAACTACAACCGAGGGCAGTTCAACCCCGCTCCCAACAACCAGGCCGAGTGGCACACCTACACCATCGACTGGACCCAGGACCGCATCGTCTGGCTGGTTGACGGCACGGAAATCCGCACCCAGACCGCCGATTCCGCTGAGGACAACCAGTACCCGCAGACGCCTATGCAATTCAAGTTCGGAGCCTGGGCTGGCGGCGACCCGAGCAATGCCCAGGGCACCATCGAGTGGGCCGGCGGTGTGACCAACTACGAAAATGGGCCCTACTCCATGAGGGTCAAGTCTGTCGCCGTGAGCGACTACTCGACTGGCAAGGAGTACCGCTACAAGGACAATTCGGGGTCCTGGGAGTCCATCGAGGCCATTGACGGCGAGGTCAACGGCAACATCGGTAACGTCGACGTCATCACCATCACCGCGAGCGCTGCATCTCCCACCGGATCCGGCTCCCCCGCGTACCTGCTGGTGGCATAGGTACCGCCAGCGGCGATGCTACCCTTACGCAGACCGGCTGGCCCTGGGTACCCGGTGCTACTCCGGACCAGGGCTCCGTCCCTGACGGCTGGGTAATGACCGAGGAAGGCAAGCTCATCCCCAACCAGTCGGCGAGCGTGCGCCCCCTCTTGTCGTCTTCTTCACCTCTTTGCTTCTGGGAGTCGCCATCCTTCTTGGACAAGCCGCATAATCCCCGACTCGGTCTTATCTTTGCTTTACTTTTGGGTTATATCTTATCTTGTTTACTCAACAACACGTCAATCGACGACTGTCTGATACCTCGCTCGTTTGTTCGTTATTCGTTAGCACGAGGAGGCTGTATGACACTGTCGATGTATTTCTACAGTGGAGGTGGAATCATGGCGACCCCTGCAATGGCAGCGGAAACCACGTCCAAGAAGTCTGCCTTTTTAGCTTTTTTTTTTTTTTTTTTTTTTTTTCCATACCCGAGGCAGGGTTCAGTAGGGGCATCGTCATGTCTCGCATCCTGCTTCACACTGTTTTCCCATCACGGGTGGTTCTCACATTGTTTTTTGGTCTTTCTCTCGCATTGTATAGCGGCGTTGGGATTATAGAAGCATAGATGGGCAACGCCCACCACCGCACAACCCGAATACGGTTGTTGGCACCACGGCATGACTGCCGGATTCGAGAGCGACGCCTTCATGATTAAGGCTTAATGTTTAGAAAATACAGTCTTTGCCTACCTTTAATCTTTGGATCGAGAATCACGTTTCATCTTGTATTCCGCCCCTTCGTAGAGATGGCAGCTAGCTACGCTTTACACTGCGGGCTCCATCTGTCCAAGATGTGTCAAGCTGGCACGATGCACGTATTCGAGTCGAGTTCGAGCTTCGATAGTCGGTTTATGGGGAAGAAACGACACAGTTTTGATATAATTGTATTTCAATGTTTGTCAAAATAACAAGGGCACGAGTCAAAAGGCAATTCAAATAAAACAATATCGGGGGAAAGAGATACGAGAATGCTATGCTCTTCTACTCCTTTGTGGCCCGCCTTCACCGAGCCGAGTCCTTCCGCGGCCTCTGGGTCGTCTTTCTTGGAGGCCTTGAGCCCCCTCTCGTCTTTTTCATACTCTTTTTTTCTTTCTTTTTCTTCAATCCCGGCGTATTTCTAGTCCTTGTAACTTCATGCTCGGACACGCTACGCCTCCCTTGTCTTGTGCGCTTCGGAGTTGCCTCCCTTGCGTGCATATTTGGATATTGGTGGAAATGTCGATAACAAGTGTAAAGGAATTATGCTGTGGACGAAGCACCCCCAAGCCAGTCACTGGTCAAACTCCGGTGCTGCCCGTTGACCTAGTCTATTTACAAAACCGAAATAAGGAAGAAGGGAAAAAGAGGGCGCAGAAGGGCAAGAAGAGAAATAAAGGATGGGATGAAAGAAAAAGAACAAGTAAGGACGAGGAGAAACAGAATACGAGATACAGAAATAAACGGCGGTAATGAAGAGAAACGATGCAGGGTTCTTTGGCATAAAACTAGGACGTAGTAGTGTGTCCGTCGAGATGCGACGCTTTCTAGATTCAAACTCCCCAACTGCTTTAAAACTCCCAATCCTCATCCTCGACGGACTTGATAGCCCAGTTGAACTTCTCCCTTAGAGTCTTGGAGAAGAACTTCTCGATAGGGACGTCAAACTTGCGAGCAAAGACGACGGTTAGGCGGGGATCAATGTAATTCTAAAGAGCAAAAAGTGTTAGTGATACAAGGCCTCAGCAACGACTACTAGACGCGGGATCGTGGGCCAACTTACAATTTTACTCGTACCCAGGGCAACTTCTTTGTTGCCCTCGCGGTCCTCGGCCTGGAGCTTCAGATTGTTAATCTGCGTGTCATGCTTGGCGATCTGCTGTTCGAGCTTCTCCACTGTTGCGCCACGGCCCTCGGCGGCAACCTTCTTGGACTTATTTTCCTTCTTGAACTTGGACTGGAGCTCGGCCACCGCCTTCAAACGCTCCTTCAATTCCTTGTCAGGGTGCGGCTTCTCTCCTTCGGCGACGCGCTTCTCATTTTCCTTTTGGAACTTCTTCGTTATAGTCTCGCGCTCCTTTTCGACGAGCTGCTCTTGGTGCTCAATGATCCACGCCTCGGACAGTTCGGGCTCGAGCGCAAACCAATCAGCACCCTTCTTCTTCTTCTGCTTGGGATCGACATCGAGAATCATCTGCTTGGCTCGCCACTTCTTGTATTGGTAGCCCTTGATCTTATCCCCCAGCTTCTCCATCTGCTGCTCGTGGCTTGCACCGACGGTACGCTTGTGGTTACAGAGGATGGCGACTTGACGGTTACAGTCGTTGTACAGTTTGACCTTCTCCGCGATGGGGCGGCTGTCGACCTTGAGCTCCTTCAGCAGCCTAGCCATGGTGATGGAAGCGTTGTAGGTACGGAAGACCTTCGCCGTCAGACCGGGCATGTAACCCGAGAGATGTTTGTTCAACTGCGTGGTCTACGTCACAAGGAGGTTAGCAAGAGCGATCTTGTAAAATAGGACACGGTAGGTTCGCTTCAGGAAAATGCACATACCGTCAGGCGATCAAAAATATCATCGCCGGTAGTCTTGGGGGCTTCTTGAAGAGCTTCAGGTTCTTGAACACCTGCTTGTCTACCTTGACCTCGTCGTAGAAGCGGATACTGTCTTTACCAAGGAAGTCGAAAATGACAGTGTCGGGTTCCCTGAGGGTGACATGCTCGTACTTGAGAGAGCAGCAACCCACCGTTTCGGCCTCATTTTCGGCATCCTTCTCGTTACCGGCCCTGAGGGCGAGCTTGTCGATGAGATAGACGGCGGTGGCGCGTTGCCGGTCGGCCATGACTTCACTCTTAAGATCTCGCGTGTAGTCCTTGCGGATCCTGTCAATGTGCTTCTTCAGTTCACGCGCCTTTTCGAACTTCTTGAAATCACTCTGGCCCTTGATAGCACTGTTCGCCGCCAGCATGACGTATTTGTAGGCGCCGTTGATGTTTTCCTGCCACATGGCAAGCCATGTTGCCTTGTTGTCGTGCTGAACAGCCTTCCATTTATGACCGGCGGGCGGTTTGGGGACCTCTGCGCCCTTGCCAATGTTGATGGTGATTTGCTCCGGGTAGACGCGACGCTTGACCTTGCCAGTCTTGGGGTGCTCGCCACGGCCGCGGAATAGGCTTGGAGGTTCGACACGGAAGTTGCCCACTTTTTCTTTGCGGCCATCCCACTTGCAGTGCATGAAAGGAGCCTCCATCTTTTCCCGGTCTGCCTTTTCTGCCTTCTTTTCGGCCGCCGATCGGGCCTTCTTGGCCTCGTTGGTGGTCTGCCAGTATTCGTGGATCTTGGTGAAGTCGAGCTTCGAGAAATCTTTGATGTCAACTTTATTGCCCTGCTTGTCCGTGGCACCGCCCGTCTGCTTGACCGTCTCCTTGAAGTCGGTGAAGAAATTCTTCTGGAAGACAGGGTTCTCGACGTTATGCGTCGAATGAAGCATGGATCCGAAAAACCAGGCAATCTCTTCCGCCTCGATGTGGAGATTGACAGGCTTCCCGTCATAGTACAGCTTGACGTTAGAGGGTAGAGGCGTGTACTCAGGGGAAAGAGAACACCATTGTGCTCAAGAGTGTTCCACTTGACGCTGTCGTCCTCCTTCTTCGGCGCATTCCACCACTCGTACTCCTCTTCACCATCCTCCGGCGCCTCGCTCTGGTCCTTGGGTTCAGCCTTGACCGCTTTGGCGCCCTTCTTCACAGGCGCAGCCTTGGCAGCCGATTTAGCCTTGGCAGCAGCGGTATTCTTGGGCTTCTTCAGAGGGACGTCTGAGTCCGAATCCTGTTTCTTGACGTCATTCGTCTTCTTTGCGGAAGCGGAGCCCACCGACTTGCGCTTCGCGGCCGGCTTCGCAAGAGGCTTGTCATCGTCACTGTCCGACTCGTCCTTAATAGCCTTCTTAGCAGGTGTCTTCTTCGTCGCGGGAGTGGCCTTCTTCGCGCTTTTGCTCAAGGGGCATCGTCGGAATCGTCGTCAGGGACAATTGTTCTTGTCCGTTGACGTTTAGCCTAGGGGAAGTCGGGCATCAGTACGGGTCTTTGAATACGGCGCAGAGAACAGGTGTGCCCGTGGAAAAACTCTTACCAAAGGCTGGCCGTCATCGCTGTCCTCTGAATTATCCTTGTAGTTGATTTTTGTGATGGACGTCCGCGATTTTCGCTTCGCGGCTCCATTGGTGAGCGGGCTGTCCACTGTCATGGCATCGTTGGACGCCTTCGATTTCACCCCTCCGGAGGCTGTCAAGGCAGCGCGAGTTAGCCAAATCATCCATTGAACAAGATGGGACGGGTTGAGAGAGAATGAGATGGAGCCTGGGGTCGCGAGGAGATGGTGACACGTCATCCGAGCCTCGAGCCCCATCGAAGACTGGGGGCTGAGGCAAGACTCGCGCCCCTTTGTGGGATAGATCGATCACTTCACTTACCGCGCCCTTTGAAACGGGCAAGGGGCATATCGTCATCGGAGCCGCTTGAACTCATCGTGACTCGATTCGGGTTGCCGCGAGTGGGAAACGCGCGCGGAATTTGGATGTTTTGAACGGGGGTGAGTCGTGTTCGACTGCAAGAATCGGGGGCGATGAAGTAGTCGCGAAATCGACCAGGCTCCCAGTGGATAGATAAATACGAGGGGTAGAAAAAGGAAAAAATAGAGGAAGCTGCCGGAATCGATGGTCTACATGGATGTGCTCGGGGAAGTTGTACACGGAGGAGTGAGCGTGAGAAAAAATGGTGGACGGAGACGAAGGAGAGTTGGGGGAAAATTGGCGGGTGGAGGAAACTATTAGAAGGCGCAAGTTTTTGGAGGTGGTCGTGACGGACTGTCAAGCAAGCACGCCTCGCCCCCTACAGTTCGCCCACTGGCTGGATGGCCTTCTGTTTCGGGACCCTCTCCCACTTTGGCTGTCTGTGCCCCTAACGTTTTAGGCCCGGATGAACGCCAGCCTCCAAAAGCCTCTAGTGTTTGGGTGGGGGCATCCAGTTGAGCGCACGATTCGCCGATTCGCAAGGACTGGGCTCCAGTGGATCTAAAGGTCACGTGTCTGACTCGTCAGGACCAGCTGGAGGCTCGGTGTGGTGCCAGCATTGTTCAATGTTTTGAAAAGAGACACACAGACCCGAGTTTGGTGGCTCTGGCTCGGCTAGAGGGAAAAAAGGCACACGTTTGGCGCCTCGTGGCGACCTCTGCCACTGGACGTGAATCCACAAAGTTACAAAGAACACGACACACTCTCTCTCAGCATTATAACCATGGAGAGGCGCGGAGGGCAATTGATAGGGCAACTGTTGCTGGGTTGGCCTCGCTTTCCCTGCCTCTTCTTTTCCCCAAGCACTTTCAACCTCTCAACGACGTGAAGAGTCAGTCTCAAGTCAATCCTACGCAAAACCAGTGATTCCCCTTGGGTGGAACTTAGAGAAGGAAAAAATCGTTCGCGTCTCCAAATGGAAATTTACCATGTGCTAAAACCATGTGACCGGCACTGTGTCGTGGTTGGCCGAGTGTCAACAAAGTAATTTTTCCATGAAGAAGCACTGAGTAATACATGTACACTACGAGCGGATTGTCTCCCTCCCGTCCAGTCCCGCTCTGCAAGTCCACATTGATGTTCCGTCCCACGTTCTAAATCACGTGACCAAAAGCTCGGCTGTCCGCACCTGCGTTCGGATCTAGGAGGAACGTCGACGAGTTTGAAAATAACCTCGTCAATTGAAGAGAGGCACCCCAAGCTCAACCACCATAACCTCACCATTGAACGTACCTCATCAGTCAATTGATCGGCGAATCAATTGACCTGGGCTCGACAGCGGCTTTCATTCCAATAATACACCTCATTCACGATGCTGTCGAGGGCGGCGAGACCGGCTATCCGGGCTGCGGCTTCGGCTCCTAGGTGAGTCTAAATTCTCCTCAAGCCGGACGCTCGCGAATCCGACCACGACCAGTTGTCGTCCATCATCACCCACCCGCCTCGCGCAGGTGATCCAAATGATTACCGATACATTTTTACCAAGCATTGACCTGTGAACTAATGATTGAATTTTTGTTGGAATAAAGGGTCGTTGCCGGCACTCCTGCTACCGCTGCAGGCTATGCCACGCTTCGTGAGATCGAGGACCGCCTCAAGTCCATCCGAAACATCGAGAAGATCACCAACACCATGAAGATCGTTGCCTCCACCAAGCTCAACCGCGCCCAGCGAGCCATGAAGGATTCCCGCAGCTACGGCCAGACCTCCAACGAGGTCTACAAGTCTGCCGAGACCGCTGCTATCCCTGGCGAGAAGAAGACCCTTCTCATCGTCTGCTCCTCCGACAAGGGTCTCTGCGGTGGTGTTCACTCCGGTCTTAGCCGAACTGTCCGCCGCATGTTCGCCGAGAAGCCCAACGCTTACGACCTCGTCATCCTCGGCGAGAAGTGCAAGTCCCAGCTTAGCAGGACCAACGCCAACGACATCCAGATCAGCGTTGCTGGTCTCGGCAAGGATGTTCCCAGCTTCGCTGATGCTCAGGCCATCGTCGATCAGATCCTCCTCATCCCCAACGAGTACACCGAGGTCAAGATTCTGTACAACAAGTTCATCAACGCCACTAGCTACGAGCCCACTGTGATTGAGGCATTTTCCGAGGAGGCCATCACCCAGTCTCGTGAGTTGTTTTGCGGCTAGAGGTCAACTTCTTTATCGATTCTTGCTAATTATCATCCTAGCCAACTTCTCTGCTTTCGAGGTCGAGGAGGAGCTCATCCCCCACCTCCGCGAGTACGGCCTGGCCAACTCTCTACTGGGCGCTTGCCGAGGGCCACGCCTGCGAGATCTCCGCCCGACGAAATGCTATGGACGTAAGTGATTGACCTTGGCTGTTTCAATATGGAGGTTTTCCTTTTCCAGACACTAACGCCTCCCTCCTTTTTCAGAACGCTTCCAAGAACGCTGGTGAGATGATCCAGAGGTACCAAATTCTCTTCAACCGAACCCGTCAAGCCGTCATTACCGGAGAGCTGGTGGAGATTATCACTGGTGCTACCGCCTCTGCGGACATGTAAAATCTTTTATTTCCTGGCCCTGCGTTGGTGCCGGGAGTCTGCACGCTTGAGCAGAGGCAAAACCTCGAAATCTGGAGGGTGCAAGACAAACCGTCCTGCTCCCATGTTTTGTATTCATGTCATCTCGTGCAAGGCGTCGAGCCCAGCCTCAATTATCCAACCTGTGTACTAAAGCCCCAAGTGAATATACTTTCTTTATTTATCTAGAAAACTGAATGGAAGAGAAGTTTCAACAGAGACGGACTTCGTAGTAATTGCACCATACCGGTTACCGCTTCCGAGCCTTGACTTCCCAGCTAAGCCAGTGCATTGGACTGTGTCTTTGCGAAAGCAATAGATCCATATACGTTTCTAGTACCAGAGAAAATCTTCGCACGCTTCTAGTGAGAGAATCCTTTCACGGAGAACCGAGTCTATTACATCTACCATGCGTCCTGGAGCGTGTGCACGACATCTTTTGGAGAGCGTCCCATATGCATCAAGGAAAGAGACTAAGTGTGGGTATATCAGAAGAGGGAAAGGGAAAAAAGAAGGAAACCCGCCATGAATCGTACTTTACAAAAGCGGCCACCACCTGCTTTCTCTCTCTCTCTATAACTCCGGCTACTGCCCCTCTCATGCCCGAGTCACCCCCATCCTGTTTTCTGTATAGCTGACGTGCTTCCTCCTTCTCTGCTTTATCGCGCGCCCTTCATTTCCATCAGCAGCTACTCCGTCCTCCCCCATCCCCGGCTGCACAAATGGGTGCTCGCTTATGTAGGCAGCTCGCACAGAGACCGCCTGCTCGTCCCATTGGGGAGCAAGTCGCTCGTACTCTGCCAGCTTGACCACAAACGCAGCTTTTCGCTCGGCAACCATGTCTTCGAACGGCTTTTTCTCCTCCGGGCTCGTCTGCTTCCACATTTTGGAAAGCATGTGGCGCACCTCGTTGGGACCGGCCTTGCCCTTGCGCTTACCGGGTCGGATCCCGGCCTGGCACCGTTCGCGCGCCGCGTCCTGGTTCGTCGCGCAGTAAAGGCGGTAAGCGCTGACGTTGAGCTTCTCTGGGGGCATAGGACGCTCTCCGATTTGGCTGATGGTGTGATAGTAAACCTGCTCCTCGTAGATGCCCAGGGGGTCTTTGGGCTCTTCCAAGAGCTTTCTTTTAAGTGCCTGCGACTCTGTAGGGACCAGCAAAGGTGTTGGTATGTCGATGTCGCCGATGAGGGAGCTCAGGACTTCGCCCGCAGCGCGTAACCCAGATAGGTAGGCGCCGTGGACAGTCGCCGGGTGCGTTCCAATGGTGTGCTCGCCGGCAAAGTAAAGGTTACCTACGGGCTTCGCCATAGTATCGTAGTCTGTCGGGAGCATGCTAGGCCCTGACGATGAGTAGCTTCCTCGGGAGAACCGGTCCTTGGCCCAGCGAGCCACCGTAACCTCCAAAGGAGGAGGCACGCTTTGCCCAAATATCGTCCTGAGAACTTCAGTCGCCTCCCTGACCAGATCGTCGTCTAGCGCGGTTTCGGTGTCAACGGCAGCATCACCCGCCATGAGGGCGACCAGACACGGAAGGCCGGTAGTAGCAGTGACGTCCAAGAATTGGAAAAAGCGTCCACGTTGTGAGCGATAGTCCACCTGGTCGAGGCTGTCAACATTCTCAGGGCGTCGTAGAGCTCCAAAAATGTGGCGTGTCTGGTCCCAAAACGGTTTCTTGTAGACGAGAATCACCTTGTTCAACACGCCATAGCCAAGTCGTTGGATTGGCCCAACCTTCCAACTCGGGAGGGGAGGGTTAAACTCGACATCGCCGTGTTTTAAAACACCGAGTGGGATGGTGGAAACGATACGATCCGCCTCGATCACCGTTCCATCCTCGCATTCGATGGTGGCAGGGCCAGAGGACTCGGCTGCGTTATAGTTGATCTTGCGTATGGGGGTCTTCATACGCGCGTCCAGCGGCGAAGGGCAGTGCAAAAGCCCTCTCGCTACTCTTTGGTACCCCCACGATCATAGTATGCTTCCCAACCCATTCATTTCCGGCATCAATATCCCAACCCCCAAGACTCAAGTTGTGTATGTTTGTGGCATTGCTGTATTCTAGATTCGCCACATGCCAATTGAAGAGGCGAAAGTCCTGGTCAGTCAAGTCGACGATGTCACTGTACTGAGTGAAACATGAGTCAACCACGCTCCCAAGAGTAGCACCTGGAGCCGAAGCGGGAGTGGCCGTATCAAGGCTGCACGTTTCCGAGACTCCGTGGCGAAGCGTCCACCCTATGGAGCGCGCAGCTTCTGCGGCAGTAGGCCTGCTTTTAGGCGGGCCGGTGATTCTACACATAGCCTGCGGTGTCAATACCGAGTGCTCTTCCTCCTCTTTTGCGCGATCGTCTTTTGTCCGTCGCTACACGCGTCTCGTGCTTCCATGATAAGCTCCCTATTCCCCTTGACGAGCTTTGGCGGCTTTATCTTGTATTTGTACTCGACCGCTCTATCGAGACAGTCGTTATACAGCCTCTCTACGTGCAGGTCTCGATCTTCTTTAACGGCTTTCCCATCGTAGTCAAAAATAGTTGTTCTAGAGTTTAGGACGTGATATGGCAGGCCGAGTTGCGCGCGAACGAGGATGTTGAGGGGTTTCAATGAACCCCGTAATGATCATGCCTCCCATCTCGGCAGTACACCGCTCGAGGCGAGGTGATGCGCCTGACGGTTTTGTAACGAAGGGGCGCGAATACACCCTTCCGCCTACACGACTTCTACCCTCGAGTAAGATTACCCGGGGTGGCAATTCGTTGACCTTGTCAAGCTGGAGGCTATATTGTCTAAAGAGGCCTTCAAGTTGTCTCGCACAACCGAGGCCGGCTAGACCAGCCCCAATCACCACGATCGTCTTTCGTTTATTCATTTCCTTTTCAGGTCTAATGGGGATGCTCTGGGCAGGAAACTGCAAGCAGCCATAATTGATGTAGCCGTTGCGAGCGAGCCAGTCGTAGCAGAAGCTTGCAGCATTGGCCCAACGCGAACCAGCACAGCCTACAGCTTCTTCACGAGTTACAGCCACGCGGGGTTCCGGATCCAGAGCCGAAGGATGCCATTTCTTATGTTTAGATATGTCGTCACCTGGACATAAGACAAGTGGTTTCTCAAAATCTCATACTCTCCGGCATGGAGGATAAACGGGTTGAGTCGAGAATTTTCCGCACCTTCGATGCACTGGCTAGCATACTCTGCGGGACTGAGGTCTGAGGGGATCGATGATTTCGGCCGCACGTTGAACACGATACGCTCAGGTCCCTGAACATCAGAAATGTTTGGAGAGGCGTAAAATGGCCTACGTGTGGTATCCGATGCTGGTGGCGCGAGTTTTGCTACGTTATCGCATAACGCCGGGGTTTCGGGGGCGGCGGGGAGGCATCCGGGGATTTGTGCGATTCGGCTGAGGGGGTTTAGAGGCGGCGATAAAGAGTCCACGTCCACGGTCGTAGATGCCACTAGAGACGGCAGAGTCTGGGCGGAAATGACTGTTGGGGACCCAATCGCCGAGTCATTGCCATCGGCGATGGAGGTGAGTGAGGAGAAGGTAGATATGGAGGGAGATTTCCGGGCACGTCGGGCAGTAGGAGCCCCGAGCAAGACATGTGTCGGCGCATCAACCTCGATTGGCGTCGTCACCCCGCTTGAGATTGTCGAAAGAAGCGAGGACAATTCAGAGGCATCGGTAAAAACAGACAAGGAAGATTCGATCGTCTCGCTGACGACTTCGGATTGAACCGTAGGATCTGGTGCCTCACGCAAACTAGGAATACGTTAGATACCTAGGGGCCGAGACAGGCGCGAACCAGCATACCGGCTCACGTAGAGGTTGAGTGAGCCGAGTAGTTGGGTTACTCAAGCACAACACAGGTATACATACTCTAAGTCCGCTTTCGACAGCGGGCTCTCATTTGGCTCCTCATCGTGGCTCGCACTCGAGATGGTCATACCCTCAGTCCAGACGACAATCTCCTGCGCGACTTCGGTATGTGACTCGGACGAGGAGGGGCTCGACGGGGTCACTAATTGCGCGGCCAGCGCCGGGGCGGTGGAAGACGATTTGCCATTGCGGTTGGTCTTGGACCGAGGTGATGTCCGCTGAGGGGTTGAGGGCTTCGCCGAGCGATTTTCCTGGTATTTCCGCGCCCTCGTTGACCTGCCCATATTTAGAGGGACAATGCGAGGGCACGCTCTATATTGCTAATCGTGCTGTTCGCCCTCGTGGTTCGACTACTCGATGCGTCATCGGAACCCCATTCAGGTGAAAGTGAAATGGATGTGTGCACGTATGAGAAGATTCTACTTATAAGAAACCCTCTCCGTTTATACACGGTTTCATGGATCCAACAGACTCTCGAAATAGACCGAGTCTAGCATCAGACGATGGTTAATCAAGTGACGGCACTCTTCGCCATGGCGGGTAGGTATGGAAAAGGTTCATCTGGTTGATTTTGGCTTCCGGCCCTCCTACGGGAAGGGATGGGGACCGCTTACCGAGACAGAACTACCAACGCTTACTCCGTATTCCGAATGACCACTGGCAGTGGAAGGGCGGCAATCAGATCAGCTCGGAGGGTTCCGGAAAGGTTGAGAAAGTCATGCAACCATTCGCAAAGATTGAACTCTCGCAACACGCTTCACCGGAACATTACTTTTTCGCTTTCAACAACTCTTGGAATTCAGAATATAAGCTCGGAAAGTGCCTTCGCAGGTGATTGACCCTCCTTTTCAAACCGTCCTGACTCCACATCTGATCTCTGACCAGACTTCATTTGGTAGTGGACTCACGTGATTCAACGATAACTCGACATATCTACCGACTCGACGTTTGCATCGTGTTGTGTGTGTCGTTCTCAATTGATAATCGAAACCAAAATTCCATGTAGGGTCATTGAGCCAGGTTCGCTGCAATTGATCTCGAGTCAATTCTCTCTCGACCGCGCGCCTCGCATTGGGGTCTCCTCAAATCAGACAGTGCATCTCACCAATGCAGGCTAGAGATGAGCAGGCTCCGCGCCCCCAAAACGACAGCGGCAAGTCGCGCAGTCATTGAAGCAATGACAAGCGTCACCTTGCGTACGAACCGATTCTCCCGCTGCTTTAACCCGAGAGATACAAACTTGATACTACTATTCAGGGTGGCGAGAAGCAGGATCTCACAGACAGTCAAACAAGTCAACCGCGAAGCCAGAAGCCATAGGCTTGCTACCAGGCCTCTCGAATCATGATGGGAATTTCCGGGAGGGCTTGGCGATATCAATGACCCCGATACGGACTGTCACGGAATCCAGTCGGATCCGAGTGGGAGAGGCCCTCTCTTGGCACATCGTGTGGCAAATATCGTGAATGACTGAAAATGCTTCAATGTTTATAATTATAGTAACGTATTTGAGAATGTCCCACTCGGTTTAAACTGCACTGCACAATAGCGCAACCCATAGCTTAGTAGAACTTGATTCCCGGCGTAATCGATATTAGTCCCAGCATCACCCCCTGTCGTAGTCTGTATTGGGGAAGTCTCCCTTGCAAACGACTTGGTCTCGATCGCCGCATCCATCATCCTATTCCCGCTAATTATCGAAGTTGTGCAGATAATAATGTCACGTCGGTCTACCAGGATGATAACGTCAGTACTCGAGCACGGAAAACAAAAACAAAAAGAGAGGAAAAGAAAGAAGTGTGGTGGGGCCGCGGGGGGCATACCTTTTCCTGCCTCGCAATAAAACGTAGCGCAGCTATCTCTGTGAATGTGATCCCTCCTACAAACACGACGAAAACAGTTTGTCTGTCGCCACCTCCCGAGAGAAGGGCTCGAGCCTTGACAGCCTTGTCCTCGCCCTTTTGTAGTTCATAGAAAGTCCTTCCTCGGACATGCTTCACCGCCTCATCGAAGCCGTGCCAGCCCTGGGCCGCGCTAGCAGTGCTCGCGGCGCCGGCCGGCGCGTTGTTACCGCCCTTGGTGAGCTGCATTAGGTATTGTTTTTGCAGCACGCACTGGACGAGTCGAATCGACAGCGGGGCGTACCCGCTGTACACGTATGCGATGTCGTCAGGGTCATCCTCCCTGACCTCGTCAACAATGAGCTTCAGTTGCTGCCGTAGATAGGCGTAGTTCGTCTTCGTGCCAGCCGCATCCGAGTTGCCCGTCATGGGGATCATGCCGGCGAGCGGCGAGGATCGGGGAAGGATCAGCTGTAGCTTCGCAAGCTTATGCAACGTGAGAATATGTTGGTACCCGTAGCCTTCTAGGATCAATCGTCGAAATAGGTCGTACTCCTTTTGCTGGATCCCGCCTGACATGCACGAATAGATGCACAAGAGCCTCATGACCTCCTTGATAGGAGCATCACGGGCGATGAGCTCTTCAATCGTTTCAAATTGAGATGATGGATCTGCACCATCAGCGAGATTCTGCTGAACCTTGAGTAATCCCTTGAATAGGTCGGATCGCGTGTGCTTCACGATCTCCTCTACCAATCCGGTATGGATCCCCACACTTTTCTCCTCGGCCTGGTAGGCAGGAAGGTTGCCTACAAATTCTTTCAGCTCGGCAATGGACTTGTTGCTCTGGTTCGCCTCATAATCCTTCCGGATCTTCTGTAACCGCACGGCGACCTTGTTGAGCAGAGAGCCAACAATAGCAAAGTTAGCATCACGCAACTGATCATACAATTTATCCGTAGAATCGAGTTGAATTGGTCGCTTTCGGGTCTGGGCGTTCGCCCCTGAGGACGACTGCGTAGGAACACCAACCACGGTGGTGTCAACCTTGGCCTGGTTGTTTTCGATCCCGAAGATTTCGTCGATGAGCCCTTCATATGTAAGCTGTGTAAGGAGCGGGGTGACGAAATCAACCTCACGGTCGATGACGATGACACTCTCCACCGTCGTGCTCGGCGTTAGCGCATCCTTCAAGCCTTTGTCTGCACCACCTTCAGCGATAGTCTCCTGTTTCATGCGGCCGAGGAGATCCGCCACCCGCTTCGCATGGTCGCCCTTGCCTATAATTCTGGGGAAAAGGCCGTGGTTTTGTTGTATTTCCATGAGGGCACGCGCCATGAGATAGGTTGGGGTCACATCCTTGTTTAGGTACAGGTCCTCAAACGAATCGTTGAGCTCCAGAGACAACACATCCCGTTCGAGGGGAAAAAGTAGAGCGGGAGCTCGGATATAGTCACGTCTCCTAAGACTCCTGCTTCCTCGAGTATTCGGTTGGATACGAGAGTGCGGCGGGGACCCAGAAAATATGAAAGTCGTGGCCCGTTTGGCTTTCTCTCTGTAGTCGTCGGATCTGATCTACAATGGGCAGCATATGTTAGCACGACATGATAGTATTAATTCCATGGATGAAAAGGAGACAAGAATACTATAGGTGCGTGCTTTGTGTATAATGCTTCATCTCCGGCTCGCTGACTGGCGTCGTGGAGTGGGGGCAGACAAGTCCACGGTGCCTACTTTTGAACCCAGAAGAAGGGAGGGAGAAGGGAACAGCCACCTCGCAGCCAAGGAGGAAGCAGGTGCAAGAAAATATATACTAGCATCTACGGGTCTACGCGCCGGAATCACACATACAGCTCCTCGGTAGTGGTGAAAACTCGGCTCACAAAATCATCGACTAACCTGCTATCGTCTGGGCATGGCGGCCGCATTCGCCTCTCGCGATGAAGATGACGTTGCGCTGGCTGGTATCGACATTTTGATTCTCAAGAATGAAAAACTTATCAACGCCGTACTCCTGAAGCGTGGCGACCTTGACAATTACGCCAACTGGCCCAACGAGACTTCGATCGAAGACAACATTCTTCTTACCGCGGACCTAAAATGGCGATGAAGGATAAGCAGGCAGCACATTGGAGATGAGAAACTTGGCACGGGGACATACACCCTCAAGAAGATTGAGCAGGTCCCGCCGCGACTTCTCCCGAATTTGCTCCGGGTCGAAACTTATTCGTGGCGCCATTATGGGCGCTCCATGGGAGCATAGACAGGCTTAGGGGAGAATGGAGCCAGCGCTGCCCGGAGGGTGAGATCAGTTGGGAAGAGAGAAGGAGGAAGCTTGAAATTTGGATGCCTCTGGTGGAGCTTTTGACGGTGCTGGGCGGGGTGGGGCCTTTCCCCATTGGATCCAGGCGAGGTCAATTGATGAGGTCAGCCATCAGTTCAAGAGATCCAGCGTTCAGTATCGATAAGCGGGACTACCTGCCTGGCCAGCAAGTTGCTGGCTGGCTGGCTGTGTGCTTTGCTTCACGGGTGTACCGACTTGTGCTTGCCCACGCTGGGCCTTTTCAGTGCACAAGTATCAAGCAGACACGGAGAGTTGTGCACGCACTGTCTCGCCCAGCGAAGTAACCCGAAGGCGCTGCAAAGCAACTGCTGCTGTCTTCGGTACGTCATCCAGGAACGCACACAGGCCACCCCAGGTTGAGCCAATCATGGCCCTTGCTTCTCGCGATGGGCTGTCGCAGCCTCGCTGGTACCTTTTGCGCACGCGCAAGAGCAATCTTAGTCCGTAAATTTTATCCCTTCAGGGAAGCCACCCGATTAAATCTCACGCCAAAATATCCAGCTTCGCTTCTTCACTCCCTCCTCCCTTTCCTTCAGATGCGTCGGGGTGTTCCTATCGGCCTGACTGGATGAAGGGCCTGTTGGAGTCGTGCCCAATGCCGGCAAGGCTGCTTAGGGTAGTGACTCATCACCCACAGTGGTGTCTACGCCTAAAACCTTTTGCATGCCACTCTCTCCAGGGGGCTACCACTATCACCGCCCGCAAACCCTTCACCACAACCGCCCCAACTCGACGATCACGGCCGGACAACATGCCTCCCAAGACGAAATTCGAGCTCAAAGTCCCCAAGGGCACAAAGGATTGGGAGGGGACCGATATGGTCATCCGCGACAAAATCTTCAACACCATCACTCAAGTTTTCAAGCGTCATGGCGGGGTAACCATTGACACGCCCGTCTTCGAGTTGAAAGAGATTCTCTCCGGAAAATATGGCGAGGTAAGAATTAATTCGCAAAAAAAGGCGCCTCTTCTCCCTTCTCTCACTACTCTTGTATAATTTTACATGACAGTTATTCGCTTGTGTTTCTAACTAAATGACAGGACTCAAAACTCATCTATGACCTCGCCGATCAAGGTGGGGAGATTTGCTCGTTGCGATATGACTTGACGGTGCCTTTCGCTCGCTGGCTCGCCATGAACAAGGAGATTCAAAATATCAAGCGCTACCACATTGCCAAGGTCTACCGGAGAGACCAGCCCGCCATGACCAAAGGTCGCATGCGAGAGTTCTACCAGTGCGACTTTGATATCGCGGGCGTGTACGACGCCATGGTGCCCGACGCCGAAATCATCCGAATCATCAGCGAGGTTTTCGATGGCCTTGGCTGGAAGGATACGTATACCATCAAGCTCAACCACCGCAAAATATTAGATGGCATTTTCCAAGTGTGCGGCGTCCCTGAGGATAAAATTCGCACCATCTCCTCAGCTGTTGACAAGCTCGACAAGGTTCCCTGGGCCGATGTGCGCAAGGAAATGACGGAAGAGAAGGGCCTTGAGGGGGATATTGCCGACCGCATCGGAGAGTGGGTGGTCTTGAAGGGTCGCCGCGACCTCCTCGAGAAGCTCCAAAACGATGAGGGGTTGGCGGCAAACGAAAATATGAAACAAGGCATGGCGGATTTGGGACTCATGTTCGACTACCTCGACCACTTCCAGGTCTTGGATAAGGTTTCCTTCGACCTGAGCCTCGCTCGCGGCCTTGACTATGTAAGTTTTCCCTCCTTTCTCATCTCTTTTGCCGGCTCGCCGCTCTCGGTGCTTTCGGAGATGGGGGAATAGTGACTAATGAGTAAATAGTACACTGGCGTCATTTACGAGGTTGTAACGGAGGGCTCTGCTCCCGAGGTAAAGTCGAACGATGCCTTGGAGGAAGACTCAAAGAAGAAGAAGAAGTCAAAGGGCAAGAAGGACGAGGATGATGACCGGTCATCTGATCCTACCATTGAGTTGGCAGCGTAGCAGCCGGCGGACGCTACGATGGCCTTGTTGGCATGTTCTCGGGGAAGACTCAGATTCGTAAGTGTTGGCCTCCTTCCGTGGCAGTTTAGAAGCGCGCCTGTTGACTCATACCTACCACAGCCTGTGTCGGTATTTCTTTCGGCGTCGACCGCATCTTTTCCATCACCAAAGCGAGACTTGCGGCAGATAAGAGCGCCGCCGCTGTGCGAAAGAATGAGGTAGATGTTTACGTCATGGCGTTTGGAGGCAAGGGCTTTACCGGTCTCCTCAAGGAGCGTATGGAGGTGTGCTCTAGGCTCTGGGGAGCGGGCATCAAGGCCGAGTTCTTGTACAAGGTTAAGCCCAAGCTTCCTAACCAGTTTAAGGCCGCCGAGGCTGGCGGCGTTCCTTTGCCGTTATCCTAGGCGAGGATGAATGGAACAATGGCAAGGTCAAGGTCAAGGAGATGGGCCTTCGTGATGGACACCCCGAGAAGGAAGGTGTCGAAGTAGCCCTGGACAACTTGGTTGCCGATGTCAAGGCCAAGCTCGCCCGGCGGGCGGAGCTCGAGGACATGACGAGGCAGGCTGAGGGCTTGAAGGTCGTGCATGGCATCAAGGGCGAGGAGCTTGAGGTTTCTGCCCAGCCTACCACGACTGAAGCCGCAGCGCCAGATGCGCCGGCCGGAGAGCAACCTGTAACTGAAGAAAAATGAGAGACTAGGTCCTAGGTGTGCACAACGGATTTTGTGTACCATTACGGTGCGAGGATGAGTTAGAAGCGATAGACAACAAAAAGACGATATCTCTCCATGACATGAAAACACTCTCATTCTAACACAGCATTGCGCGCGTTGGCACAGCTCCTCCGTGCTAGAGCCCGAGGAGCTGACGATGATAGGGTTCCTCGCCTAGCAGACACTCTGCAACCCCATGATAGTGATAACACATGTACCTTTATCTAGACCAACACTGATAAACCATCCGGCGCAACCAGGCTTCTCTCTCTTCACCGCTTAGCACAGCAGCCCGCGAAGGCAGGCGATCCAAAGATACCCACGCCACGGGTGGTGACCTACCCGCCTTCTTCATGGGCCCAGATACGAAGTCAAGGAGCTCCGGCCGTGAAAATATTCTACTCTACGCAGAGCTCATGGGGAAGATTCGACTTCATGTCGCGGGTAGCACATATACAATCTACTCCAATCTACACCTGGCGGCACCCCGCCCTGCCGCTTTGCCTACGACTCGAGAGAACTGATTGTCTCTTTTGTTTTTGTTTTACTTTGTGTACTAATTTCCCGATCAGGCCTTCGCCGTTTTGCTAGCTCAAGTGTAAGAGATAGTCAGACAGACCGTTTACGCCAGACGCACGTCTAGAGTCATCTGCCGGATTCGATTTCAGGAACGGATCTGACCATTCAACAACACAAAGGACAAGGAAGAAGGGACGAAGGCGCACGCGCCGCCACCCTCTCACAGACAATCGCCGAGATGCAAGGAGGACTTTGTACCACTCGGGACTAGAAAAAGAGCCTGTGGCTGTAAAACAAAAGCCCATGGCCTGCAAGCTGCGTCGTTGACCCTTCAGTCTGCGAGGTCCTGCAACTCGTTTGGTGAGGGCTTTCCCAAAAGGGTCTTGCTGGTGTTTACTTGTAATAGAGGTATCCACGCAAGGGGAGCAGTTGGTCATCGATGCAACATACCCCAGGCACGGCCAGTCTTATTCTATTGACTATACAGAGGTATTGTGGGCGAAAGTTGAGTTCTCACACTTATTGATGATAGGCGGGATCGAAGAACCCGCTTCTTGCCCCTCAGAGGAGGAATGCAATAGCTAGAATCGGATGACTTCAGCTATGACTTCTCGGCTGCAGCGGCCTACATACAATTCACATCCTTTTTCACACCTCTCGGTTAGTCCAGTGCGCCGCCGTCCTGCAGGTACCTACTGGTGCAGTGTTGAGGTCCGTTCCTCGAATGCGGGCGCATGGACAAGCGAGACTGGATTCGAAAAGTTTCTCTCTGCGAGATGCGCCGCCAGCAGCGCACAAATATCGTTGGGGACAGAAAGGGCTACTTGGCTAGCGGGCCCTTTCGCCTCCGCTCCATCCATTTCTCGTATGCGTGCGTGCGTGCGTGCGTGTGCCGGAAGGAATGGACAATCGGTATTATTGCTCAGATGAATTGAGAGGTACAAGGCCAAATCCGCAGCGCCATTTTCTTGGCCTCGCGCGATGTTGGCGTCGTTCGAAGCGTGCGACCAATTCGCCCCGGAGTGAAGCCGGTTGTTTCTAGCCTTGGGACCAAGGACATTTATTATTAGTCGGTGGTATCGTCGTCGAGCAAACGGGCCTCGTGTCCGACCACGTGGACTCCACGATGAGACTGGGACTTCTCTTTCCACCAAGTACCGTCATGGCAAGGCCACTCTCCGAATCATTAAAAACAGACAATAGTGTTGCTCGGCGCAAGTCCTTCAGGCTCGAACGCTAAACATCTTGGGGGAAGGTTAGACTATCCGCTAACCTGATTGCGATCTCGCTCTTCCCTCGACAAGTAATAGATAGACCTTGAAATTACATGCTCGGTCGAGTCCGAGGACGAGCTGGCGATCTCTATCAGGAATGGAGGAGAGCACAGACACCTTCCTCTTCCCCAAATAAGATGGACATTGAGCGGCGCCCCAGACTCTCAAGGCGATTTTTGCGGGCCAACCATTTTTGGCCTGTCACCAACACAGAATGCGCAGCAGGTATTAAAAATGACCCAAAAGTGAGAATAAATACAAGATGAATAAGATGAGAAAAAAATAGAAACCATCCATCAGGCTCAAGAGGTTTGAACCGGACGCAAACGATGCCCATCACAATAGTTCAAAGAGGTGGCCATTGTCCTAGAAAACCTACGATATACACTAGAGAGGTCGGACACAGCGTGCGTGACTGTCGCGGCGTAAAAGAGAAGAAGCAAGAGGCCTGGGCCGTCTGGCATCACTGGCTCAGCAAGTCTAAGTCTGCACCCACATTCAAGGGAGAAAGCGACCCTCAATGAGGGCCTCGGTGAGAGGGGTAGAAAGACGGAAGGCAAGACACCCGATGTAGGTTTGAAGCATCTTCAACTCACAGCCATCGTCATCACGGACACCGGAATTCGAAATCGATGGGTAACGAAAGTTTCCATGGGTCTTGATTTTATCCATTGTCGTCCTGAGACCCTTATTTTCAGCCGGCCTTGCCACCAAAACAGATCGACGGACCCGGATCCAAGGTCTGGCCAGCCTCCTGGAGAAGTTGGTTCCGAGTTCAATTGGTTGGACTTGGGGAATGGGCCAGCCAGCAATGGGGGAGCCACCAAGAATAACAATAACATGGTGGATTCTCTCGGGGACAGTTGCATCGGGGCCTAGACCCTCGCCTGGTGGGTGACTTGAGGCGAAAGTGAAGGATCAATTTAGTGCTGAATAGCCACTCCTTCCCGTACCGAAAGGAGTGATACTGTGCCGGGCACTGTACACCGCTCGAGGCATGTCAGTTTTGTGGCCCAGCGGGGCGGGGGAAGGGAGGCAGGTGCGATGGCTGCCCTGAGCACAATCAGTGCGTTGCGTTCTTCCTTGCGTCAATAGAGAATATAATAGGATTGATTGATCCTGGGGCATTATTATGATCCATCCGCCATCCTCCGGGAAGACAAAGACCACTGTGCCATCCGCCCCGCTGGTGCCATCCCCCGAGGTTGCATCAGGAGGCAAGAGGTCGGTATGGAGTAATACTACCTGTAATTCCTGGTGGCTGCCAAGCCTATGACTTTGCTCGCGGTTTACACTGAGCGAAGGGTTATCGATATTCAGTAAGCTCGAGAGCCCTCTCCGCCTTCTCAACCATGGTTCTGATGAACCAACCCCGGTTTCGAGTCGCAGAGTGGTACTACTGCAGATCATGAAGCTTAACCACACAGCAAAAGAGGGGAAAAATCCTGCCCCCTCGTTTACGACTGTCCTCTTTGTGTTATTTTTCTTTCTGCCCTTTTGTCGGATTCTTGGGGTGTCCCAGCCTTCCTGATCCCGATTCTGAACCAAAAGTTGTGTGGGTAGAGAACGTGGCGTGGTCTGTGGTGAAAAGGGTTCGTAAAGGATTGGAACCGAAACAACATTCGGAAGGATATATGCAAGAGAAGACGGTCGCATATCATAGGCCTTTTTCTCCGGTTTCTCGTGCAAAGTATCTTCTTCTGGCGGCTCAAGAGGTTCAACAGCCATTACACCAGCTACATGTACTTGACATTTGGGAGTTCCAGATTATTCAGGTTTGAAGGGGACGGTCAAGCGGTGCATGTGAGCCATTCCACCTTCCCTCTGCGCTCGCCGTAGGCTACTTGTAGCATCTCAAGAGGTAGTCCTTGCTATTATTTCAAGAATATGATATAAGGGAAAGAGTTGCACTGTGCCCGAGCGTCGAGCGATGGAGCGTGCACGCTTCTCTCCCTTTGCGGTGAGGGTGCGTGCACAAGCTCAAAAGCAGAAGGCCGCAGTCATCGACGTCGAGTGTCCAAGTGGCGACTAGGGTGCGGCATGAAAGGACCAGAGCTCGGATCTGTGCGAGGAAGAGCAAAGCACATCTTTTAAACATTCGTCCTGACTGATAATACTGACAGAACCGTTTCGTTTCCAATGTTGTGACTGTAGTTGCTGAAGAGGTTGCACCCTCTTCCCCAGTTTCTATTAAACCGAGATCTTGTCGTCCAAACAAGTTTCACGAGACTAGCCTGTAATATCCAGGACAATCATTCACTTTCAAACTGAGGCGGGGAAATGTGATGTTGTTCAGCAGGTTCCAGCCAAACATGCGAGGATCGGGGTTCTCACTTAGAACTTGTGGTGCTGGGAAAGCCATTCTCGTATTCCTCGTCCGAAGCCACGAGCACATCTCCCGAATCTGCTGTAAGCTCTTATTTGAAGATCGCTCTGGTGGAATGGCCCACTTCCACTATTACATGTACGCAACTATCAGCTCGGTCACTTCATCCGATACTTCCACTCGGGCGATTCGGCTGAAGGTGGCGTTCAGCTGGCCTGGCCGCTCCCAGTCACCCTCGTCCAAGTACTCCGTAAATTGCCATGAGCCGTCAAGCAGTTGTTATTGTCCGAAGCCTTCCAATTCCACCTTGCTGATTACGAGATTTGCAACTATCACACAAGGGACTGGCTTCAATTAAATGTTGCCATATCACACGCATTGCCGGTGCCTGTCCCCTCTTTGCTTCTGTGGCTTGTGTTATATCTCACGTTGCGCCAGCTCCCTTGGTATTCTAGCCGGAATCCTCGGCTCCACAGGCTCTGCTAGGCAAGACTTCCCATTTGAAGTCTACATGTATTAAGTGATGGCAGAGGAGGCGCGGGCACTGATCATTGGGGAATTTCCTCGCTGACCGGGGAAAGCTGAGCCTGACGCCATTGTGTCGCACATCAGTCTGGCGTCGCCTTCCCCTACCTCGGTACACCTGGCCTGTTCAGCTTGGACAAGTAAAAGCTGGTTTTTGTCTCTCTCAGAAAAGACAAGTCTTGAATTTTCCATCCTTGTTTTTGGTCAGGCCGTCACCATCTTTTGTTTCATCGTTTCTTCAAAAGAATCAGGTATACGTAGTGGATCACAGAGCGACTCGCTGATTCTGAAGATGTTGACGGCGTTTTCCATTCATCGCAAGTGGGGGTGACAGGAAGTGTGGCGCGGCTGTGATGATGTGACACAGGGATGCCCTCAGGTCAGGCAGGCGAGTGGCCAAGAGCGACTGTGAGGGCGAGACAGTGAGCCAAACCGAAAAACCTGGACTGACTAACCGTCCCCCAAACCAAATCAACCAATTTGCCCTATATCTCCGGAACTTATTGGGAGCCTTCAACTGAACGTGAGTGGAGATGACCCCGTGGCTAGTTGTTGCCGTCACCAATCGCCGGCTTTCGAAACAGCCAACGTCGGCCGATTGCCATAAGCCTGAGGAAACAAGGAACATTGAACGTGAGAAAGCATAATCCGTTCGGCCTCATGCAAGTGGATGCGCCCCTTGCTCAGAGTTTGTGGGCCAGCGTGGTTTTTCGCTATCTCTATTTTTCACCAGAGCTGGACTCAGCGATCAACCCGCCCACAATGCTCGACTAGGCACCCCGTTCTCTGCACTTCAACGAGGGCTCTCACTGTCTTCCAATTGGTGAGAATCTACCAAGATAGAGCTCAAAGTTGACCATCTCAAGGCATTGTTCACCACATCGCGGCGCGTCGCCCACGCGTCGTGGTAATAGAAGGAAACAAGAAAAGGAAATGAAGCTGGCTCCCGAGCCATTATGCTTCAAAGAGCGGTCGTCTCGGGCTGCTGGGTATTGAGAAGTTGAGCGATTTCCCAATCCGCTTTTGAATTGGACGCCATGCATTCGATAGACACGCAGGACGAAATTTCCAGCAGGTGTTGGTACAATGTCGTCCATCGATCCTTCCGAAAAAGAAGGGTGGTGGGAGCACCCATGTACCTATTGTTAGCCAACCAAGCCAATGGCCAACATCAATTTGAAGCTAGCCTCTATCATTTTTCCCGTCGTTGCGGACTTCAGGGATTGCAACGATCAAAAATCCTCTCGTCTGCCCTGTGCGCATATGTCTTCTGTCAGTGGCATGGCATTAATGTAGGGCGCCTTGATCGCTGATGTATTTGTGGGGCTTCCCTTCGTGACTTCGTACCTTTCCTGATGGCTGGAAAGAACATTGAACCCCTGTCCTGGTCACTTTTCCTCCGCATCCCCTGTCGACTTTCCATGTCCCTTTCTGCCTTCCTTCCCTGCACCCTGTCCCCTGTCCCCTGCACATTGCACCTTGCCCCCTCCTTTGTGCCTCCCTTTCTCGGTCGAGCCTCAGTTCACTCGCTTGCCACCTCACCGTCCCCCTGTACCTGACGTTATCCCGCTTTCGGCATAATGGCTTGACGTTGAGGTTTGCCTGTTGACCCAAGCAGCCAAGCTCATACTTGTTGTACCTGGACGTCTTGCGAGACACTTTCGACTTGCTCTCCAACATTTCGAGCTTGGCCGTGTTCGTCAAAGCTGGGAGATGATGGGCAACGCTTGTCGAAGGCTGACCTTTCTCCTTTCGCTCACGATTGACGCTGTATTTACTCACCGTCTTCCCACTTCACCCCATCCCGTCCTGTGTTGGTCCGATTTCTTGCCCCCTCCTCCCACAGCTGATGTGGAGTAACGAGACATCAATTGATCAACCAATTCGTACCATCCTCCTTCTGTTCTCCGTACATACTTGTACGTGCTAGACAGCTTTCCTCGCATCCAACTCCGTTCCCGAGCCCCACAGCTGGGACCCATTGCTTCTAGCTCCTCCCCAACTTGCCTCCACGAGGGATACCAGGTGCTTAGGAGCGACAAAAAACGCCAGTCCTCTGTGCGCCACCCACCTCGTTCAAGCATCCCCTTTTATATCTCCACCAGGTCCCGGCTTGTATCAACCAACGCGTCACTTTGGATCTTCCACTGTTCTTTTCTCCTTCCTCCTTTCCTGTCTTTTATTCTCTTCTCATATTCTTGTCTCTCCTTTCATTTATTGCTTAGATCCGGACTCGGGCTCCTGATCACCGTCTATCGTTCGCCATTGTCGCCAGCAAACTATCGCTGCTGGTTTCTTCTCTTTCAGCACCCGACCTTGACTCCCGAGCAGCGTCTTTCCTCGCTGCCCGCATTACTCCAGACGGCTTCTCAAGTCGCCGGTTTCTACTATCTGCGTAATCGAGAAACAGGCTAAACAAACTTCTGACACGGCGTGCTGGCCAACCTCTGACACCAACCCCGGTTGAAGATCGTTTCCACCGCGCGGCTCATCGGACAACAAATTGCCATCCACCATCTCTTGCCCACCACCGCGGGTTCCACACCCTACGACCTCAACTTAGGACGAACGATCTGCGGCAAAAAGGTGGTTGTTTCAAGGGCACATCTTCATCAACTATTACCTGACTTTTTAATCCTGGCTTCGTCCCCTCCCTCACAAAATTTCGCCATATCCGGAACGGTACCGGTTTTCCTCCCATCTCAGGTTTGGATCGGTTTCCACTGAAAACTTGGGACGACAAAACTGCCACCACCAGAGATCGACCTGTCTGCTTCACCCGCATTCCAGAACTTCATAGCCGGACCCAGAAACAGTCGTCAATCCTGCAGACCAGAACTTGAGACCTGATTTAGACGAGCCGGCAAAAGGAGATTTGCAATATCATCCTGATCTCTTCCTCTCCATTGGCATCAACGCGCGCGAACTTTGTTTCTTTCCACTCCACCTCTTCACCATCTTCTCACCCTTTGCAATTTCCGGGAACAGCATCGATTTTAAACTCATCCTCGATCTACATTTGCGCGCGTTAGAGTCGGGGCTCCAGCAGCTGGACAATCATCCTTTCGCGCTTGCTTGGACCCATTTGCCTTCACGCTCTTCATACATCACGATGCCTGGCCTCATACCGCTTATGCTCAAGCCCGCGACCGCGGGCACTCGCTTTAGTGTCCTCTACTCGCCAAGTCCCCAAGCTACCTCACCATCAGCCTCACGCCTGCCCATCTCTCCTGCGGGCACACCCAAGGACGCGCTTCAGCGACTGTCCCTTCCCGCTACTCTAGCCTCTTCTCAACAGACTCAGGCATCTACCGTGATCCAGAAGCACACAAGAAGCGCCTCATACCAGGCGACACCCCCGCCATTCCAATCGTGCCATATACTCAAGCCGAATGGATCAAGGCTGTGAGCGAGGTCAAGCGTCTGTATATGCATCGGCGGTACAGGCCTTGTTCTGTGAGATGTAGCTCCATCTTGGATAACATTAAAGAGAGCGTAAGTAGATGGCACACCTGTTGCTTTACACGATAACCAAGGTCTCTAACACGTTGCTTAATAGTCCAATGTTGAACCTGCCTACCTTATTTATCTCAACTTTTACGCCGCTATTTCCAAGGAGATGAGCTCCCGGGCCCTTCACCCTTCTTCGCCCTACCGTGCGACTCTTTTGCGACAGGCGGAGACACATTATAACCGCGCTGCCGACCTCATTCAAGCCGAGGAAAATACATTGAAGCGCTTCTCCCGTGCCTCTACCCTCTCGTCCAGCATTCACTCTCCCGTTAGCTCTATCGGCTCGAGGGCTTCTACCACATCCACTCGCCTATCCTCACCAGCCCCATCAATTTACAGTGTCGAGGATAAACCCTCGGTTACATCTACGGCGCCTGCTAAGAAGCGCGTGACCTTTTCCGACATGGTCGCCGAGCCATTCATCCGACCGGACTCTCCGACCCTCGGTTTCGACGATTGGGCTCCTCCGGTAGTGACCGAACTCAAGTCGGCGCTTCACATTCCCCAACCTCAGTCTGTCTATGAGCCCGAGACGCCGGAGGCGCCCGAAGATGACGAGGACGAGAGGAGGCCCTTCAGCTTCCGGGATAGCGAGATTTTCTTGCCCGCGACGTCAACTGATCGGTACTGGGCCATTCTTTCCGGCCTTTCTGCGCAAGTCATCATCCACCTTGAGGGCGTTCGCGCAGAGCTGGAGAGACCTGCTACTGAGGATGCCATCTCTTCTGGAAGATCCACGCCAGAATCGATTTCTAGCATGGACGCGGAGTCCAAGGCTCTCGATCTCCGCGCGCGCATCGATAAGCTCAAGCAGAGTGGATGGCGACGAAGGCGGTTCAACCCATCACGGTACCAAGCTCTTCGCGAGAGTGTTCTTGCCGAGTTGGAGTGAGCCATTGGCGGCGAGCTTGATCGAATATGCATTTCATGGTGTTTGTGTCGGTGTTATGGTTCTCTCTATTTCCCTACCTTCTTTTACTAGACGGACCATTCTTTTTTTTGTTGGATACCCTTCTCTTTTTCCCGACTGTACTCTTAAAATCCGGGCTTTTTTATTTTTACGGGGCATGATGCATTTACAAGGGCGACCTTGTGGCTTTTCTTCTCTATCATTATTGAAGCCTACTTTTGTTACGACCCCAACGCCCTTCTGTTGGCGATTCTTGTTCATTACTTTCAATTCGTTGTCACCACGACACCTGTACAATTCCAGCGGACAATTGAACCTGATCTCTGATTTCAGATCTCTTCTTGATACTCGATTCCAAACTTGTGACATCTATCTATCCAGCTTTGTCGTAGTGTGAGGTTCGTCGGTCAGAGAAGTGTTGCAAAGCAAAGATATGCTACAAGCCGAGAGGCGGCAGTCACACTCAACAAGCGAGAGGTAAAACATTCCGTTTCAGTCGCCTATCTCGGTTTTCAAACCGCTTCCGTCTCGGGTTGGAAAAGCAGCCCTATCCTGCGAGTAGAATTGAGCGCGTCTGCCCCCTTATCGAGCAATTTAGCCGCGTGCCACACCTCCTTGTTCTTTCCGTCCGATCATAAGCTTGGCCCTATCCCCTCATTGTTCATCTGAGGAAAAAATGGGTGGGATGGGGGAACACGTTTCGGGAACCGACTCATCTCGACGATCGACGGGCGGGACAACCTCGTAGTTTGTACGTACGATAGCGAGCAGGGCTCGTCCCAAAGCTCGTCCCCGTTATGCGCGAGCATCTAATGTCGCCTGTTCCAGAGGAAAACGAGAAAACTTGGTCGAAAAAGAAAAAGAAAATCCACCATTCGAGGAAGAAGAGGCTTCGGGGCGTCGGCCCTGCCAAATGTCCCGATCTGAGTGCGTGGCGCTTCAAGCTTCAACACAACAGCGGTAGGAGAGGCTTGTTGCTTCTTTTCTCTCTCATCTGCCCCCCCACCTCCCTCGTCATCCTTGGGAACCCTTTCTTCTCGGGACCAGCTCCGTCAGGATCCGCTGCTGGTCTCTTACTTGGTTCGAGTCAACCAAGATTGCCTCGCGACTCAGTTCGATTTCGCGCCGTCATGCACAGGTGATTTTGCTTCTCGGGAATCACAAAATGAGAAAAAACCCTCCCCTTATGCAGCCCCACGACGACGCGTAGCCCGAGCCACCGGGATGCGTCTGTACATGTAGTCACTGGGGAGACTCTGGGTTCCAAGTGGCGGATGAGAAAGATTCTATTATTATGAGCCCTGCATCGGAATCTAATCAAGGCTTCCGGAGTCTCGAAATTGAGCGCGCCCGAAAATCTGGGAAATGACAATTTCGGTGTGCAAGGTGAGAGAACCAGGTTACCGAAATCTATGGTTCCGCCACCGTGAAAGCTTCCCGCCCTCTGTAACCCTCTAGACTTTTCCATTTTCAGTCAACCAGGGAGCTTGGGACATCATTTAAAGCGCATAATCCGTGCCCTGCGCCGACAGGTTGTCAATATCATCGAGTCGGGAAAGTATATGACGGGTTTGCTGCATTGGGAAACCCGGAGGAAACGAAATTCGTGTATATCCTGGAAGCAGCTTGTTTCCATCAGCGCTGGTGTCTAACAAGACCTGGATTCTCAACACTGGCATAAATATCTCATGTTGATGAATGTTACATGTGCAGTCGCGCAACGGCAAGACGCGTTCGCCCATCTCCCTAATTTTCAACCATGGCCATGACGCCACACATTCACTGAGATCAAGCTTCCAGGGACGACCATTCGTAGAAGCGCCACGACCACCGCATATTCCCAATACCATGGTCACCGGAATTTCAGTCCCGTTCATCGAGGGTCAGAGGGCGGGCAGATCAAGTCAAGGCTGTGCCCAGGAACATCAATATTCCATTTAATATCTTCGTGCCCTCGGGGCCCGGCCAATTTGATACATCCATGACCCCTCCCATAAAAGCACCAAAGCTCGAGGCCTTAAAAAAGAAAAAAAAGGGGCAGGGGAAATAAACCATTGCCACAAGGCGAAAAGAGCACTGCATTTCTCAGACAGTGGAAAATAAGGGGAAAAATAAGGCCCAACCGGGCATAAAAGGTCTCTCAGCTACCCTCGCCGCACGTAAGCCGTTAGATTACATCGTCTCTCCGTTTTCGCACGCGAAGTATCATCCTCGCCGACTAGCATGTGAGTATGAAATCCGTTCTCCTTGGCTCCGAAAGTCTCCATCTTCTGTTCTTAGTGCCCAGCTGCAAAGCCCCATCGCGGGGTCATCGGAGCAGGCATATTGTCGGCTCCGGCACGCCTAGAGCTGCGACTCGCATCCTGCGTGGCTTGCTCTTGAACCTTGCGTGTTTCTTCCTGGTCCTTCATCTCGCGTACCTTGGCCAAGACAACCTCGCGGAAAATGGCACCCTTGAGCGTCTTGGAGAGCGAACGCTTCTCGCGGCCAGCTGAGCCACCCTCAGTAGCCTCCTGTGCCGAGAACATTGGGTCGTCGGGCACATCCGAGTTCTCGGGGTCTTCTTCTTGGGCCTTGAGAGCGGCGATACGGTTTGCAAGCTTGACCTTTCGACACCGCGTCGGAGTTTGGCCTTGGCCATGTAAGACCGAATTTCGGGCAGCAGGTTGTGGTCGGTAGCGGTGTCTCCGACAAGCCAGGGGTGGCGAAGAGCCTCCTATTTTTCGAGTTAGTGAAAGTGAGTATGCCAGACGAACGGTCATACGATGGTTAGAAGGGAGACGGGAAGCGGAGTCAGGGGCAGATGCGAAGGAGCCTTGTGGAGGGGACCTACCTCGCTAGTCGCGCGGTTCTCGGGATTCGGTTGCAGAAGGGTGAGGATGAAATCCTTAGCAGACTGACTGACGTCCTTCCAGTAGCGTTCGTGGAAGACGACCTGGGAGTTCATGCATTCCTCAATGAGGTCCTGAAGATTCTCAGACCGGAAGGGTGAGTAGCCGCAGAGAAGGGTGTAGGTGATGACGCCCATCGACCACATGTCCACAGGCTTTCCGTGGCCTTGCTTGAGCATGACTTCTGGCGCCGCGTAGCCAAACGAACCTGCCATGGTGGTGAGGACTTCATCTTTGCGGTCTAGCATCTTAGCGATGCCAAAATCGGCAAGCACGAGGTCGGACTGTGGTTCCCTCGTTCGGTAGAGAAGATTTTCGGGCTTGAGATCTACGACGCACATATCCGTTAGAAGAGCGATGACGAACATGGACACGCGGCGTCTCTATCAATACGCTATGCAGGGCACTGGGTGACAGGGGGTCAAGCAACAAACCTCGGTGTACGACGTTGTTCTTATGGAGGTAGTCAACAGCTCCAAGAACCTGTCCGATAGTTCGAGAAGCATCCTTCTCCGTGAATTTTCCTTGCTCACAGATGCGATCAAAAAGCTCGCCGCCAGTGGCCAGCTCGGTGACGATATAGTACTTGTCCTATAGCGAACTAGTCAGATGTGCTCGAATGCGGCCGCGGACGACAACGACCTTGCCTTCCGAGGTGGTTATCGGGACGAGGGAGACAAATGACGTACCCTAGACTCAAACCAGTCTACGAATTTGACGATATGCTTGTGATGGAGGCGCTGAAGAAGGTCGAGTTCATCGTACACCATGCTCTCATTACCCTTGACATTCTTCTTCAAGATGATCTTGACAGCCACCTTGCCCTCAGGGAGTCGGCCTCGCGGACGATGCCGTAGGTACCGGCACCCAGGGTCCGGCCGAACTTGTACTTGCCCCTAGCAAAACAAGGCTAGTCAGCGGACGCCTCGGTAATAAAACGACGCACACGGATACTCAGGCGCATATAACGAACTTCTTATCATAGCTCTCAGGCTGCCCGTGAAGGCGATTGAGCATTCCGGAAACTACATGCAGCGCATTGAAGATGGATCGAGTCAGCATATCTATGTGGAACACCAGGGCCCTGGATGACCAAGCTCGATCGCAGAGCAGTGTTTAGGTGGCCAAGCTCGAAGCGCCCCTCCGTGGAGGCACAAGAAGGGATAACTCGAAGGACGCGGACCGAAGACGGTCGAGGCGAAGGACTGCTCCTTTTGTTCTACTTACAGCTCATCTTGTACTGGATAATGGGGAGGCGTGTGATAGATAAAGGCTTTGCGCGGGCACGGGGTTGGGGCTCACGCTGGGTCGAAATGGAGCTCTTGGAGGGTAAGGTTGATTGGCAGGATGATGAAAAACAGCGCCCGACGGTACCAGAGAGGCGGGGTGTGTTGCCGCAGTCGACTGCGCAGAGGAAAGAAACGAACGGCGAAAGCAAAAGCACAAGGTGACGACTACCAACAAAGCAAAAGATCCGCCAAGGATTCAGCCGGTCCGGTAGGTGGTGGGAAACGGAGAAAAAATTGGAAAGAAAGGATCCGATGGAAGCTGTTCCTCGCAAGGTAGAAGAGGGAAGAGGAGCCAAGAAAGCTAATGGATTGGGCTTCTTGTCGAGAGCGAAATGGAGACGGGTCAGATGGATGGCGGGGTACTAAGCCGAGTTCGAAGCAATAGGGGAAGCGAGAATGAGCAGAGCGGGGTCAAGTCAGCCTTATTATGATTTCTTTGTATCAGCAGTGACGACTGTGGTGGGGGAGATGGGTGGGTGGGTGGATAGTGAACGAGGCGCAGGCCAAGTAGCCGCGGCGAATTAGACCAGGCAGTGACCCAAAGTGATGGATCGAGGGTCTGCGGCTGTGAGTTCAATAATACTGCGAAGCACCTTAGCTTGAAGGGGGACACCAAGGGTGGCCTCAGGGAGGTAGCCGGGAGAAGCTGAGCTGGGAATGCGCAAGTACAGATTGGGCGCACGCAGGCGCCAGGGAGAAATGGGCAGAATGTCAATGACGGGGGTGTTGTGAGGCAGGATACAATGGATCACAGGCTGGGCGGTGGAGATGGTCCACAAGTTGCGTCTTGAACCACACAATGTATCCTGAACCTTGCTTCTCTTCGAAAGTTTCTAGAGAGACAGGAATAATTATGGGATGCCTAGGGAGGTTATCCCCGGCCCTTTCTACAGCACTGGGCGAGGCACATTTAGCATATCGGTGCTCGCCGTCGTGGGCGACACCCTCCACCCTCCACAAGGCTCAGTCCCTTCTCGGGGCTTAGCTCCCCTGGCCGCTGGATATTCCAACGCACGGGATCTATTGTAATAGCCATTTCGAGTAGGCTCGGGATTAAAATTTTCTTGTTCTTCAAGATTTTCTAATTTCTTTTTCTCTTCTTAAAAAAACATGATCTTTTTGTACTGCCTGTAGCAGCGTTGTTTGAAGAAGGCGATGAGGAGGCTCTGAGAGGGATCCATTGATCTATTCCACCATCAATGGTAGTCAACGGAATAAACTTAGGGGACCCGTAGATGGATCGTGGATGTATCTAGCAACTACATCAAGTCCCTCCCTTTCTCCTTCTGTTTTTTTCTATTCTCTTTCTTTTTCTAGGCATAGTTCATTGTCAACCGCGGGACGGAAGTCGGCCTCCCCTCATTCTCTTCTCGTGCCTGGATGATATGCACGTGCAGTACGGAGGGACGGAGGGACGGAGATTTCATGGTTGGTTCCATCTATGTATCATTTGCTTGGGGGCGATGAGACGAGCTGGATCAGGAATAAGGGGTATCTGGGAGAAGCTCAAGCTCGAGCTCAACTTTTGTGGTGGTTACTATTCACACCAGACTCGTGGCGAGGGGTAGCGGGGTAATACTGTACCCCTCTGAGGGGTCTGCGAAAGGGTCGCCCAACCCCTGCAAGAGCCAGACACACCGGCCCTGATATCGACATGACATCCATCGATAGATCCATTTCAGGTGAGAGATGGGGTGGTACCTCTCGAGGCAGATTGGCTTCTATGTCAGGCCAGGCGTCCACGGTCCACGGTCCACGGCTTTTCTTTCGATACAGCCCGTTGCTGCGTGGGCCACACCTGGCAAAGGTCTGGGATCTCTCTTTCGAATTGTTCTGGAAGGTCCCATCGAGTCACGAGTCTTGCAAGGCGGCTTTCGTGCAGAGACTTTTCCGGCGACACCGAGGGCAAGGACAGGGTTGTGTTCCAGGCGCAATGATAAAGAGGGGGTTAATGAGCAAAGGGGATCAAATGGATCGATCTACCAGCGACCAGGGCATCGTCTGGGCAGGGGAAGGACGGGAAGTTTGAGTCGAGTCGATTCCATCAACCAGCCATTAATAAGGACTACAACAATGCTGCCGGTGCTTGGCCTTCTCGGCCGGTCGCTTTCCCTGACTAAGAATTTGATGGCGACTAGACGAAGTTAATACCATAAGCAACAGCACTTGATACTTCGTGGACGTAATGCGGGACCTGGACCCGCGCTAGGCTCGGCGACTGTTTGCACGGGAGACTTCACCATGATTGTCTTTCTTTGGACGTTGTAAAACCACCACCCGGATTACTTGACACTTCGAAACCACCCCTGGGCTTCTTCCTCCGCTTTGATTCGATCACGGTTGCGACCCGACATTCCATCCGAAAACTCGGCCGCGCCTTCGCCGATTATTTTGCTTCCCAGGTTTTCCTTTTGGCGATATCTGTCAACCTGCCTCGTCCGTCCTCCTCTCGAGTTGCGTGCATGACCTTGACCTCTCGCCAAGCGGCCCAGCTCTCTCTCCCATCGCGACACTGGAAAGAAACTGCCCCTCATACGTAGCCTTGAACCTTTACGATTTGGTTCGCTCCTTTTATTTTCCTTCCTTTTTCCCCCTTTCTCACCTTGGCTTTTCTTTTTCTTCGCCCACTATTACTTTCTCCTTGATCGTCCCCATCCTTCTCCTTTCTTCAAGTCATCCGTCGCAACACTAACTGAGGATCATAATTCCACATTCCAACTATCCACCTCAGCCACCGCCATCATTTTCTCCGACTCATCCTTCTTTCGCTCTACCCGCACGTTAGCCCTTCCTCAAGCTGCAGGACTTGGTTTCGTTAGGCTTCGTTGAGCTCCCCTTCTAGCCGACCCCCTGTCTTCGAGAGGCCCCCTCCTTCAAAGCGAGAAAAAAAACAAGGAAAAAGCCCTCTGGGCGCGCCACCTCTCCGCATTAGCCTTCGTTGGGACTGAAGGGACTTTCGACCCTTGACCGAAGCTCGGGACTCTGTTCGATCGTGCCTTCTTTTTCCTCCTATCCCTCTCATATCGCCAACATGGCCGCTAATTTCGCGGCTAAGAGGCTAGGAAAGGAGCTGGGCAAGGTGAGTCTCGTTCCCCCACTACCCCTCCCCCTCCTCGCTTCGCCTTGCCTCGCGGGTCGCGGCTCTTTTAAGGAGCCTCTGCTTCCACGTGGAAGCACGCCAGTCTGTTTATCTCGGTCGCCTGGAGAATATAGCTCGATGGCCAAGACGCGCGAACTAACGTTTCCTCTCACATTAGATCAACAACAGCCTCCCGCCCGGCATCGAGCTCGTTTCCGCGGATAATTTCGAAGAATGGTTCCTCGATATCAAGGTTTTGGATGAAAACCCGCTTTATAAAGACGAGACCTACCGCCTCAAATTCAAGTTCTCGGCGTCGTATCCTATCGGTTTGTTTCGGGCCCTGGCCAACCCTCCTCTCCTCCCCAAGCCTTTCCGAGCGTGCACGATGGAAACATCACGACCTCCGGTATTTAGGTGGCGTTTTATCTCGCTAACCGGCTATTGTTGTTTTAGAACCTCCCGAGGTCACCTTTGTGAAGCTCCCCGATCGACCGATACCGATCCACCCTCATATCTACTCCAATGGCATCATCTGCTTGGATCTACTAGGTCAGCAAGGATGGAGTCCTGTTCAAAACGTTGAGAGTGTTTGCATGAGCCTCCAGAGCATGTTGACCGGCAACACCAAAAACGAGCGCCCCCTGGAGACGAAGAGTTTGTGCGAGGCAATCGCCTGCGGCCCCGCGACATCGACTTCTACTACCATGACAATACTGTCTAGATATTACACAAAGGGCGGTCGAGCACCAAAGATATACCGAGAAGACATAAGCTGATGCAGCCTGCTCGGAAAGGAGAAACCTCGCTTTCTCTCGAGACTGCGTCCTGATGCCTTGAAATTATGCGTACGGGAGTTGAGCGCGGGGGATTAGGATCCGGCAGCACTTGGCAATTTCGATCTTGCACTCTTGCACCACTCTTACGGCTCTTTCGATGAAAGAAGCCCTTTATGCCTTTATGTTCCATACTTTTTTTTTTCCCCTCCTTCCCCTCCTTCCCCCATGTTCTTAATGAATTATTTATACAAGAGGCCGCGGCCTTTCCTGTGTAGTCGAGAGTCCAGCTTTTCGCAACGAGCTCTTGAACTTCCCGGGGCACTCCATCGTCGCAACGAGGCCCCTGGGGGCGGGCGCGTCTCGGCCAACTTTTTCATCTTCTTGTTTTTGAGGCGCAAAAGGATGGGCGCGAGATCAATGTAGTAGCATAGAGCTAGCATGCGATTCTAGTAGGATCGGAGGCGTCTCTGGAGTTGGCCACCCTGACGGCATGGCTTGTCTTTGGTCAGTGAGGCCAAATAAGCAGCCGATGGACAGGTGCCGTCATGACTTGTTTAACGCATGGTAGTTCTTTTTATGAGAGGGTACAAACTGCCAGCGTGAGCTCCATCTATGGGGGCGTTGCTTCCTACAGCTACTTGCCTTGAAAATGTGTCGGCCATAGGTGAGACGATTGTTTAGAGAGAGATGTCGAGTACCACTGAGTCCAAATGGGATTCAAAGGGACTCAAATGGACTCCTCCACTGAGCACGGTAAAGCAAGTCCCGTCGGTGCAAGAATGTGGCGTATACAAGGCCAAAGGGCTGGGCATTTCTTTCAAACGACGGTGGAGTTGTTCCTCTTCATTCAGTCTCCTACCTTGGTCGGCTTCTTTCGCGTTGCGATAGCGGATTTTGATGGATATGTAGTTAGGGAGAGCTGCGTTGTAGAAGCTGCATGACGTCATTAAAATATAGCGAGATCTCTTGCCTCTTCTCTTCTCTTATTATCAGAGCCCCGATTCAATCATTCTGATTCATCCCGGGCATCTCTGATCATGTGAGGCGCAAAAAAGTTGTCTCCTGGTGACGGACGCGCCACTTGCACTAAAATTTCTTCGCGCATGCAAGCTTGATGGTTAATAGGGGCTGGCCGGTCCCGTTTCGTCCCGACACGGAGCTCACTCGTGACCGTGCTCGGGCGTGGCCGAAGGATGCTCGTTTGCCCCCGTATCCGTCAACTAACCCGAGAGTGACTGGGCTGTAATACAAGTCGGCTAAAGAGTTTTTTCTGTTTTCTTCTCAAGAATGCTGGCAAAGGGCTCCGAGCCAAGCCGGCCAACGCGGCCAACGCTGGTGAGATGACTCTTCAAGCGCCGCGTGCTCCCGATCCATGATTGTTTAGGGCCGGGGCGTAGATTAGTTGATTGTCGTGAATATGGTTTGTTAGACTTCTTTTGATATTCACCCGGCCCCCGGCCAAGAGCTTCCATTCGAAGAAAGGTGGGGGAACGGTGGTTGGCGCCGCTCCAGGTTCTTTTGGCGAACTGCTCTGGTGGAGAGATGTGAGGGGCAAGAAGGAAGGGAGGAGAATGATTGTTTGGAGATGCCTTTGGCGTGCTTTTGGCGATCAAGGGGGCAACGATGAGTTGGCGGTCGCATTGTTCTAAACACTTCAAATCCTTGCGCGGGTTCGTGCCACTCGCCACGCATCCAAATACCAAGCTGCGACTACGGGGAATGAATGATGCTTCTCCTGGCAAAAGTGCTGGTCAGCAATCATTAATTCATCCGTGTCGGGGTCCCGCCTTACGGGGATGACTGGCAGAAAAATTCGGGGTTCCGGGAGAATGTGGAACCCGAACAATTCCCTGGTTGCGGAATCAAGCGCCAGCTGCGGAAGGCACTATGACAGGTTATTTTCGGGCTCAAGGGGACTTCCTTAACACCGATGGCTGCCTTACTCAGGCAGGCTGCGAGAAGGATCTAGTGTATGGATGGCCAAGAGAAGTTCCAGGATGATGGTCCTTTGCCCACATCTCAACGGGTCCTTTCGATTCGCCATCGATCCGTCTGGAGGAAATCCAGCGAGGGCGTCTGCATGGCATTGAAACTAGCAAATAGTAGGGGTCTCTCGTCTAGTCCTTGATTCCGCGGCTTGCTCCGGAGGTACAAGTATAGGTACTTGGGCTGCTGGTGGGAAATTGTGGGTTGCTGTGGGGTTCCAATAAGATCCGAGCCATTTCATACTGAAAATAGTAGACTGGCAAGACTGGGCCTGCCGTCGCGCGCGTGGGTGGTCTCGCTTGTCGGATTTCCGCCTACATCAATTGATGTATTAGTGTGATACAAGCATTGAACATTCTGGATTGGAGTGTCGTGCTTGCCAGTTGACTCAATGTGTTCTTTATTTTTAATACTTCTCAGGTCGCATTTAACCTCGTGGGTCGTGCGCCTGTCTCCATGTACGAATTAGGAATTCAAGCCTCCCTATTTCTTCCGTGGCTAGTATTATCTTGATGAAGGACTCATCACATCGGCGGCGGGTTCAAGACAACTTAGAACCGGACCCAATGTGATGGCTCCGTTGTCGCCCCCAATATCATATTTTCTTTCTGCTTCTCGAAAGGAATGAATGGACTACTTGATGTAACTCGTGAAACATTGGCCTGCCCCACCAACTAGCGGAAGCCCGCATTTACAACTAGAACTTGCCGCCGAATGTCGACGCTGATCTTGGGTCTTGCGTTCTCTTCTAAGGGTTTTTGTTTTTCTGGGGAGAATCTTGCAGCCTAGATGGCCCAGACCGCATTTGACGGGGTGGATCCATCAATGATATTGATCGGACGCATCAAGCTGAGACAGCAGGGAGGCTCTATCCCCGCGATGCTCTTCATTGATATAGAGAAAAAAAAGGGATCAATTCAACGTTTTGCTGGCTGAGAAACCGGGGAACTTTGAAGGTGTCAACAAATGCCACTGCTGCTCTTTGGGTCATGCGCCTCACGTCACGATATCAGAAGGTTGATAGACACCACATGCATCCCTCGATCGACAATGGAAGGAGGCTTGCTGGTCTTGCAGCCCCTTGCCTTTTCGATACCAAGAGATGGTTGATTTTGCGCGATTATTTGGATGAAATGAGAATTATGTACAAGCCAATGCTGATTCTCAAAGACTACCTCCTTTTTCCAGAGAGGAGAAGAAAAATAATAACAAACGAAGGGAAAATTTCAATCGTGTTCACAAGTTGCGGCACGACACGAGCGATACGAGTGAGGGTGAGTTGTTGATGCCTGGAGGACGAGACAAACAACATTTGATCAAAGCCGTTTTCCCTTGCCCAGAAAAGGCTCCGCGCACCGTGGCTACCATGGGGCCAAGCCAGTGGCTTAAGGGGTTCATCTCCTTCAATGTACCTTTGGCGTCCATCAAGGCGCGCCAGACGCCCAGTAACACTGTTCTCGGTACATGGACTCGAACGCTAGATCGTTGCCGAAAGGGGAAAGAGGAAGTACCTGTACAAGTACCCAGCTCCAGTTTGCACGTCCTTGCAACTGTCGTGCTCTAAGCGAGCAGACGAGTAGTTTCTATATGAACGACTCGCACCCTTTTCAAGCCAGTCGCTCTTGGGACACCATCTCGTCTTCATCTTCATTCCCTTCCCTCCCCATCTCGGGTTAGCTTCTTTTTAATAATTTTTCTTCGTCTGTTGTTCTTTTTCTTTCTTCTTCTTCTTCGCCACAGAGCGCCTTGGATGGTGATTTAGTGGTTTCTACCGTTGTCAGTTCCTTCTCCCCTTCAATCCCAAGTCGCGTCGATTACTGCGCGGGCATTGAGCTCTGTTTACGACTCCGAGACTAACACTTTTGCAGAATCAAGTCATCCTCGTCCTCCCGTTTTCGCAACTTTAGTTGCAAAAATCCAGCAAAGACACCTTGGCACACAAGGCAAACGTACAAGCTCTTGCCTGTTCTCCTTCTCTCTCCTGACCCTACTCTTGAGGTCCAACTCGCCTCGGTTTGACTCCCATGCCTGCATCGTGAACCAAAATGAGCGAGAAGGATATCACCGCCGCAGAGCCGGCGCCTCGGGCTCCGAACGCTGCAGAGCCCGTCGTGACTGCCGCCTCTGAGGAGACTGCCGTACCCAAGTCCGAGAAGAAGGACCATGGGGTACTGGAGCAGAGCAACGAGAAGGGAGGCAAAAACCAGCCAGAGGCTCGTCCAGAACGCCAGGCCGGGGTTAAAGATCTAGTTGTAAGTGACATATCAACCTAAGAGGGTGATGGAAAAAGAACGAAAACATTGGCGCGAGCGCATCCGTTAGAATGATTGTACAGAGGCTAACATGAAAAATCAGCGTGTATTCGGCTACGCGACAAAATGGGACTACCTGGCCTATCTGGTCGGTTTCTTTTCGTCCATCGCCGCTGGTGTTGTAAGTTTTCTCCCTTGTGCCTTCACCACGTTTGCATCGCGTTTCCATCTGCCCGCCTTGCTTCCCTCATGGGTGACGATAACGAGCTTGAGTCCGTGACTAATATTTTGATATTCTGCCCTTTAGTCTCTCCCACTTGTCATGGTCCTTTTTGGTAAGAGATTCCCCATTAAATTTGGCCTCTAGATGGTGGCTTGACGTTTTTACGGTGCAATAGTAATCTGACAAGTATGCCGCGTTTCACAGGTCAACTCGTGGAAAAGTTCCAAACCTTTGCCACCCCTGGTGCTTTGGATCCTTCTCTCGTGGATGTCGACACTCTCCAGGAGCGCATGGGCGATTTCGAGAGCGAGATTAACAGGCTTTCCCTGTTTATGACGGCGCTCTTCATTGTCCGTTTTGGATGCAACTACATCAACAAGGTGCGAAGTGCTCGCTGCACCCTTTGTCTTCCTCTTCCCACCCACTTTCAGTGTCTAATGCAGTGGCGTCTCCTTTAGGTTACTTTCCGAATGGTTGGCATTCGCATGTCCTCTGCTGTGCGGGCCGCATTTCTGCGAGCTCTGTTTGCCCAGTCCATTCATGTGCTCGACTCACTCCCCCGGGCACCACCGCCTCCATGATCACTACCACCTCAAACACTCTACAGATCGGCATTTCCGAGAAGATGGGCGTCTTGGTCGAGTTCACCGCCACCATTATCGCTTCCCTTGTCATCGCCTTCATCTACAGTTGGCGCCTCACTCTGGTCTGCTTTAGTGCCACCGTCTTCATCATGCTCACTCTCGGCATCCTCTTGCCTCTCATCTTGAAGGGCGTGGCCAGACTTAACAGGGCCGAGTCTAAGGCTACCGCCATCGCCACCGAGGCACTTAGCAGCGTTCGCATCATCGCTGCTTGCGGTGCCGAGGACGCATGCTCAAGCGCTACAGAGAGTGGTCGGAAGAGGCGAGGCGCTTGGCCCAGAAGGTCTCGCCTCTCGTGTCTCTCCAATTCGGTCTCGTCGTACGTGTTTCCTAGTTGTCTTCGCTCGTGTCTTGCCCCCTACTTTGTTGTTGGCACTCTTGCTAATGGGATTCCGCAGTTTTTTGCCCTCTGGGCCGTCTTCGGCCTTGCCTTCTGGTTTGGCATCAAGTCCTACCTTGATGGGGTGCTGAGTGGAGTCGGCGATATTGTCATGTAAGTGGACCCTGCCAAATCTCAGTTGTATCCAAGGCTCGTGGCTAAATGTGATTATCTAGTGTGTTGATGTCGTCCATGATGTTGGTCATGTCCATGGAGCGTGTCTCCACGCCCATGCTTGCTCTCGGAAAGGCCATGCTCGCTGCCTGCCAGTTCTTCACCGTCATTGATGCTCCTTTGCCTAACCCTGGCCATCTCAAGGCGCCCGAGGTGGCTGCTACGGATGACATCAACTTCAACGATGTCACCTTTGCCTATCCTAGCCGGCCTGACGTCAAAGTGCTCGACAACCTCAACCTTTCTATCCCGGCCGGCAAGCTCACCGCCATCGTTGGCCCCTCAGGTTCCGGAAAAAGTACCATTGTCGGCTTGATCCAACGCTGGTATGCTCTTGACGATCAGTACATCATCGAAAAGGCCATCGGTCAAGAGGAGATGGAGAAGCGCAAAAAGAAGGCTGCCAAGGCCAAGGCTAGGGAGAAGCGTATGAAGAAGGGCAAGGCCACAGCCCCTAGCGACGAGTCTTCTGATGAGGAAGATGAGGCAAATGCCGAAGATAAAGCTACCGGAGAACCCATCAAGAACGGCGGCCGCATCACTTGCGGTACCACTCCCATCGATGACATTCAGGCCATCTGGTGGCGCACGCAGATTGGCTTGGTCCAACAGGAGCCCTTCTTGTTCAACGACACCATCTTCAAGAATGTCGCCTACGGTTTGATCGGCTCTCTGTGGGAGAACGAGTCAGAGGAAAAGAAGCGCGAGCTTGTCAAGGAGGCCTGTACCGAAGCGTTTGCCAGCGAATTTATTGACCGGTTGCCCGAGGTAAGTTTCGTTTCGCACCCGTTGTTTTTCTTCTCTCTTCCCCTTTCATCACCCTCCTACTAGTCCTCGCGGCGTCCATGAGCTAATTCCACCCCCGCTTTAGGGTTATGATACAATTGTTGGTGAGAGTGGAGCCAAGTTGAGCGGTGGCCAGCGCCAGCGAATCGCCATTGCCCGCTCCATCGTCCGTAAGCCCAAGATTCTCATCCTTGACGAAGCCACCAGCGCCATCGATGTGCGAGGCGAGAAGATTGTTCAGGCCGCTCTCGACAAGGTTGCCCAAGGCCGTACCACGATTACCATTGCCCATCGTTTGTCCACCATTAAGAAGGCCGACTGCATCATTGTTCTCAAGAAAGGCCAAGTGGTGGAAAAGGGAACGCACCAGACCCTCCTCGAGAACCCCGCAGGCGTGTACTCTGGCCTCGTCCTCGCTCAGCAACTAAACCTCGGTGACACTGCTGAAGGGAACGAATCCGACGATTACGATGAGAAGCTCGAAACTGCCATGAGTCGCGTCAAGAGTGGCGCCCAAGCCGACGTCGAGGAGGACAAGGACAAGAAAAGGGCAAGGAACGAACCGCGGCTTCATTGCTGGCTACGGTCGTCTCCTCGTGGAGCAGCGAAATTTGCGCGTCTTCCTTGCATTGACCATCTTCTTCGCTGCTTGTGTCGGCGCCGGTATCCCCGTCATGGCCTACCTCTTTGCCAAAGTTATTGTCGTTTTCAACTACGTTGGAGACCCCGAGAAGATGCGATCAGAGAGCAACCATTGGTCTTTGATGTGGGTCGTCTTTGCCATCGCTATTGGCTTCTCTTATTTCTTCCTCGGAACTGTTTCACAACACATCGCCGTGTCAATTGAGGATGTTTACCGGAGGGAGTACTTTGAGTCCATTCTCTATCAAAAGATGAGCTTCTTCGACAATGACGAGAACGCCCAGGGTATCCTTACCTCGAGAATCTCAGGCGACCCCAAGCTCTTCCAGGAAATGACGGGTCTAAACATGGGTATGGTTTACTCTAGCATCTTCAGTCTTCTCGGCGGCATGCTCATCGCCTTCATCTTTGGCTGGAAGCTTGCCATCGTCGCCTTCTTCGTTACGATGCCCATCGGCCTCTTCTCGGCCTTCTTCCGCGTCAAGTACGAGCTTGAGTTTGAAAGAATGAACGGCGAGGTCTTCGACTCGAGCTCCAAATTCGCTGCGGAGACTATTGGCGCCTTCCGAACAGTGTCGTCGCTCACCCTCGAGGACACCATTGCTACACGTTACGAGACCCTCCTTCATAGTCACGTCGTAACGGCCTTCCGCAAGGCCCTCTGGACCAGTCTCATCTTTGCTTTCTCCGACAGCTCCAGCTTGGGTTGCCAGGCCCTTATTTTCTGGTATGGCGGCCGGCTCATGCTCAAGGGAGAGCTCGACAACACCGCCTTCTTCATCTGCATGATGGCCGTCGTCCAGGGAGCCGAGAGCGCGGGTCAGGGTCTCAGCTTCGGCCCCAACGTTGCTCAGGCCAGTGAAGCATCCAACCGCATCCTCAACGTTCGCGAGACCCGCAACAAGGACGACATCTCCAAGGACGTAGGCATCCCTGACACTGACGGCGGCGTCAAGATTGAACTTCGGGACGTCCACTTCAAGTACCCCTCTCGCAATGTGCCCGTCTTCAAGGGCCTCAACCTCACCATTGAAAAGGGCCAGTTCGCGGCGCTTGTGGGTGCGTCGGGCTGCGGCAAGACCAGCATCATTTCATTGCTTGAACGGTTCTACGACCCGGCCATGGGCCAGATCCTTGTCAACGACAAGGACGTCCAGGAGCTCAACGTTTACTCGTATCGAAACTACCTTTCCCTCGTCGCCCAGGAACCCACCTTGTTCCAGGGCACGCTGCGCGAGAACATCCTCCTCGGCGTGGACCCCGAACAAACCACGGAAGAGCAGCTCCACGCGGCTTGCCGTGACGCCTCGATCCACGACTTCATCGTCTCACTTCCCGACGGCTACAACACCAGCGTGGGCAGCAAGGGTGTCTCTCTCTCGGGCGGACAGAAGCAACGTGTTGCTATTGCCCGCGCCCTCATCCGCGATCCCAAGGTTCTTCTCCTCGATGAGGCCACTAGCTCCCTCGACTCCGAGTCCGAGAAGCTCGTCCAGGCAGCTTTCGAGCGCGCCGGCGAGGGCAGGACCATGGTTGTTGTCGCGCATCGTCTCGCCACCGTTCAGAACGCCGATGTCATCTTCGTCTTGGGCGAGGGTAAGCTTTTGGAACAGGGTAGCCACACCGAGCTCCTGAAAGCCAAGGGCGTATACTGGAATATGGTAAGTTCCCTACAGCCCCCCTTATTTCTCTCCTATTTCCTGGCTCGTGGAGTTTTTCAAATCACTAACACCCAGGTATAGTGCCAGAGCCAAGCCTTGGATAGGTGAGCTCGATCTCGTCTTTCGAGCTACCATCCCCTCACCCTCTTAATTCAATGCCGAAAAGCAAGCATCCTTCGTTTTTCCAACATAATCTTATGCATTTTTGCGCATGATACCTCACTCTCTTCACTCACTCTCTTTTCCGTTTCCTTTCTCTGTATAATTGTCTTTGACCATTCCTCTCCGGATCTCTTTTTTTTTCTATCATCCCTGTCGTCCTGCCCTTCCAGGACAAGGCTCGTTGGAGATGGTAGTTTAAAAACTAAAAATAAAAATGGGGAACATCTCCGCTACGATTGCATTATCTCTTCTTCTCTTGGACGCTGAAAGTCAGGCCTCTAGATGATGTGGATGGGTGGGTTTTATTTCGTTTGTTTTGTGTCATGGATGTTAAAGATCTCACCTACCTGAATGAATAAAACCCTTCTGAACGACCCGATCTCTCTCCTTCTCCCGTGCAAGCCATTTGGGCTTTTCTAGGCCCCCAAAGTTAAACTGTTGAGAAGTAGTGGGTAGCACCTACACGGCAAGAGGAACAGGTGAAGGTCAAATATGAAGCTCATTAAGATCCCGAGTACGGTATGCCCGCGTCGGCAGGTCTCGCTCTACCCCAGTCCGACAGTACCTACACTATCTCACAGCCGACATATCGCCGATGCCATTCGCCATCCCTGCCTTGCCGCACGCGCTATGCAATGCCAACGCCATGAAAATCAAACCGTCTAAGGTACATTAAGAGGAAAAGAAAACAAACATATCAAGGGCGAGCCCGCCGTTCCCGCCGATACCTCTTTAGTTGGTCGACTCAGTCTCCAACCCCCAAAAGGTGTCCAGCTCCTCATGATCTGTCTCGCGTGGGTCATGACGAAATCGTGGCCTCCTTCCAACAGCCTCCACGTTACCCTTTCCTCGCCGCCAATGAGGGGAAGTGCGTCGTGGCGATAATCGTCGGGGTTGATGATTTCGTCGTCCTTGGCGAGAAGAATGCAGGTTGAGCCCGGTTCGCGCTCGCTAATCTTGCTCCAAGCTTCGTGTTGGTCCATGAGGGGAGCGTGGCGCAAACTCGAGAGAAAGGCAGGAACGAATCCAGCATGGTGGTCGGCCATCCACGAGATGTAGCCCAGCACGCGCTTCTCGAGCGCGGTCACCGCTTCCGGAGTCGGGGGTCGGCGCCCTCGGCAGCGCCGACATCAGTCATGGACTTTCCAGGTTTGGAGGTGGAATGGTGCAGTGCGCGTCGGAGCTCGTCGGCCGAGACCGAGGCGCCGGGTGCCGCGACTGGCGAGGCAGTCGAGTCAGGGCTCGGGGTGGGAGAAATCTTCTTGGTAACACTGCTTGCGATAGGTTTTCGGAGGCGGACGCGCGCGAGCTCGCTAATCAGACGGTCGGGGACAAGGCCACTACGGAACAAGATGCGACTGACGATGCCGAAATTGGCCGCGCGAATGAGGCCAGCCGGGGCGAGGAGGACCAACGACTCGACCATGTGCGGGAAAGCGCTAGCGAAGTGGACGGCGATACCGCCGCCCATGGAATAGCCGACCAAGCGGATGGACTTGCTTCCGCTCCATGGTAGAGGGAAGAGGCCATGGCAAGAAGAGCCTGGCTCACGTAAAGGCGGGAGTCATGGGGTAGGTCGCCGACACCGTCCGAAAAGCCACGGCCGAAGAGATCCTGTTTGTAAGGTTAGCACTAGAGTTTGAGATGCGGATGTAGATGATCACTTACAAAGAGCATAACACGGTAGCCTCGGTCAACCATGGCCCGGGCAAGCCTCGAAACTGTCATACACGAAGTTGAAATGCCGTGGATAAAGAGAACCTTTTGCCCTCCTCAGGGCCCCATTCATAGACCCGGATATTGCCATACTAATGGATTATGCCTCGGTGATTAGCGTCTAGCGCATGACACTCTTCGCGACGCAAGACCGAGAAGAGAGTGGGGAGAACAAGTTGATGAGATTTGGGGAGTAAGGGGCAAAAAAGGGCAAGAGAACGTACAGGTGTTGAAACGTCGCGCGCGCCGGGGTATGAATCGGGTCTGTACTCCAATTTGGCGATGTCCTTCTCCGAGAGATCCGGGATCTTGGTCTGGAGAGGGTTCGGGATAATGGCGGATCGACGCGGAAACAGCGCAACACGGGCGAGCGACATGGTGGCCAGTGTTATAGATGCAGTGATGGCGACGATGGAAAGAGCAGCACGTGTTGACTCGTCGGCCAAATTGAGACCGAGAATCTGATAAAGCGCCGCCATTTTGATCACTTTAGCTTTTTAGTCTGGCGCCTTTTTTCAGGATGCGAAGGAGAGTGAAGATTGTGGTATTCGGGGTAGATGGGAGGCTTCAGTCAATTCGTAGAGGGCTTAGTGTTGTTAATGGCGGCCTGCTCGGCGCCCGTGTCCCTGGTTCGGCCAGTCTCCAACTACGTCACTTGGTGTGCTGTTCCTGCCTTGTGGCGGGCCAAGGCCGCTGCAGCCCCAGATTTGTCACTGAAGGAAGTCGCGGGTCGATAGTGTAAGCGAGGTGGGACTTGAAGAAGAAGCAACGAGGCCGACGGAATGCGAAATCAAGGGGCAAGAGAGGTGGAGAAAGAAAAGAGTAATTTGGCTATGGGGGAGAGAAGGGAAGGGAAGAGAAAATGGATGGGCGAAGCTGGCTTTAAGGAGCATTCTATGGCAGGGGGTTTTCAGACGTCTCAAACCACTTGAGCGGAAGGGTCGGTCGAATCGTCCTCGTGAAGGCTTGGAACGTGGCTAGGCCTCCCTGTCGGGCACCAGATGAGAGAGAAGGGCTGTCACACAATACACAATGGCGAAACTCCCACAACGGTTCAAAAGTCGCAGGCAACCCGCATGCTTACTCCGAAGAGTTTCTAGATAAAATTTCCGGTTGCTGCTAGTTTGGCCGATGTCTCCCGTTGCGGTGCGGTATTAGTGTGAATAGATAAGACATGCGATAGACGATGGGATGGATTGAAGGCATCAAAGGCACACTGCACAGAGAACAAGAGCTTTAACCATCTCATTGATGGACTCCATTCATAGAGGTTTCTTTTTTTTTTTTTTTCTCTCTCTCAGATCCCCTCGATATCACATTTCTGACGAGGGAGCCAAGATGGAGTCAAGACCCAAGTTGGTCCTTTTACCAATTTTGCCTCGTGGAGTGAAGGCGCAGTTGTATTTATCGGGCTGAGACGGTGGACGCGACGGACTCCCGACACCGCCACAGACAAGAGTGGAAAAAGGAAAAACGTTCATCGACAAAGGATGAGTGATGACCTCGACTGTGTCGGCACAGCTCCACACATGTTACTGGTCCATTGATAACAATCCAGCCCGGGTGTGCCTGACACCTTTACAATGATAGGGGTTGTGATACTGGTCGGCCCAGTTATCCAGGATGGAGAACTCCGCCCTCTGCCGCAGCACACGTGTCGAAATCGTTTGCCTATAATTCTCTTCGCATCCCCTCCCCACTCAGCTGCTATATGTTCCCACTCACAAGTCAGGATGAACAAGGGACGAGAGTGGAAGAGGAAGAGTGACATCAATACATCAATCATGGGACGGATGCTCTCACTGTCCGAGTTTCCTTCTACCCCAGGGGGACTATCTCTTTCATAGCACCTGAGCCGAACTTCTAACGTCCCCTCAAAAAAGAAGGAAAAAAAAATGAAGGAGACATCTAGTGTAACTTCTATATTGATTTCCTCAGTCGGGGTTAACCTTGTCCGGTTCGGGCTGCCAGACTGGCACCACGCTAGCCAAGGCAACTTCCGGCACAAGTGCCCACTCTCGCCCTCCCGATCTTTCTCAAGGCAAGGGATTTACTGATACCAGCTAGGCCAGCACGATACCCGAAGCCCTCAATGCCGGTTGCGCCGTAAGGTAAGGTCCACTCAAGCTCGTAGACGGAGGGCAGGCATGCTGAGGTGGCCATCCGAATGCTCAACATGTGTCGGCGGGAAGCAAGGTGATACCGGAGTATGCAATCACACATCTCAGAAGTGCCCTCTGAGACACGCAGCTGTGCTCTCTTTCCCACCCCACGAGGTAATACATGAAGGCACCCGTCCCGATGGTAGGATCCTTACTCTACTAAAAGGTGCCCTTAATTCTTCTCTTTTCTTCCCTAGCCATTGTTCCTCTCTTGGTAGATCAAGATAGCTTTTAGACACAGTCTGACGTCCATAGGCTACATGTACACATTGAAGGAGGTTTCAGGGAGGAAGTTTGAAGACAAGACGGCTGGTCGTCGATATTCCCCAAGCATGGACTGATAGGTGTGGCCTGGGATTGATTATATTGAATTAATGGATTGATCTATCTGGATGAGTTGAGGAAGCTGGTACACTCTCCACAGCAAATACTCTCTCCACTAAAGCATTTCAACCTTCCCACCCATGAGGCCATACTCTCGTGTTACGGCTTAAATTTGGGGTCGCTTGAAATTGGAGGGAGGATCGCGACTCATTTAACTTGCCCGAACATGGCAAAGCTAACCTGGTCTGTGTTCAGTGGTTATCGCTGGCCAGGACAAGCCCAAGTGGGGGATTGGTGCGATGCTGAGCCTGCATTGCGCCTTAATTCCAACTCGGGCGCCAGAGCCTCGAGCCGATTTCACCTCGTGCTCCTTGCAATCATGATGCGTTTTTCCAATGCAGAGCCCTCTTGTCAACCACGCCAAAAGATTGAACAAGATGGAACTTAGCTCGATCTTCTAGGCGGCGAACCTCGCGGGTCCCATCAAATGTCAGTTGCAGTCCCTGAAGAGGGGAGATAGCACTGATTACGATTTTGGGATGACTTGGCGGTTGAAGGTGCGAAGTGCGTATCGTTGTGCGTTTAACACTGTATACTAGGCGGTCAGTCAGTCGCTGGTGGTGGTGGTGGCAGGAGCGCTGGGTAATGTGACAACAATTGAAGCTAATTTAGGTGAGGGCAGCCGCTCCATTTTCACCACCATGACGCTAAGTCTCAGGCGGCGATTACAGCGTCTGAGGTAAGGGCTCAAAGCAATAAACGTTAAGGCGAACGGACTGAGGCGGGGCTTTTGGCTCCTTTTCACCACTGCCTGGTCGCGTGTCTCCTCGGTCTCGAGCTCGACTTTGCCACGGCCCCTGCCCGCTCAACGCTTCAAAGGCCCTTCTTTTTTTCTCCGACGTTGCAAGAGGGCGAATGCGGTAAGCCTTGTCATAATAACCCCAGCCTCTCCTGCCCCTAAACTATTCCCCTCACTTCCCCTCCCACCATCTCGTCAACTAACGTGACCCTTTCGTCGGGTTTGCAGGTGACCGACTAGAGAAGACTCTCGGCGACGCCGCGCTGCGTTGTTCGAAATTCCCCTTTTCCCCTTGAAAAATACAAAAGGAACGAGCTGGATTCTGCCCACTTCGAAGCATACACGAACCACCCGCTGTTGACGATACGAACCGAACCGCTCGCCCTCCTCCATATGCGTGAGGATGGCGGATTCTCCCGCTGAGGGCAACAGCCCCTTAGCTGATGCCTTACCCACCGCCGTCCACCATGCAGGCAGCCGTCCTTCGTCTTCTTCGGGAAGCTCCTATATCGGCAGCGATGCCCCGACCACAGAAAGTGTAAACTGTCCCTGGAGGACCCCCGAGTTCCACGAGGACGAGTGCTCGAGATACTTTGACTGCCCCACCCACGTCGTTGAGCGTCAGCTCCCCGAGTCCACCGCCGCGGTACAGTTGGTAGAGCCATCGGCAGAACCCGGCCCCGCAAGCTCTATTGGCGGCGACTCTGCCGTAGTTGATCCGGAGGAAACCCCAGGGCCTAGCTCTCGGAGAAGCGAGTCGCCTTCTGAGGAGAGAAGCCCTTCGGTGTCGACATCCTCGAGCGAACAGCTTGGTGAAGCATCGCCTCAGAATGATGACGACCGACCCCCATGGTTCCGCCCCGCGATGAAAGCTACTTTCCAAACATGAGCCATGAACCCGAAGCGACTCGTGCCGGTCCCCTCGAGCTTCCCATTCGAACCACGAGCCTCCCCAGACAGCTTCGACGTTGTCTCAGACTACCGACCCGACCCAGCGCAGGCTTCCAAGCCCTCCTCTTCCACCAGTTCCCCAAAGCACCCGCCCCAGTATGCTGGAACTGCCACCCACACCACGAAGCACGAGCGAGACAGCTTCGTCTTCGGCAACCTCTTCGTCGAGGTCACTCCATCGGAACCCTTCGGAGCTAGTTTTACCCCGGTGGCAGCCCGACTCTGACGTCACATTCTGCCCTATCTGCCGCACCCAATTTAGCTTCTTTGTCCGCAAGCATCACTGCAGGTTCGTTTCTACTGTAACCCCGAATCTTGGTTTTGTCTTCCCCCTTCCCCTTCTTTTTCTTTAGCCTGCTATCTCGGCTCTCGGCATCAATATTGACCTTTTCGTCCTTGAAATACAGGAAATGCGGGCGTGTGGTATGCAACTCTTGTTCTCCCCACAGAATTGTCATACCCTACCAATACATAGTCCGCCCTCCCGCCCAGGATCGCATGTCCCAGCTTTATTTTGGTGATGATGGACTAGGATACGGCGATGGAGGCGAACGCGTGAGGCTTTGCAACCCTTGTGTCCCCGACCCTAATACCGCTCCCCCAGCGACATTGACATCTCCCAGTCAACACTCCTCCCCTCGACCTCATCACCGCTCGCGGAGTAGCATGGGCGGAGGAGGCTTTGCTGGTTTTCCTCCTGTGCAGAGCCCTGGATTCCTCTCGCCTAATACGTTGAATGACCCTTACGCCCGAGGCCGGAGTGTCACAATGGTGGGTTCTTTTTTCCATTTGCATTCCCCTACCCACCTTTCCTTTGAGATGCGCAGCCTGGGCTCTTCCAGAGCCAGGGGCTTCTTCTCTCTAACAGATGACTTAGAATTTCCCTGCCGCCGCGGGCTCTCGACGGCCCTTTGTTTCCACCGAGAATCAAATTCTTGCCGGTACCCCACCGCTCTACTACCCCTATCGGCGTCAGCGTCCGCATCGGGATCATCTTCGCAATATCCACCATCCCGTATGAGATATCGATCAGTCAGGGAGTCGGGCGGATCATCATCTTCGTCTACCCAGAGAGCCCTTCCCCGACGCCGCAGATTGCCGAAGAAGATGAATGTCCCGTCTGCCATCGAGAGCTCCCTCCCGTGCACTCGCCAACTTTGAGGCTTTACGTGAATCCCATATTACGTCTTGCATTACTTCGCACAGCGCATATGGAAGCGGGGGCGGTGCTGTCAGCAGTGGGACATCCCCTGGAGAAGGGACGACGCCTTCTTCGCCCCGGTCTGTGAGGAGAACTGGAATGTTCCCTTACCTTGCCACGGAAAAGGATTGTGTCGACTCTGCCGAGTGCACCATCTGCTTGGAAGAATTCGAGGTTGGGGTGGCTATGGCGCGCCTGGAATGCCTGTGCCGCTTTCATCGGAGATGCATCTCGGCTTGGTTTGTGAACCATCCAGGCCGGTGCCCAGTTCATCAACACGATAGCTACGGGTATTGAAGGGCATGGGCCGTCTCCTTTTTCTTCTTCTACCTCTCTTTTCCCTCTCTCTCTCTCTTTCTTTTATACTGATTACATTCCCCACCCTGGCGTTTTACTGGAATCTCGAGGATGGGTATCAATTTTGGAGTTTTGATTCGGGTTATTGGGCTCCCACCTCCTCCCCCTTTTTTCGCCTTGCCTTTGGTCTTGTTGATCTCTTGCATGAATGTTCGGTTGCAGCTATATCATGGTTTTACTACCTTGCAGGTTATTGATACTATCCTGCCTGCTGTGTTGCAAAACCCATTCTCTTTCTCAACTATCCCCCCTCATTGTCCGGTGATGATTTCCTTGGCCGTTAGAGGAACACAGCAAGGGTCTATGCTATTGTGGCCCACCCTTGCCATGGGTAATAGAGTACAAAGGCGTCTGTTGCACCAAGGTAGTAGCCGTTGGATAGGAATAGAAGCATCGATCTATGTTTAATTGTGGAGGACTTGAGCTAGGTGGTGCTCATGTTGAATTTGCCATAGCATAGTAGAGGAGACACCACACAAACGGGACATATACTTATTATTTCTAGATATACATGTATCTATGTATGTGTCAAATGTTCCTCCTTCTTTTTTTTTTTTTACCAAATAAAGAAGAAAGGAAACCTCTGTATAGCGAAGGAGGATGACCCCAGCACTAGATTTATCTGTGCATACACCACTAGGTGTTCTTTACCATCCTTCGCTGAGGTGCATTCTTCAGTTTATCGGAAGCGGGAGAGCAAGGGGGCAATCTCAGGCTTGCTCTTCAGTGAAGGAGACCCCGATGATCTCATTTACTCCTCATTCGCAAGCAAGCGACAACCAGTTTTTTTTCTTTCCCGGCACGGAAGGGAAGCCGAAACTGCGGGTCATCGATTGGAACAGATCGAATGCAACATCGGGAACAAGCGACAGGGGTTGGACACGATAGCAACATGTATAGGATGGGGGAAAAGCCTGAAGAAGGGAGCAAAGCAAAAAAAAAAAGGCCGCGCTCTCTAGCCCGGAGCACGCATTAAGGAAATGCGACAGGCGAGAGATGCTATTGCGCCGGGAGAGTGTCGGACCGCCCTGACAAGAAAACAAAAAGAGGTGGCTAAAGGGGAGGGGAAAAAAGCATGTCGAGAAGGGATGAGCGGTCTGGTTTGGCCGAACGCCTTGGGTTGTCTTATTCACAGAAGATTTGGCCGCTTTCCTGATAGAACGCTCACGTACAAGCACACGCATTCATACATCGGCACGCTCACCTTGTCCATTTTAGAGAAGATAACGAATCGACTTATCTGGATGAATGTACTACATGGAGTGTTCGATGCTAGGCTAGGCCGAGGAGCTTGAACTTGGGCTTGATGTGTTGATCGAAGACATCAACGCCTCTCTCCGTTGGCCAACGGACAAGTACTGTTCAACGACAATCGGCGGGACCCCACTCAGCTTTTCAAGTGGCTGGGCCGACAGAGGCACGGATCGACTTGACTTGCTGCACTAGACAACAGGAGGGGAATGCTGCTGAGGGACATGTTTACTTTTCCGTTTCCGTCAAAGCGGCCTTTCTCTTTCTCTTTCTCGTTCGCCCACCGAGGGGCTTGAGGGATTCTAGCGATGGGGGACGCGCAAGTTGGCTGGCCCCGGATCGCCAAAAATGGGTTGGTACGGAAGTTGGCAACATTAGGATATGCATGCTTTATCGGGGGGATGACGACAGGGAAGGGGAAAGAGAGAGCCGGGGGGGAGGGTCCGCCATCCATCGCTTGGTTTCACAGCGCCCAAGTAGAATTTGGTGCTCGGTGGGTGCGATCTCCACCTTTGCCGAGGAGAGTTTTGGGGTTTGGAGGTCTCTCGAGGTGAGGGGCCAGAGAGGAGGGCCAGAGAGGAGTGTGTGTGAAGGAGATTTCGCTTCAGGCCTCGCTAAGGTGGCTCTCGGCTCCCCCGACAAGATATTCGTGAAATCGGCGTCTCTGGACGGTGCATTGGGAGGAAAACACTGTAGATTTAAACATTGAGGGCATGGCCACAGGCCAGCAAGATCTGCCCGATTGGCAGATGAGGTCATTGGGGAAGGGGATTCAATGTGGTGTCCCGGATCTTGATTTCGTCGACTGGTTGAGCCGCATCGAATAACAAACCGCCGGCTGGACAGGGGAGGGGTATCACCCGGCAGCCGTGAAAAAGACAATGGGGATGTGAACATTGGCACGGGTAGTTCATCCGGTGGTTGGAAAATTTATGCGTCTGGGCTTGTATCTAGCGTTGTTTAGGCGGCGCGCGGTGCAGGGCAGGATCTGGCCCAGTGGGGTTTATTGGTGTCTCCGCTGCGACTGAAGTCGACGCGGACACTGATCAAGCGTAGATCAGGCCGTCCAGGACGGCACCATGCCGGCGGTGCTGGACGGGATGGAGTGGACAGATGTGCGGAACGGACCATCCATCTTTTCCATCCATATGGGAGGCACCCCTGTTCAGCTGAAGGCCAACCCCAGCCACACTGATATTAGACGCGTCCTTGGCTTTACTTCGCAGGTGAGAGCAACAAGATGAAAATTTCATTTTTTTTTCTTTTGCGTCGTCTGATCAAAACGACGAGACTCAAGGAAGTGGTTTGGCCAAATTGAATCGAGTTGGGTCTGAGAGTTGGGGAGTTGCCTATCCCTATCTGCGCACCAGCCTCCTTTGTTGCCATCACCAGAACTGAAGCCGAAAAATTCTTGGGGCCAGCTTCAAGTTGCTGTAGTTGATTGAGTATCCATTATGTGGTGATGGCCAGTACAGTGAGTGGGTCGGGAACCTTATAGCGTAGATTCGATCGGCGATAAAGTAGTATTTGGGGGCCCGCCATTTCCACTCCAATGTTCTCAAGCAACCTCCAGGCTTCTGATGGACGGATATGATGATACCCAAGGAACTCAGGTTGGCGAGATGTGAGCGGATCCATTCGATATGATAAAATAATTCGCCGGTTGCGCCGACCACAGCTTCTTTGTTGAGCCTGGGCCTCGATGTTCGGATGAGCGCCCCTGTCCCCTGGCCGGCCCAGCTGGGAACATTCCTTGCCTCAGACCACCATTCAACTTTGCAGTAATACAGCCGGAATGTATCAATCAACACAAGTACATTGTATCAATGGCTGGTGGGTATCACAGCTCTGCTTTCAGGTCCTGTCGACTTTCTCGACTTCCTCAAAGGATGAATGGATCGAGCACCCTTTAGAAGGGGTGGAAGTGTCCCGCTCAATCAGGACGACATGTGCCTATCCTGCACTAGAATGACTATGAGAAAGACTGATGCTCTTTGTTAAACGTTCTTTTTGTAGTGGCAGATAAGTGGACCATTGTCTGTTTATCAGGCAAGGAAGCTAGAAACGTCTTGGAGGGTCGGAGGGTTGGAAGGTTCGTCGGAGGACGGCATCCCTCACTACTTTGTCGATGATTAGGTACATGGTGTCGCTAGCAAAACCCTCAGTGTGTGGCGTGCAGTTCGGCGACCTGTTCGTGCCTTTGCCGCATTAGGGAATTTGAGGGAGCTCAAGATGCCAATGCCAATGCCGATGCCCACCTCCAACGTTTTGCCCAGCGCGGCCGTTTGGGGGCAGCTAGGATTGTTTCCGTACAGGTATCTAGCGCCTCCCTGGTTTCCTCAATCACCAGCAGTCAGTTGAAAGGTACCGTGCCTGACTGGTCCTGAAAGCGTTCGAGGATTCCCCGGGGCCGATTTGCGAGGAGGGAGGTTGGGGCCATTCACGGATGATTTTCCATTCCCTCGGTGCGGAGCACCCAGTAGCTCCCTCGATAAAAGCAAAGAAACCGAGGGCGGAACCCGTCAATGGCTTTTCATCCATTGTATCTTGTGGAGCTAAGACATTATGCCTTTGGAAAAGCTTTGAAGGCAATAGGGTGCAAAACTGTTGATCAGGGAGGACCACGCCAGGACTCACGAGGTCTTTCAACCACTAGCAGTGCTGGGCGAGCTGGGCAAGCTGGGCCTGCGGGGGATCAGCGCTTGTCAAATAACGATACTGCGACAAGCAGTCTCCATGCGCTGGTGATCTGACCAGAGAACATTTGAACTCCCTTTTGCATCCCCACGATGTACATCAAGTACCCCAGCTACCACAACGTGCGCCTGTGTGATATTACCGGGAGTGCCACCATCGTTGCTGGCGAGCTGTCTCGGCCAGCTGTGCAAGTTAGTGCCAGGCGGGTCAAGCTCCACTGCTTCGTGCATGTAGACTACGCTAGCAACTACTTCGTACTTGTACTTGTCCAAGGAGAGAGTTGGGGAGGGCAGCAAGTGGTGGACAAAAATATCGGGACTGCAAAATCATTTTGTCCACCAGAGCAGGCACCTCGCCACCAAATCACCTCTGTACTGCCCCCTGTACCCTCAGCTATAGTGAGCTTGAATATTTTGCAGTCCCGTTTATTTTGTCACCCACTTGGGCAGGAGGGGTTGTTAGGTCTCTCCAGATGCATGTCGCTTGTACCTGATAAACTTCCACAAGTGACTCTCCCGATCCGTTTGACGTATGTGAGTCTTGATTGGCCGGGGACAGCTCAGGAATGGAGGTACTGTACGTACCCCCGGCAAGACAAGCGAGCCCAAGCCGTGTCTAGCAAGTCTAGAAAGCACCAGAGGACCACACAGACACAGACACAGACAGGGTTCAACAGACGAGAGCTGGCCAGGCATTACGTCGTGCGTCGCCAGCTCCATAAACGTGTAGATTAGGCCAAGATCGATGGATCAATTCCAAGCTGCATCTTGGATTTGGCGCTGTGTCTCCCCAGCTGCCTCACCTGCTCACCTAGTGTACAACGAGCGCGCAGAATGCTGGCTGCTCCTTCCAGGCTCCCTCCCTCAAAACCTTGGATGGCCTGATAGTCGACCATTCTCGCGCTTCCAGACGCACGCTGTCTGTCCTCAACTTCTTTTCTCTAGCTTCCCCCTCCTCCTCCTCCTCCTCGGGCTACCGTCCAACCGTGAGGAATTTGATTCTCGCCTTTTCTTTGTGGTTTCAATTCCACCATCACAATTCGCTTCGTGTCTGTTTGCATATTCACCCTCCATCAAGATTATAGGTTCGATCCAACTTTCCTCCAGGTGGCCTATGTCCGCCAAGGTTCAAGTTTTATCGAGCCACTCAGCCGGACTCGAAGCTCGTTGACGATCACGTCACTGACGTCGTCCCCCTTTGACCAAGCTTGCTTAACCTCAACCCACCCCTGTCCATCCTAAATTTCGGGCGGCTTTTTCCAGCAGCTGGTAAAATCGATAGCCCTTCCTCACCAAGCCAGCACCAAGCTCTCAACCTCTTTCAATTCCCTCATCTCAGCCCTCTTTGGTGCCCCTCCCTCTCACTCTCCTACTCTTTTCTTTCTTCTTTTTGTTTAATCTCGTTCTGTTACTCTCGCATCTCTTCCTTTTCGCCCTCCATTCTCTCGTGTCCTCATCTGCGGGCCTCTCTTGATTAATAGGCCCATCTAACCCCCTTGCCAATCCTTCAACCAGGGTTGCAAGCAAACGGGTCCTGGCTCCCTCTTCTTGACAAGCCCATTTTACCACGTCGCCTCAGCTCCCCAACAGAGAAAACTAGGCGGGTGCGCAATTCGCCTCCGATCCTTCTCCCGCTCTTCGATTGATGCAGCTGGATTCGTGCTGAAATCGGACTTCGTCCACTGCCCGCTCCAGCCAATTCCTCGAGCTTCGAGAGGAGTCGTGTCCCCGTCTCTCTGTCTCCCATTCGAGTAGTCCGGATTCACCTCCAACATGGGGACAGAAACAGACCCGGTCGAGGTCCGACAGGAGAATGCGATCGAGGAAGCAAAGGCTAGGCACGCAGCTGCCGCAGCCAATGCTGACCAGGCTCAGCAGCAGATGGTAGAGGAAGCTAGGAATGCCGGTGTGCCTGCCTTCACCTTTGATCCAGATGCCAGCCCCGAGCAGAAGCGAGCGCAAACGAGAGCTGTAAGTCGACGTTTTTTTCTTCTTTTTTTTCTTAATCGAGACTGTTTTCCAGAGCCCTGGACCGACTAACGCGTGCACTTCTCGTCTCTTCCCAGGCCATTCCGCAAGAGCTCCAGCGCAACCATGGATTTGCTGTCATTACCGATGCCGACACGAGCGGTGCGCCCCTCGCCGATCTCCCTTCACCGACTACCGCCGGTGTTCTTGATGCGCCCCGAGACAAGGATGGAAAGGTGGTCAAGGACGGCGAGGACCCCTTGGACGGCGATGCCGCCTTTTCGAGGACCGGGTGGGCGCCGCGCTTCGGCTGGCCTGACCAGGGTATCCACGAGTGAAAGCTTACTGGATCATACCACCTGGCTAGAGGAGAGTCTTCCAGACAAATTTTACGGAGGTGAGTTGCTCCCTGCTTCAGGTGCCGAGACAGCGGGTGCTGCTTGGACATCGTGCCCTGAGTTAGAGTAAGTAGGCTAACTGATTTTTAGACTGGTATCACAATGCCGCCGTCATCGTCTTTGCCTGCCTGTTCTCTTGGCTTGTTGCGGTTTTGGGTGGAGGCTTAGGTTGGGTCTTTATCATCATCGCCTTTTGCGCCACCTACTACCGCACCTCAATCCGTCGCGTACGGCGCAACTTCCGCGATGACATCACCCGCGAGATGGCCCTCCGAAAGCTAGACACCGATACCGAGTCCCTGGAATGGATCAACTCGTTCCTCGTCAAGTTTTGGCCCATCTACCAACCTGTCCTGGCTCAGACCATTGTCAGCTCCGTCGACCAGGTTCTGAGCACCGCGACCCCGCATTCCTCGACAGCCTCAAACTCAAGACTTTTACCCTTGGCTCCAAGCCCCGCGCATGGAGCACGTCAAGACGTACCCCAAGGCCGAGGATGACGTCGTCATCATGGACTGGAAATTCAGCTTCACCCCCAACGATACCGCTGATATGACGGCCCGCCAGCTCAAGAACAAGCTTAACCCCAAGGTTGTCCTCGAGATCCGTATTGGCAAGGCTATGATTAGCAAGGGTCTCGATGTCATCGTCGAGGACATGGCTTTCTCCGGTCTCATGCGTCTCAAGGTCAAGTTCCAGATTCCCTTCCCCCATATCGAAAAGGTCGAGATGTGCTTCCTGGAACGCCCCACTATTGACTACGTGTGCAAGCCTCTGGGCGGCGAAATGTTTGGTTTCGATATCAATATCATCCCCGGTCTAGAGAGCTTCATTCTCGAGCAGATCCACGGAAACCTTGCCCCCATGATGTATGCACCCAACGTCTTCCCCATCGAGGTTGCCAAGATGTTGTCGGGAAGCCCTGTCGACCAAGCTATCGGTGTGCTCGCCATCACTCTCCACGGCGCCCAGGGCCTCAAAAACACGGACAATTTTGCCGGTTCCGTCGACCCGTATACCGTCATAACCCTCAATAGAAGGGCTGAGCTTGCCAGGACCAAGATGATCAAGAACACCGCTAACCCCCGCTGGAACGAAACCCACTACATCATTGTGACCACGTTCAACGATACCCTGGATATGCAGGTCTTTGACTACAACGACATCCGAAAGCACAAGGAGCTCGGCGTGGCCTCATTCCCTCTCGAAAACCTTGAAGAAATCACCGAGCATGAAAACGAGCGTCTCGAGGTCACTTCTGACGGCAAGGCTCGCGGTGTCCTCTCCTGCGATATTCGCTTCTTCCCCGTGCTTAGCGGCCAGAAGAACGAAGATGGCACAGAGGAGCCTCCTCCGGAGTCCAACCAGGGTATCCTGCGCTTCACCGTCGAGCAGGCCAAGGAGCTCGACGGCAGCAAGAGTCTTGTTGGCCAGCTCAACCCCTACTCTATCCTCCATCTCAACGGCCGCGATGTCCACACCACGAAGAAGCTCAAGCGCACCAACAACCCTATTTGGGATAATGGTTTCAAGGAAATGCTCATCACGGACAAGAGGCAGGCCAAGCTCGGTGTCACCGTCAAGGATGATCGTGATTTGGCAGGCGACCAGACCCTCGGAAACTACCAGATCAAGCTCGACGATTTATTGGATTGCACCGAGCAAGGCAAGGAGTGGTTCGTCCTGTCCAACGCCAAGACGGGCCGCGTCAAGATGAAGGCTCAGTGGAAGCCCGTTGTCATTTCTGGCGTCATGGCCGGCACCGGCGGCTACGTCACTCCCATCGGCGTTATGCGCTTCCACTTTATCCGCGCCAACGATCTTCGCAATTTCGAGGCCATGGGCAAGTCGGATCCATATGCGCGCGTGCTCCAGTCAGGTATCGAAAAGGCCCGCACCGTCACGTTCCAGAACGACCTCAACCCCGAGTGGGACGAGGTCCTGTACATCCCCGTCCACTCCGCTCGTGAGCGACTTACCATTGACGTCATGGATGCCGAGAAGATGGGTAAGGATCGCAGCTTGGGATTGATCGAAGTCCAGACCAGCAAGTACATTCACCAAGACGAAAGTGGCGAGTACATCATCCACGACGAGAAGGAGGTTCGCCAAGACGGTTTGCGTCTCCACGGCAAGGGAATCGAGAAGGGACGGCTTACCTACTCCGTATCGTTCTATCCTTGCGTCAACGTTGCCGACCCCGAAGAGGATGAGGAGGAAGCCGCCGAGTCCGCCGCCAATGGCACCGCTACTAACGGTTCCGCAACTAATGGCGCGGCTACCAACGGCTCTGCCGCTAATGGCGCTGCGGACAAGGCCGCCGCCCCGAGAATCTCGCTTGACGCCAGGTCCGTCGCGACAAGCAAGAGCCGAGCTAGCCTTGAAGCCGCCCCGGTCGCCCTCGCCGATGGCGAGGTTCCCAAGTCTCCCGTAACGCCCACTGTCTCATCCAAGAATGAGCGTCACGAACCCAAGAAGGTCCGCATGACGCCAGAGGAGCTTTTGAAGCACGAGTCGGGTCTCCTCATCTTCCGCCTCATGGATGCCGATTTCCAGAAGAGCGGCTGCCGTATTGAGGTGTTTGTGGATGACATGGCCTTCCCGTCCTACATCTCGTCTGTTGCTCGGACCCGATCCCACAAGTTTGAAGAAGTTGGAGATTGCATGATCCGTGAACTGGATTTCTCCCGCTTGACGCTCAAGTTGGCAGAGGGCAAGAGCGATAAGCACCGTGAAGGCAGCGACAAGGACGACGTTATTGCTCGTCTCAGTGGCAACACCCTCGATACACTAAAACAGTGCTTGGTAGGCCTCCCCGCTCCGCGCCATGTCCCGAACGCCTTGCCAAAGAACATGCTAACATATTCCGTCTACTAGAACAATCCCACCACTCTCAAGCTTAAAGATGACGAGGGCAACGTGCACAGCATCAAAATTAGCCTCAAGTACGTTCCCATCAAGATGCGGCTTGATCCTAGTGAGAGCATCAACAACATGGGTACCCTTCGAGTGGACGTGCTCGATGCCCAGGATCTCCAATCCGCCGATTCCAACGGAAAGAGTGATCCCTATGCCAAGTTCGAGCTCAATGGCCAAGAGCTGTACAAGACCAAGACCATCAAAAGACTCTCAATCCCTCCTGGAATGAGTACTTTGAGGTATCCGTGCCTTCTCGCACGGCTGCGAAATTCCGTGTCAGCGTCTGGGATTGGGATCTCGCCAGCCAGCCAGATCCCCTCGGTAGCGCCGGCATCAGCCTTGCCGAGCTGGAACCCTTCCGGCCAATGGAAACGAGGGTGCTTTTGGACGCCAAGTCTGGCTCCGTCAGGCTAAAGATGGTGTTCAGGCCATCGTACGTCACGCGCCAGCGCCAGGGCACGTCGACTTTCGCGGGCACTTTTGCTTCGGCCCCTGGTCGCGTTGTGACGGGCGTCGCGGGTGCCCCTATCAAGGCCGTCGGCGTTGTCGGCCACGGTGTCGGTAAGGGCGCTTCGTTTATCAAGCGCGGCTTCAAGAGCAAGAAAGACGATGACTCTAGTTCATCTACTCCTAGCATTCCCGAGGTACCGACCATCACCACCAATGGCGGCATGGGTGGCATGGGTGGCATGAAGCGCGCCACTGGCCTCTCTTTAGCAGATGCCGACGGTGACGCTCGGCCTAGCACTAGCCACGGCGGTATCCTAGGCCACTCCCGCACGAGGAGCGTTGGCCAAGCTTCGGTCCATAGTGTACTCCCTCCTGGTGTGTCGACGGGTACGGCCACCTTCACCGTCGTCTCAGCCACTGGCTTCCCCACCGAGAGCGACCTCTACGTCACCATCGCCCAGTCAGCACCCAAGCACAAGACTGTGGGCAAGACGAAGCACCGTGATGCGTCGGGTGGCATCTTCAAGTATGATGAGACGTTCAAGATCACCTGCCAGCCGGACGCTACCTTCCAAGTGCAAGTCAAGGAACACCACAAGATCCGAAGCGATAATGACTTTGGTGAGGCCATCTTCTTCGTTGACGATAGCAACTCTGGCCAAGACAGGGTGATCAAGGTCAATGAGGGCACCGTTATCCTTCGCAGCTCCTTCACCCTTAGTGAGTCTACGTTGGCGCCTACCGATAGCCCCAAGTCTGGAGGCCTCAAGAGGGGCTTTCTAAGTAAGCGAGAGTCTCGCAGCAGGGAAACAACACCCGCCATGGAATAAAAATTGGGGAAGAATATCTCATATACCTAATGCCTATAAGGTGGGGGAGGAGAGATGGGGAGATGGAGCGCGCTGTTTGACAGTACACTCACTACACCTCTCCGAGGACTAGAAACCTGGCGTGCTTCCCGGCTCTTTCCCCTTTGCGAACCAGCATATCACGCATGTCATGACTATCTATTCATTATCTGTCGTCTTGCTTTCCTCTTTTCCTTTGTTTCTTGCTCCCCTCCTCGTAGGGAGCGAACTACCTAGACATTCTTTTGCTTGTTTTAGTTTCTCTTTCTCTTTTTTTTCTCTCTCTGGTTTACCTTGAACCTAAATTCCCTTGAGTACTACCGGGACATCACGGACGGCTTGTTTACTACCAAAATCCAAACTGTTTAATATGTAAGAAGACTTCTTTTTCCCTCCCGGAACAATGGGATGGTTCGAATCTTTTGTATTGTTGAGTGCGTGTGAGATTGTTGGGAAATTGATATGTCTTGAGCCAAGATCTGCACCGAGCTGAGCTGGATAAGTGAAAGATATGGCTGCAGATGCCCACGCGTGGCAGATGCGGTGGTGCCCACGCGTTGTACAATCACGTGACTATTTCTTCGCCACCTTGAGCCACTCATGCAGCAGGCCAGACGCCACAGGTTGTGCATGACTGTTGCAGGAGAAGGTACGTGCCAGGCGGCAGCCTTGCCTAGTCAAGCAGGAACGGGCACAGGTAAGCTGTTCAAGGTGACGCGCTCAGAAGCTGCCTGAGCTCCAGAGTTCGCCCATCCATCCGCCCTAATCTGACCAAGTTTCGAACAAACAGCAACCACGTTGATCGCTCATTTCCATCGCACCTCTTCCTTCCCTTGAAGCCTCGCATCAAGGCCTTGTATTAAAAACGAACCTATTTCTTTTTCTTTCTCCTTTTTGCCCTCCCTTTGAAAGATTCGATAATAAACCTCTAGCCCGAAACGGTCGCCTCCCCTTTTCTTCCCGGTCGATTGAGGTTGAAGGCCGATTGTTGGATCGTCCGCGCGAGCCCTTTTAATCTAGACTTCTCCGTCACCTTCTCACTCCCCATTAACCGATCGAGATCCTTTTCTCGACGACGATTCTCGATACAAAATGGACGCTCTAGTGGCCAAGTATCGCCGTCCTGCGGCTATGATGCATGAGCGGTTCGGCGACGAGGAGGAGAATGATCTTATGGGATCTGAAAGCCCTGGGCTGTCCCTCAAGTTCGCTATGCCTCCTGTCACTCACGTACGTAAAACTAGCGGGTTTCCGATTGAATTGCTTTCCTTCTTTCTACTTGAAGTAGATGAAGCAGGCATGCAAGCAACATCAGATGGCTAACCTTGATATTTCGCCCACAAACAGCCTTCGGCCTGGCTCCGCTCCGCGACAGACGACCGATCGAACCCCCAATGCCCCATCAAGATTGCTCACGGTACCACCACCCTCGCCTTCCGTTTCCAGGGCGGCATCATCGTAGCCACAGATTCGCGTGCCACGGCGGGCAACTGGATCGCGTCCCAGACGGTCAAGAAGGTCATCGAGATCAACTCGGTCCTTCTCGGAACCATGGCCGGTGGTGCTGCCGACTGCCAGTACTGGCTGGCTTGGCTCGGTATGCAGTGCCGTCTGCACGAGCTCCGACACAAGCGCCGTATTTCGGTCGCTGCCGCATCCAAGATCCTCGCCAACCTCGTCTACTCATACAAGGGTATGGGTCTCAGCATGGGCACCATGTGTGCCGGTGTCACCAAGGAGGAGGGCCCCGCGCTCTACTACGTGGACAGCGACGGTACCAGGCTGGCGGGTAACCTCTTCTGTGTCGGTTCCGGTCAGACTTTTGCCTACGGTGTGCTCGACGCCGAGTACCGGTACGACCTGACGGATGAGGAAGCGCTGGAGCTCGGCAGCAGGAGTATCCTCGCTGCGACACACAGGGATGCCTACTCTGGTGGCTTCATCAACCTCTATCACGTTAAGGAGGCGGGCTGGGAGAAGCACGGTTTCAACGACACGAACCCCATCTTCTGGAAAACCAAGCTGGAGAAGGGCGAGTTCACCAATGTCACGAGCAATTTTGACTAAAGTGATACCGCTACGGATCTACAAGCCTGTCAGAAAAACTTTGGTCACGAACGCCGGGCTGTCGAAGAACCCAGGCTGGGTTAGGTACGGATTGGTACTAGCCACGATAAGAGCTGGGCTAGCAATTGTTGGACTGTTTCGATACTACTCGGTGAGGTGGCTTGTTGATAAGGCATTTCTTGTGCCCCTCTCTCGCATGATGCAAGTTGGCACGGATGCCCCCGCCTGGAGAGAACTAGAGGCAAGGGTGAGGAAGAGAATGAGGATCGTGGGACCGTGGTGGCGGCAGATGAGATTGGTGAAGGGTCGGACAACGACCAGTCGTGTACCATGTATTAACAGGACAAAGCCTCGTATACTATTTTCTTTACTCACATCCCTCGTCTGTCAAACTTGAAGTGAATGTCTGTGAATTGCCCATGTTGACAAGGTAGGAGGCGCAAGGGCCCAACACACGCCCGCACTTGGGTATCCGGCGCTGAGTGGAACTTGTATCACTACGATTGAAAAACGCACGCGTGGGCCGCATGTTCGGCCGACGCCAGCAATGCGAGGGGAGCAGGAAAGGAGTTTGTACGACGTCTTCAGCCGCCAGCGTTTGCGCCCACTGCGTGGAAAACAGGCATGAGCTATTGTTTCTAATAGTACAGCGGAATTCACCTTCTCCCCGGTGTCTGCCTTGTCAATCATGATCTCGAAGCGCGCGATGGCGATGCAGAGTGTGGAGGAGAAGTTGGCGGCCGAAACAACCGGAAGGCGGAGCAGCGGGTCCCTCCGTCCGCCTCGCCCTTCGGCTGCGTCTAGCCGGCACAGGTGATGCGCGGCAGGTAAAGCCCCCAAAGCCAGAAGCCCAAAGTAAAGATGAAAAGAGACGGGAGGAAGTATGTGTGTGTGTGTGTGTGTGGCTGAGAGGGATGGAGGGAGCAACCGTTATTTCCCCCTTCTCTTCTTTGTTTTTTTCCCCTGAAAAGATGGGGGACCTACCGGACAAAGAAGAAGCACCGCGCCGAGATGGTGGCGGAGGGGCCAAGAGGCCGAGTGGTGACGGGTTGGCCTCGCGGGATAAGAATCGAGAGGAAGTTCCGGATCCTTGAGGCGCGGGGAGTAGAGAAGAGGCGCGTTCTCCTGGTGCCTTGTCCCCCTCCCGAGGACTAACTCTTTTGCATTCGTTCTTTGCTATGATCTAGAATTTCCTTGGTTTCTTCAAGGATGACAAGCGCCTCGCGTATGGCGTGTGTGTGGTGGCTTCGCCCACCCCAAGTGCCGAAGATCTTCACATACATGTAGTCAAATGGGCGAGGAAGATGGGAGGGTATCATGGAAACGGCGCTGGTTGGTCTGTTAGCCCTTTCTCTTTCCTTCTTGGCCTTTCTTCTTTTGCTATTTCTGCCATTTTTCCTTGGGCCACGGACGGCCGCTCAAGCTTTGCGTTTATACCCGCCAAATGAAAGACGAACGCGGCAGGGCAAAACCGTGCCGGTTTGCTTGCGTGTGTGTGCGGGAGAGTTGGAGTGTTCAATGGCGGGGACGGGAGAATATGGTCAGAACTCTGTGGCAGCCTTTGGGATGCAGCACACGGCAACGCGAGCACCGCGCCACGAAGGTGGGTGCAGCTGTGAAACGAAACCAAAAGAGATCTCGGGATGGAGGGTCCGATTCCCTTACTGCTTCTTTTCGAGCTTTTTTTTTATCTTTTTGATTCCTTGTTTCTTTACCCCAAAGAGATGGGTCAAGGGACGGTGGATGGGTGGATTTTCGCATTTCGTATGTATGCGTTGCTTGCTTGAAGCTGGAGACATGTACATATGTGCACACAAAGGACTCACGGTTAATAGACAGAAGAGAGTCGACTCATGCAGACAACGTATTAACCTATTCCGACAGGCCCGGGCACCCTCAATGATAAGACTAAGGCAAATAAAATGATTGCGCTCATGATCCCTGGGGTCATGAATGAATTACATTTGATCATTTCAAGGCCGGGACGTATCAGAAGAGGCGAGCGCACTAAATTCTCATCAACTGGGCGGCCGCGTGTAACGCTCCAGGTCTGCCAGGCGAAAAAGGGAAATACCCGTGCAGGCAAGGGACTTGCCTCGTGCGGAGCTGGAACCTTTGGCTCAAGTCGGGTCGACAGGACAAGGGGTTCCCGCTTCAAGTCACACCAAACTAACCAGAGGCGGTGGTTTCCCAGGGGGTCTCGAGGTCGAAGAGTGTCTTGATTGCATTACCAAGCACAGTCCATCTACAACACGTCCCTATCTTAGATCGGGACCGATACTACTTGTATGATGTCTGTCATAATGGAGCCAGTAGAACATGGGAGTCTACCCTCCACTCCGTCACGTCACGATGATCGCGGTAGATGAGGGGATTTAAAGAGGAAGGATTCGTCACTTGAACGAGAGAATGCAGCTCAACCCCCACTCCAAGTCGTCCGCCGTGTGTGTGTATGTGTGTGTGTGTGTGCATGCGAGGGATGGAGGGAGAGGGTCAGGTCGGCTTACACGAGCGCTTACGATTGATCGAGGCAGGCTGCAACAAAAATACCTTTTGTCAAACAGCCCTCTGCTTGAATTCCAACAGCTGTATTCTGCTCCAGGAAGTGGTTTTAATCCACTTTCAGGCTAAGCCAGGATCGGGCGTCATACGCGCACATTGGCTTTTGATTGGGTGGCCGAAGCTGCAGCTCCGCCTAATTCGGTTGTGGCTGTGGAGCGTTGGCGAGGACCTGCGCATGGTAGCGACAAGGAGAGCGCACGAACCATGCCACCAGGAGACCCAAACAGTGCTCTCGTCGGCGACTCCAAATCGTCAGAAGTGGAAGCTATTTTGGAGAACAGAGAGATGGAAACATCGATACCTCTCCCTTCCGATGGATGCAGAATTCTGCGCACCTCATACGCACCTCGCGTCTATTTCGAGAACCTGGGCAGGCAGTTTACCTCCCCTCCCCTCACGTTTCACACTTAGACAATGTCGATAACATGGCATAGCTTCTTCCGCACACCTGGTGGTACAACGACAAAGACAAGATTTTAGCGATTAGGGAGGATGGTGGGAAGGGATGTACGGTAATAATCATGAAGCACAGGCGAACATTTTCGCATACCGTAGATCTCCTCTTACCTGACGATGATTTTGAAATAGGGGTTATCGAGTCAAGAGGTCGCCGGATCTGCGCTTGAGGTTGGGTGGTACAGGATTCGCGGGCAAACGAATATATATGACAGGCGCAGAGGCAGATGGTGCTGTACGAGTAAAGGCGTGGCTCCGCCGTCGGAGAATGACGCATTAGACGAGGGTTCGTAGATCCCGCGGAATAGTTTCATGCCGACGAAGCTTTCTGAGGGGTGCCTCTTGGTTTTCGTATAAGCAAGAGAGTGGTCCGAAACAGGGCTCCTACTTCAGTGTTAGAGGTCGCAGTATACTGATGCTGGCGTGTGCTTGCTCGAGGTTTCGTAGGGCAGGTTCTCAACGAATACGAAGACTCCGTGCAGTTCGGCCAATCGTTTCGAAGAAAGGTACGAAGTAGGCGTTGCCAGCGTAGTCATTGACATCAACACCTAGAGAGAAAGCTGGGGACTTCTGCTGATCAACTTCGTAAAGTGTAGGATTTAGCCGATGATGTTTTCCAGCATGCCGGGAGAAGGTGCCTCGCGCGATTGATTGATCGCAAGTTGACCTCCCACAGCCGGTTTCTCAGGGAGCAGGCTGCCGTTTCAAGTAATAGATGCGCTACTGGCTGCACCGACCTTGTTCTAAGCTGGAGATCTCAGTCCAGAATAATAATACCGTGTGCTAAACTTGGCAGGTAAAGCACACCCCCAATCCGATTTGAAATGCTTGACGGATCCTGTAAGCATCATAAATCACCTATCGGGTGCCTATTTTCATTGTTTCCATTGAAAGGAAAGAGAAGAGCGAACAAGGTACCGAGGCAGGGCCTAAGAATGTGTAGCAGCATCTTCACCAGTGAGAAAAGTCTACAATGATCCATGTAGTCTACAGATCCATTGTATCCATTGTATGGTGGGGGAATAGTGAGTGTCCAGCGACAAGTTTGGCTACGGTGAGCAAGAGGCGTGCCCAACCTCCTTTGGGTATCTCAAGGAGAAATTTACCAAGAGCTCATGAATGAATCAGAGGTCGAAGCCAAGGGTCTGGTTGCTTTTGCTCTCCCTTGTTGGGCACGATCAGTGCAACCGCAGCATTCAGAAGGTTCCTTGACCAGGGTTGACGAAGAGGTTGAGAAACGCCATTGCACAGCCCCGCCCCCAACCTTGCCATCATCGGCGCTGTGATTCCCCGCTCCTCCCTCTGCAAATCTTGATCAAGGTAAAATCCGACAGGAGGGTCGAACGAAGAGGAGTGGACGGGCTCCCTGCCCATTCGTCCCAATGTTGGCCTCCCAGCAAACAGCGGCAAGAGAGGGAGAAGGAAGCAACTAGGGAAAGGGGGATGAGGTGTTGGCTGCTTAGAGCTGATTGTGGAGGCTGGACGCTAGGCCGGCCACGACCAACCGACTGGGTGCGACGAGGGCACATATGCATGTAGGCATACATCCATCGATTCAGCTTTCGCTCAAGTCGGTTCCGGTGATTTTGTTTCTATGACAGCCAGCCTGGCCAAGCGGATATCTGTCGTCGATCCTGGATGACACTGAAAGGGGGTAGAAAGCGAGATCTATTCGAGCACTTGTCGGTGGCCTTGACCTAACTACTTGCAGATAGTTCCCAGACCTTGGCGGGTTTAGTGGCTTTTTCCAGTTGAGTCTAGAGGGAGTATCGAGCTATGATAGGGCGAGGAGCCGCGTGGCACAAAGGTTTGGCGGCCCACCGTTGTCGTGCCTTCCAGCCCTGAGAGCCACCAGCGACTTCCACTTTTAAGGTAACCTCATCATCGTTGATTCGTTCTTACCTCGGTACTTTGGACGAGCTTCCTCACTCTCAGCACGGGTCTCATCCACGGAGTCAAGTAGTGTACACGTTTGATACCAGTGTACACTATGTAGTTCAGCGTGGCTGGTTCCTCGTTAAGCAATTGGTAGAAAGGTGGGCCTGAGCAGACGATGTTCAAATAGGATTGACCCATCCATTCCATCTAATCCGTGGAGATGTGATGGTGGGTGTCTTTGGCGGCAGAGCCAACTACCTACACTCCGCACTGTTTTCCCCTGCCGCTCTGTTGCACGACAGGCCGATCTCGTTCAGATCGATCAATGGTGTCTTGAAGCCAGCGAACGACGACGCACTGCACAGTCAGGGAGGCTACTAACCCCAATTGATCAATATAGAGGAGGTTCTGACGGGTGTCTAGCCTCGGCGAGGCTCTCAGAAGTGGCCGCGCTAGTGCAACCTTCGGCGCTTCTGCTGGCGCTCATGTGTGCACACAACATCGCGCCCGCATAAGTGAGGGAGACCGTCAGGGTGGATTGGGACTGGAGAAATTCGGGGGCAGGTGGTCCCTGGAAATCCTTCCTCCATTTCCCCAAGATTCTTCATCTCAGTGCACCCGCTTTCCGACTTTCCCGACCGTCGTTTCGCCCTCAAATGGCGGGACAGCCTTGTAGGGAGAAAGTAGGGTTGGTTCTGGTCTCGACTGCCCCGGAAGCCCTCCTTCCCCTGGCAGATCCGCACACCAAATTTTGGTTTAAGCAGCCAAGCAAATTTGATGCTGACGGGACCAGCCTCGCACGCTCAGCAGCGCGCTGCCGGTCAATGCCTCGATGTGTAGTGCCGTGGAGATCATTGATATTGATCAATGGCTGGCCCAGCCAAGTACCTTGCGAGTACCGGCTAGGGCTCACGTTGAAGCCCACGTCAGCCAGGGTCCGGGGTAGCGTCGGTGTAGTTGTAACCTTGACCCTCCATTAAGCCACCAATCGATCCTTCCCGCTGTTCCCTGCCACCACCCTGATTACAGCCGGGCCAAGCACAACTGGAGAGCAGCCAAGCCCTGTCGAAACCATCTAAACAACGGGGGAGCGGGTTGAAGTTGTGTTTTTTCATCAACAGATCAATACAACGACGATTGCAACGCCCGGCAGGGACACTACTAGCTGTTGTCGATGGTCATGATCAATGTCGATACCGATGTCGATGTCGATGTCGATGCCCTGGACCTCGTTCTCGTTGCCAGCGCCCGCCCCTGTCTCGTTATCAGCGGGGAATAGCGTCGTTGACCAAGAGCACGCCAAAGTGCCCCGATGAATCCTTGATGTGACTTTGTGTCTGACAGCTTACAGGCCATGCATCAATAGCACAGGCAAGCAGCACTGAAAAATTGGGACTGGGCAGCCAGCCAGCCAGTCAGCCGGATATTACATTCCTCTCCCGTCGCGTGGGTATAATGCATAGACTGGGGCATAAGGATATTGTCCACGCACACTGGCTGGCCCTATAATCGGAGCAAGGGCCTCTTGAAGATCATTGCATCAACCGATTGCTCAATCCTCCCTCCCTCCCTCCCTGCCCCTCCCCCGGCTTTGGCTCTGGTTCTTCGGGCCCTCTATTGTTCTCGGTTCCGCTCCGCCACGGGCTGTGTAAGTCAACCAACACAAGCAGCATCTGCACCTCGTCTGCTGCAAACTACCAATATAATAGATACTGTCTCGTCCCAACCCACTTGGGGTTTCGCTACTTTTGGGTCCTTTTCTCTCTTTCTCCCCTCCTCTCGCTTCCACTCTATCACTTCTTTTTGTTTCTTTATTTTTTTCTTTCTTTCTGGGCTTCTTCTCTGTTATAATAACATAATCTTTCTGTTCCCTGCCTATCTCCATCTCTCGACCTAGTCCAACAGCTCACTTTGCCACACCCACCTGCAGCCGATCTCCCTCCACCCAATCTCGACCGCTCACGGGGCGAATTCGCAACCAACGATACCTGTATACGGTCTCCTCCACCCACTAAGACGGCCGACTCGTCTGCCGCCCTCTTTACGGGGCCTCGTAACGAATGCTACCACTGTGCTTTCGAGTCTAGAGGACTCTTATTTTCCTCCGTCTGCGATTTTCTTCTTTTCCCGCGCCTTGAAGCGCGAGCCATCGTCGTCGGAACGTCCCGTGGTGATATAGTGCGAGTAACGACTTTCGCGCCACCATGCCGCCATCTTTGCATCGTCGAGAGGAGTCGACGGCTTTGAAGATTGGGCTTATATCCGTTGTCATAATAGCAATCCTTTCCTTGATGGCCTTGGTCATTTACCTCACCCTTGGCCGCCTTCGGAACCAACAATATCTAGAGGCCTGCAAAAGAGATCCTTACCTGACCAGGAGAGAATTTTCTCGTCGGCGGAAACTAAGTGCAGCTCAGCGAATCGAGGAAGAAGAAGATCAGCGCATGTTTATTTTGAGAAAAACACAATCCTATAGCCGCATGTCAAACCGGGACGAATGCGATGTCGTGGACAATCACAGCAGTCGAAGCGGCGGCCAGGAGACACCGAGAAAGTCTGAAGAATCCCAGGTTAACGACGCCGACCCCGAAAGGGAGATGAAGGCCTGGGAAGCGGGTCTCGGTCAAGAGCAGGAACAAGTGTTAGGGCAGAATAGGCCGTTCCTCGGCCCTCATCCAGCCATGGTTGAAATATCACGGTCGAGGCCCTGCCTGAAACCGCAACCCACACTCGGCGGTCAAGCTCACTCACACGCACGCCCCTCTTGGCCGTCCCCGATTCCGAGGATGAGTCCGACCAACCGCCAAAGACGAGACAAGGAACGGCGCCCCGAGATGAGAATTTGGTAGCCTGTGAGCCGCTTTGGGAGAGACGCTGGAGCACCCGTAGGCATGCGAGCTACCAGAACTTGGTTTCGAGGGAGGCGTCGCCCACCCCTCCTCCTTCGTCTTCCTCAAAAGAGACGTAGGCATGGCGGCGGCAGCAGCTCTGTCTCCTACGGGCCAGATCCTTCATGTCGCATCAGGCGAGGTCAAGGCTCTCGAAATCAAACACATCATGGTCGCGCCCTCTATGAGAGTCCGTGCCGCGTCCATGGAACCCCTTGGCCCTCGTCGACCATCCCCTCGACCATCCCCTCGGCCCACCCCATCTACCAGCAGCTCCATCAATTCAATGATGTTATCTAGCCCGCCCCCGAGTGGGCCCCTCCCGGCCTTGCCCGTCTCTGGCACTCGCACCCGATCCTACTCAGCCACACCCTCCCCATTCCCCAATCTTGTCTCTCCTCCGCCACCAGCAGCCCGCCTACCCTTTACCTCACCACGAACGGATGGCTTTCTCTCCCCAGAGCCAGAGCTTCACGCAAACTCGGTCCCCGCCAACGCGAGCGTGCTCCCTCGTGGGATCGGCCCCAGAGGCCGCGGCAGCGGTCTTCGGCAAACGACACGCCATTCACCGTGGCCTCGTCGCAACGTATCCGCTCCTTGTCCCCCAGCGTGGTGCCTCGGAGGAAACCTGTGCCTAGCAGGACCCCCACACCTAAGCCATCGTCTGCCTCCCTTGCCTCCGCCGCTGGGCCGCCAGTCAATCTCTCCGTCAGCCGGCGACTCTCGGTCTCTTCATCCATCATGGCGACCCCGATCGAACTAATCGCCAGGGTTCCCCTCCCTACTCCACGCGTTCCTCTCCCCTCAAAAGAGAAAGCCCTCCGCTGGCTTTGAAGACGAGGCTACGATTGTTGCCGAAAATACCCTCGTGTTTCCCGAAAAGGCGTACATGGTCTCGCCTAGCCCCGTACCCCAAAACCCTCCTGTGAGGCCGGAGGAGCCTCATCGCGTCCCAAGCGAGGTCCAAACTATGTCAGCGGCCCGCCGGTCGCCCCCTCCCCGCGCCACTCAAGCCCGTACCTGGCTCGCAACACCCGAACGCCTGGAAAAAGAACTCGAGCGGCCAAGGGAAGCTGACAAGCCTACACAGCAGTGGCACCCCACAGAGCGAGAAGAGTCACACGGGGCCAGATTTTCTGAGGAGTCGGAAGAGTCAGAAGAGTCAGAAGAGGAAGAGCTGGTTCAGTTTAGGGGACCCAATCTGCTCGTAGCCCCATCTCCCGAGCCGACCCGACCCCAGGGCCTCAGACAGACGCAGTCACACCAATATCTTCCAGTGCCGGCCACGCGAAATCGATCTAACTCGAATGAGGATGGCAACCGGCTTGGGCAGCACGTCCATGGAAGTGGAATGCAGCAGGACGCGGCGAGTCGCCGACTCCGTGCACGGTCTTTTGATAATCGCGCCACCATGGCCCAGGGAAAATGGGAGCTTCAGGTGTCTATACTTGACCAGACTGGGGCCGGTTTTAGGCGCTCCTCTCGGTCGCCCTCGCCATCTCCTGCAGAAACGTCCGGCGAGAACGAGCGAGAGCAGCTGTCCGTGGAAACTCGCGAACCTTCGCAGACACGGTCGCGTTCCACCGCATCTTCTCGGGAAGTCCCTCCTCTACGGACGACACCCTTCACTACCACGCCGCCTACGGCGTCTCATTCTCCGGACCCTCAGACCGCCTACTCCTCCTCGAGCTCTACCTCGATTGCTTCGCCGCCCCAGCCCCCGACTCCCCGTACCCCGCAAATAGGCGGAGCTGCTGCTCTCTGCCACGCAAACTTTGCCAGTCCGGCCAAGGTCAAGCTGCTAGCCGAAGCCCCCGAAGTGTTCCTTATAAGCCTTCGGCCCCGCCGCTTTTCTACACTTCTGCGCCTATGCCCACCTCCAACGCATCCCCGCCGTTGTTTTCCTCGCCTGATTATGCCGCTGCCCACAGACTCGCCCATAATCCTAGCATGCAATATACCGGACCAGCACGACGATCGTATATCGAGCTCAACTACGGGCGCGATACCATGAAGGAGTCTTTTGGGTCCACGGCGAAGCCTGTGCGAAATATCCAAGAGGCGGAACTATCCAGCAGACTCTCGGGGCCCCCAGACATGCCCGCGTTCTTCTAATCACAAAGCCACCTACTTGTGGTAAATCTCGACACATCTTCTCTATACCCATACGCCGCCACACTGGCATGTACAACTTTTTGTTCCAACCCAACTACCACCCTCGGCGATGCGTTCCCTTTTGAAAAATGAACTAAATGCCACCAACCACCCATGTGTATTCAACAATACTTTTGCCTTGATTCTCCCATTGAGGGGCTTCCTTCTTCTCATTTCTTTCCTCTCTTTTAGACCTACAAACTAGCATTATACCAGGGAAAGGCGTTTTTTAAGGTTTTGTGGTTCGAGGAACCAATGGGGTGGAAGCGGATTGGACTGGAAAGGGTTATGAAAGGCAAGGCATGACGGCGTTTTATATAGCCATTTGCTCCTCATATTATGAGAGAAAGGACACAAAGGACATGATTTTGTTTTATATTACCGATCGCAAATACAACAAGCATTCAAGTCTAGCTTCGTACGTGCCAAGTAAAGAGTTTTCCTTCTTTTTCTTTTTCATCCTCAAAAACCAGCGAGGGGAAGTGAAAGGCTCCCGGGACGACTACACGCTTTCCTTCTTCCCACAAATCAGACACCCATGTTTTTTTCTTGCGCAACGACCAATGGATATTGACCTCTCACGCTGCCAATTCGTTGGTGATCTCGACGAAACCTTCCCACTGCTTCCAAGCCTCGCCGCTCTTGAGCGCCCAGCGGGCACGCCTCACACCTTCCTTCCAGCGCTGACCTCCGGGACCTCGTTCGGCGATTACGGCGCCATCATCGCCGGGGCCCATAGCGCTCTGGTCGGCCTCGCAGATGCCAGAGATGACGAAGAGGGCGGCAGTGTTCATGAGGACAAAGTGGAGGAGGGGGTGATCGTCGGGCAGCTCGTTGTGAAGGATCTTGTGAAGGATTTCGGCGTTTTCGCTAGGTTCCTTGCCGGACGAGACGGTGGAGAGGGCGTGTGCCTCGAGGCCAAAGTCGGCGGGCTCGACGGTGAAGTGCTCGATGGTTATGTCCTTGGGGTCGGGGCTGCTGCCGAGAACGAGCCAGCAGTAGGTCTTGCCGGCGCACGAGACCTCGTCGAGCTCCTCGGCGCCGCAGACAATGAGGGCCTTTTGGGCGCCGGCGATGCGAAGGGCCTCGGCAAAGGCCGGGCCGAGCTCACGGCGGGCGACGCCGATCACGCGGGCCTCGAGCACGTCCTCGACGGGGTTGGCGAGGGGCCCAATGTTGTTAAAGATTGTGCGCCAGGGAGCTGCTTGCGGATGGGGGCGACGTAGCGCATGCCGGTGTGGAAGACGGGGGCGAAGAGGAAGGAGTAGTTTGTGCGGGCGTAGATGGCGTGGATGGTGGTGGGGGTCACGGCCTCGATGACGGGGCGCGGGGCCGCATGTTGTTGATGAGGTCGGCGGAGCCGGACTTGGAGGTGGAGGCGCGGTTTCCGTGCTTGGAGACGAGGAGGAGGGAGGAGGCGATTATGGAGGCGGTGGTGGAGATGTTGAAGGTGTTGTGGGAGTCGCCTCCGGTTCCGACGATGTCGCACTGCGAAAGGGGGCGGCGCGGTCGATAGGTTAGCTGGGTTGTGATCTCGAGTGGGTAGGCTAGGAGGAAGGAGGGAGGACAGAGTAGACGGCAGAAAAAAAGAATAAGAATGAAAAATGAAAAGATTAAGAAAAGAAAAATACTCACCAGTCCACCACGGTATTTGCCGCCAGCCCTGTTCTTGAGCTTGATGACCTCGTTCAACGCGGGGACGTCAATCTGGGCGGCGGCGAGGCGCATGACGCGGGCGCACTCGGCGAGCACGTCGGCCTGGAGATCGAGGGTCGTGAAGTGCAGACATATGAGGAGGGAGGCGGCCTGGGCGTCGGTGACTTGGTTGGTGAAGAAGTGGGCGATGGCCTCGGCGATGCGCTCCGGGGTGACGTGCGGGTGGCCGCCGGGCCAGAGCTGCTGGAGGAGGGGCTTGATGTCGACGAGGGGCGGGGTCGTCGACTCGGACGGCGGCGGGACGGAAGCCATTGCTGCTCTGAGACCTCGCGGGTTCTCTCTCTCTCTCTCTCTTCTTTCTCTAGAGGTAGGTGTGTGTACCCGAGGAAATGGTTTGTCGGGTTCAAAGGGACTGAAAGAGCGTGGGTGATTGTTTGGGGAGGAGTCTCGAGCCGTAGCCAAAGTTCCTCTTTGGAGGGGTCCAGAAATCGCGGTGCCTTTTTTCCCGCTCTTCGTTCTTTTTCCCCTGGGGGACCCTATGACGAAAGCTTATTTTTGATGTGAGTCAAATGGCAAAAAAACACCGACAAAGGCGTGGAGGGGAATAGAGGGGCTCCTTCCCCACCCCCGCGTCGAGCTTCTCATAATAATCATCAAGCGTATTTGGCCAGGCGATGCGGCAGGCATACACGGAGAGACCTCTCATTCGTTGACTTTGGCTAATGAAGATTTGCGCCAGTGAACGCGCAGTCGAGCGCCATGATGGAAATGCCGGGAGTCACAGGGCGCAGGGTTCGATGTTCGCCCAAGTCACATTTGGAAATGGGATCCGCGATCTTGAGCTCGATTCCCGATCGGAGGCAGGTACAATCTTGGAGCTTCCTGTGCTCTTGCCCGGTTTAGTAGCTGTGACCTTTACTGGTGGTGGTGCTAGAAGAGTCTGTCTCCCATCTCCATTTTCAGGTTACGGCAACGAGAGAATTGTTCAATGTTGTAAATGTGCAGCTTTGCGCTGCGTCTCTGGGTGGGCTATCCATCTCTCCGTCGTGAGTTGGATAACCCTAGATCGATCTGGCTGTATTGTCACGACACTCGTGGGCATGCGCCGCTTTTTAAAGGCTACACGACCGGTTTGCGACGGATACCGAAGAGAGCGGCTTGTGACGGGCATCCGTCGTTTGTGTTTGGCCGGGGAGGAACAAGCTCAGTCGGGATATAAACGGTGATGACCGCATGTCCTCGATACGGCATCCACCGCCGAGATTGCCGGTTTATGGAAAGGGTCAATCGGGTCCGGACCTGGTCCGCGCTTTCCCGTCACTTTTCTTTTTCTCTTTAGTTCCGTCGAAGCGCATTCCCTGATGCCCACCGCAACGTATACGAATTTGCCACCCTCACAGGCTCCCACCACTGGAGAAATCTGAAGGGGTCTATTTAGAGGCTGTAGACTGCCGCTTTGGACGGCGGTGAGTCCTTGATCGAATCCACTAATTACTCCGCCCAGGCCAGAAAGGGAAAAAGAGCCACCACCCCACCAGATCCTTCCAAGCAGAATGGATCTAGTGTAAGACTTCAGTCCAGCGGTCGTTGAAGATACAAGGGAGCCGACGCATGTTGGGATTCCCTTCCTCGCGGCCATGGACGGGGAATCTTCAACGCAAAGCAACATACAAGCCCTGAAAGCAAACAAAGGTTCCCTAACTTGTGGTCCTCTTTTATATTCCGAGCCCTTCTGCATTTCCCCCTCACCTCCCGGCCGGGTGGCGTTTCGCCCGCGTGTGCCTGGGCTGAAGCGTGGAAACGCGACCCGCTCCGCACCTTGAGTCACCAATGGCCCTCCGAGTCACGGCCTCGGGCCGCATGGCGTCATCCCCCCATTCTTGACCTTTGCTTTACCCTCCGCACCACGTTCCCGTCTCCCCCATTCCAACGCGGCGCCTTGCGGACTACACGCACCTTTACAACCACCTCTAAGCAGCGCTTGCACACCAGCACCCCCTCTTCACGATGCCCTCCCCGCCCACGATAGATCGGGCTGCCGTGACCGGCTTCCACAACGGCGCCCTGTATGATGCACACCGGCCTTCGTACCCACCCGAGGTTGTCGACGCTCTACTGACCGAGCTCGGCATCGCGGGCCGTCAGGGAGCTAGGGTTGTCGAGGTTGCTGCAGGGACGGGCAAGTTCACGGTCCCCCTAGCAGCCCGGCCTGAGGGGTTCGAGATTCGCGCGGTGGAACCGCTGGCGAGCATGAGAGACCAATTGGCGGCCAAGGGAATATCTAATGTGGAGGTCCTAGAAGGGTCGGCCACGTCCTTGCCCGTCGAGGATGGTTGGGGGATGCTGTTATCGTTGCTCAGGTAGGGCATCCCGGAAATGAGCTGAGATATCAAGGCGTAGTGCTGACTCTATTCCTACGGCGCAGGCATTTCACTGGTACGAATGGGCCCCTTCCGCTAGAAGAAGGCGGGACGAGAGGTGTGGTAAAGTATGAATGGCGGCGCTGATTACGTTTGCCCTAGGTTCGCCAACGTCGAAGCACTCGCCCAACTCAAGAGGGTTGTCAAGCCCGGGTCCTCTCTGGCACTCCTGTGGAACATTGAAGATTGTTTGTTTCCCTATCTCTTTTGAACTCAAGAAAGAACGAAAAAAAGAGGCAGTGACTGGGAGGTTCGAATAACCAGTACAAGACGGTGGATGCTAACCCATACACCGGATTTAGACAACAAACCCGCGTCGTGGAAGGCTACGACGCCATGGGAGCAGAAGCTGAATGAGCTCATCTTCTCCCTCAAACTAGATGGCCAACCCCGTTTCCGTGATGAGCGCTGGAAGGACGTCTTCCTAGACAAGACAGGCGACAATGGCAAAGTCAAGGAGCTATTTGTCACGCCTATAGGTGAAAAGGTCTTCCGGTGGACCGTGTGGCTGTCCGACGAAGCCCTTTTGCTCAGGCTGCGGACGCTGAGCCAAGTGGCTATCCTGCAAGGAAAGGACAAGGAAGACTTTGATAGCAAATTTTGGGATATAGTCAAGGCTCCCGAGGCAGAGAGGAACGAACAAGGCCTGCTTCCTTTGCATGGAGGCACTGCGGTAGCTTGGACGAAGAGGGTAGACTGATGGCGCGGCTCGCCGCACGAAGATTTCCCATATAAAGCAGTTTTTGCGATAGATCCATAGATGCATAGGTCTCTAGTCTGACGGTGAATCGATTTCGACAGTTTGTTTTTCTTTTCTTTTTCAACTCATTACCATTCGTTAATCGTAGACTACGCTTGCCCAAATTTGCAGCTTGTCCCCCTCGAGGTTGCCCTTCCTCAACCTATGCAAACCCAGCTCTCTAAAACCCACCCCTTGCACCATCTCTCTTTAGAAACCTGGTGTTATCACGAGTCTGCTGAGATGTACATGACTTTGGAAAACCTTGTCAGTAAGACTAATTCATCTAGTGGGGAGAAGTCTCCCTCTCGGAAGAGGAGATTGCGAATAAGCTCACCATTGTTCCCCTCACAAATGCATCACCGTAGTTTCTCCTCTTGACGCCGTTCACATACTCTACCGTCTTCTCAAGAGCAATGTTCATGTATCCGTCCACCGACTGGAGCTCGCCTGGTGAGATAGTTAGAAGCTGAGCCGGCCCCGGGTGGGTGACCCCCTTCCCTCTAGCCCTTGCAAGGATCGGAAGCTAATCTTATGCTTGAGGAACCAGACTGTCTGGAGGGGCAAGTTCAATATAGGACTTGCCTTTATACACGACACCAGAGTTCAGCTTCACCGTCACGGGGTTACCGATGATGTCGCTGAGAAAGCTGGAGGGATCCTTGCCCTCTCCTTGAGAGATGCCGCCGTTCTCCATCTTTTCTGTACTTTTTGCCTGGGGGTGTGTATTGCGCGTGTCGTGGCGGAGAGTGCGGTGAAGACTGGGTTTGATAGCGTAATGGGAGTCGCCAAAAGATGCGATTTGGTACTCAAGCAGAGGTTGGAGTCGATGAATCAAACGGCCGCTGTTTTGTGAGATTTGCCGACTTCTATCCAGTTTGCGAGAGCTGCCGCCACACACTGTGAAATCACCCCGCCATATTGTTCATCTTCGTTGCCCAGCACTCTCAGCTCAGCCTAACCCCACACCGTGCCGACAACGAACACCAGCCACAAAGAAACGAAGAGAAGCCACAGGCAATGTATGCGCACAGTGTGTCTTCGAGGTGCTTCCACACCCGCCGCTCACTCTTCGACTTTGTATGGGCCCAGCGGAAGTTAGCGGCGCGCTGAGCAACCGGTGTACTCGACTAACTTTGATTTATTTGCTTCCTCCCACTTTGTCTGCATCACCAAAACAAAGGGGAAAATAATACTAGGGCGGAGGAAGCAAATAGGCACCACACCCCAATTCGCGCGGCGTTTTGCGATGAGAATGGAGGCGACACTGCCTCTCATTTCACCTGTTCGCACCACTTTCGCCTTCTTCTTGTGAATCTCTCTCTCTAGCCACGAGACGGACTATTCGATAGCGCATCACCATTAACCTCAGCTATGCAAGAGCTTTGCTTATATTTCATATATACCCTGTAAAAAAGATTCAACCCTCAGCCTCGCCCACTCCCCGCGCGCGTGAAGCTTTGGCGAGGCGAACCCGCCTTCCACGCCAGCACCAACCCCTTCTCCTATCGCCTGATAGCGATTCTTAACGCACACCTTGCTTGCTCTAAAAAAATCCCCAACGAAGACCATGAGCGAAACCGGGAATAAGAAGCGCCTCCCCTTCAAGCCCACGGCTCTTAGGAAGGCCGCCTCGCCAGAGCCGACGGAGAAGGCTGGTGGCGAGGATGACGATCTCGCGCTCTTCAAGCGGTCGCGCGAGATGCGGTCTGTGGTAGCAAAGGAGGCGGAGCGCCGCGCGCAAAGGGAAAAAGCGGAACGTGATATGCGACGGCGGCGTCGACCGGAAACAGACGAGGAGGATGCGGATCAAGGGTCCGATCCTGACGTGCGGTCTCCGGGCTCATCGCAGAAGAAGCGGAGGACTTCTGGGGTATCGGAGCGGGATGAAAAGCTAACTATGTACGGATTGAACTCGAATTGGAGTTCCTCCCCCTCCCGCCTTCCCTCCCACTGCGCTCTTTCGCAGATAACCTCTCTCTCCCACTCTCGCGAGCGCGCTAACCTCGTTCTCTCAAATGTAGACATTCGCCCTCCCCAGGCGCGAGGCAATTCCAGCGTAACCCGAGCGGAGTATCCCAAGTTGCGACCGACGTCTCCTCGGGCTCCTTTACGATGAGCGGGGAGGTCCTGAGCGCGCCGAGTACACAAGCGATTCCCGATATCCTACCAGCGGGCGCGAGCGCGAGCCCCACAGGCCCCTTAACCTCTACAACGAGGATCCTTCCTGATAAAAATGACGACGACGACGATCTCGTGATATTGAGTTCTTCTCCTCAACGCCCCACCAAGGTGGAAGAGGAGGACCTGTCTATAACCGGGGACCACGTGCAGTCGTCGTTCCATGACGAGGAGGACGACCCTGAGCTGCAAAAATACGTTCAGGATGCGCAGGAGCGCAAGCGCCGACTCGAGGAAGAGCAGCAGCTGGAGCAGGCGGGCATCAAAAAGAACTTTACGGTCGAGGTCATATCCACCATACCAAACACACACTTGGCGGGGCCCTGCTTGTTTAAGCATTTTGCCGACGACCCCCTCAAGCAGGTGCGGGAGACGTGGTGCGCCGTCATGCAAATGCACCGGGTCGACATCAACGCCAGCGACGTGTTCCTCACGTGGCGGGGAACCGCCTCTACAACACCACGACCCTGCAAGGGCTCAACATCTCGGTGCTGGGCAACAACCTTCTCTACTCTCCCAAGGGGAACCGCGAAGGGTTCAGCGACGACCGGAAACGGGTCGTGCTGGAGGCCTGGACGGAGGAGCTGTTTGACGAGCACCAGCAGGAGAAGGAGCGCGAGCGCCAGCGGCTCCTCGGGGAGCTCGACGACGAAGAGGAGGACGCCGCCCCTGCGCCGGAGCCGGAAGAGCGGATCAAGGTGACGATGAGGCCGAAGCAGGGCGAGTCTGTCAAGGTGTCTGTGACGGCTTCGTCGTCGGTGTCGGCGTTGATAGAGAAGTTTAGGGCCAAGAGGCACATACCAGTCGAGGTCAAGATCTCTATTCACTTTGACGGCGAGACTTTAGGGGAACAGATGACCTTGGAGGATGCTGATATTGGTGATGAAGACCAGGTGGAAGTGCACATGGGATGAAGCGGCTACACTATCCGTCCTAAACACTTTCCCCTTACGTTTCCTCTTTCCGTTCTTCATGTCCTTCCTCCTTTCTCTTTACGCTGCTTTCCCCTCTTTCCTATTTCCCTTCTAAGGGTTTATATCCCAACCATGACGGCCCAGCGAGGAGGAGGGATGTTGATGATTCAGTGGATGCTGTTTGCTGTTTGTACATGAGTCTCGCTTTATGACAAAAGACCTAAGATACCCCGCCCAGTATACAAGAAGTTAATGCGTCCTCCGAGTCCCTCACCTTTTAACCTACGAGACCTGCTCCTCATAAGAGGTCGACAACTCAGAGTCAACCAACCTCTAACGTGGATGTGGATATGTAGGGCATGGTGTGTATGTGTGTATGGGCGGACCTGTCTGCCAGCTGTTCACCGGCTCCTAGTTGCTTCCTTGTCGTGGGCTTTGAGTCAACAAGGTACGCTACGCATCCTTCGCCGTCGATCACGGTGTCAGTGTCCATGCAAACCGAGTCGCTTCCGGTTAGGGAAGATCAAGTCTGAGGGTTGCAGGACAAGAGGGAAAGTGTGGTGTGATGAGGGAAAAGGAGAGCGCTACGAGCCTGGTCCTTGCGTCGGATCATGAGGAAGCATCCACCGTCCCATCCCTCGTTGATGCTTGAGCTGAGTCTTGTCATCCGCCTATTACCAGTGCGTTGGGAAAGCCGCCGCTCGAGCTTGATGCCACCATCCATCACCAAAGAGAGAAATCCATTTACGGATAGACAAGTAGCGCGAGCCGTTATGCGAGGAAGCGATAATATTGATTCACGGATTCATGGGTGGCGCTGGGTTGCCTGTCGCCCCTGCCTGCCGATGCCATGCGCTCTGAGGGGGAAACACGGATGCTTCGGCTCTCCGTAAGAATAATGATACCCTCTCTTCCCTCCCCTTTTGGGGCCAGAGGACGATAGGGGATAATAATACGAACTACAACAAGGTCGGCGGTTGCTGGGCACTCGCCACCATTCCTTTACTTGTAGAAAAAGCCCATCTTTTTCAGCAAAACCTAAGCCATTACCTCGGTACAGGCAAGACACTCCTTCCTAAAGAGTTTAAAGTGCCTCGTGTCCGTGATCAAGCGCCTGGTCAGCCCCGTCCTTGCCGCCTCGATAAGATGACCTTGAAGATCGTGGAGAAGATGGTGTGGGTGACTTCGCGCCCATTAAGATGGGCACGGTGCACACCGCGCTTTTATCTTGATCCACAAGGCTTGGCCATTTCACTCCAGGTTGAGCGAGCGCCAAAAGGCTGGAGTGGGAGGGGACAAGACGTCTGGCTCATCGGACGAGGAACTAGGATATTCCTGTGAGAAAGGGGAGGTTTGGAGAGGTGGGGTTCCGCACAGCTGAGAGGAAAGGAGGCTGTGGCTCTTGCTTTGGGAATGGTGGGTTGTCAAGGAGGGAGGGGGGCAAAGGAGAGAGATGAGATGAGATTAAAGATAGCCATTCTGGGCTTGGCCTAGGAACTGGCCAGTGCATGCCAACTGTCGGATTTTCGCTCGTGCATGATATCCTCATTTCACTCGCAGTGGTTTGTGTCTAATGATCTTGATCCTTCGATTGTGTGTATCAGTCACTGGAGCTGGCACTCTCGGTAGCGATAGTGACCGTTGATGCTACTGGGATGGTTTTAGGGCCTTGTTTGGCTTGCGTACGTACGCCTGCTCACAGCGGAATTGTGTCCAAAGTTGATGAAGGGGAAGCTAACCGTTTGCCAATACCGACCACTTGCAACGCGTTAGTCCGAATGGGGGCTCCAAGAGGTTGTTCACAATCTCAGCCAAAGTTCTCTCGCTCCCTCGCTCTGTGGTTCTTCGCCTTCACTTGATCAGTCTGGTGGTATTATGGGTATGATTATTGGCCGCGCAGAGACAGATAGGCTGGGGCTGCATACTTTTCTCCCCCAAAGCTACTACTGCATGTCATTTAAACCTGTGGAGTGGCCACTCCTTATGCAGGATGTGCTGCCGACGACATCAATCAAGAACGCCGTGTAAGATCTATCACTTCGTCCATGAATGTACTGCCAAAGCGGGAGACGGCACAAAGACACAAGTAACAAGTTTATGGCAGCACCCTCCTCCGGATGCGCCCGCCAATGAGGGAAGATCGCCTTCGCCTCTGGCCGTCTCTCGACAAGCTCTCAGGCCTTCTCGTTCCATGGGTTTTCCTGGTCTCAGTTTCGTTCTTTTTGTTTCACAGGGGCGATTGACACGGCTTGTACCCGCCGCAAGGGTTTTTTCTTTCTCGGTCGGTGGCAGGTGTTTCGGAGAGATGCACAATGCACCTTGGCACACCCACCTGGCCCGATCGACCAGAACTTTGAATTTTGTACCTGCCTGGCCCCTCCATGACGACAAGCCTACTTATTTTGACATGTATCTTCTGGGGCATGGACGTGTGAAGTAAAACAGAAAAACAAAGTTCTGGTCAAGGTGACGCTGAACAAAGTTCCGGTAAGAGGGGGAAAAGGCAAAGAGAGTGTGCAAGGGATGAGCCCTCGGCCATGAGGGAACCACGACCAAAGACGATATTCCTCGGGATCTAAGTTGAGATCGTCATTGTGCTTGCTCCAGAGATAGATTCTTGTCTTGTGTGAACACTATTATCGAGTCCAGCAGCCTTTCCCCATTGTTCATTCCCTTCTGCCATTGGCCCACCAACATGGAACTATTCTCCCTGCCGGTTACCACAGGGAACAGCCCTCGAAATCGCTGCCCGTCCATTCGGGGTTCTGTTACCAATCTGTTCCCTGGCTGTCATCCGTGCTGTTTCTGATGCGGATAGTGTGCCTGGACATTTGTACCCGAACGGTCAATCAGGGTTGAGGTCATTACCAACACCGGATAACACTGGATTGCAAAGAATTCCTTTCAGTGTAGTCAAGGTCTGCATGTGCTTCTATTGCACTACCCTAGTGTGGGCTTACAAGAAAGTAGTACGGATAGCTGCACGAGGGGAGAATAAACATGAGCGATTGTCCTACGGATTGTCCTTTCTTTTGCATTTACCGCAAGCATCTCGTCAGCGCCGCGAGACGCCGACATGACAAGCCAGCATGTACGACAAGTACTTGTATTATATGCAAGGACCGTTCTTGGGCGGTAAGCCTCCACGACTCAGAGACCCGAACCTCCACATCGAGCGCTTGACCCCCTGGAGCGGCCAAGGGATCGTGCATGAGGAGTTGGCGCCCACCAACCAAGTCTCCTTCCAATTGATCAGTCTTCGACTTCAAGCGCTGCCACCATTGGAGGTGTAATAAAACAATGAAAGAGGATAAATATGCAAAGGCGCTTGGAACTAGGCGATAGTGGCGGACCAGACGCCACCTGACCCGTCCCGGATTATCCATCGAGTGGACTAGGCTGGCTGACTGAACGGACGGGTGGTTGAAGAAATGGATGAGTGAACATGAAATCTTGATGGTCAAAGGTAGCGTGCTGCACTAGCTTTCTCAGGTTGCAGTGGACCTCCTGAGGATGGGACCTCTTAGGTGACTTTCAAGCACCCTCTCTGCTCTTGCTCATTTTACTCTTCCGCAACCAGCTAGGCGCCATTATTTTCTGTGTGTGCTGTGTGTGCTGTTCCCTGTGTGTGTTGTGTGCGCAGGTGGTGCGAACGGAGCATTTGTCCGTTTTCGGAACATTGACCCTGAGAACTTTGGGGGTGCCAGTGCCAGCACAGGCTCTTAGACAAAATCCGCCCCCAATCCCGGTGCCAGGTGCAACAAGTTTGCTTCTTCCAAGCCGTTGATGGTTCAATGTCTTGTCAAATTTCGATTAAGTGATTTCACCGCCTGGCAGGCTGGCTGGTTCCATCTATCCCTCAGGTTAGGTGGCGGCACATCGGAATTGATCAATTGGTTCTGCCTGCCTTGTGAAGAGCCCCTTTTTCTAGTGCTCTCCATCTCAAGCTACCTGTACTTTAGCACGAACCCCACGCAATTTGGCTGCTGTTTGATGATTTCGGCAAGAATGCTGCAACTTCCCAAGGCTTTGAGATAATCTTGGAAAATACCGTTTCTTTCCACATTCTTGAGAGATAACATGGTTCTATTGCTTGTACGAAGTACAAGCATGCACTCCGTCGACTGGAGTGTTATATCAAGCGTGTTAATGCAATCCGAACTCCCTGCCTCCAAAGCCTTGCGGATTTGATGTTGTTGTTAGAATCCCTGGAGGTACCCAAGTACACTCTCCACAGTGACAGAAGCAAGGTCAAGGTCAAGGCCAAGGGTTGGGGTTGGGGAGGGAAAAGCAATATGAGCACTCAAAAGAGCACAAACCACACAACTTGAAGTCACTCTCCACGCACCACGCAAGCTCTCTCGCAAGGGCCCGTCCCCACATCATCAACAAAGGGCCTTTAAGGGGGAGGCAGGAGCAGGGCACAACAGTAATATCGACTGAACCCCCAACCTCCGAACCCCTTCTCCATCCATGGATGGCCCATGCCCCTCCTCCACCGTTCACAGACCCTTCCTCTCGGGCACCCGCTGGCCAATGACAGAAGTGCACTAACGCAAGGGACGAGGGCCAACCGCACGCACCCCACCCACTGTGTCTCCTGCTCCTTCCTTGCCCTTGTCCCAGTGAAGTTCCCCCTGCCACTGCAGAGGCGAATGGGGGTTGTCCCTGTTCGGAAGGGGGCCCCACTTGATCTTGACTGGTCGAGGGGTTCAAATGTTCTTTGTTGGCTCGAGCCGCCCTCCTTTCACCCAAAATGAGCGGTGCAACGGTGGGATCCCCTATCCAGCCACTCATCGTATCCGACCTTGTCCGGGCTCCAATCGGTCATACCAAACCTAATCTATCCCTAATACCTCTTTTTCGTCTAAACATCGACATTGGAGAAAAAAGGAAATGGCCATCTTCCCTCCTTCGCGAATGACATTGACAAAGTTGGCCTAGATCTTGCCGTTACGGTCACGCTCGCCGAAAAACAAAAAAGGAAATATGATAAGCGAAGCACACCTCCATCATGGCGTCTTATAATGAACACGACTACTACGACCTTGACTCCGACGTAGAGGTACGGTCCGAGTCAACCTCTGCTCAAGCCTTGCATCTCCTCCATCACCGACAGGCCTCTGACACTCGGTATGCTTCATCTGAAGTGTCCCAGCGCCAGGTCTCACCTTACACTAGTCTTTCTCCTCTCCCTCCCCCTCCTCCTCTTCCTGCTCCTGCTCCTCCCACTTCTGGTACTACGATTCATCCCACCACAAGCACGGCCGCAAACTTTACTGCCGCCCTCAATATCGCCGCCGGGCCCTCTCCTTCTGCGCCGAAGACGACTACCGAAGCCTTCGCACCCCCTTCCGCGGCCTTCCCGTCCGATCACAACAACCTGAGCTTCCTCCCCAACACCATCCACTCGGGTCTGGCTAGTCAGAGGTCCACGAGGTCCAACACCCTCTCCTCCGACTATAATCCTAACCAAGTTATCAAGAGGAAACCGCTCTCTGCCACCGCTTCCGCCCTCGCCGTGCGCTACTCCAGCTCAACCTCAAACCCTCTCACCTCGCATACAAACTCCCCGACCACCTCGCAGGACCCGAGGTCGTCACCTGGCGCACTGGCGTACCAACCCTCTCACTCCCGTGAGACGTCGGTCTACTCGACTTCCTCCTACGCCTTTAGCGAAGTGTACGTTTTTCCAAGTTTTCTTCTTGTAGATTGTTTCTTTTGTCCCTTGCCCTCGCTGCCTGTCCCCTTTCCCGTGTATTGTAATACTCGTTTCCTGGGTCGTTGGGAATAGACTTTCTGTATATCTCCCTGATCTCCCACCTGCCACCCACCCTAGCCTGGCACACCTACCCAAGCACCCCTTTCCCTCCCAAACAAGGCTTGCTTCAGAAGAAACAATGCCTTAGAACGGTGGAGGAAGACGTGGTGAGAACCTGTTCCTTGGTTTTGTCGCATACATGATCTGTGGTAGATCACGGCCGCTAACGGTAACGCACCCAGTAGATCTCCCACGAGTTACCCGGCTCTGTCTTCTACCCACTCTGCCCAGGTCGCCCAAGAGCCTGCTACAAGTCCTCAAACAGCGGCGGAGCACCTCCTGCAACGCAGCCGCAAGAGCCTGACGAACGAATCACCCCATTCCAGAACCCTGGACCCACACCCCAAGGCGATCGCCGAAGAAGAGGAAGAGGAAGACAAAGAAGAAGAGGCGGAAGAAAAAGAAGACCGGAAGCGAGACGGGAAGAAACAGAGGACTACTCCGACGCCGACTCTAACGACTCCTTATACGACTCGCTTTATAATAATCTTAATGCCACTAATGATATGTCCTCTCATCCTGTCCTCACCGAGCAGCAAGCATCTTCGCCGACCTTGAGTCACGTACAGCCCGAACGCGCCCTTCAGAGGACTGACACCGTTACCACCACCGCAACTACCGCAACCACTACAAGCAATACTACCACCACCGAGATACAGCAAGTTCAAACCATCTCCATCATCAAAGTCGACCAACAAACCGTCGAACGACCTACGCCTATCGACACGACACTGGCGCCCCCAAATCACCCATCTCACCAGCCTTTGCTAAGCTAGGAAACTTGTTCTCGTGGACAGCTCCTTCGCCGTCCAACAGCGAGTTTTCTTCCATCCCTTCCCCTATATCTTCACCCAGACGGCCGACGACCATCGTGACCGATGCTTCGTCTCTCCCGTCAGCGCGCACAGATCCCACCAACGAAAAACCACTGCCAGATGTGCCACAAATACGACACTCCAACGCTATTACCTATTGCGAAACATCACTACAGACCCCACCTTGCATCGCTTCTCCGTCGCCGGCGGCTGAGATCGAAGAGATGGAGGATGAGCTAAAAGCCATCAGCGCCGAATTGGCTGCGTCCATTCGGCGCGAGATGGACCTAGAGGACGTGGTTGACCGGCTTCAGTCCGAGGTCAACAACCCCCAAGCGCCCGGGAAGCGCACGAGCGATTACTATTCGGACTCGGGTATTAGCTCAGCCAAGTTTAGCGAGTTCGACCAGACCCGAGAAGAAGTCGAAAGGGTCCAGCGAAAGTCTGACCAAGAAAAGGCCCAGCTGCGCCTTGAATTAACAACCAAGCTCCAAGATGAGCGGGATAAGAGGAAGGTCCTGGACCAGCAGATCCGGGAGCTGTCCGACAAGGCTTCGCAGATGGACGCCGCGCGGGTGAAGAGCCTGGATGCGAGCGGTCGCCTACGAGACCTGGAAGACACCTGCGAGGACCTGCGGAGGAAGCTGGCCGAGGAGCGCCAAACGAAGACGAACTTTGAAGAGCTCCTGGGGGCTCTCAAGAACGAGCTTCAGACGGCAGCCAACGAGCGCGACAACCTCAGGGACGAGGTGATTCCGCAACTCCGTTCACAGGTGGAGGGGCTCGAGGCGGAGGCGGCCGATCAGACCAATTTTGCCTACGAAACGACCAAGATGCAGCAGGATTTGGAGACGCTCCGGCTCGAGAACATGAACCTGCGAAAGTCCAAGGAGGACATTGAAGCTCGCGCAACGCGGGCCTCGATGACGCTTACGCGGTCCAACTCGGTATCGCAGGCGAAACCCTTCAAGCTCCAGCAAGCACCGCCTGGCCTCCATCGGTCCAACACGACAAAGAAGTTGGAGTCTAAGGAAGCTTTGGGGGAGCGGCTCAAGGATGTGGAGGCGCAGAGGGATGCTCTACACAACGCACTCAAGAGTCTGCTCGAACGCCAGGAGCACCAAAACCGCGAAAACGAGAAGAAGATCAAGTTTCTCGAGGGAGAGCGCGAGCGCCTGCTCCAGGAGTCGCCGCAGAAGGCCGGATACGAGAAGGATATTGCCAATCTCCGCGCCGAGGTATCGGTGCTCCGCCGGCGAGCGGAGGACGCCATCGACCAAAAGTGGCGGATCGAGAAGGGCTTGATCAGCCTCAAGTTTGACCTGGACCGCGCGGAGGAGGAGATGGCCTCGCTCCGGCCCTCCTGGCGGCCAACGATATTCTTATCCCACCCATTGAGAACTACAGGTCCAGCGGGTCCAGCAACCTAAGCAGCTCAAGCGGAGGTTCGGCGGGCCTGGTCACATCGGAGACGCTTGAGCGTGCGTACAAGGAACTTCAAGCCAGCTACCAGGAGTCTCTCGAGCGCATCAAGAGGCTCGAGGCTGAAGGCAGCCTTAATGTCTCGGACGAGAAGACGCAACTCGCGCTCCGGCGGCTCGAGATGTCGCTGGAGTCGGCCGTCTCGGAGCGAGACATGGCGCGCGACGAGGTGGCGACGATTGCGGCACAGGCCAAGGCGCTGGCAGCAAGTGAAGCCTCGCGCCTCGAGCAGGAGCGCGGCCTTTCGGACGAGCTCAGCGAGTCGGCACAGCGAGTGGAGCAGCTCGCGGGCCAAGTGCAGGCGCAACTCAAGGCAAACGCAGACCTTCGACAGCGACTCTCGGAGGCGGTCTCCCGGGGAGAAGAGGACCGAACCTCCAACACGGAGCGGGTGACGCGTCTCCAGAACCGGCTCAAGTTGCTGGAGGAGCAACTCGTAGCGGCTCAGACAGCATCGGAAGACCGTGTAGCGCGGCACGAGGCGGAGATCTCGTCGATTAAAGAGGCGCATAACACACAGCTGCGCCGCATGGCGTCATCGCCGCTCGCGAGTCCCAACCCTCTTCGGTCTCCGGCTCTCCGGCCATCGTCGAGGGCGCTTCTTAGCCCGCTCCCGTCACCCATGTTCCCGCGGTCGCCGCGACAGCCGCCCACCAAGACGCTCGAGGATGAGGCCGAGGTGGCCAGACTCCGGGACCGCGTAGCGGAGCTGGAGATGGCGGTGGCTGAGTCTGACCGAGACATGCAAGACGTGGTGGCCAAGATGAGCTCGGCGCAAATGGAGGTGATGACACTCCAAGAAGAGAGGGACCAGGCAGTCCGGCAGAGCAAGAAGCTCCAGCAGCAATTGGACGAGGAGAAGGTGAAGCAGTTTGAAGATCGGTTCCGCTCGCTTGCCCGAAGCGGGACTGTTGCTTAAGTCCGCGGCGGATTGGGACTCCTCTCTCCGTCTCTACGCTTACCCCAAGCCCTCCTCCCTTCCTCGCTGCTTTTTACGTGGCCCATGAGAATCTTTTTGAAACCTTTTCACCCCCCAATTTTACCTTTTCTTGTTTCTTTTTTTTTTATTGCATTGGATCAGAACCAACAGATCTGGTCACACGGAGTTGGACAGCATATGTGTTGTCTGGAAAAGATATCCACCTCTTCATTTTTCGCTTTCATTTACCCTAGGATGGGCAGCCCTCGGAGGCCGTTTTTCTTTTTGTACAGTTCGTTTCTTTTCTTCTTCTCAGCCCTGCACATCCCTCGCAGAGGCGTCCCTGTGGTACCGAGGTATATATCCCACGTGTATCATGGCGGGTTGTTCTAATAGTTAAACATTAACCCCTTAAAGTCTAATAGCTAGAGGACGAGGGGGATTTTGAAAGTGGAACCAAGGAAAGGACAAAGAAGCGAAGAAAGAAGGCAAGGCAATGGCAAACACAGCCAGTTGTATTACAGTTAGTTGCAGACACTAGAGCAGAGAGATGGCTAAGCTCGAAAGTGCATGTCTTGAATACAGAATTTAAGAAGAAGCATCATTCTAGTCAACAGGAACAAGCTTTGTGACGTTGAAATCCGAATTAGCATGATGGATTAATGCACTATTATACCAACGAGCTGCCTCTTATCTAGGCAAAAGAAGGGTGGCCTCGAGACAAGGAGTCGGTTCACAATTACGAGTGTGCAGTGAACAGATGCCGGAACTGTTGATCACGTCCGTCGAAAAATATGGATCAATTTTGCCAACTCCTGTGGCGACCAAGCAGCAAGCTATCCCAGCAGCCTCTTTGCCTCTGTTGATAGTGGATGGATGCACTTGATTCCATGGATCCACCTCATGTCGAATCCCCCCCACGCCGTTTCTCTCCCAGTGTCAGGGGACTTGGAAACACCCGGTTGAGGTGATTTTGTATTCCTGGGGTACTCAATCTGGTCCAAGAAAGGTGCCGATGGTGAGATTCGCTAATCTATATACATGATGGGTACTCTGCCCTGGGGAATGCCTGTTTTGGCTTAGCGGGGTTCTGCGTGGAAAGGGAAGGAGGGACTGAGGGACTGGCAAGACTGTTGACTGGGACTGTGGGCGTAGCAAGCCTTCAATGTTGCAAGCGTAGGTACAGAGGTACTGAGGTACATACGAAGTGATCCGTGAGTGGGCGGCTCTCGGAAAGCGGAACCCACTTTTGCTTATCAGCGCAGCTCGAAGATTTTAAACGCATGTCAAGCAAATCCAGCTATCTCTCCTCGCTATCAGAGCATGGACAAGGGAGAGGGTACTTTGAACCCGGGCTGGTTGTGTGGGCACCCTGGGCCAACAACGAAGCTACGCTTTGTACCTCGGTACAGGTTCATTGATGCTCGTTGGATTATTATTCTTCCCGGGGTCGTGTGGGTGCCACCCCGAGCCTTTATCTATCTTTTGGAAGAGGGCAATAGACTTGACGCTGGGTCTAGAACGGAGGAGAGGGGAGCGTTTTCGCCGAACTTCTCCATCTGCCTTTTATTTTACTTGTCTTTCCCATCTAGGTCACTTTGAGGATTGTGTGCCTTCTTTCTTGTTTTTTTCTTTCTTGAAGAGGGAAGAACCATTCATCTATCCACCCCATCCGGTTTCAAAATGGACTCGTACCTTTGTTAGGCTGAGGGGAAAGAAGGGGCCGATATCATGGACCAAGACGAATGGACATAGATAAGGGATAAGGTTTAAACCCTCCCCCTGCTCATCCATCTCCCCAATCCACATCCAGGCTTGCTTGACCCGACATCGTCCACCATGGATGGCTGTGACAAGGGCCATCCCACGGCTGACCTTGGTTGGTTGATAGCCCTTTTCCCCCACCCTTTCGCACTCCTCTCCTCTCCTCTTGCCTTTGCGCTTATCGCCGCCTCGTGTGTCCTCGGCGCAGGGAGCTACTTTGGATTAGCTGCCGGCACCCGCCGTACCGGCCTTGGGTTCCTCCCCCTCCCTTTTTTCCTTGCCTCCCACCCTCCTCTTCCCTTCCCTTGAACATTGATGCAAGCAGCCGCGAGATAGGGATATTGGCTACTACTCCACGCCATCTTCCCACCGCCACTCCGAGCGAACCATTCCGCGTGCATGTGTGGGAGAAGCAGAAGGCAACCAACCTTTGGGCTTGGGGTCTGGTTCCCCGTCGACCCGGGTCCTCGTTAAGCCACATGAACGTCATTGCAGCTTTTAGTGCTGTGAATTCCCCGGTCCGAGTCGGGTGCGCAAAGGGGGTCTGTACTTCGTCTCTCCCCGAGTGATTGGGAAAATATGTTGAGTTTTGGAGAGGGGAAGAAGATGAGAAGAAGATGAAGAAGGGGAGAGGGGACTGTACTCTCTCGACTTGGAGGGCTTTTCTACTGCAGGAGGTGAAGAAGACCCCGGATGCAGATGGAGACAGACTATCAAGGATGAAGAATGGAAGTGTAGAATGACCATGGCAATGCATCGGTATCAACCCATGTCCCTCGAGTTAAAACCCCTCCCCTGTCTTGAATCCTTCCGTTTCCTTTCTGCTCCCTTCCCCCTGGTGCAGTTGACGGATTATGATTATCCTCGATCTGATATCAGTCCAGCCAGGGCCCTACATGACCCGATGAAGCAGCTACACAGAGTTTAGTGTCATGGATCGCGAGCACACAAAAAGGGTAGCGTTGATCTTATTACTTACAGCCAACTAGTCTACTATCATCGTATCGTTCCCTTTTCAATCCCTGAGTCCACCTTTTCGTAATACTCCACCACCTTTTTTTTTTTTTCTTCTTCTTCGTCTGTTTCTTTTTGGTATTATCCCTTGTCCACTCTGTCCAAGGGTGGGAGGGCTGACTCTCCCCGTTTTATTCACTCTCCACGTCGCCACGCCGCCTCCTGTCCCCATTTTTAGGCCCATCTTCTTTTACATATACATGCACACCCCTTAGCTCTCTTCTCTTGTGCCCTGCGAGCTCGCTTCTTCTTCCACCATTTCGAAGAACGGACAAAAAGAGGCTGGCTGAAAACAAACAGTCCGCGCGAGAAGAAAGAGGCCAAACCGTCCAAAGGTTGACGAATCGAGGGACAACCCAATCTTCAGCTCTTCCCTTTTTGCTCTCACACACCCCATTACTAGGGAATCGGTAAACGGCTGTGCTGTAATAGCCCTTTACCCTTTATTATACTTATACCTTTTACTTTTTACTTTTTGCCCCATTCCTCTCTGGGGAGGAAGGGCCTCTCGATATCACGATGACGGACGTGCAAACGGTGGATTTGGACTCCCTCAACTATGTGGTCAAGGTACCTTATAATGGCACGGGTCCGATGGGCGGGAACCCGCTCGAGGACAACATGAACATTTGGTATGAGGTGAGTCAAGACGGCAGAGTGCTACAGGGCAAAGATGGGGAAAGGAGACGTGCGGAGAGAAAAGAGAGATGGAGCCCAAGGCGACGACACACTCTTGCTAACACGTCGCACGTAGTCTGGAGATTTAGGTTGGGTAATCATGGCAACAGGACTCGTCTTGTTGATGGTGCCGGGCATTGGGTAAGTTGGAGATCCTCAACGAAGCCCCTTCTTTTCCGCTGTTTTCTCGCATCTCTTTCTTCTTCTTCTTCTTGTTCTCTAGGTCTGAGCTATGATCACTGATTACCTTGCGGTATTATACAGATTCTTCTATTCGGGTCTCGCTAGGCGCAAGTCGGCCCTCTCCCTCATCTGGCTCTCCGTCATGTCGGTGGCCGTGACGTGCTTCCAGTGGTTCTTCTGGGGCTACTCCCTCACCTTTTCCCACACCGCGGGCCCCTTTATCGGCAACCTAGCCAACTTTGGCTTCCGCAACGTGCTCGCCGCGCCCTCGGTGGCCTCGGACCGGATCCCCGACCTCCTCTTCGCCGTGTACCAGGGCATGTTCTCCGCCGTGACCGTCGCCCTGGCCACGGGCGCCGTGGCCGAGCGCGGCCGCATGCTCCCCTGCGTCGTCTTCATGTTCGTGTGGGCCACCGTGGTCTACGACCCCATCGCCTGCTGGACCTGGAACCCCAGCGGCTGGTCCAACCGCATGGGCGGCCTCGATTTCGCCGGCGGCACGCCCGTCCACATCGCCTCGGGCTGCGCCGCGCTGGCCTACAGCATGATGCTCGGCAAGCGTAGGGGTCACGGCACCCACGAGCTCAACTACAGGCCCCACAACGTCACGCACATCGTCATCGGTACCGTCTTCCTCTGGGTCGGTTGGTTCGGCTTCAACGCGGGCTCGGCTCTGGGCGCGAACCTGCGCGCCGTCATCGCCGCGGCCGTGACGAACCTCGCGGCGTGCGTGGGCGGCATCACCTGGTGCGTTTTGGATTATAGGCTGGAGAGGAAGTGGTCGACCGTGGGCTTTTGCTCGGGCGTCGTGGCCGGCTTGGTTTCCATCACGCCTGGCTCCGGTAAGTTTTGTCTGTTTGCAATACGTAGTACACACACACATACAAAAGAAAGAAGGAAAGAGAGAGAGTTTCCTTCGGGTAGACTTTCTCCTTCTCTCTTCCCCATCTCTATACCTATTATCCGGCCGATTTCTTTTCTTGATTACCATAGGAGCAAAGGCTAACTCTTCGTTGGATCAGGCTACGTTCCCGTATGGGCCGCCGTCGTATTCGGCGTTCTCGGCGCAGCATTTGCCAACTACGGCACCAAACTCAAGTTCATCCTCCAGATCGACGACGCGCTCGACATCTTTGCGGTGCACGGCATCGGCGGCTTGGTCGGCAACGTCTGCACGGGGCTCTTTGCGTCGCGCGAGATCGCCCACCTCGACAACGTGCAGCTCATCCGCGGGGGTGGCTCGACCGGCACTGGATGCAGCTGGCCTACCAGCTCGCCGACTCGTTCGCGGGCGGGGCCTACTCCTTTGTCGCCACGTGCGCGATCCTCTTCGTCATGAACCTCGTGCCGGGCCTGCGCCTGCGCGCGGCCGAGGAGTCGGAGATCCTGGGCATCGACGACGCCGAGATTGGCGAGTTCGCCTACGACTACGTCGAGCTGACCCGCGAGGTCCTCGTCGACGTGGAGAACGAGGCGGGCAGCGTGCGGTACTCGGCCGACGCGGGCACTTTTGCTCCCTCGAAAAGCACGACAACCCCTCGCCGACCGGGCGAGGGGGTTTTCGCTACGGGCAGCCATCGCATGCGAGATGAAAGCCCGGTAGCAGGGCCATCGTGGGGGTAGGAGGCAAGGGGAAGGGTAAGGAGACGAAGCAGGCCAAGGACGGGAGTGGATACGGTTACGGGATCTGTAAGATTTGGTTTTTCATGAAATGGGCTCGGGCGGCGGTGGGTGATGATGGTTTTTTTGCGCAAAACGATGGGATGGATATGAGATGCAGAACGTCCCCCGCGATCGTTTTTTTCTTTCTTTCGGTTTCTTCTTCTCTCTCGCACATACACACACGCACATTCTCTTCTTCCTTTCTTTTTTTCATGTTTTATACTTTTGTCCAGACTCCTGTATGTTGCTGTAGGTTTCTTGTTTCTAGCCTGTACATCTTTAGAGAAAAATACCCATAATCTTCTTCTTTCGATAACCGACTAGGATTATCCTGCCCTTTCCCAAGTCTCTAGACATTGCGTCCCCTCATCCCTCGAGCTGTTATCTTCGGGAAGGCTCGATGGATAGACGACCACGATATATACTTCGATGTGGATTTTGACCTTGGGAAGGTGCGGTTTCAAGATGGCTTGACAAACTCTCTCCGTGTTATTTGGATGCTCGTACAATGGATTACTCAACTCTGTCTGGCCAATTGCCTCAGCCACAGACTACAACGGATTAGTTCTGAACGAAACACAACACAACGGGTTGATCAGTTCGTGGTGTGAAATATCCGTGGTTGCCTAACATTGTTCCATTGATTGGACCCCCGCCAAGTTTTGACGACGTTCAACCTTGGGGAACGCCAACGCAGCTCCATGACCGCGTTCAATGCACCATGCAGGTATCATGTATGGCGCCTGTGGATGGATTCACGTCTCGTTTAATAGCGCAGCCACTGGAGGCTTTTATTACTTGACCAGGGATCGTTGATCATCGCCAACCAACTTACTTGGACAACACAACCTCCACCTCACTTGACCTCAGCTTTCCCTCAGCTCATGCCCTGCCTAGCGGACCCCTCATATTTCTTCGTCGCATGACATTCGCCTACATCTGGAGGTTGTTTAGGTATTTATATCACCTCTCTTAGCATCGCTCCATCCAACTTTCTTCGACTTCATTCGACTTCATTCAACTTCCTCAGGGCCATCTCCGCTAGCCAGTTCCCGATGGCATACTCGCCGTGAATTTTGCCATCGCGCCGGGAGGAACTACTTGCATTCTCACCCACCCCAGCCCATGCCACTGCAACAATCTCGGGAGCTCTGTTCGCCCATTCTTTAAGACTTCATTGATTTGTTCAAAGAAAGGAAAATAAAAGAAATTTGAGGGGATCATCACTGGGGTTCTTTGGTCATGGGATCGGAGAGCGGGAGCCAGGCCATCTTAGAAAAGCACAAGTACTTCCACCAGCTTGACTCGATTTTAGGAAGGAGAGCCTACGACGCCGATGTGAGTTCTGATGAGGACGAAGACGACGCCTTTGACGAAGAGGAAGAGGCTCTCCGGAGAAAGTGCCGCGGGTTTCTCAAGGACGCGCATGCGCCCACGCGCCGCATAGCAACTCCTTTGAACTCATCTCAATCCTCTCTCTCGGCGTCCCAGACCCGGCCTGGGGTACCTCCCAAAAGGGTTGTCTCTGCCCCTTTACCTACCACTATTGCCATAGAGGCTACTCCGGTGAGCGAGCATCCGCGGAAGCGCGCCGGAGAGGCTGCCGTGATAGACTTGACGGCTTCATTTGTTGAAGAGACCCCCGTCCCCATTCCTGAAACCGTCATCCCCGCCGTCAAAGGCCCCGCGCACTACATAGGAGCGAGACTACGCCCTTGTTACGCAAGAGGACGGCCGCTGCTACTCTCCTCAACTTGGAAAACGACTCGCCCTCTATATCCTTGGCCATGAAGAAGCGTAAGAGGGCTGAAGGTGCGATCCGCATGGTGCCTGAGGCAGATCGAATCTTCTCCGGCTTGCGCTTTTTTACATTCCTGACAACGACGTCGCCCCATTGAGGAGGGCCCGTATAACCAAAGCGCGGGAGCACGGAGCTGCTTGGACAAGGGATATGGCTGAGGCCACCCACATCGTCGTAGACAAGCACCTCAAATTCGCTGATATCGCGGCAACTTTGGAGACCCGCCCCACCTCCGAGGACGCTGCCCTTGTCAACGACGAATTCCCCCTCGATTGCATCTCTTTTAAACATCTTCTTAATCCCCGCCAGCTCAAGTATCGGGTCGCCGGCGACCCTAGTGGAGTGGCCACTGGGGAAAAGCCCGAAGACTCGACATCTCCGGGCAAGACGACAGTCGCCCGGAAGCAGAGGGATTCGCCGCCCCTGAGGCACCCGCACGCCAACGCAAAGATATGGACTCATCTGCCGAATTTTGGTACCCAGTCCCAGGACTCCGGGCCCCCGCCACCCCTTGAGGACCCGGGTTCCGGTGCCCAGCTTGACCCAACGCGCGACCACATTGTGATCTCTGACGACTCGCAACCGGTGCCGGTACCGTCGAGCGTCGAGGCATCCATGTTGGTCCCCAACCCCCAGCCCTCCACGACAAAGGGAAAGCCCCCGCCAAGCCAAAAGAGGACCTTGTCGGGGACGAGCTCTCGGGCTATATCAACATGATGCAGCAGTATAGAGCCCTTCCGCTTGATGATGAGCTTGAAGATGAGGGCGGTGAAGATGACGCTGCCACCACCATCGTCGCCTCCGACGATGACAACCCGGGCAAAGGGTCTAGCTCCGAAGAAGAAGAGCTGCGGAGGAAGACTCGCCGCACCACCTCGGCAGCCGCCGCTAAGCGCGTCAAGAAGAGTCTCAAGTTTGAGGAGCGTTTTGCCTGCAACCAGGGCGGCACCCGAGACAAGGCTGACGAGTGCCCCAACGCACGCACCGTGGAGGTGCTTCAGGAAATGTGCACCTACTACACGCGCATGAACGATACCTGGCGGACCCTTGGGTATCGCAAGGCCATCAAGACTCTCCAGCGCCAGGACTCCAAGATTCGCACCGCCGAGGAGGCTCGCCTACTACCTAATATCGGGGACCGCCTCGCCCTCAAGATTGAGGAGATTGTCACCACCGACAGGCTGCAGAGGCTCGAGTACGCCCACGCTGAGCCCCTTGACGCGGTCCTGCAGCTGTTCCTCAACATCTACGGCGTCGGGCTGTCCCAGGCGAACCAGTGGATCGCTCAGGGTTTCCGGACCCTCGACGACCTGCGCGACAAGGCCAAGCTTACGCCCAACCAGCGCATCGGCGTGGAACACTACCACGAGCTCAACACGCGCATCCCCGCCGCGAGGTCGAGGCCCTCGGCGACTTTGTCAAGAGCGCCGCCCGGCGACTCGACCCGGCCGTTGAGCTCATCGTCGGTGGGAGCTATCGCCGAGGCGCCGAGTCCTCCCACGACATTGATTTCATCGTCACCAAGGCCGGCACTAGGACCACCACCGACCTCGCTCCGTTCCTGGCCAAGCTGCTCGCCCGCCTCGAGGCTGATGGCTTCATCGTCGCTACCCTCGCTGCATCTCGTACCCGAACCGACCCAAGCAAGTGGCATGGCTGTTGCGTCCTCCCGATGGCCTCCCCAGACCCGCAAATCGCGAACCCCGACCAGGCCACGGCCGCCACCACGGCTACCCGGAACTCACCCATCTGGCGGCGCATCGACTTCCTCCTCGTCCCCGAGACGGAAATGGGCGCCGCCCTCATCTACTTCACCGGCAACGACATCTTCAACCGCAGCATGCGCCTCCTCGCCTCTCGCAAGGGCATGCGCCTGAACCAGAGAGGCTTGTACGAGGGCGTCATGAGGGGCCCGGCCGCCAGAAGCTCACAGAGGGAACGCTGGTCGAGGGCAGGAGCGAAAAGAGAATCTTTGAGATTTTAGGTGTGCAGTGGCGCGAACCTCATGAGAGGTGGTGTTGATGCACCGAGGCACGAACGTTACCGGAGCGTATGCTCTACCTAAGGGCCAAGCTGCTGTTCTTGCGTATATATACGCACATACACTACGAACGAGAGAGGGGGAGAGCGAGTTCTTGGACGTTAGGTTTGTGCATTGTAAGATAAGTACGATAAGTACGCTCGTGGTATCTTGATTCCAACAAGAAAAAAGTAGGAAAAAAACAAAGAGTAACCTTGGATCACCAAGCTTAAAACGTACCCAAGGTCAGAAGTCATAAACAAACAATAGATTCAATGTCCCCTTTGCGCAAACCGTGGATGAAAAAAAGCAGCCGAACCAAACCTAAATGAAAATGTTGATGTAGGTTCTCTGATGGTAATTGAACTCTTTCAACCCCCAAATCGCTCTAGAAAAAAAGGAAAAAAGCCCTTTCTGGACACTTGTTCCAGTCGTCTCCCATTTCTTCGTTCTGGTGCCTTCCTATGGTATACAACGACACCATCACCCCGGGGGTTCTTTTTTGCACTATAGCCGTCCCTCGCGCCCACGCACTCCTCTCACAAGCCTGCTAGGACACTCTGGATCCCCACCGAGGAAGAGTCGTCCCTCTTCTGCACAAACGCCTTGAAATCGGCTTTGGCGAGCTTCCGGCCCACGGCGCCGGCGGGCGCCGACGTCAAGTTCCTCGACTTCTCCCTCAGGGCTTCGGGCCCGACGATGAAGAGGGAGCCGACCTCGGTGAGGACCTCGACGCCCGTCTCCACCTGTTTGGTGAGGGACCAGCTCTTGAGGGTGGAGACGTACTTGGACAGGTCTTGGGTGGCCATGAGGCCGCCCGTGGCGTTGACCTGGAACTTTTGAAGTGGTCAAAGAGGAGTTTGAGCACGGCGAGGGCGAGTTCGCTGCTAAACATGTCGAGGTTATGGCCGTCGACGGCGAGGCGCGCCTGATTGTTGACGCGGGACAGGAAGGTGCAAATGGCGAGGCAGGTGGCGGTCTGGAGAGAGTCGAGCTCGCCGTCGCGGGGGCGGAAGTCGAGCTTCTTCTGGCCGTTGAGGGACTTGGTGACCCAGTTGGACACGACGGTGACGGTGCTCTTCATCACGTTGTTGGTCTTGGCCTCGATGCTCTCGATGCCGGTGCGTTTCTGGGCCTCCATGTTCCGCCGGACCGTGGTGTTGGACTCGGCGAGGCGGATAAGCACGGTGGAGATGAAGCGGTCCATGACGTTGGTGATGGTGACGGCGGGTCGGATCAAGGGGAGGTACGTCATGTCGGGCTCGACCCTCGAATTCTCCTGCGACACCGCCTGGTCCAGGGCGGCTTCGAGGGCTGTCTCGACGTAGACCTGGCCCATGCTTTTCAGGAGGAGGTTGAGGAGTATGCTCACGTCCTTGGGCGTCTCGCTGGCGGATCCGAGCTCGAGGGCTCTGCGCACGCTCTCGGCGAGCCACCTAATCATGCGCTTGGCGTACTCCATGCTTAAGACGCCGTCCTGCTCCGAGACTTCGATCTCGTTCTTGGACTGGTCGTCCTTGAGGCCGGCAATGCGCAGCATCATGGCCTTTGGGTGACTGTGAGATCCGAGGACTCCAGACGCTCCATGTAGGCGTCCTTGGCCGTGGCGAGGAGCTGGGTGCCCTGCTGGGCGAGCGAGGCCATGAACCCGGTGGGCTTTTTCCTGCGCGAGTGGTAAATGGTAAACTTGAGCAAGAGCGAGGAATAGAGCTCCTCCAAATTCTTCTTCTCCCGGCCAATGTACGAGTTGCCGACAAGGTACGGCACAAAGAGCTCCTCGAGCTGCTGATCGAGGGTCTGTGAGATTTGGGCTGAGCATGGCTCCGGGTGCTCTGTGAGGCCATGGGACTTGAGGTCTTCGATAAGGGAATTGATGTAGCTGCGCGAGGAGTGTAGGGTCCGCAGGAAGGCGAGCGAGGAGATGGAGTCGGCCTTTTCGAGGACGGCCTCGAGTCTTTGCTGGATCGACTGCTGGAAGACGCGCTGGATGAACTTGGCTAGGACTGTCTCGTAGTAGGGGAACGCTCGCTTGATAATGAAGGACTCTTCCTGCATGACGATCTTAACCTCATCCACAAGAGACTGCAGGCTCGGTTCGACACCTGGCGATTCCGAGTCTGGATCCGCAATGGCCTCCCAAGCACTGCTATCAGCGGTAACCTCGTCATTGACGAGCTGGTCGCGGTCGATGAAGAACTGGTGTTGGTTGACAAAGGCCGCAATGACGCTGGCGCCGCCATTGAAATCATGCAGCACCTTGGTGCATTCCAGCATGTCGTCGAAATTCTGCCGGCGGTAGCTATTGTTGAACTGTTTAAGCAGGTCCTGCTCCAACGTCTCGCTAAACTTCTCCAAAATCTCCCTCGTGTTGTGGCCCTTGGGCGCCAGAGCCGCGGTGCCGGATGACCCGTTTCTCAGGCCGTTGGTCTGGCCCCACGAGATGGGGTCGAGGCGGCGGCTGATGCGCATCAGCTGGCGGGAGATGACGGCGCAGCGAACCTTACTGTCGGCGTTTCCTTGCTTCTGGATGTCTTCCAGGGAGGTCAACTGGCCCGTTTCGCTGAGCTCTTGCCAGCAGCGGATGAGGAAGCCGGCATCACGGGCGCGGCGGCGCTTCCGGTCGAGCTCCTCGAGGCGCTCGCCAATCTGGACAGCAGCGTTTCCGCCAGCGGTATCCCGCGCGCTTTCCGAGGTGACTTCGGTGCCGGGGTTGTTGAGGGAGATGTTGAGGGTTTCAAAGGCTTCTATAGATTGGTCGAGCTTTCGGCCGAGAGTGTCGAGTGTCTGGTTGTGGGAGACTTCGGCGCGGCGGACCTGGGATGTGAGCTCGGATTCCCTCTCCTGGAGGTCTTCGGAAAGTTCTGCGAGCTGAGCCAAAGCATCTGAATCGAGGGGCGGTTAGTACGCGGCGACCAAGACTACTTTCTTAGGTAGCTAGGGCAGAAGGGAAACTCTGAGAAACTCTAGGGGTGGGGGTGAAAGGGCGAGAGGGAGGGAGGGGTGACGCGGTAGTCGGGTGGCGGACAGGGCAGGCCTACTTTCGAATGTACGGATGAGGGGTTTAGGATCGAACTGGACCTGGGCCGGTCCCGATCTTCGGTTGGCCGGTACGGCAGTGTTGGCGAGGTCATCGATGAAATCGCGAACGGTAAAGTCTTTGCTCGAGAAGTCCTCCAAGCTGAAACTGGGCCCTCTTGGGAAGAGGGACTTGGCGGAGGACCCTGCCCGCTCCATTGCCGGTTGATTCTGTTCAGGAGACGGGGCGTACCATTGCGATTGAGGAGAGGCGGAGGGGAAATGCGCAGAGGGGGAAAGGGGAGCTCGTGGGCGGTTTCTGTTTGCGATGGGTGTGGTTATTGGAGGGAGGTTGTCTGAGCCCGTGCCCGTCAAGATCCCCAGTAATAACACAGTGTGCTTCAGTCTATTTGGGTTGGGTTCAACGTTGGTGGGGTTCAGTTGGAAACAGGGGTCAATTGTTCTGTGCCTCAAGTGGAGGAACATCGAGCTTCGAAAGCTTCGATTCGAGGAAACGATGTATAGGCTCAGTGGGCAGCGTGCTAAAATTGCCTAAAATTGATCCCTTCCTGGCTGGCTAGCTGTGGGATTTCTTCGATGACACTGGCTTGATACATTTCAAATTGCTACACGGAATGTACCGTGACTGCACTCTAAGCTCCGGCCCCAAGTCCTCATCCGCCACTTTTTGGTAGCAGTGCTTTCCCCGCACTTTGTCGGCTCGAAGCTAGAGGGCGACGACAGAGGTACAGGCTTGACAGGCTGGAACTAGCAACTAGATCAATTCCCTTGAACAACTTGAACCATCTCGACGGGTCAATCGATAGTACTTCGTATCATAGATGGGGCAAGCCCACTCCCATCACCTCTGCTAAAATCTCGAGGTCGCCAACCATCTTCGTATGGTGGGGAGGCTGCGTGAGGGCAGTTGGAAAATATCTATAATTCCAAAGAAAAAAGAAAAAGAAGGAAACAAAAACGAGTCCAAATCCAACTCATTAGCTTGGTTTTCCTTGGCCGCAAGGGTCCATCCCTCTTCCTCGTTCAGTTGAGCAAATCAAGGCAAAGCAAGGAGGCCCAGTCTTTGGGGCTAATGGGCCCATTAGCACCATAAGAGGATGCGGAAACAGCGAATGAACCGAGGCCGCACCCCTTCCAGCGGTCGAGGCTCGCAGCGCCACGGTGCAATTCGTAAAAGAATGACGTGTGCCAGGGCGATCTTGATCAGATTTGTCGCCGCATATCCGCTGCTGGTTCCTTGAGCTCGTCCAACACTTCAAGTGCCCGGGTGCAATATCACGGCGACCCAAGCCGAAACTAGGACTATTATAAACATCCCTTGTTGAAAATTGTTGAAAAAGAACACCTGGCGCAACAGCAACGAAAAAGTAAAAAGAAAAAAAAAGATAGCGGAAAGGGAAAGGGGACGAAAAAAGCAGAGTTACAGCGGCGCGCTCGAGGCTTGGCGGCTATCGTCGTGAAGCTGAAGCTGATTTTAATGGCCTGTGAACGTCACGTGTTTTTGCTTGTCCGACGTAGCTGTTCTTTCCATGCTTCTTGTCACCAAATGCATCTCGACAAGGAAATAATACGAAGGAATCCGGTGTGTAGGAGGGTAACCAACTTTTCCCACTGCGCCACCATCATTACGCGCGACTCTCTTCTCTCGAAGCTCTTGTTTGCGCTTCTAGTTATAAATCTTGGAGGGGCCCGCTTGCACCTCGCCGTCCATTTTCTGTCTTAGAGCTCAACGAGTCTCCTAGACCTGTCTTCGACACTAACAATATTCCCAACGACCCGCGACCCTGACGATCCATTCCCCTGCGCGCGCTCGCTACTACCGACTCGCCCGACCCGACCGGCCACAAGTGAGAGAGGCTGCTCATACGTCCCACAAGACGCACTCTCATTCCTATATAACTCCCTAGAAAACATATTCTTCGGACGATTTCGAGCCCTCATGGCGTTAAATTTGCGAGACCGCCGTCTCTACCGGGAAGATGAAAAGGCGAACCACCGCCTCCTGAATGATGACCAACGGCAACGCCTCCTCGATGTTCGTTTTGGCTCCTTCCCCCCTTTCCTCCTCCCCCACATGTGAAGCGCGCATGATAATCTGCCTCTGCCGTGGACTTCTCACCTAACCGACAAGAATAGGAGTATATGCCCCCGCCTCCACCTACCTCGACCGTCGGAAAGAACAAAGTTACCAAGGCGTGGGACACCAAGTCGCAAAACGCCCGAAACTCCCACCTTGGCGTCCGCCGCTTCCTCAAGAGCCAGCTCCACCTCCTGATATTCACCCTCCTGCACTCCTTCTTCTCCCTGTACGTCAAGACGCGGCAGACATGGAACAAGGTCTGCTACAGGGTATCGTCCATCATTTCGTACCACCACCGAACCCCCGAGCTCATCGAGAACGACGTTCGCAGTCTGCGCCAAAAACCCGAGCACCTCAGCGCCGTGCTCAACATGCACGAAGATGCGAGGGCTACGGAGCTGGAAAGGCTCGTGAACGAGGCCGCCGACATTGCCGTCTGGACGGCGTGCGCGGGGATTCCCATGCTCTCCATCTATGAGCGATCCGGTACGTGGCCTCCGCACCTCCCCTCCCCTCCCCCAAGACACCTTTTTCGCCAGGTCGCCCCCTTGTTCCTCGGCTCCGCCATATTTCTACACGCCGTGCTATTCTTGTACTAACAGAGGGATGCCCGGCCTTTAGGTACACTTAAGCGATACCTACCCCAAATTCACCAAGCGATCCTCCAACGGTTCGCCTCGTACTTTGGCGAGCAGTACCCCGGTCTGACGGTGACCGCGCCTCACACCGAACCTGTGGACTCGGCGCCCATGGGCGGCAGTGCCCTCGAAGGCAAGCTCAAGCACCTCAACATCATGTTCATCTCGTACAAGGATGGGCGGGAGGCCATGGTCGACCTGACCAAGACCCTCGCAGAGATGTCGCAAAAGGGCAAGCTGAACCCGGCCGACATCCACATGGACCTCATCGACGCGGAGCTCTCCGAGGGCATCATGCCCGAACCTGACCTTCTCCTCCTGTTCACCCCCACGTCGAGCTCTTTGGCTACCCCCTTGGCAGATCCGTCTCACGGAAATCTTCCACCTGCCAGACAACCAGGGCGTCGAGTACCAGGTCTTCATCCGTGGCCTGCGAAAGTTCGCCGCCGCGCAGATGCGCCGCGGAAAGTAGAGCCGCCCTGGCGGATTGTTGTGTAGTTCGGATGGCGATGGGTAGGCGTAGCGTACTGCAAAAGGGCGAGTACGAACGTTTTAGGAGAGACGTGGGTGAGTACCCGGTGGGCACGGAATTTGCGAAAGGGGCGGTCCCCAAGGGTTCGATGTGCGGAGGCGAATAGAATAATACCACCAACGGTTATTGCATTTCCATGCGCGGGATGCGCGTTTTTTCGCTTGGACAGCGAGTCTCGGTTCTATATTTCTGTAGTATACTTAATGAGAAGTCATTATTCCCTTAAGACAAAGTGCGCAAAATCCCAAGAATCTTTTGCCAGTCGTCTTTCCCAAGCCAAACACTCGCCATCGTCCTGCTCGCCACATGCGCAGCCTTGTGTGGCCTTTTGCGGCCTGATTCGCCTGATTCGCCTGATTTGAACGGTTGCGACAACCGCTTAAAAAATTAGTTAATTTTCCGCAGCCTCGCGCTCCTTCCCCCACTCCCACTCTCCTCTTCCATGACTCGGAATCGAAACAATTTCGCCCTCTCGCCACGGACCCCTGCTCTCTCATCATGGAGGTACTTGCTTTCCCCCAAGAAACCCGTCGTCCTCATCGACATCATCCCCTTTTCACACCTCCGCCTCCCCATGCGCATCTTCCATCTCTTTGCGACCAATCACCCGCCCCAGTTCTTCTTGCTTTCCTTCCTTTTTATTTCCCTTCCTTAAGCCGCCTTCCCCCTCCCTTTTATGACATCCTTGTCGCGTTGACGTTTGAATCCTTGCCGCGTTTCTCATTTTTCTCTCTCGCTCCGCTAGAATGCCGACGCCGAGTCCGTCATGATCCAACTCCGGGCACCCCTGGCGCGGGCCATGACAACGCTGGACCGGGCCCTCTTCTCCCAAAAGTTCCCTCTCGCCGCCGCCGCCGTGCGCGAGCCCCGCCACCTCGCGCGCTACCGCAAGGACCTGATCCACGAGGCCAAGCTCTTCAACCGCTCCGGCTTTAACCCCGTGCTCCCCACCCGGACCCGGAGCTAGCCCGGGCCGGCCGCAAGCTGCTACTCCTTAGTCCCGAGGTCAAGCATGAGTGTACGCCTTTCTTCTCGCTTTCCTTTCTCACTCAGAAGTGCCCTGGTACCTGGCTCTGCTTTTGATTCTGCATCCCCATACCTGCTTCATGTCTTTCTCATCCCCCCGTTTTTTTCGTCCTTCAATATCAGCTAGGCATATGCTAATATGATGCTGGAACAGCAAAGGCTACATGGGGTGAGACTATCCAACGTGGCCACACCGAGGGCGAGGTGGATGTTGTCCCCTATGAGCTCGCGCTCGACTACGACAGGTGGACATATCGTGAGTCTCGCTCCCCAAGATCGCGCCCCCGCCGCCATGTCTTAAGAAGCCGTGAAACCGCTTACCCAGATTCTCGCAGACGAGGTCATCCAGTCCATCCTTCCCGAAGAGCTTCACAATGAAGTCCCCTCCGGGTTCAACTCAGTCGGTCATGTTGGTACGTCTTGCCGCCTCTCTTTCCCCTTCTTAAAGTGCATCCCCCCTGGGCTCCACATCATCTTGCACCCATTAGAGGACAGAGAACTCACCAGCCCTTGCAAAAGTTCACCTGAACCTCAGGGATCAGTACCTCCCCTACAAAAGGTCATCGCCGACGTCATTCTGGACAAAACGCCGCGTTTCCGCACCGTCATCAACAAGATCGACACCGTCGGTCAAGAGTCCGAGTTCCGCACCTTTAGCTACGAGGTGCTCGCGGGCCCAGACGACCTCAACGTCGAGGTCAAGGAGAACGACTGCATCTTCCGCTTCGACTACGCCAAGGTATACTGGAACTCCAAACTGGAGCCCGAGCACACTCGTCTCATCAACAAGTTCCGTCCCGGCGAGGTGGTCTGCGACGTCATGGCCGGCATCGGGCCCTTTGCCGTGCCCGCCGGTCGCAAGGGCGTCTTCGTCTGGGCCAACGACATGAACCCCGAAAGCTACAAGTATCTTAGTGAGGCAGTGGCCAGGAACAAGGCGGATGGTTTCGTCCGCCCCTTCAACGAAGATGGCCGCAAGTTCATCCATCGCGCCGCTGACCTCGTCCTAGACAGCTCCCGGAGCGGCGACCACGTCCTCGTCCGCCCCAAGCACAGGCCCTCCAGGACAAAGCCTGGCCCGGCACCAGAGCCTACCCGCGTCCCCGTCCCGGCCACTATTTCTCACTTCGTCATGAATCTCCCGGGGTCCGCCACCACCTTTTGCATTGCTATCGCGGCGTCTACGCCGGCCGCGAGGAGCTCTTTGCCCCGCACACCGAGGCCAAACTCCCTGTAGTGCACGTTCACTGTTTTGCGCCCAAGTTTTCGGACGAGGAGGTTGCCGAGGACATCAACAAGCGTATCTTTGACGAAATTGGCGTCAAGCTACCTGTAGGCGACGACCTTGATGCTGGCCAGGTTTCCATTTACGATGTCCGCGATGTGGCCCCCAACAAGCGCATGTTTTGCGCCAGCTTTAGGATACCCCCAGAGGTCGCCTTTGCACCTCGGGAGCCAAGCACCTGAAGAAGAGAGATTGTAGGTATGGAAGGGGAGTTACGCCAACCGTCAACTCCCTGCAAGAGAGAGAAGGGATCAAGGGGTAAAAGAAGAGAATAGAAGCGGTACAGGGTCATGGATAAGATCCCGATGTAAGGATGACGAAAACCCGAAAACCAAAATCTAGAAAGGGTTTAAAACCTATATTGCCTAGCCGCAGCACGAGAGTTTACGAGGATGTAAAGGGCGAAAATGGCCATGATAGACCTCGGGGATCATCTCAACATGATGTTGCGACGTGCACACACACACACACACACACACTCCAACCCAACCCAGTGCATGTATTTACGTAGTGTCCCTTAAACCTCGACGTGATCCAGGGCCGAGGCGAGGGGAAGAGGGGCAGGGCTACGTCGGGAAAGGCCAAAAAAGGGGGCCAAGAAGGAAGCGAAGAGGAGAAGCTTCCGCCTTCGCCACCGTCACGCCCAAGCTTCTATTCGCCCGAGGCACCGGGCAAAAGGTAATTCAGACTGCCTACGCAACAAGAGCTTGGAAGGGGGAGAGGGGCCACGGCCATTACACACAGAGGGGGAAGACACCGGGCGTGGGCGCACACGGTTGAGCGGGGTTCGACCTGGCGCCATGATCCCCTTCCCCCTCACCTCACTCGTTTTTTTCCCTCGTAAGCTTGGACCCCTTTGTTCGCTAGCTGGCTCGCCAGGGAAATTCTATGCCATGTAGGGACCCCGGGCTGATCGCCAGGTTGATGCTTGAACGCATCGGTCCAAGGGACGCGTGGTTGGTTTTAGTTTTTCCAAACCCCACTGCGTAACCGATCAAAGACGCCCAGAATAGCAGCAGATGAAGTCATCCTCCCCCCTCGTAGCCGTCACTAATGGAGATAGTCTTTGGCGCCTCCAAACTCATGCAAAGTACTTCCCCTCCCCCTTAGATCTCCTCGTCCACGAGTTCTAGGCGGGCAAGGGGTATCGTTGCCCTCTTCGCTATGGCGCAAGACTTCGTATGTGGCTGGCCACCGAAGAGTCTAACGTCGGCGAAAAAGAATCCTGAAGCCTCAAGCCAAACCCGTCTTCCAAGCTTTCTCTGGTCCTTTTTTGAAGCTTGACGCCATCTGGGACCTGTCGAAAGAATCAAGGTTTGGGTTTCCCTCTTCTCGCTCCACCTTGTAAGCTCAATCCAAGAGAAGCAAACAAAGGCGATCAGCAAGGCGAATGTCAGCACGAGTAAACCCACTCCAGGATCTCTCTCTCTCTCTCTCTCTCTCTCTCTCTTGTGATCTTTCTTCATTCCTCTCGTGAGCGCTAGGTTAACCAGTACGGTTTTCTCTCTCTTGCTGGGCAGAAACCGACAGGAGATGTCGCAAGTAGGGCGGACGCGAAGCTGGGCCCATTTCCCGAATCTTGTGGTCAGAAACAGCGTAGAAGCAAAGTCAATAACATGGACGAGCTCCGCTTTCTGAGAGTATTCCAAGCGCCGCCGCAAGGCCAAGTGCCTCCACCACTGGCTGAAGGCACCAAACGCGGACTCCGTTTCACTTCAAAGTGGGCACCTCGCCAGAGTCCAGCCTCTTCCCCTCGCCCATCCTGGCGCCGGCTGGGCCTTATTCACTCCCCTTGAACCTGAACCACACTTTAACTCCTCCCTTGGGAGGGCGTTCTCTTGGACCGTGGCGTTTTCCCAAAAATAAAACGGCGAGAACGGTGTAAAACTCCATAGCCCGGAGACACGGGTTGGGCTCAAAATGGCGCTGCCTTCGTGGCGTCATCGTTTAGAGGAGGGCTTGGGCCGAACTGCGAAAAGCAACGGATAAGCAGAACAGAGTTTGGACGGCGCTTAAGGGGGGCCGGGCAAGCGCGGAAGTGGAACGGTGCCATGGAATTGAGGCTACCGTAGGAGGAGTCTAGGTGTCTACAAGTACAAGACTCTTCCAACGTTTTGGAAGGAGAAGAAATGTTGGTGGGTGGAAAGTCGGCGATAAGCTGTGCTTTCTGGGTTGCAGAAACAAAAGGCCTTCCGAACGCCGTACTAGACAAAGAAGATATCCGCTAATGGGCGAGGGAAGCGCAGCTATCGGCATCAGCAACAGGGTCGAAGCATTGCTGCCTTTTTGGCGGCCATTTCAGCTCGTTATCTCGGATGGAAACTCAGGCCCGTCCCGATTTCACGTCTGACAGGGGGTTTCCGCATCCCGAGCGATTAGGAGTCGTACTCCGCGCTCCGCCATAGCCCGTTCCCTCTCTCCCCTCTCTTCCTCCCCGCGACGCCGGCAAGCCTTATCAACGCTACATTACACTTGACGCCGACGATTGAGAGGCAAGAATATAAACCGGCAGATGAGTCGACGCCTCCCCTCCCCGAGCGACGGTGTCACCCCGCAACAGCCGCTCAAGGCCCAAGAAGATAAAAGATGCGCGGGAAAGTAGACCGGTGTAGGATCAATTGAAAAAGATCCATGGAATCTCAGATGAACGGGCACCATTAGACTCAGGCCCGAAAACAATGATCTCGCCGAACGGGCTACTCCTAGGGCCCCGGCCGCAGCTCGGCACCATCAGGTCGAGACCTGGTGGAACTTGAGCCTCTCAGCCCTTGTCCCTTTTTCTTTTACTTTTCCTTTGGTTTTCTTCTCCCTGCCCGTTCCTCGTTTCTTTCCGTTTTGAGATGGAGAAAGCGTAGGTCCGTATGGCGCCGGCTGGCAGGAACGCCTCCCGGCCGCCGTCGCTAGTTTGCCTGGTGCATGTCCCGGAAAGTTGACTCCGTGATGGCAGAAGCACAAATAGTGGTTAAACAAAAAAAAAAAAAACAGGATAAGGAAAACAAGGGGGCCAACTTTAATCTTGGTCTCACTAAGGAAAAGGTTTATCCTAGCTATCGAAAGCTAATAAACATGGTTGAAGCTTTTCAAGGGCAGGATTTGCTATTGTATGTTTATTCTGAGGACCCTGTCGCACCTAGTCTCTCTTGCTCGCGCTCGCTTGCCGCAGGCGCTTGCCATGTCGGTGGAAGTGGGAGTAAGACAGGCCCGGGAAGCGTTCCTCCGGACAACTCCAGGAAAGTGAGACTCCATAACATGGTAGATGCAACAGGTGCGAGGCTAGCCCGAATGCTCGAATGATGCTTGGAAGATGTCGTTTTTTTTTTTTTCTCCTCTTTGTATAGTTGCCTCCTCTTCTCACACCACCGGGTCCGATCTTGCCTTCCCTCACGTTGACGAAGTCCATGTAAGCGAAAGAATGGGTTCAATTCGATGCTCGAGTCCGTCGGAATGACGCAGCAAGAAAATCATGCATGGAGTAGTCGTGTCGAGCGGTGGGGACGCAAGCGAAGATCATCTCCCCAAGCAAGCCCAGGGTACCTGACCACACTCCGAGCGTGGAATGACACAATCGCCCTCGCTCATGATAACACTCCAGTTTCCGGCCCAAGAGCAAGTCGAGGAATCGGCCACCACTGTTTTCAATGTTCCTACTTGTATGCAGTATGAAGGCCCCTCCCAAAATGGACGGTGGGGTACATGATGTAGCCAATGCAGAGATTGTGTACGCCCACACCACCCACCAAGGTTACAGATAGTCCTTGACCTAAACCTCTTCAAAAGACAAGATTGAAATGAGTAGACAACGGATACAGTGCGTCCGAACTGCGATGGCGTGTTGGGCGGGAGAGAAAGGTAAAGGCTCCGATCACCAAGCCAGTCGAAACGGCGCATATCAAACGCGAACTTGAGGAAGGCGATCGGTTGGCCTAGGGCTATTGTTTTTTGGGGAGTCTTCTTAGAGCGAAAGATATCCATACAGGGGAGGTATACGAGGGCATTTAAACAATCTCATGAGCAATGGATTACACCGAATCTATCGCTTGATAGTTGAGCGATGACGCGGACAGGGACAATACCCCGAGTCAGACGCTACACGAGGCAAAGGCTCGAAAACTTGAATCCCCACGTCTCTGTCTCCATGCGGTGTCGAGAGTTTGAAGGACATCAACAAGGCCGATCAAGCGTTATCTTTCTCTCACGGCTTCGATGCAGGACGGCAGGAGGAAAGAAAAAGGTTAATTGACTGTATGGCATCGTGTCTCAGGAACCTCAGAAGGCCCGTATCAGCGCCCTAAACACCAAAAAAAAAATCAAAAATCAAAAAGAGAGAAAAAGAAAATAAGAGATGCCCGCGAGGGTGGTGTGGATAAGTTGTTTCGATTGATCCATTGTGTGATGTGAAGTATGGCGAGGCATCATTCATCATTCAACCCAGATGTACCCATTGCATTGTTGTGGGCTGGCAGCGTGGAACAACGGATCTATTACAATGGATCCAATGAAGTGATCCATTGCACCATCCGTTCCATCCACTGGAGCCCGCTCTGTTGGTGTAAAGTTGCGCTGGAGAGGCTTCGTGCTTGTCTCGGATCACCACGTTGGCTCCTGCAGGTGAGTTTGGGGACCTGCAAGAGACGAAGGACCCTCCATCCTGGGTGTGCGTAGTTCGCGTGGTTGCAATCGCGGATCAACTTGCTTCTTCCATCATCCCCTTCTTCCCAGCCTTTTCCCCTCTTCTTTTCTTTTTCTTCTTTTCGTGTCTTCCCGGCCCCCTAAATGTCCGGGGTTCCTTATCGGACATAATCTTGGATGATCTTCTCGTTGCTCATCTCTTCGTATCAATCCATACACAGATCTCGGTGTGCACCCCGTGCATCCCAATCGACAACCATTCCTCTTTGGTCTTTGGTCTTTGTCTCGGGCTTCAAGAGATAATGATTGTCCCCCAATGGACCGTCCAATCATTTATGTCCTTTGCGCAACGCACGTCTTCCTACCACACTAATAATACCCACCACCACCCTCTCTCTCTCTCTCGCTCGCTCAGAGGCACATCATACTTGTACATGTCGAGAGAGATGTACATTGATGGACCCGTCAGACGCGTCCGCAACGGATGCAACCTCGAGATAGGGCTTCCGGAACCTTAATCGACCTTTGTCTTTGTTTCGTTCCTTTGCCCCTA